AGGAATACAATTTTATGGGGACAACTTTAAATAATTGAATTTGATAAAGCATCGACGAATGAAAAAAGATGAGAAAAGAAATATTACTTGACGAATTGGCTCGTCTCAGCAACAAATGGAAATCAATGTTAAATAGAGACATATACCATATCAATGGCGATAGCCGTTATGGTAACGCGCTGTCGTTGAAAAAGAAATCTTCCCTGCAATCATTATTTTCGCTTACTGTCAAGCCAGCGATTTTGTCGGTGTATTGTTAATCTATGCGTATATTAAAGCAACAGCTATGATCACCTAAAATTGAGTATGTAAAGTGAAAAAGGTTAAAGGTTTGTACTTGACCCAAAGGGCTCATTGTCCCTGAGCTTATTCTTGTTTCCTTGAAATAAAGCCAATGGGAATATTACCACTGGCCCCCTTGGATAATGCTAGTCTATCGTAAGGTTACCTCCCAGCATTTCAGTAGGCTTCCCAGACAATATGCTGGTACTCATTTATACTCCTGGATGGAAAGAGGCATTGTGAAAGTTGAGTGTTTTTCCCAAGAACACTCTCGAGCTACTGTGGAAACTCGCCCCTTTAGTTAAATATGGGCAGTTTTGTTTTGTATCGTTACTGGGATACCTGTGGTAGCCCAGTCATAAAATGCCTTTGTTTTTTTGTCGTCTTGTTTTTTTTTGTTTTTTGTTTTTTTCCTCCGCCACAAAATGGAAAAATTGCGCAATAGTACCCAGTGGTCATTGGGCCCTCAACACCATGACAACTAACTGTGATCCAATGAGGGTGAAGGTGTTCACATGCTGATCACGTGTTATCTTGATGATGATTGACGTTGTCATGCACGGACAGGTCCGGGTCACATGACGAACACGAGATTTTTGCTTAGAAAACTCTTCTGTCGGTCGTTTTGTATTTCAACGTGTTCTGATTACGATCACCTGAAGCATTATAGCGCAAACGCTCGAAATACTTACAGACGCATACACAAGTCGTATTGTTCGCGGCCAATCCATACTAAAAGATGTTATTGAGCGGTAATTTTGGACTGGATTGAGTCGCGAATTGTGTATCCGTTGTAGTTTCTGGTGATTTCTGCCGTTTTAAGCTTGCTTTACCATCACTGTTATTCACATCATCTACTTTTGTTACGTTGGTAAAATCTGTACAGACATCACACAAACCAACTCGCGCACAAAGTAAGAAGAGTATATTGAAGGCTTGAAATTATATTATGATCGATTTTCATCAAGAAATGGGCCAGGAATTTTCCACAATAGTGCAAATAATCGTGAAGGCTGATCGAGGAAAAGCGATTGCGTGACGCTCGGTAAGCTGTAAGATGACATGTTATTATTTACCAGACGTAAAAACTCTTCAGATTCTCAGTCTGCATTTTGTACCCACTCTGCAGTCTCCAGTCTATATTTTGTATCCGGTCTGCTGACTGCATTTTGTACTAACAGGTATCTGTGACACCAATACAGTTTATTTTTGGTTACATTTATTCGCACAACACACATAATCTACCACAAAATACCTGTGTGTGAGGTAATTCGACATTTTCGTTCTTTTCCACGTTAATACACTTCTTTCCTTTGGTAAGAATGTAGACCACAAGTAATCCACCCACCCTACAAAAAATAACTCTTGCATGCATAGCATGCCTATGTTTTGAAATAGGTGTATGCCCTTAGCCAGACTTGAGCTCACTATTTCAGTATACTAATCCGACACCCGTAGTATCACTACACTTGATTCCAAGGATCCAGTACCATCCAGGTATCCCAGTTACCCTGCTCACAGGGTCTAGTTAATAATAAAATGCACTCTAGTGTGGCTATTTGTCGATTTGTCGGGCATTTGCATAACCGACTCTGATTATAACGTAAACGAAATATATTTCCTTCAATTGATACTGGTTAAGAATCCCCACATGACCTGCAGATAACTGCCACAAACAATGGTGTGCTTTGACACATAACAATGTTTAGCTGCAAATGAGACTCTTTCAAGCTGAGATATTTGTATCCAGGCTCCTCTCTGAAAAAAGGAAATGGCAGATAGCTTTCTTAAGTTGACTGGGGTGATTTGGCACGTTTAATTGATTTTAATTTCCTCCATGCAATTCTCATACTTGGTGGTGATCATTTCCCGCCTTGAAATGATCACAAAAACAAACTTAGCGCTTAAATCATAAACAATTATGTATATTGATTGACTCCTTTCATCGCAAAATATTTGTTATTTGGTTTGCCTCCAAGATGTGTTATTTTAAATCATCGAAATTTTATTAACAGGGTTTTACCATGAAAATATCGATGAGCTCACTGTTATATTCGAATAATGTTTTCTTTTTGGTTTTGCAGAAATAACCGCGTCTCCAATAAGCAGGAACGGAAATTAAGAACTATTCAAAACAGAAAATTTCCTTTTAACGCACAATGTATCCATCTGTTTGTATTATCTATAGTATTAACCCGGTCTTGTATTTTTAATTTTGGAACTAATATCATTTCCTCGATCCTGAGCTCATAGTGGCTGAGTGACTCTTTGAAAGATAATTTTACTTGAGTGCTAATGTTCAGTTTTTGTTGGCTTTATAATTAGTATTTTAGCGGTTTTAAAGTTCAATTACATTTTTCGAAATTAAACTATGAACAATCCTAAGCCTTTAAACTTGACAAAATCACCAGGTTTTTTTAAATTTTTGAGTCATATGAATCGAGAGACAACATTTCTAAAAATTCAAATTTTTACGGAAATGAAAATTCGTTCAATGAATGCAAAAAAAGCTACAATCAGACGGAGGCTTCCCACGACAATTGAAGATCAAAATGCTGCCAATTTCCATAAAACCTTCCATTTTTAAATATTACCCATATTCCATTACGCACACACTTGAATTTCAATGGAGACATTTCTTTAACGTTTAAACCCACTCTTCAAGTGCCTCAAAAAAACGTTTTGTTTATTCACTACAAGGCAGCGTAATTGATGTTTCTGCTTCAAATCATACAGCTAAAAGGAAACATGGAGATCCAGTGAAGAGAGCGCGTTAACATTCTTAGATTGTTAAAATCCGTTAAATCTATACCTGCAGCAGATATATAAGCTTTCAGAAGGGCAGAAATGTAAAGGCCAACAAAACGAACAGGTATTTTAATGTTTTAATCTATGTTATGTCTTCAAATGTATGATAATTATGAAGTATTCAGGCTGAGCAATTTTAAAATATCAGTAAACACGCGTAACCACATTCACGTACAAACACACTTGGAATTAAAACTGCAATTTGTTTTCAATACTGTTTCGATAAATTTATTGTTTTTCTCTCGTGTTTGTTGCTGAAATTAAAAAAAAATCTCGACAATTTGTTTTGATTGCTTTCCTTTACAGTTTTAAACGGCCCGGAATTCTAAATAGCAAAAGGTCTCAAACAGTTACATCGTATTCAGAAAATAGTGCAGTGAAAGTTTCACTCATAAACCTCATGTTGTAAACTTTTTAGTTCGGCTTTCCATTAAAATGAACGCCGAAATCCATAGGTTTTCTTAAAGGTGCCAAAGCAAAGCCGTTCTTACGAAAATGGGTGTTACCAGAATAACACTCTGAAAACGCATCTTCAGAAAAATGTGGGATATTCTACGCCCAAAACTTAGTTGAAATAAAACAGCTGTTTTTCTTTTTCGCTAATTCTTCTACCCAGTAAAAAAAGAAACCAGGGGAATTTTACGTATTAGTTTCACCATATATAATTTCTTTATGCTCGTATGCAAACTCAAGATTAGGAAAATTTGTCATTTGTATACACCACATGAGAGAGGAGAGTTTTCAGTTCATTACAATCGCCTGGCTCAGATATGATTAAGGTCTCAAATTAAAATCATTCATTTTTCCAAAGACTGAAATTTTTGTCCTTTGCTAATACAATAGGATTTCCTGGAATAGGAAAACAGGATCAGAAACTTGTGAAACATCATCTGCATATCGCAGATTGTGATCAGCCACTCCACAAACGGAGTTAAAAATGTTTCATGACGTGATTCAAACCATAATTTTCAGTAGTTTCACTAGTTTTTTTTCAAGCTGTTGCCTTTTTCTGCAAAACTTTACGTCATCTAAGCTCGGAATCATACTGTAAAATACGATTTTAAATGAAACTAACCAACAAATTGACAAATAAATAGATAGATAAACAAAAATAAAACAAAATTTATTTTCAACCAATTTAAATGCCGTAAAAGCGGTTAAGTTTTTAACGAAACTGTTGTACTGCGTCGGTGAGGGAGTATAACAAGCTAATTTGGTTTTATCAACTAAGTTAAAGATGTAAATTGGCCACCGTGAAGAGTTGAAGTTTCGAGAGTTAGCCCTTCGTCGGAGCGAATGGCCGTACTGATTAACTTAAAGATGACCGGTACTTGAAATCGAAATTTTCCGTGATCTTTCAGCTAGCAAAACCAGGTCCATAACTGATTCCCTAACCGTGTGGTTGGAATGCAGGTCGGATATATCCAGTGTACTTTCATACAGAAAAGGAAGTCCTAGATCATAAAAATACTACATAAATATCAGGTAAGCATTTTCAAGAAGTGATTTCTTGGAATCTTTATCATACTTGATTAACATGTTTCACCTCCTCCTCCCCCCCCCTCCCCCCCAACCCTTAGCTACGAAAACCCCCATAGAAGTCTTTGCGTTTTTTCATTTCTCCCCAAGTGTGTCCCCAATACATGAAGCACTGGTCTCCTAGTAACCAATAACCTTTCCATACTCCGGCAGTACCATTTTTATTTTTCTAAAGCTTTTTATGGGAGTTATTTATAGGAGGATATCCAAATCCCTGGAGCTCTGGTGGTTTTCATTGTGTTAAATTCGTTTCTCCATAGGTTTCTTGGATTCCAGGTCGCTGGTAGATGCTCAAATTGGAAGGCATGAATGCCTCTTGTTGTCTCTCCACACATAACGTGTCTTCGCATGCCTACCAAACAGGCCTTTCGAGTAGTAAAATCTATGTGTTTTTACCTTTAAGCCCTTCAACCAAACTTACATTGCTGATGTTTTCTGTAATTATGGGTATATTAGCGTTTTTTGGAAATGTTCTCATACTTTGTTTTGTTAAGTCGAACCAAAGTGCAGCGTCCTTTCTTAAGTCTTGTTCTTTCCGGAAAAATTTTGATGTCTATATCTCCAGCCTTGCTATATCTGATGCACTTTGCGCGTTTATAGTTCTTCCGCTTACTGGTTGTCAGTTATTTTTTGAAGTTTTTGAACGAGGATGGGGCTGTAGAATCCTTCGCTACTTGGGTATTTTCTTTCCTTCAGTTACCATAAATAATCTGTTGATTATCATCTTTGGAAAATATTTTTCAACACGTCAGATACCTCGTATACTGAAACATTCTACTGTTAAAAAATTGCTTTACCTTACCTGGTTCTCAACATGTGTTTACGTATTGCTCCCCGTTGCAACTATGGAGGGGATTAGATATGATCTAAATGACACACATTACACTGTAGTTTGCAGGCCTAATCATCAGTATGTGTCATTTGGAGTAGTGAACCTGGCCTTTATAGTTTTTCAATACTTTTTGCCAAGTATTGTGATTTTTACTTTAACTATATGCTTGATCTTGACTGTGCGGTCAAGAATGAAAAGAGCTATCGACATCCAATGTGATAATGCTATCAAAGTCATGAAGAGGGCTGAAAACAGACGATTAACCATGATATTGGTTTCTATTATGCTTATGTTTATTTTTTCATATGCATTTTATTTAAGTTACTTAATTTTTACAATTTTGACAAGATCACAAGATCACACCATGAGTTTTGAAAGTGATTTTCTCATCCGTTATGTGGGTGCTCTGTTGGCGTTTTCCAACAGTCTCGTCAACGTGATAATATATCTTGTTCAAATGAAGGATTTTCGGCACTTTTTAAAAACAAAGATCACTTCGAATTTTTCGAACTAAAATTTGATTGTTGATTTCAAAGGAATGTAAATGGGATTTATTCCAATATTGGCAAATCTAGTTTGAAATTCAGAGGCAAAATGTCTTAAGGCTTACATTCAGCTTACAAGACTCTTGACCCATCTTACAAGCGTAAAAGGAGCAGTAGGTGCAATTGATACTGAAAACGTCGATTGTCGTTGAGCTTTCATGGAAACCAGAAAACAGATTACTGCTTGCCACAATTCATATTGATACTGGCATCAGATTTATTAACAGTTTAGTAGCGTTTGGCGCACTACTCATTCTCAACTATGCCAGCAGGTTTTTATAATGTCTTCTTTTAAGTGCAGCAGGTCTTGCTAAAAGCCTCATTAGTAAATAGCCACGTCGGTGAAGAGGAAACGGCTCGTTTTCATCGTTTCGGATTTCACCGCAGCGCCAGTTTTGTTCACGAAATTATTACATTGAATTATTGTAAACATCGCTGGCAAACGTGCCATACAAATTAAATAATTTACTGTTGTTATCATTATTATTTTTATTAAAATGATAAACTTATATTTGTGATTTAAAAAAAAAATCTAAATTTATTACTTTAACTTATTATTGTTGATTGAGACAGTTACTAGAGATTAAAGTAAAGAGGAGTGAAGTAATTGATTTCTTCTCATTTGGCACAAAGAACCCCTTTCCACTTTTTGAAATGCTGAAACACGCATGAGTCCAGCTTCTGATATAGTGCAGGCACCTGAACCAGTACCTGTTAGCCGTTCTGAACGAGTTTGGCGTCCAGTGGTCAGGCTAAATCTTTGAATGAAGATGTGAATATTGTATACTGTAATTAAAACACTCGTGATGCGATTTAGATTCTTCATGCAAATAACTCTCTTAGTAACATGCCGCGAACTTGGTATCTCCATAGTTTTAGTTTAAATAGTTTGTGTATGCCTTTCGCGTGATGCCTCCGTCGTTTATAAAGCTTATTTATTCATTATTGTATATCTCTCTTATACTTGTTGTATATTTAGGAATCAGCTTATTAAAACCTTAAGTCCTCAAAGGTAACACGTCGTCTCTACTTTACAACCCGTTCCATCTCTATTTAAATAGGCCTTTAGGACATCAAAATGAAAAGTTTTAATTAGCTAAAGGATCGATTCAGTTTAATGATCATTTAAAACCGGAAAGCGATATATTGAAAACAAGTTCTTGCGTGTCCAGACCGTTTGTTTGGATTCAACAGAATCTTTTCCTGTATTATTTTGAAATTTCGTTTTGAATCTGACAACTTCAAAACTGTTCGAGACAACGCTAGGTAGTTTTTTAGCTGCAAAGTTTGGTACAGTAAAGAACCTAGTAAGAACCTAAAATTTAATGACTTATTAGGCTAAAATTTCCTAGTTAAGCACCCCTCTTATGAGAACCATTCTTGGATAAAGTCTCAATACAAGAGTTTGTTCAAATTTGGTAAAGTACATCGCATGCGATACAAAAAGGTCGCAAAAACTAACCAGAACACCGACGGTGTTCTAAGACCACAATACTGTACTGTCAAGCAGACATCCATAGCTGTGCAAAATATCCGACTGTATGTACAAGTTAACCATGTAGAGCAGGGCACTATGAGGCTGGCATACAGCGCAATATCACACTTTTACCCACCAATACTAGTTGTTTTTTAACAAAAATTAAGAACGCGATTGAGAACCTTGGTAGTCTAATTTCACAGTAAACTTCATTTATACAAAAACCTATGGAGGCCAAGTTGAGAAAACCTAGGTTCTTATATGCGGTTTTTTACTGTGACGGTGACACTTTTTTAACAGCGAGTTGAAACTGGCAGATCAAGATATATTCTCCAATACTGATATCAAAGGTCTGCTTTCATATAGGTTTTAGGGCCACCCTTTAAGGGAACAAATCAAACCTTGTGGAAATATCGTTACATCAAGGAACTAGTGTTTGGAAATCACGGAAGTACCTTGAGATACCTCTATTTGACATTAGCTGGTTCGGAAAAAGCTGTTCAGCACTGCATTCTGTTGTGCTATCTTTTCAAAACTTCCGCTAATTTCTATCAAACGCGACAAAAACATAGGGAACTTTCTGGTCATATGTTCATTTCAAACCAATGACCAACCAGACTTTCATTCGCTCATGATGCAAAACGTGTCCTAGACGACTAGGTGACCGATTCTGGGAACACCTTTGCGACGTACAAAGAAATGACAAAGACGCATCCAAATCAGTCGCTAGACACTTCAGTCTCCCGAGTAATTCTAGGCAGCATATGGTAGCTTACGGCCTTTTCTAACACACTCACTATTGTCAACACTTTATTATTCGAGTTTTCCGTATATATTAAATAGTTGATAAAATAAACATTTTAAAAATTATGTAGTTTGATTTATATTAAAACACTTTCTTTTGGGACAGTCATCTGCTATGCAGAAACAACAATAACAGCACAGTCTAACCCGCGCCGTCAATACATTGTTAAAGCTTTTCTTTAAGAAAAAAAATTACTTGATCTAAGAGCCTTAACACTTCTCTGAGTGCCGGCCTCTCTGTCATCACTGAAATTTCTCAAAGCATTAGGCAACAATGCATACATAACGTGGGACATTTTAATTGCGAAGGAATACTCAACAGTCAAGAGATGAACAACATTTTCTGAAGACGTCTCCTAGTCGAACTTGATGAAAATTTTGACTCCCAGATGAGAATAATGCGCAATTTCTCCTTACAACTGACGATACTTTATCGAAAAAACAAGTGATGAGATTTGATAAACTTATCAGTTAGAGGGTGTAACTACCGTGACATCTCACTTAAATTCTCCACACCTATTCACAAGGCAATATCTGGTTGCTAAGTTAGAGAATTACGAATTAGATCTTCAGAGTTTAAGGGACTTAAAGCTATTTCCGTGGAAGAGGAGTTTTAGTAATACGCCATTAGCTTAATCGAACTCTCCGGTTGCTACGAACTATACTCGATTGTTTTTGCAGTTCGATTCAGAGGAGCTCAACTGAATTCTGTGTAGATTAACAACGTTTACTCGAAGAGCGAGAAAGTACAAACTATTCGCTGAGTTTTAAATAACAAGGCTATCTTGCCGAGCTAGGTCGACTCAAGACAATCTTGTCAATATTCACGTCTGGAGTGTAGTCAACAAAGTTGTTAACTCGACGATTTGTGTCGCAAATATCGACCGAACGTTACAAAGGTAGATATTCGCGTCATCACGGGTAGGTAATTCGTGTAATCCGCGTTTTCCAAATATGATCTTGGCACCATGGGGTTTAGAACACCGAGGGTTCTCTTGCTCGTTACCACACTCCTGTCAAAACACCTCCACACCAACCGGGCGAGAGCTGGGTAAGAATGAAGACTGGGCAAGGTCTGAACGTGTTAGAACGACCTTGATAATCGACGTGCACTTTTATAAATCTGTTCGAAGAAAAAAAAACATCATGTTATCGCTGCTCCGCTCCTTTCAGTTCGTAGTTGAACACATGGCGGAGCTTTTCCATGTCAAAATGCTTGACTGAAAAACGCAATTCCAACCCTGTGTTGAAAGCACTGAAACACACACAAAAAGAAAAACCGTGTAGTAAGATTCCTTAACCTACCCATCGTCCAAAACCTTGGGAAGTGCTTCATAGAAAATGCTCTCGCTTGGCAGTTTCCTTCGACACTTGAATATCCTTTCGAGTTCTTTTCCTTCCGCGAAGCTTTTCTCTGACCTCTCGTAAGTGACATCTAACCGTAGATTTGTATTCAAATGGAAAATCTCCATGACTTCCTCTTGAGAAGGTAGTTTGTCATGTTCCCAGGGGAATAACAGCATATCAACCGGGCATTCTCCACTATTTTCTGAGGAACCAGCTGATAAAAAAAAAATGACGGAAGAAAATCAGCACAGTGTGAAAGAGAAGTACCTTCTTTAATGACATCCCAAAAAACGGCTGTATAGGATAGCAGCTGAGGAACGAAAATTTGCAAAGTTTCGTGCGAAACTCAGTTACATTCAAATTGAAGTCAGAAATCGAGGAATTCTCAAAAATGTGAAAGAAAGATGAGAAAATCCCGAATGACAAGTAAAAGGCCGTGAGACTAACCTAAGTTACACAACATAGCGGCACGCAATAATTAGTCCCATTCGCCGAAAAAGAAGCACTACAATTTGTCAATCACAATTTGAGAAACCCACGCAGTCGCGCATGATCTGAACTGCAAACGCAGCACGGCGAAGAGGAAACGCGCCTAAAAGCAAGTCGCGACCGCGATTTTCTCGGAGAGACTGAGCATAATCATCGGAGAATACTAGTTAAAACTGCTCTGATACTCTACAAACAAAGTAAGACAAAATCAATTAACTTCTAGTAACCACCGACGGAAAGAAGGTCTCTTTCGTCGGTCCGACCATACGGCCGTAGATACACAATGTTCCTATGTTTAATCACCAATAACAAATCCCATATTATAGTCTACCCCCTTTGAAATTATTCTTCCCTCCTCTCTCCCTCCCCCCCCCTCCCGTCTAAAACTTTGCTGTAAGCCTGAAGGCATGTTCACTTACTGTACACTGATTACCGCCAGCCGGGGGGACCGTAGTACCTGAATTGGCACGGTGCTCGGCATCTGCGGTGTGGCTTCTTAGTATGCACTGATACACTTATCTATTAAGGTGAAACTGACAAAGCAAAAGTATTTAATTTGGGAAACCCTCACCAAATAGCACCACAAACAACATAAAAAAAATTAAAACAAACGAAAAAAGACCCTAGGAACAGGCTCTTCTACAAAATTACTACCGAATTTTACAATTAATCTTAACCCTTTGACTCCCAGATCAAATTTATCATCCTCCTTACTGTCAACCATACAATTCTTAGAATGTTAGTTCAGAGAATTTAGCATTAGATCAACTAATTATTCCCAAATTGATATTTTTCTTTATTCTCATTACATATCTGGTTGATATTGTATTGATATTGTATTGATATTGTAAGGAGAAATTCTGTCTTGGTCACTCATGGAAGTTAAGGGTTGAGGCAAAAGGAAAGCATCATAGCTGACGAGGAATGAGCTGAGAATTCTATTACAATAAACCTCAAATTAAGGGAATATGAAATAGTTTAACTGCTGAAGACGGGCATATGGACAATCAGAATCTTCGTATTGTATTAACAAGCCCGAACCCTATCACGTTTTTTTGATAAAGAAAATTTGCTCCGTTTTCAAGTTTGCACGATTACTTCTCGTAAAATTTTAAAGGTTCAGTAAATCTTTCTTCAATCTTCCTTTGTCCAAATGAACTTCTAGCGTGGTTAAAAGAGTTTACGATTTCACAATTCACAGTTAATAGAACAGACACTTACTGTAAACAATTTCTCTTTCGTTCACTTCATCTTGCAATTTTTGCAGCTGATGAAATGATTCGTACATGGCCTTGTAATCAGGCACTTTACTTCGAACATCCGGTCCAACCGGGTGTACGATACCGGATTTCCAGCGCCTTGGGAGTTCCTCGAATAAGTCCCCGTCGGGTAATCCCTGCACCATTCCCTGTCCCCAGCCGAAGAACCACGAGCTACCGAGCTCGTGCAACATTCCTGTGAGTCTCTCTTCGTCTTGATCCGTAAAGTCAAACGAATGATTCATGTAATTTCTCCAGAAGTATCCCGTGGACAAGAGTAGCTGAAATGAAGAAGATAAAAGTGTAAACATGGGATTTTAGTTAAAAATTTCCGCGTCTCACACAGTAGAGAATAACGACGGTTGTGAAAAAAAAAAATCCAACTGCAAAACAAAACCAAAAGTAAGATGAACTATGGAGGGCTTTTTCCATGCCTTCCCGTGTCAATAAAATTATAAAATTATAATTCTGGAAAAAATTTCTGGAAACATTTATATTAAACAGTGCTTGATTCCGTACTCTCCATAAAGTATGTTGTCACGGGGAGGGCCTGCTACGATCTACGACTGATTTAAGTGCAAAAGAAACGAAATCTTTAATGTGTACACTACACATTTTGCTTTGAACCTTTGAAAAATGCTCTAATTTGTAGAAACTCGCCCACTTACCCTCCATTTTTTGCAGACGCACATGCAGATCCTGATGTCTTTAAGCTCAAGATTAACCATAATTTGGTAGAAAACTTCAGGGGCGAGTAAATCAAGCAGGCCATTCCCACCGTTGTTTTGGTAGAAAATTTCCAAGGTCCGTGGTGTCAAAGGTGATTTCATATCGCAGAGTCTATTGCTAAGCGAACTCCACTGGTTACAATTACTGCGAATATGTGGAAAAATAAGAGTAATTTATTTTCACGAGCCAATCCCTTGTTAGAACAGTATACTGTATTACAATCTTAAAATCTTGTGTCGAAATTACGGCACAAGAACGACTCCCAACGGGGTATTTTCGAAGCATACTACTTGTAAACACATGATTTTACTGCTCGTCTGGGCAAGAAAAAAAGAAATTTATTTGTCTCACTCTTCGGTATAAATTTGTGGACGTTTCCAACATTATTCATCTCCCTTGCGTTTAAGAAGGAAGTCGAGTAAAGCATGAATAAAGAAATTATTGAAGGGGCAAAACTGAAATGTGATACTTAACACTTGCACGTTTCCCGAGAGAGTTCAAATGTGATTGTAAACAAAGCCCCAAAACTTTCAGTCGATAATAAAGTTATTTCAAAGACACAAAAATAAGATGAAAATTTTTGTCTCCTGGAAATTAAATGAATGTATGAACGGTTATAAACCGCAAGCATAAATAATGAAGAATCAAATCTTCAATCGCGTTTGTTTCGCTTCTTATTGGCACTAGCAGAAGTTAGCATTGCACAATCGAACACGAATTTCGCAATACCAAGCTTAGGAATCGAAAAACGCCGCAAGAAAGTAAAGGACGATTGACGAAGAGGAGGAAAATATTCGTTACTCTTCTCGACCTTGAAAAATAAAAAAAAAAAAATTCAGATAGAGGAAACAAATTTATTTCTAGAAAAAAGCATCCCCGCTAACCATGACTTTGCATTTCTATTTTCACATCAAGTCTTTAGACTCCTCGAGTGTCTGACAATCAACTGTCTCCTTTGCTTTAATTTTTACCTCCAGTCTAAGTACAAAGCGTGCAAGAAGGCTACCGTGGCGACAGCGAAAGGCCTCCAATTTTATGTTTTAAACTTTTTTTTTCCCCTTAATGATTCCGCTTCCTGCAAGTATGCACTAATAATATTTCCTTGGCTTCGAGTTTCTCGACTTACAAATCCTTTCTCGTTTAAATGTACGCTTACGGTTAATTCTTTGTTTCGTATCCTTACCTGCCTTACAAAAATTAACCTTGATACGAAAATCGCAATTCGTAAACGAATCGTAAATCCCAAAATCCGGGAAAAAAAATTGGTGTTGCAGCGACCGATCGCACTGGAGCTAAAGGAAGAGGGTACTCTCTGAGAAAAATATCAGTAGTAATGGCAATATTAATTCAGATAAAACTTCATTCCTAAAATTTTACGCGTAAGAATTTAAAATCAAAACACAAAATCCAAGAGAATAGTGTTAGTCTTCTCGCAAAAGCACACTGCACCAAGCACACTGTAATCTCGATTGAAGATATTGAAGGCATTGTTTACAAGAAAAAAAAACCTTAATATTAATTTTTTAATCTGGAGACTTCGAATTCTCTACTTCAGTTCCATTGAAAACTTTTGCAACAAATAATGCGAGACAATGATCGAACCGTAAGAAGGGACTAGGAAGAGAAAATTTCGGCTGGAATCGGCGCGTTTTAAGTCGGATTATGAACACTGCTGTAACTGCACTGTAATCAAATTTTTCGAAACAGCTGAGAACAACGAAGCGAATATTTCCGGTTCATTAACTAAATGACTTGAGGGGTTAAAAAACGTTGGCTAATGGAAATTTTTCAGATGTATCTCAGGTTCCTCGTCGGAACTTCGAATATCCGCATCTCTAGGTAAACTGCAAGACTAGAAATGAATGAATTTGAGTGTCACAAACCTGTTTAGAAACTGCTCCGACCTGTTCCGTTCAATCGAGTACAGATTGTTATTCTTCAGTACTATCCCACGATCAAGTGATATTACCTCCAAGCACATGCCGGAAGTCAAATCGTGGCCCTAATATGGAAAAGAACAAAAGAATGATGAAACATTGACCACAATAAGCACGTGAAAGACCTCCCAGTGCTCATTCCCAAACAAAATGAACCTTTGGGGAGACCCTTGAAGTTCTTGCCACTGAAGACATGCGTACTAAACTGCTAAGTCATCGGTCTTAGTCTTCTCTCGGTATCCCGTGTGGCGGCCATATTGTAAAGAAGAGTTTCGAGATCTAGTGTTCTTTGAAGAAAAAATAAGGGCAACGTTTTAGACTATGAGCTCTATAGGAACCGGGGTAAGTGGAAGTATACACTATTAAACAATGAAATGCAGCGAATAAGGCTTTTAAATCCGGTTTGAGATATAAATTCCGTAAAGAGTGTCCACGTGCATGTTGACAGTTTTATTTCAGTCTTAGTGTTGTCTCAAACCACCTTCCTACTAGTGCTGTAGGTGATAACTGTATCTACGGCCAACTTTTCGTCGATTTTTGTTAAGCAAAGCTGGCAGAAACTTTCTCCCATAGGATTTAATCTCTTCAATGAAACACTGAAGCTGCTTGTGAAAAGGCAAAATAATATAATTCGTTCAGTTTGAATTAAACCACTAAGTAACTCATGATGATTACATTAATTATTTGAAAATTAATTTTGATCTTAGTGGAAAATTCTGTATGTTACAATTACGCCAGGAGCTGAGGAGAAAAAGGCATATTACTTGTACTTTAAAGAATAACCTACCTTTGATTGATGATTATTCATAGATATTACTTGAGTAATGATTAGTTTTTCATAATACATGACTCAGGAATTTTTGGAAAACAATGTGCAATTTTCAAAGTTTTTGTCAATTGTGATTCCCAAAGTGATCTTAGACTCAAACAAAACAAGATGAATGCAGAATACCACAAGCATCCAGGAACAACAACTTTTCTTAAGAGGAAGATGCAGTATTTTAAGTTTTATTTCCTTTATTTTGGATTTTTTTTCACCTTAGTGTAAGGTCTCACAAGTGGAAGACATCTGGTTAAGCCATTTAGTCAAAAGAGTGATTGCAGATTGTGAGATGGCATCTGTTAGTGTTTAAACTTTAACTTTCTTTTCTCAATCTTTTCACAATGTTTATACCATTTGTGTTTGTTTTTGTCTTTCGTCTACTAGTATGACTTGTCTGCATCTCAGTTTTCTCCTGATGGAAGAGTATTTCAAGTGGAATATGCCGTAAAGGCAGTGGAGAATAGTGGGTAGGTTGTATAGTGTGATATCTTGAACTTTGGCATGCACTCTATATACATGTCCTTTTGCAAACCTACATGTTATTTTCTGTAGGAACCCCTTTTTAAATACCCTTTTTAAATACCACTATGATGAAAAAAAATTTTTCCTCTTTTCCTTCTAATTTTGATGTCTTTTTTTCCAAAGGTCTCTGTGTTAATTCTTACACCTAAAATTTGAGAAACAAGACAATTTTTAAGAACAATTCATATTTTGACATGTCGCCCAATACCAGATTATGTTTGAGTTGAGTTGCATTGGAAGAGCTGGAACAAGAGAAAAAGTGACATCACTTACTTAGTAATATAAGCTGTTAATTTGTGAACGAAGCTTATTATGTATGCAGCACAACAAACATCTTTTGGAATCATGGAATTTGTATGAGATCTAAAAATCTGGGAATTTTATCAGAAAATTTGAGCAACTTGGATTGGTACACAATTTCGTATCCTCCTTACTTGTCATCCCTCTGACTGGAAATATCGGAAAAAATATATGTAACTTAAAGAAATCTACTCTGACTTGCATGTGAAGTGTGTAGTAAAAGAGAATGAAATAACAGGACTCAGAGAAAATAAATTGACTGTTCTGTATTTCTCCACAGAACTATTGTTGGCATCAGAGGAAAGGATGGGGTTGTGTTTGGTGTTGAAAAGCTTGTCCTTTCAAAATTGTATGAATATGGTGCAAACAAAAGAATCATACATATAGACAGTCACATTGGAATGGTGAGTACTGTACATGTATACACATGTACTTTGGAATAAGACACTAACAATCAATCCTTTTAGACTGCAGTAAAAGTATGTTTGCTTATTTCAAACACAGTTGTATATAATTTCAATGTTTTGTCTTTACACAATTTATTACTGTCATCAGTGTGAGGCTAGCTGATGTGTATGGCTTTATTGACTTCAGTGATGTGAACTGAACACTGCAGTGAAAATTAAATCCTGCTCGAAAAAGTTTCCATCAACCAGAATGATCTCAATTCCCATTGTGTTCTAAACCTGGGTAGAAATTTGTTTTAAAGTTATAGTATATCAAAAAATATACAAATATTGTGACTGACAACTTATTTGTACTTCAAGTCTGCTGTCCATTTTAGAACAATACCTAGTGAACAGCTTGCTTTCAGATTGTGTATGTACAGGTTGTGTTCTGTAGCTCAGTGTATTTGATATCCATGTATACTTTGTTTGTTTTTGCACCACAGGCTGTGGCAGGATTGATAGCTGATGCAAGACAAGTATGTACAGATTTTTTTAATGTACACAAATCATCTCTATATCATAGAACTAACTTTGTACAAGCCTTCTGATAGATTTGTGAAATTTTAGAAGTTGTGAATTTTCCTGAAGGTCACATTATCTGACAGGAATAGGTTTATCAGTTGTGAGGTAAACTGCTTATACCTCAAGTTATAAAGACCTTTAAGTAAATTTTTAAATTTTACATAATATAGTGATGTTGACCACATGTATTTTAATTTGGTGGTTGTTGACAAACATTTCTGTTGTTGATTTAAAGATTGTTAGTGTCGCCAGAGAAGAAGCTGCCAATTACAGATCAACTTATGGATCTCCAATACCTTTGAAAGTAAGGCTATGAAATCATTGAACTCAATGTAATTTTACCATTGAAGTTATTCAAACAGGCTCTACAGTATTTTTGAAAGTGGCAGATGTGACACCATTCATGTTTTTAAGTTTCTGGCTTGTTTATTTACATCAGTGTTTTGTGTTTCCAAACATTACTATAAATATTACTCCATTACTTACAATGGCCTGTACCACCTTCATGTAGTACATTTTTGTTCCCAACAGTTCCCCTTTTATTGTATTTTTTTTTATTTTCACATCAATAATCAAACTCATCTTTAGTTGCTGTTTTCTCATACTGTTAGTAACACTGAATTGCACTGAATGGGAATTCTTGCTTTGTACTCAATAAAGTTTGGACACATTGATTCATCCCACTGTTAATTTTTGTATCGTTGACATGTTGTATGTTTTTCATTTTCAGTATCTTGTTGATAGAGTGTCAGGTTACATTCATGCTCACACATTGTACAGTGCTGTTAGACCATTTGGTTGTAGGTGAGTGGCTCAATGTACATGCTTTGTAATAGTTTCATTTTGCATTTTGTCCTTTATCTGTAACAATCTACATTTGTACTAAGAAGTCACATTACCACATAGGGTAGTGTATGAAAAAAAAAACTCTCAAATTGGCTTTTTTGTACTTTTCTAACTTTCTTTTCCTTCCAGCTTTTCAATCTGCATTTTGTTTGGTGTGTTGCTGTACTGTGAATGATCGGCGCCTTTCTTTCTCCCACAGTGTTCTGTTAAGTTCCCATGGACCTGATGGACCAGAGCTCTTTATGATAGACCCCTCAGGAGTATCATGGGTGAGGAATGTCTGTCCTCATGTCTTGTTCAATGAGAATGTTAATTATATAACATGTATTTTGATAAATTTTAATTTTTTTAACTGCTCAGTAGCTTCATTGAAAGTTTCTGCATTTTATTACACATGTAGTGTAAACATAAAAACAAAACATATGACAAGGTCAAATTGTTTTTTAATTTTTTTTTTTTCGGCTGGATTTTTAGGGGTTCCATGGCTGTGCTGTTGGGAAGGCAAAGCAAGCTGCAAAAACAGAAATCGAAAAACTTAAGGTCAGTTCACCACCAATTATTTTAAGTCCTAATGAAGGAAGATGGTTTTCCCCAGCTTTACCATGAACAGTTACAACTACCTGTAATCTAATAAAAATTTGAACAATTTTTTGGCTGGACTGAATATCATGCCAAACTTCAAATCCCTTCTATTCTAATATTTGTCAATATTTGTTCTTCCAGGCATCTTTTGTATTGTTTGTGTAACCTTAGTGGATTTTTCAGTATTTTACGACATTTTATCCTTTTTATTATCCTTGTCCAAAAACTTATTCAGATTATGAGTGTTTTTCTTTATATTTGTATGGTAATACATGTATTTGTGGAATTTATGAATTTTGTTTTTGTTTACAGATGAAAGATATGACATGTGAAGAATTAGTGAAAGAAGTTGCTAAAATGTAAGTTGGAAATTTTATTTTTGGTTTGAAAATGCTTCACTTTTTCAATACCATGTGGAATTTTTTGAATTTCAAATTGCACTCATTTGTTTTCTTCTTGTAAATGCCCTGTGCCTCCTCGAATGCATTGTTCTTTGAATTGCCTCACTGGAATATTTGCTGAACTCTTGGTTTAAGAAAGTGTTTGAACTGCCCACCCCCCCTCTCATCCAGTACTTGTTAGGCCATCTCTCCACTGCACACAACACTGTATTTCAACTTGCTTAAGAGAATTTTTGCTTGGTTGTCAAATGAAAAAAGCTTTGGTTTCCCACTACACTTAAAGAGTTGGATAAGAAGGGAATTCTCTAATTGTACAATTCTGTCATTCTTACAATGATTTACCTCATCACATATGTACATGAATTATTCGCAGAATATATGTTGTACATGATGAAGTCAAGGACAAAAACTTTGAACTGGAGTTAAGCTGGATAGGAGAAGGTATTCTTTATGATTTCATTGTTGCCATTCTCATGGCTCACTTTTGAATGACAGCCAGCACAATGCGCTTTCAACTTTGTAAGTCTGAGGAATTGGTCCCAAATTTAGTTGAGTGATGAGAGGAAGGAAAACCGATGAAGCCCCTCAGACACTCATTCACTTTATAGCATCAAATTTGTGGTACTTGCGACAAATTAGTAGGATAGTCACCTAAAGCATCAGGGCCATAAGTCTAATAGTGTACCTTTGCACGTTTTTCTTTAAAACCAAGATATCGCATCAGCCAATCAGAACAAAGGTGAATTTCAAGAGGAACCAATGAGATGACAAGTTCTGACTAATCACAGAGCGAGGTTGAAGGACATACCTTTCATACAATTACCGAATTTCTTTCGGTAATCTAATGAAAACTGCACTTTATGTATGTATGCATGTCTTTTTTACAGTTACCAATGGTAAACATGAGTGGGTACCCAAAGATATCGCACAAGCGGCTGAAAAATACGCGAAGGTTAGTAAACTGTAACTAAACGGAAGAACTAAGACATCATGACACATAATACAGGATGGAAAGTTCTCCTGGATTTCTAGGCTGTCCTCGGTTTCTGCTTTCTGTTCATGACCTGCCTATGTTTTCTTGCAGGAATCACTTGAAGAGGAATCCAGCTCAGAAGATGAAGATTGAGATATCAAGATCCTTGTTCTGTTCATTTAATTCGTACTGCAGTGGTGTCGTGATTTCCCAGCAACAGAAGAGCGCTCAAGACGTTAACGGGACTTCATCGTCGCGTTTGCCAGTTTATGTCAAATTTTATGTTTGTAACATATTTTGTAGTATTTTCAATCTCAGAATAAACGTTTGAATAACGTTTTAAGTGTCTTTCGCTTGATTTAATTTGTGCGGAGGTGATGTCACATCATATACTACATCCCGTGCGGAATGATTTAGTAGCCATGTGATCATTTTCGCGGCAAAACTATGTTTTTCTTTAGCTTGCGTTATGGTTTTGTGGCTTGGAGCCGATAGTAGTTTGTGGTTTTTCATGAGGACGCTAACTAATGAACATGCATGATGCAGATGATTTGTATTGAGACACAAGACATTTCTGAAAACTCAGTTGTGGTGCAGGCCGCTAACAAGGTTTACTACTTTCACAGCGACTTCCATCTCACCGTAAAGATGACTGGGAAGAGAGACGTTGAGAGTGGATTGAGAAATTAGTTCTAATATAAATGATTCTGATTTGAGTTTGGTTGGCAAAGCCAAAACTGCCTAATGGGACTGCTGTAGTGCCGTGTCACGTGACAAGAACGAGATAGTGAACCGGGCCCCCAATTCAAACCGCAATAGCCTGGAACGGGATTTCAGAAATGTGCTGACTAAAGCAGATGTGGGTTCCAAGTAAAGGCGTGACGAAATATTCACTTAAATTCGATATCTTATCTTACCATTTGATGCTGTCTGGTGTGTTGACGTACAGAATCTGTATCTACAAGATTTTCTTCGATATTGAGGACGGATAAATGAAGGAACATGGCTACACGGAAATGACTTTTGTTTGAGCTAGCGCTCTCTTCCGCCTACCGTTACCTGTCTTGAAGGTACGTAATGTCTTTAATTGAATATTGTCCGCATCAACCTTTCTGACCTTCCGTGAAATTGTTGTTCGTGAAAGAAATAACACATCTAGTGCTCAATTTAGACAAAGTATTCCGGGCCCTGATTTCCGGCACATGCGATCTAAATCGAACAGAATCGCGCAAACTTTCGGTCGAATCGAATCATGTTCGACAAATGTGTTCGACAAACGAAATTAAGACACTTTAATAATCAAACTTCGCAAACTGCATTGTTAAAGGTGTTTAATTAGTTCTTTGAACCGCATAAATTGGACAAAGCCCACCTAACAGATATTTCTAGAAGAAACAAGTGATACGTAAAGTTCACACATATTAGTCAATTTTTTTAGACTTCTTTAGCTTATATTTTTTGTCTTCCCATGATTCATCATGTGAGAGTATTCTATAGAGCTAGACCTCTTTCTTTCAAATTGCGTTCAATACATGTGCAATTTGCAAAGGACAAAGGGTGAAATTCCCTTGAGACCTTGCTTGGAAAAACAAAACAGAGAAGTTTTAACTACTTTACAAAGAGATTTATGGCCATAAATTGTTACTTAAAGTAATTCTGAAATTGGGTCAGCCAACTTGTTTTCTATTAATCAGGGCGTGAAATTGCGCCTAATACAGGCGCCAATGCGACTAAATTTTTCACTTTGGCGACCAAATCCTGAATAGTGAATTTAAAAAATTTGCAAAGATAAATCCGCGGCAAACTTCCTCGTTAAGTTTGTTTCCAAAACGTAATACATGCATCTTGATCGATAACTAGACGCCATCTTGGATTTAGATGAGCCTGAACGTTGTATATCATCCATCCTAGTGTCCACTTTGTAGCACGTCAAAGATCTTCTCCCTAACTTAATTTTGGAGGGTCTATCTAAACGCTGACAGCGTAAAGAAAGATTTTGTTTGTCTTTGAAAATGGCGACCAACTTTTTTTGAATTGGCTTAACCACTTTGAAGAATTTAGGAGCCAAGTGGCTATCAGAAAAAAAAGTTATTTTCACGCCCTGTATTACGACCAGACTTTCACCAAATCATAACAATTCATTGGTATCTTGCCAGCAACTGTCAACTCTGGCTATATATGGAGCACAAATTCTGATCAGTTAAAAAATGTTTGTCACTTTTTGAGTGATTGAAAAAAAGAAAAAAAAATAATAACAACTCTTTGTTAGCGTATAGAGAGTGGTATCTGTTCAGCATTAATACATGAAAGGTTTGTTTTTGGTTATAGAGATCGTGCAACACACACAATCTACCACAAAATACCTGTGTGTGAGTTAATTCAACATTTTCATTCTTTTCTGCATTAATACTCCTTCCTTTTGCAAAAATGTATACATTGGTTACAATGTTTCAATTAATCCACTCACCCAATAACTCTTACATGCTTAGTATGCCTATGTTGACATATGTTGCATGTCATCTGAGAGTTGCCATCTGGTTACAAACTAAATCATCAGATAACACTAATAAAAGAACACTATTTGCATCGATGTGCCTTAGTAGATAAATGGAAGATTAATTGTTGATTTTGTTCATTCCAAGGAAGAATTTGCTGGAAGTGTCAAAATAGTCATTAAAGTCACTGAATTCTACCCTCTCAGCCAGTCAAGTAAAATGGAACAAGAAATAACACCAAAGGTACAATCCTTTTTGTGCTCCACTGAAATTGATAAGTGGCCCTCTAATTACTTGCAGGGTTATATGCAGTTATATGGAGGGTGTTGCTCTAAGTAGAATAATTGATGAGGTATATTTTCCTATGGACACCTTACAGTTTGGAAGAGGGGGCTGGCCTTCAACATTTAAAAGTACAGACTGTATGTGCACTGTTCCTTCTTGTTGACTCCAAAGCAGCTTTATCACAGTGAAACAATGACCAAAGTTAAGGGGGCCCTGTCTTGCAGGCAGACCTCCCACATTCATTGATATCCAGGACATCTTAATCCCTGAGAGCATACATAAAGAAAAAGTGCTCCATATTATTGTCTTTGTGACCAGTTTTTCCTGCTCATTTGATGCATGTTAATTTTATAGAGGTTCAAAGTATAATGTGTTTTATATCCTTAAACTATAGACACAACAAACTGACAATACTGCAGCTGATCAAGAAAATTTATTTTTATGAAACCCACCACACTCATATAGAGATTATTATGTTTTGAGTGATACTCACCTTCTGATCAGCTGAAACAATGTGCTTTCCCATTTTTCTGAATTTTTAGGAACCTTAACTAATTTAGCCAAAACTGATTGTTCTCAGTGCTGTTAATCTTTATTATATCTCATTGATTTGTTCCTTTTGATCCTGAAAATTGCAAATTGGAACACAAAAAACTTGCAAGTAATTACGGGTGGCATCTTTAAGTCTACTTCTTGCCAAATTGATGCTTATTTGCTTAAGCATTAGCTTCAACCCTTTAACTACCAGAGGTGATTAACATTAAACTTCTCCCTATAATATCCATACATTACTCAGCAAACAGGTAATGAGAATATTCAAACCTATCAGGTAGAAGCTGCTATCTTAATCTAGCACTAAGTTCTCATGACCAATTTACTAGGAAATGTGTAGCAGCTAGAGGAGAGAATTAACAATCAGATCTTGGGAGTTATAGGGTTAAGATAAAGCTAAATGGTAGGATCAGGTATTTAATGTTACTGTGTTTGAACCCACTGACTCCCTTTAGGGGATAAATAATTTCTCAGGCACCTGATCCTATCCTATAATGCATTAAATTTTTAAATTCAAAAGTATTAATTAGAAATTAAATATTAACTTTAAAATCAATTTGAAGCTTCAATGTCCCTTCCCTCAAGCAACCTACAAGCGTTTGACCCCTTCATCTGTGCCAGGGGGAGGTGGGGGAGGGGCTGGGAAATTTGAAGCTCTCCCGGCTGGGATGGGGAATATGAACTGGAAGTGTCAAATCTTTTGAGCAGAATACAAGTGTTATATTCTTAATTAGCAAAATTACTCTAGCGATTATAGAGAAGCGCATGTTCTTATTGTTTGAGGATTGTATCATATCTTGCAATAGTCTCCTTGTGCATGGATTTGTCCAGGGGATTATTCAACAATATTCACTTCGCCTGTCAGTGAGTAGTCGTTTAATATGGAGGTGGTTGAGGTTAATGGTTGATTGTTGTAAGCAAATGGCTTAGAAGAATAAGTCTACAAGGTCTAGGTTTTAAAACTTGGTTAATTTGTAGAGAGTCACAGTTTGTTTACAACAAAATTGGGTAGGGCATTTGAACACAATCTTTGCCCCAAGGAGGGGGGGGGAGAGGATTTGAAGAAACTAATCTTCAAAAGTTCACATACCAGGGAGGGATGTTGAAGCTTTAAATTGATCTATGCATTATTGTTACATAACTAAACATTATTTGCATATGACAGCCATTGGAGGTCATGATTAAGAGCTGCTTTTGGTGCATTTTTCATCAATCCAGGCATTGGGTCACACATTTATGCCACAAAATATTAAATTGTTTTGTTTCTGACCACAGATGTACAGTATCCAACCAGCCAAATGATGACTACCCTCTTGCCTTCTTTGTGTTCAATTTAATTTTTTTGATATGGTAATCCTTGCTGTGGAGTGAAAACCAATGCTTCGTTTTCTGCTTGATTTTTATTATTTATGTGCAATATTTCAATCTCTTTCTTCAGATACTTTAGCAAATTTGGTCTCTAAATTTGAATTCTACGAACTGGTTCATGTACTGGGGTAACCCAAAGGTTTAAACTGAAGATGATGATGACTGATGAAGAAAAGAGATGGCTTGTGGTTGGAATTGCTATGAACAAAGAGGCTGCTCCAGTCTTACGAGATTTCATCAAACAAGAAATGAACACCCATTACACAAACCTGGACGCCTACTGCAGCGGCCTGACTCCAAGTTGTACGTTAAAAACACTGACTCGCCATCAGGTCACTGCTGATCGCACCCTTAAAAGACTGAAGTTTCAGAATATTAACAACAATCTTCATTTGCATGGAAAATCCACCAGTCGGTACAATTACAGCATTAATGATCCAGTCGAGCTTGCCAAGCTTTATCTGCCAGATTATCTCGCGCAGTTTTCGGCCTTCGATGAGTCACTGGACATAAGTGCCATACTTCGCTTGTTAGGGTTTACTAATCCTGCTCCCATCTTCCCCTCTCCATATCCATCAATTCCCATTCAGTCCTCAGCTGATGATGTCAGGGAAAATGTCCGGAACAAATGGGGCCACTGCAATCTCAGTGACTGGACGGAAGTTTTTTTTAAGGATTGTTTCCTCAAGCTGAAGAGATTGGTGAATAGTCTGGGACTCCCTGTCGGAAAGGAGACGACCATTTTAGATCGGCTTTCAGATTGGCAGACCAAAGGTACAGAAATATTTTTGCTGTTAAGTGGAAACATGCTTGCATATGCATTTAAACCTCAGCAAAACGTTGCAATTATTTTACTGAATGGCTTGGAAAATTTGACTTGATTAAAGTTTGATACGTATGGTCCATTTTACGCCCCCACGGCCATGCCTTAAGTTAGGGATAATTTTCACACACAATCCTTCGTTCCATTGTATTCTCATCGAAGTACTCCTCATCGTAGCCATTCTTTGGGTTGTTCTGCAATGTTCCCCTAAGGGAAGAAGGTGTTAGACATTTATTACTTTCTACACCGCGACTACGAAGGAGACTAGTATCGAACTGTTTGTTTGTTTTCTTGTTTGTAGGTTGCCAGCTGTGTATGGGTCATGCTGTAGATCAACAGCTTCTTTCTCTGGTTCAGCAAAACGTTAAAGATCTTATGGCAAACTACGTGGAAACTCAGGCAGAGCTATCAACCTTACAAGATGAAGTTGCCCTTCTCCGAGATGAACACGCTACAGCGCAAAATCAGTGGCAAAAACATGAGGAACAGCTAGGAGGAATGAAAGAATGGATAGAAGAGACCAAGGGAATACTAGAGAAACTTCAGACTGCCGAGAAATATTTTCAGGTGGAAATTCGTATGCGCTTACAACAAGTAGAATCACGGCTTGCTGAGTCAGCTGAAAAAGTACAAGAATTGAAGAGTGGTTTTTGTGAGACAAATGTCAGAGTAGTACAACTGCAGGAAGGTCTGGCCGAGACAGACGTCAAAGTGGAAAAAGTACAGGAAGGTCTCACTAAGACAGATTTAAAAATGGAACAACTGCAGGAAGGTCTGGCCGAGACAGATGTCAAGGTGGAAAAAGTGCAGGGAGGTCTGGCCGAGACAGATTTGAAAATGGAGCAATTGCAGGGAGGTCTGGTCCAGAAAGATGTCAAAATGGAACAACTGAAGAAAGAACTGGGCGAGACAGACGTCAAAGTGGAACGACTGGAGGAAGACATGAGCGAGACGGATGTCAAAATGGAGAAAGTGAAAATTGAGGTTACCGAGATGGGCGACAAAGTCAAAGAACTGGAACTGGTTTTGAAAGATCAAAGAATGAAGGCAAATGTCGTGGGTTAGTTTGACTTACTTGTTCGAACAAAGCTTTTATTCCTCATTATTGATAATGACTGAAGCGGATTTTTTGACACGTATATTCTTTGAAAATGCCTCCTCCAATTAGATGAAAATTAAAATTACAGCCTTGAGAACGATTTTACTTATATCTTTTAAATTGGAGAGATGTTTGGGTATTTAAAATTATATCACTTCATGGTCCAAACATTTGGCTTATCCAAATGTAATTTAAATCCGGATTGTCTTTTGTTTTTGTCACCAGAATCTCCTTCTGCGGAACGTTTCGATGTGAATACCTGTCGCAGTAAACTTGCAGAACGTTACAAAAGAACCGCCACGGTACCTACCTCTGTCTGGTCTAAGAAATCTCTCGTGGACATGAAGCAGCTTTACACTCGACTGACCTGGGTGAAAGAGGAACTAACTCCAGAAGGATCATCAAAGCCTGAATTGAATCACTATACTGATGTATTCAATGAAAAAAAGAACGGGTATGCAGCGAATAGGATACTCGTGCAAGGGGAGACTGGTATAGGAAAGACAACTTTTGTGAAGAAAATGGGTTTGGACTGGGCTGAACTTGTGGACGAAAGAACGATTGGCAAACACCAGGATTCAAGAACCAGGTATGGTGCTGAGAGTGTGAGTCAAGGTTGTGAAGAATCCTCAATGAATAGAATGAAGAGGGAAGAGTCGGTCAAGGTGAGCAAAGATGAGGTAAATCCATTGAAGAGATTTGAGCTCGTGCTCGCTATTAATCTGAAAGAGGTGTCCAAATACTCAAGTTTTCGAGATGTTGTTTGTCGCAGTAATATTTTTCCAGAGGAAGACACAGCCATGGCAGAACAGCTTATTAGTTACATCACCCATAATCAAGAGAAAGTTTTGCTGGTGTTCGATGGCTACGACGAATATCGCTGCGGAACCACCTCTGATATCTACGAAATTTTCATGGGCAATAAACTGAGAAACTGTTGTGTGTTAATCACAACTCGAATTTCCAATGCTGACGATCTACTTGGTCAGTTCAAAGCTGTTCACGCTGAAATCACCGGGTTCAGTAAAGAAGACAGAGAGGCCTTTATGTGCAAAATGCTCGGGAGCAAAACAGAAGCTGTCCAGCTAAAGTGGCATCTGTACGAAGAGGGGCTGTTCGAGTTAGCCCGGGTTCCGTTACTTCTTCTCTTTTTTTGCACGTTGTGGAAAAAAGGAAAGGTGAACAGCTTTCCAGAAACCAAAACGAAGTTGTATAAAGCGATCGTACAGTACGTTTTGGATCATAGTCAAGGAAAGAGTTCCCCTGCTCACTTCCACGAGATAGGCAAGTATGAGGATATTCTGGTTGAAATCGGAAAGGTGGCTCTAGAATGTCTTTTAAAGGATGATCACGTGTTCGAGTTTGATCAACTGTCTGCTTCGATTAGTTGTGAAGAAAGCCGTTTCATAGGCTTACTTCAAGTCACCGAATTCTCGGAAAATCTTCGACCAGCAGGAATGGTATCGTTTATTCACAAGAGCATACAAGAGTTCCTAGCAGCGTGGTATATTACCTACAGATGTATCCCTGAAGGAGATCTTGGTGATTTAAAAGAATGCACTCGTTCCATTGAAGATTGTCGAGTATTTGAGAACGTTTTCCAATTTATTTGCGGTTTGTCTGACGATGGAGCTCATAAAGTTTTTGAGCACATGGCAACTGTTAGAATCTCTAATTCTAAACTGGATTTATTGAAAGCACTCTCAGCCATCGAACGTGAACTAGACTGGAATTCTTACCACGGTACCAACTTCATGTATGAGACCTTCATGCGGTTACTTTACAAATCCTTTCATGAAGTTCAGTCCAAATCTAAGCTGTTAAATCATTGGTTTGAATGCGCTGGAGGAACTGTCTTGGTCACTAAGCAGCTAGTTCAACTTCTTAAAGAGACAAAGGTCAACAATTTCACTGACTTTTCAGATGTTTCGTTTTTAATGGTTCGTAGTAAAGAAGAAATTCTGCTCGAGGTGGCACAGTGTCTGGACTGCCTAGACATAACCCTTAGAAATTCTGAGACGGAGTTCACACTTAGAGATTTTTTGGTCAATTTGAAGACGCATCGGGAATGTTATTTCTGCAGGTACACTTTCGTTCTATTATCTCGCAATCGTCAGTTTCAGTTCTACATTAGAAGTCTAAGACTGTGTTGTGATTTAACTGGCAGACTATTTACAGGAACGGCTGTGACGTCAGTTCAATCTTCCTCCGAAAAGTGGTGGTCAGAACTGAGATATTTACATTGTGGTGGTATGGTGAACAACTCAACTTTGAAAGCGCTAAGTGGGGTTATCAGTAATTGTGAATGCCTAGAAAGCCTTATCATTGAAAGGGCTGATGGTTCTGTCTGTGATATTTTGAAATCAGTACCAAATCCGAGTAGGTGCACGTTGCAGATTGGTTCCGTACGTGATAGTCAGTGTCACCTGATTGCATCAGAAGCAGAGAAACTTGCTGCTCTACTTCCAAAATTCACTAACATCTTTCGCCTGAATCTGGCCCTTACGTGGTGCTTTGCTGCAGAAGTAGAGAAACTTGTTGTTAGTGTCAATCATGTGACTCTGAAGGGTCTTTTACTGAATGGAATCAGCTTAACACCATCATCCGCTTCAGTTCTCGGGCAGTCACTCCCTGAAATGTCGTGCTTAGAGAAGCTCATTTTAGTTGGTGGAAGTAAAGGTGTTTTGCCAGTGAAGGCGCTGTTCGGCGGATTTCACAAAACACTACCTTTAAGTGAGCTTTGGTTTATGGATTTTAACATCGGAGGCTGTATTGCTCCCTTAAGCGACAGTTTGCGCTTCTTTCCCCAATTGCGACGCCTAAAACTCCATTCTATCACCTGGAATGAGCATAACTTGCTTCATTTGTTCAGGAATCTTGAATTTATTCCGCGTTTGGAGACTCTTTCTTTAACTGGAACACTACAGAGTGACTCAGAGGAAGACGTCAGAGGATGCTCAGAGGAAGAAGTCATGCAGGCCAGCTTCACCCACCAAACTCTCAACAGGCTGTGCCTATCAAATGTAAGCCTGACATTAGCAGTGGCCAAGTTGCTCGGCCAGTTGATTCCTGAGATGTCGGCGCTAAAAAAATTGCGAATTTATGAGAGAGATGATATAATTTACGAGAGAAATGATAGAATTTTGCAAGACGGGGAAGTTGAGCTGCTGTTTGGTGGATTTAAGGAGCGTTTCCCCTTGCAGCAGTTGGCGTTTCATAAATTCAGCGTGAAAGGCCGTCTTGATCACCTTATTAACAGTTTGCAGTTGTTTCCCGAATTACAATGGGCATATGTTCACATTGACATTAATTTCATTATTAATGACGCCAATTTTCTTGTTTTTCTGGAGTGCTTAAGAAATATTCCTAATTTACACAGAACAAGCATACATTGCAAATCAGTGGCTCGCGCAGATTGTAAAGGAGAAGGGAACTCGGGTCGGTTGCAAATGTATTCTGGTCGTCTATTTCTGCTTGATGCAAGCTTCACTCCAACAGTGGCCAGGGCACTCGGTAGGCTGATTTCTGAAATGTCGTCTTTGAAAGAATTTACGTTTTCTCATTCTAACTGTAGTAACAGTGAGAATGATGAAAACACTTTGGAAGGTGAGGAAAGCAGCCGAAGCATTGGGTCAGTGTCTTCCAAGAATGTCTTCCCTAGCAACATTGGAGCTTATCGGTGTGGATGGAAGTGTGTTGCAAGCCGAACAAATGGATGCTCTGTTTGGAGGTTTCAGCGAGGAATTGCCTTTGTGCCGGCTTATTGTCCAGCGTTTCAGCATGAGAGGCTGTCTTGCCCCACTTTGCGACTGTTTGCGCTTCTTTCCTAAGCTAGAGTATTTGGATATAGGCGAGGTGAGCCTGAATGAACATAACTTTTTTCATTTGCTCTGGGGCGTAAGATGCATTCCCAATTTGATGTCATTGCCTGTGAAGGGCCAGCGACAGATTCCGTTCCATGCCGACTGTTCTGAGAGGGTGGAAACAGAGGTTAGCTGCACACTGGCGGCTCTCCAAATACTGTCCTTGAGTGGAATAACCCTGAACCCCGCGGTTGTTAGGGCGCTTGGTCGGCTGCTCCCTCAAATGTCGTCGTTACAGGTTCTCGTACTGACGGATGGGACTGTTTTGCAATCTGAAGAGACGGGGGCTTTGCCAGGAGGATTCAACGAGAGTTTGGCATTGCACAGTTCTACTTCAGATGATTTTAGCGTAAGAAGTGTTCTTGCCCCACTCACCGACAGTTTTCGTTTCCTTCCTAAAAAGGCAAGTATGGAGCTGGACATTGATTTAAACAACAGCGAACTGTGGGGTGTCTTAACCAGTGATTTTTTCCTTTCGGAATATTTTCCTAGCCTTAAACACACTCATCGTTGAATGTAGTGCACTGGCTCGTGAAGGTTGCGTGGGAGAGGTAAACGCAATGAGCCATTTGACATTGTCTGATTTTGAGACCCTGGAATTGAGGAATGTAAACCTTACTCCACCAGTAATCTCGGCGCTCCGTCGGGCACTTTCTACAATGTCTTCCCTGGAACAACTCATCTTATTTAGTTCGGATGAGATAATTATGCAAGATGAAGAAGTTGAAGTTCTCTTTGGTGGTCTCGACAAAACAATTAATTTACAACAGTTGACTTTCAGTGGTTTCAGAGTGGGAAGCTGCCTTACTTGGCTTGTTGAAAGTTTTGAAGAGTTGCCAAATCTGCGGGAAGTAGATTTAAAAATTTCCTTCGAAAATGAGAATGAGCAGAATGTTTGTAGTCTGCTGAGATGGCTAAGATTTATTCCATATTTTCGCAGCTTGAGTGTACAGTGCGAGGCGTTGGTCACTGGGAACACAGTGGGTCGTGTAACGGCTCCGCATTTTTCTCATGAAGTAATTTTCAGTGGAGTTACCTTGACTCGAGAAGTTGCTGTGGCACTCGGTCAGTCACTTGCCGAGATGTCGGCTTTGAGAAAACTCAAGTTAACTGGGAGTGATGGAAGCATCTTGAATGTCGAGGAAATGGAAGCACTTTTTGGCGGAATTAACACAAAAATACTGTTGCAAACGCTCTGTTTCAGTGGTTTTTGTGTTAAAGGTGTTCTTGCCCCATTAACAAAGAGCTTTCAGTTTTTCCCTGGCTTGGAACGTTTAATGCTCACTGCATTACACTTGGATGAGCAAGATTTACAAGGTCTGGTGGAGAACCTTAAATTCATTCCTGAGTTGTTCAAACTGGACCTGTCAGACAATCCACTGGGTCGTGCGGTGAACTCTCTGGTGCCACACCTCGTCGAAATGTCACGACTGTACGACGTTAACCTATTCCAAACCGCTTCTGAGCAAGAACTGAATTCCATTCAAGAGCAAGTCAAACAAGCACGACCTTACGTTCACATTCGTGTTTCCCGAGAAACAGTCGGGAGTGCTGTTTAGCTAACGTTTGATATGCATGAACAGTCCAGGTGGCTCTCAGTGCGAAAAGATCGGTCTGTGTTGCGATATCTTTTCTTGCCTGAATGTCAGCTGTGTTTTCCTGCCTACCAAGAACCCTGAGGATTGAAAGGACAGAGCAGCGTAGCCATATGAATACTGTATAATTATCTTTATTAATTGTAGCGTTTTCTTTTTTCCGCAATACCATTCGGCGCTCTTGTTTAGATATATCTGAGTTCTGAATAGATTTAAAGCCCGTAGGAAGATTTAAGGGAAAAGTCATGAAAACAAGTTTTCGACTTATCTGGATTTTGTCGAAAGGATTTAGCGTGGTTTGTTGTTTTTTTCTTTCTTTTCAGTTTTAGGTTAAGGATCTTTTATCAACTATTTCTTACTTAAATTGGGAAGAATTATAATTTTTTTAAAATTTTTAATTTTTGTCACAAGTATTTATATCCTATAATTGCAAATGAAACTGTGAATCGACAAAGTTGCTGACGAGGAATTTTGGGACGCCTGAATTCAAGCTTGTTGTAACCAGTTCTCCATTTGCAAGTTTTGTTGTGGTCTTCTTATACTGTAGCTCTAGTCTTGGATAACGGTGCGCCTGAAGGGAAAGTGATGTGGTTATTTTAACTGTAAATAAAAAGCGTTTAATCGACATATTTCTCGCTTTTTTGCATTACCGAGATAATCGTTTAAAAATTACTTGCTTGCGAAAGTTTCTCTAGGCGCCGTGTATTTCTAGTTATGCTTAGCTATTAGTCTGTGTAGCAGGCTTTTCCATTTCCCCTCATCCACGCAGGAGAAGCGTTACCTAAGCGGAGCGGAGGCTGCACATTGACTATGGGCCAAAACGGGCCCATAAAGTCTCGAATAGGGAAAGCTTTCGTATTGGAAAACACGCTAAAGAAAAGAAAAAAATTAAAAGGGACACTCGAGTAATTGGACTGAAATTTCAACGAGGTCTGCTGAACAACTTAAAAAAATCCATTTTTATCAGGAACTCATGAAATAGAAAACAATGGGACGCGAAGGGAACAAGTCTAAATTACTCACAAAAGAAAATTTTTATCAGGAACTCATGAAACAGAAAAAAATTGAGACGCGAAGGAGACAAGTCCAAATTACGCACAAAAAAAAACCTTTCTGTGAAGGGGGGGGGGGTTGGGGTTGGGGTTGGGGTTGGGGGGGGGTTAGAGGGAGGATGTGGAGCGCAAGAAAAAGCATGATGGCAGAATTTCAGCCTCTCGTTTTAGCTTGCAGCATTTTATATTGTCATGCACAATCTACAAAGTTTTATTCATATTCCTAAAAAGAACTGATGAACCGAAAAAAAAAAATTAATAATTCGTGTATTATTGATTAACGCAAGGCAGTGGTACTTTGGAAGCAAACACTAACCTATCGGTTTTTTACATTTTATCTTTACTGCCGAGAAGGCGGAATTACAATGTTATGTCGCTTATGTCACTTTTAAGATCCATCAAAACATGATACAGAGTTGTTCTATTTATCCCTGAGTTTAAGCTCAATTGTTAGCCTGCGTGAGATACAATTGTACAATTTAAAAAATGTTTCAAACTTTTGTATCCCAGTTCTGACTAAGTTCTTCATTCAAATGTTAGCTCAACCAGAGATAAATCATTAACAGTCTGATCACCTTCCAGCGGTCAACAGATCAAAGAACGTAGTAAAATAGAATCAAAACCATCAAGTACAAAAAATTAGGATACAAAGTATACAAAGTAAAAACTCTATCTAATCATTTAAAAGAGAAAAGATCAACATATGTGAAAATAGCTAAAAGCCTCAGGCCTTGCAAACACTAAAAATCCGAAGAAAGAGGATGTTCCTTTTCTAATTGATTCCAGCACACTCTTTCATGATTGCAGATACAATCCTGTTGGGGAATGAAATCACGGCGAAAGTTAACAAGAGTAATTCACTAGCATAATGTGTCTATTTTGAGAAAAAAAGAAAAAAAAAAAGAAAGGAAAAGAGAAGCAACCCTCATTTCGTTTCTTTTCGTTTAAATTTTTCCCAAGGATTGGTCCCATTGGTGAGGCGCTGAAACTCCAGAAAACAATTCTTGTTTGTTCTTCTTCGCTTCCTTTTTGTTTTGGTTGGAGTCGTTACAGTAGCAACTGTCACGCAATGAATGAGGATGACGAAAAGGGATTTATTGCAACAAGTCAACAAAGTAACAAAATCTACTACGACCGTCAATAACAGGGGAGGGGAGGGACCCTGAGGTATCTTACTGCTACCCTTTTTGGCTATGATAACGAGAAATCCTCCACTCAAACGTCCAATAAAATACCTGTATGGAAACACCCATCCAGCCCCCTGCGGGAAAATTTTGTGTCGATAGGTATGAAGGTTTTTTTTAAAGATTCTACAGTTTCCTACCCTGCTTTGTACTTTGTTGGAAACTAAAAATAAATTGCAAATTAAGATAGCGTTACTACAAAGAAATTGAAAGCAAATGTATAAGACCATACTCACATTTCAGTTGGAATGTTTTCTTCGCACAAGTTAGAGAGGGCATACACGTGACGCAGGGCGTGGTCATTCTGAGAAGTTTAAAAACAGCACCATGAGTATGAAAAGAGGCTAAGAAGGCAGGGACAGCATTCTTTTTTTATTCTTCTAAATTTCAACTAGCAATGTTTTCCTTGGTGGATACAGTATTTGAATGATACTTTGTCGATCATAGCCCTACATCCCTTCCAAGTGGGTGCTTGTTGTGCTTGGGAGAAATTTGAAGAGCAATTGGGTTTCTAAATCCTCAAATTAACCGTTGCGATATTGCGTAAAAATCAAAGGAATCTTTAAGATTACCGATCAAAAAAATGTCGGAAACCGCAACGATACTTGTTACACAATTAACTTTCCCCTTTGATTTCAGATTTACGACATACTTTTGAGAAATCTTCAAGAGAGGAAGTAGTTGTCTTCATCGCTTTTGAGTTGTAAGTTCCAGCTTATTTGTTTTTTTTTTCAAAGCTGGTAGCCATTAGGGGTGAGATTTTATTTAGCACTGGCTGTTACAGTGATAGCCATGTGTCTTAAAGTAGAGTTTTCGGAATTATATTATTAGAACACCTCTAAACAGGAGGGGGGGGGGGGGGTCGTCATTACCTGTCCCAGATTGTAACAAGTCTTTGAGAAAGTTTTGACAGCCTGCTTATAACAGTCAAAGTCTTTTGGATCAGCACGAGTCTTCAGGACCCGAGTCTTCTGCTCCTCAGAGGAGGTACACTGTTCCACAATCGACTCCATTGTTTTTCTGACACCTTCCTTCCGCTGTTTTTTGAACAAACGAAACGAACAACTCAAAGTTTACAGTTTACTGAAAGTGCTTTAACTATGACAAATACACTTTTTAGTGCTTCCTTGATTTTTATTTTAAATTTGGCACACCTAACCCAAGTCCGATCATTTAAATCGCGATATTTCGTATTAACTGTCTATTGCTGCAAGCCTACGTTTCATTCTAATTTCAGCCAGAGAACTGGGTCGAGAGATAAAGTGACGTCATGTGGTCATGAGTTAAACCATTGTTAGTGTGTGGAGCCTGGTCTATTTGGATAAGCAACACGATAATCTTTGCGTTTGGGGGTAGCACTGCTTTTCTGCTGCACACTAAACTAAACGCTCTTACACACTGAAACATCAAACTTCCTCTTTCCATCAAAATCTTTGAGTGCGACCCGATTATGGGCCTCTACGTAGGAAGAATTTTTCCTTACAGCAGAGTAAAGTAGACGGTGAGGCTGTTGTCAAGGGTCATTCCAAAATTCCAGGAAAATAGGTCTACTTCTATCTTACATGCTGATAACCCGTGAAAACCCTGACGTAATCTCCGAAAAAACACTCTAAAATGACTTTGGAGTTCATAAGGCAAGTCAAGTCAAAAGAAACATGTAAGAAAATTATGTTAAAAAAAAAAGACAAAACAATAACAACAACAGTCATATTCTACCTCAAGCAACTCTTCGATTTCACGAGCGATTTCTCGTCTTTCGGCCAGGCTCGCACTATCCTTTAGGCGATGGTGAAGGATATTCAGCTCGACATCTGGTGAAGGAATGGCATCGGTCTGCAAATAAATGTAACCCAACAAGTTAGAGTTATTCCTTTTGTGAAATTCTTTATTAGAGTTGTTCGCCTGTTCCAAATTAACAGACCTGTAAAGGAGGCAGGATCTTGAAAAAGCGTACTTCATTTAGTTCGTCATGTGCAACCCGTTTAGTTTAATTTAAAAATATGCTGACGAAATATAAACTCTGAAATTCAATTACTTGCGTTCAAGAAAAGACTGAGCACAACAATTGACACAGGATGGGGTGATGGCCAAATTAGACCCACGTTTTAAACGAATTTATAGCGTAACATGCTTATATCATTTTCTACGGCTCAATTAGCATTATGATTAACTCTGATTACAGTCAGAACAAGACCGTTTCGGAGAATATCATAGTAATTCACAACTATTCACCGGAGTGGAGGTGGCTCGGGGTGGATATAAACCGAGCCGCGAAGCAGCGAGGTAAATAACCACGGCTAGCCACCGACACTGGGGTGAACAGTTGTTTAAGTATATACTTAAACAGTGATATAGCAGCTCAAAAAGATGATTTTAACGCGCTTATTCCTGAAACGATTACAACATTTTCGGACGCAAATCCCAAGTGAGTTGCTCGGGGGTGAATAGCGAAGGATATTCGGAGTTCGAGTAGCCAATCAGAGCGCGCTCTCGACGCTATCCACTGTTTTAGTATATCTATGCTGGCAAAGGATATTCGGAGTTGGAGTAGCCAATCAGAGCGCGCCTTCGACGCTATCCACTGTTTTACTATACACTAATCTTTAATATCCATGCAGATTTGAGTATTTCTTGATGTAAGCTTCTTCAAATGACCTTATTCCCCTCAGCATACCATACACGTTCAGCGTACTTGTATAACTGACAGCGATGTTAACTTTAGTTTAAAATACAGTATTTCCCGTGTAATTTTTTTATTGAAAACTTATCCCCTCTTTCCCTAAATAATATCTGATTCATTTGGGATTTCTTGACAAAAGACACCATCTAATACGCTGTTGCGCTCGCAAACGTACCCAACATTCGAATGTTTTACAAAACAGACTTCAATTACAGCGCCCCAGTAAGGCTGAGCCAGCAGAAAAAAAGGGAATCATTTGCATGAAGTAAAACCCAACCTGCAATACCAATGAGCTGAATAGTATTTAGCAGAGAGGCCTAACTACAAGTAGCTCTTACAATTGGTTCCCCACGATACTCCTCCGGAGATTTTCCGGCAACACTTCCCATCCCGTCACCTTGGAAGTCATCCAGGTCATCATTAACATAATCCTGTCAGAGAAAAAATGCGCTTAATCATGTTAATCATGTTAGCTTACTGTCAAAAGGCATGTACACATGTATAGATGCATCTTTATCACTTACAGCCTGAACAGAGCTAGAATGAGCGCACATTTACCGGAAGGGCTTGAGAATTCCACACTGGAGAAGCTATGTGCTAAGTTTATGATTCTATTTCTTTCCTCTCTTACAGAGGAAATGCTCCTATTGATTGAACTGTATTACTATTTAACAGGTTCGAGACGTAGACGGGTCATTGTCTTGTGTTCTTAGACAAGACACTTAACCCTCACCATACCTCTCTCCACCCAAGAGTATAAATAGGTACTGGTGAATAGTCAGGGAAAGATGACGGGGTAGGGGGTCGTATTCATTTCATATAAAATAAATATACCATGTCTCCATACTGCATCACATGACTAGTGTTCGTCTCTTCTTTCACAATTTGGAATTGCTTCATGAGTGTCTCCTTAGTTAGATCAACCTGCAAATCGATATGAAGTCAAACAGATACTAGTTCACTAGTTCATCTACTAATCCATGGTCCGGAATTACCATTACTAAAAGAACGAACGACTTTTGAACTCAGCACTGCAAAAATAAACGAGAAGTAAATCATGTCACATACCGCATCAGAGTTTTCCATCCACTTCACAGAGTACACATCCCCAAGGTACGTTTGCCTTTTCTTATCGTAGTAGCAAGCATAGGAAGATTCATCAGGATTGGCAGCAGTAGTTGCATAGACTGGAAAAAAAAGATCCCGACAATCACATATATCAGTCGTTAATCAAAATAAGTGATAAAACCCTTAAAAAGCCCGTTTAAACCTTTAACCCCTCGATCTCATTGGTTTTTCCCCTTACTTACTGCCAATTCTTATAATGTAAATGGAGAATTTGGTATTGGATTAACTAATAACCCCATAATTCATATTTTCTTTATTCTCATCACTTGTCTGCTTGACATTGTCTTGATATTGTGGGGAGAAATTCTCTCCTGGTCACTCATGGGAGGTAAAGGGTTAAGAATCAGCCTTGAGAGGTATGAAACTCACACATAACTATTCCCACCCTACCCCTCCCCTCCAAAGTGCAACACGTAATGAAGAAGGATAAAATTCTTAAAAAGAAAATAAGTATAGTGTTTCAAAGATGAGGTTTCCACCCATGACTCCAACAGGAACCTCATGCTAACAACACTTCATTTATTTTCTTGTTAGTTTAAATTTTCTCTATGATAAAAAATTTTCCTGCAAAATGCATTTTGCCTAGGAAATAGAAGGCACACATACTGTCTATGTTGTTCTTGAGCTTCTTGTGAAACATGGACCCTGACTCACAAGCTTCAAGGTAGAACACCAACTGAGGGAAAAAAATGCCAGACCTCCTGTCAGATATTTTCAAGCTGGCTTATTTGATCTTACTTTTGCACGTACCAACCATATATTTGATTGTGTAGTCTAATCTTCAAGTAAGAATACATTGTAGTTGTCATCATGTTCACAAAAGAATTGAACATGATGACCGAACATTACCAAAGAATTGAAACTAACCAATCACTACCAACTTCTGCTATTTCAGTCTTACAGCCAATGACATCAAGGCTAAACTGACCGATCACTTTTCCTGAACCTGACTTAACATCAATCAACTAACAAAATAACCCCTTACTTAACTCTGATGGTGGCTTCCCATAATGCTGTTGCAACATCAGTTATGACGACCAACAATAGTTCTTTTGTGGACTACTTTCAATCAGACAATCAGACTACCCAACCAATATTGAAGTGATTAAAAATGGCAAATCTTTTTGAGTACTAGTAAGTATCATTAACATCTCTGTCAAGGTGACCCTAGAACATCACATGTTCACTGCCCTGCCCTAACCTTCAGTGACAACTATTACACATGAAAAGCCAAACTTACAGTACATGAGACTACACAACAGGATGCAAGGTGAATCATTAACATTGTCATAAACTTGTAAATAGTACATTGAATCTTATATAAACTACTGAATCTTTGGTTTATAAGACTACTCATTTGTCATACCTTGCTGAATTTCTTGTTTTCATACATCTCATCCAGGGCAGCTATTAAGTCATGTGCCATCAACTGAAGAGAAAAAAAATTAATTTGTTCACTAAGATCACAGTCCACAGAATCTGTTCATGGAAACATTTGGACCCTTTTTAGCATTGGCCAATTGAAGAGAAGAGAAAAACAAGGAAATATGGAAAAATTTTGAAAGTACTTTTTTCCCCTTTAACCCTATAACTCCCATAAGTGACCAAGACAGAATTTCTCCTTTCAATATCAATACAACATCAATCAGACAGGTGATGAGAATAAAGAAAAGGTTTGAGGATTTTCTTGTTGACCCAGTGTCAAATTCTGAGCTAGCATCATAAGAATTGTATGACAGACAGTAAGGGTATTACTAATGAGATCTTGGGCATTGAAGGGTTAAGAGGGGTAGGTTTTCAGGCATCCAACAACAAGTATAACAACTTTTTGCTGCATAATTTAAAGGTACAGTGCCCTCCACCCCCCTATTTTAAATCAAACTTTTTGTTACTAATGAGATCTTGGGCATTGAAGGGTTAAGAGGGGTAGGTTTTCAGGCATCCAACAACAAGTATAACAACTTTTTGCTGCATAATTTAAAGGTACAGTGCCCTCCACCCCCCTATTTTAAATCAAACTTTTTTTGTCTTATTTAGTCAAACACAGTGTGGAGGTTGACATGAAAATTTGGTAAAGTAACCTCTAATTGAGACAGTGTGACCCCCCTTTTGATCAAAACTATTACAAATTTGAGAGAGAAACTTTCATAAAAAAAAGTCTGGCTACACCCCTGTGTACATGGAGCACATTTGAGTTGCCCCTAAATAACCCCAAAGGCCTCAACATAAGCAGTGCAAACTCATTAACCCATCCAATCACATAATGCTCTCTGCTTGATGGGTTATAGGACCCAAGTTCTACACAATGGAAGTCCTTGATGCCTGTTGCACAAACACTACAACATTGAAGAAATTCTTGGTATTATTCTTGTGTTGTTCATTTGATTATAATCAATATGCCACATTTTGAATTTGTGCTGATAATCCTGGCAAGAATGGAGATGCAGCCACAAGTTCAGGAAACAGTAGACAAGTAGCACTTTGTCTCAGAGCATTGTTGCAGTAGTTACTGTATTAGCTTCTTGATCTGGTGCAACCTTTGTGGAATTTCCCTTCTCCATGAATAAAATCACACACTTATTTTGATTGTAAAGTTGCGTTGGAACACACCATGGTTCTTGCATCTACTGGGCTTTTCAATAACATGCAAGGTTGTGTTTCTGAGTTATGATTGGAGAATTATAATAACTCAGTTTTATTAGTATTTCTCTGCTTTCAGACGGCAGAGTTATGCAATGAAGAGTAAAACAAAACATGAAACGAAATTGCAAGTTTAGCTTTTAACCTTGGAGTTTGCAGGTGATTGAAAGGCCTGGAAATGCAATAAAGCAAGATGAGTTGCATTTGGGATCTTGTAATTACTTGATTCACAAACTCACCATGTCACTTGGAAATGCAATGAGTCCAGTAGCTCCATGATCAGTGAAATAAACAAAAACATGGTCATTTGGCCCACTGAGAGGGAAAGAAAAGAAAAAGTAAATTTCCTGTAAAAATTACTGAGATTGGGTTATTAATCTTCATGTAGTCCAAGCTATAGGGGCTTTTTATTTACATGAGGTCTAACCCAAACCACCAGTTAATGCAATCAGTGGGCCTTAGGCTTTCTCTGTAAGAGTGTAGATTTACCTAACTAATAAATGTCCTTTCACTGTTAGTTTTTCACCCTCTTATCACTGCTCACATAGAAAAAGTTTAATAAAAAGGTCCAGCTGAATTGAGGATTGTTTAGGACATGGTTTTGTTATACAACAGCTTAATGTTGTTCAAATAACTCACCCTATGAGTCAAAAAAGAGGTGTTAGATGTAGCTAGTTGTTCATAATAGCTATATGTAATAAACAAATACTTTTTTGTTTGTCTTGACACATGATTATATATGTACATTTAGAGTCACCATCCATAAATGAAGATCATCATGACCATGCAATGACCAGCTACAATATTTAATACGTTGCATTTTATGTTGAACCTGTCAATCACTTTTCCACTACCAATCCCACTCATGGCTTGTTTATTTCCCTTCAGAATGTTCAAGAAGTTATTTGGCGTCACGTCCTAAACAATGGGATCAATATAAACAGAATAAAAAACAAAAAACATGTAACACAAAGTTAGGCATTGAAACCATGCATGTATATGATGTGGTTCAATTTTATCCTTAGTTCAAATTTTCATTCCTTTTGTTTCAAACTTGTTATTCTATTTACAATACTCATACACAAAGGAAAATAAAATTTGAATTAACTAAGGATAAAATTGAACCACAACATATATGCATGTCTACTCTTGGTCTCTCTGTCGCATAACAGTTGGATTTAATTACATGTACAATCAGTCATGGTGGTATAATCAACTACATGTACATGTAGATGCAGTTTTCTACCTGACCAAACACCATGTCTAAAATGAGATCAACATTGAAGGCTTTGAACTGTGAGGGAAAGGTTAGAACTGAAGGAAGGATGGATGAGTGATGGCAGAGGGCTATGGTGTGAGGGTTAAGGAAGAGGGCTCGAGGCTAAGGAGTGGGGGGGGGAGAGGAATAGAGGAATGAGGGGATAAGAATGAAGTGGGGGAGGGGAGAGTGTGGGCTAAGGGCTGTGGGGTGAGGAATGAAAAGTGTAGAGTGAGGGGGAGGGGTGGCATAGAGAGTAAGGGCTGAGGAGTGGGAAATATATTGTGCTGAGTGTGAAGAATAGGTGGGGTGTAGAGTGAGGGTTTAGGAGTGCGGGCTGATGGGCAAAGAATGTTTTGGAGAGGTTTCAGTGTGGGCTGAGGGTTGAGGGGTGAGTGATGAGGAGTGCAGAGTTAGAAGGATGGGTTGGGTGAAAAAGTGAGGGCTGAGGTGTTGGGGGTAAGGGATTCAGAATAAGGTATGAGAAGGTAGAGGGTAGGCTGAATGGTTAGGACTGAAGGGCAAGGGTGAATGGCCAGGTGAGGGCAAAAGGGCAGAGAATAATGGATGATACTCAAAGGGGGAAGATAAACTTGAGATAAAATATAAAATAAAAATTTAGGGTCTAAAAGTCAGCCCTCAAGTAGTTCCGTGAATTTCCAGAGAAGTAATCAACATCCACCCACAACATCTAGCCACATGTAAAAATAGATTATCTGAAATGAAGTTCTCCTGACCATAATACCACTGTGCCAAAAAAGTTTTGAACATTACCAACAATAGCTTTAAAATGATTCTACACTTTGAAAAATTTACTCAATATTTACTCAAGATTGAATATGACTTAAGAAAGTTTTACCTCCTTTGTGTAGTCTTTTGGAACACCCTTGTACACATCGTCTCCCTTTGGCTGAGTAAGGAAAAATATAAGAGTAATTTAGTTTATGATACAGTACTACATTTAATCAAAATTATAACAAAATTCTTGAATGTAATTGGTTATCGCCAGCCAAATTTGGACACCTATAGGATATGTGTACACATCATGCTTGTAATTGGACAATGTCAACACATCATGCCTAAATATGTGGACAGTAACAGTCATGTGCACATGCAGTTGTACCTTTTTTATGAAAATGTATACATACGATGTCTAGTTTCTCTCTTGAATTTTGTAATACTTTGGGTTAATAGGTCACAGAACTTTGTGATCCAATTCTCTATAAATATACTGTCTCATGATTAACAAATCGGACTCCCACCACATGGTCATCCGATTTTTTTTTATCATTCACATGATTACATGCTGAATTGGACTCCACTCAGTCCACTAGCAATTACTAGGACATGTACATGTAACTCTACTTCAAGCACACTACATATAAATATATAATAACAATCACTGTAGCTCAAAAGTCATCAACAGTTCTTATAGTACTATGCTATAAATAAATTAATTTATAGCCGTCTGTAAAGTTTAGGATTATTTTTTTATAATCATATAAGATGCATGTACTAATGGTTTGGAAACAATAAAAGATATATAATATAATTCAATCAACTAACCTTGTTTATAATGATGCCAGGTGTTGGATTCCTGATAATAAACAAGACTACTTTAGTTTGATTAATTCAATTCCTTTGTAAAAATGGGATGTTTGTGAACAAAATACCAAAAATATTTTCTTGTCCTAGCTTCTTCTCTTGTATTGAGGGATAACTACACAATCTCAGCCAGTGAATGAGCAACATGAGTTAACACAAATCTTTGCTGAAACCAGTTAATTTGATCCATGTAATGTCATGTGCCATTAGTGGTACACAGAATAGACTACACGGTTATCTAACATCCTGATTACGCCAACTTTCTTAATTTCCATGCATACAATTATGATGGGCACATTGTAAAATTGTAATAAGTCCTTCATATTTTTGGCTTCTGATGTACATGTATGATTGGCTAATTAAGTGGTCCCACAAAACTCAATACTTAGTATTCACCCTGTTCTTCTTAACCTCACCCTTTATCTGTATAATCTTCATAATTTTTGTTACACTTTACACCCCAAGTGTGTGTACATGAACATGTATCACATTTTTGGAAAAAATCTTGTCTAGAGGCCTTTCCAGCTAGAGCTTATGTTGGATTCTTAATCATAAAGTAATGAGGAGAATTCCTACACCCCATGGCTGCAATGACAGCCTGTTGCAGTTTCTGTCCCCCCCCCCCCTCCTATGTTGGGTGCTTCCCTGATATCTCTCATTGGTACTCTTCTATACTCCTGGGGAGAGAGGGGCATTACGGTAAAGTTTCTTTCTAAGAACACAACACCATGACTCAGCCCTGGGCTTCTTAAGGCAAACTCTTAAACATGTCTCCCACATATTTGAGAAATTACATTAGTGCAGAACCTAAGTCCATCTAATTAAGATACATAAATTGGAATTGAGTGAACTTACGAGGGATTATGGGCGATGTCATCATACATCATGACCACAATGTTTTCATCAGGAATACCATTTTTGTGGAGTATCTGGTAGGCATGGCATGTATCAGCCTAAATACAAGAAAATGAACACATCATTTGAAGTTCTCCTTAAAGAGAGCATCTCACAATTTCCATTCCCAAGAGGTTATAATGGTTACCAGAAGAAGGACACTTCATAGAATGTTATAATAAAGTTCAGATATAATGTGTGCTGTCATTGGTTAAAAGAGCGTGCTCTATGAGAGTATAGATCATAGAACTGAACTAAAGCTGTCATGCCATCTGCCAAATTGTACATGTCCGACCTTTTCCAGGACTTCTTTTGAGCTTTTCTTTTGTTAATTGAAAGTAAAATTTTGCTAATTGAAAGGGAAATTTTGCAACAAGTGAGAAAAGGTTTGCAAAAATGTCAGGTGCAGTAATTTATGTTACTGTAACATGAGCAGAGACAAAAATTGTCAAAGATAAAACAAAACAGAAAGTCCAAGTTTTAAAGGTTTTCACGCTCAGTTAGATTTCAAGTTTACGTGCAGTAATAAAAATCAAATACAGCTAACACTTGTATAGTATATAAAGTTTCGTGTTCAAAAACAAAACAGAAAAAAACGGGAATGATGAAAAATATAACCTAGCATAACTGTTAAAATTCATACTAATCATGACGGTGTTTGTCTACTCAAGAAGTAGGGAGGAAACACTTGACTACGTCTCGTGTTTCCCCCTACACTTCTTTTGTGCTCTAGCCACTTCCTGTGTGCTTTACAACAGAACAGAGCACAGTAAAGGCTTCTCTATTTGTTAATTAGATGACCAGTTATCCTACCAAACACCTTGCTTGTCTTTGAACCAGTCAAAATGGCTCACAGGAAATCTCAAAGAGTCACTCATTTTTCAGACAACCAAGGTGAAATAAAAGAGGTGAAACATTTATCAGAAAATGGTGAAGGAATAATAATTTATGCAAGTCAATCAAGTTGACCTCCAATTCGCTAAGCAAAAAGCCAAATCCAGAAGAACTGCATAAAAAGCAAAATTCAAGGACATGTGGGTAACTAAATTGATATTCTTAATTAATTCACAGGTAGATAAAAAAGACTTAAATGTTAGAGTGATCATTAAAAAACGAATTTTCTTGGATGTACATTTAATTTAGAGACATTAGGATTATAAAAACAGTTAGCAGCAATATCGTTTCCTCTTTCTCGACTTCTTTTTTTGCCCAATGGACCGACCAAGACATTTACATGATAATGCGAGTAAGAGCAAAAGATTTCAGCTACATTTCCGCCAAGAACAGCATGTAACCCCATGCTGTATTACACCAGGGTTGTAGATAAGAGCCGGCAGCCGGCGAAGTACACCGGCTTCTCTGCAAGGTTTCGCCGGCTACTTTCATTGCTTCGAGAGCCCGTACAGAGATGATGTTTATCAGGTCTAAACTTGGGCTCAACAAAAATATAAATTTGCACTGCCTATCTTTTCTGAAAACATAAAAAGACTTCTGACTCAAGTTTAGTTTAAATACGTTCTGATGGGGGCTGTCTTTTTGACAAATCTTGCTGCGGTGGCAGGAAAGCACTAACGATATGACGTTTTGTCCCCCCGTATTGGATTTCGAGACCCCGTGTCAGCCGTTTACCTTAAAAAAGCTCCGGCTACTTAACACCTTACAGAAAACCTTGTTACGCATGCAGTTCTCCCAATAAAAGAAAACAGTGGAAAAGAAAAAAAATAAAATATCTCTTAAACAGTCTGTGGTTATACAGTTACCTTTACAACCTAACTCCCAAATATCTTCCGTTCAAAAGCGGAAGTGCGTGTCCACATGCTTCATGTCTCGTGACTTTCATTTTGTGAGTATGAGGCATAAGTATGTTGATAAATTCAGTAATTTTAATTTTCTGTTACTTGCATCATGCCGGGAGAGACTGAAAAGCGTCCTACTCTGATCGTTATTTGCGCATTTGTTCTTAGGCCGAAATAATAGGATGGGACCTTGCAGCTCATATGATGTTTGCTTGCCGATTATGATGATTACCTGGTGCCTGTAATTGTACCATCCGTTGGATCCAGCTACAATCAGAGCCCAGTGCTTTCCAGTTTCTGCTGAGGCAGCGAGGAATGAAAGACAGAGGATAAGCAGTCCTCCCAACATGATTCTTTATATCTCCGACGTATTGATACACAGTCTGCCGCCTACTATAACTGAACGAGGCACGCAAATGAAACGTTAAGTTGCTACCTTAGTCTTATGATTACCTCGTGATCATCCTCGAGCCCAGTCTCAGTCGCCGTCCGCTTCCATGTCACGCGGCGGCCCCTCTATAAAGATACTTGTTCTCACGACAGAGCTGTCGACAAAGCTAAATAACGTCTGCGCTAGCGTTAGGCTTAAGCGCGGAAAACAAGAAACCGGATTTTGAGTAGTTTGCACGTTTTTTATTCCATTCTGTTCGTTGTAGACATTGTTTCCCTTGCCGCTTTTCTTTAACAGACCAACCTCCAAAAACTTATTACACCCCGTAAAAAATGTAAAAATTAATTTTCTCCGCAACCCGGTCCGCTTGAGCCCGCGTTATTGACCGCGTACTTGTAACGTAGTATTCGTTATTCATCTCTGCCTATTTTAAACTAAATCTAGTGTTACTAGTACTTCGATCGGTCTTCTCAATAAAATGAAACGAAACCATAGGCATAATGGAAATGGAATGCTGTGCATTGGGAGTCCGCCGCTTCCTGTCAGGGAATCGTTGCGTGCCATCAGCTGCGTCTCAAACATTTTTTGCAACAGCAATTTTAAAACCAGCGGTAAGCAACGCGAGAGTATGCTACACTTCATTAGCTTATACATGACGTATTTATCCCTATCGTTCCCAATCCTTTGAGTTTTGGCCTTTCACAAATTTCTCACTTGCATCGACAACCAAGGCAACTAGAGAGTGGTTATAAACTGACTTGCATAACATTGGTGTATTTCACATTCCTGTGAGTAAATAAGTCCCTTCGTATCGTCATGAAGGATGGTGAAGCAAGGAATCCAGATTTACGCCAGAGCAAAGTCGACGACAGGGGTAACTTAGCTTAATAGTAATGGCCGCCAGTTACATGTACATGTTGATTCATTTTCAGCAAGATTTGATAATTGGTTGCCATTATTGTTTGATAAGCCTATTTATATAAAATGAAAAAAGGAATAAACTATCCAGATACTTTGTAAGGAAATCTGAAATTATCCAAATTAGCAAATAAAATTTACAACAGGTTAAAAAACGTTGTAAGTGGATTTTTGGACGGTACTTATTATAAGCTTACCCCCGGCTTTTCACGACGAGATCTCTTATTATTTATACATAAAGAAATAATTCTTGAAAAATTGTATTGTGCAAGCCATTCGTGAAGGGTTATAAATTATCACTTTAACTTGGAAACTATCACAATTTGTGTTTCAAAAAAATTTACGGATTTTATAGAATCGTTTTTCTCTGAATGTTCTTCAGTTATTTAGGTTAGTTTATTTGGTTCTTGACTAATTTGGTTTAAACAAAATTCTCTTCGTTGCCCCAAACATCTGGTTTTTCTCTGATTTTAATGGATCACTTCCTGTAAACCCACTGAAGTGAAATTTAACCAGCAGAAATCACCTGCCTTGTCATTTAGGTCTTTGAAATATTAATTATTTTTTTTAAGAAACTAATAGATTGCTTTCTGCTTTTCAGCTTTATGAAATTTTTGAAGATGAGGGTGGAAATTCTTCTATTTCCTTCACTGTTCCTAAAGATCTAGCTGATGGCTATATAAACAACAAGAGAGAAGTTATAAATTTAGGTTTGTAGTTAATTTACATAAGGAATTGGTAGCTGATCTACCTGTTGAGTAAGTGATATTTAAAACAAACACAAATCAATTTGATACAGTGCTGTGGGAACAAGACAAAAATGTGCTCTGTAGTGACATTTTGGGGAATGTTACATGTGCGAGTAAAATACATTTAAAAATATCCTTGAGAAAGAAGGCTCAAAATAAGGGTACACAAAATTATGTTTAGTTGAACGACTCTCTTGGCTGAAGTCACTTGACTCTTAGTGTCATTTTCCAGTTTCTGCAAACAGCTTCACACAGGTAAATTTATTGCAGCAAATCTTTGACAAGAGCAACTGAATTAAAAGAAATCATGAACAAAAACATACTTTATCAGTTGAAGAGAGGTACATGTGAGTGCCTTATCGCAAAGGGTTACGTCAGTGGGTAAACAAAGACAAGAAAGGCAATTGAGACAATGAGAGGCTTTATATTGTTAAGTTTAATGTGAGTTTCCAACTTCATGCCCTTTTATTCCCTTAATTGCCTTTCTGGTTTTTGTGTTTTCACTGGGTACAATTTTTTGCCTGGCCCATGTATCACTTCGACATAAATTTTATTTGTAAAGGGGGTAAGTTTCCAAATAAACTTTGGTGCTGCATCAGTGGTAGAGTATAGCAGGGTAATTTAGTATTATCATCTGAATTGATAACGTAAATATTGGCCACGGTAAAGAGTTTAAAAGCTAAAATTTTGAGTGTTAGCCCTTCATGATAGAAAATCAAAATAATTCACTCTGATGAAGGGCTATTGATTGGCAATCTTTCGGTAGAATGTCTTTAACTTCATGCCGATTATTGCCTTGATTTACAACCCTTGATAATTGCATCGAAAAGATAAAATGAAACTCTCAATAGTCGCTGGCTCTTTTATGTTAGTTCAGCACAATTTCTAGGTAATTTCTCTTCCAACACTCACTTCGATTCTCGGTTCGTTCGCCATTTTGGATTTTTAACTTTGTCCCAATCCCCCTCTGAATTTCGCATGGTCTCAAGTAAATCAATTCACGTTGTTATGACTTTATTTTTATTGGTGGCTCCTAAAGGAGCCGTTTGTGTGATAGGAGAGACAACTTTAATCGTAAAATCGATCATCGAATTTAAGCGGCAACAGCTGTCCCTCTCGTCGCATGTTTGCCATAGCTGGCAGGTGTCGCCGAAGTCTTCTCCTGCAGACTGTTTCTAGGTCTTTAACAGAGCCCACGCTTATTTCTCGTGACGCCGATTCGAATTCACGCTCATCTACGATTCGTAATTCAGCGATGGCGATGAAATCTCGGAGGGTGCTGCAGGGGCAATCGGCCAGCCGAAATGTATTTGCCATGCTACAGTTGTTTTCCTTAAGGATTTGTTGCTGCTGAGGTTCGTCAGCTGTGCGTTGGCGCAGAGTCTTAAGCTCGGCCTTGAGCTCGGCAAGAGTCTTTTTGGCATCCGCCAACTTAGTTTGCAGAGTCTTGATGGCCTCTGACTTTGTTTTCACTAGATTGTCGCTAACCTGTTGGTTAACTGTCGGTGACCTGTCGGTGACCTGTCGGTGGCCTGTCGGTTTAGTGTCGGCCAACTGTCGGCAGACTGTTGGCCGACAGTTGGCCGACTGTCGGTGGAGGGGAGCTGTTCTTCACAATTACCATGTTGTGTACTTTTAACAATGCAAGCTATGCATAATGTAATAGGCTTTTTTTTTCTAAATTTTGTCACCAGCTGCAGCATCCAGGCACAGTGTTCACTGCTTCACTGTGATTTGGTCATTTTAGCTGTAAATAAAAAGCGTTGAATCGACATATTTCTCGCTTTTTTGCGTTACAGAGATAATCGTTTAAAAATTACTTGCTTGCGACAGTTTCTCTAGGCGCCGTGTATTTCTAGTCATGCTTAGCTATTAGTCTGTGTGGCAGGCCTTTCCATTTCCCCTCATCCACGCAGGAGAAGCGTTGCCGAAGCGGAGCGGAGGCTGCGCATTGGTAATGGGGGAAAACCGGCCCATAACGTCTCGAATAGGGAAAGCTTTCGTATTGGAAACAGCCAAAGTAAAGAAAAAAATTAAGAGGGACACTGGAGTAATTGGACTGATATTTCAACGAGGTCTGCAGGACAACTTAAAGAAAAACATTTTTATCAAGAACTCATGCAATAGAAAAAAATGGGACGCGAAGGAAACAAGTCCAAACTATACACAAAAGAAAACCTTCCTGTGAAGGGGGGAGGGGTTGGGGGGGGGGTTAGAGAGAGGATGTGGAGCGCAAGAAAAAGCATGATGGCAGAATTTCAGCCTCTCGTTTTAGCTTGCAGCATTTTTTATTGTCATGCACAATCTACAAATTTACTTATTTAATTTATTCATATTCCTAAAAAACACTGATGAACCGAAAAAGAAAAAATTAATGATTCGTGTATTATTGCTTAACGCAAGGCAGTGGTACTTTCGAAGCAAACATAAATCTATCGGTTTTTTACATTTCATTTTTACTGCCAAGAAGGCGGAATTACAATGTTATATCGCTAGCACTTTTAAGATCCATCAAAACACGATACAGAGTTATTGTATTTATCCCTGAGTTAAGCTCAATTGTTAGCTTGCGTGAGATAGAATTGTACAATTTAAAAAATGTTTTAAACTTATGAAGGTAACTAAAAGCCTTAAGCCATGCAAACACTAAAAATCCGAAGAAAGAGGATGTTCCTTTCTAATCGGTTCTAGCACACTCTTTCATGATTGCAGATACAATCCTGTTGGGAGTAAAATCATGGCGAAAGTTAACAAGAGTAATTCACTAGCATAATGTGTCTATTTGGAGATAAAAAAAAGAAAGGAAAAGAGAAGCAACCCAAAGCTATCTTTGCTCTGATTTGACTGTTGCTGTCGAAGACCTAGACTGAGCGGTTTCATTTCCATTTTGTTTTCGTAGTTTAGTTGATTTGGTGTCAGGTTTTGTTTCATTTCGTTTCGTTTCGTTTCGTTTTAATTTTTTCCCAAGGATTGGTCCCATTGGTGAGGCGCTGAAACTCCAGAAAACAATTCTGGTTTGTTCTTCTTCGCTTCTTTTTTGTCTTGGTTGGAGTCGTTACAGTAGCAACTGTCACGCAATGAATGAGGATGACAGGGAGGGATAAGAGGGGAGGGGAGGGACCCTGAGATACCTTACTACTACCCTTTGTGGCTATGATAACGATAAATCCTCCACTCAAAAGTCCAATAAAATGCCTCTATGGAAACACCCATCCAGCCCCCTGCAGGAAAATTTTACGTCGTTAGGTATGAAGGTTTTTTTTTGAAAGATTCATCAGTTTCCTAACTGCTTTATACTTTGTTGGAAACTAAAAGTAAATTGCAAATTAAGATAGCGTTACTATAAAGAAATTGAAAGCAAATGTATAAGACCATACTCACATTTCAGTTGGAATGTTTTCTTCGCACAAGTTAGAGAGGGCATACACGTGACGCAGGGCGTAGTCATTCTGAGAAGTTTAAAAACCGCATCATGAGTATGAAAAGAGGCTAAGAAGGCAGGGACAGCATTCTATTTTTTTTCTTCTAAATTTCAACTAACAGTGACGATACTTGTTACACAGTTAGCCATTAGGGGTGAGATTTTATTTGGCACTGGCTGTTACAGTGATAGCCATGTGTCTTAAAGTAGAGTTTTCGGAATTATATCATTAGAACACCTCTAAACAGGAGGGGGGGGGGGTCTTCATTACCTGTCCCAGATTGTAACAGGTCTTTGAGAGAGTTTTGACAGCCTGCTTATAACAGTCAAAATCTTCCGGATCAGCACGAGTCTTCAGGACCCGAGTCTTCTGCTCCTCAGAGGAAGTACACTGCTCCACAATCGATTCCATTGTTTTTCTGACACCTTCCTCCCGCTGTTTTTTGAACAAGCGAAACGAACAACTCAAAGTTTACAGTTTACTGAAAGTGCTTTAACTATGAAAAATACTTTTTTTAGTGTTTCCTTGATTTTTATTTTAAATTTGGCATACCATACCCAAGTCCAATCATTTAAATCGCGATATTTCATATTAACTGTCTATTGCTGCAAGCCTACGTTTCATTCTAATTTCAGTCAGAGAACTGGGTCGAGAGATAAAGTGACGTCATGTGGTCATGAGTTAAACCATTGTTAGTGTGTGGAGCCTGATCTATTTGGATAAGCAACACGAGAATTTTTGCGTTTGGGAGTAGCACTGCTGTTCTGCTGCACACTAAACTAAACGCTCTTACACACTGAAACATCAAACTTCCTCTTTCCATCAAAATCTTTGAGTGCGACCCGATTATGGGCCTCTGCGTAGGAAGAATTTTCCTTACAGCAGAGTAAAGTAGACGGTGAGGCTGATGTCAAGGGTCATCCCAAAATTCCAGGAAAATAGTTCTATTTCTATCTTACATGCTGATAACTCGTGAAAACCCTGACGTCATCTCTAAAAAATACACTAGAACGATTTTGGAGTTTATAAGGATAGTCAAGTCAAAAGAAACATTTAAGACAGTTATTAAAAAAAAAACAACAACAACAACAACAGTCATATTCTACCTCAAGCAACTCTTCGATTTCACGAGCGATTTCTTGTCTTTCGGCCAGGCTCGCGCTATCCTTTAGGCGATGGTGAAGGATATTCAGCTCGACATCTGGTGAAGGAATGGCATCGGTCTGCAAATAAATGTAACTCAACAAGTTAGAGTTATTCCTTTTGTGAAATTCTTAATTAGAGTTGTTCGCCTGTTCCAAATTAACAGACCTGTAAAGAAGGCAGGATCTTGAAAAAGCGTACTTCCTTTAGTTCGTCGTTTGCAACCCGTTTAGTCCCGACACTGGGGTGAACAGTTGTTTAATTATATACTAAAACAGTGATATAACAGCACAAAAGATGATTTTAACGCGCTTATTCCTGAAACGATCACAACAGTTTCGGACGCAAATCCCGAGTGAGTTGCTCGGGGGTGAATAGCGAAGGACATTCGGAGTTCGAGTAGCCAATCAGAGCGCGCCTTCGACGCTATCCACTGTTTTATTATATCTATACTGACAAAGGATATTCGGAGTTCGAGTAGCCAATCAGAGCGCGCCATCAACGCTCTCCAATGTTTTACTCTATATTAATCTTTAATATCCATGCAGATTTGAGTATTTCTTGAAGCTTCTTCAAATGACCTTATTCCCCGCCTCAGCATGCCATACACGTTCATCGCGCTTGCATAACTGACAGCGATGTTAACTTTAGTTTAAAATACAGTATTTCCCGTGTGTTTTTTTTTTTATTGAAAAACTTATCCCCTCCTTCCCTAAATAATATCTGATTCATTTGGGATTTCTTGACAAAAGACACCATCTAATACGCTCTTGCGCTCGCAAACGTATCCAACATTCGAATGTTTTACAAAAGAGACTTCAATTACAGCGCCCCGGTAAGGCTGAGCCAGCAGAAAAAAAGGGAATCATTTGCATGAAGTAAAACCCAACCTGCAATACCAATGAACAGAACAGTATTTAGTAGAGTGGCTTAACTACAAGTAGCTCTTACAATTTGTTCCCCACGATACTCCTCCGGAGATTTTCCGGAAACACTTCCCATGCCGTCACCTTGGAAGTCGTCCAGGTCATCATTAACAAAATCCTGTCACAGAAAACATGCGCTTAATCATGTTAGCTTCATCTTACTGTCAAAAGGCATGTACACATGTATAGATGCATCTTTATCACTTACAGCCTGAACAGAGCTAGAATGAGCGCACATTTTCTGGAAGGGCCTGAGAATTCCACCCTGGAGAAGCTATGTGCTAAGTTTATTATTATATTTCTTTCCTCTCTTACAGAGGAAATGCTCTTATTGATTGAATTGTATTACTATTTAGCAGGTTCGAGACGTAGGCGGGTCATTGTCTTGTGTTCTTAGAGAAGACACCTTACTCTCACCATGCCTCTCTCCACCCAGGAGTATAAATAGGTACTGGTGAATAGTCAGGGAAAGATGACGGGGTAGGGGGTCGGGGGGCTAGGCATCACACCCAGGGAGAGTAGAGAGTAAAATACTCCTAGTCGCTTCATGTGAAAGAAACCGCGATAAACTCTAGCTAGATGGGGCACTTGGCTCGAGTGCAGAATCAACCTTCCTTAACGTTTATAAAGGAATTCCCTTTTTTCGACATAATTGGCACTTACCCCAGTTTCATTGCATAAAGCCACGAGAAGAACTGCTATTTCTCTTGGACTTTAAATTCTAGTGATTTAGTTGTCCTGACACAACCCAGTGTCAACCTGGGGTGGAGGAGAGGGGCGGTTTATAAGTACAGTCTTGCCCTGGAACATTAAAAAGTACCCCAGCCAGATCTGGAACTCGGATCTTCCAATTAGGAGTCAACTGAGTCTTTCACCGCGCTAACCAATTGACCACCGCGAATATCAACAATCGTATTCATTTAATATAAAATAAATATACCATGTCTCCATACTGCATCGCATGACTGGTGTTCATCTCTTCTTTCACAATTTGGAATTGCTTCATGAGTGTCTCCTTAGTTAGATCAACCTGCAAATCGATATGAAGTCAAACAGATACTAGTTCACTAGTTCATCTACTAATCCATGGTCCGGAATTACCATTACTAAAAGAACGAATGACTTTTTGAAAGAACTCAGCATTGCAAAAATTAGAAAAAAAAGAGAAGTAAGGTATCTCACATACCGCATCAGAGTTTCCCATCCACTTCGCAGAGTAATAATCCCCAAGGTAAGTTCGCCTTTTCTTGTCGTAGTAGCAAGCATAGGAAGGTTCACCAGGATTGGCAGAAGTAGTCGCATAGACTAGAAAAAAAAAGATCCCGACAATCACATTCATCAATAAGTATAGTGTTTCAAAAATGAGGTTTCCACCAATGACTCCAACAGGAACCTCATATTAACAAAACTTCATTTATTTTCTTGTTAGTTTAAATTTTCTCTATGATAAAAAGTTTTCTGCAAAATGCATTTTGCCTACGAAATAGAAGGCACACATACTGTCTGTGTTGGTCTTGAGCTTCTTGTGAAACATGGACCCTGAGTAACAAGCTTCAAGGTAGAACACCAACTGAGGGAAAAAAGTGCCAGACCTCCTGTCAGATATTTTCAAGCTGTCTTATTTGATCTTACTTTTGCACGTACCAACCATATATCTGATTGTGTAGTCTAATCTTCAAGTAAGAATACATTGTAGTTGTCATCGTGTTCACAATAGAATTGAACATGGTGACTGAACATTACCAAAGAATTGAAACTAACCAATCACTACCAACTTCTGCTATATTAGTCTTACAGCCAATGAAATCATGGCTAAACTGACCAATCACTTTTCCTGAACCAGACTTAACATCAATCGACTGACAAAATAACTCTTACTTAACTCTGATGGTAGCTTCCCATAATATTGTTGCAACATCAGTTATGACAACCAACAATAGTTCTTTTGTGGACTACTTTCAATCGGACTACCCAATCGACTATTCCTCTTGTGTACAAACCATATAATTGTATACATATTTTTTAAAAATTGTTGGATTGAAGTGATTAAAAATGTAAAATCTTTTATGAGTACTAGTAACTATCGTTAACATCTCTGTCAAGGTGATCCTAGAACATCACATGTTCACTGCCCAGCCTTAACCTTCAGTGACAACTATTACACATGAAAGCCAAACTTACAGTACATGAGACTACACAACAGGATGCAAGGTGAATCATTAACATCATCATACACTTGTAAATAGTACATTGAATCTTAAATAAACTACTGAATCTTTGGTTTATATGACTAGCATTTGTCATACCTTGCTGAATTTCTTGTTTTCATACATCTCATCCAGGGCAGCTATTAAGTCATGTGCCATCAACTGAAGAAAAAAATTAAAAAAATTAATATGTTCACTAAGATCAAAATCCACAGAATCTGTGCATGGAAACAATTTGGACCTCTACCCTTTTTAGCATTGGCCATAAGTGACCAAGACAGAATTCTCCTTTCAATATCAATACAACATCAATCAGACAGGTGATGAGAATAAAGAAAAATATAAGTTTGAGGATTTTCTTGTTGACCCAGTGCCAAATTCTGAGCTAGCATCATAAGAATTGTTTGACAGACAGTAAGGAGTAAGGGTATTACTGATGAGATCTTGGGCGTTGAGGGGTTAAGAAGGGTAGGTATTCAGGCATCCAGCAACATGTATAACAACTTTTTGCTGCATAATTGAAAGGTGCAGATATACATTAAGGGCATAGCAAGGGGAGGTACTGGGTCCAGGGGTGTCAGTGCCCTCCAACCCCCTATTTTAAATCAAACTTTTTTTGTCACATTTAGTCAAACACAGTGTGGAGGTTGACGTGAAAATCTGGTGAGTAACCTCTAATTGACACATTGTGACCCCCCCTTTTGATCAAAACTATTATAAATTTGAGAGAGAAACTAGAAATTGTATATAATTATATGTTTTCATAAAAAAAAAGTCTGGCTACACCCTTGCGTACATGGAGCACATTTGAGTTGCCCCTACAAGTTCAGGAAACAGTAGATGAGTAGTACTTTGTCTCAGAGCATTGTTGCAGCAGTTAATTATAGTTTCTTGATCTGGTGCAAACTTTGTGGAATTTCCCTTCTCCATAAATAAATCACATACTTATTTTGATTGTAAAGTTGTGTTGGAACACACCATAGTTCTTGCATCAACTGGGCTTTTCAATAACATGCAAGGTTGTGTTTCTGAGTTATGATTGGAGAATATATTACTCAGTTTTATTAGTATTTCTCTGCTTTCAGATGGCAGAGTCATGCAATGAGGAGTAAAACAAAACATGAAACGAAATTGCAAGTTTGGCTTTTAACCTGGAAATACAATAAAGCAAGGTGCATTACATTTGGGATTTTGCAATTACCTGATTCACAAACTCACCTCGCCACTTGGAAATACAACATATCCACGATCTCCATGATCAGTGAAATATACAAAAACATGGTCATTTGGCCCACTGAGAGGGAAAGAAAAAAAAAGCAAATTTCTTCAAGTACTGTACATTTAGTATGAGATTGGGTCATTGATCTTCATGTAGTCCAAGCTATCAAATAAACCTATATGGGCTGTTTATTTACATGAGGTGTAACCCAAACCACTGGTTAATGCAACCAGTGGGCCTAAGCCTTCATCTATAAGAGTGTTGATTTCATTAATAAATACCCTTTCACTGTTAGTTTCCAACCCTCTTAACCCTTTAACTCCCTGATCAAATTTGTAATTCTCCTTACCGTAAACCCTACAATTCTTACAATGTTAGTTCAGAGAATTTTGTATTGGATCAACTAATTATCCCCAAATTGATATTTTTCCTTATTCTCATCACTATAATCTAGTTGATATTGTCTTGATATTGTGAGAAGAAATTCGGTCTTGGTCACTCATGGGAGTTAAAGGGTTAATACTGCTCACATAAAAAAAAGTTTAGATAAAAGGTTCAGCTGAATTGAGGATTGTTTAGGACATGGTTTTGTTATACAACAGCTTAACATTGTTCAATTAACTCACCCTATGAGTCAGAAGAAGTGTTAAATGTAGCTAGTTGTTCATAATAGCTATATGTAATAAACAAACATTTTTTTGTTTGTCTTGATACACGAATATATATGTACATTTAGAGTCACCATCCATAAATGAAGATCATCATGGCCAATGACCAGCTACAATATTTAATATGCTGCATTTAATGGTCAAACCTGTCAATCACTTTTCCACTACCAATCCCACTCATGGCTTGTTTATTTCCCTTCAGAATGTTCAAGAAGTTATCTGGTGTCACGTGCTAAACAATGGGATCAATATCAACAGAATAAAAAACAAGAAACATGTAACACAAAGTTATTGAAACCATATGTATATGTTATGGTTCAGTGTTATCCATAGTTCAAATTTTCATTTCTTTTGTTTCAAACTCGTTATTCTAATTACAATACCCATAAACAAAGGAAAATAAAATTTGAACTAAGGATTAAATTGAACCACAACATATATACATGTCTACTCTGTCACATAACAGTTGGATTTAATTACATGTACAATCAGTCATAGTGGTATAATTAACTACATGTACATGTAGATGCAGTTTTCTACCTGACCAAACACCATGTCTAAAATGAGGTCAGCATTGAAGGCTTTGAGCTGAGAGGGAAAGGTTAGAACTGAAAGAAGAAGGGTAAGGATGGATGAGTGACGGCAGAGGGCTACAGTGTGAGGGTAAAGGATGATAAGGAGTGGGGGGGGGGGAGATTAAAGGGAAAAAGAATGAAGTGGGGAAAGTGAGAGTGTGGGCTAAGGGTTGTGGGGTGAGGAATGAAAAGTGCAGAGTGAGGGGGAGGGGTAACAGAGAGTAAGGGCTGAGGAGTGGGAAATATATTGTGCTGAGTGTGAAGAATAGGTGGGGTGAAGAGTGGGTTTAGGAGTGCGGGCTGATGGGCAAAGAATGGTATGGAGAGGTTTTACTGTTGGCGGAGGGGTGAGTGATGAGGAGTGCAGAGTTAGAAGGATGGGTGGGGTGAAAAAGTGAGGGCTGAGGTGTTGGGGGTAAGGGATTCAGAATAAGGTATGAGGAGGTTACAGGGTAGGCTGAATGGTTATGACTAAAGGGAAAGGGTGAATGGTCAGGTGAGGGCAAAAGGGCAGAGGGGAAAAGGGCAGAGAATAATGGATGATACTCAAAGGGGGAAGATAAACTTGAGATAAAATAGAAAATAAAAATATAGGGTCTAAAAGTCAGCCCTCAAGTAGTTCCATGAATTTCCAGAGAAGTAATCAACATCCACCCACAACATCTAGCCACATGTAAAAATAGATTATCTGAAATGAAATTCTCCTGACCATTAAATACCCTTGTGCTGAAAAAGTTTTGAACATTACCAACAATAGCTTTAAAATTATTCTACATTTTGAAAAATTTACTCAATATTTACTTAAGATTGAATATGACTTGAGAAAGTTTTACCTCCTTTGTGTAGTCTTTTGGAACACCCTTGTACACATCGTCTCCATTTGGCTGAGTAAGGAAAAATATAAGAGTGATTTAGTTTATGATACAGTATGACATTTAATCAAAACTATAACAAAATTCTTGAATGTAATTGGTTATCACCAGCCCAATGTGGACACTTATAGGGTATGTGTACACATATACGATGTCTAGTTTTTCTCTTGAATTTTGCTATACTTTGGGTTAATAGGTCACAGAACTTTGTGTTCCAATTCTCTATAGTTAATTACACTGTCTTGTGATTAACAAATCAGACTCCCACTACATGGTCATCCGATTTTTTTTATCGCTCATATGATTACATGCTGAATTGGACTCCACTCAGTCTTATTACCATTATATACCCTGTGCTCCTCAGAGCAATTACTGGGACATGTACATGTAACTCTACTTCAAGCACACTACATATAAATATATGATAACAATCACTGTAGCTCAAAAATCATCAACAGTTCTTATATTACTATGCCATAAATAAATTAATTTATAGCCTTCTGTAAAGTTTAGGATGATTATTTTTTTAAATCATATAAGATGCATGTATGTACGCATGTAATAAAAGATATACAATATAATTCAATCAACTAACCTTGTTTATAATGATGCCAGGTGTTGGATTCCTGGTAATAAACAAGACAACTTTAGTTTGATTAATTCAATTCCTTTGTAAAAATGGGATGTTCATGAACAAAATACCAAAAATATTTTCTTGTCTTAGCTTCTTCTCTTGTATTGAGGGATAACTACACAATCTCAGCCAGTGAATGAGCAACATGAGTTAACACAAATCTTAGCTGAAACCAGTTAATTTGATCCATGTAATGTCATGTGCCATTAGTGGTATGCAGACTAGACAACATGGTTATCTAACATCCTGATTATGCCAACTTTCTTAATTTCCATGCATACAATTATAACGGGCACATTGTAAAATTGTAATAAGTCCTTCATATTTTTGGCTTCTGATGTACATGTATGATTGGCTAATAAAGTGGTCCCACAAAATTCAATACTTAGTATTCACCCTGTTCTTCTCAACCTCACCCTTTATTTACATATTAATCTTCATAATTTTTGTTAGACTGCAGTACTGTCTCTCTCACCCCAAGTGTGTGTATATGAACATGTATCACATTTTTGGAAAACATCTTGCCAAGGGACCTTTCTAGCTAGAGCTTATGTTGGATTCTTAACCATAAAGTAATGAGAAGAATTCTTACACCCCATGGCTGCAATGCCAGCCCATTGCAGTTTCTGTCCCCCCTCCCCCTCCCACCCTTATGTTGGGTGCTTCCCTGATATTTCTCACTGGTACTCTTCTACACTCCTAGGGAGAGGCTTTACAATGGTAAAATTTCTTGTCTAAGAACACAACACCATGACTCAGCCAGTTCTCATACCTGGACTACTTAAGGTAAATTTTTAAACATGTCTCCCACATATTTGAGCAATTACATTAGTGCATTCATTGGAATCCAGTGAACTTACAAGGGATTATTGGCAATGTCATCATACATCATCACTACAATGTTTTCGTCAGGAATACCATTTTTGTGGAGAATCTGGTAGGCATGGCATGTATTGGCCTAAATACAAGAAAATGAACACATCATTTGAAGTTCTCGTCAAAGAGAGCATCTATCTATTTTCATTCCGAAGAGGTTTTAATGGTTACCAGAAGAAGGACACTTCACAGAATGTTATAATAAAGTTCGGATATAATGCGTGCTCTATGAGAGTTTATATATTAAGCTCAGTTATGCACTCATTCTGATTGGTTCTCACTTATGATCTATTGGAGGACAGACGTATAGATGACGTCATCATTAAAACTTTTTCCGTATATTTTAGTTCTTTATTATATAAAACAAATAGATTCCAAGTTGCCGTGCGTCTGTTCAATAATAGATCACAGATGACGTCAAAATCTGGTAAGAACAAAAAAGTGGCACACGAGGCGCAGCCACTTTTTTGTTCTTACCAGATTTTGACGTCATCTGTGATCTATTATTGAACAGACGCACGGCAACTTGGAATCTATTTGTTAAATGGAAAGTCCGAGTTTTTAAGGTTTTCACGCTCAGTTAGATTTCAAGTTTACGTACGGTAATAAAAATCAAATACAGCTAACACTTATATAGTAAATAAAGTTTCGCGTTCAAAAACAAAACAGAAAAAAACAGGAATTATGAAATATATAACCTGGCATAACTGTTAAAATTCATACTAATCATGACGGTGTCAGAGCGACTGCGATCATGCTGAGGTCTAATTAGCGGCTTTAGGCTCATCATGGCGATCTTCGGTCATCGCGGTGGAGCAAGCCTCAGGAACTAAATCGACTACCCTTCGAGTTGAAAAATAAGAGCTTGCTCTGATAACCTTTCCAATGCGTTGAGTGGAAGGCCACATCAGTCGCTGCTGCCGAGTTTTACGGCGCTGTCATTCCGAGCGATCTTCATGTTCTGATGAATTCGGCTGTCGTTCATTCATAAAACACTCGCCTTGAACAGTTTGTTTTCTACTTGTCATGTGAAAAAACTCGCATATTTTTGTGAGCCACGATTGGGCCGAATTTCACTGAACATTTCACTTTCGGATTCTACTTTAGAAACTAAAAAAATCAGGCAAAAGTGTTAAATTCCGGTAGTTAGATAACGGCGTAATATGTGACTGACACAGTCTATAGACTGTAAAATTTTACGTCACTATATGCGTCGGTGTATATAATGTAAATTTTACGCCAGTAATATAACTTAATTATCTATTAATTTATTATAACTAATCTACCGACTGGGTTAGTTGCGTAAAATCTTAGTCGCATGTTACGCCGTTATACATATTCCCATTAGATTACTAGTTATCCTGCCAAACACCTTGCATGGACGAAATCTTTATGAATTTCAAAGATCAAAACCATTTTCTAAACTACATCTGCGTTATTTTTATCCACTTAGGGAACAAAGCTTTCCAATTTACGGTCAAAACATCAGACGTAGTTCACTTCGAATATCTCAATCTATATCCTAGTTTCTCCGACCGCATCCAAACAGGTGTTACTACACAGCTTCCATCTAATAAGACTCCTAATAGAACGTGACGTAAAATACATCACGCGTTACTAGGTAACAGCGCTCATGCATCTGCACGAACCCCACCCAAGTGGGGTTCGCAGAATTACACACTTTGTCCGTGTTGAAAAAGACTTTAATGTTAGACTGATCATAAAAAACGAATTTTCTTGGATTTACATTTAATTTAGAGACAAGGATTATAAAAACAGTTAGTAGCAATATCGTTTCCTCTTTCTCGACTTCTTTTTTTGCCCAACGGACCGACCAAGACATTTATATGATAATGAAAATAAAAACCAAAAAATTGTAGGGCATAGCTGAATAATTCCAAGAACTGATTCAACACTATTTTAAGCAGTTTTGAGAATAATTTTCGGTTTCCAGTTAACCACAGACCTTTACCTCAAATTGCCTAACACCTCATGGTGCGCTGAGTACAGTAATAAGAAAACCCTATCGGCTAGATTTCCGTCAAGAACAGCATGTAGCCATCTTGTATAAAGAGCTAAAAAGTGTAACCCCATGCTGTATTACGCATGTAGTTCTTCAATAAAGAAAACAGAGAAAAAGAAAAAAAAAGGAAGGAAAATAAAATATATCTCAAACAGTTTGTGGTTGTACAGTTACCTTTGCAACCTAACTCCTAAATATCTTCCATTCGAAAGAGGAAGTGCGTGTCCATATTCTCTATGTCTCGTTACTTTCATTTTGTGAGTTATGAGGCATAAAGTATGTTGATACATTCAGTAATTTTAATTTGCTGTTGCTTGCATCATGCCAGGAGAGACTGAAAAGCGTCATACTCTGATCGTTATTTGCGCATTTGTTCTTAGGCCGAAATAATAAGGTGAACCTTGCAGGTGATATGATGTTTGCTTGCCGATTCTGATGATTACCTGGTGCCTGTAATTGTACCATCCTTTGGATCCAGCTACAATCAGAGCCCAGTGCTTTCCAGTTTCTGCTGAGGCAGCGAGGAATGAAAGACAGAGGATAAGCAGTCCTCCCAACATGATTCTTTATATCTCCGACGTATCAATACACAGTCCGCCGCCTACTACAAGTGAACGAGGCACGCAAATGAAACGTTGAGTTGCGCACCACAGTCTTATGACTACCCTCGTAAGTCGAACCCAGTCTCAGTCGCCGTCCGCTGCCATGTCACGCAGCGGCCCCTCTAAAGATGCTTGTTTTCACGACAGAGCTGTCGACAAAGCTGAATAACGTCTGCGCAAGAACAGCATGTAGCCATCTTGTATAAAGAGCTAAAAAGTGTAACCCCATGCTGTATTACGCATGTAGTTCTTCAATAAAAGAAAACTTAGATAAAAGCTTAGGCTTAAGCGCGGAGAACGAGGAAACGGATTTTGAGCAGTTCGCATGTTTTATTTTCCATTCTGTTCGTTCTAGACATTGTTTTCCTTGCCGCTTTTCTTTAACAGAACAACCTCCCTAAAAAATGTAAAAATTAATTTTCTCCTCAACCTGGTCCGCTTGAGCCCGCGTTATTAACCGCATACTTGTGACGTAGCATTCGTTGTTCATCTCTGCCTCTTTTCAACTAAATCTAGTGTTTCCAAAGGGTCTTGATATCAGCAGGCAAGTCAAGAATTTGAAGAAAGCGACAACACTTTTGAGTTGAGAACAGGCCACTTCTCTGCTATCACTCAAAAAAAGATCCGCCATTTTATTAAGCGCTATTGCAAGGACTTGGATATCAAACTGGTTTTCTCTTCCTTTTTAATCGGTAACTTCCTTGGTGTGAAAGACCCTGTACCTGACGGGCTCCGTTCACGTGTGGTTTAGAAGTTTGTATGTTCTGGCTGTAATGCCTGTTAGGTCGGTGAAACCTGCCGGCATTTTTCCACACGTGTTAGAGAACACTTAGTCAGCGACAGGGCCTCTCACATTTTCAGGCATCTGAAAGATTCTCCACATTGTCGCGCTTTGTGTTCTACAGATAATTTCCATGTTTTAGATCACGCCTCCACCAGCTTTCAGCACTTTTGAGTTTTTGAGCTTTTGAGTTTTTTCATATTCAAATAGAACAACCATCTTTGAATCAGCAATTACACCATGTAAATCTAAAACTATCTTTTTAATTCTCACACTTTCATGCTTTACCTCTTTTCTTGTTGTCACTATTCATCTTAATTAGCATTGTTCTACTTACTATATATTTCAACTTTCAATGCTTTGTACAGTAATTAACTAAAGATGACAGACGTTTCTGTCGAAATATGTCTTACAAACTCAAAATTTTTGGCGCTTTCTTTAAAAATCTAGTGTTAATCGTACTTCGATCGGTCTTCTCACTAAAATGAAACGAAACCGTGGGTATAAAGAAAATGGAATGCTAGGCATTGGGAGTTCGCCGCTTCCTGTCTGAGAATCGTTGCGTGCCATCAGCTGCGTCTCAAACATTTTTTGCAACAGCAATTTTAAAACCAGCGGTAAGCAACGCAAGAGTATGCTACACTTCATTAGCTTATACATGACATATTTATCCCTGTCGTTCCCAATCCTTTGAGTTTTGGCCTTTCACAAATTTCTCACTTGCATCGACAACCAAGGCAACTAAAGAGTGGTTATAAACTGACTTGCATAACATTGGTGTATTTCACATTCCTGTGAGTAAATAAGTCCCTTCGTATCGTCATGAAGGATGGTGAAGCAAGGAATCCAGATTTACGCCAGAGCAAAGGCGACGAAGCAAAAGACAGGGGTAACTTAGCTTGTACTGATAATAATAATAATAATGGCCGCCAGTTACATGAACATGTTGATTCATTTTCAGCAAGATTTGATAATTGGTTGCCATTATTGTTTGATAAGCCTATTTATATAAAATGAAAAAAGGAATAAACTATCCAGATACTTTGTAAGGAAATCTGAAATTATCCAAATTAGCAAATAAAATTTACAACAGGTTAAAAAACGTTGTAAGTGGATTTTTGGACGGTACTTATTATAAGCTTACCCCCGGCTTTTCACGACGAGATCTCTTATTATTTATACATAAAGAAATAATTCTTGAAAAATTGTATTGTGCAAGCCATTCGTGAAGGGTTATAAATTATCACTTTAACTTGGAAACTATCACAATTTGTGTTTCAAAAAAATTTACGGATTTTACAGAATCGTTTTTCTCTGAATGTTCTTCAGTTATTTAGGTTAGTTTATTTGGTTCTTGACTAATTTGGTTTAAACAAAATTCTCTTCGTTGCCCCAAACATCTGGTTTTTCCCTGATTTTAATGGATCACTTCCTGTAAACCCACTGAAGTGAAATTTAACCAGCAGAAATCACCTGACTTGTCGTTTAGGTCTTTGAAATATTAATTATTTTTTTAAGAAACTAATAGATTGCTTTCTGCTTTTCAGCTTTATGAAATTTTTGAAGATGAGGGTGGAAATTCTTCTATTTCCTTCACTGTTCCTAAAGATCTAGCTGATGGCTATATCAACAACAAGAGAGAAGTTTATAAATTTAGGTTTGTAGTTAATTTACATAAGGAATTGGTAGCTGATCTACCTGTTGAGTAAGTGATATTTATAACAAACACAAATCAATTTGATACAGTGCTGTGGGAACAAGACAAAAATGTGCTCTGTAGTGACATTTTGGGGAATGTTACATGTGCAAGTAACATACATTTAAAATATCCTTGAGAAAGAAGGCTCAAAATAAGGGTACCCAAAATTATGTTTAGTTGAACGACTCTCTTGGCTGAAGTCACTTGACTCTTAATGTCATTTTCCAGTTTCCAGCTTCACACAGGTAAATTTATTGCAGTAAATCTTTGACAAGAGCAACTGAATTAAAAGAAATCATGAACAAAAACATACTTTATCAGTTGAAGAGAGGTACATGTGAGTGCCTTATCGCAAAGGGTTAAGTCAGTGGGTAAACAAAGACAAGAAAGGCAACTGAGACAACGAGAGGCTTTATATTGTTAAGTTGGAAGTGAGTTTCCAACTTCATATCTTTTTATTCCCTTAATTGCCTTTCTGGTTTTTGTGTTTTCACTGGGTACAATTTTTTGCCTGGCCCATGTATCACCTCGACATAAATTTTATGTGTAAAGGGGGTAAGTTTCCAAATAAACTTTGGTGCTGCATCAGTGGTAGAGTATAGCAGGGTAATTTAGTATTATCATCTGAATTGATAACGTAAATATTGGCCACGGTAAAGAGTTTAAAAGCTAAAATTTTGAGTGTTAGCCCTTCATGATAGAAAATCAAAATGATTCACTCTGATGAAGGGCTATTGCTTGGCAATCTTTCGGTAGAATGTCTTTAACTTCATGCCGATTATTGCCTTGATTTACAACCCTTGATAATTGCATCGAAAAGATAAAATGAAACTCTCAATAGTCGCTGGCTCTTTTATGTTAGTTCAGCACAATTTCTAGGCAATTTCTCTTCCAACACTCACTTCGATTCTCGGTTCGTTCGCCATTTTGGATTTTTAACTTTGTCCCAATCCCCCTCTGAATTTCGCATGGTCTCAAGTAAATCAATTCACGTTGTTATGACTTTATTTTTATTGGTGGCTCCTAAAGGAGCCGTTTGTGTGATAGGAGAGACAACTTTAATCGTAAAATCGATCATCGAATTTAAGCGGCAACAGCTGTCCCTCTCGTCGCATGTTTGCCATAGCTGGCAGGTGTCGCCGAAGTCTTCTCCTGCAGACTGTTTCTAGGTCTTTAACAGAGCCCACGCTTATTTCTCGTGACGCCGATTCGAATTCACGCTCATCTACGATTCGTAATTCAGCGATGGCGATGAAATCTCGGAGGGTGCTGCAGGGGCAATCGGCCAGCCGAAATGCATTTGCCATGCTACAGTTGTTTTCCTTAAGGATTTGTTGCTGCTGAGGTTCGTCAGCTGTGCGTTGGCGCAGAGTCTTAAGCTCGGCCTTGAGCTCGGCAAGAGTCTTTTTGGCATCCGCCAACTTAGTTTGCAGAGTCTTGATGGCCTCTGACTTTGTTTTCACTAGATTGTCGCTAACCTGTTGGTTAACTGTCGGTGACCTGTCGGTGGCCTGTCGGTTCAGTGTCGGCCAACTGTCGGTGGAGGGGAGCTGTTCTTCACAATTACCATGTTGTGTACTTTTAACAATGCAAGCTATCCATAATGTAATAGGCTTTTTTTTTCTAAATTTTGTCACCAGCTGCAGCATCCAGGCACAGTGTTCACTGCTTCACTGTGATTTGGTCATTTTAGCTGTAAATAAAAAGCGTTGAATCGACATATTTCTCGCTTTTTTGCGTTACCGAGATAATCGTTTAAAAATTACTTGCTTGCGACAGTTTCTCTAGGCGCCGTGTATTTCTAGTCATGCTTAGCTATTAGTCTGTGTGGCAGGCCTTTCCATTTCCCCTCATCCACGCAGGAGAAGCGTTGCCGAAGCGGAGCGGAGGCTGCGCATTGGTAATGGGGGAAAACCGGCCCATAACGTCTCGAATAGGGAAAGCTTTCGTTTTGGAAACAGCCAAAGTAAAGAAAAAAATTAAGAGGGACACTGGAGTAATTGGACTGATATTTCAACGAGGTCTGCAGGACAACTTAAAGAAAAACATTTTTATCAAGAACTCATGCAATAGAAAAAAATGGGACGCGAAGGAAACAAGTCCAAACTATACACAAAAGAAAACCTTCCTGTGAAGGGGGGAGGGGGGGGGGGGGGTTAGAGAGGATGTGGAGCGCAAGAAAAAGCATGATGGCAGAATTTCAGCCTCTCGTTTTAGCTTGCAGCATTTTTTATTGTCATGCACAATCTACAAATTTACTTATTTAATTTATTCATATTCCTAAAAAACACTGATGAACCGAAAAAGAAAAAATTAATGATTCGTGTATTATTGCTTAACGCAAGGCAGTGGTACTTTTCGAAGCAAACATAAATCTATCGGTTTTTACATTTCATTTTACTGCCAAGAAGGCGGAATTACAATGTTATATCGCTAGCACTTTTAAGATCCATCAAAACACGATACAGAGTTATTGTATTTATCCCTGAGTTAAGCTCAATTGTTAGCTTGCGTGAGATAGAATTGTACAATTTAAAAAATGTTTTAAACTTATGAAGGTAACTAAAAGCCTTAAGCCATGCAAACACTAAAAATCCGAAGAAAGAGGATGTTCCTTTCTAATCGATTCTAGCACACTCTTTCATGATTGCAGATACAATCCTGTTGGGAGTAAAATCATGGCGAAAGTTAACAAGAGTAATTCACTAGCATAATGTGTCTATTTGGAGATAAAAAAAAGAAAGGAAAAGAGAAGCAACCCAAGGCTATTTTTGCTCTGATTTGACTGTTGCTGTCGAAGACCTAGACTGAGCGGTTTCATTTCCATTTTGTTTTCGTAGTTTAGTTGATTTGGTGTCAGGTTTTGTTTCATTTCGTTTCGTTTCGTTTTAATTTTTTCCCAAGGATTGGCCCCATTGGTAAGGCGCTGAAACTCCAGAAAACAATTCTTGTTTGTTCTTCTTCGCTTCTTTTTTGTCTTGGTTGGAGTCGTTACAGTAGCAACTGTCACGCAATGAATGAGGATGACAGGGAGGGATAAGAGGGGAGGGGAGGGACCCTGAGATACCTTACTACTACCCTTTGTGGCTATGATAACGATAAATCCTCCACTCAAAAGTCCAATAAAATGCCTCTATGGAAACACCCATCCAGCCCCCTGCAGGAAAATTTTACGTCGTTAGGTATGAAGGTTTTTTTTTGAAAGATTCATCAGTTTCCTAACTGCTTTATACTTTGTTGGAAACTAAAAGTAAATTGCAAATTAAGATAGCGTTACTATAAAGAAATTGAAAGCAAATGTATAAGACTATACTCACATTTCAGTTGGAATGTTTTCTTCGCACAAGTTAGAGAGGGCATACACGTGACGCAGGGCGTGGTCATTCTGAGAAGTTTAAAAACCGCATCATGAGTATGAAAAGAGGCCAAGAAGGCAGGGACAGCATTCTTTTTTTATTCTTCTAAATTTCAACTAGCAGTGACGATACTTGTTACACAGTTAGCCATTAGGGGTGAAATTTTATTTGGCACGGGCTGTCACAGCGATAGCCATGTGTCTTAAAGTAGAGTTTTCGAAATTATATCATTAGAACACCTCTAAACAGGAGGGGGGGGGTCTTCATTACCTGTCCCAGATTGTAACAGGTCTTTGAGAAAGTTTTGACAGCCTGCTTATAACAGTCAAAGTCTTCCGGATCAGCACGAGTCTTCAGGACCCGATTCTTCTGCTCCTCAGAGGAAGTACACTGCTCCACAATCGATTCCATTGTTTTTCTGACACCTTCCTCCCGCTGTTTTTTAACAAACGAAACGAACAACTCAAAGTTTACAGTTTACTGAAAGTGCTTTAACTATGAAAAATACTTTTTTTAGCGTTTCCTTGATTTTTATTTTAAATTTGGCATACCATACCCAAGTCCAATCATTTAAATCGCGATATTTCATATTAACTGTCTATTGCTGCAAGCCTACGTTTCATTCTAATTTCAGTCAGAGAACTGGGTCGAGAGATAAAGTGACGTCATGTGGTCATGAGTTAAACCATTGTTAGTGAGTGGAGCCTGATCTATTTGGATAAGCAACACGAGAATTTTTGCGTTTGGGAGTAGCACTGCTGTTCTGCTGCACACTAAACTAAACGCTCTTACACACTGAAACATCAAACTTCCTCTTTCCATCAAAATCTTTGAGTGCGACCCGATTATGGGCCTCTGCGTAGGAAGAATTTTCCTTACAGCAGAGTAAAGTAGACGGTGAGGCTGATGTCAAGGGTCATTCCAAAATTCCAGGAAAATAGTTCTATTTCTATCTTACATGCTGATAACTCGTGAAAACCCTGACGTCATCTCTAAAAAATACACTAGAACGATTTTGGAGTTCATAAGGATAGTCAAGTCAAGAGAAACATTTAAGACAGTTATGTTAAAAAAAAACAACAACAACAACAGTCATATTCTACCTCAAGCAACTCTTCGATTTCACGAGCGATTTCTTGTCTTTCGGCCAGGCTCGCGCTATCCTTTAGGCGATGGTGAAGGATATTCAGCTCGACATCTGGTGAAGGAATGGCATCGGTCTGCAAATAAATGTAACTCAACAAGTTAGAGTTATTCCTTTTGTGAAATTCTTAATTAGAGTTGTTCGCCTGTTCCAAATTAACAGACCTGTAAAGAAGGCAGGATCTTGAAAAAGCGTACTTCCTTTAGTTCGTCGTTTGCAACCCGTTTAGTCCCGACACTGGGGTGAACAGTTGTTTAATTATATACTAAAACAGTGATATAACAGCACAAAAAGATGATTTTAACGCGCTTATTCCTGAAACGATCACAACAGTTTCGGACGCAAATTCCGAGTGAGTTGCTCGGGGGTGAATAGCGAAGGACATTCGGAGTTCGAGTAGCCAATCAGAGCGCGCCTTCGACGCTATCCACTGTTTTATTATATCTATACTGACAAAGGATATTCGGAGTTCGAGTAGCCAATCAGAGCGCGCCATCAACGCTCTCCAATGTTTTACTCTATATTAATCTTTAATATCCATGCAGATTTGAGTATTTCTTGAAGCTTCTTCAAATGACCTTATTCCCCGCCTCAGCATGCCATACACGTTCATCGCGCTTGCATAACTGACAGCGATGTTAACTTTAGTTTAAAATACAGTATTTCCCGTGTATTTTTTTTTATTGAAAAACTTATCCCCTCTTTCCCTAAATAATATCTGATTCATTTGGGATTTCTTGACAAAAGACACCATCAAATACGCTCTTGCGCTCGCAAACGTATCCAACATTCGAATGTTTTGCAAAAGAGACTTCAATTACAGCGCCCCGGTAAGGCTGAGCCAGCAGAAAAAAAGGGAATCATTTGCATGAAGTAAAACCCAACCTGCAATACCAATGAACAGAACAGTATTTAGTAGAGTGGCTTAACTACAAGTAGCTCTTACAATTTGTTCCCCACGATACTCCTCCGGAGATTTTCCGGAAACACTTCCCATGCCGTCACCTTGGAAGTCGTCCAGGTCATCATTAACAAAATCCTGTCACAGAAAACATGCGCTTAATCATGTTAGCTTCATCTTACTGTCAAAAGGCATGTACACATGTATAGATGCATCTTTATCACTTACAGCCTGAACAGAGCTAGAATGAGCGCACATTTACTGGAAGGGCCTGAGAATTCCACCCTGGAGAAGCTATGTGCTAAGTTTATTATTATATTTCTTTCCTCTCTTACAGAGGAAATGCTCTTATTGATTGAATTGTATTACTATTTAGCAGGTTCGAGACGTAGGCGGGCCATTGTCTTGTGTTCTTAGAGAAGACACCTTACTCTCACCATGCCTCTCTCCACCCAGGAGTATAAATAGGTACTGGTGAATAGTCAGGGAAAGATGACGGGGTAGGGGGTCGGGGGGCTAAGCATCACATCCAGGGAGAGTAGAGAGTAAAATACTCCTAGTCGCTTCATGTGAAAGAAACCGCGATAAACTCTAGCTAGATGGGGCACTTGGCTCGAGTGCAGAATCAACCTTCCTTAACGTTTATAAAGGAATTCCCTTTTTTCGACATAATTGGCACTTACCCCAGTTTCATTGCATAAAGCCACGAGAAGAACTGCTATTTCTCTTGGACTTTAAATTCTAGTGATTTAGTTGTCCTGACACAACCCAGTGTCAACCTGGGGTGGAGGAGAGGGGCGGTTTATAAGTACAGTCTTGCCCTGGAACATTAAAAAGTACCCCAGCCAGATCTGGAACTCGGATCTTCCAATTAGGAGTCAACTGAGTCTTTCACCGCGCTAACCAATTGACCACCGCGAATATCAACAATCGTATTCATTTAATATAAAATAAATATACCATGTCTCCATACTGCATCGCATGACTGGTGTTCATCTCTTCTTTCACAATTTGGAATTGCTTCATGAGTGTCTCCTTAGTTAGATCAACCTGCAAATCGATATGAAGTCAAACAGATACTAGTTCACTAGTTCATCTACTAATCCATGATCCGGAATTACCATTACTAAAAGAACGAATGACTTTTGAAAGAACTCAGCATTGCAAAAATTAAAAGAGAAGTAAGGTATCTCACATACCGCATCAGAGTTTCCCATCCACTTCGCAGAGTAATAATCCCCAAGGTAAGTTCGCCTTTTCTTGTCGTAGTAGCAAGCATAGGAAGGTTCACCAGGATTGGCAGAAGTAGTCGCATAGACTAGAAAAAAAAAGATCCCGACAATCACATTCATCAATAAGTATAGTGTTTCAAAGATGAGGTTTCCACCAATGACTCCAACAGGAACCTCATATTAACAAAACTTCATTTATTTTCTTGTTAGTTTAAATTTTCTCTATGATAAAAAGTTTTCTGCAAAATGCATTTTGCCTACGAAATAGAAGGCACACATACTGTCTGTGTTGGTCTTGAGCTTCTTGTGAAACATGGACCCTGAGTAACAAGCTTCAAGGTAGAACACCAACTGAGGGAGCTGCTTGTGAAAAAAAGTACCAGACCTCCTGTCAGATATTTTCAAGCTGTCTTATTTGATCTTACTTTTGCACGTACCAACCATATATCTGATTGTGTAGTCTAATCTTCAAGTAAGAATACATTGTAGTTGTCATCGTGTTCACAATAGAATTGAACATGGTGACTGAACATTACCAAAGAATTGAAACTAACCAATCACTACCAACTTCTGCTATATTAGTCTTACAGCCAATGAAATCATGGCTAAACTGACCAATCACTTTTCCTGAACCAGACTTAACATCAATCGACTGACAAAATAACTCTTACTTAACTCTGATGGTAGCTTCCCATAATATTGTTGCAACATCAGTTATGACAACCAACAATAGTTCTTTTGTGGACTACTTTCAATCGGACTACCCAATCGACTATTCCTCTTGTGTACAAACCATATAATTGTATACATATTTTTTAAAAATTGTTGGATTGAAGTGATTAAAAATGTAAAATCTTTTATGAGTACTAGTAACTATCGTTAACATCTCTGTCAAGGTGATCCTAGAACATCACATGTTCACTGCCCAGCCTTAACCTTCAGTGACAACTATTACACATGAAAGCCAAACTTACAGTACATGAGACTACACAACAGGATGCAAGGTGAATCATTAACATCATCATACACTTGTAAATAGTACATTGAATCTTAAATAAACTACTGAATCTTTGGTTTATATGACTAGCATTTGTCATACCTTGCTGAATTTCTTGTTTTCATACATCTCATCCAGGGCAGCTATTAAGTCATGTGCCATCAACTGAAGAGAAAAAAAATTAATATGTTCACTAAGATCAAAATCCACAGAATCTGTGCATGGAAACAATTTGGACCTCTACCCTTTTTAGCATTGGCCATAAGTGACCAAGACAGAATTCTCCTTTCAATATCAATACAACATCAATCAGACAGGTGATGAGAATAAAGAAAAATATAAGTTTGAGGATTTTCTTGTTGACCCAGTGCCAAATTCTGAGAGGTGGCATCATAAGAATTGTTTGACAGACAGTAAGGAGTAAGGGTATTACTGATGAGATCTTGGGCGTTGAAGGGTTAAGAGGGGTAGGTATTCAGGCATCCAGCAACATGTATAACAACTTTTTGCTGCATAATTGAAAGGTGCAGATATACATTAAGGGCATAGCAAGGGGAGGCACTGGGTCCAGGGGTGCCAGTGCCCTCCAACCCCCTATTTTAAATCAAACTTTTTTTGTCACATTTAGTCAAACACAGTGTGGAGGTTGACGTGAAAATCTGGTGAGTAACCTCTAATTGACACAGTGTGACCCCCCCTTTTGATCAAAACTATTATAAATTTGAGAGAGAAACTAGAAATTGTATATAATTATATGTTTTCATTAAAAAAAAAGTCTGGCTACACCCTTGCGTACATGGAGCACATTTGAGTTGCCCCTACAAGTTCAGGAAACAGTAGATGAGTAGTACTTTATCTCAGAGCATTGTTGCAGCAGTTAATTATAGTTTCTTGATCTGGTGCAAACTTTGTGGAATTTCCCTTCTCCATAAATAAATCACATACTTATTTTGATTGTAAAGTTGTGTTGGAACACACCATAGTTCTTGCATCAACTGGGCTTTTCAATAACATGCAAGGTTGTGTTTCTGAGTTATGATTGGAGAATATTACTCAGTTTTATTAGTATTTCTCTGCTTTCAGATGGCAGAGTCATGCAATGAGGAGTAAAACAAAACATGAAACGAAATTGCAAGTTTGGCTTTTAACCTGGAAATACAATAAAGCAAGGTGCATTACATTTGGGATTTTGCAATTACCTGATTCACAAACTCACCTCGCCACTTGGAAATACAACATATCCACGATTTCCATGATCAGTGAAATATACAAAAACATGGTCATTTGGCCCACTGAGAGGGAAAGAAAAAAAAAGCAAATTTCTTCAAGTACTGTACATTTAGTATGAGATTGGGTCATTGATCTTCATGTAGTCCAAGCTATCAAATAAACCTATATGGGCTGTTTATTTACATGAGGTGTAACCCAAACCACTGGTTAATGCAACCATTGGGCCTAAGCCTTCATCTATAAGAGTGTTGATTTCATTAATAAATACCCTTTCACTGTTAGTTTCCAACCCTCTTAACCCTTTAACTCCCTGATCAAATTTGTAATTCTCCTTACCGTAAACCCTACAATTCTTACAATGTTAGTTCAGAGAATTTTGTATTGGATCAACTAATTATCCCCAAATTGATATTTTTCCTTATTCTCATCACTATAATCTAGTTGATATTGTCTTGATATTGTGAGAAGAAATTCGGTCTTGGTCACTCATGGGAGTTAAAGGGTTAATACTGCTCACATAAAAAAAAAAAGTTTAGATAAAAGGTTCAGCTGAATTGAGGATTGTTTAGGACATGGTTTTGTTATACAACAGCTTAACATTGTTCAATTAACTCACCCTATGAGTCAGAAGAAGTGTTAAATGTAGCTAGTTGTTCATAATAGCTATATGTAATAAAAAAAATTTTTTTTGTTTGTCTTGATACACGAATATATATGTACATTTAGAGTCACAATCCATAAATGAAGATCATCATGGCCAATGACCAGCTACAATATTTAATATGCTGCATTTAATGGTCAAACCTGTCAATCACTTTTCCACTACCAATCCCACTCATGGCTTGTTTATTTCCCTTCAGAATGTTCAAGAAGTTATCTGGTGTCACGTGCTAAACAATGGGATCAATATCAACAGAATAAAAAAACAAGAAACATGTAACACAAAGTTATTGAAACCATATGTATATGTTATGGTTCAGTGTTATCCATAGTTCAAATTTTCATTTCTTTTGTTTCAAACTCGTTATTCTAATTACAATACCCATAAACAAAGGAAAATAAAATTTGAACTAAGGATTAAATTGAACCACAACATATATACATGTCTACTCTGTCACATAACAGTTGGATTTAATTACATGTACAATCAGTCATAGTGGTATAATTAACTACATGTACATGTAGATGCAGTTTTCTACCTGACCAAACACCATGTCTAAAATGAGGTCAGCATTGAAGGCTTTGAGCTGAGAGGGAAAGGTTAGAACTGAAAGAAGAAGGGTAAGGATGGATGAGTGACGGCAGAGGGCTACAGTGTGAGGGTAAAGGATGATAAGGAGGGGGGGAGATTAAAAGGAAAAAGAATGAAGTGGGGAAAGTGAGAGTGTGGGCTAAGGGTTGTGGGGTGAGGAATGAAAAGTGCAGAGTGAGGGGAGGGGTAACAGAGAGTAAGGGCTGAGGAGTGGGAAATATATTGTGCTGAGTGTGAAGAATAGGTGGGGTGAAGAGTGGGTTTAGGAGTGCGGGCTGATGGGCAAAAGAATGGTATGGAGAGGTTTTACTGTTGGCGGAGGGGTGAGTGATGAGGAGTGCAGAGTTAGAAGGATGGGTGGGGTGAAAAAGTGAGGGCTGAGGTGTTGGGGGTAAGGGATTCAGAATAAGGTATGAGGAGGTTACAGGGTAGGCTGAATGGTTATGACTAAAGGGAAAGGGTGAATGGTCAGGTGAGGGCAAAAGGGCAGAGGGGAAAAGGGCAGAGGGGAAAAGGGCAGAGAATAATGGATGATACTCAAAGGGGGAAGATAAACTTGAGATAAAATAGAAAATAAAAATATAGGGTCTAAAAGTCAGCCCTCAAGTAGTTCCATGAATTTCCAGAGAAGTAATCAACATCCACCCACAACATCTAGCCACATGTAAAAATAGATTATCTGAAATGAAGTTCTCCTGACCGTTATACCATTGTGCCAAAAAAGTTTTGAACATTACCAACAATAGCTTTAAAATTATTCAATATTTTGAAAAATTTACTCAATATTTACTCAAGATTGAATATGACTTAAGAAAGTTTTACCTCCTTTGAGTAGTCTTTTGGAACACCCTTGTACACATCGTCTCCATTTGGCTGCATGAGTAAGGAAAAATATAAGAGTGATTTAGTTTATGATACAGTACTACATTTGATCAAAATTATAACAAAATTCTTGAATGTAATTGGTTATTACCAGCCCAATTTGGACACCTATAGGATATATGTACACATATACGATGTCTAGTTTTTCTCTTGAATTTTGCTATACTTTGGGTTAATAGGTCACAGAACTTTGTGTTCCAATTCTCTATAGTTAATTACACTGTCTTGTGATTAACAAATCAGACTCCCACTACATGGTCATCCGATTTTTTTTATCGCTCATATGATTACATACTGAATTGGACTCCACTCAGTCTTATTACCATTATATACCCTGTGCTCCTCAGAGCAATTACTGGGACATGTACATGTAACTCTACTTCAAGCACACTACATATAAATATATGATAACAATCACTATAGCTCAAAAATCATCAACAGTTCTTATATTACTATGCCATAAATAAATTAATTTATAGCCTTCTGTAAAGTTTAGGATGATTATTTTTTTTAAATCATATAAGATGCATGTATGTACGCATGTAATAAAAGATATATAATATAATTCAATCAACTAACCTTGTTTATAATGATGCCAGGTGTTGGATTCCTGATAATAAACAAGACTACTTTAGTTTGATTAATTCAATTCCTTTGTAAAAATGGGATGTTTGTGAGCAAAATGTCAAAAATATTTTCTTGTCCTAGCTTCTTCTCTTGTATTGAGGGATAACTACACAATCTCAGCCAGTGAACGAGTAACATGAATTAACAGAAATCTTAGCTGAAACCAGCTAATTTGATCCATGTAATGTCATGTGCCATTAGTGGTACGCAGAATAGACTACATGGTTATCTAGCATCCTGATTATGCCAACTTTCTTAATTTCCATGCATACAATTATTATGGGCACATTGTGAAATTGTAATAATTAAGTCCTTCATATTTTTGGCTTCCCATGTACATGTATGATTGGCTAATTAAGTGGTCCCACAAAACTCAATACTTAGTATTCGCCCTGTTCCTCTAAACCTCACCCTTTATTTATATAACCATCATAATTTTTGTTAGACTGCAGTACAGTCTCTCTCACCCCAAGTGTATGTACATGAACATGTATCACATTTTTGGAAAACATCTTGCCAAGAGGCCTTTCTATCTAGAGCTTATGTTGGATTCTTAACCATAAAGTAATGAGGAGAATTCCTACACCCCATGGCTGCAATGCCAGCCCATTGCAGTTTCTGCCCCCCTCCCCCCCCCCCTTATGTTGAGTGCTTCCCTGATATTTCTCATTGGTACTCTTCTACACACTCCTGGGGAGAGAGAGGCATTACAATGGTAAAATTTCTTGTCTAAGAACACAACACCATGCTTCAGCCAGTTCTCATACCTGGACTACTTAAGGTAAACTTTTAAACATGTCTCCCACATATTTGAGCAATTACATTAGTGCGGAACTTAAGTTCATTTAATTAAGATACATTTATTGGAATCCAGTGAACTTACAAGGGATTATTGGCAATGTCATCATACATCATGACTACAATGTTTTCGTCAGGAATACCATTTTTGTGGAGAATCTGGTAGGCATGGCATGTATTGGCCTAAATACAAGAAAATGAACACATCATTTGAAGTTCTCGTCAAAGAGAGCATCTATCTATTTTCATTCCGAAGAGGTTTTAATGGTTACCAGAAGAAGGACACTTCACAGAATGTTATAATAAAGTTCGGATATAATGCGTGCTCTATGAGAGTTTATATATTAAGCTCAGTTATGCACTCATTCTGATTGGTTCTCACTTATGATCTATTGGAGGACAGACGTATAGATGACGTCATCATTAAAACTTTTTCCGTATATTTTAATTCTTTATTATATAAAACAAATAGATTCCAAGTTGCCGTGCGTCTGTTCAGTAATAGATCACAAAGGACGTCAAAATGTGGTAAGAACATCAGTGACACACTCGGCTGCGCCTCGTGTGCCACTTTTTTGTTCTTACCAGATTTTGACGTCATCTGTGATCTATTATTGAACAGACGCACGGCAACTTGGAATCTATTTGTTAAATGGAAAGTCCGAGTTTTTAAGGTTTTCACGCTCAGTTAGATTTCAAGTTTACGTACGGTAATAAAAATCAAATACAGCTAACACTTGTATAGTAAATAAAGTTTCGCGTTCAAAAACAAAACAGAAAAAAACAGGAATTATGAAATATATAACCTGGCATAACTGTTAAAATTCATACTAATCATGACGGTGTCAGAGCGACTGCGATCATGCTGAGGTCTATTACTAGCGGCTAGCTCATCATGGCGATCCTCGGTCATCGCGGTGGAGCAAGCCTCAGGAACTAAATCGACAACCCTTCGAGTGGAAAAATAAGAGCTTGCACTGATAACCTTTCCGATGCGTTGAGTGGAAGGCCACATCAGTCGCTGCTGCCGAGTTTTACGGCGCTGTCATTCCGAGCGATCTTCATGTTCTGGTGAATTCGGCTGTCGTTTATTCATAAAACACTCGCCTTGAACAGTTTGTTTTCTACTTGTCATGTGAAAAAACTCGCATATCTTTGTGAGCCACGATTGGGCCGAATTTCACTGAACATTTCACTTTCAGATTCTACATTAGAAACTAAAAAAAACTTCAGGCGAAAGTGTTAAATTCCGGTAGTTAGATAACGGCGTAATATGTGACTGACACAGTCTATAGACTGTAAAATTTTACGCCACTATATGCATCGGTGTATATAATGTAAATTTTACGCCAGTAATATAACTTAATTATCTATTAATTTATTATAACTAATCTACCGACTGGGTTAGTTGCGTAAAATCTTAGTCGCATGTTACGCCGTTATACATATTCCCATTAGATTACTAGTTATCCTGCCAAACACCTTGCATGGACGAAATCTTTTTGAATTTCAAAGATCAAAACCATTTTCTAAACTACATCTGCTTTATCTTTATCCACTAAGCGAACAAAGCTTTCCAAATTACAGTCAAAACATCAGACGTAGTTCACTTCGAATATCTCGATCTATATCCTAGTTTCTCCGACCGCATCTAAACAGGTGTTACTACACAGCTTCCATCTAAGAAGACTCCCAATGGAACGTGACGTAAAACACGTCACGCGTTACTAGGTAACAGTGCTCATGCATTTGCACGAACTCCACCCAAGTGAGGTTCGCATAATTACACACTTTTTCCGTGTTGAGAAAGACTTTAATGTTAGACTGATCATAAAAAACGAATTTTCTTGGATGAACATCTAATTTAGAGACATTAGGATTATAAGTACAGTTAGCAGCAATACCGTTTCCTCTTTCTCGAGTTCTTTTTTTGCCTAAGGGACCGACCAAGACATTTACGTGATAAGGAAAATAAAAACAATAAATTGTATGGCATATCTGAATAATTCAAAGAACTGGTTCAAACCCAATTTGAGTAGTTTTTGAGAATAATTTTCAGTTTCCAGTTAACCATAGACCTTTACCTCAAATTGCCTAACACCTCATGGTGCGCTGAGTACGGTAATAAGAAAACCCTATCAGTTAGATTTCCGTCAAGAACAGCATGTAGCCATCCTGTATAAAGAGCTAAAAAGTGTAACCCCATGCTGTATTACGCATGTAGTTCTTCAATAAAAGAAAACAGAGAAAAAGAAAAAAAAGAAAGGAAAATAAAATATCTCTCAAACAATTTGTGGTTGTACAGTTACCTTTGCAACCTAACTCCTAAATATCTTCCGTTCGAACGAGGAAGTGCGTGTCCACATTCCCCAAGTCTCGTGACTTTCATTTTGTGAGTTATGAGGCATAAAGTATGTTGATACATTCAGTAATTTTAATTTGCTTTTGCTTGCATCATGCCGGGAGAGACTGAAAAGCGTCCTACTCTGATTGTTATTTGCGCATTTGTTCTTAGGCCGAAATAATAAGGTGAACCTTGCAGGTGATATGATGTTTGCTTGCTGATTCTGATGATTACCTGGTGCCTGTAATTGTGCCATCCTTTGGATCCAGCTACAATCAGAGCCCAGTGCTTTCCAGTTTCTGCTGAGGCAGCGAGGAATGAAAGACAGAGGATAAGCAGTCCTCCTAACATGATTCTTTATATCTCCGACGTATCAATACACAGTCCGCCGCCTACTACAAGTGAACGAGGCACGCAAATGAAACGTTGAGTTGCGTACCATAGTCTTATGATTACCTCGTGAGTCGAACCCAGTCTCAGTCGCCGTCCGCTGCCATGTCACGCAGCGGCCCCTCTAAAGATGCTTGTTTTCACGACAGAGCTGTCGACAAAGCTGAATAACGTCGGCGCAAGAACAGCATGTAGCCATCTTGTATAAAGAGCTAAAAGTGTAACCCCATGCTGTATTACGCATGTAGTTCTTCAATAAAAGAAAACTTAGATAAAAGCTTAGGCTTAAGCGCGGAGAACGAGGAAACGGATTTTGAGCAGTTCGCATGTTTTATTTTCCATTCTGTTCGTTCTAGACACATTTTTTCCTTGCCGCTTTTCTTTAACAGAACAACCTCCCTAAAAAATGTAAAAATTAATTTTCTCCTCAACCTGGTCCGCTTGAGCCCGCGTTATTAACCGCATACTTGTGACGTAGCATTCGTTGTTCATCTCTGCCTCTTTTCAACTAAATCTAGTGTTTCCAAAGGGTCTTGATATCAGCAGGCAAGTCAAGAATTTGAAGAAAGCGACAACACTTTTGAGTTGAGAACAGGCCACTTCTCTGCTATCACTCAAAAAAGATCCGCCATTTTATTAAGCGCTATTGCAAGGACTTGGATATCAAACTGGTTTTCTCTTCCTTTTTAATCGGTAACTTCCTTGGTGTGAAAGACCCTGTACCTGACGGGCTCCGTTCACGTGTGGTTTAGAAGTTTGTATGTTCTGGCTGTAATGCCTGTTAGGTCGGTGAAACCTGCCGGCATTTTTCTACACGTGTTAGAGAACACTTAGTCAGCGACAGGGCCTCTCATATTTTCAGGCATCTGAAAGATTCTCCACATTGTCGCGCTTTGTGTTCTACAGATAATTTCCATGTTTTAGATCACGCCTCCACCAGCTTTCAGCACTTTTGAGTTTTTGAGCTTTTGAGTTTTTTCATATTCAAATAGAACAACCATCTTTGAATCAGCAATTACACCATGTAAATCTAAAACTATCTTTTTAATTCTCACACTTTCATGCTTTACCTCTTTTCTTGTTGTCACTATTCATCTTAATTAGCATTGTTCTACTTACTATATATTTCAACTTTCAATGCTTTGTACAGTAATTAACTAAAGATGACAGACGTTTCTGTCGAAACATGTCTTACAAACTCAAAAGTTTTGTCGCTTTCTTTAAAAATCTAGTGTTAATCGTACTTCGATCGGTCTTCTCACTACAATGAAACGAAACCGTGGGCATAAAGAAAATGGAATGCTAGGCATTGGGAGTCCGCCGCTTCCTGCCTGGGAATCGTTGCGTGCCATCAGCTGCGTCTCAAACATTTTTTGCAACAGCAATTTTAAAACCAGCGGTAAGCAACGCAAAAGTATGCTACACTTCATTAGCTTATACATGACATATTTATCCCTGTCGTTCCCAATCCTTTGAGTTTTGGCCTTTCACAAATTTCACACTTGCATCGACAACCAAGGCAACTAGAGAGTGGTTATAAACTGACTTGCATAACATTGGTATATTTCACATTCCTGTGAGTAAAGAAGTCCCTTCGAATCGTCATGAAGGATGGTGAAGCAAGGAATCCAGATTTACGCCAGAGGAAAGCCGACGAAGCAAAAGACAGGGGTAACTTAGCTTGTACTGATAATAATAATAATGGCCGCCAGTTACATGTACATGTTGATTCATTTTAAGCAAGATTTGATAATTTGTTGCCATTATTTTTTGATAAGCCTATTTATACAAAATGAAAAAAGGAATGAACTGTCCAGGTAATTTGTAAGGAAATCTGAAATTATCCAAATTAGAAAATAAAATTTACAACAGGTTAAAACACGTTGTAGGTGGATTTTTGGTACGGTACTAATTATAAGCTTACCCCCGGCTTTTCACAACGAGATCCCTTTATTATTTATACATAAAAGAAATAATTCTTGAAAAAGTGTATTGTGCAAGCCATTCGTGAAGGGTTATAAATTACCCTTTTAACTTTGAAACTATCACAATTTGTGTTTAAAAAAATTTACGGATTTTACAGAATCGTTTTTCTCTGAATGTTCTTCAGTTATTTAGGTTAGTTTATTTGATTCTTGACTAATTTGGTTTAAACAAAATTCTCTTTGTTGCCCCAAACATCTGGTTTTTCTCTGATTTTAATGGATCACTTCCTGTAAACCCACTGAAGTGAAATTTAACCAGCAGACATCACCTGACTTGTCGTTTAGGTCTTTGAAATATTAATTCTTTTTTAAGGAACTAATAGATTGCTTTCTGCTTTTAAGCTTTATGAAATTTTCGAAGATGAGGGTGGAAATTCTTCTATTTCCTTCACTGTTCCTAAAGATCTAGCTGATGGCTATATCAACAACAAGAGAGAAGTTTATAAATTTAGGTTTGTAGTTAATTTATATAAGGAATTGGTTGCTGATCTACCTGTTGAGTAAGTGATATTTAAAACAAACACAAATCAATTTGATACAGTGCTGTGGGAACAAGACTAAAAGGTGCTATATAGTGATATTTTGGGGAGTGTTACATGTATGAGCAAAATACAAAAAATAAAAGCCTTAAGAAAGAAGGCTCAAAATAGGGGTACCCAAAATTGTGTTTGAATGACTCTCCTGGCTAAAATTACTAGACTCTAGGTGTCATTTTCCAGTTTCTGCAAACAGCTTCATGTAAGTAAATTTATTGCAGCAAATGACTTTGACAAGAGCTACTGAATTAACCCTTTAACTTCTGGATCAATTTTTTAATTCTCCTTGCTGTGAACCATACAATTCTTATAGTGTTAGTTCAGAGAATTTAATATTGGATCAACCAATTATCCACAAATTAATGTTTTTCTTTATTCTCATCACTTATCTGGTTGATATTTTATTGATAATGTAAGGAGAAATTCTGTCTTGGTCACTCATGGGAGTTAAAGGGTTAAAAGAAATCATCAGCAAAAACATCCTTTGTCAGTTCATTAGTGCATGGGCATTTAAAGGGTTGCTACATGCGAGTACCTTATGGCACTGTTGGATGGCAAAGAGATTTATGTCTGTGAGAAAACCAAGACAGAAAAGGCAATGAGAGGCTTTATAAACGTTAAGTTTGAAGTGAGGTTCCAACTTCATACCCTTTTATTGCCTTCATTGCCTTTCTGGTTTTTGTTTTTTCACTGGGTACAATTTTTCACAGCCCATGTATTACTTAGACACAAATTTTATGTGTCAAGGGGTTAAGTTTCTGGATCAATATCAGTATCTGGGCAACTGCCCACCTACCCCTCCCCTAACTCAACAACAGTCAATTGACAACAAGTTAAGGTTAATGTTGGGTTGGGGGAGGGGTAGGTGGGCAGTTGCCCAGGTACTGATATTGATCCAAGTTTCCAAGTAAACTGTTGCCGCATCGGTGGGAGAGTATAACAGGGTAATTTAGTATTATTAAATGAGTTTATAACATAAATATTGGCCACTGTTAAGAGTTTTAAAGCTGATGTTTTTGAGTGTTAGCCCTTTATAATAGCAAATTGAAATGATTTGCTCTGACAAAGGGCTAATGCTGGAAATGTCAGCTTTGAAACTCTTTATGGTGGCCAATATTTATGTTATCAACTCAGTTGATGATACTAAATTACCCTCACCCCTGTTATAAATTTTATGTGGTCAACTGCTTTGAAAATGAGGGCTTTTTTTAGAGGAAAAAAAACAAAACAAAAATTACAGTACATTGTTCAATATCATTATTAAGAGTTTCAAAGAGATTGTCATAGTTGACCTTATTGTTAGTATTGCTCTGCAATATTCTACGTTGTTGGTATTTAAGTTACTCATGTAATTTCATAAACTTTTGTTTCTGTTCAAAATAAATGTAATAGGTTCAATAAAGTGTTTGATCAAGACTGCAAGCAAGATGAGGTTTTTGAAGAAGTTGCACAAGGAGTTATAGACAAGTAAGTATACTGTGTATATAATTGGATTGTGTCTCAGTCTTAATCCTTTAAACCCTAGGAGTGACTAGCATCAAATTTCTCCCTACAATATCAACCCTGAATCACATGTTGAGGTCATGAGAATAAAGAAAATGATCACCAATGAAAGAAGTATCTGATTGGTGAACAAATTCTCCTTGTCAGCACCTTAGGAAATATATAAAGAGCAGTATGGAGAATATGCATACTGATTTTAGGGTTTTAAGGGTTAAAGTTGATTATGCTGAATATCTCTGCTTAATGTTCATTTGAACAGAGTAAGAGAAAACTACAGTCATGCAGGCTGAAATTTTTGTTCTTTTGTGAATGAAAGTGCATTGTCAAGAATATTGCTGAGTCAAATAAAAATCACAGGCTGTTTGTAATATAAAGGCACTCATATCTTAATATTTAGATTGTTACGAGGAGTACAATTAGTTGTACAATGTATGATGCTCCAACTGAGAGTGAATATCTTATTTCTGAGTTGCTGTTGGCTCATTTTCTTTCAGTGTCTTGACTGGTTACAATGGAACAATCTTTGCATATGGTCAGGTACATGAACACAGGCCCACAAATATTACAGTATCTTTGCCATCCTTATGGTCTATTATTAGCCACCTAAAGTATTTGAAATGTGCTATGTACTAAGTGCATGATTGTGTTCAAGATACTATGATAATCATGCTCTTTTCCATAAGCTCTATGCATATGTGCGAGGTGTGGCTGTGCTTTTGCAGTGTGCTAAATGTTACGTAAACTAAACAGTTACTGTTTATCTTGCATGTAGACAGGATCGGGTAAGACGTTTACGATCACAGGAGGTGCTGAGCGTTACGTTGATAGAGGATTAATTCCAAGATCACTTTCTTACATCTTTGAGTATTTTGAGAAGGTTGGTAACTTTGTTTGTTGTTTGGTAATGTCATCAATGTTAAATATTGATAATTCTTCATGGTAACTTCCTCTTTATCATATTAAAATAGTCTTTGAGTTTTTAATTTTCCGTACTAAATTACCATGCACACTTTTTGCATTTTATCTGGGATTTGTTGCATGTGCTCCTTTAGCCTATAAGAATGCAAAATTGTCATGTTGTGTACTATTAACAATGCAAGCTATCCATTATGTAATAGGCTTTTTTTTTCTAAATTTTGTCACCAGCATCCAGGCACAGTGTTCACTGCTCATATATCTTATCTTGAGATCTACAATGAAAATGGGTATGATCTTTTGGACCCCAAACATGAGGCTTGCAAGCTGGAAGATTTACCGTGAGTGAGAGCCTATTATTTCAAAATTATGCAAATTTAGTATACAACTTCTTGGCCATTTGTAACAGCTGGCTGATTTCTGAATGGTTTCAAGGGTTTTGGCAACTTTTTAAAGTGATGGAAATTTTGGAAAAACTGTTAAGATGATTTTGTGATTAAAAAAAGCCAATATTAGTTACCTTTAGTACTTCTTTTAGGGTAAATAAACTAACAAAATTTTTTTTTTTACTTATTACTAAGTATGAAAATAATCTTATAATTTTAGTTCAATTGAGAATATGGTATTAAATCAAACACTTTCCTCCAGTTGATGTTTTTTTTTAATTCTTGGCATCTTTCTGCTCGGAAATTTATTGATAATGCAAGGAGAAATTCATTTCTGGTCAATCTTGGGTCTGTGAACATGGTTAACTGACAGGCTTTCTTCTCCTCCACAGCAAAGTAAACTTATTTGAAGACAGTGACAATAATGTCCATCTCAAGAATCTTTCCCTACACCAAGCAAGCAATGAAGAGGAAGGTGAGATGAGGTGTTTAGATGCAGTTTTCACCATTAAGTAGGAAGCTTCCTGTAAACTGATGTGAGAAGTTACTGGAGAACGATGGCAGTGTGTACAATGCGTCAGTGACTAACCTGTATACACGGAAAATGGAGCTCAATCAAGTTGTTAGTGCCTAAAGTGCCGCAGATGGGCAACCATGTTGAAGAATTGCATGATTTTCAGCATACATTTAGTTCTGAGCGAACTGCCTTGTGTGTCTTAACTGTATTTATTTAGTGACTGATTCTATTTTTGCTCTTTTTAGCTCTCAATTTGTTGTTTCTTGGGGACACAAACAGGATGATAGCCGAGGTGAGTTACTGTATTGTGAGGCAATATTTTTAATAAGAGAACATGCGCACGTGGTATTAGCCCGTTTTAAAGATTCTCCAGTTTTCTTAAACCTATAGATATCTTTAACAACGTGCACAAGAATTATTAGAGCATCTGATAAGTTAGATCCTTGGTTCTGGAAAAAAGCGCTGTTCGTCCCCTAATTATCTCTTATCCCGCATTTCTGACCTCTATTCCCGGCCCGCACCTTTGATCACTAATCCCGTACACCTTGTTACGAACTTGTAATACGATTGAGGTATAAAATCGTCCCTCTTTACAAACTTTTTACCATTATAACTGAATGAGAGCAACAGCATTTCCCGATTGTGTAACCTTTTCTTCTGATCATTTTCGTATTTTGGTTATTTCTTATTTCGATTGTAAACCTTTTAACACTACAGACACCAATGAATCAAGCGTCTACCAGATCACATTGTATTTTCACCATCCATATCTCCACCCGTGATCCAGGATCAGCGACCATCAGACGAGCCAAGCTTCACTTGGTTGACCTTGCAGGGTAAACAGACGATAAGAAACGTTATTGCACGCAGCTGTAGTTCTGAAACATTTCAAGAAACTGGCGGAGCTCTCTTTGTGTGTTTATTTATTTAACTATTGTTTTGTACGTATAGGTCTGAGAGAGTTGGCAAGACCAATGTCGGAGGAACCTTGCTAACAGAAGCCAAGTATATAAATTTGTCACTTCACTACCTTGAACAGGTGAATGCATCACGCAATTTTGAAAATAAGGGGATGTATGAGTTAACGAACGAACATGGAAAGGATGTAACATAGAGAGAGTGAAACAAACAAACGATCACTTAAGCGAACGATAGAACGAAAGATCGCATGACGCAGTTCAAACAAAAGAACGAATGATCGGATGGACTAACAGATGAATGAAGAAACGAACTCACAGACTTCAAAATTATCTTTATTTCAATAATCTGTTGTCTTCCCAGGTGATAGTGGCGTTATCAGAGAAGTCAAGAAGCCACATCCCATACAGAAACTCGATGATGACGTCAGTCCTCAGAGACAGGTGAACATATTTTGAAAACATTCAAGTCGCTGTTAAGGTAGCTGGTGTCAGTCCCGGCGGAGTCAGACCCCCGGTCCAACTCCGCTAGCGGACATGGACCCCCCAGTCCAAAGTAAGGTGGCAGATGTGAACCCCCACTCGCTGATTTGGACTCTCCCCCCCCCCCCCTTACAAAATTGTTTTTTCAGTTTCCTCCCCATCATGAATCTGGTGTTGCATTAGTTCCTCTATGAGATCCCATGGTATTTTTAAGTCAAATTTGGTGCTTATGTTTATTTGTTGCTTCCATTGCAGTCTCGGAGGGAATTGCATGACGTCCATGATAGCAACTTGCTCCCTTGATAGGAAAAACTTGGATGTAAGTTGCATTATTATCATCGTTACCGTTAAATATCTCTCGTCTACAGCTTTACGAGAGCTTGACGAGTGCGTGAATTTCCATCGTCTGGAAGCGTGATCGCATCGGTGCTGCACGAGCTATCAAAGAGACAAAGCAACCATTTGTTGTCTTTCTAATTATTTCATCTGACTGTCATATTTATTCCGTACATTGTGGAGGTATTCTTAGACACTGAATGATGTAAGACTTAGAGATTTCATCTGTAGTGTAGAGATGAAGAAAGAATTGAGGGCACTTTCTTTTTTGTTCGATAGGAATCCATTTCAACTTGTAGATTTGCGCAGCGAGTGGCCATGATCAAGAATGATGTACTGCTCAACGAGGAGATTGATCCTAAACTGGTCAGTGAAATTAATTGTTTTTTTATAGAAGAAAATAGTGGCTCATTGGATTGAAAGAAATTTGTTTTGCTGTGACTTTTATTCCTTCGAACTTTGGCGTGTATCGGGTCCATCAGTATTTTTTTGTGCTGTTTGTAAGAAATGCGAAATGCAAACGTGGTTGAAAATATGCAATGTCTGACTTAAAGTAATTGCGAGAGTCAAAAAGAAAATTCGGAATCAGTTCGGTTTTAGCTCACTACGCTTTGTATTTTTGGCCAGGAACCCCCCCAACTCCCTCTGAACCAATTAGTTGCAAAACTCATAGATTTTCGTCTATCAGGCTCTTCTGTGCTCGATCGATGTGCTTAGGAGTATTTACTCTGGGTTCTCAAACAAAGCTCCATTCGATTGTTTTTTCCCTTTTTTTTGTTGAGCGGCTGTTGTGACTAATTGGGGTGAGATTTTACGTTCGTCAATCGAAAAGCGCTCCATGTAAACAATATCGATCTTTGTTTGTTTTGTTATCGTACTATAGTTGATTGCTCAACTCAAGGCGGAAGTGCAGAGACTCAAAGATGAACTTGCGATGTCCACAGGACAAGAATACACTGGCGAGCTAACGGAAGATGAATTGGATAGGTGCCGTTTGTATTTTTGTTCTCAAGTCATCATTTAGGCTTGCGTTTATTCACGTTCCAAGTGGTGGATATGATCTAATGAAGTTAGCAAATTGTTTCCCTTTAGACTGCGCAGAATGGTGAAAAGTTACATCGAAGATTCTGATCCGGAATCATCCCTCAGTGTTGGAGCTGACATGAGAAAGATCAACTACTGCTTCCAGCTACTCAAAGTAAGTCATCAAAGAGTCTTGTGAGCTCAGTCTTAAATTTTAGTAGAGCCATAATATTTTTACCCCGTTTGCAGTTTGTGATTTGTGTGGACCATTTGATCGGTTTATCAAAAGCGGTAGATAGAACGAAGGAACATTAGGATAGTTCCTCTGTACCGAACGCCTTGCACAATATTTGTTCTTTTATACTTTGATTTCTTCCTGCAGAATCACGTGTTGGAGAAGAGCAAGAAAACCCATCTCCTCCCCCACAGAGGTAAAGTTTTCTCAGTATGTTTCAGGTTTCCTAAGCAGTTGCGAACGTTCAGTTCCTGAACGTTGTATGATGGCCTGTTGATCAGTGTTCTCGATTGGAGTGAACTGGTACCAAGCCGAGCTTTCGGTGGCTCGAGTGCTAGTCGGGGAGTTATGTTGTGTTCTTAGGCAAGACAATTTACACTCACATGCCTTCCCAAAAAACCGCCAGCTCTGTGAGCCTTGGTAGTTTCTAACCTCAGCGCGGTTTAGTGAGTAGAATCATGCTTTCTTTGTCTTTCGCTCTCTCACTTGTAGGACTCCAGCAATTGATGGCGTCCTCGACAGCAGTTACTTAGGCAACCATACTGAAGTGAACAAGCTTAAGGAGCTCATTCGACAGCGAGATAACGAGATCAATATCCTTTATCATCGGTTTGAAAAGAGGTATTGGTATAACAGCTGGTTATGTTGTGGCTGTATGAACTGGCTCACACGTGGCTATGTCTTGTTAGGCTCCTAAAGGAGTGCTCTACGATGTTTATTGAGTTCGGTTCTGCAAGGCGCAAAATTTGCTCTTAATTTATTGAGATTTCATGAAATGGTAGTTCGAAAAGATAGAACATGTTTACGAGTAAACTGTGGAGACATGTCTAATGTTGTATTGTTTTATGGGGACTATCCGCTGTTTGTTTGTGTTTGTTTGTGTTCCTTGTTTCAACTGGCAAATCTTTAATGTTGCAAACAGTTGGCGATGAGTGCGAAAAAGTTCTGCTTTACCCTTTGAATTTCTGTTCATCAGTTGATAAATATGCACAGGCTTGCTTAGGTGATCAAAAAAATTTCGCCTTAGGTACATTATCAGGTAAACAAGGGATGGGAATAGATATAATTAGTAATTACTGTTACATATAGTGTGTAGGGCAATACAAACGATACTTAGCGCTAATAATATGAATTATTTTATTGAAAACTTAAACGCTTAACAAAAGACTAGAATTCTGCTCTACTTTAACCTGTGATAACCACATAACCTTCCATTTACTTTCGATCTCTAAGAGCGATAAACGTTAACCATTGCAATTCACAATTTTTAAACACAAGTTTTACTTTAATGTAACCTAAAACGTAACAGTGGACAATAAACTTCTAATCAAGTAATTAAAACGGTTCCTTGCGTGGTAGCGACATCAGTAAAGTGTTATGCCCTTGATCGAATTCTTGAAATAAAGTTAAACCTGTGGCCAACGTGCTTTAAAAAGTTTTAGGATCGTTAGAGAGCTGCGTTGCTCATAAATTCTTGCTTTAAAACCAGTATTTATGGTCTTCTGTAACAAAGCGGTCAAGCAGCACATCAAGTAAACAGCAATGAAATATCGCTAGGAAAACTAACTATGACAAACCTGTGTTTCTAAGGCTGAACTGGGAAACTACTGGATTGACTAGCCGCGTTGCGTTGTTCGCGAGCGCGACTGTGGAGAGATTCACAAACCTGTTTAAACTGGATGAACTAGATGAGAGTTCCAAGTTGACCAAGGAAGAGCACAGCCGATACCTCACGAACACGCACGAGGAAGAAGATGCGTTTATCGGACAGATGGACCGAGAGGCGACTCTCACGCTCGGGAAACTGTCGGCCGATGTGGAGAATTTTACGCTGAGAGAGCTGAAGCAGATTCACAGGCGTTCACGAGTGGCTATCGAGGCTGGAATGACAAATAACTTGCATGTTCACAAGCATATTATCAAATTGTTGGAAAGTCATGTTGTGTTTGATTCGGAACGGCATCAAATGCGGTTGTTAGATATCGCTCGGAAAGAAGTGATAGCAGGTTACAAAACAGCGTTAGAGCGCTGCTCCACTTCTCATGACAGGCTCAGAGACGCCGAAAAACAAAGATTACAAGCTGAGGAGGATTACATCGAAGCTGTGATGGTATTGAATCGAGCAGAGCAAGAGAAAAAGAAAGTTATAGCCGTGATTGAAACCCAACAAGATGGCGGGAGTAGAAGGAGGACGACATCCATGTGAACGGAGCAAAAGTTTATGAGAACGCCGTATCTGTATCGTAATTGTCTATTTCGTGCAGCACTTGGTATAGTTCAATGCTTTCAATAGAGAAAGTGGGCGCACTGGAACTTGATTTAAAAGTCAACAACTGTTGTTTAGTCTCGGAGAGTTAGAGTTCGACTGTCTTTGCAGAGAGCGATTTCACCAAGAGCGGGGCCAAGTTGGCCTTACAGCTGAATAGCTTTGTAGTCTAAACCATGCAAAATAATTCGTTGTCTTTTAAAGATAAAACGTTGGTATCGCAGGTTTTCATCATTTCGCCCTAAATTATTGCTACAAATTGAACAAACTTGCCGCGAGGCGCTTTTGAATCTTTGGTAACTCTGTGATTGCGTCGGATTCTGTGGCTGATAAAAAGGTTTCTTTTCTAAAAACAAAAATTCAACCCATAGAATAGTTGTATTTTCTGTTAAATGTAACGAGAGTCTAAGGGTAACATGAGTAAAGAAACTTTTTTCAAGAAAGGCGAATAAATGAAACTAATATTTAAAAATATTATTCTAAAATGACAAGGCTCACGATTTAAAAGAAAACCGTGAATAAAACACATTCTAAACATAAAATTATACACCGTAAACATAAAGGTGTTGGTGCTGGTCTCGTAGTTGAGTTTTTAAGAGCAGAAAAGCTAAAATAATCAGTTTTGCTCATCGAAAAAAAGGCGGGAAAACATCAGTAGGAGCCAATGAGAGGCTAAAGTAAACAACGTGTGTGACCTCACGCACCGACTTGTTCACCCGCGTTTTCCCGCGCTTCGGGCAGTGTGCTTGAGTTCCCATTGGCTGTTTTTTGTGTTTGTCTCTTTTCTGATTGGTCTTTGTGTTTTATTTTTAGTTTGGTATTCGACATCAATCGAGACGCTCTTTTGAGGGAGATATCCTAAATTCCTTTGTGCAAAACCAGGTGCCCAAAATATATCACCGGTGTTCTATTTCACGATCAATACTTGTGGTTCTTGTATATAAACGCAGAGCAAAGGATATTTCATTCGAAGGTGTCAACCGTGGCAGGTGCCTTTTGAAAATTGAGAAGCCCTGACAATTGAGAGAGCTGCGTTTCATTTCGGTGATGTTCTTTAGCATTATTGAACGTTTTCAATCGAAGAAGTTTATATCAAGATATGATTTGAATGGAAAGGATGCGAATTGGAACTCAGTAGAGTTTTTCTTTATTGATGAGACATTCGAGCACCAAAATGAAAGTTTATTTTTCTTTCTTTTGTAACGCATTGTAAGCTATTTTCCAGTTGATCACTGGTTCCCTTTATGTTTGTTTGACAATGTGTTTCTCCTTGGGTGATAATTCTTTAAATGCACCGTAAACTTAACACGTTTCCACTTCATGATAACTCACTCAGTCTCCTATCCTCAGTCAAAAGTGAGGCATGTTGTAGAGCATATTAACTGCTTTTTGGACAAGTTTCATCAACCAAATCCAGAGTTAATATAATGGCCAATCAGAGGGAAGGTTTATTTGCAAGGAGCTAATGAAAACTAAAAACGAATTCACGTGACTGGTGATTTGCGCGGGAAAAAGTGAGTGGGAGTCGCGGTTGGCTTTACTTCTGCATCTGATTTGTCGAGGTGTCACGAATGGACCAATCATTTGAGGATATGCTCTGACAAACAAATCAACTAACAGCTAAAGGAAAAAGAGATTGGAATATATCCCTTCATTTGATTACCGGGCCTTGGCATGAAAGTAGGTAATAAAGAAGATGGAATGCTGGTACCAGTGGTCAGCCGGTACTGAATTACAAGTCATAACCATGGTTGAGTAGCTACCTATCTACCACGAGGATCTGGATTTGGTTACAATTTGCAAATTTAACAATGGCAACGTGAACTGTGTTTTTTAACTGTTTCTGGATTCGAGAACAAGCACAATAACGAATTCGATGTTGTTGGATATCAGCGTAAAAAAGGCGACGTTTTCTTGTCAAAAAAACCCCAAACCGTTCAACCAAAAACGCCGCCTATCTGCGCGCACTTATTTTTATGTTGGCTTTCTTTTTATATCTGACATGCGTACTAATGTTGTCTACGTAGTGAATGTGCCTGTAAGTTCTCACGTGGTCATGGTTAAGTCAACTGTAAGACTATTGTTGGGGAAGGGAGGGTGGAGTTTCAATTGTATTATGCTCACTATCCTGCTTGAGGCTGAGAAGACGAGGACTGAAAAACTCGCTTAAAAGAGACGTAGGATGAAAGCATTTTATCAGCAGCTTCAGCAAGCGTCTGTTTTCACATGCCAAACCTGCAAAAGGATGTGCCATTGGCGAGTCGGACTTGCGAAGATGCCAAAACGAATCCAACGGACACTAACCCATCGTCTTCCGAAGACGGACGGGTGACTACTGCTACTACTGATCCTGCCAAAATAGATCTCGTGTGTATTTTAATGCCTGGCCTTGTTTCTTACGTTTTAGATTCTGAAAGGAATTTCTTGACAGGAACCACACTGTCAACTAACAATTTTCACGTTAGTCGTTGGCACTGCAGTATGTCACTATCAAGTTACTTCGTTGGTGTACACGTTTTTGTGTTATTTTATCCTTCGTAATGAGCTTTGAGAGTCACTGCTTTGATCTGATCTGTTACTATGATTTGAAATGAGATATTGACTTAACTACTATTCAGATATCTTAGTAGGCATGCTGAAGAAGGAGAAGAAGCGCACGGCTGAGTTAGAGAAGCAAGGTGGCGGCCGACTCCTGGACGGTATGGGCGCGGCACCGGATGGGATCAGACGGAGCGCTAGTCAGCCGCAAAGTGACGACTCAGAGAACGAACTGTCGAAGATAAGAGCTGCGAGCAGAACACGTGTGAGAGACAGGCCATTGTCTGATACCACTGAGGTCTGATTGAATAAATATTTCCTCCCTAGCCATTAAAAAATTGTTGAGTGTTCACCTATTAACGTATCATGTTAGCGAAAGTTTTCAGACTTCACTAGAGGTGTGATATGTAGACGACGATACGACCATAATGAGAGGGTTGAGAGTGAAAAATACTCTTTGTTAAATATTCATCCACAGCCAACAAATTAGGAATTCACGTAGCTCTAAAGAAATCTGTAACGTTTTTCTTTTATGAGTTTGTTCTTAAGTTCTCGGGAGTGAGTTAAGGCGCCCTATTTCGCACTTTTCTTGATTAGAATCCCTCCGAACGAAATCCAAGGTTTATCTCGTGTTTCGTTCTACAAGAAACTTGTTTGGATTTTAATCTTTGTGGGCGACTTTTCAATCAGCGTTTGTCGTTGTCGTAGATTAGTATTAATTCTCTGCTTTTCTTAGAACAATTAGAACTCTATAGGCACTGGGGAGAAAATGAGGAAAACGCGGCTCCGCCATGCGAGTTGATGGAGGTTCTTTCGAGTGGGTGCGTTTTCCGCGAGGTTCAATTGCGGGTGGTCAATGCGTGTTTTTATCTTTTGTTCCTTTTAGAATCGTCAGCATCCTCAAGCACCTGGTGATGATCCAACTAATCACAGACCTCCATCTGCTTACAGAAGGAAACTTGGTGGGTGAACTAGCGAAAGCTTCGTTTGTGTTGCAATCAGTCCTGATTTAACATTGATTTCACCCTACCAAGCATCCGCTCTGATCCGCACTACTAAAAATGAAGAACTCATTTGAAACAAAACAGAAAAAAGAATCCTCGAGGGTACGGCCTTAAAAATTGGGGCAAAACGATACATTACTTAAAGTATATGTATCATAGTAAAGGTTGTAGCGTTTGATGAAAAAATGTTCTTTGCATATGACAAGTTTAGCATTTCCGATGCGTGAATGTCTTCTGTGCATTGGTCATCCTCTTTTGCGTTCAACTTCTTTATCTCTACCACTCTTAAGAGCGAGTTTCCGGCAGACTCCTTTCCTCGGCGAAAACGGCAAAGGCTGTTTCAGTTACTGTAATGTTTTGTTCTACATTCTAGATGAGATGTCTGTCGGACGAAAAGAAGCTTTTGAGACGTTCCGCCGAGACTATCCTCACAACGATACGATAGAGGAAAACAAACAAACACTCAAGCAAAGGTTATTGTCTCGGACTGATTGTTTGCTGCTTTTCCTTTAACTTCTCTTGAGAATTTAAGTTGACAACTTAAGAGAATCTTGTACCTGATCATTCTGATGACCACGCTGTTAGAATGGATTGAAGAAATATTCACATTTGATTGCGTCTTTTGTTTTCAGATACGCAGAGGCCAAACAGCTTGGAGAGCAAGTGAATTCTTCGCGACAAAAGATCAGTAAGTCTTGTCTGCTAAAGAGAGCGACTATCGTCCTTCGTGTACATCACAGTCGTCTCCATGTACAGACAGTCGTCTCTTCATGTGCAGGCAGTCGTCTACCTTGCTTGCATGATTTGTGACCTTTTTCAGAGAGTGTGTATCTTTAAAGTGCCTTTTTTTAAATTCCAGATTCTATCAAAACTCAAATCGAGCAACAAAGAGTTCGCCGATCGATGCAAGGTACTGTCTTAGTTAAGTTCTTTTGCAAGACGTACACTGTAAATAGGTACCGCTGCTGTCTCACTCGTTTCGCAAAAGCCTTTGTGCCAATGATCTGTAAACAATATTTTTTGTTAACCTAAAGGTTTTGTAAACGGCACCGAAGGAATAGATGATGTGGACCCTGTAGAGCAGAGCCTGAGGCAAGCTATTGAAGAAGAGAAAGCCAAGTAAGTGAATGGCGTGGATTTCATGAATGTTCCAAAGCCTTACGTTCGTCGTTGAAATTGAGTTGTGCTAGTCTTCAAATAAGTGAATTCAATTTCGTATGAATTGCCTTCGATGGAAATCGGTGACAGAATATCCCCATTTGTTACAGAACAAACTATCCTAGTATTTAGCACAGATTACGGATTTCCCGCGCTTGTCATTAGCCACGCGTTTTTCCGCGCGTGAAGTGTACCTTGTGATTTCATGCGTCTGCTATCAGTCAAGCTTTTCCCGCAGTTTATTTTGTGACCATTTTTGGCTTCGAGATGGGGTCATCTCTTAGTTGGCCACACTATTAGAATGTCTGTGCTGCCCTGTGCTTTAATAAACTTGCACGTCAACAGACGAAGGATTGGTAGTAGTTGGTGAAGATCTACTGAGTGCGTGAACCTTAAACAACAGAGTGAGTAACGATCTCTAGCAGATATTCAGTAAGCAAGCCTTCTCTTTCTTAAATTAAATTTGTTTTTGCCCATTAATTACCTTAGATATAAGGACAGTTTCACTCGTCTTCGATCCCTGAAAACTGAGATCGAGCATCTTCAACATCTGCTGGAAAAAGCCAAAGTTAAGATGCAGAAAGATTTCGAAATATGGTGGGCAGAACAGGCGGCGTTCAACCAGGTTTGTTTTAATTTTATGGGGCCCGTGCGCTGCCTCTCGTTCAATTCTACGATTTGTCTCTCGTACGCTGTTATCTGTGAATTTATTCTCAGAGACGTGATCGAACTTTGAATTTAAAAGCGCTCATATCACTTAAAACTTCTCTCTCTTACCTCGTATCCTTCCTTCCATCTAAATATGTTGATATACTAATGTGTTAAAGCTTATAGCATAAATCACACCAAAGAGCGAAAATGATTATCGTATGCCACGTGAATAGGAGTTTAAGATTTTGGGGGAGTTGGATAGAAGTTCCTGGAAGAAATTTATTCCATGCTACTTTGTATATATGATATTACTATTTTGCTTCTAATTCTATTTGTGTTTACAAACCAAACTTTCCTCCTCAGACACCCGATGAAGTTCGAGCAGCATGGAAGACCCCTCCGATATCGCCCGTTAGACCTCCGTCCGCTTCTCGAAGACGTGATTTAGACCCGGGTGGCACGTCGAATCCCCGAGATGAGTCCTCTCGCAGCGCAAGACCCGCAAAATTCGTGTCCAAGCTACGAGCTGAAGCACAGCTGGCAGCCATGGGAGCCGTGTCATCCTCTGTCAGTAGGCCCCCAGTGCACCCCTCAAGTTCAGATAGTGGCCTTAGTAGCTGGTCACAATCTGCAGCTACTGCAGCAGCGGCTGAGGAATTGAGCGGAGGCCATGCTGGACGAAGTAAATCAGGGTATGGAGCTACTCGATATGTATTAAGCATAATTTGAGCACTCTAAATTAACTGTAAAACAAAATTACGTCAGCGTTATACAACGTGCAAAGAGCGTATTATCCTTACAGCTAACACTGAAGAAATATCAACGACAACTGGTTTGCCATACAGCTATCTCTGACGTCATCAACAACGAAGGAATCAGTTACTTTCGAATTACTTGTGTAGATGCAAGATGAAATGACTTTGTCAATGTTCGTCTTTCTTCTTCACGAAAAGATTCAAATGGAACTGACGCCCTGAGGTTAAGCGAGTAGACAAGTCCAAGGAAGTCGCTAATGTGTGTGCACATGCATTGTGTTATGTAGTGTTTAAATTTCTTTGCATTGGTTGGTTCCTGCCTCTGTTTAGTGGCGTAAAATTTCGAAGTGATTGTCTCAATCAGCTACATCCCTTTATCGTTCGCAGTTCGACAAGTGATGCAAGTTCAAGTTCAGGATCAGTGATGCTAACTGGTGACACTAGAGCTGATGCCGACATCTTGGCTTTTATAAAAGCCAGGCAAAACCTTCTACAGCAAAGAGGTTTGTTAGATTATACGGGAAAATGATTTGTAAACGGAGGGAACAAGCGCTTATTCAGGTGTAGTGGTAGAATCAAGGGGAGACTGAAACCTATCTGCCCTGAGCTAAACGGAAGAGATGGTCTCCAGTCTCCCTGCGGGTACCTGATTTTGGTGTATTGATTCCAATCGCCACGACAAGAAAAGAGATGGGTGGAAAGGGGCGAATTTAGATGTGAAGGGAACGGTGAATGGTGCATGACGAACCTAGAATTTTTTTTTGTAATTTTTAAAAGAAAGTGTAGCTTCTGGAGTGTGGAGCTTAGCGGGAAAAGTTGCACAAGAGCTCTTCCTGTGAATTACACCATTTACCCACCACAACATTGCAAGGAGAATTATAAAGCAATAATAACATTTTTTTACTTCGCGTACAATTAACGTGACACCCAGTCTCTCTTCAAACTTGTCTAAGAAACTGTAAAGCTGCGCAAAAGATATTGCTTCACCAGTTATGCTTCATATTAGATACTCAGGCAAACAAAAATGTCCCTCCTGTTTTCTACGTCTCTTACGCTCATTTTCTACTTTGTAGGGCATCGGTAGCAAAGAAAAGTTACATCATTAAAACTCAGGAACATCTTGATACAGAGGTGACAGACAGTCAGCGATAAGAATGGCGTTCCTTCCATTTCATTGCCATCAACGCGCCATGTCAATCAGATAGCCTCGTGATGAGGAAGAGGCAGAAAACAACAAGTAACGGTCAAAATCTGATACGCTTCAAAATCACTGCGTCAGCTTCTGTTTCTACAAATATGGCCAGAAACAAGAACAAATTACAAATTGGCGCAAGAAATATTAAATGCACTATTTTATTAAAAGAAATGAACAGATTTGAAACCAGTTAATAATATGTGTGGTCAATTCTGGTTAGGTTTTTGTCATCAGGAAGTAACGCTCTATAGTCCACGAAGCAGGCCTTATTGCAACGACAAGTTCAGTAGTTTCATAACTGCGAGGATCGCTTCTTTATCAGATAAGTTGTGTGGCGATGTGTGTGCAGTTCGATCTCGATATGAATCAGTCCCGCGAAACAAACCACAGAAAGAAGGTGTTGGAAACTGGTTTTTCTTGTGATTTTTCCATGAAACTGTTCCGCAAAATCGCAAATTATTTTGAACACGACTAAAACTTATTTGTTTCAGTAAAGAGTATGTCTTCCACGTTTGCTACGACAAACACTAACACATTACGTGCTGGAACAGAATCCAAAGACTTTAAATATCCGATTTTTTCGGTTTCTTCTTGCATTGCACTCCAGTCAAAATTCCTCTGGGAATCGAATGTTTCTCAAATTGCTTTGATAAACATCCTGTGCTGATAGGAACTTATGTGTCTCAGCAATATGGTTACCGGAATAAACAAAACTTAAGTTTTATCTCGCATCAACAAAACCAAGAGGCGAAGAGAACTTGATGTCTGCCTATTTCCGGTTTCTGCTTGCATTGCACCCTTCATAATATCTTTTCAACAGGGCCTCATTACTAGGTGGGATGCGGCAGGTTTTCTGGCGTACGGGACAACTCTTCTGCAAAGCTTCCTTAACAGCATTATCATACAACCTCTGGTTCTTTTCAATGCTGTAAAAATTGTGCTATATCAGTAGCCATATGCAGTCTTAACTGCCTATTTTTTAGTTTGTGTAGTGCCGTACTCCAGTTAATGTTTTGTTGATGTTGTTGTTTTTTTTAGAGAAGTTTGGTTTGGCTTTGTTCATTCCACACTTTCATTTTCTCGGTTTGCCACACTAAATAAACCACTAGGATCCAGTCAGTAATTCTCCCTTCCAATTTCTGTACATATCCTTGTAAACTCGACCGAAAAAGGTGGTGTGACATTAATACATTTTCAGGCTAATAAGCTTGCCTGTTCTCACCTTAACTTTGCAGGTAACCCATTGAGATCGCAAGGAGAATTTACAATTTTGATCATCTCGTAAAGTAGAGGGTTATAGTAAAATTCTTTATGGTGTGAGATAACTGTCGTTATGGAATTTTAGACTAGAAACCAAGGTTCCTTAAATAAAACATGCGAGTCATAATACATTCGCCACATTTATTCAGCCTTCAAATTAATTGTCTTTGTTAAATTTACAAATGAAAAAACGTAGCGTGTTTCTTTAATTTACAAAAAAAGCCTAAATACGTACAAATGATAAAACACCACCATTGAACGGCAAGGAGGAAAGAACTCAAATGAAATTATTCACTTCAGTCTGTTTCTATACAGAAATTCGAAAACAGCTCTATAGCAATGCTACTCAATCAAATGAATTAGCCAACATTTCCAGAGCGAATTGCTAACTCAAGTCATAATATAATATTCGAGCTAAATCATTAACAAAACTTGGAATCAATTTAAGTTACAATATGATTTAATATATATTTATCTATTGAATTTTGGTACACTTTACGACATGTGTAGAATAACTCGGGGAAAAAACCAGAACGGCAATAGTTTGGTCAGCTGTTGCCACGCAGTTCAGGCGGGAAATTCGCGCACAATCGACAGCCATTTTTTAAACCAGTTTAACAAATTGCCAGTCCGTTGAACTACCTAAACAAGTTACGAATTGGGAGAAGAATTAACGTCATTCTCTGACAAAAAAACATGTTTGCGAGAGTTTCATCTCTATCGGAACAAATTACTCACAGCCATGCAAGAGCCTTTCAACTGCGAGCTGTAAGTTTAAAAAAATACTACACTAAAATTAATTGGGCACACAATTAATGAAAACTTCGGGAAACAAAGCTGTTTGTCTGTCTAAAACGCGCCCTTGTTTTGACAGACTCTACAATAACTTTGAAATTATGCATTAAATTACTCAAGCAAAGAAAAATACTAACTCTTCACCACGTACAGCCTTCTTCGAGACGCTTAAAGGGCTCTTGTGACGTTGTTTACTCAACTGCTTACTCTATATAGCAAAGAAACTACGAGGCTTCGGCTGGGAAACCGGCGCAGGACTGAACACAACGGCACGGATGTCCTGGCGGCTATGAGCTCTGTTTTGCTTTTGCTTAAACACTTCCAAGAAATTAAATTTAAAAAATTTAAATCTAGTCTCCTGTGAGGTAAATATTATTGCTAACACATCATATTAGTGTTTTCATTTCATCTTCACCCCAAATTGCACCGAGTTATGCGCAATTTATAGAACTACGCCTTAAAATTTAGTTTACGAAGGACTTTCTTGGAAGTTAAAACTTGATAGCCTCAACTTGGTTTCAGTAATTAAGAGAGTATTTTTTTTCACTCCTTTTAAATTTCTTCGAGAAATTTACTCTTGAGTCTTGTGTTTTAATTTTTCCTTCATTTTGAGAACTCTATTGACTGTCTCTGGTAAATTTTTATTTCTCCTTGGAGATAATGACATTCCGTAAAGCTGCCGTATTTCGCTTTCAAATAAAATACGTAACTACCAAACTTACACAACGCGACACTACTATGTTTCTCTAAACACCCTGATCCAAATTTACGTACACAGAATTACCCTTTGTCAGCGAAATACGAACAGCGTTCTATTGTCCGAGAACCATGCGCAGAGAAGACTGTTCGCAGTATTTAATTCTTTCGTGGTATCCTTGGTGAAGCTCTCGGAGAAGCTCGTTCACGTTCGGAACCGTTTTCAACGCGCCAAGCCTGCTTCGGAGGCGCTGTACGTCTACGACCCTTCATTTTACTGAGTTCGTCTCCAAACACATCTCCAGTTCGTAGGGCGGAGATTAAATCGTCGAATTCGCCGCGATTATCTCCAGCTGTGCTCATCTTTTTACTATTCTTTTCCGGTGCTTGGTTACTATGAATGACTTTCTTAGCCGCTGATCTTTGCCGATCTCTTTCCTTTTGCTAAAAATAAAAACACAACGTTCTGAATCTTATAGGGAAAAAGTTATTTCGTCAATAACAGCTGCATCGGAGTTAAAACCACCTTTCCTGTCAAATCTACGTTTCCTAATTTAAAACCCACAATTATACCCCTAAATAAGAATCTTTTATTTAGTAAGTTTAGATAGCTTTATTTATCTGAGCAAATGTATGGAAAATTTCTGACTTTCATTTCTGCGTTAATGTGAATTGCAAAAGCTTGGTTTGAACCAGGACTCATCTCATGTCGGAGTCAAAAACGTTAATCCAGTCCACAGAAATTAAAAAAAGCAAGGGATTTCAAAAAAAAAATCTGTTTTACCTCAGCCATTACTCGCGCTTTTCTTTCTTCTTGTTCCTTCCTTTTCTTCATTTCCTCATTCTGATGTTTTGCTTCCTGTAAGACAAGAAAATACCCTGACTCTTATTAAAACGCCCCTCGTGCAGTGAAGCCAGGGTGTCAGCTATCACATCAATTTTATCCTTCTCTGGTCAAAACAACAAAACACATCTTTACTGTTACAAATTTCGCCTTGGCCCACCTGGTATGGAATGTAAAAACAGCACTAGCTTCCCCTAGTTGGCTAGAGAAAGAAAGAAAAAACTTACCGCAAATGAAACCAGGAATGCTGAAAACAGACCGAAAAATTCGTCGGACTGAAGCTGTTTTGGTTCCTCACCAAACATGGACACTGCCTTGGCGTACTGAAGAAGCAGTAACAGGAATTAGGCGCTTTGTTGTTTGAAAAGGAACGTTTGTTAGCGCAATTACATAAGTACTTAACAGCTGACTGTTGAATAAACCACTGAGCTAATTCCTTTCCCAAATAGCAAGCTAGACCAATTTTCAATTGAGTTTCAAATGTTATCTGGAATTGTATTGGTTTTGCTTCACCGACTCCATGATTGGTGAAAAAGAAAAGCTCGCAGCTCCTTCTCAATCAATCAGATAGAAAACTAAACCCAATAACGACTTGGTCAACCGAGTTTTCCCGCGCTTTAGGCGGTTTCCTTGTTTTTCCCTTGAATTCTCATTGGCTCTTCAAGGTTCTTCCCTGTTCTCTAATTGGTAGTTACTTTAGGTTTGGTTTTACGATGCCAATCGAAAAGCTCTCTATCTGTAAATGATTGACAGGTATGTCAGCTGATTAACCGAACGCTCTACACAATCAAAATTTAACCTTTTGCTTCATATCTTTCCAAGATTCGTCCAATTCAGAGAGCGAGAACTGTGCAACTTTCACGAAAGAGCCAATCGCCTCCACAAACTTGTCGCTGTGGATTCGCTCTTTCTTCTTCTGCTGAAATTCCAGCTCCTACGAAACAAGTTGATAATTTGATTCACAAATAATTCATACCCAACTTCAAGAGCGAATAGACTTGTATAAAGGGCAATTTACCTTCTCAACCTCTTTGAGTTCTTTTTTTATGGCAGCTGATTCACTCTCCAACTCACCCAAACTGAAATGGAATAAAGATTATTTCAAAGACGGTAAGGTGTTTAGCTAGGTTGTTAAAATTCGTAACAACCGCGAATCTCCCCAAGACAAACTGGCCTGGTGAATAAATCCGAAAAACACAACACCGAAAAACGGTGTAGAACTCACTTGACTTTTGCAGCTGTCCTCACGTGTGCTAGTTCTTCTTCTAACTTGAGTACCTCAGGATACTGTAAATAAGAGGTGCTTTTTCTTAAAACAATAATATATAGATTTAGACAGGCCTAAACGCGGAGCTCGCATTTTTTTTCCCACACGTCTCAAGGGCACAACGCCTTGCCCCGGCCGGGACTAGAACCCGGGTCGTCCGACTAAGAGCCCAGTGCACTGACCACTGGACTACTGAACAAAGCCGTGGCGTTGGCGTGCCCGCAGTACAGTTGACCACGCATGTTAAAAGTAGCACCTTGTACGGTCTTACGATCGTACGGTCGTACATCCAAATTTTTTCGGCTTGATGGGTTACTACTATTTAGTATAATTATGGGGCTACGCTGTGCGAGCTCCGCTATCATATAATGAAACTTGTTACAGCGAGTAAAAACAGTTCAATTTTGGATTCCATTCGCTTACTAAATTACGAAAACCAGTGCACATGCTCTCTTAACGTAAGCTTCAAACATTTTTTGGCTTTTTGTTAAAGGGAGGGGGGAGGAAGGGGAGTTAATGACTCTGGATTAATAAATCCTTATGTGAGAAACTTACCTTTCTTTCCAGAACCATAATCAGGTAATGAAGGAGAGTTATTTTTGAATTAGAGCTTGACTTGGTGTCCATTATTCTGTTTAGACTGCCCAGCTTAAAACCTGACAAAACAAAACAGTAAGCGTTTTCTGGGCTGAAACAATAACTGACTAACTGAAACTTTCATTTTGGAACTGGTTAAAATTGACTTCGAATTTTTATCTTCAGTGGTTTTACAATTTTCAACGCCTTTTTTGGAATGTCATTTTAACCAAAAAGCTATAACCTTCAGCTAAACTATGGTATCTCACCAGCAGCATTTCCTCTTGCTCCTCTGTTCATGTAATTACCAAACGCTAAAACAACTTCCAGTAATATTCTAAGTCTTTTACTTCTCTGAAGTTCTTTGGATGCTTCCAACACAGCTGCGGGAAAAAAATTACATTCAAAACAATTGACACTTTCTCCCAGGTTTTAATATCTCGGTTTCTATGCTCAAAACAACATTGTGCAAGAGTTTGACAACGACAAAGGAAGCGAAAACAAACAAACACCATTATACCGTTTTTACTGCCACTCATCTGATTGAACTTATCGCCAACCTGTCAAAGCTGTGCAAAGGGAATCTACTAAACGAACAGCGTCGGAGCTCGTCTATTGTTCTAGGAGAATTCTTGCAATATTTTGAGCGAACTATGGTGATCTTTCGTGCTGATTGCGTATAACTTCTGACACTACTTCTTTTCTACTGACTTATTCCAGAGGAAAAAAATTTTCTCATTCATAAAACTGATGGATTCAAATACTGATATGAAGGAAATGATATAACATTAAAAGCCAGCATAGCATTCCCTCACCTTGTACCTTCGGTTTAACTTCGCCCATTCTCTCGGGAAATCTCTTTTTGTAAAACAACGACTTTAACCTCTGCTCGTAGTGGACAATTCTGCAACGTTTTCAAAGAGGCAAACGTAAATGAAAGACAAAGTTTTATCGATTAATATAAAGATAAACTTAGAACCACAGAACATACCTTGACATGTCATATAAAAATCTATCTGCGCGAGCAAATTGTTCGATTTCTTTGTTGTGCGCATTGAGAAGATTCTTCTCGTCTGATGTTGGGACGTACTTGAGAAGCTAAAAAATAAAACACATAAACAAATCTGGTCAAACGTCCACCTGACTATGAGGCAAAGTTTAATTCATTTGCCTTGCTTCGCTTTGTGATTGGTCCAGAAAACTAGTGCCACCCTCTAAACCAATCAGAAGCAAAAACAAAAAAACCAAACGCGACTTGGTCACTCGCGTTTTCCCGCGCTTTCTGCAGTGTTTTTATCTCCTTAAGACATTTCCCTCTTTTTTGATAAGCTTCATTCAACCGTTAGATCGAAACTTGCCATTCTTTTGGCCACCGTTTGTGACATAAGTTCAACATGTTTGTTTACTCATGATTTTTTTGAAATTTTTAGTTTTAAAAAAAAACTTTTTCCTAATACCTGTTCTACCATATCTTTAGACAGCTCGTCATTCGCATCCACTGAAAGAATTGCTTTAGTTATTTCTTCATCCGTCATCTTCAGCTTCGAGAGCAGAATGCCGCAGTTCTAAAGAAGTCAAATACTTCAGTTTTAACACTTTCATTGACAACATGTATTTCACAAGAAGTTTCATGATAATATAGCACCCATTTTCTTCAACAACCTGAAAATCTTTTCAAGAACTGACAAAAGTTCAAGTTCTCCTTAAATTACGAATACTAAATACGATGTTGAAAATAAAAAATAAATTCGTGCATCAAGCTGATCGATTCGTCAATGGTTCATTCGATTCTCACCAGTCATATTGAGGGAAACATAAAGCATCTTTAGAGGAGAATTACTGCACTAATCAATACACACCTGAGCGCGTCTGCTGTCAATAAGTGACATCTCTTTTGGTTTTGAAACACTATCTGCACTGTCCTTGTGGTCTTTCTAAATTTATCGTAAATAAAATGAAATAAAAGAATAAAAACAATGAAATGACATACGATCATCGATGATTAATAAAAATGCACGCTCAACTTCAATTTCTTTGTTTGATGTCAAATAATAATAATAATAATCTATACCTCTTTCCTTTGATAAGCAGAAAACATTCTATCAAAATCTTCAAAATCCATGACAGCATACACCTGAACAATACAAGTAATTCAATGTGATTAAAACTGACATAAATATAAAAGGAAAGTGAATTTTGGGTGGAAACCAGCGGTACATACGCATTAGTCAACGGACTAAGCATCTTCTTGTTGCAGCCCGACTATAGTACTGGCTAAACTATTCAACTTCCAAGCTCGGTAATAAACTCTTAAGACTAGCAGCAAATATATATGAGAAGTAGCAAGTTACCATTACTTTCTAAACAGGATGACGCCATTTTATCTTTAAATTGCTGTATTATTAATTAATCATGGGCAATTAATTGTTACCTTCGCATCATCAATGTCAGTCCACACAGTTCCTTTTATTTTAGACTGAAAATGAAGAACAAGAAACATGAACGAATTTTACGATCATTGTCAATGCAATTTGTTCATGCACGGCCGACCTTTTCAACAGATTTTGCATTAACGAAATTTCCCCTTTCTACAATTAACACCTGGTAACCATTTTCGAAAATCCTGAAGACACATTTAAAGCCCTTTTCTAGAAAGTCTCCTATGTAACCAGCTTCAACTATGTCTCTGGGTACTAAGTGGGAACTGAGCTACCTCGTTGCAAGTAACCGTTTAATATTTTACAGGTTTCGGAGACAATTAAACGCTACATGTACCCATTTACATGGTATACTCCAAGGTCGAGAGAGAGACTGTGAAAGTGTCCTGTGCCCAAAGTGTCCTGCCCAAGAACATAACACAGTGACCCTCCAGGCTCGAGCCCAGGCCTTTAGATCCCAAGTCCAGCGCACTAATCTCTAAGCCACCGCGTCTACAAGTTTTTTGGAGCATTACTTAACGTACAAGAAAGCCACTTACATCCGGTAATTTGGCCCAATTGAAGGACTTGAGTGGCTGAGATGGTTTTGGTGCCTTCCTGTTCGGTTGCTTGCTAAACCCGAAGAACCCACCATCGGACTTGCCACCGGGAGGTGGGGGAGGGGCTGGACTGCCTGGAAAACCACCAGGTGGGGGAGGTGGCGGAGGAGCTCCTCCCGGAGGGGGCGGAGGTGGTGGTGGTGGTGCAGCAGGCCCTCCTGGTGGCGGGGGAGGAGGGGGTGGAGGACATACACCTTGCATTGGTGATAGCTTGCTGGCAGCAGCTGCACTGGTGAGGTTGGAGATCTTGGCGTCGTCTGGTATTGATCCACCAACACCTTTGAGGATTTCTTCGAGCTTGAGTCTTTCTTGGCCTTCAAGTTCAATCTTTGAGGAAAAACGTTGATGAGAGTTGTAAACAGTCGTCGTAGTATGGAGTAAGGTGTAACGAGTGGTGAGTTTACTGAATTAGTTTGTCAACATTGAACAATATTTGAGACGTACACTGATGTGGCTTGTTCTGTATACGGTTTCTTCCCAGGAGTAAGCGCAGAACAAAGAACTAATCTCACCTTGGCTTTCGCCTCATTAAGTTTGGCTTCTTGTTCACGGATCTGTTGCATGGCTTCCTCTCTTTCCTGGGATTCTCTTTCGAGTTTCACAGACATTTTATCAAATGCCTCCTTAAGTTCTTCCTACGGAACAATGCAAATTGCAATTAAAGTGGACTACAACAAGTCAGGATGTAAGTGCAGCTATTTTTTTTTTAAATGCAGCTATCTTTTCGACTTAGTGGAGTCCCTGTGCCGAAGAAATGCTCTGTGCAAGGTCCGAAGTTTCAATCTCTCGTGGCTCGCTTACTGTAGTAACTCTCAGTAGCACCGCCCCAACGCAAGCAACGCTAGTCTCTGAAGGGAAAATACTGATTAGCCCCTCTCCTGAAAAGGTACGGTGATAATTCTAATACCCTAGAGACAAACGCCCGATTGGTTTCACTGAGAAAGATATCATGCATTGTGATTATAAAGCCACTTTAGCTCTTTTGTTCTAAGTGTGGTGTGAACGCCTCTCACCAGTTCTTCTTTTTTGCTATCCACTTCTCTTTCTTTCTTCTGGAGTTTGGCTTTAAGACCTTCCACTGTAACAAAAACAAAAGAATAGTTATTTGTGCCAACAAAAAAAAAACACCCTTACTTACACAAATCTTTGGGGGTTATAGCTATTACGTTAATCCACTAATTCCGTTTAAAATGTTCATGCGAGAATAATAATAATGATGTTTTTATTAAAAAAAAATTCATGAACACGAACAGAGGTTTTCGACTAACAAAAATCCATTGAGCATTGCCAATTGTACTAAACGAAAAAAAAGTGAAAAAAAAACTTGATCCATTGGCTCACCATCTTCTCCAAGTTCCTCCCTACGTAGCTCGTCTTCATGAAGTAATCTGTGCCGAAAAAAAAAGTTTTAAAAATGTTGAAGAATGTTAACAAGAAAAGAAAAGACTAGTAAAGACATGTAGGCCAGTACAGCGTGCTCAAAAAATCCCTCCACTCACGTGTCTAGAATGTAATTCACATTAATATCCAATGGTGCCACATCCGGGTCACTACCGTCATCTTCCTGGACAGAGATTTGCTGAACGACTCTATCAATCAACTGCCAAAGTCTCCGAGCCACACCATGATCATCTTCAATAACAAAAAGACATTGCTTGTGACGCTGTGCTCATGCGCAAATGCGAGTGATTGCTTACCCTGTGTGTGCAGAACCGTTAACGTGTATTGCAGCATTACAGGCACTTGACGTACGTGCAATTCCCACGCATTACACGTGCAACGGCTTGTAACTGACAGCAAATATTTCATCAATAGTCGCCGTTTGCCGTCAGCCTCACGCTTAAGCTCCTAATTGTAAGTAAAACAAACTTTCAACAAAACTACAGATGTAATTAAATCGATAGTTATCTTGTGACAATGATGGTTGGCATTAATGATAACTAGAATGGTCGTGATAAAGAACTACAACGTTGATAACGATCTGAAACTGAAATAATCCAGACTTACTCGTAACCAGGAGCAAATGATGAAGAATTGACAACAGATGTGGATAAGCTGATGTTGTGCACAATTTCCTTCTAAGAACATCAAACATACAGCTCGCACTTCTTAGATCAATGTAAGGCTGCAAAAACAGAAACATTTCAATACATTGTTGGTACTTTTTTTGCAAATATTACAAAGTACTCGAACATTTACAAGAAGTAATCAGATACTTACCATTCCATATCTCTTGGAAAGTTCTTTTTCATCATCAAGCCTTACTATGTCAAAAAAGTTAAAATGCCTGGAAAACATAGCATGACATAGAGGTGAATTGAATTTTAAAGATAAAGCGGCAAAGTTATCACAGTTTTCAAAAGGAAACATAACTATTTTTCATCATTCCTAATTTTGAAAGTTTGTTTCATAATTTGTACTTTCACTGTGAAATACATGCTTTAATAAGTTCACTACTTTTCTTAAGTCAACTGACATTGAAACACAAAATTGTCAAACGAACAAATTGGCACAGTAGTGTTGAGATATATATTCTAGGATGAGAGCGATGCTTCTCTGTTGACGACGTGCAGTTGGTTCTAAACTTTCATTGAAAGTTTGCAGAAATTGGCTTTGCATTGCGGAGTCTTAATTACACTGTGGTTGCCGACGAGTCAATTAAGACAAACCTGTCGAGAGTTGCATTTTCCAAAGTGCGCAGCTTCTCAATGACTGGCTCAATTCCTAGCATAAGGAACTCGAATCGAAGATGAATACGAAATTCGAGATGTTCCTGTGGGGAAAAAAGAGTTACTTAGATAATTACACAAGCTCTCGCTAAGAAATGCACCGTCGTTAAAATTATTGAGTCAACATGGCTCAGGACTGCTGTGAAAAACAGAGATTCCAATCAGTGCTAGTCAAACATTCTGAATGATGTCTCGTCCTTTTGAAAACAGAGTTAACTGTCTACCTTCCCGCACCACACTGTTCTACTCTGACCGAAAAATAATAGGAAAATAACTGCGAGGACTATCGATTTGTTTTTCAAACATGTTAAGGCCGGGGCACGGACGTGGTGTTATAAATTATTTTAAATATAACCGGTTGATCCTATGACCAACTAAACGCATACAGTGCAATTTTCTAGTGTTTTCGAACTTTAAAAATCCAATCATTCTCATAGATCAACCAAGTTTTGGAATTCTGAAGTAACTTTTACACCACCATGAAAGCATTCTAACAATTAATTAAAATTTTATCGCTATGACAAGTACTATGGACGTACCGCTCCTGCTCCATATTTCAGAGCTGCGTTGATGAATGACATAATGGCTATTTTCAAGTTAAACTCTTCTCTGTATTGCCCAGTCGTACGATCTAGGTCATTGATCAATGTCTGAAATGAAAGAAATTTTTTTTTATTGTTTTCTCAAGATGAACAGTCCATAAACCAAAGATAAACTCACCTGGAATCTTGTTCGTTCCTCATTGAACCTTTGAAAGTGAGTCATGGCATCCAGTGCCTTCTTGTGACCACCAGGTACCAAACAGACAGCGCCAAGGATTTCTAACACTGCAAGGAGAGACACATGTTCAAGTCCACCATTGTAAGTCTGTGATCATCACATTTACATGTATGCACAAAATCCATTTTGGCATCTACTACGTGCATATAAAAAAATTATATATATGTAAGGGCCTCTTCATATGAGCCTTGCAAGACTGCTCCAGTTATTGCCAACTCACTCTTACTACCCCTCCCCTCCTTTTTTGTAAGTAAAGCTTTGATGTGTTCCATTTACCCATAGAATCGTTAACACAATCCGGTTCAAGAAATGAGTTCCATCCCTTCCCAACAGTGGGATAAAGACTATGCTACAGAGAGGAAAGAAATCCAGGCTTAATAACTTTGAGCAAGATTGCTGCAATTGGACTGAAAATTACCAGCCAGAAGAAACTTGAGAACGCCAATTCGTGTTCATCTTGGCAATCAATCTTAAACTCTTCTAAGAAAAGTAAACTAGCTAAAATACTATACATAGCTCAATGTACAGGCTATAAATTCTTTAACAACAGTTATACCCTTGCACCTGTTTTATAAGCCTACCTTGTATTTTAGTTTTGACATTTTCAGTACTCATACTTTGAGCAATGACATTTATACATGATGGGTGTGCCAACACATGTGCTCTTCCATGCTATAAGAGAAGGAAAGATATGTTTTAACCAACAATCATGCAAGGAGATTTTTAGTAAACTGCGACAGCCCACTCACTCCAAAGAACTCACTATCTGCCAGTCTGCCCCTTACTGTTAGTCACACAGTTCTCATAATTGCACTCCTGAGAAATTGGTTTTAAATCAGGCAATATTCTCTAGTTGATGTATTTAACTCTTAAAACAGCTTCTCCTTAGCAATGCAAGGATACTGTAAGGAGATATTACATGTCCATCACTCCTTCAGGTGAAAAAAGGTTATATAAAGATTACTGTCAGTAGTGATACTCACTGAGCTGTTCATCAGTGCTTTAAAACATCCTATTGCTGCAGTGTGAATTTTACTTTGACTGGAAAGAAAAAAAAGAATTTCATTGGAGTACAGTTAAATAAATGAACCCGAACCTATACAAGAAAGTTTACAAAGAATGAATAAATAGTACAAAAAGCTGCCATATTTGTGCAAAGAATGCCATCCCCTGCCCTTGTAATACTACACAAAGTTAATAATCAGTCTAAAGAAACAAATAACGACCTGTAGAATAGAAAATTGAACTGTACCTTGTCGCATAGTCCATATTTTCTAAGAAATCTAATAAACAATTTAAACCTTCTAATTCGATAAACCTATGAACAAATCTGCAACAAAAACAAACAAAAAAACAATCAGGCCTCATTGTTTAAAATTGTTCTACTACACATATAAGCCAAGATTAAAATAAACTTACTAAAATTATTTTCATTATAATGGACATACACACCTCAAGGGTTGAGTACGAAGTGCAGTCTTAAGTCCATCTACGAGTTTTGCTCGTGTCTCTATCTCCTCCTCACTCTTAAAAATGTAAATCTGTACCAAAAAAAAGTGCCATCTGCCATCAGACCAATTGACCCACACTCCCCAACCTTCTTCCCATTTCTGCGACAAGAAGCAACTAAGAGTTATGCCACTCCCCATGGATAAGATGCTAGTTCATTACAGGCCCTACCCTCCCCCCTCTACATTTTGCTCAGCTTCAAGACAGTTTACCAGAAGCACTGTCAAAGTGAAGTGTTTTTCTCAAGACAACAAAACAACCACCCAAGCCAGTCTTAAAACCCAGACTGCCCGCCTCAAAGTCCAGCACCCTAAAAATGCCGTACTAGTAATAACAAGGTCAAAGGTGAACATCAAAGTCGTGACTGATGCCTATGTGTTGAGAGGTAAGTGTGAATATACAAACAACTTTCATGTAGGACTTACTGATTGGAGGCTCTTCAACTGATCTATGTAGTACTCTGGATAACTGGTGGAACTTAATTCTTGTTGTTCCTGAAATTTGATGTGTAAAAATTAGTAAATGATAAAATCACACAACTCATGCACCTCAAAAGCCAGTAAATCCTAAGGTGTGCAATACAGCGATGTAGAAGTATTTCACTGTGTCCACTGCTACATATAGTTAACCACAAGTTTCCCGCAGATTCCATCCAGTTTTTATGGACAATTGCTTGGCAGTGTATATGAATGTTCTTGGTACATTGGAAATATAGAATATCTATAATCCACCATACACTGTGGATGATTCTACATAATTAAAGGAGGCTGTCTCTTGATATTTGTGCTGAAAACAAATGTCACAAACAATCAAACTTTGAAGAATATCATGAAAAAAAGGCAAAACTAATTAAAAAACTATAAAATATACCTTTGACTCCCTCTTATTGATACAGATACAGTTGTAAATTATTGTCTGTCGGTCATTTTTTCCCCTCTTATTCTTTGACGAAACTGAGAGAGGCACTAATGTTCAACCTTCTCTGAATCTATTGGCCACTCTCTGGCAATAGGCTAACAATATGATTGCCTCAATACCAAAACAATTAAATTAAAGGAAAGCAGACAGATTGTCTCTGAAAAAAAAAAACATATTTCTAACTCATCTCACCTTAGTGTTGTTTTCACTTGTTCTATATATTAAATCAGAACCTAAATTTGTTACAACTTAAAATCAACAATGTTGATCTCTGTATCTGTACATGTATGTAAGTCAATTTTCTGTGATAAGTTAAAATCAAACTTTAAACAGTAAAATCCACACAATACAATTAAAAATTTCAAACAAAAGAATTACGATAAACAACCCGCCTTGAGATTAAAAAACTGCCATGGTGAACATGTTGCCCAGTAAATACATGTAACGACAACCATGAAAATATACAAATCACTGCTTTGGCATATAGAAGGAATTCTTTAGAGAACTGTACAATGTACAGAATTGCGCCAAATCAACGCTATTTGTTAATTGCAGAAAATTCTTCTATAAATCTTCAGAAATACTAGGTTATGCTCTAGCACAGCTTAGTCACCACATATACAGATTGTGTGACCCTACTTTCTGAAAGATGAGCACCCAGATCTCTAAGACAAAAGCCCCTCGAATGGGTAACCTGTGCTGCTTTAACCATGTATGTAAAATATTACACAATAAGCTGAGGATATAGTACTTCTCTTGGAGAGATCATAAAGAAAGTAATTTATCCCTGGACTCGGCTTTCTTTTAATTTTTCCTTTGCTCTTGAACAATAAATGAAAATAATTTAACTTTAAAATCATAACAAAACTTGAAAAGAAAGTTACTTGAGGAATCATTGATTGCAATTATCTTGATGATAAAACTGTGCTACAAAATGACAACTGTACTGTATATGCATGTGGTAACATTACCATAAAAAGTTCTCAAAGAGTATTTACCGATCTATACATGTATTTATGTTTAGCTACATTGAATCCCAAGCACACAACCTTGGAACTGTTCATGCATGACAAGTCAATATTCTGATATCAAACCACTAGACAGTCTGTCTATAAAAAAAAACTATGTCATTCAATTTCACTCCTCAGCTCTTCTATTAAGTGTGACCTCTTACATCAAATTGTATACAGGGGAGGAAGTAAGATTGAAATTCAAGGCTACTGAACCAGCTAAAATAGGTTAAAAAAGCTATTTGATTTGGATCACTATTGTTTTAGAGGTCAAGAATTCTATATTCACAATAATTATTTGTGATGAATGATATCAGTTGCACTAGACAACTTCACCATTTATTGACAAACATATTAATTTGATTGAATAATCATTTTAAAATCAGTACTGTTATTGTAATACATTTTTTCTTAAAGCATGGGTTAGAAAATATTTCAGTCTCTGAAATTATATTTTTAAATGGCTCAGATGGTTAGTTAACAAGCTTAAGCCTGGAGGCTTCAAGAGAGAAAAAAATAAACATGCTTAACATTCAAAATATTCTGTCCAAAAGATGGCAAAGACATCTAAAAAATCCAAGATTTAATGACCAATGATGATTGAAGTGGAATCTAATCACAATGGGCAAAATAGAAAAAGGAGATTTTTTTACTTAATCTTGACAAGGACTTTGTGGCAGAGAAATTAAATATAGATATTTTAGAGAAACCTTGATACTTTGAAGCAAAGAAAGTAAAAACCTATTTTTCAGAGGAACTTTAATTCTTTAGACCAGATGGTTTAAAAGTAGACAATGTTGCGTCTGACCACAAAAAAAGAGAAAAGCCCTTGAACAATATATTTGGATTTTAAAAGAATACACTGGATGAACAATCACTACCATAATACTTCTATTTCTCAACATTATACCAAATGTTAATCATTTTTGGTCTTCTTGATAAAACTTGTAGTGTGCCATACAAACAAATCAAAAAATGAAAGTGCATAATATTTTTGTTTGCCCAAGTTTAGTGATGAAAAGTGTTTTGAAAAATCCAAACAGCTGCAATCTTGAGCAATTACTGAAGCACCTCGAAAATGCAAATGAGTAATTCATAAATTTGGGTTATTCAAAAAACTTTCATGTTAAACTCCAAAATCCTTTTACTTTCCAAGAATTCCACTTTTGAATATTTATTTAGCACTTGTGTGTTGGTTTGAATATTCAGCATAACATAGCACTATTACAAAAAAAAAAAAAAAACCAAAGCGATAGCTGTATGTAGTTATTAGGACTTGCGTATGCGTATCACCGGCCTACGTCGTCAAGCGCGGACCTCATTAAAAATTAACATTGCTGAATTAATATTGTGTAAATACGAAGTCCTCCAATATCAAGGAGTGAATCAACAGGTATCGGAAGGAAAGAAAAATCCAGATCTTACCTTCTTTTTAGACAAATAGAGCTGCCATTTTTTCTCCGGAGGTAATTCAAACATGGCCTTCTTGTGAACTGCAGTGAGGTCAAGCTCTTCCTGAAGAACATGAATAAAACGCGGACAAATATTGATAAAAAATAATCGAGATCGACACTGTTCTGATACGAAATATTTGTATTAAATTAAAAGCAATGCTCATCCTTCCCTTGTTCCTTAAATTGATACATTTGTGTGGTTTATTTTGGCCATTTTAATTCTAAACAAGTTTTCTAGAATATCGTCGGCGGTTCAACAAATGTTGACTAAAATTGTACACCACTACAAAATTACTTGACGCGATTTAAAGAATCAGACAACAGACCTCCCGTGTTCACAACAGTTGCGCTTTATTTTTAGGAAGAAACGAGAAGAAATGCTATTAATAACTGATTTTGGAACTCGTGAAAAATAGAGCGAAGCGAATAAAAACATTCTTTTCAAGGAAGAACTGATCGAGTGGAAGAGGTCGAATGCACGCGAAAGGAATATCGATTTTCTATTTAGAAATCAAGACATTTAGAATGATCAATTCGCATGATCGACGGATTTTTATACTCGAAAGGCAATGCTCACAATAACTAATCAAAGATTTAATCACAACGAAATCAATGTCAGGATACATAACTTCATTGGCAAGCTGAATTCATAAAAAGTCGGAAATGATTTTGAGGTCGCAGGATAAATTTATTAACATAAACAATTGTCAGGGACATGGAATTGGAGAAATTTGACTCCAGTAGAATTAGTCAGAGCAGATTGCTTCTAAGAGGGACATATAGGCAAATTTCGCGTCAGAAATTTCAAATATTACATATTAGATAAGACTTATAAATGAACTGTATAGATCTATTGAAGTACTAGTACGAAGTGAAAGGAACGACGATCTGTAATGCTAAAAGCACTTAATTCAAGTCCATTGGGAATAATTCCGTGGAATCTTCAAGGCATGAATTTGTTCTTCTCTATTTCATTATTCTTCCGAGAGGAAAGAAAAACTATTGATCCAATAAGGTTCGAGAAAGTTCCATATTTTGGCCTCTGACACGTGGATGTAAGAATTATAAATAACAAATCTAATCGAAATACTTGCCTACGCCTCCTTGACAAATGTCAAAGAAAAGAATGACCATGAAGCTGAATAACTTCTCCAATTTGGAGAAACAATTCCAGCGTAAACTTTAAGTCTCTATTCACTTACCACAATCTCTGCGAACTTAGCATTGAGTTCGCTTTCTTCAGGCATCGGCTGTGAAAACTCCTGAAGAGTCTGCATTCCCTTTGAATGGTCGATGCCATAGCGAATTTCGGGGTGGTTTGAGCGAGATCCGAAACAGCCCACACCACGCTTTCGAGGCATTTTACAAACCGACTGTTATCTTTTCACATGAATCATGAGTATACACTGCCACATAAGCCTTCTAGGATAGAAAAAGTAAAGAGGCGAAGGACAATGAGCGGCCGTAATCATCAGCCGCTGCGCTGACCGACCATAACACTAGCTAGCGCGAGTACTAAACGGGAAGCAGCACGGGACTTCAAACTACATCTGTCTAGGGGAGGGGTAGTTAATAAATCTGTTAGGGTGGTAACATCAAATTAAATAAAATAAATCAAACCATTCATAGGGACTTCTGTGGATTAATATTTCCCTTCAACCTGCAATGCCTTTGTAACTTTCAGTCATGTTGAACAACTTTCATTTCATTTACAATGGAAACGGCAAACCTTATTTTACCCCTCTCCTGTCAGGGATAATTTACCATGACAAAATTAACCTTACCGGGATTAAGTGACTGGTTTATGTTTTGCCTCAGCTTTCCGACTAACACCTTGCTCGACTTGAATCACTCGGTGTGATAAATAGTTTTTAGCTTAGAATAATTGATTGTGTATTCAAAGGTGGCTGCATAAATATCCATGAAGATTAATGTAGGGATAAATTTCATCGCGTTTTACAGTTCGATTCTTCGTAACATCGGAACTCGCTAGAATTAAAATTTCGTCGCACCTGACCTTCCGGTGCGAAGTAGAACAGTGCCGCCTTTGGTTAGAAACCGGATATGGAATTGTCTTGGAAATGAGGTACAAAGTACCGAGTTCCGGAGAAAGGATTATAGAACAATCAATAATTAGGAGAAGTTGAAAATGAAGTGATCCCTACGTGCTCTCGTGATGTCTTGGAAAATCAAAATTTGGGGCGAAAGCCAACTCGAATTTAACTAGAAAGGTTGCTTTCTAAACTCTTTAGTCCGGAACTATTCTTCACGTCGCAGTTCTACAAAGTTAAATTGAGCGAAAGTGCCTCTTTCGTATCAGCTTAAATATCACATAAAACTAATATTTGTGCGTCGATGGCATTGTTATTGGCAACGTAATGATTTTTGTCAGTCTGAGAATACTGAATAACTATTGAAGCTCTGTCTCAATGATATCTGGAAAACGGCCAGATCAACGAATTTGTCTGCCTGAAAGCACCAATTTATAAATATTACCTTGCTGCTACCCGAACGTAAGTATTCTTCTATCGCCAAGCGCCCATTTCTATAATTAATGTTTCCTGCTATCGTCCAAACACTTAAAATAATCAAGTAACAGCCGTAAAACCACTCTTGAAGCTGAAGAAATTTCCCTTTCGATATTTCATATTCGAGTTAATTTTAGCTCGTGAATCAGTGCTAATTTTATATACTTCAGCTAAGATTTTAAAACAAGGAAATAGTTAGTTTCCGTTTACGCACTGTTTGGTCAGAAGGGCGGAGACCCCGTCAACAATTTGAATGATTTGTTTTGTTTTGTGTGTCTTTGTGAGACAAGTCTTAACTTGTCAGAAAATAACAAAAGTTCTCCAGGTTTGAACAACAAGAATTACTTAAAATAGGTAAACTCAATTATAGTTACATCAGAGTTGTGGAATGTGCTATACGACACTTTGTACCCGACACTCAAAAAGAAAGCTTTCAAGTCGTTATTGGGATCCTCGTGAGAGCCACAGTGATGTTATAAAAACCTATAGTATTACCTGTATTCCGTAAACATGATTGATCGATAGTTGGTTTAAAGAACTTCCTCTTGTTTCTCCTTACATCAATATCTCAATAGCATATATTTGTGGTCAAATAAGAACTCTTGAAAGTACGAATTCCGAATCCTTATCACCAGTTATGAGCACATTTTTATTTCAAACTGGTTGTTGCAACATGTTGTCCATAGTCAAGAAGCTTCTAGAAACTCGAAACTCCTAAATAGTGATCACCTTTCATCTTTGCAGTTCATCTTAATTGCAAACTCATGGTTTTAAAAAATATCAGGGTTCGTGAACATGGTGTAAGATGATTTTGATGTCTTGTACCAATCTTTCCTCTTGCACAAAAGTAGCTTTCGATGATGCCTTTCATCAAACCTTTTATTCTATGTATTCGTGTTTTTCTTTTCTTTTTTACGAGGTCTAAAACGACTTTTTGTCCGTCAAAATACTGATGACAAGGATTCACGAAAGAATGAACGGTACATCCGTTGAGGAACTTAACAACACAGCTTTCACTGGAATAAAGGGAGTAGTACTGTGTCAATAGGAGAGTATCGCAGGTCATTTAGTGTTAATAACTGAGTTGAAAACGTAAATTGGCCACCGTTCAGAGTCACATGGCTAACGTTTCGAGCGTTAGCCCTTCGTCAGAGCGATGATGAAGGGCTGACGAAGGGTAACGCTCGAAACGTCAGCCTTTTGACTCTTTGCAGTGGCCAATTTACGTTTTCAACTCAGTTGTTAACACTAAATTACCTGCTTTCACTGGAATAGTCTGCACCGAATCTGTCTTCAGATTTTATAGTCGAGTTCAGTTAACTGTAGTTAACGAGCAGTTACAAGTAAATAGTACAGACTCGGTCCGAGTGCAGTTACTTGCAGCGGTAAGACTTTTTGGCCGCTCGCCGTCTCCCGCAAAATAAGTAGATTACGCTCGAGAGGATGGAGAGGATAACATTTGCGTGTGTTCACACCCAGGCTCGCAACTCTGCCGCGCGCGTTCAACCAGTAACTCCGCGAGACAGAAACTGAAATCTTTCAAGGACTGGTGAACTTTAAACTCGTCTAGGTTCCGAAGTTATCTAAACGCATGGTATACTCTACGTGCAATAGTCTTACTGTAAAAATTCAAAAATTGGCTGGGATTGAAAGTGGATGTAATTTGCACTCGAACTTGCCGTGAATATCTAAATTATATCAGAGCTACAAAATTGATAATTCTGCAAAGGCAGCTGATTCATTTTACTGAAATGTTGCTTAATTCATGTACACACTCAATTATTTCCGAGTAACTGGAGTGCAGTCAAAACAAAGACCTGTTATCTTCAATAAACTGTAATTTAATTATTCGCTTCCTGTCCACTTCTTTGAGAAGGCGCCGCAAACCGGAAAATCGGCGTTGTCGCTTCCATTTACGGTGACTTAAACTCGTAAAGTCTAACAGATTATTTCGAAATCAATCCTTTGTGGATAAACTGAGCCAAGTCTGTGGCAATTAAGCCCAAATGTTGCTCGAAAATATCTTTCTATCATCATCAAACGATTCAGCGCAGAAAAAATATGTGTTCCTCGTATTGAGACATTGAAAGAGGAGAGAATATTATCTTTTGAGTTCATCTGTGCCAACTTTCATATCAGTCGGATCTTCTGTGTAATAAGGATTAGAAGTACATTAACATGATTAATTATTTTCTCATTAACTCTGCGCTTTTCTGATTTGCGACAAATGATCCATACAATAAAGCCGATAGTTATAGATAACACTAGAGACCCATTGTGTGAGTATCTTTCTTTGAGTGCTTTATCCTTGTCGGCAACTACGAGACTTGAAATAAAAAAAAATTGTGTTGACTCTCGAAAGCGCTACAATGAGCACTGACTCAATCTGACCTTGAAGGCAGTTTTCTAGATCATTTTTCCTTTTAAAATGGATATTAGGATAAATAGGTTTCAAAAGACGAGATCTGGGGGTTCCACGCAATTTCAAAATTAACAACGGGCTTTAAAGTTAACCGAGAGAAGATCAAGTTAAGGCATTAATCCTCTATATTTTTTTTATTATAAGCGTAATCCACTGCCAGATTGAGGGGTTATTTTCTTTTTCAAGGCGAAACTGCTCTCCCGTGAACAATTTGAGGTTAAGCTAGCTCAGAGCGTGCACGGTGTGCCACAAGGGGCTCCACTGAAACGCATATATTGTAAACTTCCTTCGATCTCGCTTTTTATTACGCTCTGCGTTACTCTTTAGCTTGAAAACGGTCATGTGACATCTATCAATGTCAATGTTTTTTGGTGAAAAACGAACCCCTGAGAAGCAGATGAGATGTTCGTTTGAAGCAAAATTCGTGTCAAAGAATTGATTATTTCTTGATCTTCTGGAAGTGTAGAAAGAGAAAAATCACTTTTGATGTTCGATAATCACGTGAAAGATAACGTTAGATGTATAAAAGGGACCACCATAAAAGCGAAGAACAGAGAAAAAAGGACGAGTGAGTCAAACCTTGGCAAGGATGGGTGAAATTAAAGGACGGTTAATCAAATTTCATCCCGTCCTAAGCTTGTAAACGTTTGAACGATTTTCTGTTAAAAATCTCGTTTCAACAAGATTACCGTTAAATGCCTTAACCTGACTTCTTTGAACAGTTTAAGAAGATTACCTGATCATGTTTGAATAGTCATTTCAGCTTTGATGCTGCATCCAACTGTGTAATAACCAAAAAACTAAATAATCTGCTTAGTAAACTCAGAAAAGTATAAAGATTCGGCGATTAGAAATTCACCCTCGGCAATAATTGAATCATTCTACTTTCATTCTGACATACAAATCGCCGGTTCTAAATCTTCGTCTACTTTTGTTTATGGTTTTATCAACTAAGTTTATAATGTAAATTGGCCCCCGTCAAAAGTTTCTAAGCACTGCAAGCGTTAGCCCTAACCCTTCGTCAGAGCAAACTTTCGCTCTGACGAAGGGCAAACGCTTAATACATCGGCTTAGAAACTCTTTCCGGTTGCCAATTTACATTATCAACTCAGTTGATAAGACCAAATTGTCTTGTTCTTGTATACTCCCCCACCGACGCAGCACCACATTTTATTTAGAAGGTTATAATGACCCTCTTTCTCACTTTTGCACATGTTTTATTCTGTGGCTATTCAATACCAGTCCACCCTAGAGTCCTCTTGCCTTACTGCGCATGTTTTTTTCGTTTTCCGATCGCCGCGTTCGCCGCGGCTTAGAAAAACAGGAAATCGTTGTTCAAATGATGACCAGAAGTTCTACTAATAATAAATTGATTTAAAAATATGAACAGCTGGCCTTTACACCAAGAACGATTCTTCCCGCCAAGCCAGGAATTTCGACTTAGCAACGGCTTTGAAACGGTTTTGGTTTGCAAGCCGAAATTGGCCTGAGCGGAAGTCATGCAAAAGGTCGTGATGACGTATTATTCCTCCTGAGTTCGCTAAGAATCCTGGAATCGTGTATAGAACGGCTATACAGACTGGAACGGCTAGATAGAACGGCACTAAATGTTCGTTGTCTAATTCAACAGGTCTATTTCGTTTAAATTGGCTTAGTCGAAACTCGAAAACTGAGATCCGCTCGAGAAAAGATCAACGTTTCTCTTGGGCCTAACTTTCTTACTGACGCTAACTTATCTGATCCAAACGTTAAAGTTAATACGTCCTAATATTGTTTGTATATAATGTTATCTACCAGCCTTAGCATAGCCTTGTTTGACTTCCTTTATCTCAAACTGTCATTTTCGACATTTTCATTTCAAAGATACGTCATTTCACTGCACATGCACCTGCTGAACAAAGGAGCTTTCTCGTTTACTCTGCTGACAGTTTGTGAATAACAAAAATAGTTAAAAATCTTGGTCCGTTAAAATATTCGGGAGAAATACATTTATGGTGCGTTTTTTGTGAGTTCTTCTCGAAAAAACTCTAGCGTCTTCATTGTCAATTGCTTCCCTCTCACATTTTTGGTCATCGCTTCCTCTGGGCTTTTCCTTCGTTCGGTTTTGAAATATTTTCTCTTCTGGTTGCCTTGGAAATATCTGATTACAGTTTATCTTAAGCGAAGGATACACTTTATTACTCACGGATTTTGTTGTCTGTTGCAATGAGCTATCGTGTGCTCTGCGGTGTTTTGGTAACAGCGGTGAAAGATTCGTTCTCTGCTTTCTTCCTTTCAAGCTAATTCCGGACGACGTGCGGACACCCAAACATTCGCTCTTAGAATCATTGTCAGCAGTTACTGTAAATTTATTTGCTCCCTCAATGCGCAGCTCTTTAAGTTTACTTGCAGATTTAAGCGCCAGATTTCTTCTTTGCAAAATGCTATTCTGGATAATAGAAGACACATCACTTCGCTGATCATTGCCAACCGCAATAGCTGTATACAAATCTTCCCGACGATCAGATTTTGAACGTATTCTCATTTCATTCTGACTTGGGGATTTCCTCGGCTCATTTTTGTATAAACGGAATAAAAATCCTCTTGGACTTGCGAGAGATAAGCTTCTCAGTAGCTCAACATTTTCTGTGTAGCTGTCCTTTTTCTCACTGTCACTGCCGCGGCCAATTCTATGGTGTAGTTTGGTGCCGATCCCACAAAGATTTCCTGAATTTATGTCGTGAAACATTGGAAACATACGAATATGATGTGCTGTGAAAGATCTTTTCACAGGCTTTCCAAACGGCGCCGAGGTTCCTTGAATCATCACGAAAAGCAACCAAAACTTAGCTGAAAAATCTAGCCCCTTAAAACCGCGATCAAACTCTTTGTTCTAACTTGAGAAGATTATCCGAATTCAAAATAAATTACTTACTAAGTAACAAAAGCAAAACACAAAAGCCACGCGTCTAAAGACGAACGCAGCTAAATGATGAAACAACTTACAAAACAGATGCGCGTAGTTTTAAACAATTTACATTATAACGCAAATAACAGGTTCTTATGATTGGGTGAAATATTATCAGTATTAATAGCAAAAGAAATTACAACATGACAAAGTGACAAATGTTTATTCTTCTCTGGCGATAATTAGAAACGAATAGACAAGTTTGTCACATGTTTTCCTCGACAAGTCAGGGGGATTAGTGGAACTTCCGCAGAATAAATTGAAGATTTTTCGCTTTCTCTTTCGACAAGTCAGGAAAAATGACAATTACCATGATATGTGTTAAATAAAGTTACAAGTTGGATTTAATTAACTTTTTATTTTGTAAACTTTGTCCGCAGGATAAATTGAAAGACTCGATTCTCTGTTTTATTTTCTCGTTTCTCTTTTGACCGGACTATCTCAAAATTTGCGGGAAAACGCTCTTATATGATATTGACTTCATAATGATTGGTTGTTAAATAAAGTCATTCAAGGTTGCGTTGTTGTAAACCATTCAATGTTAAATTGGTTGATCACTGACATGTTCAAGATCTTATGAATTAAGGGGGTAAGTTTCTAAAGAAACTGTGGTGCTGCGTCGGTGGGAGAGTATCGCAGGTAATTTAGTGTTAACAACTGAGTTGAAAAAACTCAGTTGTTAATACTAAATTACCTTCAAGATCTTAGCTTGATTTGAAAAATTTCACCAATTTCCAGATTGCCGTAAAAGATGATGGCAAAGGAAAAACATTTGAGAAAAAAGGTGACTCGCAACGAAATATATTCAATATTAATGACGTCACACCTCAGGTTCTGATTGGTTGCATTTTTGCTTTCTTTTTCGTGGGTTTTTCAGGCAAGTACGAGCATGACTGAAGCGTTGATAGTAAATCTATTTTTTAAGACTTTTTGATGCTACCCAAATCAGTTTTTGAAATCTCTGCGATGATGAATTCAAAATCAATCTGCACCTATTCCTTTGACTTCGAGGATTATAACGCGCGAGTCTGAAATATCTGTTTACACAGCTTTATAATCATATCCAACTGTATCACTGCATAATTACAAACAGAACGTGGCTAGCTAGTTTTTGCTTTGTTGTACTCATTACCGACGAAATATATCTCAGTAGCGTAAACTAACCAATTATTTTGTGTCATCTTTCGACTCCCTGAGTAAATTGATTTGCTGTTATCTCGGTGTCGCGAATCATTCTTCCTGGTTCAGGTAATGAGCTTCAATTTCTTCAAACTCTTTGGCAGGTCCTTCGCATAAACAGGTGATCAGTTGTACTGCATAGATTTTGAATTAGGATTCCGCTGAAATATATAAAAAAAACCTTTAAAAGACCACACAAGAAGAGTAGTTCTGTCTCATACATTGTAGTAAACGGTCATAGTCTCTCTTATCACTTTCTTTAGATTTAATTCTCTTTATTAGTCATGACATACGAAGATACGAAGAAACCTGTGATGAAGAACATTTATAGACCTTCGGAAGCATACATGTTTTTATCAATTTTTAATTTATTTATCTAATAAATAGTTATCTATTTATTGAATTTACTCGTTCATTTAACTATTTTCGGGAGGACATAGGCAAAAAAAGAGCATATTTTTTATGGCAGTTAATTTTACCGATTTTTTTTATCTATTTACATTTCAATTTTAGGGTCAGCAAATTGTCAAATATACCATGAAGTGTTTCTCGCGATGCCTGGCCCATCTACGGAAGCGAAGCTCGATTATTTTGATCCTCGTGGCGATGGTGACTTTCATCAACCTTCTATGTGCGTGGAAAGATATATATCGGCAAGACGAGGAGTTCGAAAATAACAAACAGCACGTTGCTTTTCTAACAAAAACAAAGAGCTTAGATAACACGATTCTGATGAACACTCGGCAATTCTTCAAAGAGGCGTCTAAAAATGCGCGTTATTTTATCGTTAGGAGACGGAAAAGACTGAGAAAACGAAGACAAAGACAAAAAGCGATTCATCACAAAATATCAAAGTCACAAACAATCAAATATTTTAAATCAGTGCATAAAATGGTAGTATCGATGAAGCGAAATGGCTCCCGGGTTGGTAGAAAGAAGAAGGACTATTCCACGAAAGCCAATAAGTTATCAGGCCAACCGGAAGTGAAACCAAAGGTGAGCGAGGTGAGCATGGAGCTATCATTTGGAGTTCATATCAAAAGCAAAGGGCATCCGTGACTCTCATGATGCATGCTCGTTAATACTCGTGCTAACCTGATTCTTGATGTTGTTCTCTAAGGATTGTTGAGTTGCCAGATAATTAAAGTTATCACCGCTAAAGATAAGTTTTCTCGTATATTAAAGGCAAATGACCCGACAATACAGGCAGAACATGATCATGCGCACGCCGGTTTGTCTGAATTCACGCTGAAGGATTATGTTGAGGTAAGTCATTTTACTGCTGAGGAATCTATGATGGAAGGGACAGGAATGGTCACCCACTGCAAACAACAAAGACTGGCTTGATTCCAAATTAATTGACTCCCAAAAGAAAACAAAACGACCTTCGAGATGTCGATGGAAACAAATAGCCGGATGATGAAATAAACGTTGTGGTCTTGTCCTGAACTTCCTATGTGAGACCAAACTAGACAAGAATCCTTGCTCGTTCATCAGTTTCTGTTTAGGAACGCAAGTCGTAAGAGCTGATTATCGATACGCTAATTCTGGAGAATATTCGCATGATAGGAATGAATAGCTACAACTCGATAACTAAAGCATATACAGTCAATGCATGAGGAAGGTAAAAGTTCAGCACGATTAAATTCTTTTGGCAGCTTCTCTCACTATTTCCAGTAGGTCTAATTCCATGAAATAGAGAGGTACTCCAATGAATTTTAACTCATTATTTGTTTTATTTGTCTGTCTTACCATCAGCTGCACAATACAACAGCTGAAGTTAAAAACACAGAGGTTGATGTTCAAGTATTCCAATCCGAATACGAAGCTGTGAAATCTTGCAGGCTCGTAGGAGAACAATGTCAAATAATCTCAAAACTAAACAACATTACAGCTATTTACTCTTTCCCAACGACCTCCAAGATTATCATTTCTTCCGATGGGAACTCCACTTTGTATGTGAAAGCTGCATTTATGAGCAAGCTTGGTGGGTGTGGTGAATAGCATAGCTTGAGTACAAATGATCATTCATAGCCTGGGTTATCTATCGCTAAGGAGCTAGCATATATCCATGTCTCTAGTTCGCGACAAATGAAAATGTAACTATAATTGTGTTTGTTCACAACGCTAAAAATATCGTTAAGATGCCATGCAACTGCCACAAAAATGCCAATAACTCAGTTACAAGTGACATCTGCAACTGCGTCAAAATACGGTGCGCAACCCAAATTGACAGGAAAAAATAACCAGTTGCAGTTTTCACTTCTGTGACATACAACGGAAGTGTGTAACACATGCTGATGGGTTTTTCTTTCATATCTTCGTATCTTCTCAAAATTCCATCAGTTTACGAAACGATGCAACAGGACCAAACAGCTGTTCCATGAAGGCTAAAAAAAATTACGAGTCATATAAAAATCATGGTCTGACGCAAAAAACACTTTTTGATCGCTGTTTAGTCTTTGTAGGACATGTAGCTCATCAAGAAATAGTGATTCGACCCGCTTTTCTTTTCCCTCGCATCCTACGAGGGAAATGCCTTATGACAGCATTTAAAGGATTATTTCTCGTAATATGCAGAATTCTCTACGAGTGGATTGTCGTGCGGTCTGGGTCACTCTGAGATGCAGTCGTTCAATTCAACAGAGGAACAAGGCTGCAGAATTCCAGATATTAACCCTTTTGACAAGAATGCCATGTCTTATTTCATTACGATGGCACCCATGACTTGTGAGCTTAAAGCAACGTTGTTTACTAGATACCTGGATGGGTATTTGAAGGTTGTCAACAGTCACGATAGAGGTAATGATAATGATCGGAAGTTTTTGGTATTTTCCTGATCATCGTAACCAAAAAATGTAATGGCTGTAATCTCGATCAGACAAATCGTGTAGAAAGAATTCGCCCAAAGATCCCATTATGACCTTAGTCCTTCAAATTGGGTCTCAGCACTCCATTTTCTCTTTCAGAGTTGGATATGACATGAATACAAGCTTAAGTAATGTCGAGTTGTTACATTGCATTGGGAAGGGGAGGACAAGGAGACTCGAAAACCACACTTTCATTTTCAAATAAGAATCGAATGTAACCAAGGTAACGCAAGAATCGTCTCATACTATTTATCGATTGGTCTTTAACTGTGCCACAAACCTTTCAAGTAGACAAATCAGATTAAAAGTAAAGTCAGTTAAATTAATAGCCTTATTTATTGCCTTATTTGGCGCATGATGCTTTTCCTTTTCCTGATTTCATAATTACTGTGATTACTCTAAGATTACTTAACCAAGATTCGATCGAAATGCGGACTATTTTGTTAAAAATAACGTTGCTGACATTTTTTATTTACAGGAGCACCTTTGAGGAGTATTTCAGTTCAAACTATCCACAGAAAAAACGCCTCTGATTCGGGGTTCACTTTGGGAGAACCGACTCTTTTAAAGTACAAAGGCCCAACTTTGAAACTAGAACACGACTTTCTACAAATCAATGCCGAGTTCTCCAACGGAATGATTCAAAAGGATTTTCATGCACAAGTAATCCCGAAACGAGAGGTCTTGCAACGAAATGCCCGACAGGAAACTGGTTTACCTTTCAATGTCATAATCCTAGCATTAGATCAGACATCACAGGCAACTTTCCAACGTCTCTTACCAGATTCGTTCAAGTTTCTTCGTGATGAGCTCCAGTCCTTTATATTTGAGGGATTTTCTCTTGTGGGAGAGGCGACCACACCCCAAATCACAGCGCTATTTACTGGCAAGACTGTGGAGGAGAACTGTAAATTGCATGAAGCACGGATTGGATTTGACGGCGCCAAGACTTTAGACGGGTGGCCATTTATTTTCAACACCTTTAAGGAGCATGGATATGCTACGATGTTTAGCGAAGATGCACCATCAATTGGTAAGGCATATTTGTATCTTTTCACAATTTTTTGTGATTGGATTTTGTTTTTCACATGAAAAGATTGCGGCGTGAAGATATTGCTCACTTCCGATCCATTTATAAATTAAGGCGATTGGTAGAGTGATTCAAAAATGTCTGCCTGGAATGAATAACCAAGGATTAATCGATTTCCTTGAAAAGTCAAAAGTGTTCCTGGTTCCTGTTGAGGTAAACAGAGGATTTAAGAGGGATTTGATCAAGTTACCTTAAAATTTTAAAAATCACTCTCGAACTACCGGAGCGAACAAAATCCAATCTACATTAATCGGGCTTGTCCGGCCCTCCCACACAGTCATGAAGTACATTGCATTTTCCAGCGCTCGACACTTTGTGTAACATAGAAGTAACCTTTCCTCTTATCAATATATTCCAATATATTACATTCTGCCTTTCAGCAACTTTCAATATGAGACTCAAAGGTTTCAACAAACAACCCGCAGATCACTACGCGCGTCCCTTTTGGTCAGCGGTACCGCACAACTCTGACAGCGGACTTCATCCATTCTGTATCAATGCACAACCGCAGCACGTTATTCAGCTTGAATATCTGAAAAGCCTGTTCAGAGCTTATCCCCAGACGCTTAAGTTTGGATTCACCTTCGTGAGCAGTTTGTGCCATCATGAATCAATCATGCCACTTGGATCAGCCGCTAAAGACTTTGTTACATTTTTCCAGGCCATACGTGAATCTGGATTTTTGAATAACACGATTTTTGTTGTCATGGGAGACCACGGGGCGAGAACGGGGGAGTTCCGATCCACAATTCAGGGGAAACTGGAGGAGCGTTTGCCACTACTATCCATTACACTTCCTTCTAAATTCCGTTTAAAGTATCCAGAACTTGTGCAGAATCTCAAGCTCAATACAAAAGTTATTACTTCACCTTTAGATCTACACGCAACCTTTATGCACGTGTTAAAATACCCTGCCGACCCATCAAATTCTGAGCTTACCCGAGGGACAAGCCTCTTTTCAGCGATCCCTCGAAATCGAACATGCCAAGATGCTTTGATTCCCGAGTACTTTTGCCCTTGTGTCCGGTGGTTGCCTATAAATACCAGTCATGCGCACGTTCGCATAAGTGCAATGCGCGCCGCTGACTACATAAATAATTTGCTTGTGGAAGTTGGTCATCTTTGCGAGAAACTATCAGTGGATGACATAATAAGCGCATGGCAGGAAATGTCCAGCATTAAAGTACAAACTTTTAATGGCATTGAGAACGGAATGGGTTTAGGATTTGGTAAAGCAAATTTTGAATCTACACCGACACCCAGTGAGTGCACCTACCAACTTAGATTTCGAACAAAGCCGGGCAGTGGAGAATTTGAGGCATCGGTTAAAATTATTGAGGGGAAATTTATCGTGAGCGGGCACATCAGCCGTATTAATATCTATGGTTCCCAACCCAACTGCATCAAGGCTTCACATCCGCATCTTAGAAAATATTGTTACTGCAGCCACCAAGGCTGAGGGCTTGTCTCCCTGCATGTGATGATTGTAACTTGCATTTCACAAGCGGCTCACTCTGTATATGTTTTGATAGATAGCACACGAGATGCATAGCGCCGAGAAATCCATTGTTTTTCAGAATATGAAGAGACTGTTTAGCGTAAAAATGCACTTTGAACTGATGCTACATGTGTTTCTTGATACTTATTTCCGCAGTTACTTTACCGATCCAGACGCTACATGTGTTTCTTGGTGCTTATTTTCGCTGCTGCTTTACCGATCAAACACGGAATTTCGAAAAAATGAATCTCAAAGAAAATAAACAGATAATTATGAAAAATATGTTGACGCGCAACTTAACACTCCGTCGGAATAAAATAAGTAAAAAAGTCAGTTACTCTAGCCCTTGTTTATTTAAATGAACATCACAATGTACTTGGTACCAATTGAACGATATTCCTTTGGCACAGAAAGATGTACGGAAATTTTTAAAGTAGAATAAAAATGAGAGGCCAAGCTTCATTTATCTAAGTTAGCCGAGGTTAATTAAGACTAAGAAATCACTCCAATAAAAGGAGGCTTACCACCGATCTATTCAGTGTAAGCTGTTGTTTTGATGTAATGCATGCATTCATTTTCCAAAGTTATTTAAAGGGATTTAATGGATTTCGGAAATCGTACGTTTAATGCATATGTTTGATTGAAATTGACTATTATACCACAATAGAGTAACTTAGTATTGATATTGTTATTACTGTTAACTCCCCCTATATTTGGATGGAACACCTGCAATGAATACTGTGTGAAGCACTAGAAAAAAAAGCCCCTTAACTCAATGTTCATTACACATTCAGTGGCAAATTGCCCTTCTAAGTAAGTACCTGCTTTGATATTTTCTCTATGACGCTGAAAGATTTCTGGATTAATGTATCATTAGCCTCAGGTAAAGAAAGTTTCATTCTTTATTGTTGGTTACGTAACTTCATTTTCTGCTGCTTTACCATTGCCAGAAAAGTTGAATTGATAAACACACTTGAAAAGTGACACTTAGAATTGAGTTGTCTGAGTATTCATGTTCTAAGAAATATGGGAGGGATTTAAATTATCTCATAGAATAAACCCTTTTCGAATTTACAAGCTATTTTATATATAGTTACAATCAAACCTTTCCGAAGATTATTCTTGAAGTTTTCTCAGACTTGAAACATTTAAATTTCGGTTCAGTTTTGCACACTTGTACGGTTGCAGTTTACGAAACTGTATTGTATGTGAGTCAAAGATTACAGTAGATGCGAATTCAGGTTCCGTTTTCTTCTCGTACAACACCGATCGAAAATTTTCAAAATTGGTCACCTTTCGTGTAAAATTTCGTTACCTTTGATCCCGAACTCGGTTCAGTTTTGTGAATTTTGTACGATTGTATGACAACTGTAACAGGTATGTAAATGAGTCTAAGATCTTAGCAGATGTGAATTCAATCATTCCTCCTTCGATCATCCTTCTTCTTTATCCTGCTTCGCTTATCCTTCCTAATTTTTATTCCTGCTTCATACTTCATCTTCCATCCATCTTTCATCTCATAATGATCCTGCACTGTTTATCTTTCCTCCGTCTTTCTTCTTCTTCCATTCTCCATCCGTCATCGATCGATCATACTTCACGATGATCGTTCCTCCATTGCTCATCTTTCATCTTTGATCCTGCATTATTCATCCTTCCCCATTTTCCTCCTACTTCATGCACCATACTTTTTAAGCTGTTTTTGTTTTCATCACTTTATACTTGAAATAAGTTTTGACACCTCTTTCTTATACTTTTGCACAGATCTTTGCACATTTGAACTTGACGCTAAGCTATGGTCGAAGCAGGGAGTGTTGTGCTTTGGTCTGCGCTCCTAGTACTGATCGTCGTTAATATTGTGGGAAATTCTCTCGTCTGCTGGATTATAAGGAAAAATCGAGAAATGAGGTATAGTCATGTCATGGTTGCACAGAGTTGTCTTCTCTGTTCTGGCCTAATGTTCCTTTTCTAATATTATGGCTATATCAATCCCACAGGACCCATCTAAATTACTTAATCGTTAACCTAGCAGTAGCGGACATGATGTATGCGATTTTTATGGCACCAGTGTTCTTTGTCAAGTTTGCTGGTGTGCATCCGGATGGGATAGGTGGCTTAGTTCTATGCAAACTTGTGACAGGAGGAAATTTGTCATGGTTCGGAGCTGCTTCCTCGGTTGTCACACTGGTCGCCATCGCCGTTGAACGACACAACGCTGTGTTGTATCCCTTCAGCAACAGAGGAGCACTGAACACGTTTAAATTGAAGGTATGGTATTACATGTTTCGAAATTTAAGATAAGTAAGGATGGAAGTGTCAGACATCCTTTTTAGCAGACTGTACCAGGCCTTTTTTTGTCTTTCGTGGATTTCAGGAAGATTAAATTTCTAGTGTTTGCCTTATCTACGAAGATCGGTCAAGCAACTTATGACCTTTTGTTGAATTTTCTCGTTTATCGATGAGAAACACGATTATTTGTTCTGTTGTGATACTGAAAATGACATCAATTTAGTATTGCTGAAAAACTTGATAAACTTGCTGTAATTTGCAGTATAATGTCGTGCGTTTTTAAGACAAGCTATTTCCTATAGAGAATAGGGAACCACTTCCCACGCAATGGACACTATACACATTGTATGACGTCTTCTGTGTTGTTACATAAGCTTTTGGAGCCCTCAAACATTAACATACGACTTCAAGGATATAGGTTAATATATGAGACACTCTGGAGTATTTTGTTTTTGACTGCAATTTACCCAGGCTCTACGAGAGCAGTTTGAGGTTCAATATTGTGGTAGAGGGTATAATAGAGAACAAAGTATACATAAAATTCTACTGTTTTGCATTTCGAATCGTGCCAATGATAAAGGCTTTTCTTTTGAGCTAAACGCTATCATTCGAAATGCGACACTCGCTGAACAAGCTCAGGTAACGAAATTAAAGGTAGAGAAGATATTATGATACAACTTCACGAGGTGACTATGGTGTACATATTTTCAAACAGGTGATCATTGCCAGTTCTTGGATTTTCTCGACCTTTTTCAACATCCCATCGTTCCTGGCAGTCCGCCTTAATGAGACTGCAAACGAATGCGCAGAGCATTTCCCAAGAGAGTGGATGGCAAAAGCCATGACCTGGTTGTGGTTTCTTTTGACGGCTCTTTCCACTGCGTTGATGGCTTCTCTGTACTCTAGAGTTGTGTATAACCTATGGATCAAGGGCAATGAAAAAGATCAGCTTACCCAGCAGCAAATGGTAACAGTAAAATAAATGATATATTGACCTGCGGATGATATACAAGTAGAGAAACGATTTTCGCATGTAGCTGCAATTAGAGCAATTAATTGCAAGAAAAAATTCAGGCTTCGACGGAATTCGAACCCGCGTGCCTTCCAGATGTTAGTTTGGTGTTTTTCCCAACTGAACAATAAAGCCAAATGATGGGACCGAGGCAAATGTAAGTAGGTTATGTAATTGCGACAATTGCAGTCTGAAAAACTTTGCTTCATGTTGTCAGCCAAAATGATAGGAGCGAGACTCTAGGGGTATTTAGCATTATGACATGTATAGCTTCCAGAAATGAAGCAGATCTCAGCCTGAATTATCCGCTTTCTTCTTGCCTTTTCCTTTCTTCTCTTGTTTGGATCGACACAAAGTGGAGGGCGATATGAGTTTGACATGTGCATTGATCCATGTTATCAATGAAACCCAAATCTATGCTTTATTGACAGGTTGTGATGAGGGTGAGAAAGCGGGTCACATCGATGGTGGTTACTGTCAGTGCTCTATTTAGCACATGTTGGTGCGCATCTGGTGCCATTTACATTGTGTCATACACTACCTATGCATCCATCGACTATAACACCGACTATTTGCCAATTTCTTACATAACCGTCATGTTCAACTCCGCCGTCAACCCGTTTACTTACGCTCTGTTAAACAGACGATTCAGGAGGAAAATAAAGATGAAGTTTTTTTCTGGATGTTTCTCTTCATCCACGGTCAAACCCAACGCCGGCAGAGAGTCATGCAGCACCGAGACCACGACAACACATTTTGGAGCCTTGAGTCACTTCGTGGTTGTCAAACATGCTACCGTTGGCGACTAAACCGATGACACGAGGCTGAACTAACTGGGGATCGAGATTGATCCAACAGAGTTCAGAAGCAGCGCAGTCAAACGTCACGCATACGCAGATGGGTACATTTTGGCAAGCCACGCACCCATACTGCAAAAATCTCAGAGGGAAACGAAAATTTGCAGAGAAAAGTAAAACTTCCATAGAAATCTGCAAATGGAAACGAAAGCAAAGTGAGAAAAACTCGAGATTTTTTAACACAAACATCGTCGCATTGTGGGCGTATTGTTTAGCCTTAGTTGTTATGGGCTTTTAAAACACTTTGACTTACCAGCTTGTGTGGCTCTATGTAACTCCTGTTAGATGACAAAGTTCTGAAAGCCCCAAAGCCAATCTCGTTCTCTGAGGTCTTGCATACGGCAAACGTTTCCAGCTCGCGTGGGATAAGGGGATAGTGTGACCTTTAAGAACGAGATTTCCTAAAAGTAAGGTGTCGTACCACCACATAAGCGTTTTAATCAATCAGCACATGCGCAGAAGTTCGACCGTTTTGTGTCAGGGACATTAATCTAAGTATGTTCTCTTTATTTTTGTTACATGAATCCAATTTAAATGTTGGTCGGTCTAATAAAACTGAAGTGATTTGATCAAATGTAATTTAGTCATTTTAATGAAATAGATTTTTTGCTTGGCTAAAAACCTTTAAATAAAGTAAAATGAAGTAGTTCCTTTTCCAAAGTACGACCGCGGTGCAAGGGGCAAGAGGGAAGGGGGGCTGGTGCTGAGGGCGTGTAAAAATACCCAGAAGAATACTAAATTACAGACACTTGATGCCGTTTCCATTGTTTAGATGCTGATAAACACGTGCTATCTTATCTGTGTAACCACTTTAGCTGTAGTGAATTTATTTTCCTTCACTGCACTGATATTAGAGAGAAATAAACCAAAAATCCAACAAATTGGGCTTAAATTTCTAAGTCAACCTGTTGTGATGTAAGATTAAAAAAGAAACTTTCGAAAATTTTAATAAATAGTCGCCACTTACATCAGTTCGTCTTGCCTTTATGCTAAATTCGCGTCTATTTTGCCGCTGAGAGGTGAAACCCTTGCAATTCTTAAAGAGAAGCGTGTTAAACACTTTTCCGAGAAAGTGGGACATAGCAGCTTTGAAAAAAGCATCATGAAAATATTAGTCTCCCTATTTTCTCTCTGCTCCTGAGTTTTCAAATCCTACCATGATTTATTTCACGGCCCATTGCTATATCGATTAATTGCCTTACTGTCTGTCTTCCACATTTTTTCTTCCTTTTGACGGTCATATTGGGGAATGCAAATTTTTTTTTGACTTAAGAATTAGATGAGAGTAAACAGCGATCGAAATATCTTTCTCAAGTGAAGAAAATAATTTTGAAAATGGGGAGTTAATATACTCTTTAAAGTTGGCATTGTACAGTAACATAACTCACTTCCTATTAAATTTTTATGTTACTTAGAGCTGAGCCATTTTCTTTCAACTGATATGTCAGTTACAGTGTACGAATCGAAGAATCTTAATTTCCGCACTTATAGATGTTAAAGCAGATCCACCGACCGTCTGCCGCAAAATGACACTCAAAGACTGTTGTCGGTAAGCACGTTAATGGTGCTATTTAAAAATTGCTCCATAAAAGGGCCGCGAAAATAACTTGGAGGCGAAAAAATAGGGTTTTTTTAAATGAAAATGAGACAAATTATGAAAATCGTCGTCGTAACAAAAGCTTGTGCGCTGCTAGTGACGTCACCACTTTCGTGGATTATTATGGGATGCGCAAGTTAAGTTATACGATTTAAACACAAACATCACTTCCCAGCGGATACTGCGACATGAATCGGCCTGGTAAAAACAACGGTATATACGCGGCCGAAACGATCCTGAAGCGAAGAGTTCGTGAGGTATTTCGAAGAGACAATATTCTTGGTATTGCTATCGATTTCTTGGTCAAATCTTGCCATTAACAAATCGTTGTCTTGTAGGGAAAAGTCGAGTACTTTATCAAATGGAAAGGATATTCACAGAAGTAAGCATCGTGTCGTTCACGTGCATAAATTTAATATTCCTTAATATTCCTTCGCGTTAGTTGAGCTGTTGACGGTTTTGCCTTTGAAATTCAATTAGGTACAACACATGGGAACCAGAGGAAAATGTCTTAGATCCACGTTTACTGAGGGCTTTTCGACAACGATTAACAGCGAGGTAAAATAACGATCGAGTGTTGACAAATATTATACGCGTTCAGACTCGCTTGATTCTTGCTCGCTTCGAGGCATTCATGTGTGCAAATTATAATTTTAGAGGAAACCCAATTGCTTCTGTAACCAAGAGCTTGCTTAAAATGTTTACTCTGGTGGCGTCAGAGGATGGCAGGAACTTCGGATTGGATTGTTTTAGTACGGAAGAAAGGCAATGTTTGTGAAATTTGTAATCAAGTAAGACTAAAATCAACTCGAGTGTAGATTTCATTTTTAGCACTGAGTCACACTCTGAATGATCGCTTTTATTTCATAAATGTTCCTGTTTTTGTTGTTTTATTAGAAAGGGAAAGTTTAAAGGCAAGAAAAAGAAAATGCTTGTGTCTGAGGAAAACGTAAGTATCGAAACTCTGTCTTTATCTTACCTTATGTCTAAGGCGAATATTTTTATTTCCGTAGTATTGGAGTAGCAATTAAAGGATTGTGATGAAACGGACAACCGTAGGAAAACCACCCTTGGATTTCGATAGCTTTTTTTTCTATTCTAATTAAAAACATCTTATAGCGAGGAAAAGATAGGTTTGTTAAAAAAATAGCATCTCTGAAATCCTCATCTTTCGATCTGCAAAGCTTTGAGTGTTTGAAAATGAAAACATTGCCATTTTTAGTTTCATTTTGTTTCCTTTGACATTTAATACTGTCCATGTTTTTGCAATTAATAAATTTCCATCAAATCAATGTCTGTGATAAAACGTTTTGGACATTCAATACTATCGAAAGAGGTCGGCAAACGTGTCCAAGACCGATCCAAAGTAAGCTGACGGACCAAATATTTTTAAAATTCAGATTTACAAGTGGTTGTCAAAAAAAATTTTGTATTGGAGTTTATTTCGTATGTATAGGCAGTGTTGTCGATTTTCTTTGTGGTAAGATCCAGTATCATATTTTTAGGATAATTTTGTTAGCAGCTCTAGGGCCGACAATTCCTGAATTTTTTCTGAATTCTTGATGAAATTTTTTCGATGCTTACTATTCGTCTGCGTGTGCGTTCGAAACCGAAATGTTTATTTTTTGTCACGAATGCAAATGATATTGACAAGTTTTCTTTTCGTGAATTTTCCAGCCGGAAGAGCCAGACAGATCTTCTGTGGATGTTGAAAACGTCACCAGCGTCAATGATCATGAAAGTGATAGCGAAATTGATGAATCGTCTCGCGAGGTTGATCCGCCGCCCGCGAAGCGACGACGGCGTCGGAAAAAACGAAACTTACCGAAGGTAAACGAAAGTACTGGCGAAGCTGTTCCGTCTCTTGAGGTTGAAACCACAGTCCCTCTCGCTGTAACCGAAGTAGGTGAAAAAACTGCAGAGGTCGAAATTACGGAATCCGAAGAAAAATTTCCTGATAAAGCGAGTGAAAACAAAACTGCTGAGTCGAATTCGAATATCGAAGAAACTCCCTTGAAAGAAATTGCGCCGTCCACCTCCGTTGTGAGTGAATTAGACACCACTCCTTGCAACGCTGGTTGTAGTGGCAGCTCAAAGACAGACGTACTCGAAACTCCACTACCTGAAAAACCTCCGGTGATCGAGAAAGACAATCAACCCAAACCAAGCACCCCTGATGTCCCCACGGTATCCACCAGCTCCCCTTCGTCATCGCGACACGAAGTTCCGCCCCCAGCAGCCCCCACGGAAATGAAAAACACCCCGGTGATACCGCGGTACTCGCGATTTGAATTTTTAGCAAACAGCATGATTATCACAGATGTCACAACAGAAAGAGGAACAGTGACAGTAAAGGAATGTTCTGCTTATGAGGGGTTTTATGGCCCCGAACCGGACCGATCAGGCTAAAACGAACCCGAGGGAATCGAATGAAAGGGAACAAAAAAAAAAAGAGATGTTTTAGTGCAGTTGAGTCTTGGTAACGGGAACCGTTAAAGAGGATCATTAAAGGTTCGAGGTACAGAAAGAGGGGCAGACTTGATTGAAATGCCTACCAAATTAGTGAGGAAGACAAGGTTTTCGTCACATGATCGGTATAAAACTGATGAAAAGTGTTTTTAATCAGGTTCATTACAGAGACACGTTTGAAAGATACAGAAAGAGGGGCAGATGTGATTGAAATGTCTACCAAATTAGAGAAGACAAGGTTTTCGTAACATGATCGGTATAAAACCGATTAAAAGTGTTTTTAATCAGGTTCATTACAAAGACACGTTTAAAAACGTGAGGAAAATAAGCTAACAAAACGAGACAGCTGACTTGAATCGAATACTGTAGCGCACTTTAACATAGAGGTTCGAGACATTGAGGTCAAAGTTGTGAAGAAAGTGACTTGCAAAGAAGTGATTTTTTAGTTAACGTGTATTAAGGGTACGGGTTACCAAGAGTCGACTGCACAAAGGAAGGATTAAATGTAGTTAAGCATTTCCTTTATTTATTCGTTGTGCATGAAAGCCATATTTACATTTGAACATAAAATTGTTGACAATAAAACCCGCATCGAAAAGAGATTCTTTTACTGTAGGTAGAAACTTAAATTAAAGGCAGACGTTATAATGCGGATAAGCAATAAATTATGAAAAAAGAAGAAGGATTTGTCTCAAGGATATTACCGGGAGATTCTTGGTTTGTAAGTTATGCAAATTATTAAATAATACGAAGAGAGTAGAAATTCTGCTGACTGCCGATCACTTACTCTATACCTGTCAAACAATTTCAAGAAAAAACCTTACGCCATTCAGGGGAACGGTGCTTGGGTGACACGTTTGACCAACCAGTGTTGTCAGTGTATCAGGCGCTTGATTTGAACGGGCGCGCGTGACCTAGATACACAACGGGGGTAAGTCTATAAGGAAACTAGTGCTGCGTCAGTGGGAGAGTGTAACAAGGCAATTTGGAATTATCAACCTCTTTGATCACGTAAATTGGCCACCGTAAAGAGTTTTAAGGCTGACGTTTCGAAGATTAGTCCTTCTGACGAAGGGATAATGCCCGAGACGTTAACGTTGAAACTCCTTACGGTGAGCAATGTGCGTTATCGACTCAGTTGATAATACCAAATTACTTTCTAAGACTGATACACGCGAGCGAGGAGTCACCGGTATGAGTTTTACTTACTTTTCACTTAGGTTCTTTACTGCGCAAGCTACCCAACGGCCAGAGAGGATGGTTCGAAGACGTCACCATTTAACTGGTCGCTTAAGGTCGCATTTTAAGGATCTTGCGACAGGACGAGAAGAGTAACTTGCGACACGCCGTGTCGTGTGCTCGGAGCATTCACGCCCACTCTTTTGAATGTTCCGGGTTAGAACCAATTATAATGATATTATGGTTAGTTTCTGTCGTGACTTCCTGGCACTTCAAAGGTTTGTCTGACATTTGCTCTTTGGATCAATTTTTCTTATAACATCCGTTTTATGTGCTACTATTTTTGATTGGAAAACAAAAATATCAATAGACATTTTAAGAGTATTTTTTTATGACAATAGACAGTTGAAGGGGTTAATTAAAAATTGACGATAGAACCTCGAGATATATGATTCAGTTAATATCAAGGTCTTTGTTTCAAGTTGAGCTTGATTCTGTTCATTCAGTGTTTGAAAGATTTTTGGCTCTTCGTGCAACCATTCAAGAGCCGTCACTGAAATCCTTGGCAAATTGTCATGTAAATGAAATATGTCACTTTATTTGATTTCAATCTTTTGTGATGACAAGTGTAGCCACAACGTTAATTGTTCTTTGCGTCGCCATGTGGAAATATGGGATTAAAACAAACAATTTTGTGGGCACTGATTGTTTAAGTACAGTGTTTGCATATGGCTTAATTACAAAAAAAGTACGCGATCATAACTGAACACAGTGGAAAATTACGCTTCTAGCTCACAAGGCTTCTTGTTTGGTTACAATGAAGCTGGTTAAGACATGGTAATAGAAAGCTTTTAAGACAATATCCCGTACACACAATGAGTTTTGCTTTTTTCAGAGGTGAGGACATATTTCCCAGAGGTCAGCTTAAAGTTGCTCCGTATCTACGTAATTATGCGAAACCATCGGTGCGTCGTGAAGAAGATTCTACTACAGAATACCATGATTTGAATACTGGTTTGGACGGTACCATCCAGGGACGTTCATTTGGAAAATCTGATGACCCTTCTTTGGTCAGTAACCCAGAAAACATAAAACCTCCCCTGGAGTCAGGAGATGTGAGTGTTAGGACACAGGAATATCTACAAAAGCCCGTTGCATTTGAAAAGACAAATATGAATAGAGGCCATTTAAATGATTTGCACCGTTCAATTCAAAATCGATTAACTGGCTCTGGTTTCGAAACTTTTGAGCCGCATCCTTTGGCTGGAATGCAGTGTACAGGACACCGAATGAGTTTGGCTGAATCTCAACAAAATCTACCGAAACGAGGTAGTGTTTCTTCCTCAGGAGATGAAACAGTTAAAGCCGCTGAGAGTTTTAAGTCCGAACAACTGGTTAGCAACGGAATCAACCAAACAACTTCACACTCTGTCTCTTTGAATAAGCTTTATTCATGTCTAAAGAGGATGAAATGCCGAAGAAACGAGGTAGGGCAATACGAAGATCTTGCAACGATTTCCATGAACGGTCGTGAACCCAGTCTTAATAAAAGTTATTTCCAAAGAGTCCTCGCGTCAAACAACGCGAATACCGCGCAAACACGCAGTGAACAAGAAGAGATATTTTTGCTTTTCGGTGGAAAATCAAAGCCCGTACGCTTTCAAATCAATCCCGAAGGGCTTAACTTGTTGGAAAGGGAGTGGCGCATTGAACTTAAGTCAAGAGATTCGATATTTTGTAATTCGGACGAGGAAGGTTTACAACTTTTGCAGAAGTTTCGAGCACGGTTCAGAACCAACCCGCGGACAAATGTACCGGATCGAAGAACACCAATGTTACCAATACCTTGGGCTCGACATGTTGTACATAAAGGACGAAGTCTGAGCCCAGAGGAAAAAGAGCAACTAAAAGAAGATGAAAGCGGACGAAAGCTTTCAATTCACGTCTATCTACCTAATGCAGGTTGGGCTGTACAAGGGAAAAACTCTACACCAACGACTCCAATGTCTTCTCCTTCCAGATAACGGGACTCAACTTGTACCAAACTAAATATACATAAAAAAAACCAAAAGAAGGGAAAAATGGATACAGCGCTATATTTTATTATTACTTCCTTACGAACGTCTTTGGGTGGCCATTTTACTTAATTCAAGCAAATTTTCAGCAGGTGCCGATAGTGTTCACTTTGCGCTGATTGTTTGCAACATGTAAATTTTTGCTAACACATCCTGTTTGCACTGGCACTCAAAAAGCTGGTACAAACACAACAAAAGATATATTGTCAAATCCTTTTGTCGGAAGGAAAAGTTGATGCATGGTGTAAATTAATCTAAAATTAAATCAAAATCAATTAAATTTCTTAAAGCTGAGTTAATTGATTTTCGTTTGACAAGGCAGTGAGCACGCGTGTGTGAAACGTGTACGTGTTCTGTTTGCTGCAAGTTTGAAATTTTCCAACGGGATTTTCAAAACTAGAAGAGAAACGTCCTATCCCTTCTTACTGAGACAATGTGAATAAAAATCAATTTTTCAGAGAGCCACGCAATGGAGGTTTTATCTATCTATATCTTTCCATGGTGATGATTCGTTGCCAAGTCGGGGGTTGTCAACTTCGTCGTCAAGGGGCGAGTTTATGCGTGAAGCTCCGTTACTCGCGTGGTCTCCTTCCTTGCCGTGGGGGAGAGAGTGAGCCACGTGACGATACTAAACAACAACACTCGAGGGAGACTTCTACTCGCGCGACTTCTCGCGGGGTGTGCGTGTGTCGATCGCTAATTAAGCCATTTAGATTGGCAGGAATAAGAGAAGGAGGAGGCATTTTTGTAGAATGACCCTCTTTAAATTTTAACTAAGTTTTCGAGCAACACCGCTCATAACTGAATTGGTACACTATCCGTATTGTCACAAGCAACTACGAGCTTGGAAAAGCGGAAATATCCGACACCCCCTTAAGGATGAATCGAGCTAAAGACCCTCGGATTTCCTGCTCCGATGCTCAACACCGACCGATTAAAAAGAACTCAGTCTGTTGGCAATGGTGAGCTTGATCAAAAAAGTATGGTAGTTTATCCTTATTTGACGTTAAGAAAAAAAGTCCAAGAATTGATCACATGTGGACATCTTCAATCTGTTTTGGGATCGCTAAACAGTTTTGATAAAGCGTCAGCTATTTCATCGCTGTAAAAACTAACATTTTTTCTTAACTTCACCGTAAAAAATCAGAGAAAATAAGAAGACATCAGTTCCAAAAGGTAGATTAATAAGCGAAATGTTGGAGGGATTAATTCGACTCCTTTAATGTCAGAAAAAAAGAAAAAAAAACTAGGCACATATTCGCAAACACACACCGACACCAAAAAATTATTTCTGTTGTTTTTTCGGTATTAACAAGTAAAAATTATTCTCTCTTGGTGGTTAATATGAATAAAATCGAACTCTTCCCAAACATCATCTTTTTTTCTTACTTTTATTTTCACCGGATATATCATATACTGGAATAGAGCTATTACTGCAGCTGGCGCAACATCCTTTACATGGGCTTATTGAGAGAAGTTATATTAATGTCTTTAGCGTCATAATTTGAAAGACGAAATCGGAAAACGAATTGTTCCTCTAAATCCAGAGAAATTAGGCCTCGCAAAGTTGCCGAAGAAGATATGGCAGTCCGCAAAGGTTTCATTGCCTTCCTCGCTAAGGGGGGAAAACTTTTATCAGTCGTTTTCGCGTTAGAAGCGTTTATGAGGCCGTTAGAAGTTGTCTCGTTGCTTTTTAATTGCTTCGTCCTTGTGTCGATCTGCGGCAGATATTTGGGAAGCAGTTGGTAACCTTTGGGTTTCGCAGGATTCCGTTGAGGCCGTAACTTTCTTCCGAATCTGCCCTTGAAACGCTACTGTGGGTAATGCAGGCAATAAAAACGGCCTTTTTGAAGTATTTTTCGCCGTAAAGGTTATTTCCTTGTTACAACTCGATCGCTTTTTGTCCTGTTTACAGTTGTAGAACAATCCCTTATCCTGGTGGTGTAAAGCCGTCGTAGAAAACTTTTGGTGAACACGTTTATAATTCTCTGGCCGGCTGTTCAGCTTCTTCATTGTAACCATAATCGAAGAATTGTCCTCGTGCTTGACGCGCGAGGATCCATCGCCGACAACAGGAGGTAAAAACAAAACTGGTAGTTCCTGTTTTGTAATTTTTCCTTGCCCATCTTGCGCCCAGTTTGCTTCCCTGTTTCTGATTTTATGGCGTCTTTCCATTTTCCCTGCGTTCATGTTTGTCGATTTGCCGCAGGCAAGTCGGAGTATTATTAACTAAATAGATAGTCGATAGCAGATGTTTTCTGGGTTGGGAACAAAACACATTGAATCGATTGAAAATATTTGCTTTTAGAACAAACAATGTTACTCGACTTTACCATCATAACATTTGAGCACCAGATCTTATTTCGCCTGGAGCACTCACGCTCAACAAAGAATTAAAAAAAAATAAAATAAAATAAAATAAAAGAGAGAATTGAACTGAGTTGCTGAAAATAATGAATTAACTTAATAAAGGCCAAGACAATATGACCTGCTCCTCTTGTTTGTCTCCGCTAAACAATACGCTTTTTATGAAACTGCGGTCAAAAACTGAAACTGCGGTCAAACGAAATAGTCGAACTATCACGGTATTGTTAAAAAAAAATTAACAATTAGATTTATTGTCTGTCTCGCTATGTAGTCACTTTTTAAATTTAACACTTAAAGTATTCTCTTGTGAGGTATGTTACTGGTAATTAACATGGAAGTATTATTTTTTTATCATCATCATCCTAATTGTTATTATTTTTATTATTTTCATTATCGTTCTTGTTATTAATTTCTATCCAATATAAAATTTTGTTTTGTTGTTCTCGTTGCATGCATCTCAGCACAAGTCAAGCGCTTAACATTCATGCGGCTTTCTTAAAAGTCCTTCAAAAAAGTCAGATGTAAAGCCGAATTTCAGAGATCAAGCCATCGAATCTGACAGAAAAGTCGTACATTGGCTCGAGAGGAGAAAGACATTTCTTTAATGGCAACCGCTTCTGTGCAGAGAACAACACGGAGACCTAAAGCTGAAACCTTCTTTAAATTTTTTTGCTTTCTTTGTTTTGTTTTTGTTGTTGTTGTTCTGGTTTTAATTCCATTGGGTTGCCTTTTCTAGTTTTGTTTTTCTTCTTAACGCATATGACATGAAAAATTTAATAAAAATTAGGGCCCTCAATTTTGCCGGTATTTTCAATCACTCACGTGTACCTAAAGGGATTTTCAAACGGAGATTTTAACACGCATAGAATCGCATTTTTCCCGGAAATTGATTGATGTCAAAGTCTGGCGTGTTAATTGAAAACCTTCATAACAGTATTTTCTCAATAAACCATTCTATACTCCAGCTTTAATTAACTACCGGATGCGACCCTCGCACGATCGAGCTGAAAATTTACTATCTATGTTCAAATTACTTGACAGACACGTTACATCAGGGTTTAATTTCTCCAAAGATGCTTTGAAAGGTTGTCTCTGAAAGATACAGTCTGATGGGGGAAGTGATAACGTCGTCAATTGTGGTAAAAGTGAGGTCGTTTGTGTCAAGTTGGGTTACAAAATTTCTGCACCAAATTGTAGCAATTCACAAAATATGGCTCTCTCTTTGGAGTGAGATCGATCAGTTAACGAACTTAGCTATCTCGGCGACTCTGATTTTTTTGTACCGAAAAGATCGAAAATGGTCTGCTTATATACTCACTGACAGAATAAAAGGCGGTAACTACCCAAACAGTAAATCAAAAAGGCTAAATTGGAGCTGACAGACTCGGCCAAAAGCTTTTAATGGCTTCGATGCTGTGGAACTGCATGGATCGTAGACCAATGTACGTTCAAATAAAGATTTCATGTTGACAAAGCTCTTACTTCGAAGATACGTATGTGTAAGAATGTTTAACTCACCTTGAGTTTTTGACACGCATCTGCTCTCACGCTAGAATTAAAATCTTTGTATGTACATTTGGAATCGTGTTCTCGTTCACAATTTTAATTTGTAACTGTAAATTGCTCAGCTGGGGCGCACTAATTCCGCTAGTTCAATTTCGATAATGGTAATGGTATTCATAACTTTGTTGTCCTGTTTTAACACAATTTAACGAAAATAGCACAGAGGTAGACGCTCATTGGCTCTCATCAAAGACAAAATATTTATGTCCATCTTAATGTTAAGCCCCTTGTCAAGATGTGACAAAATGAGGTATTCAGTTTTCCTAGTTAATGAGTTTAGGGGATTACTTAATTTGTGAATTCGCGAATACTTGCCGAAAGCAAAATCTCTTGTTCAAGTATTTTAGTCCTCAGTGTGTAAAATCAAGTCCTGAGCTGGGCCAAAAATAAGAAATTATACAACCGTAAGATAATGAAGAATTAAATAGCCAAACTTTAAAATGTAAAGGCGCGTGGGCGACAGTGGTGTAACGGTTATCATGGCGGCTTCCCAAGCCGTTGACCCGGGTTCGACTCCCGGCTGTCGCACATGGAACAAGTCTTTTTTGCGAGTAAAGCACTTGTCGCATTCCATTTAAGTTTTCTACTAGCACGTTTGGAGTCCTATTTGTAATTATCTATAACTTTTTCTTCAAAATTTGCCGTGTTGGTCGAAAAAAAAAAAAATCGCTTGCAATCCTCACTCGCTCGTTCAAAAATGCCGTGAAAGGCTGGGTATGAAGCATTTAAAATGGCGGACGCAGCTGATTGTTTTGAGTTAGAAAACTACGTTGTAAAAAAGGTAGAAAACTATGCTAGATTCACACTAATTATTATCAGATATTTCATTTTTGAATTTCGGTTACTTGAAAATGATTTTAGGCCCCACCAAGAGCATTCTACATTCCGAATTTCATTTCAGAAGAGGAGGAGAAGTTTCTCTTGGATCAGGTTAGAATGAATATTTTCAACTTTTTCCACCCGCTAAATAGATGACTGATGTTCAGATTTTTATTTTGGCGAGGTGATAACCCCTAAAAACGGTGACTATTTTCGTTTTTTTCTGCCTTTTTTGTACTGAAAATTTGATTCATTCTTTAATCGATTAGCTTAATACAGCATTGGACCTTTCGATCGGATTTTATTTTTAAGGGGGGGAAACCCCAAAAATTAAGCAAATAGATAAATAAGCGAATGAACACCTTAAAATTAAGCCAAGTAAGTTGTGAATTTTATCTTTTTTTTTTATTAGGTAAATGGTGCTCCTAAGCCAAAATGGACCAAGCTGTCGGGAAGGAGGCTTCAAAACTGGGGTGAGCTTGCCAGCACATATATCTGTTTATAGTATGATAACTTTGAAATTTTCATAACTACAGTCAATTGGTGAATAGCCTTCATGTTGCTTGTAGGTTTTGTTGATTGAATTGGTTTTTTTGGAAGAAAAGTTGGACAGCAATATGCAACATTTTAAATGTCATTCATGTGTGAAAATGGTTCTCTTTTCTAGTGCTAGAATTTTAACCCTTTAACTCCCAGATCAAATTTGTAATTCTCCTGAATGTCAACCATACAATTCTTATAACGTTAGTTCAGAGAAGTTAGTATTGGATCAATGTATTATCCCTGAATTAATATTTTTCATTATTCTTATCACTTATCTGGTTGACTTTGTATTGATATTGTAAGGATAAATTCTTTCTTGGTCACTCATGGGAGTTAAAGGGTTAATTTGTCTACCTAGATTGACTTTCGTTTGCCTTTGTTTTGAGCATGATTCATGAGCAAAATTTTACGAAAAAAAGCAGTTATTCTTGAAAAGCGCTGGACCAACAAGGAATTTGAAAATATACAGCAATTTGAAATAGGATGATATGAATGCCAAACTGATGTTTTTTATTTGGAATATTTTGCAGGTGGTCTTCCTCACCCAAAGGTAAACAAAAAGCTATAATTTCAGTAGTTTTTATTAAATCCTGTGTAAATGTTAGGACTCCATTTGTATGACAAAACAAAAAATGACAATTTTTTTTCAAAAGTTTAAATAAAAAAGAGACAACTTTATTTTTTCGATTGGTGTTTGGAAGATGGCATATAATTGTGTGTTTGACAAATTAAGGTTTAGTCCTTAGTCTCTAAACTCTTTCACTCCTAAGATCTGACTGTTAATTCTCCCCTCTAGCCTGCTACACATTTCCTTGTAAATTAGTTATAAGAACTTGGTGCTAAATCAAGATAGCAGCTTCTACCTGATAAGTTTGAATATTCTCATTACCTGTTTGCTGAATCAAGTATGGATATTATAGGGAGAAGTTTCATATCAATCACCTCTGGGAGTTAAAGAGTTAATAATTATCTGTAATGTCTGCCATGCAGTTCTTATGATAATGTCGGTTTAGAGAATTTGGCATTGCATCAAATAATAATTCCCTAATTCATATTTTTTTCTTTCGTTTTACTTGATATCGTACTGATAAGTTCTTTCTTCATCTTTCTGTTCAATAATGTAGTTAATGAATTTCATGATATTACAAGGAGTTAGTCATTATATTCTTGAATTTTCTGAATCTATAATTATTTTGTTTCTTCATTCTATGTAGGGAATGGTGCTGGAAAAACTGCCAAGGGTGTGTACTTGATCTGACCTTAATTTGATTCAAAACAGACTATTTCCAGATATTAATTTTTTTAACCTAGACTTTTGCTAATACTTGATCATCACAATTTTAGTGGCTGGAAAAATATACAACTCAAGTTGGATCCTTGCCAGTTTTTAACACTGTCACTCCGAATCATGTCCTTGTGAATGAGTATGAACCTGGTCAAGGAATTATGGTAAGATTTTAAATGATATTTTTAGCCACCATTTAAATCACTGACTTAAAATTTAGAATCAACTTGTGGGGTAGTTTAGATTAATTATCCAATCTTGTTCCCAGTTTTTCTCCTCTTACAGATCAGGAAGAGAGAACCTGGGAACAAGGTTGATAAATCATTAATTAATACTATTAGCCCTCAATGTTTTGTCAAATGTATAATTGCACATTTAATGATGCCTGAGATTTTTTTAGAAGTTACTATAGAAACTTGTGTGTAAGCCACACTTGTGTATAAGCTGCACCCCCAACTTTCAAGCATGATTTTGGCAAAAAAGAAACTCCAAAAAAGCACTCTTGTAAAAAAAAGGGTTGGTTGTTTATTCACAGATGTTCACAATAAACTCAACTAAATCTAATGTTGTGTATTTGCAGTGACATTGATAAGTTAATCAACTCTGAAAATACCTTTTAAAAGCTTTTCTTTAATTGATTTCCCTGTGACTGACAACAGTTGTCTTCATTGCTTGAGCTCACAGCTAAAATGAAAACGATGGAATTTGAACAAAAATAAAGCACAGGAGAATGATGGAAAATGTTTGTTTGGTAACCATGTGGGAAGTCTGGATACTAGAGACAAATAATGGTCTCATGTATAAGCCGCACCTGCAATTTTTGGCCCAAAACTTAAGCAAAAAGCTGTGGCTTGTACACAAGTCTTTATGGTAGTTTGTTGCTAACATATTATTGCAACATTTGCTAAATGATTATTTATTCAATTGCAGCAGATCTGTGTATAAACTAAGGTACACACTGAAAAGAGAAATATCACCGACTCTAATAAAAAAAAAAACAACTTAGCCACAAAAATCAGATATCTATTAACCTAACCAACTTAACAGGGTGTGAAATTAATTTTTTTTTTCTGGTAGCCACTGGGCTCCTAAATTTTTCAAAGTGGTAGCCAATTCATAAAAAGTTGGTCACCATTTTTAAAGACAAATAAAACCTTTTTTAATGCTGTTAGCGTTCTAGATAGACCCTCCAAAATTAAGTTAGGAAAAAGATCTTTAACGAGCTACAAATTGGACACTAGGATGTCCAATTTAATTCACTTTATCTCTAAGTAAGGTTATGATGAAGCATTCTAGTCGCCAATTTGGCGACTAATTTTCAGGATTTGGTCGCCAAAGTGAAAAATTTAGTTGCATTGGCGCCTGTATTGGGTGCAATTTCACACCCTGAACTAACAGAATGATTCCACCCAACTGAAAGCCAATACAATGGATGCCACACTAATCAATTAGAACCAACTAGATTTACAACATTCACTGGATAAACAGCTTTCCACAATAATGTCTTCAGCTCTTGTGGTCAAAATTTCAGTCACTTTGACACTCCTGAACAGCAGTGTCATTAATATTGGGCATTTACATCAAACAATAACAGTTATTTCCAAGTTTAAAGATCCATTCATTTTACGAGCACTGAGAGCTCCCCTGACATGGAGGATTGAGCTGCATGTGCCTAATTTGATTTTTGTATACAACCACTCTTGAAGACAGTGGAGGTGTTTTGTCAAAAGCCCATGCAGTTTTATATCTTCTGACTGTTTTCCTGTCTTTCAGCCTCACGAAGATGGTCCGTTGTTCTATCCAGTGGTCTCAACAATAAATCTTGGATCCCACACCTTTTTGGATTTTTACCATCCTTTGAAAAAGGCTTCAGAGAAAACAGAGGTTAGGGCTAGCTTTAGATAATCATTCCATGGGGTTAAAAGTAAATATAGGGAAATGAGAACAATTAAATCAGATAGCCATTAAGTTTTTGGGGTGGTGGTGTTATAGCAGGTACCATGGGTCTCCTGTGTAGCAGTTACCATCTCTGATGGGTACCTTGTGTAGGGGAGGTGGGGTTATAGCAGATACCTTGTGTTGCGAGGAAGGAGAGGGGTGTTATGATGGGATGCCATGGGCTCAAATTCCGAAAGTGAGTCCTTAGCATGCTCAATACTTTTGACCATTTCCCTTAATGTATGTTAATTGCGTTAAAAGAAATTTTTTTTTTTTTTTTTACTTTCAGGAAAATGCTTCATCATCAATGCTGAATGAACGCTACTTTATGTCACTTTTATTGGAGCCCAGAAGCTTATTCCTACTGACAGGAGACCTCTATCACAATTACTTACATGGCATTGCAGAGAGAACTTATGATGTTGTCACAGATAAGGTGGCTAACCTGGATGCTTGTAATAATGCTACACTTGGAGACATTTTACAACGAAATACAAGAATTTCACTCACCATAAGAAACGTGCCAAAGATTCTTAAATTCAAGATTAATCTGGGGAGATGACAAAAACAATTTATGAGTGACTGTTATTAGATTCCACAGTTCCTTATGACTGCTTGTGTATACATCTCCAAGTGGATTACTCCTTGTTGGGGTTTTTTCAACTCCCTGTTCAGCTGATTTTCAAAGAGACAATAAGCAACTATTGATATAAGAATAATGGGAAATCTGTAAAAATTTAAAAAATTTACTTGAAAAAAAAAAAAATGAATACAAAGATAATCAGGACTGCAAAGACAAAAAGTCAGTAAATTTAACCCTTTAACTCCTAAGATCTGATTGTTGATTCTCCCTTCTAGCTGCCACAAGTTTCCTTGTAAATTAGTTATGAGAAATGGTGTTAGATCAGGATAGCAACTTCTACCTGATAAGTTTGAGTACTCTCATTACCTGTTTGCTGGATAATGTATGAATATTATAGGGAGAAGTTTTATGTTAATCACTTCTGGAAGTTAAAGGGTCAAGTTTATTTTTCAACTCCATTCTAGCTATGTGATTTGTCAGCCTTTTTCTTTATGTTTACCAATCTTCATACTGTAAACTAAGTTTAATTTTTATCTGCATGCCAAAGTTACTACACTATAAACTCTTTTAAAGAAAATTCTAATTTTACTTGGAGAAAGTAACGTATAGTGCATAATTCTATTTTGTATGGAGGACAACTTGTGTCTTTGCACGTTTCCATCCGTCAACCTGTAAATGTCCAGTTGTAGTTCTGAAGAAAATTGAACTCCAAGTGTCTCTGTTTCACGCTTACCTTTCCACCCCACACCAGTTCAAGTCTCTCTTTGCTCGCGCGTGACGACTTCTCACTCGCGCCTCTCGATCGCTGTCCTCACTAGCTTCCAGTTTCTCCCCCAATTTTTTCCACCACTGAGGAAATAGAGGCGGGCAGCAGCTGAATAGTGTCTGTGCCTTTTAAACAGATTTTGTTCAATTTGGTCACTTCCATACAATGAGTATGATCAAAATCGATTCAAACAATGCTGGCAGTTGTAGACAATGTATTTCTCTCCGCCCAAGCAATGAAAACCTCAAATCGTGTATTGCGAAAGAAGCACTCGACCAGCCATTTGATGTCACTCTTGTTGCTGAAGATGTCGAGTTCAAAGCTCACAAGCAAATTCTTTCAAAAGCAAGTCCCTTCTTTGAAAAGCTGCTTAACAGTGAGATGAAAGAGTCTAAGGAAGGAGTTATTCGCTTGGAGATGTTCACCGAAGCTGTTATGAGAAACACGCTGAAGTTTATCTACAGTGGTCAGGTGGAGATCGCAGCCGATGAAGCTCGTGAGATCATTGCTATGGCCGACTTTCTGTTTCTCCACGACTTAAAAACTCTCGCGGAGGGAGTTTTAGCACCGAAACTAGAGCTGAATATTTCAAATTGTCTTTCAAATTACTATTTTTTCGAGAGATATCAAAGCGAGCAACTTTCTTCCCTAAGCAAAAAATTTGTTCTCAAAAATTTTTCCACCATCTCGAAAACAGATGCGTTCCTGAATTTATCGAGCAAAGAAATCGAAATGTGGATTTCAGAAGACGAAATTGAAATAAATGCCGAGAAAGATGTGTTTGAAATAATTTTAGCTTGGATAAATCGTGACAAAAGAGGAAGAAAGAAGTGTTTTGCTGAGCTCTTTTCTTGCGTTCGCCTTGTTTACATATCGCGTGACTTTCTCTGCAGCAATATTGTGACCGATGACCTGGTAAAGGACAATGATTGCTTAGGTCTCGTTGAAGAGGCTCTGCAATTGATTGACGCAGAAGACTTCGACAATCCATCAATCCTACGTCCAAGAAGGTCCCTCGAGACTTCTGTGTTACTATGTTATGGAAGCAAAGATATTGTGTGCTATTTTCCTCAGGAGCATAAGTGGTGCACAGTGGGTGAGATGCCTTCTAAATATATCAGAAATGGCCCAGTCTTTTCTTGTCATGGAAAACTGTATGGCACTGTTCTAGAATCAGTGGCTACAAATGAGCAATACTGGAAACATGTATCCTATAATCCATATGGTGACAGCTGGGTGCAACTCCCCTCCATAGAGGAAACTAAATATATGCGTCAAATATTTATCAAAGATGAAGATGAAATTTATGCCTTGGAAGCAGAACCCTGTACCAATAGATCTAAAAATTTTGATGATTTTTGTAGATTGCATGCCCGCCGCTTGTTCTGTGATGAAGAGAAACACAGTTTCTCTATTACAAAGTACAACCCTGATTCAAATTCATGGGAACTGATAGGGAGACTGAACCATCTGCATTCTAGAGAGGATATGTGCATTGTGGCTCACGATGACTTTGTGTATTTTATTGGTGGAATAAAATGGCAACTAGGGAACAAATGCACCCTTGTGAGTGATGTTGAAAGGTACCACCTTGGTAATCACCAATGGGACAAAATTCCTAACACTCATGTGGTTCGAGATTGGACTTATGGTGCTGCGGTTGGTGGAAAGGTCTTTATTGCCGGAGGAATCAATGCTGGGGAGGCCATACAGCCTTGCGAAGTGTATGATCCAGCAACAAATGTGTGGCAGTTTATTTCAAATTTTAAGTGTTTTGATTTCAGACCCAAAGATTTGAGAAATCTCTTGTCCATTGATGGAAATTTGTATGCATTGCTCCTTGTGAGTGTGGGCAAATCAGGTTGTAGAGTCAAAGATTTACACTTGAAAATTGAAGGCTATGATCCAGAGGAAGATGAATGGAACCTAAAAACTGAAATAGCTATTTCTGTTTGCAATCACACCTTCATAAATGCCTGTTCCGTAAGAGTTTTCAAAGGGTTCCTTGATAGTCGTCTTCTGGAAAGCTGTGTTCCAGACTTTGTCACAAAATCTACAATGTCATGTGGCTATGACAAAAAGAAATGCTCTGTCATGTGAAAAGTCAAGCATATATTTTTTTTAGGATTTTTTTTATCCAAAAACTTAAATTTACCAGGAAAGAAAAACATTATTTAAAACCTAAAATAATATTTTGATAGGGTTTACAAACACCAAAAAATAAAAATAATAGAACTTCATCTCAGAAGGAAACTTAATGGTCAAAGAATCAGAAGATGAACAAATATATTCATGCAATGAGAGTAAATTCTTACAAGAATTTGCTAACTTTTTAGAAATGTTAGAAAACTAATCAAGGTGCTAATAAAGAGAAGAAAGACATGGAAAAAACATTAAACTGTTATGTTATCTGCTTTTTTCAGGAGGGGGTTACCATGACAGAGCTCTAAAGTCAGATCATTTTAGCTGGTTTTAAGCACAAAAGACTAAGAAGGAAAATAGCCTTTTTTTTTTTTCCGAGGAGAACCCATATGCTATTCTTTATTTAGCTTAGGGTTTGGCACAAGTATGTAATCAGCATTTTGTTTACTCAAGAATTACCGTACAAAGATAATACTGAAAAACGGAATCTGTCTGAACAAAACATCTTTTGATTTATTTCTCTGTTGTTCTGCCTGCTTGTCACCAGTCTCAATGGGTCAATCAATTAGAAGCTTCAACATCCCCACCCGGGCATTTGAACTTTTGAAGAAAGGTTTGTCGCAATTCCAGTCCCTTGGGGCAAAAGCAGCGTTTAAATGCCACACTCAAGTGCAGATATGAACCTGGAAATGCATCCATCGATCGGGATCACCATCCCCTCACCCTACACCCATTGGTTGGCGTTTTGTACGGTGCCTTCGTCATTTGGTGAAGACTGGGAACTAACACAGTGGATCTCCCTTTCATTTGAAGGAGAAACGTGAATAATACACATGTAGTCCAAAAATTACATTACTAGCTCTCGGAATTGGTGTAACGAAGACATGGATGAAATGAAAAGGGCCCAGGAGATGTCGTTTCTAAGGCCACATCATTCTGTTGATTTAGCTGAACGAGTGCTGGCGAGTGAACAAGATTGCGCTGTTTGTGTGTCAAGTATCAAGTCGAAAGCATTCATCGCGTTTAATGTGAGTCAAGGATTTTGGAGAAAAAGCGTGAAATGTGGCAAAATAATTCTTCTGGTGGATGATGAGAAAGGTGAGGTTGGGTAGTCAAAGCTATTATTAATACACACAGCTTTTTCAACAGGGAGATGCGGTTAGATCCGGTGCACCTTATAAGAGTAATGTACAGTTAATATTTCACGATTCTGTTATTCTGCGCTGCTGAGGTAAACAGAAAGTATTTTACTAAAATTGATAGCGTAAGTCAGGAAACTTACCAAAGGCTAGGCAAATTTTTGTTCTACCTGAATAGTTTTCTTGCGGTATTAAAATACATTTAATCTCAAGATCAAAACGCGAGTTCTCTGCATTGCGAGCGATACATTCCTAATAATTTAATTCCGGGAATTTGGTTTTAAATCATATCATATTGCCTATTTGGTGTTTTTCTTACTTATCACCTTTGAGTTTAAAAAATGTATTAGTAATTTAAAGAGAAATATATTTTAGGTCATGTTTAGGGCTGGTAGCTATTAAGGGTTACTTGTGCTAACATTTTAATATGTGGGGCAGAAATTAGGGTTAAGTATCTTACTGATCACTGAGTCATCATTGCATACCAGCCAGCTGCATAAAGAGGTGATTAGGTTTTCATATTGATCTTCTTCATTACTTTATCAGCCACCATTGTGGAGCCTTTCCTAACAGGAATATCAGAGCAAAGTCTCCTATCTGCCAAAGCATTTTTCAGTAAAACAGCTGAGGAAGATGAGTGGAACTTCATTTTCTCCATGTATAACATCATAGTGACAACAGGGAAGGCTTTTGCATGGATGTTGATTGCTAGAACAATGGACCTGTCATCATGCAGTTTAATTATTTTTGATGAATGCCATCTTGCCTTAAAAGAGGAGAACCATTTTGCAGTTATACTAAAGCAAATGGAACTGAGTAAACTTGATTCTAGACCACAGATTGTAGGCCTTTCATCACAAATTCTTCGCCATCAAGATTGTTCAAAGGATATGGAAATCTTCTTAACCTCACTGGAGCAGATATTTCATTGCAAAACATTTGTTTCTAGTGATCTTCTGGCTTTGAACCAATATGGAGAATACACTGAAATGGAAATATGTTGTTTTACCAGCAGTCATGTCCAGGATCAATGTATTTCCAATCTGAGTGATATTTTACAAAGTGCTTTGTTATTTCTAAAAGGTTACAGAATAGATCAAGTGACTGACACCTGTGTAGCATTCGTAAGACATGTTTTGACTGAGGGCTACAGGGTTCTTTTATTGTTGGGATCGTGGTGTACCTTGTATGTGGCAAAAATCATTGTTAAGGAGATTGAAAAGCTGGAGAAGAAGTCCATAGACAATGAGATTGTGCTTATTTTACAGTTCTGTAGAACACAGATTAGTTTAGTTATCAGTATTTTAGAACAAGAAAAGTTGGAAATTTCTGAGAATGACTTAACTGATTTAGGAACAATACTTCTCTTTCGCACATCCATGCATTTAAAACCTGAACACCAGCAGAAAAATGACTCAGAGAAAACTTCAGATACTGATCAGAGCCTATGCAAGGAACCTAACCAGTCCACCGAATCACTTGTCATAGGCCAGAATCCTTCTTGTGAACGTCAAGACAATCCTCAAGCCACAAATCATTCAAAGTTGCAAGCATCTTATGGGACTAAAACTCAATGCAACGATCCTCTTTGTGTTATTCTTGTTCCTAGCACAATTGTTGCAAAGGCACTGAATTCACTTCTTAACAAACTGTCCAGTACAGTTTTCAAGTACAGCTTCCTTAGGAGTGCATGCATCTATGGTAATAAAGCAAAACAAGAAATGAAAGAGTCAAATTTTTCTGAAGAAGTGGATGACAGTGTAATGGTGTGTGTTCAAGATGGTTCTGTGAATGTTCTGGTTGCAACATTTGAAATTGAACAAGAACTGTATGCCAAGAGATGTAGTCTGTTGATTCGTTTGGGTATGCCAAATACTTACAAGAGTTATTACAGCATAAAGAGTAAACTGAAGTCTGCTGGAGGCAACCTTGTAGTTCTTGTGAGAGAAGAAGAACTGCCTAAGACAGAGGAGAAATACCAGGTACTGTTTATACATGTAATTGGTTCAGAGGAATCTTTGGAATTCATTATGGTGAAACCTGGGAGGAACAGACTTTCTTAAACCTGAAATTACATCCTTCAAAAAATTTTGCTAGTGGTTAAAATTGCCATGAATGGTGCTAGACTGTTTACGAAATAAATGTGAAGGCAGCTTTGAGTTACAACTACAAATTCCAGAGTGGTTTTTGTTCTCAGATGCACAAAATTTGGTGATTTTGCATTCATTTGTTAGTTTGCAAAGATTGGGATCAATAGCTAAGCTAAAAGATGTTTAATTTGAATAGGTAAATATGATAAACGAGCTTATATTTTGTTTACCTTCACTGCAACTAAAGATATCATTATTGCTTGCAGACTTTTCAGAGGATAGAGAAACTTTTAATAGACAGGTGTCCAAACAGCCGGCCTCCAGGTTCAGAGATAAGGAAACTGTTTCAAGAGAGCCTGGTGGATGTCTATCAACCCTTTGGTGAAGTAGGTGCTGAGGTTGATCTTCTCTCCAGTATTGCTCTGGTTAACAGGTGCGAATGGCAATGTTAAATTTAGTCAAATGACAATTACACAAAGTTGACTGTAATAAACTAAAACTTAGGAGGCTTGTTTGGTCAGGGCCTAGGCTCATATATAACAGTGCAACTTCATAACAGCTGGCATCTTTGAGTTCTTGAGTGATTTAGTCATAGTTACTCCACAGCAGTTCAAAGACAGAAATAGTCATTTTCAAGCATTCCCCCACCCAACCCCTCCTGTTTTTTTTTCTCCTAACACTGGTCCAATCAATGTCAACAGTTGCCTGGAATAGGGGCTTATGTTAAGGTTGCCGAGATGTGCCAGGCATGGGGGTAGTTTCTCATTTGGGGGCTGGCTGGACAAATGGAAACCTCTACATACTCCAGCCCACCACCCTCTCTCCATTTCAGTGCATCAGTGGGTAATTACTCAAGTCCATAATACATGTTTCTTGGTTTCCTCTTTTTCCCTTGCTTGTGAAAAATGTACTGTGCAAGAAAAACATAATTTATAGATTTCATCTCAAGTAATCAGCCATTAAAAAATAACTCTTAGTATCAATCCTATGCACTGTTAACTAGTTATTGTAGCAAGTTCCCCAGTGGCGGAATGGGCAATCCAGTCCCTGTGTGTAGAATACAAGAAGTGTGGTCTGACCAGGAAGTAAAGTTTGTTGCTACGCTGCACCTCCCCCGAAACTCTCCTGTTTACCAACCTACAAAGGTATGATTATTAAAAACTCATTAATTACAGGGAATGGGAACAATCATGATTAGCTCATGACTAGTGTTACTGAAATTTAATGTTCTCTTTTGTGGTTTTGTTGAACCTCAGCCTGTTTTTATGAGCTTTTCAGTATCCACCATATATTATGCCTTGCAATGCTATTTTATAAAAGCAGCGACTCGAAAAGACAAGTGTGTACTAGAGCCTGGTCTTGTGGCTTGCATCCAGATATTGACTCTTTGACTCCTAAAAGTGATTCGTATCTTATTTCTCCTCGCAATATTACCACTGAAATCACACTTTAAGGTCACTAGAATAAAAGAATGATCACCAAATAAAAAAGCTCTTATGGAGTGTATTGGGAGCAGTATGAAGGAAACGCACAGTGATGTTAGGGTGCAAACGTTTCAGTGGATCCTCATTCGAAGATTTGTTTCCCTTATTTATTTTCGCATATTTTGTCATCCAGGGCAGTGTAACACTGAAGAAGACTGACATTAATGAGGATGAAGTGAGAAAAGCCAGAGTCAAGTGTGAAATGCTTGCTGCTCTGGAGGCTTGTCGTCTGTTGCACGTAAGGGGAGAACTGACTGACGATCTTCAACCTGTATTCAGGTACACTTAACTAGCTTAATACAGTAGAACCTAGATTTAACGAAACTCTATATAACGAAGTCCTCGGTATAACGAACGGTACTCTTCAGCCCGACCAAAGTTACTGTAAAATGTATTAGACAAAACCTCGATGTAACGAACTTCGATATAACGAAGTCCTCGTTATAACGAACATACTGCAGAAGCCCAAACGTCTAACATACCCCGATATGACAAACAACTAACTTGTAAAAAACTCCCTAAAGACATCTACGACAGTTAGACGAAACGCAATCCTGAAAAGCAATCCTTAATGAATTGCTTTCTTCAACACTCAAGGGAAAGTTCCTGTGCACAGATAACAAATCTGCAGAACCCTTGAACCCTAGCACGTAATACATAAAAGATCAATAAATGCTCCATAAATCAAGTAAAAGGAAGCTTCAATGCATCAACTACTAGGTGGGATCCACATCACAATGTACCTTCTCTGGGTTCAACATACAGCTTGTAGCATTTCTGTCATATCGCCCTTTTTTCCTCATCCATATTTCAATTGAGAATCATACTTGTTATTCTTGAAGATGATGCACCCCATGTCTTTTCCAATTCTTCGTAGGTTGCGCGCTTATAATCTTACGGCTCAACATGAACCGTGTGACTTTGAAGTTGCGGATGGTGGTGTCGGAATGGACGGAACTATAAAGAGAAACCGAGCTTACAAGAAAAAGGTACCAACATGGTTTCCATTTCTCGCTTTGCCTACCCTCGATTTATCCTCGAAATCAAATCAAGTCAACTTTATTCACCCACAGTTATTCCTTCAGGAATTGTAAGATTATGAATAAAATATACATACGAACACTAAGTTACCTCCTACAACGTTGTACTTCTGCTCGTACCAAAATGATAAAATAGATAATTCACCTGATTTACAAGAATGTCGTGTTACAGATATAATAAAAATTTAAGTGGTTGAAAAATAAATGGAACTCGCTTCGTCGAGATCAGAGACAACGGGTCTTTTAAGATTTTTTCACAAGAAGATTAAAAATAATTGTCACAGCGTTTACACGGAAATCCTGACAATCAGTCTATTTTTTATTGTTTATATTGAACTAGAAGCATATAACTTAGAACTAGGCTATGTGTCACTGACTCAATGTAATAGCTCTTCTTCAAAAATCTCTACGGCATCTGTTGCACTCGAGGTTTACAATGGCTCTTTTTGATTTCCTTTGCAGTTCCCTACCCTGCTAGAAAATAACTTCCCCGTTTGCGACGAACCATGTTATGTTTATGCTCTCTCCATGGAGTTGACCAAACCGTTGAACTTTGAACGTGCTGTCAGGTCAAGAAGTAAAATGCAGTCTACCTCAGGTTCTTACAGTCTTGGGATTCTATCCAGAAAACAACTACCCAAGGTTAGACGAATATACTTGGCGTGAATAAGGATCATGGAAGGGTAGGGTGGGTGGGGGGGGGGTGGTGGGAAAGGGGAGGAAGGGGAGGGTTAATAATTCAAAATAAAGGCAGCATAGTTCGCAAAGTGTGAAGTTATAAAACTGTTAGAAAAGGAACGTCTTATTTGAGTCTTTTTGTAGTTTAAGACTCTAATCAACCGAATTTGCCCTCGGACTGATTTCGTTTCAACCTTATTGAATATTTCCAAACTTAAAGGAAAATATGAAATGAACCCTCTAAAATGATATTTCATACATTCAACGGATCTTTTTTTGCTAAAAATGTGTTAACTAGAAGCCCCTTATTTGATGGCAATAGAACTGATAAATGCAATTCAAATTGTGATCTTGTTTCCACTCCTCACTTTTAAGCTTTAATTAAAATGAAGATGTATTTTCAATTCTTTCACAGTTGCCTTGTATGGCAATATTTGACAGAGCAGGGGAGGTAACTGCTTCTGTTACTGAGTGCTGTCCTTATCCCATTGTCCTGACCGCTGACCAGCTTTCACTCCTGCAGAGATTCACCGAGTATGTCTTCAAGGAGATCGCAAGACCGAAAAAGGAATCTCCAGCAACCTTCATATCGTTTGACCCAACCATTGCTTCCTCTGGGTATTACATTGCACTTCTAAAGGATGTCTCCAGTAGACGCTCTCTCGCTGGCACTTCTCGAAACAATCACAAGGAAATTGCGTTTGATTTCATATTCTCCTTAGAGAGTAAACTTGTCAGCTTTAAAAATCCTGTCTATCCAGGGCCACCTGACATCACCAACGCTGAGATTTTCAGAGATGCAGTTGTAACAGCCTCTTACAACGAGAAACGAAGCCATTACTATGTGGCTGAAATATGCTACGATCTCAGCCCAGCAGACCCATTTCCAAATACTGACGTAGCTGGTACTTTTGCAGAGTACTTTAAAATTCGTTACGATGTGGAGGTATCCTTGGACCAGCCCATGCTAGATGTGGATCACACATCATCACGACTTAACTTCCTGTTACCGAGATACCAGAACTTCAAGGGACAACACCTGGCTATACCAGAGAAGAATTCCAAGCGGTCAAAGAGGTCTAAGGTGTTTATGATTCCTGAGCTGTGTTCCATTCATCCTGTGCCAGGGTACCTCTGGCGGCAGTTGTCCAATCTGCCAGCCTTACTGTACCGTATGGAATCACTTTTGGTTGCTGAGGAGCTGAGATGCCGGGTTGCAAGGGATCTTGGTATAGGAGCTGTGGATTGGCCAAATGATGTTCCACTGCCAGTAGTGACAATTGGAGAGATGATGGGCGAGGAAATTCTGTCAGAAAAATATTCTTCTGCAGGTGAGAAAAACAGCAAGAGGTCCTCTGCAGTGGCTGAAGACAACCCGAGCTCTCCTTTCTCCACAGACCTTCCCGAAGTGTTTATGGATCTCAAGATTTCCAACCAAGTAGAACTGACTGAGAAATCTGCTGCCAAAAGTCTTGCCGTGGAGCTCTTTCATGATGCCACAGCGTACTGTTTGTCAATGAGTTCTGAGAAGTTTCTGTTTGAAAATTATTGCACTGAAAAAGAATGCAAACCACTCTTTCGTCCAGCACCTCATCAAAGTCCTCTGACCTTCAGTAAAGAAAAAGAAGACATTTGGCCACATAAGCTGTCGGATTTTAATGTACCCCTTCCTACAAAGCCCAGAGCATTTGACTGCGATTCAATATTAGTAGATGACAGAGAAAGCGAAGTGTCTGCCATCTCAATTTGGACGGACCCGCTTCTTTCAAACTTCTATCGAACCTGTGGCCCGTCATCATCCTTGATTCTACGTGCCCTGACAACAACCTCGGCTGGAGATGTATTTTCTCTCGAGCGTCTTGAAGCTCTCGGCGATTCGTTTGAGAAATTTGCCATATCTTCTTCCGTTTTCTTCAAACACAGGCTCGAGAACGAAGGCGTTCTATCTTTCCTTCGGGGTATCAAAGTTAGCAACCGGCAGCAGTTTTACCTGGCAAGGCGACGTGGTCTCCCGTCCTATATGTTTACCCGAATGTTTAACCCTTTGGTAAATTGGCTGCCGCCTGGATTCTATCTAAACGACGACAGCAACGCTGGAAACTCGGGTTACGAACATCTCTCCTTGATTCCAGACACATTTTCCGATGAGGTTGATGACGAGGAAGACGATGAAAGTATTTTCGCGGAGACGGAAAGTTCAGGTTACAACGCTGATTCCCAGCAGGGTGAATCCACTGACGTCCAACTTAACTCCTACCTTCATGTCTGCTGCTCTGATAAGTCCATTGCTGATTGCACGGAAGCCCTTATTGGTGCATTCCTTTTGTGTTTTGGATCCGACGGGGCTTTCAAGTTTCTGGAATGGTTGGGTATGGAAATAGCGAGACAGGAGAAAGATGAAAACTTAGTAGATAACTCATCTTCTGACGATTTCGCTCTCGATTCAGTTCCCAAACCAACTTCGACCATAAAATTCCACGATGTACCTCACCAAGCTCCTGAAACAATGGTAGAAAACATGTCGTCAAACGACGTAACTGTTCCTATTCCACCTATCGGTGGGTTCTCTTCTGAACATGGGTCGACTAATGACGAGTTCAAGGACGTGGAGGAAGCTCTACATTATCACTTCCACGACAAATCTTTGCTACTGCAAGCCTTCACCCATTGTTCCTTACCACGGGACTATAACTCTGTCAGAAACAGCTATGAGCAACTGGAGTTCTTGGGAGATGCATTGTTGGATTTTCTAGTAATGCGCCATTTGTACACACAACACAGACACATGTCCCCAGGCGAGCTGACTGATCTGCGATCTGCCGTGGTAAACAACTACAGTTTTGCTGTTCTGGCGGTGAAATTGGGCTTTCCTAGACATTTGAGGTCATTGTCGCCACAGCTGTTTGGCATGGTGAACACTTTTGTGGTAAAGCTGAAAGAGAAAGAGATGAAGCATGCGACAACACATGAGAAGAATAACGAGGTGAGATGAAGTTATAGTGAGGAAGATGCTGCTTCGGGGTATAAACAAATTAATGGAAGCACAAGATGTACGAGTCGAGAATCTCGACGCGCATAACGTCGTTTGATTAAAGCCCCCGATGAATGAAGGATGTAGCTCTTCATCTTCCGACTTATAAAAGCTTTCCTTCTGATTCCAGATTTACTCCAGTGTTTTTGTGATGGCGACCGAGGGTAGAGAGGATTCTGAGCAGGTAGAGGTACCTAAGGCATTGGGTGACCTGTTTGAGGCTGTCGCTGGTGCAATTTACTTGGACTGTGGCGCAGACCTTGAAAGGGTGTGGGAAATCTATTTGCCCATTCTCAAGCCCTCGATAGGTGAGTATGCAGATATCTCCTTTACTGAATTACACCTATAGTTAATTTTGCTTTACTTCATTCTGTAACTGGACTCAAAAACGTGCGCCAACTTTTCAAACACTCAGAAGTGAATAAAATTGTTAAAGCCTTGGTCACCTTCATTTTTCCTCCCGTCGAACAGTTTTTTCGTTTTTACTTTGGTTTTGGCCTAACGTTAGTTATACACAGTTGCTCCAATGTTTGTGGTTTATTCTTTAGATTATTACTCAGACCATCCTCCCATGTCAGCCGTGCGGCGATTGTTGGAGATGATGCCCGGTGCAGCCAAGTTTTCGTATGTACCACTCGTATTCTTTATTTATAACGTTTAATTGTGGATACAGTGACATTTCTATTTCGAAGGAAGAACACTTTCGTATAGCTCTCAGACAGCTGTGTCAGTTTTGGACCAGTTGATCACAAAGCTCATCAGGTCAATTTCTTTTTTTCCTCATTTTGTCCTTTTTTTTCAATTTCTTTTTGTGGAAACACTTTATAGGCCGGTCGAGAGAATGGTGGATGGTAAATTTAAATGTACCCTGACTGTATCAGGTTGTGGAACTTTCGTTGCTACAGGAAGAAATTTCCGAATTGCAAAATCAACAGCTGCCCAGAAAGCGCTGAGGGCTCTTCAGCAGATGGAGTCAGAGACAAAAACATAAAACACATGATTGTCACTGACATTTTCTCAGTTTTACGAAGAAAGGTGACAGATGTATGTCACGAATTGACAAGCTACAGATGAACGCTGAGTTAACGCCCGCGAGCACTTTTATTCGCGCGAGCAGCAAAACTCCCGCTACAAAGTAGTTTTTAAACGACTAATAACGTGGTTATTAATTGGCTGAATTATTAAGTTGCTCATTTTTTTAATTTCAGAAAAAGATTTCATTTATCTCTTACAGATTCAGTTTGTTGAGTTTGTTTATCACATCAACACTGATGCAGTCTATTTACCCTTAGTTTTTATCAGTTCGGTATTTTTAATTGAAATTATCAACTACCGCTTGTCAATGGACGGTAAGAGATTTTTATTGCTGTACGAGGATACATTTTGTGTGTTATATTTTACGGTTTACACGGTGCACACATTCTCTAATAAATTACTTATTATTACTTCGAGTTTCTTTTACAAGCCAACTTTCATTTAAATGTGTTATGTATATACAGTTTTTATGAAATTTCCAACTCCGAATTTTGCATTTCTAGTGTTCTGATTGGTTCAATCAACTCCAGTTATCAGCTCATATTCCGAGTCACTTTATATGGAAATGTATTGCACCAATTGTTGCAGAGCTGAAAAAGCTCCCAACATCGAAACGTTCAAGATTTAATGAAATTTAATGAAACAATTATTCCATTGGTGCTTGTTGGCGCGCTCAAGGAATGATTGTTAATTAATCTTATTTAAATACACATAGCACGTAGCTGCCCCTAATCAAGAACGAACACCGTTGGTCTTCATGAATATTACTGGAACCTCCACGTTGAACGCGTCAAAATGTGACGAGACAATATATTTACATGTTTGTAATGGCTGTGCAGTTTCATCTCCAAAACATACGTTTACTGGCAGAGCACCGCAGCCCATCTTTAACCTCCATAAATTGCAAGTGTATTATAACGTAACCTTGTGAACAAATGCCTCTACCATCATAACTGAGTACAGTGACAACTAGTTTTAAAAATTCTTATTGTAGCTAGGGTGGGTGCTCGGTTAAGAATGTGATAAATTCTCAGTGCTTGTTTTGCTCATGAGCTGTTTTGTTTTAAAGCGATCTGGTTCCAGTTTTAATTAACCCTTTAACCTTCAGGGCGACTAGCATCTAATTAATCTCAAAGGTTTCACTGCTAAATCAAACATTAGGCTCATGAGACTTAAGAAAATGATCGCACGCTCAAAAAGCTCTTGGAATAAACTAAATTCTCTTTGTTAGTCCCATAGGAAATGTATAAAGAACAGAAAGGAGAATCTACACGCTGATGTTAGGGTAAAAAGGGTGTTTCTTCAAGGACTCATTGGTGAATCGATCTACTAAATCTCCCCAACACAATGTAATGGACCTAAAGAGTATTTCCCTTTATCCTTGTCGTTACTCCCAGTGTCTCCAAACCTTAGCTGTGTCACAGGGAGTTTACTCTTATCTGTCAAGTAACCATAATCAGTTCTCTCCCCCAGATCGTTCGCGTCACAGTTACATTTGAATTTTGGAAATTTGTAGCAGGTCATGGCTTTGTAACATCCGCATGAGTAGCTCGAAGGGTCAGCTCCACCCCAATAGTTCTGGCGGGTCCCATCACGGGCTACCCACCAAGTATACGGCCCCCCAACTAAGTCACCGTAATTTGCCATAATCCTTGATTTGCTGCATGTGTAACTGATCAATTGTCTGCAGTTTTCGGAGACGGATATCGCCGCGGCCATTTGTTGCAGTGAGTGTGAGTAAGTGACGTCTCGAATAAATGACCCCGGCTCTTCATAACCGTCGACTACCTCGACGCCATAGACGTCGTGGGTAAAAGACACCGTTACCCATCTTCCGTGCAAATCACAGTACACTGAAAAAGGAGGCAGTCCTCCGAAACCGTCGGGATCAATTGTGTAATAACCGCTAGGACCGCCAGGGTTTTGCAAATTAACTCCAGCGCACGTCTTTGGTGTGGAAGCTGAAAAAAAGAGTGGCAATTTCACCGTCTGTTATCGTTACTTGCAATGCACCTGCGGTTTCCTTCGCTTGAATTGAATCTCCCGTTGCTGATCAGTGATCATTATCCTCGGATGAAATAAAGGCTTTCCACCAGAGACACTTTTTCTGTCCAAAGAGTATCCCTAGTGCAATACATTTAACAGTATGTAGTAAATGTCCACAGAGACATTCAGATCTTGGCTATATAAAGCAAATGGGGTGATATGACTCTCTGATGGAATTATCCGGTGGTGCCTGCCCTACATTCGTGGAGAAAATTAAACTTAAAGATGAAGGTGGGTTTGGCCTCCTAACAGAAATTCTTAGTTATAACTGACCGAGCTTGCCAGCTCAGGATTACAAGACTCTGACCCCGAAATACGAACATTTTCGCCATAATCCAGCAATGTTAACCGAAAAAACTTGGTCAATAAATGTACAACATATCTATGGAGCTAGATTGCTGTCAAATCTTGAAAATGTTCCCTCAACATCACAAAGGTTAATGCGATTCAAATTTTGGTAGTAGCTGTAGTATGATGCCAGTTTAATTAAGTGGCTTACCAGAACTGCTACAATTTGTGTCGGCAAATCCCTCAGCACACTGACACAAGTAACCATTAACGGAATCTACACAAGTTCCGCCATTGGCACATGGGTTGCTGGAACACTCATCCACATCTGAAAGCGAAACAGTGTTGAATATGAGGCTGTAAGTAATAGGGGGAGCGGAGACAGCACAGTGGTGAGAGCGCTCGCCTCCCACTGGTGTGGCCCGGATTCGATTCCCGGACGAGGTGTCACGTATAGATTGAGTTTGTTTTTCGTTCTCGTCCTTGCTCCGAGAGGTTATATCCGGGTCGCCTTCGGTAAAAACAAACATTCTAGTTCGACCTGGAAACAGAGGACAGGAGAATGTCCACTGCTAGATTATTATTATTATTATCATAATAATTATTATCATTGATATAGAGACTTTATACAAGCAGCTTCCCCAGACCGCAACTGCAGCCGCCCATACGTTGTTATTCATTTCATAACCAGTCTATAATTACTCCATCCCAGCAAAAAAGCGGGATATATGTTTTTTTTACATAGTACTTCAAAATAGTTTATGGAAATTGTCCGTGATTTAATACGTGTGATTAAGAAACAAACACCGCCGTCAAAAACACGTCGTCTTTGAATAAACGCTCGATCAAAAACGCTAAAAACGTTAATTTGAGATTTCATTATTTTTGGCCTAACATTAGATTGCCTTCGTCCCTCCGATAAATTTTTTCCTTTCGTTTGGATGGCGCCGGTTTTAGCAGGTGCCTAATAGCCTGTGGCATAGTTAGTCATTCCTTACCTATCTCACAGTGATCTCCAGTTGTTCCAGCTCTGCACTGACACGTGTATCTATTGACTTGGTCTATACAAATGCCCCCATTCTGACAAGGATCGCTGGCACATTCGTTTCTCTCTGCGAGGGGCCAAGATAGGCATGCAAGGCAAAATAAATCCTTAGTTTCAATCGTAATCTCGAGGTCCTTTGTCCGCAAAATAGGCTCGCAGAGCGTGTTAATTCTACATCTCGACATCCCTTCCCAGTAACAATGGCTAACAATGCGTATTAAATTCCTAGTTCTACCCCTTATCTCGAATTCCTTCCTCTGCAAAATTGGGTCTGCAGTCACAAGTATCAGTGCGAGAATTAGATTTTGCTTCTGCATGATATTCAATTGATAATGATATCAGCCAGAGACATGTCAGTCTATCAATGACACAAGGTCGAAAGCGAAACGAAGCCTAATGAACTGTCTCCAGAGAGGATAGGCAACGCAGTTACGCAAACAAAAAATATGGAACTTTTTGGTCCTCTGCTTTCAGCTTCATGTTAACCAAAAGGAAAATATTTGCGATAACTTTGAATGATGAACTTTTCCCTCTTGAACTTTAAAATTTTTTTTTCCTCTTGGTTCTGTTTGGTGCCATTTTGGAGCAGAGAGAAAGTGGGAGTTCAAACCAGACATCTTTTTTGCTCTTAAATGTTCACTCTGTAGAGTACTATGCCATAATAACAAAAATATATACAACCTTTATGACAAGTTTTTCCCTCATATCCTGGTTGGCAAACGCAATTGAAGTCATTGACCTGGTCGACACAAGTACCTTCATTTTCACAGGGGTTTGATGAACATTCGTCGATATCTGAAAGGAGTTGGTTTGGAGAATCATTGAGTGAGAAGAATGAAATGGCTTTCAGTGTCAACTCTGAACTATGCTTACTCTTACAAGCTCACTGACAACTTCCTCTCCTTCCCCCTCTCTGGACCCTTTCCCCTACCCCCTGATGATGAGCAGAGCACTCTACTAATGAATTAAATAAATGACATAAAGTAGTGAGGAGAGACAGCATCTCCGACTAAAGATCTTAAGTTTTGCGCCCTTGAACGAAATAGTATATACCCAGCGAAAAGTCCCAACATAACTTTGCATGGAATTAGAAAAACGTTTTTCTACTCTGAAATTGAAAAGTCTCAGTTTGCTGGTCTCTCCGAGCAAAAGAGCTACCACTACCGACATTTACAACAAAAAGCAACTTAATGCTTATTTATTAGGATATTGTTTCTGCACTAACCTGTTTGACAAGTTTCTCCACCAAAACCAGGTTTACAAGAGCATGTAAACTCTCCTTTTTCGTAGTTTGGGATGCATTTTCCACCGTTTTGACATGGCCAGCTAGAACATGGTGTCTGAAATTTTCGAGAGTCTTTTTTGATCAAACCCAAAATAATTTGTTGAAATGGAACTCGCATCTCGCAAAAAATACTGGTTTTGAGAATTATGACTTAAAAAAATTAAGAGGGAGGTTTCGTAGAAGTATAAACAAAGAGCCTTCATTGCATGAAAGGGGTTGTAAAATGTTTTACAATCAACTCTATGCATACCCTGATACTGTAATGATGATATTCTTGTGAACTGACCAGCTGGCCTGGACTGGCAGAGTATTTATCTTCGTTTAACAACTCGCATGGAAATTGTCCGTCTAAACGTGGAGATGAGGCGACGTTGAACGAGGAACATGGTGGATTATTAACACAGCTCAGAGCACACTCTCTGTAGTTGCTCACAACGCTCGATAAACCAACTGATACTTGAAGACGATGGTACTTGTCAACTGCAAAATTGCCATATGATACTCGAGTTCCCGGTACACGGACTCCTCGTATTAAACCGCTTCTACCGTCTACATAGTTGTGGGCCGTGATAGGAACAAGAATGATCGGAAATAAAAGAAAGAGAAGCTTTAAAATGTATCGTTCAGCCTGCATAGCAACGAAAACCTGCACCTGTTGACTTGATGTTCGCTCCTTGCTCTTCAAAGTCACACAGAAAAGCTGTGAAAAGCACGGGGGTCTTATATGATGATTATATGCGCTGCGAGGAGATCCAGTTTTGTTAATTTAGCTAAATTCTGCCAGGAATATTTATGGAAATAGTGCGAGAATTCAATTGCCCTTTGTGACTCCATTCTATAAGAAATTAAGTCGGCTTTATCCCTATTGAAATCTATCAGCGCTTTTTAACACATTGTGCTTTTAAGTGACCCTACGTAGTTACAATAATAAAAGTAATTCACACTTTAGACCTTTGTGCGTAATTCAGCTGATAATTGCTAAGTATCCTCAAAACGATAGCGCATGTGTTAAGTCTTAAAAGTAGGTAGTAGGTGTATTAGTGTTTCTGAATATGCATCTTTGCGACGTCTTAAAACAGAAGATATATATTGTTTCAGAAGAACAGTTTCCAGAAGATTGTGAAATTATGATCACTCAATGGCTCTTCGAGGTTATTTTTCATCACCTGCAGCAAAAGTATGTAATTAGATTTCTGAGGCGCAAAAAAGTTTAGCACCCATATATCTCTACAGACACTATCGATCCAACGAGGAAAAAGAAGATTCTTTGGCGAAAAAAATTTAGCGAGGCCAGTATCACCTTTCCTGGTACGAAGGTTAGACTTGGATCGATTATGCAGAGGAGAGGCCTGGGTCTAAACTAGAAATAAATATGGCGGACAAGGAGGAATTTGATTTCGAAGAAATTCACTTCTTGCCAATCCCCTCGCAAACGAATATCTATGGTCTGACAAAAATCGACGGAAACGACGAAGAAAGAAAGCTATTTCTGGCGTCCCTTAGTGGCAGGGTGGTTTGCTTGGAATATCCACGGAATTCACCTGTGCCGACTTCGAAAGAGGTTCCCTTCACCTACATCCCAGGTCTGTGAAAATCTGTGCTTGATGATGGAAACGTGCACTAAGATCATACCAAATCATAACCAGGCCGTCTTTAGGGTACCCGAAAAAGAATAAAAATCACGCTCACCTCTCCACAGGAATTGTATATTGCTTACCGATTACATCGATCACCACCTCTCGCAATCCCTCTTTTATTCATTTATTTATTTGTTTTGTTTTTTTGTTTAGTTGATCATTTTTCCCCTTCAGATTCAGCAGAAATTGTTTCCATTGATGCATTTAACAGACCTGAGACAAGAAAAGGACTTGTAGTAGGGATATCATTAATTTTATTAAAGGTACGTATTTGAGGGAGTGCAGTTTTTTTATTTCTATCATGGCAGAACACTTTGGCTAAACTCTGATGAATAGTTCTTTATAAGAAAAGTCATATTTTGAGATTTTGACCATAAGTTGCATCATAATCTATGAGAGTGTGTAGCTATGACCTAGGTGTTACCTAACATTATTCATTATAAAATTCTATGGAGCACAAGTACTGCATATTACTTAATAGTAAGTCCACAAATTCAAACAGGAAGTAACTTGTGGTGCCTCTCAAATAAAGCCATGATCCCTGCAGCTGAGCAGCAATTTAAGCAATAGAATGAAAGAACCCTGGAAAAAATTCAGGCTTTGATGGAATTCTAACACAGGCCTCCTACATACTAGTTGGCTGCCACAGTAGTACCAACTAAGCTAGAAAGCCACATGTTGGGAGTGGAGAGTGTTTTAGAGGATTTTTCTCCCTCTTTCTCAGAGAAATCTGATTCAATTTGTACTGAAATAAATTTCAACTAATTTGAGATGTCTACATTATTTAGATGTCTTTTACACAAAGACACTCTTTTAATTTTATCCATCACCCTTCTGGGAGTATTCTGTGGCTGATTTTAAACAATACTGAACTCTGTTGTAGAATTCTAGAAGTCACCAAAAACAGTTTCTCAACATCTATTCAGCTTTGGAAAGTAGATCAGAGTTCTCTCTGGGTAGTATTGCAGGTATAGTATGTTGATAATACAGTGTTTGCAATACTGCTACTCTAACTTCTCAGTCAATGTGTTTAAATGCATATTGATTTATCTACTATGCAGTGAATCTTTGTTTTTTTCATCTAAAAGCTATTTACAATTTACTTACAATATTACTAATCATTTTTTACAGAGGGTTGTCAACACCTTGAATTGAACTTTGTCCCTTTCCAGCTGACGCATGCTGAGTAAGAAGTCTCTTTTGTATTCAAGTCAATAATTTTAGATTTTTTTCAAATACATGGAGACTCATCAAAGACATTGGTCAGTGCATTATGTACTAGAACTGATGGAGACCTTTACAATGAAGAATCTAAAAATGAGAACTTGATTTACAGATCACTGGAGCTATGTTATGCATTGCTAGACCTTAGAATGTCATTTAAAATTTTTTTGGTATAACCTCACACACTCCCAGTTGATAATTACTAAATCAATTCTTGTACTTGCCTTTGGCAGGGTTGTTATAAAGGAAAGAAAGCAAATTGTGTTTTTACTTTGTGGAAGTGATGAAAAGGTGCACATGTTTTGTGAGGTTAGCAGATTTTACTATTACCCTCTGACTCCCAAAACTGATTAAAAAATGTAACTTCTCCTTCCAACATGATATGATATGAAGGAAAAAAAGTGACGAGAATTGATGACTTTTATTACATGAATAGTGCTATCTGGATCATGTAATTTGTAATCAAGTGTCAACAATAATGTGGGATTGCTTTGGATTTGCTCTTTTCTGCTTGGTGATCGGTTGAGAAAACGTACACCACCCTTTCAACCAATCAGATACAACAATAAAAGCAATTGTGTATTGTTGAGCTTTTTCCTGTGTGCACAGCAGTTTGCTTGGCTTTTCTTTGAGTTCTTGTTGATTTGGTTTTACGATATCCAATCCAAGCACTTTCCACTAAGTTGTTTGAAATAAATTATAAAGAGATGTACATTGGCAGAAAGAGAAAATTGCTAAATTTGAGCATCCTGGCTCCTTTCTTTAACCCACCAGTGCTTCATTTGTGAATTGTTGTTACCGACAGTTACTACATGTGGAGTTTGCTTTGACATTGTAATTAGGATCACTTTTGCTTTGTATTGTTAAGGCCCAGACTACCTACTTTATGGTTGGTACAACTGTGTTTATAAACTTCCCACTGTTAACCCTTTAAGCCTAAGAGTGACTAGCATCAAATTTCTCCCCACAATATCACCCCTGAATCACATGTTAAGGTCATGAGAATTAAGGAAATGATCATCAATGAAAGAAGCTTATGATTGGTAAACAAATTCTCCTTTCCAGCACCTTGGGAAATGTGTAAAGAGCTGTATGGAGAATATGCATATTGGTTTTGAGGTGTAAAGGATTAAACAGTTTCTTTACTAAATTTGCAGGATAAGACCCAACAGAGGTTTGAGGAGCAGCCAGTGCAAAGCTTTTTTCCTGAACTGCAAAATTTACCAAGCAAGTAAGTGGTTTCTTTCATCACACGCTCAGTGTTAAAGATTTGATGTTTATGTGCACTGCTTTAAATCTTAGGAGTCTTTTAGAATTCCTTTGTGTATTTAAATCAAAAGGTATCAGTCTAGATTGTGTTAAATTATTGTTCATTCTTTGCTCTTTGTGCAGTGTTCTTTGGTTGGAAGTGGAAACTCTACACAATTCTAAGCGTGTAACAGTGGTTGGCTGTCAAAACGGGCACGTTAAGGTGGCAGTGACTGACCTTACTAGGGGAAGTATGTTGCCATGGAAACTTCGTTTGGAGTTAATTTGTGTTTCTCGATTAAAATTATATTTGACAGAGTGAAAAGGTCGTTTTCAACTTCGTCGAGGCGATGTCGAAGGCAGAAAAAGTCGTCGTAGTTTATTCGCCTAATTGATTGTTATTTTCATCTTCCTTTCTGAGATCGTTTTGCATTTTGGTGGGAAGAGGAACTTTTATGGTGTTTTTCAGTATTGATACAGATTTTTTTACTGTTTTGGTATTGTTTTACAGGTATTGAAAAGATAGACACTTTGGATCGTGATGGACCTATTTCAAGTGTGAAATTGTTTACGCAAGACTCGAGCAAAATCATCGAAGCTACCGGTACCGGTAAAGTTTTAACTGTGCTATACAAAACTCCGTTGATCTCTTTTTGAGACGTCTTCAGAATAAGCTGACACAAGAATTGTTTCCATTTCTCCTTGCAGATGCTAAAAATATTGAAAACGGACAAACATTTGAAAGAAGGGATTACCACCTTTTGGTTTGCTGTGCAATTGAAGCAACTGTCGTTTACACGTAAGTAAACCACAACGGCTATGCGATGGAGAACTGTCAGTGGTGATTTGCGCGAGAGAACTTTATGATTGTTTTGACAAGTTATTCTAGGAGCTTGTTTGGTTCTTAAAGAAACTCGGGACTACTTTTAAGCCAACGCCAGACCGCAAGAATCGAACTTTTTTGACAATTTCTTGCAAAGGAACTTCCACAGTACACTTCAGCAATAAGCTCTGAACTTAAGCTCTCATTCTAGATTTAAATTTTATAGCCGAGAGGAAATGTGTGTTGACTAAGTGTTTCTTTTTGGTTCACAGCAATATAATTAGTCAAGGTTTCACTAACATGGTGATTCTACCAGAATCGGACGAATTCGATTGTGTGACGTGTACATGTATCGCTGACGTCAACTGGGACGGAAAGAACGAAATAATCTTGGGGACATATGGACAGGTGAACGCTACACGATGACAAGAAGGTTATCTGGGAGTTTGACTTATAATAGCGGCAACGCCCGCGTAAACGTCCACTAAAAATGAAAAGTGAATTAACATTTGTCAGGTGTTTTAATAACGGTTGGCAATTGGTGTAAAGTATGGTAATTTAGTGTTATCAACTGGGTTGAAAACGTAAACTGGCCACCTTATAGAGTTTAAAAGTTGAGTTTTCGAGTATTAGCCCTTCGTCAGAGCGATTAAAACTCAAGAGCTTGCTCGCAGACTCAAAATACGGTGGTAATTGGTCTTACAGGTTGTGGTAGACCGCTGGTGAGAATTTCGAAGGCTCGAAGATTTTATCTTGTGGAGGCAGCGTTAAATTACAAGCACTGAGAGAAGTGATTAATTTGCCCTTGCATTCCTCGTACGTAGAGGAAGGAAAAATTTAATAATTTCACGTTGTTGTTCTGCAGAAAACGTCTTGGAAATGTAAACTTTGCGATCGACAGTTAGTGCTGTAAAACTGAGGAACTAGGTCCCAGTGGCCTTTAATGTTCATGAAACGTTGGAATACTGGTGAAACAACATTTCCTTTTCTCTATTAAACAGGAACTCCTCATCTTTAAGTGTGTCCCTCTAGACAATACAGGGAACGGTTCAAAAAGCATTGATTTTCAGCTGATGTGGAGGAGAAGTTTTGCGAGCCCTCTGTTTGCCATTGAATATCTGGATCTAACTAATGACGGACTGAAGGAACTCGCCGTGGCTTCGCTGTCGGGGTTGCATGTACTTCAGGTAAGTTATTTAAGGCTGGTTTTCAGTTATGTTGAAGTCGTTATCTCACAGGGCGCAGAGAGGTATGATCGCGAAAAATTGGCAAATGGAACGGGAATAAGAAGCAGAATACTGATGCCTCCTATGACTCCGTCGCTTATAATCTGGTAAAAACTCGATTATTAGAATCACAAGCACTTGAAGTGCATTGTGATTATTTTATTCTTTGGCTGCCTTTTACGACTCTGACAAGCTCGTTTTCACGTGATCAAATGCGCTAGAGTTCAAAGCGGAATCGGAAAGAAGTGACGACTGTATTATTTTGTAACCTAAAACTGTTTTGGTATTTTTTACGTTACAGCATAACCTTGACAACGCAGCCTTACACAGTACGAAGCAGAATTCTCCACGGGATTCTAAGGACGTAGAATTAGTGACGTAACCCGCAGATATGTTCACCTAATTACGGGCTGTGTAGATAAGGTACCATCAATGCAGCATTTCATGTGCGCCAACGAAAGACAGCGTAGGAAAGGGCAGTAAAGACTCGCGTATTAGCAGCTCATAATATTATGGAACTTGTCAGGCATCATCAGGAATGAGAAATATACTCTCTTTGAGTATCCAACGCAAGTTTTACCGAGGCAGGCAGATTCTCCTCGTTAGTCTTGGTTTGTTCTCTAAAGGCCTGTTTGGAAAAATACTTCATTTTCGAGAGCCAGTGATGTAGAGGAGACCTCGGCAGTTAAAAAGAATATTAACAATGTAAAACGTGAGAACATCGCAATAACATTGTGACAATTAGACATCGAATGAATGATAAAAGTTGAAAATTTTATTAATACAGTATATCTTTTTAAAGTTTACTGGGATGGCCAGAGGAAAACTGCAATTGGTTAAATACGATTTAGCTGTTCGAACAGACATGAAGTTGTTAAAGTGTAACTTTTGTCGTCTGTATTAAAGTTACTTTTGCAATTATGAGATAATTTTAAAAATGAACGGTTAGCTTCATTCAAACCTTAATCGTAAACGTCTACTGCTTACGAGTGCATTTATGTAACCTATAAACTCCATACACAGGGGATAAAGCCACAAAGATGGTGGCAAAAACTGGCAGCGAAGCTAGTACCACAGCTAGTAAAAAACCTCTAATGACCTTTCTTTGCACAGGGTGATGCGGTTTATAAATATACCTACATCCTAACACACTGTAGATACTCCAGTGGCTGCCAAACAATTTACTATGCACGATCTTCTTGCCGCAAAGATAGCAAAAGGTTGTACGACACCGGGGACAAGTCATTTGATCGCAACCGTCTTGTCTTTGGATGAAAACTTTGCATTTCGGACAAGGACGTGCGTTTATACCCGTGCCACATTCGGTGGTGTCTTTCGTCCATTTTTTAAACATCTTGTTTCCTCGTTTAAAGTCCTTGCAGCTCATTGATTTATGCCATGGAGCATGGCATGTAAAGCACCAGTCGAAATGACACTCTTCACACGCTACTCGTTTTGTTTTGTGATTCTTAACGCGTTTTCTTCCGCCGCAATTTGGACATGTTTTGACCAGAGGATCTTGATTCGCATCTGCTACCAGACGAGTGAAATGCTCTTGAAGTAAAGGGTACTCCTCCAAGAACTTATGGATTATTTCTTTAGCAAGCAACGAGCTGCAGTTCGCGCATTCAACTTTCCATTTCCCCTGGGTTATTTCTAATCGTATGTAGGCGCCAAGGCACGACTCGCAGAAGGCAGCGGCGCATTTTTGGTGGGTGCTCGCTCGTTGCTTGCGAACACTTTCCAAGCAAATAGAGCACGTAAGAATGTCGGAACTTGTGCGATTCGTGATAATGTTTGAATCGTTCTCAGTTTTTTCCATAGCTTCGGTGTGTTAGGTGAAAATGATAACAAACTATACCTGCTGGGAAAGACTGCGTTTGTTTGTGTAACTTGCAGCCCACAGCTATGTCGATCAAAATTGCTTGTATCTCTGAAGCGTACGGCAAAATCAGTGAGAATTTCCTCCTCATAAAAAGTTATTTACCTTCCATTACACTGAACATGAGTACTTGCTTTTCAGATGCGATCTTAGTAAACACTCTATCTTCATTAACTTGCGTCAATTTCCTATCTGGTTTGGACACTCCTCCAGAACACGATGAACTTGATAAGAGTTTCAAGCTGTAGACTGTATGCAGCAATACAGTGACGTTAGTGCATCAAAGTGAACTCAAACTTAAACGCTTGCATTTGCAACCTCAACTCGTAGTCAGGAGTTAACACTGCGAACAAACTACCTGCAACAAAACGATGTCGGTGATATTTCAGAAGGCAAATTGATTGTCATGTATACCGTCATTATGTGATAGCTTTAACCGCTACTACTTAAATATTTATTCGCCTTGGTTAGGTCTTGAATGGCCTCCGCACAGGTACCTGTAACTAATGACTGCTCCCTAACATCAGCTAATTGGATCTGCCCAAATTCGAGACAGTTACGAGGGCTCAGTTAACCGGGGTTATTAATTGATAATAAAGAAAATCCTGCTTTCAAGTTGGCATAGTAATTTTACTTTGTTTGAGCCCACGGTCACGCGGCATGTGGTAAGTAGCCACTAATGCGATTTAAATGACTGCGGAAAAGACTGGGAGTGAGCCTTACTTCGCCTGTTCATTTCTTAACATTTCCCATATTCATACAATATTGCAATTTACAGCAAACGGGTAAATAAATTTTTTTCTTCCTTTCCTTGACAAGTCAACAGATTTTCTAGGTTAACAAAAAGATAAGTGGGACTGAGAGGAAGCGGAATTACCCAGGATCTCTCCTCGAGCTGTGAAGCATCTATTTGAGATTTCTCCGTTTACAGGAGATACCACCCAGGTCCTCAAAACGTGGCAAACGTTTTTTCGCGTATTCTGTGAAAAAAATAGTCACACAGCAAATATGTGAGGTGTAATAGATGATCTTTGACTCAAATACCCTTGTGCCAGAGGTTTGTTGGCAAAATCTACCGTGCACCTTTAGACAAAAAAATTGTTATACTCGCAGCCTTGCGTCTAAAAAAGTATTTCCCATAATCTTAAATGTATTAACTGAAAATACGTTTATTTTATTTAGGTGATCCTTCAACAGTAAAGCATATAGGTTTCCTCGGATAAACTTAATATTTCTAATATTCCTTTGCCTTCTTTTTCTGGACACCCATCTGTCGATGTAATTTTCAAGTCACTTACATATGATAATGTATTTAAAATAAAGTTTTCTTTCTCCGGCATTTTTTCTGCGTAAAAATACAAGATATATCGTGACGATATACCTGCAACAACATGGCGATGGCGATGAGATAAGAAATGCGAATGGACACGTTTTTTTTTCTTAAATAATTCGGTGACCACATGCATTTTCATATATTTTTTTTAAAAATGTTTCTCACCCAATGAACCTAAGAAAAAGACTGTTTGTGGCCTAAATTTCCTAAAATAAAGTTTAAACCGCCAGTCAAACTGTAAAGTACAAGTAAATCGAATAACTTTTCAATAAAAGCACTTCTCTTTTGAAATCTTTTTGTAATTATTTCCTGGGAAAAAGCAGACTGCCTTGTCGTTTAATGGCCTAAATAAGGTTTGCCAGTCAAACTGTTAAGTACACGAAATTTAGAAATAATTTTCGATGAAACACTTTTTCTTTCATCACTTTTTGCCATATCATCCTCTATCTCTTAGCCAAACCATCCGGAGGTGAAAGTGTTCTTAAAGGCTCTCCACAGAAAGTTCCCAGTCTCTTGCTGAATTCTTGCGTCATTGACAACTTCATGCGTGACGCTTTTGCCAAGTTCCGCAGCACTGCTTTTAACAACAGACGACGTCACCAGATCACCAAGTGACGCTGCCATAAATCCTTTCACATCCGGATCCTTCACGAGCTCCGCCAACAGGACTTTACACGCATCTTTAGTGCTTTTATCCAGAATCAGCGCCTTAATATAGCTCAACATTAAAGCTCTGGTTTCTTCGTGCACCATCAGATTCAAAAGCGTACTCTTGGCAAGTTCATTGATCTTCTGCAGGGTCGAAGGATCGTTGAGGACGTGTTGGGTTAACTGAATAGCGGCAGACTTTACGTCTTCTCTGTGGAGGACATGCATCACGAAAGCACCAGCCAGTTTAGTGATTTCCGGATCGTGAAGAATATCTCGGAGGACGGCTCTCGTGACTTCGTTAGCCTTATGTATAACATTCTCGTCAGCTAAATAAGGAAACGTATCATCAGACAGTACATGAATGAGCCGTAAGATCCAGAGTAAGGGAGAAATACAATCCCAAATTAATCCACCCTACCCTAATATACCCTACCACCCCCTCCCCCCAAAAAGACAAACAAACAAACAAACAAACAAACAATTAAAACAAAACAAACCAAAACACGAAAAAACCTAAAGGCCCACTCTCGTTCCATTCGTCAGCCCACTGCCGGCCGTTTGTCGGCTAACAGGTTTTAATGAAAGCAAATGGTCTAGTCGGTTAAAAGGCGACTAAAAGTCCGTGGCATTTCATGACAAGTCATCACAATATGGGAGGGGAGGAGAGGGTAATTTTGGACCCCTCCTGTAAGTCTTGCAAAGTCAGTTTTCTTCAAATTTGCCTTACCTAGAGATCTGCTAGCAACATCTGCTACTTCGTCTGCCACATTTTCCCTAAGTGGTTCACGGAAAATGTAAATAAAAAATCCCGAAATGACAAGTGCACTTAAGCCCCATCTCAAGATAGAATGTCCCCGAACACGAAACGACTCTTCTAGATCTTGTAATCTTTGTAATATGGTGGTAGTGTGATGCTGATGAGTGGTGGAATCTAATAACTCGGTAGCCTGTACTCCTTCTTGTTTCTTGGATTGTCCAGTAGTCTTCAGGCTAAAATAATTACGTGGTCTTGTTGGTTTGTATAATCTCGCTCGATAAAAACCAAGATCCTCCGAACATACAAAATGAGGAAGCGAGGAGAGGTATTTCAAGCTCCTGCGGAATGATGAATTGGGTATACATCTGCTAAAAACGAGAAATTTACGAGAATCTAGCTTCAAAAAACAGACACCCTTCATGTTTACTCGTCATGCATCAGCGGCCATCTTGGAAAACCCAACAAAGGTGGTCAGCAGATATCTCAAAAAGAGCCAGGTAACCGCGTCTGTAAGATTTCAAAATGGCGGCAAAAAGATGTATTTGGGAAAGTGACTTACAATGGAATTTAAGATCACAATTTATTGAAAAATTGGAAGATAATTTTCCAGAGGATAAGCGAGAAGCTTTATCTATGGTTTGGGCGAACATGAGGTTCCTTAGCTGCAGATATCCAGCGAAAACTGAGGAAATAGTGGGTGAACTTGAATCGAAGGGGGGTATTTCTGTGCCACACAAAGCATTGAGAAAGGTAAAACCACTGATAGAAAACTTCACAATCTACGAGCGTGAGGAAGGAGAGGAAGGCAATGAAAGCAATCCTGTGAGTGTTTTGAACGAGAGCGCCCAAAAATCGAAGAAAACTATATCATTTGACGAACTTGGTGTGAACAGCAAAACAGGTCTATTTTCTTGTTCTGTGACGATAGCGAACCAGTTGGTTGCTGTTGGGGAAGGGGTAGGGAAAAAACAGGCGAAACGCACAGCAGCCGAGAATGCTTTGTCGATGCTCCGACCTCGCCAACCTGTTATTCGTTTGGGATCACTATCTCGGCAACATGAATCTGCCCCATGTGTGTCGAAAACCAAACTAGTCTCGAAAGCTTATGAAAAGGCAGCGAGCATTTCCGAAGATAACATCGGCAATAAAATGCTTCGGAAAATGGGATGGACCGGGAGTGGGGGGATTGGTAAGGAGGGCCAAGGTCGAGCGGAGCCAGTCATTGCTCTCGGTACTGATGGTAAGTTTGGTCTGGGGTGCAATCCAACACATGGATCGCAAGTGAAAAAACAGACGATTAGAGATGTACTTATGTCATTTATTATTGGAACAGACAGAGAAATTAAATTTTCTAGCGAACTCGCGAAAGAAGACCGAGCTGTTATACATAAAATTTCACAACAATATGGGTTGAAACACAAGTCACATGGGAAAGGTAATGATAGATATTTGGTGGTTGGAAAGGATTGAAGAGGAAAGCTTGTGTGTAGTTGGGTGTATTTTATCATGAGAAATTTGTGACACGATTTATACACAGCCCCATACTCCACTATGCTTACAGTTCTTGGATAAAGAAAACAATGGCAGGATTATAGAGTGTCCTTGGGGCTACAGCCTTGTTTTGCAACAGCATGGAGCTGTGTGGAAATGTTACCAATTTCACTTCTTGTACAAAAATTATGTGACAGCTACAGTGAAATGAATTACTTGAAAGTGAACCCAATAATATTAGATAGAATTAATACTGAACTGTGTTTTTACTAATTTTATGGCTGGATTATTGTAGCAATGAATTACTTACTATGAAACTCAGATAATGGTGAACACCACAGATATTTATGGTACTTCAATTTTTTAACCCTTTGACACTAAGAGTGACTAGCTTCTATTTTCTCCTTACAATATCATGCCTGAATCAACACTAAAGTGACAAGAATAAAGGAAATGATCACCAACTAAAGAAGTTCTGGAATGATAAACAAAGTCTCCTTTTTAGCACCTTAGGGAGTATGGAGAACAGTATGGAGAATATACATACTGATGTTAGGGTGTAAAGGGTAGAGAAAATATACAATCAAGCATGGGAGAACTGAATCATGACGGCAACCTTAATTAGTTTGTAGCCTTTGGGTTTAGTCAGTATCCAGATCTTAATCATGATTGGTCAGTACACAATTGATTTGTTCACAGTAAATGAATAAGCTGTAAGATCCAGACAGTAAGATCCCCACCCACCCCTCCCACCCAAAAACAAAACCACCTAGAAGTCCACTCTCGGCCAATTTTCTCAGATCTATTTGTGTGCAGCATGCTTTTGGCCGTCTGTCTGCTAACAGGTTTTCTTAAATTGTCAGTAAAAACTCTTCAATAATACTACAGTGCTAATGATGTTTCACAGTTTTTCACCAAAGTGGTGGTGAAAAGTGGTGGATTTCCTCTGAGGTAAGGATAGAAAAATGCGAAGCTACTTTGTTTCTTATCACCTCCTGGGTGAATGACTAGTCACCTTTGAATCAGCCAATGAACAGACAAAAATTATTCTTTGCGAGTATAAAATAAACTTATTATTAGTGTTATACAGGTGCTTTATTGTTAGATTGGCTAGAAATTGTGGGAGTATAATGACAGACGTGTGTTTACCTGTACTTATGATTATTACCTTAAGGTGTAAATCCTTGGTTGATATGTCATAGATACAACTGAGTAAATTATGTTAATATCACAATAATGTATACCTTTTGCTTAAGAGAAGTAAATATTAATTTAAACTCTTGATCAGACAATAAATGGATAATAATGAATATCAGTGATAAATTTAATACTTAATAACATTTATAATTACGCGCTTCTGAATGGCTGAAAACGAGGGCATTTCCATGTAACACGATTGCAAAGTTGTAACACAAGTGCAAATTATAAGTAGCTCATGCATGCTTTCAAAATTTTGTCTCTCTTGACTCCCTATGATGTTCATAAAAGGTTGGTATAGGTAATAACGTGATTTCTCTGGCAATTTGGTGTCAATAAGCACGACTAGATTTTTCAAGTTGCACTTGACGCTCGGGTTCATGCAGTTTTGTTGCAGATCGTTTGCAGGTCGTGAACAATGCACTCCTTCTCTTCCCTAGCACAATATAAGAAATCCCTGACATCTCGCTGGTAATCAATTGATACTCCTGGATGGAAAAGGGTATTCCGAGAGTAAACTGTCCTATCATGAACAAAATGTATTAACCTCGGCCAGGGCTATAATCGAATGAAAAATTGCCTGTTTTAAGTAAAAGTTTCACGAGTAAAAGCAGAATTAAAGGAACTGTTATGATAGCTAGAAGATTTAAACTCTGCGACAGTTTGCCCGACCAAATTATGATCGATAAATTACGCCTTTGTCATGCAATGATGAGATTCTCAACGTACGCTGCAAATTTACCATTATTAGATACGTATAAATGAGTTTTAATCGCATAAGAAATTATTCGCTTAAACGTTCAATTAAATTTTACTCAAAATCCTTGAAGATAGAAAAGAGAATGTCGTAAAACCTCACGAACATCTTGAAACTTTTCCTGATCCTTGGTTGTGGTGAAGACTAAAAAAATCCCCGAAAAGATCTGTCGACGGGTACGCCCTTCAGAATATCAAGTTTTTAGTTTGTGTCGTTCAAGTTTTGTTTAAATTTGTATTTTATTCTGCGTGGAAGCTCATTTCTATTGAAAAAGTGATATCTTAGGGAGGGCTCGGGGGCGATTTCTACGCTGTTGAGTGTGTTTCACTACTCTCCTATCTTTCTCCAATTTGGTGGGAATTTAATTAAATTTTTTATATTAATCAGAGTCTACTGAAAAGAAAGAATTAGAGGTAGTCGCAGATGCTGTTCTTCCTTACTTCTGAAAATTCTGTTTCGACAGAGACTCACAAGATGCTGCTTCGTAGTTGATCCCTCAAAATCTGCATGCCACCCGGCATACGACCGCCATTTCTATTGTCTGTAAAACTTGATCCCTTCCTTTATTATTCAGTTTTTGACAAATACGTGAGGTGGATATGAACCATCATTTGTGTTGGGATAATGGTACCGTTGTGTTTTATCGAAACATTCGTAACAAGCCATGTTTCCTCCAGACCAGTATTCAATGGCAACACAAGCAGAACATAGTTGTTTGCATTCCTGTTCTGTCAATCCTCGTTGAATCTCATTTCGACTCCCACAAATGTAAGGCGTATACTCCGTCCATTGGTCTATGAAAACAAAAATATGAAAAAATAAAGCAAATGATTATGAAAAGCAAGGTGCAGTAACTCAACACATCTGCTCGCTGGTTCTGCTATCATTGCCAACTAAATTATGAGCTCCAGATTACTATCGCGTGATCGGTGATGAGGGCGAATCCCTCTTCAAATATTACGCATAGAACCGAATGGAGAACGAATAGTCCAATCGTCTTGTTATAAATCTCAATGATGATACAAAAACGTTACGCCACGTGTTACATACATTTCACACGCATAACAGAATAGATAGGGAGTAGCGTAGCCATTCAGGTTGAAGCATTTGTGAGAGAACGCAAATGGATTTATATACTAAGTTTTGTTTGCCACATTTACAACAACAACATGTGACCCATAAGAGACCCTATTGCATGTGTTGAGTTTGTTTCTTGCGAGAGGCAGACTTGCTTGCTTCCCTTAATTGGATCGAAAAACACAGTCCAAGCTTCGTATTACACAGAATACGAATCACATTTATTTCTGACCTAAGCAACAAAATCCACCCTTTTCTTCGTTCAGATTTAATCTATTCATAACAAATGCAGCTGTTTTCATTAATGCCATGGAATTTAGAAAAATCTTTCCGATAAGTGATGCTTCAATGTTGGGAAAACCATTCTCTTCCGTGAAACAATAAATTATAGCTAGAAAACATAAGTTCGCCATTTGGATCAGAATTTATTAATTCGTCCGCTGAAAAATGCGCAGTTTTTGTTGTTGTTTTCAATAAAACTAAGTGGTTGAGAAAACTCACTCGTATGACTGCAGCGAACTCCATAGTATCCAGGCTGACAATTGCAAACATATCCATTCACCTGATCAACACACGTCCCCCCATTTTGGCAAGGATTACTGGAACATTCGTTGATGTCTGTAAGGAGACAGATTTGATAAAAATAGATGGTGACCGCGGAGCAGCCATGTCAAATATCAATTATACAAATGTCAATTTTAATACAAGTAGAGAGGGCACTATGTAAGTACTCACTCGTTTGACAGCGAGCCCCTTCGTATCCTGGGTGACATTTACAGACATATCCATTTACTTGATCAACGCACGTCCCCCCGTTTAAACAGGGATCGCTAGAACATTCGTTAACGTCTGCGTGGAGAAATTAAAGATGAAGAAAAAATTGCGAGAATATGACCGCTGGCTTGTCTGTGCGTGCCAACAACACGAAAAAACCCACAAAGTTTAACGTGATTGCTCCATTTTATGTAAAAGGCAAAACTTGTGACTGACTCACCTGTTTCGCAGTTTTTTCCTTGGTAACCGGGTGTACAGCCACAATGATATTGATTTTCCTCATAATTTGGAGCGCAAGTTCCTTCGTTTTGACACGGAAAGCTTGAACATGGTGTCTGTTAATAGAGTTTGATTTTCTTCATTTGTTAATCATACACAAAAGAAAATACAAGATATGAGATGAGTTGCAAAACAATACTTTGAGACAAGATATCTGAGAAATGAGTATTTTGTTTTGTTTTGTTTTGTTTTTTCTTTCTATAAATCTTTCTTTTTCCCACAAATGAAGTGTAGGTAAATCCGGTCGTGTATCTCCGCAATGCTTTGCCACCTAGCGTGTTTCGAGCTTCATGTTTAGAAAAGGTTTTTTTTGATTATTAATGCATGACTCAACATTGTTTAATTGAACGTTTGCAGGTTGTTGCACTGCTTAATGTTTAATGAACCTAGCTTAATTTGTCTAAGGCACGTACGCAAAGCGTAAGAACCTCTCCATTATCGAGGGTTTGAGAAATGTTTTCAATTCATGGCTCCTACACCGACCAAGTTGAACATGTGGATGATGATGTGATAACACGCCTGAGGAAATTGTAATTACCGAGGAAACCAAGACTCAGAAATTAAAACGATTTCTAACGGCAACAAAATGAAACTTAAATGTCACACCCCGTTTGGTTGGTATTTCTGTTCTAAACCAAAGTGAAATGTAAATGATCACGAGGAATGACATTCACTTCTCATATATGGTGAAGTTAAACGAGTTTAATCCTCTAACAAAAAGGGTGTGTCCCTGACGACGTTAAAACCCATTTATACACAGGAAAAAGGTAAAACACTTCTTTCATTATGTTTGGGCGCTAAACATTATTCATCGTCATGTTGTAGGGCAAAAATTTCCTTCACTCATATTGAAATAATGAAGCCATATTTTAACGGCTTCCATTTAGTAGATCGCTTAACACTGTTTCTTAGGGAGCGTTCTAAATACCTTGATGCTATAATAATGATATTCTTGTGATCTGGTCAGCTGGCCCGGACTGGCAGAGTATTTATCTTCGTTTAACAACTCACAGCGAAATTTTCCTTCCGGACGAGGAGAAGAAGCGACATTAAACGAGGTGCATGGTGGATTATTAACACAGCTCAGAGCACACTCCCTGTAGTTGCTCACATCAATCGATAAACCAACTGACCCTTGAAGACGATGGAATCTATCAACTGCAAAATGTCCGTACGAAACTTGATTTTTCTTTACATGAATGTTCCTTCTTAACCCGCTGCTGCCGTCGAGATGTAAATGGCTAGTGACTGTTGCAAAGGTTTGAGCAAACTCCAGAAAGATGGTGAAACTTACAGCAAGAGCCAACATTTCAGGAGAGTTCTGGTTTCCAACCTAAAGCTACCGGAAGTGGAAATGAAAAGGGTAGTCCAAATACTATTCTCATATTTGAAATCTTGACTCTCAATCAACGAATGGAACATCTGCTTTTAAAATTAATACTTCAATTTTTACACTTAATTATCTCAAAAATTATCTCGAAAAGTCCGTAAAGGTTTCTGAAGGTTTCTTTAATAATTAATTATAAATATCTTGGATATGTTCTCTATTTTGCGGTCCTGCCATTAAGAACACAAACAGAAACCTTTTTTTGTACCGATTCTTATGCCAACAACAACTTTTACATAATCATTTTTTTAAACGTCCTGGGGTTATCAAAGGTATAAATGAGCTTGTCAGTGATGACATGTGAAGTTACATGCAAGTTGTTTCAACTTTCTTTGTTTCATAGGACAAGTTGGTATCTGTGAGTGCTTCTCCGCCATAGGAACAAGCATGAACGTATGAGTTAGGTGTTGTTAGGAAAAATAAAAATGAAGTACATGAAAAAATATCTAACGAATAATGGATAAGCCGGATTCCGTTATCCTGTTATTCAGCTTATACACCCTAAATCACCAAAAGCCTTATCGCAAAACAAAACATACGGATGAAAAATTTGCATAAGAATCAGCACATGCAAAATTCCCGCATGGAAGTTCATGACTTTTCCCGTTTGAAAAGCAGATGTTTCTCTGTAAAACTTTCTAGAAACGCGACGCCACTCTCCTAACAACACCTAACTCATACGTTCGTGCTTGTTCCTATGGCGGAGAAGCACTCACAGATACCAACTAGTCCTATGGAACAAAGAAAGTTGAAACATTTTCCTTTAAGACGTCATTGCATGTAACTTCACTGACAAGCTCATTTATACCTTCGATAACCCCAGGGCGTTCCAAAAAATGATTATATAAAAGCTGTTGTTTGCATAAGAATCGGTACAAAAAAGGTTCGGACCTGTTCGTGTTCTTCTTAATTCTAAAACTCAAATGTTTGAGATCATTCGTCAACGAAGGGAAAAAAATCGAAGTCAGCGAAACATTCTTTTTCAAAAACGTAGATTTTGAGTACTTTTCATCGATGACTTAATCATTTATAGTAATAGTCTTCGGTAATAGCCTTATTCAAGGTTGTCAAACAAACAAGCGAAAGATGTTAATCATTTGCTTCAGAATCAGCAGGCAAAAAAATCCTCTTTGGAGCTGCAAATGGCTCTGAACTCGAGATTGAAGTTACAGTGTATGTTCATGAAATACATTTAAAGCAATCTAGGTAGAGGCAAAATGAACAAGCTGATTGTAAATCATTGGGGTATTTGCACGATGGCATTATCTTACTACGATAGCCAGAATTCATCAAGTTTTTCTCTACTTGTGCAGTTAAAGGCTATTGTTATGTAGGCTTTTTTTTAGGGTTATTAAACTCAAATCTAAAAAGAAAAACAAGGAAAATTCAGGTAGCTCAAGGGTGAAAAAAGTCTATCGAAGTTCAACGGTTTTGCGATTTTGTAAATTATTGGGTGAAGATTTTCGTGCTGAATAAAATACATCTTAAGACGTCATTATATAAATTTTTAATTTTCCCTTTTTATCTATATATCGTAATTGCAAGCTGCCCATGTTAAAATTAGTTGCACTTGAATACAGACAAGACTCATAACGTCGACAATATTACCAGTTCGCACGATTCCCAATTAATTTATTTGTGTTCTTTTACAATACTACTTACAGCCTCCAAAACTGGCAGAAAAATTAAAAGAGACGCGCTAAAAGCAAAATAACCTTACTACAGTGCTAATAATAATATCACTGATAGTAGGCAGCTAGTCCCTACGTTTACATTAAGTTTAGGCCTTCACTATATGTTACGAGTTGATCAAAAGTTAACAAAGAGGTTGAGTATTTAGAATAAACTATTGTGAAATAACACTGAACCTAGTGAGATGAGAACTTATAAATGTTTAAACTTTAAAACTATACAATGTGCCAAAATTTAAACTCCTACGTCTACAGAGAACAAGCTTTACTATGCACTCCTCTGTGATGGAGCAATGTTTGTGTTTGCTGTTCATAAATAGCTTTTGCCGCTGTGCACCCCAAACTTGCTGTGATGTCTATTCAAACGTGTCAGGTCGTTTCTTTTTTCGTTCGTAAAATGTTTAATTTCTGGAAAACATCACCCCATCCCTTGTCATGTTACTGTGATTCAATTTTTGACGAAAGCAACTCGTGACTGCTCAAGGCCGTTTTATGTCAGATTCCTATCATTCAGTTTTTGACGAACACATCAGGTGGATATGAAGCATCATTAGTATTGGTGTAAGGATGTCTCTATGTTTTATCAAAACATTGGTAACAAGACAAGTTTCCCCCAGACCAATATTCAATGGCAACACAATAAGAACATCGTTGCTTGCATTCCTGCTCTGTAACTCCTTATGTGATCCCGTTGCGATTGTTAAGACCGCAAATGTAAGGAGTATACTTAGTCCAAATTACTGATGGTTAAAAAGCAAAAAAAACCAAAAGGATAAAAGATAGGAACATAAATGATTAAGTTCAAAAAAATTTATGCCAGGTCGTCTCGGTTATCTGCTGCACTTTGAAATTGCGTTTCAAAAGTAATCTGTACGATTTCATGGGCTCTTCCACACTAGGATCCGTCCAAGAGGGTGTGGGTTTAGCAGCGATGAAAATGCAAACTAATCACCTGCCAGCTCGAACCACGAGTAAACCGTGGTGGAGGAACGGGTCGGAATCACTTATAAACTTTTTTATTATTATTATTATTATTATTATTATTATTATTATTCATGGAGATTATGACTGTATCGGTTCTTCTCAAATGTAATTTGAAACATGTTTGATATCAACTCATTCACTCCTATACATTTGCTCTCAATTTATGGTTAAAACTGAGACTCTGACTAATTGATCTGGTCTCACATACATTCATATCCATTCACTAGGTCAAAACACGACATTCCGTTTAAACAGGGGTTACTGGAGCATTCATTGATGTCTACAAGAAAGAAAAATGTCTCGTGTCAATTTATTGCATGAGCTTACAGTTACATATGTATTCATTATCCTGATCAACAGACGCCTTCCGTTTACTCAGGGGTTACTTTCACATTCGTTGATGTGCGCGAGGAGGAAAAAAAAGGATACTTCTTTGATTTCAACAAATCCTGATAGATTGTGTCAGGATAAATTCAAAGAAAACCCCACTGGGTCTTTATTTAAAGATCAGTTGAAGTCAGCAAGCTGAGCAACATTATAGAGAAGTGACATACGCACCAGTCTGGCAGAGGTTTCCTCCGTATCCAGGCCGACAATTACAAAGCGGATGTCCAAGAGCCTCAGCAACACACGTCCCTCCATTTAAACAGGGATCACTGGCCATGGAACATACGCTGATATCTACAAAAAATGTTTTATATGAATTTCTTGTTCTTCCTAAATATTCAGAGCATTTTAATGGCGTTAAATGGACAAGCGTTTGCAGTTTTCAACACCGAATGACATTACTTAAAAATTTGTAATTAACGAACATGGTCCAATTTATATTAAACGAATAACTCACCAGTTTCGCAATATTTTCCTGTGTAACCCGGTTTACAATTACAGCGGTAACTGTTTTCATCGTAACTTGGAACACAAGTTGCATTGTTTTGACACGGGAAACTAGAACAAGGTGTCTGTAAATAAAACGTCAGTTACCTTATTAACAATTACTGGATGGTCAATTTTTGTCGCTGGACTAGCCCTAGTGTTACTACAATATTTATATCCATGTAAACAGTAATACCATTTTCATTTTTTATTTTACTGTCATTATTATCATCGTTTTTTATCATTATCATTATCCTTATTATCATCATTTGATGTGTTGTATTTTAGTGATTTTAATTTTTTAGTTTTTGCTGCAGGTCTAAGTACGTTTTTATGTACTCTTGGATCAACCAATCTTTCGATTTGTTTGATTCTTAAATTTCGTGTAAAGTTCAATTTTTCCCTTTTCAAATTAACGTAAATTGATTTTTTGAGTGCTTTGGATTTTAATTGAAAGACTGTTGTGTGTCGGTTTTGCTTTGAAGCTTGAACGCACGTAATTTGTTCGACCCTTTCAAAACCTTGCAGGACTCCATCAACTAACCTGAGGTTATGTATGAAACATTTGCAATACTACAATCAATTCAGTCTTTCTTCCATCAATACACGCACTTTCGCCTTCTCTCTTGATTTATTAACTATACAGCTGAGGAGGTTACATTTCATGTCAGATGAGCGAGTAAGTTGGGATGAAAATAAGAAAAATCCCATAAAATGTTCTTTCAAAAATGCATTCCTTTTAAACGCACTTTTCTAGTGTCACATTCATTACATGTTCAAAGAGAAAAGATAGATTTGGTTTCCTATATATGTTACTCATGCAAATATTATTCATATCTACTTTATCAAAATCATCATAAGAAGGAGCAAAACTTTTTATTTTTTCTACGGTCTTGAAGTCATTAAAAAAATAATAATATCCAGCTATTTAACGACTGGTTGCAGGTTGTTGAATTGTTCTGCGGGGTTACTGATGTAACCGATCTTTAATGACTGAGTCGAAATTATAAAAATTAAGAGTATAAGGACCTCTGTTATCTTCGTGATAAATGTCCAACAAACTTCTTCAATTATGATCGACAGATTATACACAGGCAGATTGAAATCTTGAAAAAATGCTGAATGAAGCTCTGAAACTTTACTTTAGGAATGTGATTGATAAACGGTAAAAGTTGAAACGATTCATGTAAACTTTTTAATAAGATGGTATTGTTCTTGATGTACATCTTGCCACGCGTAATTAAGCTAATAACCTGCGTAGAGCCGAATTAAAAAGTACCTTTTTTTTAATTGCTACAATGAGGTAAGGCAAAGGTGATGTTTCCTAGTAAACACTTCTGCATATCATTTTCTCTTCAAGTAAACATAATTGTAACAACAGCGGCCCAAAGTCATCCTTAGTGTATTAAAAAGATGTATCTGTTTTTTCCGTAGAACCTTCGTCATAAAGTTTGCGTTTTGGAAAGGTGTAGCACTTTGGAAACTTACTGATTAACAGAGCGATTCTTAGTCTTTTTTTTATCATCCTGATAACAGTCGATGACATAACGAATTGTCTTGGACAACTATTTTCTGCACTCGTTTCTGTCAAATAGAGAGTGTGTTAAAATTATTTGGTCATTCAATAAATACCTTGATGCTGTAATGATGATATTCCTGTGAACTGATAAGTTTCCCTGGACTTGCAGAGTATCTATCTTCATTTAACAGCTCACATCGAAGATTTCCTTCTGAATTTGGAGACGAGGCGACGTTTAACGAAGAACATGTCGGATTTTCCACACAATTGATAACACACTCTCTGTAGTTGCTCACGACAATCGATAAACCAACTGATACCTGAAGACGATGGAACTTGTCAGCTGCAAAGTTGCCATACGATACCTTTTTTTCTTGGAAATAAACTCCTCGCCTTAAGCCAGCTCTTCCATCCAGTTTAAATTCGCTTTGTTCAGCTTTCATATCAGAAAACAGAACCAAAAAGTAACAAATGATAAATTTAAACATTTGCGTTTCTATCCTATGCCTGTCTTGCCTGTGTATCAATTAAGCGAAGACCTAACAACTGGTTCTATTTGCGTGCAGAATCTGATGCAAATGAGTATCACCTTCTGTGTGTGTTATTTCGTTATGAATAAAAAATAAATGTACTTTTTCAACGATGTCTTGCTATTGATGACTAATTGTAGAGTAATTTTTTACCACTTGAATTAAGACAAATATCATAAAGATAGAATAACTTAAAGAAGCTTAGCAGGGCGAAAAGAAGCCATTCTAAACTGTTCCTCTGGCTATATTTGAGTGCGTTCCCATTTATGACCAAGGTCTGATTAGATCGTTGGAGAGGGGCACTTGGGTGCCCCTGACTTTGCTATGCGACATAACTACTCTTAAAATAATTCTTCGAAATAAATAATATGCGACTCCTTTTGTTTCTGGTTTGCAAAGGTGCGCCACCCAAATCCGAAGAATGTTTATGTTTTCAGTCTTTTCCAGTACTAGAAAATTTATTCACCAGTTTTTCTCTCTACTTGAATACGTACCCGCTGATACATTACGAAAAACGAGAGCTCGTAAGCATGAACTCCCCTACGCTTGAAAGATCAAAGTCACGCCTCCAGAAACGTGCTGATTATAAAATAAACATCGCGAAGAAAATGATAATGATTTAGCTTATTCGACGACGAGATAAATAAATTTACTATCTGCCTTTTGCTAAGAAATGCTTTCCAACTGCTGTTATGCCTGAACTCGTTAAGAAGCTTTCATATAACAATAAAATAAAAAGAAGAAGAGATGATTAATTATTGCACTAAGATGTATCCCATAGCTCTGATTTGAGCGCCACCATTTCCGCATGTATTGCTGTCTTCATGTAACCCTCCCGTACCAAATCCGATTCTGCTATCACAAGTATAGCAGTCGTTCTCATTGTTACCAAGAATACCAATTCTAGCTTTGCCCATATCAGAATGACCGCCGACCACATTGAATCCTTCTCTGTTACAATAAGGTAGTAACGAAGCCTGTGCACCGATAAGCGATAACCATGCGCTACGGCCCAATGATGTGGGGCGATGAGTTCCGTCAGCAATCAGTGAATACAATGAACTGGCCTGCTCGGTTAGCACTATGAATTTTTCCTGCTGATCGATTTGCATTCCGAGACAAATCTTGTGGAAGGGCGTGTTCCAATAGGTTCGTAACTTGGTCTCTTGCGAGTCGAACCCAGTCTCTCCTCCAGCAAGGTTGTACTCATTTGCGAGGTTCCAGTATGAAGAGTGAAAGTGAAAAGTTTGCTTAAAAAGAAACAAAATGAAAGAAAAGCTTTAAAAAAATACAACAATGGAAAAAAAAAGCAGACGAAAACAAGCAAACAAAAATCAAACAAACAAAAACCAAAAAAAGGGAGGAAAAGAGGTGTTTTAGTTAAAGATCGAAGGGGCAAAGTATATGCTTGATTTGCCGGCTTGTTACGAAAAGAAAAATGGGCAAAGTTCGCTATAAATCGTTCGGAAACAAAGTTGAACTTCAACCTCCATATTATTAGCTAATACAGTGTACCTGCGATAACCAAGCTCAAAATTTACTCTCTTGTTGTTTAATTTGCACGCACAAGACGCCATCAACAATGCTGATCTTAGCAGTGTGTAGCATGCGCTTTGCATATGAACCTAGTTATGATCTAGCTTACCACTGAGGTCTCTGTAATTCACCAGTTCCTTTGGAGGAAATTATACCCCGGCCAGGGGTAATAAAATGAATAACATCTTTCTTTGTGCAGCTTACCTTATTACCATCCATTTTTATAACTGTTGTCCAGCCACCACTGCCACACCCAAAATCCCCCATGTGACAATACACAGAGGTCAGTTGTCCTCCAACGAAGAGTGAATATCGTTGACTGGAAGCATTTGACCTTTGAAAAAGGAGAACTCAGTCAAAGAATCAAATCAGGGCAGAATATGAGTATGCTTATCCAGTAACGATCTATGATTTAGTTCTGTTGCTTCCCAGACCACCAGTTTTTTAAATCGCAATTTGTTTTTGTCTTAGTGAGACATTTCAGTGTGGAAAAAAAATCCGTTCTATGTCTTTTATATGAAAACTCATTACCAAACTCACCCAGATCATCACGTTCTTCAATGAAAGTTTTCAAAAATGCATCAAATTGTAAAATGGTAAAAGGATGCAACTTAATAACTTACCGAGAAAGGTACACGTCGTTGCACGAGCGTAATGCTGAAAGCAATAAAAATAGTTTTTCAGTCATTAGGTTTAAACAAAAAATTAAAACATCCAAATATTCAATAGATTTGTGCCGGGGTGATATTTTGAGTTAAATCCTTATTCCTTCAGCTTCAATTCGTTCTGCAACATTGCTAAGGATTGCGTAAACAGAGTGAGTGCATGAGTAAGAGGCAGTGCAACCCGTTGCTAAGCTTTGCGTTTGTGCGGGTAAAAATGGCGGACATTCGTTGATGTCTTTTCGGAGAAAGATTTTTGGAAATGGTTAGATAAGAGCAGCTGGCCATGGTTTATCGATAATGTAGTTAAGTAATAGACAGCGTTTCAGATAGAGATGAAAAGGAAATCAGTTCACGCAATTTATTTCAAATTGCACGAGAAAAATTATGTGATTACGTATTAATAACATACATGAAAAAATACGAGATAGCCTATCATTATTATGCAGAAGCAAAGCGCGCATCAAGTGCAAAAATAATTTATTCAAACCCTGCAAGTGACATTGTGCGTTCGGTCAAAACAACCGCGTACGATCAAAAAATATATATGTGTGTGTTATTCACCAGCCAAGGTCTGTCAGTATTGGGAAAAACTGTGCCCGAGGTCTTGGATACACAAGACAGAGGGCACAGTTTTTCCTAATACGGACCGACCTTGGCTGGTGAATAACATTTTTATTTTTTTCTAAAAACCTAACAAATGGTTGCGAAAAGAACCTGAATGATAAAGGGCTGTAATTACGGCAAGATTCTCCATAAACGGAACAATTTATGAGCGAGTAGATGGTAGAGAAAACAAAGGCAATGCAAATGAAAGAGAGAGGTTTCATCAAAACATATTTATTTGCGTAATGATATTAAAAGGTGATTTAAAAGGCTTCCAAGAAAACTTTAAAACAAAGGATCGGATACCACCCGCTGTGAGCGGGCCGTATGGGGATAATACTGCCCGCTCTCGGAACCAATCAGATTGGAGGATTTGTAGAATACCGCCCGCTCACGAACTGGGGAAAAATTAAAAATGATTTTTTCACATCTTTAAGGCGCAAAAAAAAAAAAAGAAAATCAAAGTCCGGCTAAAAAGTTTAAGGAATTGTTCAGTCTATGTCCGAATCACTTTCGATGAAATGGAATCGTCGTTTGCCGGGTTTAACCATGTTTGTTTTCAATTTCGGCGTGGAATCTCGAGCAAAGTATTGAGCTGAGTCTGCTGGTAATTTTCGATTTCCTTGGCAATTTCCTTCTCTAAACACCACTTTTTTTCCAAACCGACAACTAAAAGGCAGTGCTTTTTACAGTGTTTAGGTTGTTAGAGCTGTTTTCAGCTGCTGTATTGTTGTTGTGGTGACGAAAGAAAACCCACTTAACACGCCGGCCATTGTTTCGCTCGCAAATTTTCAGGGTACCCAAATGTTGCGACATCCAAGGCTCGCATTTGATTGGCTATCTATGAGTTTATTTGATTATCGACCAATCAGAATTTCTGGTTTGTTACTTCTTTGCACTGAATTAACCCTCTTCTGCATTGAATTACTTGAAAACTGCATTTATCTTAACCAATAAGAACTGGGTAACTTTTTCATGTATATTATCAGAAAAAATATATCTCATGGTCATAGTATGAATGTTTTTGGACTCCTGTCAATATCTCATCCTACCTGTTTCACAGAGGAATCCACCATATCCAGGGCGACAATCACAGTGATACTGATTTTTAGTATAATTTGGAACGCAAGTTGCGTTATTTTGACAAGGAAAGCTTGAGCAAGGTGTCTGTGGACAAAAGTTTTGCGATAAAAAAAAAGTTATGAGTCGATTCATTTACTTTGTTCCTGAAAAAACTGCTTCTCTTTGATAATGGAAACAGATCTCACTGAATAGTTTTGATGAGTACATTTCGTTGATAAAAAATGGACACGACAAACTTGTATAGCCACAATCCTCTTAGATTGTTGTCATATCAAAGCAAATTACGTAATGAGCAAACTTTCCGCAGGGTAATCATACCAAAAGTAATTATTTTTTTTCCTTTAACGAGGGGCCTATGCTGAAATTTAACTCAAATCTTCATAAATCCGCTCTTGCGATGTATGTAACTGTTATTTTATAACAATCTGACTTATCTGAGCTGTACTGTTTTTTGTAGACTTTTGCATTTTTGGATAATAACATATATTAATGTTTCATACCCTCAAAGTAAACAGGACATTCTCCCAGTTGGAGATTCTGAACTCAGTGATTTTTTTCCGACAATGTCAGAATCATAGTGAATTTGTGTGAATATACCTTGATGTTGTAATGATGATATTCCTGTGAAATAACTAATTGTCCTGGACTTGCCGAGTACTTATCTTCGTTCAACAACTCACATCGAAATTTTTTGTCTGTACGTGGTGATGAGGCGACGTTGAAGGAAAGACATTGCGCATTGTTAACACAGCTCAGAGCACACTCTCTGTAGTTGTTGACAACAGTCGATGAACCAATTGATACTTGAAGACGATGGAACTTGTCAACCGCAAGGTTTCCGTACGATATCCTATTTCCCTGCACCAGGACTCCTACCTGTAAACCAGCGCTGCCGTCGAGATGAAGTTGGCTTTGAACCAACTCAAGAGCAAATGAGTACAATACAAAACGAAAAACAGGAAAACGTCCTTGCCATTTCATATACGTAGCAGAGCGTTTTGCCATTCCAATGGTTCGAAGTATTACCATGTTTGTGTGTATAATATTTACAGAACTTAGTAACGACCAACTAATTCACAACACAGATCATCTGTCCCTCTCATGCTGAGTATCCTGAGCGGCCTAATCACTATGTTTTGAGCCAATTAGCAGCACTACCAAAAAACCCTGTACAATTGGCACAAATTCAATTCTTTGGTTTTGCTAGTTTATTTGTTTTTGTCATTTTCTTTTGGGTTTTTATATGTCAAAAGCAACTCGATGAATCAGCTATCGAGGTAACATCGGAAATAAAGCTTATCGTTATTTCAAGGCAAGTATCAAAGTCAAGTGTGGGCTATCATATTATTTCGAGTGCAGTTTAGGAAAAATCAGCAAAATTTATTTCTACATAGGTTGCCCAATTGTATTTTGATGTAAAATGTGAAAATTCGCCTTAAAGTTGGGAAAATTACAGAATAGTTTCCTTTGTTTGGGACAAAAAAAGAAAAGAAACATACATACAACAGAAAAGGAAAAATAAAATTATAGCTATACCCTTTTTAATAATATACATGAAAAAATTACTCATTTCTGATTAGTTAAGATAAATGCAGTTTTCAAGAAATTAAATGTAGAAGAGGGTTAATTCAGTGTAAAGAAAGTAATAAACCAGACATTCTGATTGGTCAATAATCAAAGAAATTCACAGATAGCCAACCAAATGCGAGCCTTGGATGTCGCAACATTTGGCTACAATGAAAATTTGCGAGCGAAAAAATGGCCAGCTTGTAGGTTTCCTTTCGCCACCGCAACAACAATACAGCAGCTTAAAAACAGCTCTAACAACGAAAACACTGTAAACGCAAACGGCGATTCCATTCCATCGAAAGTTATTCGCGCACAGACTGAACAATTCCTTGAACTGTTTAGCCGCACTTTGAACTTTTTTGCATCTTAAAGATGTGAAAATATCATTGTATATTACTCTTTTGATCGTACGCGGTTGTTTTGACCGAATGCACAGGTTTGAATAAATTATTTTTGCACTTGATGCGCGCGCTCTGCTTCTGCATAATTATGATAAGCTATCACGTATTTTTTCATGTATATTATTACCACGCAATCATATTATTTTTCTCCTGCAGTTTGGATTATAACATAGCTAGTAAATTTGTCTAATCAAATTCAATTGCGCGAGTGTGCTTCATATTCCTATTGAGCACGCTCACGACGTCAGCAAACAAATCCGTCGAGACAAAAAATTTTCCATCGGGTTGAAAATGTTATAAAACAATTGGTTCATACGTCAGCGTGCGTTCATCGAGATATGAAGCACGCGGGAATTTTGGAGAGCACGAAAGATGCGTAAGAGTTGCTCGAGGCGTAGCCAATTGCTAAATAAATAAGCACTTACTATTTTTTCAACGCACGCATCTTTTCAAGTACGCTGTTGCGATTAGTCTGCCTTCATATACTGCTATCTCATATTTATTTAAATCATTTTCACATCTTTTGGACAATTATACTACTTTTTCACACATTAGTTTTCTTTAGATTATATAATGTTCAATTTCCTCAGAGAAATCATGACATTCTCCCAGTCATCAGAATCTGAATTCAGTTTTTTTTTTTCAACAGAGTTGGCTTACTGTTACTTTGATGACTGTAATGATGATATTCCTGTGAAGTGACCAGTCTCCCTGGACTTGCAGAGTATTTATCCTCGTTTACCGTCTATTCATCACTTCACGGGTTTATTTAGAACCACCATCATGACCAGCTCCCAGTTGGCTTGTTAGCTCGGTTGGTAGAGCGCTGCACCGGTATCGCAGAGGTCATGGGTTCAAATCCCGTACAGGCCTGAATTTTTTTCAGGCCTTATTTTCACTACTGCCTAAGTAGTGCACATCACTGCGAAGATCACTTTCATTCATAATGAAGAACATGGCGAATTTTCCACACAATTGAAAGCACCCTCTTTGTAGTTGCTCACGATACGCGTGATAAATTCGAACCAACTGATACTTGAAGGCAATGGAACTTGTCAACTACAAAGTTTCCGTACGATAACCTGCTTCCCTGCACATGAACTCGTCTCTGTAAACCAGCTCTGTCGTTAATATAAAGTTGGCTTTTCTCTGACTTGAGAGCAAACGAATACAACATTAAAAGACAAACAGGAAAAGGTCCTTGAAATTTCATATACATGATGGACCACTTTATGGTTGAAATATTTCAAAACGCCATCACGTTTCTGTGCAAAATAAGTTTGAGGGCTTAGTCTGGACCTACTAAGTGCTTCATATCGCAGATCACCTGTCTGTCTCACGCTGAGCTTATTGAACGGTCTTGTTGTGTTCCCTATTTCGATGTTTTTAGTTCATTAACAACTAGAACAGAGTCTCCCTTCGCGTTGGCCTAATGAAAGACAAAATTAAGAGGTATTAAACCCCACTGGAGTGGACCCTTACTAACTTTCAATCAAAACTGTAGCCGCTTTCACTGTGAACGTTTTTGTACACTTTCCACCGATTTTATTGTTTTTAACTGTGTTGTTAAAGTTCAAACAATATATAACCCAAGGAAACTCTATGAATTATTGAAATTATTTCAGGAATTAGGTTTATCGTTCTTTCAAGGTTCGTATCATATATTAGTATAGTAGACCATGTGATTTTGAGTGCAACTTGTGTCTAGTCAACACGAGTGAATTTATCATGGTCTGTAAATTCGGAAAATTTTCTTGCGCTGATTTATCCCATATTGCTTGGGGTAAATCATGTGATTACTTGTACATAACATACTTGCAATATTAGTCGAGCTTATTTCGGGCTTTTCCGTCGAAAGTTGCTTCGTTGCTCTCTGTCACGCATTGTTTTGCTTTCGTATCTTTTCCGTTAGTCAATTAAATCTCAATTTCAACTTTCTGCACTGTTTGGGATTAATTGACTTGTTCTCAGCCAATGACCATGCTGAAATTTCTGCATGCATATAATTAAATTAAGACGCTTTGAGGTGCTAACCTTCGTTATTATGAAAGTTAACTTTGAATTTCGAGAAAAATTACAGAATGGTTTGTTTTATTCAGGAAAAGAAAAAGAAGAAACGAGCCAAACTAAAAATTAGATAACAAAAAAAAAAAGCATCTATAGATTGAAGGGCTGATGAGAATTTGCAAAGGACAAATTCTTGGTGTTTAGGATGAAGATTTCAAAATGTTTGAGTCAAACACCTCTAATAAATGTGGCTGTACTCTGGGATCCTGTAAAAATGCTACAAAGGCAGCTAAATTACACATGCAGTAACAATGCACCGAATAAAGTATGAAGGGTGTGTTAGTAATTAAACCGTTAGAACCAGCAAAAACAACAAAAACGCCATCAACTACTGTATTACACTCAGGCAGGAAGATAAATATATTTCAAGCCACTGCTGTGTTCAGGGGCAGTGCATATTTAGATGCTGTATACATGTCTGTTCAGATTTTTAGGATACGTGTATATACAGTACGAAATAGTGTTTTAAGCGTGTCCAGTTCATATCGACTCATTTAGTGTTTGATGCAATATATCTCGTGAGGGAATTATTCGAATTTCTACAAAGGCCACGAGATACCTTAGCAGACAATGTCAATTTCTCAAACACTTACTCCTTGCATTGTGAATTTTTTATTTATTTCATATACCACAGAAAAAGAATGTAAGTCCAAATAAAAGTCGAAAGTTTATGAAGCCGTTGTATGTGCGATTGATTTTCAATCGGTCTCTTGTCCCAGGCTGTGGTTTAAAAAGTTAATTGAAGATCCTCAAGGATACGTTAATTTATAACTTGGCGCTAGTCATAAAATGTCAAATACCCACGGAGAAGAAATTTCACGACCAAGAATAAAACACAAGCTACATTTACGTGGTAAAAAAGCGAACCTTTCAGGGAATAGATCCCAAATCAGGGAGGAAAAAAAATGTGTCAGACACAACTGTTAACGACTAACCAATCACAAAGAAGAATCTTACTTCAATGAGTGGCAAATGTCTTAGCAGGCTTTCATTCATTCTATCTCCCCCTCTCCCCCATTGCAATGTTACCCGATGTTAAAGTGGCCACTTTTATCTTGCAATGTACTGTAGATTGAGAGAAAAGGAAAACTTTTAACTGACTCCAAGGAGATGTTTTGAAAGGTTTCTGTTTTAATATCATGTAAAGAGGAGGATCACCGACTACCTACTAAGGGAAGGCCTGCCAACTTAAAAAGTGACAACGTCGCGAGACATACCACAGTACTTAATCATCAATGAACTTCGCTGCCTTGCATGGCGGACTACCAACGCTTTCGCAATAACTACAAAAACAACCGACAGTATGAGGGCGGATCGCCCCTATCTGCAACTAAGTGACATCAAAATGGCAAGACAAACGACAGTACTATACCACATTTGCACTTCACCATGACGTATAAGTATAAAATTTTACGAATTCTAACAGTTTTTAATCTGAGAGATTAGCCAAACTGCATCAAATTTTTTCCAACCATTCCACTTCACTGCACAAAGATGTAACACACGCTTTTTAGGTTGCCGCTTCCGCCGCACGAAATAGGGTTACCATCACTCCCTTGCAAACCGAACCCAACAACGGTTTCACAACTTTCGCATTGGTCTTCGTCGTTTCCAAGGATACCAATTCTAGCCCTTCTGAAATCACCATTACCGTTGAGTACATTGAAGCCTTCCTTGCCACAGTAGGGTTGCAAGTGGACCAAGTTACCACTGATAGCTATCCACGATGCACGACCTACAGAGGTGGAGCGGAATTCTCCGTCAGCGATGAGTGAGTACAAAGAGTCAGCCTGTCTATCGATGACCAGAAATCTGTTATATCCGTTGATCTGCATACCAAGACAAATCTTGCTGAAAGGTGTTGCCCAATAAGTCTGTAACTTTGTTTCAATAGAGTCTAATCCACTCTCACCCCCACGCGGGTTGTATTCACTTTTATCGGTCCAGAAGGCCGAGTAGAAAGAAAAGGTGTTCTACGAGATGAAAAGAAATCAAAAAGAGACATTCAAAAGTGGTATAAATTTTTACAGCTTTGTTCTCCAGTTTAAAGCCTAGGATTTGATGGATATTAAACCGTTGTTTCACATGATTTAACGTATTAGCTTTGTTATTCTAGTAGAGAATGATAAATCGATTGACATCAACCACAACTGACAGGTTTGGTACTTTGAACGAAAAAATAAAAATCAAGAGGTCTCCTGATAGTGTGAACCTTCTGCTTCGGCAGATGACACCAGCTTCGGCCTTGATAACTCTCGCTATCGTGCGCAAACCGAATCCAATAACTGTTAGATATTCAGATTGACATAATCAGTGTTACTGTACCGTTTCGCCCATAATCTTCATGACTGTCGTCCAACCGCCACCTCCACAACTGTTTGGATCATCGATGAGACAGTAAACCGTAGTGGGCTTCCCGTTGATAATTAGAGTGTACTGATTACTGGTTGCATTTGACCTTTAGAATCAAGAAACGTGAGACATGATAATAAAGTTTATTTTTAGGCTTCATACATTATTTGCCTCCTTATTTTTTCGGTACAGGTTTTTCCCCTTCTTCTTGGTGGAAAAGCATACACATATTGTGTCCCATGCAAATTTTGTGGGAGTTTTGTGTCGCAAATTGCCGTTTTGTATTTTTTTTCGAGAACATATTGTTGCGTTTCGAGATGACGGAAATCTCTGCTGGGAACTAAATTTTGAGACTTTGAATTCTTTAGCAGGAGAAAAAATTAACGTGAAAGGACCTGAGCTGAACATTGCCAAAGTTTTTCAATTGGTTAAGTCGTATAGAAGGAACTTCAAATGAGGTGTTAAATAAATGAATATTTCAAGCGAATCAAAACACTTTGAATACAAATTGTAATTTGATTCGAACGTAGACTTTTTCCTTTGATTGAACTTTGTAAATTATTGCAGAGTTTATTTTGCATTAATTATTGCAGATTTATCTTAGGGTGGATCAAGGAGTTTTTGAAAAATCTGCCAAAAAGAAAAAAAAATTGGCGAGAAAGCTTGCGACCACGAAGGAGAGTACTCACCCAGAGTTCCTAACTCGGGAAAATACCAGTTTTACTCACCCGTAAACATCGTACACGTCTTTGCATGAAGAAAAAACTGAAAGGAAAAATAAAAGCATCGCAAAATATCCTCGAAGAACTATTGGCGGGGTTGTAGATTGCTTACATAGTCTCGTTGTAAGAATGTTATAAACTTGGAGCCTTCTTCAGGCCATCGAGAAGCCCTAATTACCGTGAGAACTTAATGAAGCGATCACCCACGGAACCCTTTCAAAAGTCTGCAAAATGCATAATTAACAAATTGCACAATACTAGTTGTTAGTTGTTAAATTTCAAAATTGAAGAGCGTGAAAATCGTCAGATCGCCGACCTTAATTCCTAATCAGTAACCACCTTTTCGGGCAGATTTGCGATAGAAATTAATTACTGGAACACACGTTCTTAAAATGCAAATTTTATCTTTTTTATCTTCAGTCGACATAATTCGAATTTCAGTCATTAATTAATGTCGGCTTGAAAAAGTCTTCAGGTGACAAAGTTCTTTAATTTTTCGGTTAGTTTACGCCTAACAAAGGCGCTAGCTAAAGAAAATTTTCACTCTATATTAGATATAGAAGAGAATCATGTGCAATTTAACTCCAGCTTTCAAACAAATCACTCAGCGCCATAAATCACATGTAACTCCGCTTCAATAAGAGAAATTACCCATGAAACTTCATAGATTTTTTTAACAATTTTCAAAATTAGATATTCATACTTTGAAGATGCACAGTTCACGTACCGGCTGTGTGACATAATTTTCCTTTGTATCCAGGAACACAATCACAGTAAAAGTCGTTCTGACTGTAATCGGGAACGCAAGTTCCACTGTTTTGACACGGAAAGCTTGAACATGGTGTCTATGGACAAAATAAAACTTCGATCACTCTGCAATTATCCCTGTATTTCCTGATTACGTAATCATTAAGTCATATTTTTGTTCTGTTTATGTTCCACAACAAAAAAGAAAATTAACAAAGATAAAGGTGTTTTTTTATACCCTTTAGGTCAACTTGGTGGGTAACATAAAAATTAAACTAAAGGAGACGAGAAGAAGGTTGACAAAGTTAACAACTATTTCGATTGAAGGAAGCAAGTGTTTGGAATTTAAAATTCCCTTTTGAATACCTTGATGCTGTAATGATGAAATTCTTGTGATCTGACCAGCTGGCCTGGATTTGCAGAGTATTTATCCTCGTTTAACAACTCACATCGTAGTTTTCCGTCTAAAGTAACAGCCGAGCCGGTGTTGAACGACAAACATGGTGGACTGTTGACACAGCTCAGAGTACACTCTCTGTAGTTGCTAACAAAAATCGATGAGGCAACTGATACTTGAAGACAATGAAACTTCTCAACGAAAAAGTTGCCGAATGATATTTTAGTTGTAGATCCGTTTACATTTGTCACTCGCTTCAGACCACTACTGCCGTCAAATTGAAGCTTGCCTTTGATACTCGATAGGAAAAACATGAAGAAGAGAGAGAAATAGAAAGTGCCCATTGTTCGCAGTAACATAGCGCTTATGGTTCATTACCGAACAGTTTATCAGATTTTTATAAAACATTAACAAAATTTAAACAATTTACATCTTAAATTTTGGAGGAAAAAATATTGGCCTCCAACTGTATAGAACACCTGTTCCCGTAATTGCAATCAGAGAGAGCTTTGTGCAAAAAATTAATCTGCAATTTGAAACCAATCAATGCTCCATTGGAAGTATTTATTTAAAACATATTAATTAATCATTCTTTGACTCAACTGAAGAAAAATTACTGGTGAAGATTTACGTGGACAACTACGCTTCTTGACATGGGTCATTAGGGAAATCACGAAAGTTATTGCGGCTGGAAGTTACTCTAATTTGATGGATGAAACCAATCCATCATAATAATTAATTGAGAAGCTAGTTATTTTGCTATATTTTTAGTTATGTTTTCGGTTTCAGTTATTTTGATAATACGAAATCCGATGGTTATGTAGGTTTTGTTTCCTAGAGACAGTCTATCCAAAATCAACTGCAGGCGTTCGCGTTTGGTCCGTTTTGAGGAATAGGACCTGTATTCATGCAAATGCCTCATTACGGCTTAAGAGTACTGAGCACCATAAAAGTGATAATAATGCAGTCAAACGAAGATATTTACACATTTTTAGTTTCACTAAATATGTGAAGGAAGCTAAAGGCTAAAGTTGTCAAAGAGTTAAATATCACTGAACCAGGATATATCCCATAGCCTTTTTGTCGTTGTTCCCACAAAAAACACCGTCTACTTGTCCAGCTGTACCAAACCCAATTCTGGTATCACATGTATCACAGCGGTCTTCATTGTTACCAAGTATACCGATTCTAGCTTTTCTATAATAAGCAAGATCGCTGACCACATTAAAGCCTTCTCTTTGACATAAGTTTTGTAAGGAGACTCCTGAACCGATCAGCGACGCCCACGTGTTACGACCTAACGTGGTGGTGCGATGCTGTCCGTCGGCGATTAGTGAGTACAACGAGTCTGCTTGCTGGTTAAGGACAATGAATTGGGTTTGCTGGTTGATCTTCATACCGAGGCATATCTTTCTGAAAGGTGTGCTCCAGTAAGTGCGTAGCTTTGTTTCTTGTGAATCAAACCCAGTCTCACCTCCTCTTGCTTTGTATTCATTTCGATCACTCCAGTATCCCGAGCTATAACTGAAGGTATTCTACCAAAGAAACAGATATGAGAGTAAATTATTTAATGTCGTTTGTAGTAGGCATTATACGGATTTTTACAAGCTGCTGAAGGCATCACTTCTCTGTGTCTGACTATTATGTTCCCTAGTTTTTGTACATTTTCACACTCTACTGAGAAAGATTAGGTGAAAAGATTACGTAAGAACTAAAGAAAGAATAAAGCTTTTCATCCACTGTCAACGGTCTTTTTCAAGATTTTCTTGCTCTTTCTGGCGATAAAAATACACAATCAAATGATGAATGATCCTACACCTTATCGCCATCGATTTTCATGACCGTTGTCCATCCACCGTCTCCGCATCCAAAATTTCCCATGTGACAATAAACTGATGCGGGCCGTCCATCAATTTTAAGCTTCATCAGCTGGCTAATGGTATTTGACCTATGATAGTCATAAAATTTGAGAAATTTATGTTTTATTGCTTTCAAAGACTCAGTTTTTTTCTTTTACCAACTACGAGATCTCATTGTGGAAAGTAATGCTGGTGCGTGCACGGGTGGGGATAATTTGGAAAAAACAATCGTGTTTTCAAACCCTCCTTTTCCCTGTTTAGTTGAAAAGGTTCAAGGAGCTATGGAGAAGTTTATTTTCTTTGGTTTGGTGATAGTGAGTTTTATACATGTGTCAGAAAAATGTCTTCTGTAGGAAGACATCCTCTGATTCTTGAAAAATTCCTGATCCCAGGACAAATGATTCTCGTCCTCAATGGAGTATTCAGATTTTCGTTTCAAGTAAACATTCTTTGCTTACCATATTTAGCTACTTAGTATGGTTTTACTGTTTTAAATTGGTTCTGTCTTTTTTTCAGACCAAGGTACCTATAAGCCAGACACCTGACGTCGGCAAAACTCACCTGTTCAAATTGTACGCTTCTTTGCATGACGTTAGCGCTGAAAGGGAAAAAAGACATAAGCACTAAACGATAAAAATAAAAGATTAAAAAAATTTTGTAGAAATACAAGCTAATGACCAAGCCTACAGGCTTGAACAAGGGGACGTAGTTAAAAGTTAATCTCTTAAATGCGCCTGTCTTAATCAGATCACTCCACCATCCACATGACTGGATACATAACTCAAACAATAAAACAGCTCTAGATGTTTTCTACCCCATTTACAAATAAAGAAGTGAAAAGTAGAAATGTTTACACTGCTTTCTTACTTGTTTGACAAAGATTCCCAAAGTCTTCAGGATGACAATCACAATGGAATTGATCTTCAGAATAATCTGGAACGCAAGTTCCATTGTTTTGACAAGGAAAGCTTGAGCATGGTGTCTGTGCACGAGATAAAATGCTGCATTAATTCGAAGTAATCATTATTTTCTGCTCCAGAGCGGCTTATGTCAGTCAATGAATACGAGCAGAAATGAAGGGGCACGGCAATCAGCGATTATTCGCACGAATGCAAGTTTAAGGAACGAGAGCCTAGTACAGTACTTTTCTCTCTAGCAAATGAGGTTACACGTATGCTTTCTCTTTTTGGGCCATAAACTGCTCTGGTGGGGATAAGGAAAGAACCCCTAAGGATTGTCCATGTGATTTAAATGCGCCACAAACTGCTAAATATTTTTAGATCCGTCCATGATCTCTAAAGAGAGATCTAAAAACCGCTTTAAAAGGATTGTTATGTAAGTAAAGACCTCTATTTTACAGAGCTCTCACCTGGTGCACCACCGCGTCTGATATACAAATGGATTATATCAATGTTCTTCTTTACGTACCTTGATTTCGTAATGATGATATTCCTGTGAACTAACCAGCTGGCCTGGACTTGCCGAGTATTTATCTTTGTTTAACAACTCACAACGCAATTTTCCGTCTGATCGAGCAGAAGAGGCGACGTTGAATGATGAACATGGCGGATTGTTGACACAGCTCAGAGCACACTCTTTGAAGTCGCTCACAAATCTGGATGAACCAACTGATACTTGAAGACGACGGAATTTGTCAACCGCAAAGTTTCCGTATGACACTCGACTTTCAGCACTATGTGTCTGAATCTCTCGCCTCAAACCTCTGTTGCCATCAAGTTGAAAGCTTTCGACCTTCTTCAGAGAAATGAAAAGTAAGAGAGAAGCGTAAAAAACATCCACTGTTCGATGTGACATTGACATCATTATATAACAAGTGTGGATTTTGGAAACATTTCCTTATTCGCACGTTTTAACACCTTTTTTTTACAACGGAGGATGTTATAGTAGAAATCTGCAGTCGTGTCTATGATTTAAACAGCTTTATTTTTTCTTCAACGTTACACTATGTGCAGCTCTTATTAAAATTATGGCAAAATCTCTTTTCTGATTGGTTAAAATTTCTTGAAAACATAATTTTATATATTATATTATTTATTACGCACATGAAGCTGACAATTATACATTGACAGAAAGTAATTTACACATATTGTTCAAAAAACGCTTAAACAAAACGAGGCATACATTATTGGGTCTGTTTTTTATATATTCATAAAGTCTGTTTTTCATTTAAGCTGAGCACAACTTGGCTCTGTGTCAAAAGCTAAAAGTCAAACCTATTCTGATTAATTATTGATTTGTGCATTTTTAAATCTTTCATGAGTAGCAGTTTTTCTAATATTTTTTCTAACGGTTCACTATTTTAAAGTATCTGCAATCTTCGCCGAAAAAGAGAGAAAAATTCTGTTTTCCTCAATTAACCGTGAATGATTTTTATTGCTATTAAAATTTTTATCATTACTATTATTATCATCATCATTGCTACTTTTACACTTTTTTCATTAGTGGGTAAGAATTCGAATGGGAAGAACACGAAGAAAAGCTTAAAACTGGTACAATTTTACAGCAGTCGAAGTTTTCAGTCTTATTCTCTGCATTGTAGAAAATCGCCGCTTACATCATTGAACAGTGAACAGATATTTTTTGCCAATAAATATTTATATTATAATATATACAATTTTCTTCTCCCCTCTGCATGTAGAGGCAGTGAAGAAGAACCACGCTTGTTTATTTCGCGAGACGTGCATTTTTGATCACGGTTATGCGCAATTTCGGCACATATTTTCTTTCCTTCAATTAGTACTGGATGAGCATTTTTCGAAGAAGATAAAGAAAAAATTGAAAAGCGTTAGGAGATTTGATAGACGTCTGTGACCTGTAGACATGTTCCATAGGATACCACGCGAAAGTGTTACATGATAGGAAACACTCAACCTTGTTTTCAGGAAGCGGCGAGAAGAGATAGCCTGGTAAATACTCTGGTAGGCTCCTCCCACTTTTTTGTAAGAAACCTACTCCCCTATCCCCTCCCCCACCAAAAAGAGGACTTTGATTCCGGTCTTCATTTCCGGGATGTGAAGAGGAATTGGTGAATACTCAGGTGAATATCGTCATTCACTAAGAATGGGCAGCGTTTCAATGTAGAATTTATTTGCTTCAAAAAGCCTTCATGATTTCGAAGTTGGTTTAGTTAGGAATGTGGGGTAAGGCTGGGCACGAATCATAATATTTGACCGGCGCACAGGGCTTAGGTAGAAGCCGCTGATTAAATTGTATGCTCAAAAATCGCTTAAGACAAATAATGATGTCATTTTGTCATGATTTTCCTGGAAGTCAATGTCTCCTAATGGACGCTATTTAGATGTGTTAGTTTATCCATTCGTGTCATTATGGAATGCTTTGTGTTTCGTGTTTGTGACTTTGTTGTGGTCAAATTTGTTTGGCCGTAAAAAGGAACGGATCTGGTCTAAAAGGGCGCGTTACTCGAACATACCTGCAAACATGGCCTCCAGGTCCCCTCGAGATGGAAGACGTCCATGTAAATCTCAGAGCTCTTTAGATGAAGGCGATGATGGTTTACCGAGAGATATAGCTAATCTCAGGGCGTATCATAAGCAAGCTTATGGCTACATTGCAAAGGCTCTGAAAATCGACGAAGAAGGAGGTCAGAATTACTTCCCTGAAACATTTAATTTTAACCGACACACGTGTACATGTACATGTACATGTACATATTCATGGGAGGAATTGTGTTTTGAATTTATGACTAAGCAGTATCCTTGTCTGTATAAATCCGATTCAGATGTTCCTAAAGGAAAGAGCACAGCTTCGTTCTCGATTCCAGCGTGCATTGCAGTGAGACTTGGATTGTATAGTCTTTCAGATGGTTCAAATTGTTATGATTATATTTTATTTTGATCATATTTACAATTAAACGAAATAAAATTAATACCAACTTGATTCTTATCACCCAAAGGGGGCCTGTCATCGAAAAGAAGAGCTGTAGAATTCTACAAGAAAGGAATTGGTGAAATGGAGACAGGACTACAGATTAACTGTGATGGAGAAGGTATGTTGTACCAACTAATCAACCTTTCTAACATTATTGTACCCCAAATTTTTCCTGGGTGTAACTTCTCATCCTCCTTCAGCTGAGATCCAAACTGTTTCAAGCCATTATAATTTTATTCTCCACTTATGCCCACAGTTAAACAGTTTTTAATGCAAAATATACTTGATTCACAGGAGAGGAATGGGAAAAAGCCAGAAAGCTGCAAGATAAAATGAAATCAAATATGGAAAATACAAGAGAAAGATTAGATGAACTAGGTAGGTTAACACAGTAAATTGCATTTGTTTATACTTAAATTGTATCAGTGACAAACTCAGCTACACCACATTTTGGTTCCATTCACATTTTGGCATCATCCATAATCTACATGTATTAATTGCTGAACAGATGGCAACTCAGAATCTATTTGTTGAATTGATTATAGAGGTCTTGACATACCTTTTTGTAAAAGGGCAAGTAGTGTTTCTTAATAGTTGGTGGCTTGAATTATAGGTTGTAGTGTTTATTTAAGTCTAATGTTACAAGTTGTGAGATCCCTGCCCAGGTAGTTACAATTTAATGAGCTGTTGAATGAAGCTTGCCATGATTTGCTTACCATGATTCAATTTGGTGACTGTTATGTAGAGATGGGAGTTGATAATTCTAAAGGATGACAGTGTCCTTTTTATTTTTTTTTGTGGCCAGCTATTTAGAAGTTAACCTCAAAGTCCATGTAAGACATGTTTTTTTGGGATGTTGTTTGGTGTCTGCCATCCACAGTGTATAAGGCAACTACCATCACAGGATCATTATATGTAGGTTTAACTGAACAAATTTTTTGTTTTAGTGGCGTTACTATTGTCAGCATCAACTATTAACCAGGAAGAAGCTGCCAAGTTGATGGAAGAAGTGGCCCAAGAAGTCAAAGCTGAAGAAACAGCTGACCCTATAAACAATGTGAAGAAGCCACCTTCAACAAAAAGCACAATGGTACTTCCAAAAAAGTCAAATTCCTCATATAGTGCAACTGGCGCTGCTACTAATTCAAAAGTTACTAGTAAGACTGTAATGAAAAAAACTGCGTCAACTTCAGTGCCTGCCAGACCAACCATTTGCAGGACGGAGCCCTCTCGCAAGCAGAAGGAATCCTACACAGGTATGCAGTACTCCATCCATTTGTTATAAATTTTAACTTCATTTCAAAAATATAAACAAAGAACAGTACTGGCATAGAAAGGTAGAACAATTTGTTAGTTTCATTTGATAATTATTTTCAATTTTGAAATTTGAAGTACACTCTGAGAATTAAAAGGACGTGAGAATTGGATTTGATGGTTAAAACTTTTACAATGTCTGGTCATTCAACTGTAACAAAATCTAACAGATGGAAAGAATTTGTTGAGAATCTAAATTTATAACTTGCTCTTTTTGTAACGTGTTAGTAACTTTAGGCCTGGTCAAATGCATGCAACATTTCACCTTCACCACAACATCTTGCAACATTGTTGGATCGTGTTGTCAGATTTGTGAAGGAGCTGGCCAATTAACGCATGCAATATCTTGTAAGGTTCAACATCATTTAACATCTTGCAACATGTTGCCATATATTGCTTCAGGGTGGCCAAACATTTGCAACACATTACACACAACAATGTTGCATTGAAATGTTGTGTGCATTTGCCCTGGCATTTACATACACATCACAAAGGATAATAATCTGAGCTAGGTATTTGAGATACATTTATAAGTGATACATGACATTGTAATTTTCTTAGACAAGGCAGTCAAAACCTTCAGTTGGGTCTGAGAATGACAGATCAAAGCAAATGGATGAAAAAAGGAGGAAAATATCACGTCTCAAGAATGTTGATTCCAAGTTAGCCGATCATATATTGGATGAAATTATTGAAAGGTACCAAGTGAATGCTTCACAGCTGTATTGCAACCTGTGTGAATAGCATTAAAGTCTCAATCATTAAGTGGTGAAAAAGTCAACTTGTTTCTCTTGTGTTTGGGTCAACAATATGGAATGGTTCTTTTCTATTCATTCAAATGTATTTTTCTTCTCTTTTTTTATCCTAGTGGCCCCCCAGTGCACTTTGATGATATAGGTAAGTTCTAAATGTGTTCCATTATTTTACAACAACCTTTTATTTTTTAATGTTTGTCATCACTTTTTGGAAGCAGGAAATAAACACATGCATTTCAGCATATGAAAATTATGTGCTGTCTCCTGCTTGCCAAAGGGTTTTGTAGACTTGCCTGGGACTGAAACTGAGCTAATTAGTACGAAGTACCAATATGCAAATGTTAGAGGACTGGGTTTAAACTGGGATCACCCATGATTGCAAGAAAGTTGGAAGATGGCATACAAGGCTGGATTTAATTTTTGGTTTGATTGCCCATTCATCCTTGATTGCTCTTCTTTGCTTTTTTTTTATTTATCATTTACAGCATGATATTTGCATTGAATTTCATAAAATTGTCAATCGTCAAATCTTTTATTTCATCTTTTCAGCTGGTGCAGAAAGTGCTAAGAAACTCCTTCAAGAAATAATTATCCTTCCATATTTAAGGCCTGAGGTATTTTATCATCCACATTATTAATTTCTTTAAAAGTGGAGCACATAAGATATGTGTAGGTTGTGATGTAAATGTGTTTGACAGAAAATTAATGCCTCAAACTATGAAATAGCATTATATTTACAGTACGTTCAATCCTCAACAGCTTTTCACTGGTTTAAGAGCCCCAGCTCGTGGACTGTTGTTATTTGGGCCACCAGGCAATGGAAAAACTATGTTGGTAAGCTTATATGATATCCTTTTTCAATAAACATACATTTAAATGTTATATTGCTTTCATTCTGAAAATGAATTGTGATTGTGTCTATGAAGAACAACTCTCTTGCCACCCATTCTGCATCATTTCCTATAGTTTGCCATTTTGGTTGTTTTCTTTTCCCTCATGAATTGGTATTCTACAATGATTTTGATTCTACAAGATTTTGTGGCTGTCTTTTGGTTAAAACCTTCTACATACATTTCATCATCAACAGTCTGTAGAGGAAGTACCCCACTTGTGATGAAAATATCTGTCAGGTTGTCAGTTTTTTTTTGTTTTCTTTTGCTCAGGCAAAAGCTGTGGCTAGTGAATCAAAAGCAACATTCTTTAATATAAGTGCTGCCACTCTCACATCCAAATGGGTAAGAAAAAGTTCATATCAGTTCTAATTTTTCTACTAAATGTTTTTGAGATGATTTTGGATGGCAGCTTCAGATCATCTATACTCCTTTAAAATAAGGTAATTGAGGAGTCTTATAATGAATTACAGGGTTAATAAATTCTTACTTTGCAAAGAATGATTTTTTTTTTTCATGCTTGCATGGTGTCTAGTTTCTTAACTCTTTACACCCTATGATACGGATGCATTATCTCCTCACTGTTCTCCCAGGGCTAAAAATTAACTCCAGTGCTTGGTGGCCAGTCGGGCCAGTTTCCTTGAATTTTTAGTGGCCCATCCCAAAATGAAGTAGCCATCCATTTTCTCTAGTTTAAAATGAAAAACTTGAATAAAGGCCCCATGGCCGCTTTTAACGGAGCATTAATTAAAAGGAAAGAACACAAAAGTCCAGAGTCACTCGGCAATCACAAAATCAAAATGGTGTCTATATGTTGTGAATGTGGATTACTCGTGAAATCACTGTTAAAACGGCTCAGAATTTCCACTTCAGAACTAAAAATTCACTAAAATGGATGATCTTAGAATCCACGCAAAGAAACAAAGAGAATAGTAGTCCAGTTAAATTACATATTGAGCTTTATTTTTAACTTTGTACTTCACATAATTTACATTGCAACTTTTTGAAATTCTGTAGCATTGTTGTACATCAGGCATTCAAACCTTAACTTCTGGTGGCCCTGGTCAGTTTTAACTCGCCACTTGTGACCATGCGACTGCCAATTTTTAGCCCTGTTTTCTATGCATTTCCTAAGGCCCTGGCAACAAAAATTTGTTTAACAATCAAGAGCTTGTTTAGTTGATAATCATTTCCTTTACTCTCAGGACCTTTATGTGTTATTTAGGGGTGATATTGTAAGGAGAAATTAGATGCTAATCACTCTTAGAGATCAAAAGGTTGACCTTATAACTTTTTATCTATATTTGACAGGTTGGTGAGGGCGAAAAACTCGTTAGAACTCTATTTACTGTTGCTAGAGAACTGCAGCCCAGTATAATATTTATTGGTAGGTGCACCTAATGATTTGGCCCGAGTGTTAATTTGTGCAGCGTGATATGGGTATTAAATGGCTCACAATGGTTACAATTTCAGATGAAGTGGATTCTCTTCTATGTGAGAGAAAGGAGGGGGAGCAAGAGCACAGCAGAAGAATCAAAACAGAGTTCTTAGTTTCTTTTGATGGAGTAAGTAGTTATAATAAAATAACTGGTGTTTGCACTTGTCATGAAGAGTGGCATTTTTAACCTATGAGCACAAATGTACAGTATGTATGTCCTGTGTATTGATAAAAAAAGGTTGTGATCTGTTTCATCTTTCTTTCCCTTTTTTTTTGTATACTTATTTTTCTCTGATTTTCATGGATTTTATTGAAGAGAGAAATACCTGATGGCCTCTGATTATTTTACTATTTGATTGTTTGTGTTGTAAATTCATGCTGACTTCCCACAGGTCATTGCTGATCCAAATGAGCGAATATTAGTGATGGGAGCCACCAACAGACCAAATGAACTTGATGATGCAGCTCTCAGGTACTGCACCTGTTGAAGATTTTTACTAAACTGACTTGTCATAATATGTACTTATATTTATACTAATAATGTGGTACAGTGGATTTAACATGCAAGAAAAAACATTTGAAATACTATGTAAAAAAATCAGTGGTTTATTTACAGGGAATATACATTAGAGAGTGCACAGCCTTCTGTTTTTGTTGTTGTTGCTGTTTTTTTTTTATATTGATGATGTGTTTGAGTGCACTGTAGGTCTATGTCGTATTTCTTCAGCAATTTTTACCTGTTTTTTTTTTCTGCGTGGCCCAGCCACTTACCTCAACTAGGGTTCACCGTTTTTAATTGGATGTACTTTTTTTATTACCTGTTGTTTGTAAGTTATCTAACCTACAGTGTGATCAACTCGTTCTTGATTTTTCATTTTTGGTATCATTTGTTCTGGGATTTTTCCCTGCAAAAGCTAAACAGAACTTTAAAAAAAATACCTTTTTTTGTTGATGTTGTTATTGTAGTTGTTGGTTGAATATGTCTTTCTCTAGAAATTTTAGATTTGAAGTTCAAATTTAGGTTACATTTTGGCAATATGATATCCTTTTTTGTCTTCTTATTCCTTTGTCATTCAGAAATATTGTTAATTATTTTCGGCAGGCGAATGGTAAAACGTGTGTATGTACCCCTACCGGACAAAGAGGTATGTGAAGGATAACTGCAATTCATTGTACAGTAGTACTGAAAGTGTATATTAACTTTACTCTTAGAGGCAGTTACTGATTGAACTAACACTGCTCAATCTCTTTGTGTTTAATTTTTTAGACTAGAAAAGTCCTCCTATCTAAACTTCTCGTCAAGAATCACAACCCACTAAGCTCATCGGAGATGGAGTCTCTCGCCAGGTAACAATGGCCCGCAAAATGAATAACATTTGCAACACGGGTAGACAAGTCCTGGAATTTCCTTGTTTGCTCTACTTCAGTGGGTGTTGCTTTGTATTGGGCTTGATACATCTCAATGCCAGTCCATCGAAGAGTACAGCGAGCTAACTTTAAGTTTTCCCACTATGATTCAGTCCCCTCCCCGTCGTTAAAACATTCCTTACCCTTGTTTGTGGACCGCTGACATATTGTCTGTCTGGTTTTGTCTTCTAGACTAACTGAAGGGTATTCTGGTAGCGACTTGACAGCCCTCGCCCGCGATGCAGCATTGGGACCCATCAGAGGTGAAAATGACTTTGTCGATATACAGTAGATTTCTTTTCATTTTACCATCCATATTCCACGGAATAGCTGACTTGTATTTGTTTCTCTTGGCTATCATCAGACCTTCGTCCAGACCAAATACAGTCCGTAGATGCAACTAAGGTGGGGTGTAATTATTTTATTATTTTGCTTTTACAGTTTGGCAGCTTTAATCTTTTATCAAGACTGTAGTGCCTTTTCCTTAATTCCTAGCGCTTTAGTGGTTTTGTAATCGATGTTTGATTGTGCCACTCTACCTCCTTCCAGGTTCGTGGCATTAGCTACAACGACTTCCAGAACTCTCTGAAAGTTATTCGACCCAGTCTTTCGCCTCATTCTCTGAGGCTGTTCGAGGACTGGAACAGATCCTTTGGTAGCAGTGCCCAAGGCTAAGGAACTGAAACGGTGCTCGATTCATGCCCTTTTCACACCCCTTATAGGAAACTGAAAATAGTTCGGAGGTAATACGATATTCTGGGCCTGGTTGTGCAAAAGGCGGTTGGCACAATTCCATAGGAATATTGAGAATTAACTTGTTTTCTCTTTTATTAAAATGTTCATAATGTGCTTACGTTTTTGTGAGGTTTATCCCGTTGTGGAGCAAAACTGAATTTAATAGACAGATAACCAGGAAAACCTGAACTTACAAATGTGTAACTTATTGAAAGATTAGTGGGTTAGTGGTATCGTTATTAACTAACCTGGCCCGAATTTCTGTTGTTTATCTGATTTGGTTTTAATTTTCTATTTCTTTGAGAGACGTGATATTTGAAATACCATGTCCAATTTCTGTGATTTTTTACCAGATTGTTTTAAAAATTGAAATAACTCGAAAGACCCAATTTCTTTTTATAAAATGAAATCCATAGAAAAGATGAAAGAAAGAAACAAGAAGAAACAAAACTTCTAATCTGATTTGACAAGGTGTGCTAAGACTACAAGAATCTTTGATTCTATCTTAAATTCATTCCGTTTTGAGCAAAACTTAGCTTGTAACGCTTCACAAGAAAATGAATAGCTCTAGATCCTGTATGATCCACGCAGACGTGCGTTATGTTTTCTGTAATTACAATTGCACCCTTGGAAGAAGTATTTGTCTGTTGGCTCGTCTGTTAACCCTGATAAGACTGATTAGCATCCAACTTCTTCAAACTGTATCGCCATAGAATGAAACTATAAGGTCATAATGAGAAAATTGATTATCGCTAACTAAATAATCCATTGATTGTTGAAGCAATTCTCTTATTCAGCACTATGGGAAATATACAAAGAATGCTATGGAGAATGTACTGGGTTAGGCTTAGGATTGTTAGGGTTGACCTGATTTTGTTCTTTATTCGGGTAACTTGAGCGAGACTGTATTCCAAAAAAAGAGAAAATAAAAGAAAGAAAAAAATGAAAAGATGGCTGGGCTTCGATTCTGATCAAAATGTAATGCGGACTTTCAAAATCCTCCCTCTCTTTAAAACCATGCGTTGCTGTTGTTGTTTTTAGTTTGGGTCAGGAAATCGAGAGAAAAACGCACTAAGTCGTGCAATTTCGAAGACTGGTGTATGCACCCTGAGACGGAACATTTCTCAGAATAAAGATTTAAGCAAGAACAATGTCCCACAGGAGTGACAAGTAACTATCAAAAATCCCTGTGGCTTTACCCATTCGAAGTTCCGCTGTCTGCCACCGCTAGCTCGGCAAGCCATCTCTTTATTATTAGTTACGCATGACCAAACAGTAGTATTGCGTGACGTGAAATTGGCTGCCGTGCTCGAGAGTTGCACCAGATCAAAACGTCTTTGAAAGTGACAATTATTTAGGAAGAAGGTAAGAGAAGATGTGAGAATTTTGTTATTATGCATATTATATCGCGATGTTTTGCTTCACTTTGAACCTAAACACCAGAGACGCTCGTTTGACTGATCGTTCGATGATTTCGTACATAGACATCCCAGACATCTCTGCTCAAAGGTTTAGTCTGGCTTGGAGACGCGATTTTATTTTGAGCATTAGGAATAAATCAGCTAGATTTTCAGGACAATATGGCAGGATAACGCAACACAATTCGTCAGAGAAAATGCATTGTCTTTCCTAATATACGTATTAAAAATGATCAAGCTAATTCATACGAATGATGTGGATTTGTAGTTGCATAATTAAGTCACCAATTGCAAATGAACAGCTGTTCGCTTAAAATCTGGCACAATTCACTTCGATCGTTTCCTTTGAGAAAGATATTTCGATGGGAGGTTTTCCAACCGATGTGCACATGTTGAGGCAAGCAAAAGCGCAAGTCGTATGGCTTTAATAGAAATCGTGTTTGTATTGTGGATATTAACTGATAAATTGTGTACGAGATTTGCATGGTTGAGTTCTTATTTTTCCTAACGATATAGAAATTGCCTGTGATTTCCAAAGATTTTGCCGTTGTTTAACTCGCAGACGGCATAAAAAATTTGCATTTTATTGAGATGCCTGGGGGCGTATCAACAATCCTCGTTGGCTTATTTACTCATTGGGATTTTTTAATGAGGCGAGTGCATAGACCCGTGTCGACGAGTTACTTATGTTTACAGCCAAATATTGCTACATTCAAAGTTCTTGCCATTTCCCATGCTAAAACGTCTGTTTTTTTTCCCTATCATATCGACAGTCAAGTGCCGCAAAATGGGAAATTTAAAATCCGCTTTCGTGCTCAGGGTTTTTTCACCATCAGTATTAGTTTTCAATAAATAGTTGGTGTTTATTCCCGGTGTCTCATTCTCTCTCCTCAGCTAGCGATCAATCAATCGATTGAAATTAAAAAGTTACCGATTGATTTCGATTGCGAAGTTATAGAATACGAAGTATATTTGAAACAACGTTCCCGGTAGGCACTTTTGTTTCATACAGCCACAGATTACGCAACGTAAATCTTGACATTTATTTTAGGAAAATTCCTGTTGTTTCATAATTATCACTTCAACTCGTCTATTGTGTTACATTGCGCAATCAGTCAGGTCACTTACTCTATACACCTAACATCAGTCAGCTCTCTATACATTTTTAAGGTGCTGACAATGAGACTGTTTTCCTATCAATAGCGCATTTGGTTCGAGATCGATTTATTCTTATTTCACATCCTATATCAGGGCTGAGTTCGAGCACTAAAACATCACAGAATAGTCAAGCAATGTGGTAAATGGAATAGGGTGGTTAAGAAATTTTGGTCAAATGGCAATTTTTAAAAAATAACTTTTATTGCATCACCTAGATCTCCCAGCTCAAGCCCGACCCATCTTTTCTAAGACACCCAGAAAAGATTTTGAACTATGACCAAATTTTTGCCGCTGTTCGTTGGAATGTTGCAATTCCAAGGAGAGAGGGTAAAATGAAATAATTGAAAAAGACCCGACTAATTAATCCTTTATAATTGAATCGTCGACGAAGACGAAAAAAAAATCAATATGCATGAATTTTTCCTTATCAGGTAATGGTTGATTTCAGATACATCTACAGAAATGATTCATATCAGTCGAATTACAACGCTCATTAATTTCTCTGCGTTTACGTGTGCTTTCAGCGCCAAGTTCTTGTGATAGTGATGTCATATCCATATTTACGTGTTGCCTTCGAGCGTTTCACCTTTGTTTAATAGTAGAATTTTTTTTTCCATGTAGCAATACTGGTTTAATCATGCCCAACGAAAAGGATTTCGCTTCCCTGTTCCAGACTGTTGATGAACATCCTGAACCAATCAATGCAGAGGTAAAGGGTAACCTCCCCTCCTGGCTGAGGGGAACCTTACTCAGAAATGGTCCAGGTAAATTCGAGTGCGGCGACACTTCGTTTAAGCACCTGTTTGATGCCCAAGCACTTCTCCACCGTTTCCACATAGAAGATGGTCATGTGACCTACAGTAACAGGTTCATAAGAAGTGAAAGCTACGCCGATTCTCTAAAACGCGGGGACTCCATTCACATGCAGTTCGGCACTTTTATACCCCCAGACCCGTGCCAGAACATCTTCTCCCGTTTGTTCTCGTGGTTTTGGAAAGAGGAAATCGGCAGGGATAACACTCTTGTCAATGTGTTTCCTATCAAAGGCAAGACTTACGCAGCGACCGAGACAAACTTCATCTATGAGATCGACCCCAAAACCTTGGAAACTTTGAAGAGGGTCGACCTCCTAAAGGAGTTTCCAGGTAATGACATAAACCAAAAGCTATGTTCTATGAGTTTGGCTCCTTTGTCTCATACTCTTTCAAGATTAGGTCGACCTGACTAACTTTATTGTACAATGACAATGGTGATGGCGAAGGCGTTGGCAATGATTAAGGTTGGCCTGTCCTTTTACTGATTCATTACATGCTGGTCTTAAATTTAAAGTAGACTACGATTCAATCAATCGTTATCAATTAATTATTCTAAGTGTTCAATTGGCTTTTCTTCTATCCATCAGCTGACGTAAAGATCAATTCTGCGACAGCCCATCCTCACGTAACCTCAGACAAATCAGTGATCAACATCTCTGCCACGTATGGTCGAACTTCCACCTACAACATTATTCAAATACCACCATCCTCTGAAAAACCAGACGAGCGTCCTTTGGAAGGAGGTAAGGTCCTTTGTTCCATCCCAGCCACAAATGGGCTCGGCTACATGCACAGTTTCTGTATCACAGAAAATTATTTCGTAATTACCGAACAGCCACTCGTTCTGGATTTATGGCGGGCTATAACCCACAGGTTTTCTGGATCTTGTCCTGCGGACTTTCTATGCTGGGATCCAGACAGACTCACCAAGTTTCACGTGGTCGACAGAGAAAGTGGAACGCGTGTTGGTGTCTTCACAGCGGATCCATTTTTGGTCTTTCACCACATCAACGCGTTCGAAAAAGATGGCAAAATTTTTTTGGACGGTTGTTGCTTTCACGACGACTCTATTATTCGTCAAGTGTATCTTATTAACCTGCGTTCCACCAATCAAGAAAAACAAAAGAAGTATGACGTCGCTGAGGTTCGCCGGTACGAGCTACCACTGAAAGAGCTTGGAAACGTGGAGGTAGAAAAACCTCTCCCCAAAGGAGCTGACGGACTGGACTACACTTTGCTGTATACTGGATTGGAACTACCGCAATTTAATTACGCAGAGAAAAACGGCAAGCCATACAAGATTGTCTATGGTTTGTTACCAAATCCAGATGATCCATTCGGTCAACTGGGGAAACTGAATGTTGAGACGAAGGAAATCCTTAAGTGGGAGGAGCCTGGGAGTCAACCTTCGGAGCCTGTGTTTGTTAAAGCTCCTGATGGGAAGGACGAAGATGACGGTGTGGTGCTGTCATGCGTCATAAACGTCTCTGACCAGACCACCTCTCTGCTGGTGTTGGACGCGAAAGATTTTAAAGAGCTTGGTCGTGCTGTGGCCAAAGTGGTGTCTCCAATGTCATTTCATGGAATTTTTCAGCAAGAACAAGGACTATAACTACCGGACTGAATTTTTTTCCCTCCAAGATGATTCTCTCTTGTACTAGATGAAAAAAAAAACTTTGCATATAGAATTTTGAGAAATGACAGAGGTTAAATATGCAAAATCTGGCTGTGATATGATCTGAAGCGTAATACTGCAGATATATTTCGTGATTTTTTATGGGGTGAGTTTATTAAACTAATCCCAGCTCCAACCATGAGTCCTGGAAGGTTCTCTCGATGGAAATTTAGATCGAAAATCAGGTATTGAAAGCCACACGTGCGATTTCTTTAATCAAATCAATCTCTAAGGGTTATTGTTAATTGTCGTCAAATAACGTGCAAAAAAACTATACAAGAACAAAGACAACAAGGACGTAACAAGAACAATATAAATGATCATTACCTTCCATAATTTTAGAGGTGAGTGGACCCACCGATAGCTAATGCTAATTTTGAAGGGCCGGGCTACTTTTATTAAAAGTTACTTGATTTATTGGATCAAAAAAATACAACTGCGTGCGCCAGCAGAGAAGGAAACAAAACTCGACTGTGTTGGATGATACTTAATCAGTTGAATAGTCATAATAATGTTTCTTTCTTTAACTCCCTCTTTCCTTTTTTTCTTTCTTTCTTTCTTTCTTTTTTCCCTCTTCCTTCCTTCTTTTCTTTCTTTCTTACTTTCTTTTTTCTTGCTTTTTTTTTTTTTTCTTCCCCTCTTCCCTTCAATCTACATTTATTCCTTTCTTTCTTTCTTTCTTTCTTTCTTTCTTTTCTTCTTCTCCTTTTCTACAGTACTACAGTGAATACAGTTTACACTGGATGCAAAATATTTGAAGGGACTGGTTTGAACAGTGCTGTATTGATCCATACTTAATAACAGTTGTCCCACCCTCCATTAGCCCTAGTCCCAAAAACTCAGTTTAACTTTGTTGCTAAGATGTTGAAGTTTGGTCAGTATGGAGGCAACACTGATCCAGTGAATAAGGAACTTCAAATACTGTAGGAGAGGAATATACAGTGTTTTTTTTTTTGTTTGTTTAAGTAACGGTGAAATTTCTTTTGAACATTCCCTTGATGAAGAGAATCAAGGACTGCTATGTTCGATTACTCATTACTTTTGGAAGAACCCTTCAGATACGCAAATCTTTCCCTATCCCTTTATTTCTTCTTCCTTGTTATCTCGCCTTTTATGTGCCAGTTTTCAAAGAAATTGTGCTAAGTCAATCTGTTCCAGTGTTCTCCCCAGTTTTCAGCACAGCAGGTAAGCGACCTTTTCAAACCGGTAAAGCACATTTGCAGCTTCAGGCGGCAGGTCATTCTCAACTTTGTCATTTCCTAAAGCATACAGTACATCGCGCCCATCAAAAATTCTCCATCGAAAAATTCATAATGTGAACGATACACCTTTAGGTTCAGAGGTTGAACAAAACAAAGTAAAAATTTTGTTTAAAAGCATTGTATTTGACTATGCCCTTTCCAAACTGCTCATGACGTAAACTGGTCTCCCTTCGATTTCGGGTGATTACATGGCATATCGCTGGAAAATCAGCGGTGTTAGCTACGATTGCTATGAAATCGAATCACATCGACTAGCTGAATTCGCGTTCTAATAGTCTCAAATTCAGAACTTTTACGCTGTCGAGAGATTTTATTTTCAAGGCTTCTTTTAAACCGTTGTCTGAAACACATTTCAAGTGGAATTTCACGATGAAGACTAGCTTTGTCCCCACGTGTTCGTGGGGCAATTGTAGAGCTGTCAAGGCGGTTATTTCTGGCAATTGGCTGCTATCTTGTTACTGGACAGAAACGACAGCATTGCTTGCTACCGTTTCATCGTGGAAACTGAACAACTAAACGACACCACATTTGCACGTGCAGAGAACTGACAAATGTCATGAAATTTAGTAGAAAGCCCGCGAAAATCACTCTTGCTTCGAAATTCGAAAGGTACCAGTCAGTGTTAGCTAACTAAAGCACACGTAGATCTATAATAGTGCACACTGTTGGCTTGTTATTACACTTTCTTACCAGATTAGTTCACAATAAATGCGTATTTTTTAAGGGTTCTGAGCGTTTGAAGGCGGTAATAAGAGCTCTTACAAGCTGTAAATTTTACCGGTTACTGCCTGATAAGGAGAACCCTGCTGTTCATGGTCCAATACAAGGCGGTGCAAATATTTCTAAGGACTCTCTATGCCCATTACATGAATACATACTTAGATCTAAATAAGGAACGATTAGGTCTTCAGCAGTGCTTAGAAGTTCAAGTAGGGAACGGAACATTAGGAATATCCGCTGCATCAAAGGTAAGTCGTAACCTTTAGCTTCTTTCGATGTGCTCTGTAACGATTGTTTAATTACTGAAAGGGTTGAACTTATGATGCAGTTTAAGGAGTGAAACGAAGGTAGCGAGTTTAACCGAGTCTAATTCCATTATGACGTTCGTAGAAATGCTCATTTGTTACACTGTAAAAGCATTGTTTTGCCTCGAGGTATTACGACTGAAACTATTAATATAGTGATGTAATGGAATTCCCTCAGTAGTTTAAATTTATTTTCTAGCCGTAATCTACGATAGACTGCTATGATGCAAAATACAACATCATGACTAGCACTGTCAAACGCAATAGGATTATCTATGCAAATTTTTGTGACAAATACAATTTCGACAACAACAACACTAATTATGCATCCACCTGAAAGCTCGTTCAAGCTCCAACCCCAATTTTCTTATCTTTCCCCTTTTTTAGTTGCTTTTTTAACGCGATTCAATTCATAACACCATGAAAAAGTCAACAGTGACTAAACGAGTTAGTTCGCGTTAAACTTCTACTTTTAGCATTAGCAACGATATCAATTTTGCCCTGCATTCGCCCTAACAAGAATATGACGAGATCTCGCTCTCTATTTCCAGCACGGCTAATATTTGTAGATCGTAAGAAGTCCGATTCTTTAGCGACTGATTAACGCGTTTGTCATCCTGAAAAGTTTATTCGCATCTTTCGTTGGTTTGTCGTAAATAGCGTTTGGATTTGCAAAGGGTTCTTGTTGTCATAACCTTTTACGCGTGACCTGGTGCTAATTTAAAGAAATGACCCTGACGCGCACGTGCAAACGTTTCTAGTTCACAGCAGGGAAATGCATTTCATGCACAAAATACTTGTAGTGACTTGTGCTCGAAATTTTTATGAGTTCTCCACGTTAACTTCCTTTAGTTTGTCATTCCATGTTTTATTTTTTTGGTATTTGAGGAGAATAAAATATCCTTACTTGTTACGTAACGTTGAACGAATAATTTTATCCTTGGCAGGAGCCATTACCCCTGTCCTTAGTAAGGATTTCTTCTGATCATTGCAGTTCTTTCTTTCTTCTTTCAATAATTTAGCATTTATGACGAGAAATATCTTTCGGCCGTGTCAGTTTGAAATTTTATATTTTGTCGATATTCAGATTACGTGTAAATCACGCGATTACGACTTCAACAATGTTCTCATCAACCGCCGATCTCGATGAGTTAATAAAAAACTCTTGGCCTATCCGATTTTTCAGTGATTTAGATTAAGTGAAATATAAAACGGCACAAATTTTGATATTGCGAAAATTTCATGTGGGTGGAATATCACTTTAATATTTGCAGTATTGGATGGGAAGCACATTCTCTATCGTCACGCGTTCCACTTGTCACGTTTGAAATCACGTGCTCACTCAGCCGGCAAGCATTCTGTGAGGAACGTCCTTGCAGACTTTGCTTTAAGGCTTTTACCACCTACTCGCGAACGAAGAAACGCTAATATAAAGAGGGCTGCTTGCACGCACGCTTATTCCCACACACAAATATCTCTTGTTTAAAAGTTTTAATAAGATTACAACCTTGAGATAAAGGAAAAAATAGGAGCGAAAGACCTATCACGGCTGCAAATTTCCTAAGAACCTTAATTGTGAGAGACAGCTAGCTAGGGAATTCAAGCACAGGGGTTTTCCTTGAAACGCTGTTGGTGACCGGAACGCGAATGCGATTGCCCTGTTTTATGCGCACGATAACGCCTACTAATCTGTTGGAAAGGCAATTCTTTTAGCAGCAAAAGACAAACACCAGAGATTCGCTCTAAGCTCTGGGATAAAGTCCTCAGAACTATCGCCTACCCTTCTTTTCAGAGTTAGAAATCTTGAAATGTCTCCTTCCGTTTGAACAAACAATTCAGAACTATCTCTTTTATGCTTGATCATTTTTACGAAAATTTTTTTAACGCAAAATTTTTTTCACTATAAATGGTATACCCCATTGTTTCTCAGGCGCTTCCACCGTCCTACCCATGACCGAAACGCAAGACATCTCTCCCTTGTTCCAAACTGCTGATGAGCAATCTGAGCCAATCAAAGCGGAGGTTAAAGGTAACCTCCCCTCATGGCTGACCGGGACCATGATAAGGAATGGACCTGGTAGATTCGAGTGTGGTGACACGTCGTTTAATCACTGGTTTGATGGCCAAGGTCTGCTACACAGCTTTCACATACAAGATGGTCACGTGACTTACAGCTCCAAGTTTGTACGAAGCGAAAGTTATGCAGACACAAAGAAACGCAAAAACTCCATTCATCTCGAATTCGGCTCTTTTATTGCCCCAGATCCCTGCCAGAATATCTACGACCGTTTTGTGTCGAAGTTTTGGATGAGTGAAGTGCCTTTTGACAACGCATTTGATTCCGTGTTTACCTTGAAGGACAGAGTCTTTGCAGCAGCTGATTCCAACATCATATTTGAAATCGATCCCAAGACCTTGGACACTTTAGATAAGGTCGATTTTGCCAAAGAGTTTCCAGGTGAAATGAGCATTTCTTGGTAAACAGTTTGTATTAATCAGTTAAATATTTACTACTCTTTCTGTTGGTCAATATAAGGTTTGAAGGTGAATGCACTGCTTCCATAAAATAAAACTCTTTCTCTTACTGACATTTTAGATTTGACCAATCAGAGAGCCGTTAGGTCTCGGTTATTTCTTTGTATATAGATCTATCCCAATCCACCTTTTAATTAACTACTCACCGTAGTTGTTTGTCCCGCAAGGTGACGCCAAGATCAAATTCACCACAGCACATCCCCAACACACTGAGGATGGTTCACTAATCAACATCTCCGTAACACATGCTAAAGACTCCATGTACGATATCATAGAAATCCCAGCCTCCAGGACGGGAAAGGACGAGCATCCTCTGGAGGGGGGTAAATTGATTTGCTCGATCCCACCCACCAACGGAGTTGGGTATATCCACAGTTTTTGCATCACCGAGAACTATATCGTGGTTCCTGAAGCACCACTGGTACTGAATTTGTGGGAGGCTTACGTTCACCGTTTAAAGGAGAGCGGTGTCGTTGATTGGTTCCAGTGGATAGAAAATGAACGTGGCAGATTCCATGTTGTCGACAGGAAGAAAGGTACTCACGTTGGAATATTTACAGCTGATCCGTTTTTTACGTTCCATCAGGTCAATGCTTTCGAAAGGGACGGAAATATTTATGTAGACACTTGCTGTTTCCATGATCACACAATCATCAAGCAGACATACTTGCATAACATGCGATCCACCATAATCCCAGGGGTAAAGAAGCTCGATATCCCTGACATTCGACGCTACGAGCTTCCTCTCAAAGACCTCGGAGATGTAAAATATGGAAAGCCCCTTGAGAGAGGACCTGACGGCCTGGATTATACTATTCTACATGCCGGCGTGGAATTTCCAATTATTAATGACACAGAAAAGAATGGCAAGCCCTACAATTTTTTCTATGGTGTAGGAGCTGATGATCAAAAGTGGTTTAGTCACCTGGTGAAGGTGAATACAGAGACCAAAGAGTATATCACGTGGGGAGAGCCTGGAGGTTTTGCGTCAGAGCCTGTATTTGTCAAAGCGCCTGATGGGAAAGATGAAGATGACGGTGTGGTGCTGTCATGCGTAATAAACATCCCAGAGGAGACCACCTACCTTTTGGTGCTGGATGGAAAAGAATTCAAGGAATTGGGGCGAGGTGTAGTAAAAGGAATTACACCAATGAGCTTCCACACCGGCTTCTTCAAATAGAACATAAACTCGTATGTTATCACCTGGCTAAGCTTTAAATGGATCGTGGTCTACTTTTGTAGAACTTGTAGAGCTCCATTTAGCCCATCCTACTTTACTAAGTTGAGAAGCCGTATGAATGATTTATTTCAGTATAATTGTTCAGGTGATTATCGAGATACGCGCACTTTGATTGATTGCGGATTGCGTCATATCTCGCGATAGTCACCACTCGCGCAAGTTGTTTGATATTAAAGCATAGAGTCGGATCAAACAGCTGAAGTAAAATTTATGTCTTTCCCAATGAATGTTAGGCTATTGCTTTGGCAGTTGTAACTAGTAGCTAGTAGCTATCAGAGTGCGATATCCTGGAATTCTCCGACGCAGGAGACAGTAGCCAAGAAGTCTCAAAATTTGGTTATGTGTGTTTTAATGAAAACTAAAGTTTTACAAGGTCTTCGCACGATCACGATCAAAGGCTATCCAAAATATCGACGTTTCGGATTGACAACTTATTGGGAGTGTACTTCCTGTCATTTTACATATATCTGGGCTAAAAGATTACATAATTGCGTAATGTGCCCTAGTCCCCGCCATGCGATATAGAATTCTAAGATCTTATTTACTTATTTACTGTATCGCAATTTGTTTTTTTATCACAACCTTTAATCAAATCTCCTAATGCCAAATCTGCAATCTTCATTTTGCTCTGTAATGGGCGTGGGATTTGTTACCAACTAAATTTTATTTTTAGCTTGTATTATGTAAACAGGTTTCTCTACAACGGTCATGGTCAACCCACACTTTATTATAGTTACAGCTTTGGAAATGTGCGTACCTTACATTTTAGAATATTTTAATGTTGATACCTTATTTATTGACCAAGTTGCTTTCGAAGTCGTATTAATTGTGTCGGAAAAGATATGACTGCATCTTTAACAAATTCGCTCAAGTTTTTAAGGTCTTTTATTAAGTTAGAATTTCATTAAATGACTAAGATACACACTTGCTGATAATTTGTGCTTTACTAAAGAATTTGTCAATTTATTCGTTCACTCCTTTTGATAATTGGAACAGTATCCAAGGAGGCAACAACAAATCAAACAAAAAAAAAAACACAAAAAAATCCAAGATTGAAATTATGAAGATATGTTGGTGGAAAGCAATTATAGTTTTATGAACGCAGGCTTTCTCTTCTCAAATTTGTTTCAACATGAAATAAGTTGCTTTGTTGGTTTTGTTGACAGTTTGCTAGTTTGTCCATCTTTTGCTTAGTCCTCGTAATTGGGAAATCTGAATGGCTCGTAAAATCGTTCGATTATATTACACACAAAAAAAGCTCAAAGAAAACAAACAGAATAACATCTTACCTTTAAATGATTCTATGTAACATGCAGTCACGTGATGGTAATTACGCTCTCTGCAACAATATATATCACTGGAAAGGATTATTATCATTAGACCTCACTAACATATGTTGTTTTTATTTACTTCTTTATTTACTTCTGATAATATCATTACTAATATTTTTTCAAGAGATTAAAAACTGAGAGAACCTATCCGCGTGACCCACGATGTTTTTTTAAAGTCTATTTTAAATTTCGCGCCACGCTTGGAGTTACTCTCATTTATACCTCCCATGATCACGTGGTTAATGGTCTCGATATCATCCGTCTTTGCAATTTTTCATAAATCGAGGTATGGTTTCAAGGCTAAACAAGCTTACAGAATTAACATATTTCGATCAAACGGTAATATGCTACTTGGGGAGTATCTAGTTACCGAAAGGCTTTGGAAATGTTAACAATATGTCGTTCCCGTGTGGCTCTTATGCTTCTCCATAACACTTGAGCTTTCCTAATGTGTGATATCCTTCTTCTCGTGGCCATTCCCCCAAGTCACCGAGTCTTATTTGTGAGATGGGCAAGACAGACTTGTCTGACAAAAGACCACTATCCTCTCTCCAACCAGCCCCAAAGAATAATAACTATTGCAGTTGCACTTTTTACCACTAGAACAAGAATTTGTTACTCCGCATGCGCACGTTTTATAACGTCCACTTGCTCCGCCCCAGTAGTACATCTGTGTTCCATCACGTGACACCAACCAATTATCACCGTCCGAAACCGATCCTGCGTCATTTTTACATTCGTACTTGATAAACTGTTCACAGTTCTTTGAGACTTGAGTGAGCGCTGCCAGCTGAGCGGTACTGACTCCAGTATAACGTACATCTTTCCTGTAACATCCTTTATTTTCACATCCATTGGTATTACCGACGTGAGTTCTACTCTCACTGTCGTGACTGATGACAGTCACGCCAACTCCACCCTTGTCACTCATGTCACAATACACACTGAAGTGTGTCACGCCTCCTTTGCCATCAGGGTCAATAGTATAATTATCTGACGGGGCACCAGGCTTCTCTGCTTTTATTCTGCTGCAGGACTTGGGCTCGAGCTTAAAAACTTCGACGACTGATGTTGCCTCGATAAACCGCTTAAAATTTTTGGCTACACATGAGTAACTCCCAGCCTCATTTGGAGAAACTTTTGTGAGCAGCAAAGTTCCATTTGGATAAAGAACATGATTTTGAGGAAGTGCTTGACCCGACTTTTTCCAAAATATATTTAGTGCACCTTGTGCTGCACAGTGTAAAACTACTTTGCTGGAAGCTGATACAGTCACTTTTTGTGGAGGAGTTATTTTAAATTTGAGTGTGTCAAGAACTGTCACTTGGGCGACAGCTGAGTCATCTCCGAGTAGATTCGTTGCTACGCATGCATAAGCTCCCCCGTCCGCTTTTTCTATATTAGAAATAGTCAAGGTTCCATTGACCGCTGTCGTCTTTTTCCTTGGTAGTGGGCTAAAGGCTTTCTGCCATGTGACCGTTGGAGTCGGCTGACCGCTGGCTTGGCAGACCAGGGTCACGTTTTGGTTTTCTTCAACAAGTACAGACGAAGGTTTCCGAATAATGTTAGCACCAACTGAAAATAAAAAGAGAACAGAAATTAACTAAAACTTAAGTCTATTGTAGAAAATACAATGTCATTAATGAAGATACGAAGACTTTGGGACATCAGCTCCCATTCCCAGCCTGTCGTGCCCCACCCCGTGTCACGCATGCAAGTGAGGCTTGACTATACTGTAATATCGCTATTCTGCCTTATCGTATGAGTAATTAAGAACTTATCAAACTTAACTAAATAACTATGCTAAAAGACAAAAAGTGAAATGCTAGCAACCTTGAATAGACAACGCAGCTGTAGCATTCATCATTCCCAAGATGTTTTTCGCAACACAAGTGTATATTCCGTCATCCCCTGACGTAACACTCGTGATCACCAGACTTCCACGTGATGCCACAATACGCTTATCCGAGGGAAGAGTTGAGTTCTGCTTTAACCATGTCACCTCTGGCTCTGGATTTCCAGCAGCTAGGCATTGAAACGAGGCTGTTCCACTTGCGTTTACCACCTGAGACTTTGGAAGTACCACGATCGAAGGAGTTGAGATGGATTTGCCAGGGTTTCCCTTGACTCCGGGGGGTCCTATAGGTCCTGGAGGTCCCTGGGTACCCGGGGGGCCTTGGTTTCCCCTAGGGCCCTTAATACCCTGTGGTCCGGGTGGTCCGTGATTTCCTGGAGGGCCTCTGAGGCCCGGTCTTCCTCGTTTTCCCCTAGTGCTTTTGGGGCAATGTACATTACAGGTTATGTCGCTCAAAGCGAGTCGCACTTCCCTTTGGATGACATCGCGATCGATGCTGTCGCTAACATTTCTTTTTTTTTTGAGAGTTTGCACCCGACGCTTGTGACGTACGTGAAACTCTAGATCTGTGAATAAGAGCGGACGGAAATAGTACACACTGTTATTTTTTGTGTTAAATCGCCACTAACATAATTTTAGGACAAATTCAGGTTGGTTCAGATGTAAATCAGCGAAGTGAAACTTGCTGAACTCCCCTCAATGTCTTTTTGGTCTCTGGGGGTAAGATTAGGGTTGGATTGGACGAGACGAAACGAAAATGCCCAAATATTGAATGGAAAGCCACAACCGGTGATGACCTTGTAGATCTAACCAACAACCCTAACCATAGATAATATTCCCTTTGGAATAGGAGGTTTTACTGATTCAGATATAATATTAAATGGCGTTACCATATCAAACCAGCTTAGACTAGATTTTCCCGATATAGTAATTGGCACATTATCTGACCGTTTTTTTTTTCCCTTTCTTCTATGCTTCCCTCTATATCTGTTAGGTTTACGTGTTGCTATTTATTTAGATAGATATCGTGTTTTATATGGTGAGATGTGCACCTCATGCAACGAGGAAGTCAATTTGGGTGAAACGTTATGTTTACTTAATGAAGCTTATTCCTAGCACAAGTGGATATTTCCTTTTGAAATATCACCATCTTTTGTTTATCTCTTAAGGAAGTCGTGAGGCTCACGGCATTAAATTATGCGGAAGCTAAGCGATGTCAGGTTTCAGCAAGAAAGGATGAGTTGAAGGATGAAGCTAATACGGATGCGGGTACATTTTCTGACAGTAGCTGATTTATTAAAGCTTCAATGAAACGTTTTTGTCTCCCATTAAGATCTTAAACGATTCTTTTTGACGGGAATCATCCCACATTTATAATTTTCAATGGCAATTTTTGCTACACATCGATTTTCATTTACCTTTATCTGAGGTATGTTCCAAGGAAGACATATCTTCGTCACTTCCCTTGTTTCGTAGCTCGAGGTTTTCTTCCTTTAGTTGATTTAATTCTTGAAGCATTTTTCGATGAACGTGAAGTTCAACCTCAACATGAATGAATCCTACAAGACAGATTACAGTGAGGAAAACAAGAGTGCTGGATGCTTGTCTTGGCTGTGATTTCTTCATATTAACGTTCAGCAAGGCGGCAGAGAATTGCTGGCTTGAGAAAAAGCCTCTGGTATAAAAGCGCAGCCGGCAAGCTTCTTATGAAGTCTGGACTACTCATATTTCGTGTTGCTGCTACGTGCTCTCTTAATCAATCTTGTTACTCGTTACTTCCGCTCACGCTGTGCATGTGATGTACAGTCATCTCTCTCGAAAGCGAACTCTCTCGGGAATTGGAAAGAGTGTCCGCCTACGAGAATTGTTCCCTTGGCGGACACCAAAGAAAAAAATTATACTGGGAAGGAAGTCCGCTTAAGGGAGATTCAAGGAGAAAAGTAGATCATGACGAATGTGGTCGTAACTTGACATCATAAATGTTATGTCAAAAGAACGGACAGCTTGCTTTCCCGCTTTGCCCTGTCAAAGGTCATATCTTTGTTGATTTGCAAATTAAGGAAATCGCTATGTATGAGGTGTCCGCTTACAATAGAGCGTAGACAAATGAAAAATCCAATTTTGTGTCCGCGTTTGTTTAGGAGAATGCTTACGCTTACGGGAGTGTTTAAAAGCACAGTTTTACTGGCTGGGTGGCAAAACGGAAATGAAAAATAGTGTCTGTAAATAGAGCTTTCTTCTGATGCGAGTGTCCGTCAGCGGAGAGTTCATTGTGTTTATATTTCTTTTAACAGGCCAGGTCACATGAATAAGGAACTTTCATGAAGTTATGGAATGCAGTCACAATAATAACTACTTAGTTACGACACAGCACGACTGTTACGTTACAAGTTTTCAGGATAAGGATTACAAGTGCACGTTCTAGATACTTAAACCAAAAGTCCGCTGTTAAAGAATTTATCCTTGAAATGTAACAAACTTTACCACGCAATCATTGGATTGAAACTAATCAAGTTGTACCGAACTCACGTTTGATATTGGGAATATCGAGATGCGAACGAATCTTGAATCAGTTGTGTAGAGATTTAAGCGGAAGGATCCTATATCTTTATGACTCAAATCACTCAAAGAACAGCTAGATCTCTAGATTTAAGATAATCAAATCAGAAGTCGTCATATACAGGCACTGGATCATCAATCGCGATACGCCTTTTGGAACACAGTAAATTAAAGAATTGCATTGTCATCTCTGAAAAGGACTTCAAAATTTTCTTCTTTACCCAACATCAAACGCTAACACATTGAATGTAAGACGTATATCAAGATATATCCCTGGTAAAGTATCTCCTACTCAATCGTTACCATGATATTCTACGTCAAACAGAGCTGCTAGTTTCTTCATAACTACCTTTTTCCTTGACATCTCCAGAATCTATTGATCAATTTGGAAAACTTTTCGGCGGAAATGAATAAGATAAATTAGACAGCTCCATATCAGTTTTTCGGTGTTATTGAGTTAAGATGTGCGATATATGAACCCTCAAAATTTAAAAGAAAACGTGCATTAAGAGACTCTCGGCACAGCGGTCTCAACAAGCTCTGAGTTCACCAGAGAACACTTAGTGGTTTAAACATTTATGGTTTAGAAGAGATTTTTTTTGAGCCTATGACGCTCTCAAAGCGTATGTTTACATGTCTTGTGTTGTTGCCCGATATTTACTCGAACAGCGAGTAAGCATGTCTGATAGTCTCTTGAACTGGAGGAGCTGCAGAAATTCTCGTTTCATCTCTTTGTCTCTGAAAGCATAGATGAATGGATTTACAGCGCTGTTTGAGTAATGCATCCATTTGACGATTTCCACAAGGCGCTGAAGATCGCGGCCTGCAGGCAAACACTGAGGACAGTAAACAGCAATCATTAAAAGTGAATAAAATGGAAGCCATGCCAGAAAGAAGAATCCAGATACCACTGTTAGGGTCATCGCCACTTTAATTTCTTTCTTTAATTGACTCTTTTCCCGGCAGGATATTCTACAAGTCCCGTCTGAACCAGGTGTATGGCGGCTCAGTGATATGGCGATGCGGAATATCCCAGCGTACATTGAGCTGATAATTACAAGTGGACCAAGAAACCCCATAGTAGTAAAACTCGGCGCGTAAAAGCGTTGAAGCTTGAACAGTTGCTGCAGTGGAATTGACGAAGCAATGAGGGCTGCCGATAGCCATGCCGATGTAATCGTCGCCGTGTAAACTCGAGACGAAAGGCGTTGATAAAAGAATGGCCTTGAGACAGAAATGAAGCGCTCGACGCTAATGGCTGTTAAATGAAATACCGATGTCAGAGCGCTGAAAATGTCCAAGCTAATGAAAAACTCGTAGAAAACCTCGCCTTTGCTGATTCCAAGGCCTGAGATGCAGATCCAAAGCGGTAAGGAGGCGACTCCCACGATGCAGTCGGAACAAGCCAAGCTGACCAGAAATACATTGCCTCTCTTTCGCAATTTTCGGTTGTGAATGAAAGCAGTCATAACGATTGAGTTGCCGATGACGATTGCAAGTGCGAGTAAAACTGAAAAGAAAACAAAGACGAGGGTATCCACTTCGGATCTGGGATGTAACGCGTTAGGTGAAAGTGAACTGTTAAGTGCTTCGGTTCCACTGTTGATCATGGATCTGTTTCGCTCACCCATCATTTTTCGCCTTTTTTCCTTACCTTGTTTCGCCTCGCGCTCAGCAAGTTTAAGAGAATAAAAATCAGTTCAAATCTAAGCGGAGAGTTTTAAATAAAAGTACAAACACATAAATCAAGCGCAGTTGGTGATTGACGTTTTAAAATCTTCTTTTCCGGTGTAAACAGCTGCTTGTAAGCTCTTCCTTTTCTTTTACCCTTTACTTAAATCAGTTTATGGAAACAACATAATTGTCACTTTCCACGGGTGTGAAAATATATTTCTTCGGGAGATTACTGTTGCAGCATTTGCAGATAAGCGGTTTTCTAGGCCTGCATTCCGATTACCGTATCTTAAGGTCGCAATATTTTACGACTGTACGTTCATTTCACTCGTCTCGATCGAAGATATTATCAAGTAACTGTAGAGCTCATTTCCACCTTGTCAAAGAATACTCCATTTCAATAGTTTTACGGAAGTTTGGTTGACATAAGAACGTTCTAGTAATTGAAAGGGAATAGAAAATGAAAACAGTGGCTGTCACTTTTTTTTCTCAGAGAATGGAGAAAGACGATAACTCTTGCAGTTAAGATACAAATCGTCAAAAGCTCTAAAAAGCGACCAACATATAATCGAATGGCCACAAATTTTATCATGTGAAACCTTTGATTTTGCCGATGAGGCTGAGGAAACAGAGGAAAGTCCAAAAGAAAAAAGGGAATGAAAAGTATAGAGATATTTGGAAATATTTTCAGTAGTCTAAATGTAAATTAAAAGCGTATTGTTGAAAGTTGTCTTACAAATAAATGTGGAAAAGTGATACTTAGAGTCGTGGTTTAATGAAACACAAATAAATCAAAACGTATATGTGTCAGAAATTCGATTATTTGTTCTTTTCCAGGCTAAATACAAAGTACGGTCCTCAGCCATCCATTGGTTAACACAAAGAACAATGACGCAAGTGAAGTAACTAAAAGTGTAGACTGAGATCGCAAATGCTTAAAAGGATCGGAAGCTATATCATCGCGGTGAAGCATAAGTTACAAAAATTCGATTTCTACACTTTATTAATACCAATAATGTAGTAAGTAGTACAGTCATAATGATAAAGAACATTTTCTGGAAGCATTTTAAGGCATATATACAATCTCACAACAGCTTTTTTACAAGCAAACGTCCTTATCAATAAAAGGCTGAAAGCATTGAAATGAAGATCAAGAGATATGTAAAATAATACAATTCTCGACCTTTGATTTAGGGAAAAAATAAATACCTAATGTAATTTTCAACCAGTTTCGAGGAATTTATTCAAGCTGAAGTATGAGAGCTACATTTCTCAATTTATTGTTTTCTATGCTTTCGACTTATCCTTGTAGAGTGAATTCTAATGTAAATACGCAGTATGATGAACAGGCCGTTTTGAGTTTCAAAGAACAGCGCTTCCTCATTTACTGCAAGCACAAAACCTTTTCTTGCGAGAATGAGTTTTAATTATGACATAAATATAAGAGACATTTATGGAAATCTTCGCATTTACCTTCTTTCAAAGCATGAGGCTTAGAGCATCTCGAAGATAGCCTTACTTTCATATTTCATTAGGAGGGCCACAATATCGATCAATTCATTTTTCCAAAAAATCGGTCAGTGTTATCTGTCGCAAGTATAAGGAAAAGTAAACATGTTCTTGACAAGGAATTGAACAAAAAACCTCCAGATAACCGCTAATATTTTATTCCTATTATTATCTCTATCATTTTATCATTTTTTTTTTGGCCAGGTAACATTTCATTTTTTGTACAACGTATTTACATTATCAGTAAGCAGTGAGGAAATTTCAGAACGACAACATCACTTTAGCTAGGTATACTGATGGAATAAACCATGTCTAGTATTGCCATAATTTCTCTATCTCTTCCTTCTCTCTTTTTCTACTTTTTCATTTCCATTTTTTTTTGGTACACAGCAGTGGTCAGTTCCTTCGAACCCTGATGTCAATGCGCATTCATCAAAAGTATGAATAACAGAAATAGTTAATCAAAACACAATAGGGGCTGAAAATAGAAATTCGAATGAAATAAAGCGCCGTTTAACCATAAAAAATAAACACGTACACAAAAAAAATTATTTTAAAAATGGATCAATGGCAAAGACCAAGAAATGGAAGACGAGACCTAAAATCGAGTGTAAGAGATTAGTCAAGGGACGCCAGAAATTATGTAATCACGTCATATCACGTAAAAATTCCCATTTACGAGCTTGTTTTCTCAAAAGAAAATTGAGGTTCATTCAGACTTCTTTTAAAAACTTAACATGTCTTCACCCGTTTGATTATTGTTTTAACCGAGCACTGTTCAAGTTCCATGCGTTTTAACCCAGAAGGACGCAATCATTCGTTCCTCACATCAGTCACGTGAATAAAACTGAGAAAAGAAAAGTAGTACCAAATATCTCTTGCTATATGAACTAATTGCTGTTTTTATGTTAGCGTTAAGGCAGGACAGAAAAATGTCCCGGCAATTGAAGAGGGGCGAAAGATTCCTCTAGCTTGTTTGTTGGTTTTTAAGTTCTATTGATTTCGTTTGAATTGAGCATCAGAAATAGGTTGCTTTAATTTCGAATGTACAAATCGAGAATCTCATGTGTATTTGGAAATTCCGGCTCCACTCGACCACTTCTACAAAATCTTTTAAAAGGACCCAAAAGTCTCGCGAAGGTTCGGCGCATTTCGGCATCACGAAAGGCATAGATGGCGGGATTGATTGCACTGTTTGAGTAATGCAGCCACTTTATAATGTCTACCATTTCATACTGAGCGTTGGACGAGGAAGGGAGGCATTGAACACAGTAGACATAGAACATGTTTACCACAAAGAACGGCGACCACGCAACGAAGAAGAATCCGGTCATCACGAGAAGCGTAAATGCGGTCTTGCGCTCTTTACGAACTCGTTGCCTGAGGTTTCCGTGCTGTGATGGTGCGCAATGGATTAACACTCGTGCAACGCGGAAGATTCCTATGTTTACAAATGTAATTACTGACAACGGGCCTAGGAAGCATACGGTAAACAATGCGGTAGCGTATACCTTTAGGATCTTCAACTTAAGCTTTTGTTCGTCATTGTCCCGCAAATAATTACCAGGATGTGAGCAAGCGACGAAAATTCCTAAGATCCAGGACAACACCGATACGAACGCATACGGTTTGATGGAGAGCGTTTGGTGGTAAAACGGTTTAGAGACGGCTATGAAACGCTCAATTGATATTGCCATAAGATGAAGGTTTGACACAAGGGCGCTGAAGATATCAAGAGCAGTGTAAAGTACCACAACGATGACACTTACTTTCCAGTTCATTATCGAGCCAAAGATTCGGATTGGCAGGGAGACACCTCCTACAAGGAGATCAGAGAAGGCAAGGCTCACGATAAGTGCATAGGCGCCAGTGTGAAGTCGACGATTTTTTATATAAGCTGCAATGACAAGAACATTCCCTACCACGATGATGAATATAAGAAGTAAATTAACCACAGTCCCTGCTTTCATTCCAATTCCAAGTTTTGCCAACAAATTTCGATCAGAGTCATTCTGTCCATTTAGAAGAGTAAAGTTCGTCATCCGACTTTTACTCATGACGGCGAAAAACTCTCGAGCCAAGATCACTCATCTATGCCGGAACGGCTCTAACAAACTCGTTTACATTCATGTTGACGTGATTTTTTTTTTATTTGTGATTCCTCATGTATTTAAATATGAAATAATCAATTTGAGGACCATGCAGTATTTGAATAGCATAACCTGATTTATGAATTTCACCGCGGCCGAGCCTTTTAATAAAAAATCCACATTTTGAAAGTTTGTCAAAAGTTCTTTACAACCATCAATCACAATTCCCCATTCACAGCATTCGCAATTAATTTGGCTTCTGTTTTTCTGACAATATAATTTTCTAGTAAGAATGTTTTAACATCGCAAAGTTCAAATAATACAGTGTTTCCATATGCATTCGGTCGGGTTTGAATGATCACAATGCAATCACTTATCTAATGAAATAAGTTTGCGTGCGTTAGTGATAGGTAAAAGGAAATGAACTTTTATCTGTGCTCCTAGATGTCTTTCTCTCTCAGTTTCGCTTAAGACAATGGTTTTCATCACGGTTGAGGCTTCCGACATAGGAAATATGTTTTGAGCTATTACCTAAATTATTTTGAATGTGTAAATATCAAAAAACTTCATAACATCTAGCTGTGTATTAGTGAAATGAAATTTCGAAAACATGGAAATTTGCGGCATGCCTTTCGTTAATTCAAAAGAAATAAAGAGCTCAATGTTCTCCTTTTAAAACTGAACTAGACATCACGGTTCTCTTTTATACATGAATGTGTGCACATCTCTCACTTCCCGCGATCCTAGCTCATCTTAGAAAATGTTTGGATGCTCGACGAATTAAGCCATCGAGACTTTTTTTTAAAATTTATAAGATTACTGAAAATAATCTACTTCGTTTTGTTACATTGAGAAAAATATGCGATGTTCGGCTTTTAGAGTTAAGCTTTATCTTTCCATCGACAGACTGTTTCTTTTATAACTCTGCCCAATAATATGAAATGGCTCATGTGCACAGCATCATTGAATTTGATTCTTAACAAAAAAAGACACTCAGCCTTGTAAAATTTTATGCACTTACGAACAACTGAGACAGGCATGGAGATTTTACGGAAACGACCACATTGAGTCAAATATGCTGCATCCTCCATAAAATGAAATCACATTAAAAAATATTCATGCTGCAATCAAAGGGAATATAATCTTATCCTCTTGTTGGATTTGATTGATCATGTTTTTATTAAGTATGACTGTTATTCATTTTAATTTGACAACCTGCATGGAAATGCACCAAAAGGTTGTTATGTTCTGCTCACAATGAGATCTGTGCCTTGGTTAAGTCAATTAAGAACTGGTCGACATGAAATATACATTCTCTAAATCCAACTCTCTCGTGTATGTGAAAATGATTGGCAAAGACTTACAAATACAATTTATCACTAAAAAAAAACACGATTTTCTAAACTAATGTTGTTCAGAGATTTCATTTCAAAAACAGAAGGTTTAAGAGAAACTTTTGATTCTTCATTTTAGATTCATTTGATTTCCGCCCAGAATAACTGTATTTCTCTATTTGTATTATTTGTCCCTTTGTAGCCTCTGAGATCATTTAGGGGTTTACCTAATTCATGTAATAACAGCTTTGAGTGAATTTTTCTCAGTAACATGGCCTTCCGTGATCCTTCCAAGTTATAAGGGTGCCATAGCCAATCTTTGAACTGCCTTTTTGTCATTCTGTCTTCCTATTGAAATTCACTAATTATTTTCTAGGGAACCTACAGAGACTCAGCCTTTCTTACGTTTATTTCTCAAAACAATCTTCACGTAATAATTTTTTAGTTTATTAAAAACTTTCGGGTCAGATTTATGATTCTTCATGGGGTCCGGAATCATTATTTCTCAATTATGGTGCCAAAATACATTATGTATTTTACACAAAAGGAACTTAGTTTCTACACTGCATCGCCAATATATTGATGAGTTCCACCTTTGAACTTATGTTTCAGTGATGAGCAATATATCTAAGAAGGACACTCACAAACACGTGACACCTGATTCCGAATAAGGTCATTTTAGTCTAAAAGTCGCGAAAAAGCACAGGTTTTTTTAGTGTTAATCACTTTATAATGCCGTATCTAGTTGCCTTATCACTGGATCCCTTCCGTGCTATTGATTTGTGTGCGTTCTAATAGCTTCCAAGGTCATTTTCCGCCAAAATATTCTTCTAATAACTTCTCTGCAGGCATAAAAGCGAGGTTGCTATAGTGCACGATGTCGTTCTTGACGGGTCCATGGGCTCCGTGAGTTCCAGTCCCTTGCGGATAAGAATCTGTTATGGGGAAGACGTCAAGTACGAGAAACCCAGCTCTGCACATCTGCGTAGTAGCATAAGAGTTGTACAGCAAAATTCGCTATAAGGGCAATGCAAATTGATAAGTATCAATCAGTTGGACAAAAATAGAAATCAGTAACAAAATAATGTCGATGATGACAGCAATGAAGATGAAAATAATTAGTAGCAATCAAAACTATGGCAAAAAGGAGACCCAAACTAACAACTCTAATGAATGCAAGCGAATTTCCTAGTTCTCCTTCTTGGAATAGGATTACATTTCCTACGAGGCGTCCATTTGATTTCAGTCATGAAATAAAGATCGAAAAAACACGAGAGAAAAATGGATTGCAAAAGAGAAAATACACATGGCGTAACCATGGTTTCGCAAACAGCTCGCAGTCACTTGCCTGTTGTGTAATAAACCTCTTATGTCCAAGATGAATGTTGCTTGCTTTTTCTTTGTTTATTGCTGTGGTTGTTTTCCATATAACTGTTCCTCGATAACTCCTCCACGTCCCATTCGTTGTCACATCATTTTTCAACACTCTCACTAAGCCAGCAATGAGTTTTTTGTAGCTCGTAAAGTTTGTGCTTTCAACAAAATGAAGTCCAAAGTTTAGTACAATGGCGCTGTTTTCGTCCATTTGAGGATCGTAGACAATGCGGCGAAAGTTTTCCAAAACTTTTTCATTGTTGTAATCTAAATTATCATATTGTCTCTTAGCAGCTGTAACATTATGGACAGGATAAATCCAATTATAACTGAAATTGCATCGTTTGAAAATGTTTCTACATATCCTTCTCTGTACCAGTGACTGGGCAAAGAAAACGTTGACAGAATCACCATAAACCCACAAAGTTCCCCTTTTTCTGCCAATGGGTCGCGTGTCAATAATGTCTAAAAAAAAAGGAGAAAAAAGTTTTTACCAACAACCTTTAACTTTCACCTCACCAAATATTGGTTCACAAAAGGTTATTGGTTACCTAATTTGTTGGTTATTGTTTCCTCTCTCCACTGGTTTGACAAAATCACGAACGGAGCATCTAATGGAAAGCTACAATTAATTCGTACTTATGAGTACCTTTGAAATGTGGCTTCCATGTATTGCGCACCCATCGTCCATATCCGTCCCACAGAAAGTTGCATTTGACTTGACAACCTTTACTCCTTATTCTATCCATGGTTTCCTTTGATATGCTGGACATATTCGCTTACATAGAGAATAAAAAGTTCCTTCTTTGAATAACATTGGAGCATTAGAAAATCGCCTACAGATCTCAAGAGGCTTGGGTAGACTTCTTAGAATTGCAAACCATTTCCTTAACGAAACTTGGTCAGCAAGTTGGAAAGTATTTCCTTGATACATCAGTTTGGTGCAATCAATACGATACCTCACCAAATAATTACCTTCACGAAAAGTAAGCACCCGTCCGTAATTCGGGTAATGCATTCTTGTCAAAGCTCAGTCAATTAAGTCAACACAATACTTAGGAGTCCACTACTTCCTGAATTATGATCTTATATCATTGTTACAACCAGGCTAATGTCAGGAGAGACTGGCAGTAGAATTAAGAGCTAGCACATGCAACCTTGAACTGCTTCATTGAGTTGAAGTTTTCGAGAAAACTGAGGAGCTTACCATTCTTAGCAGGAGGAATTGGTAATTCCACAGGACTCCCACCCCATAACGGCGCTTGAAGATAGTCCTTATTTCCTTCAACCTCTGGGTGCCGCTGATATTTCCCTTGTACATTGCCTTGGAAATGAGAAAAAAAGAAAGATGTGATCGGATCTTCAAGTGGTTGTGAAATATTTAATGTCGGACAAACCCCTACGCAGGTATGCAACACAAGCACATTTTATCGTTTCTAATTTTTTTTTTCCTTAAAGCATTAATCGAGCATGGTTTGTTGTGTCGAATGAGCAATCCAATGGTAATATGCAAAATACATGCATACTGGGAAATGAAACCCATCTTTGACTCACCAATAATAAACCAATCCACTGGAGGGTCCTTAAATCCATTGCATGAAGTAAAATCCAAAATGACGCTTGCCTTGTAGACTCCAGCTTCCATTGCAAGGAACAGAACTTCGTATGTTCCGTTTCCGTGATCAATAACTGTCGGAGAGATAGAGGACGGTCCCCTTATAACAACCCTCCAAGAGTCACCACCCTCGAGTTTAGGATGACCCTCCTTTGTTTGAGACTGGATGCTAAAACGGCTGTATTGCCCGGCGGGTCTGATATCCCACAGTGAGATAAAGCTTGCATCTGGATCGGTGGCATTTTTTTCCATGTCTCTTGACGAGTTCCATGGCATTTTGTTTTTGCATGGTAAAATCATGGCCTGCCAATCCCGTCTCGCTCGTCTTTGTCGACACCAGTGTTTGGTGAAATCAGCAACTTCCTTGCCTGGGGACTCATTTACAATCGACGAGGATATACTATCTATAGCTACTATATCTCGTAACCGAATGGATGTTTTGTGACCAGCCAAGCCCAGCTCGTTCTTCACTAAAGGTTTTGATAACCACAAAAATACGTAGATAACAATAAAGACAGCAAGAGAGATTTTGTAGAAGTCTCTGCTGGATCCTGTTGAGCGAGGAAGGACCTGGATTCGCATGGATTATCTGCACCTTTCACTCTCTCAGTGTCTTAATTTTTGCGCGTTATCATTATATAGAACTTTGTGCTGAACAGAATGGACGAAATTACGTAAGAATGCACAGATTATTACGAATGATATTCCGTCACACCCGTTACCAAACATCATAGTGGAATCTGCAAACATGAAATATTTGCAGCGAATTATACACATGCAGGTATCCAAATGGTGCCAAGTAGTGTCAATTAATTTTTTCCTCTACTTAAACATGTGCGTGAGGTGGTTCACGGTAAATCTAGCTCTGAAGGGAACTGACTATCTAAAGTTGAGTTTTGAGTGATTACTCAGAAAATGGAGGAGTTCAGTCCCTCTGTCTACCTTCTCCAATTGCGTTTTTAAAGGAGGGTCAAGTTGAATCATTACAACGGGAGCGATAATTCTAGTACCATCAGAATCTTCTTTTCGAAGTCTCTCGAAACTTTGCATTCGGCCGTTTAAAATCCAATTTTAAACACAACCACTAGTGGACCTAAAAGCTAACGAACCAAAAAAGGGAGAAGTTGAATAATTCACAAATATATTACCCTACAAGTCTTCATACGAATCGTTTATCAATGAACGCTATTTCAAAGAAACATAAACCTATAACTCGGTGTAAAGATAAAGATTCTCAAGATCACAAAGGAAAAATTATTCTCGTATAGAATTAGTACGAGAAACCAACGTTTTACTACAGATATGTAGATGATTATTGTGATATAATAAATACGTACCTAAATATCCGCCAGCTACTTTCAAATTCCTTTCAACCAGACATTTGCCCCGGTGACTTACAAATAATTTTTCTCTCCTGTGTGATATTATTAGTAGATAACGCTTATGACCTTCGTTTGATTTAATGATGCGGAAAAAAGCCAGGGTATAGGAACTAAACAAAGTCACAAACAAGCTCTTCTTGGTTAGAACTTTTTTGTTTGTGCCTCACGAACACAGGTACCGGGTAGACTCACCGAGGCATGGTAAGAGTGGACCTTTTTGTGTTATAAAACCTTGCTTTTCGTAAGTATCTCTCCGTTTTGTTTTTGGTTATACTTATTTTTTTTACGAAAAGGAACAGTATGACTCCTGTAAATAAAAATTAAACGAGATAGATTGCTGAGGATGGGCTTTAATTTGGGTGAGTGAAAAAAACTGGTCGAAAACTCTCCACATTGCTGCCTCCAACAATTAAATTGCAATGCAATGCTTGGTGCCTTGTACGGGGGGCATAAACATGAGTGACCAAGAGATAATTTCTCCTTACAATAGCGATACAATATCAAGTACACAAGTGATAAGAATAAAAAAAAATATTAATTAGGGGATTATTAGTTGATCCAATACCAAATTCTCCGAAATAAAATCATAAGTATTGTATGGCAGACAGTAGAGATAATTACTGATGAGATCTCGGAAGCGAAAGGGTTAAAACACCTGAAAGAATTATGAGCTATGTGACGAACTTCTGTTTTGTCTCCATTACAGCTAAGTATTGCTCGTCTGTTGTTCGTCCTCAGGGTCCCAGACTACATGAGCAGGGTGGGAATGATGAATGATGCGTTCAAGCGACACATTCCTGTGTATTCATGGATCAACGAGTTTTTCCCTTGCTCAAAATAAATTCTGTTGGATAAGATGCGCGCGCTTTAGCCAGTCAGATATCTTTATTTCAAATTTCAGGTTGAAAGAGAGCGGATAACTTTAGGTAATCGAACCTGTCAGTTCCAATTACTTTTAGCCGAAACGAATTGTTTATTTTTCTAAAATTGACAAGATATCTCCGTTTGACACCTTATAATGGACCCACCTGTAGGACCTGCCTCAAAGAGAAACGGATGACAAACCAGACCTTTCCAATTGTGAAATTTCGAAAATTAAGATACAACCTTTTTGCTTTCAAGCTTTTAAATTGTTTCAAGTCATTCACCTGCGACTTGGTTCTTGATGGAAGGAGAAATGGTACGTGAACTAAATGGTACAGTCTAGAACTATCTTGAATTCACAGACAATCTCTAAAATCAAGCTCTTTACATAGCGGACCTGAACTTCTTCAAAACTACTAGTTAATCAATGACTGATCGTCAAAGAAAGAGTCCATTGTCTCAAGAAAATATCACAATGACAGCGTATTTCATCAAGTTGTCTGAGGAACAAGACGAGAAAGACAAAGGGAAGATTTCTTGCCATCCCGGAAGAAAATTCTTCTTTACTGTCGCCGCAGTCCTTATACTCTTCGCAACATTTCGTCTCTGGCTAATTACCCATCGGGTAACCGCGCCGGGAAACTTAAAAATGTACTAGACATCTACTTCAAATGCTTCCTAGGGAAATTAGTGGGATCCGACATGAACGTCATCTCTCCATATATATAGAGCTTCGAATGAAAGTCTCTGGCATTGCGTTATGATTTAAGACGAATGGAACAAAAAGCCTTCATCTACTTTTGAATTTTTTCTTATCCAGTTTCTATCAATACTTTGAGATTCGTCCCACGCTTTTTTAAAATTAACTGCAGAAGACAACATATGCCTTCTTATCCTTTCTTATCCTCTTTCTTATTAATTTTTCTCCTATTTAATTTTTTTAATTGAAAATATGATTGTCATGTCATGGTGACTTAAGGAAGCAACCGAGTCGCTTACGCTGAGGCTGCTTTTAGCAAATTTAAGGATTCGATAGAAAACCGCGGTAGCATAGTGTCAAAGACAAAACTGGCATCTAGCAATTTAACTTTTTTAAGTGTTGGAAAATAAATGGAAATAATATGTTGTCATAAGCCATTTAGCAAAAATATAGTAAGCTAGTTGATCAGTTCTTACTTCCTTGGCGGTTTTGCTTTACGAGCAGAGCTGAAGAGCTTCGAATCAAGGATATCAGTTATTTTCTGACATGCGACTTACAATTATCTCAATACAAGACCAGAAGTTGTCTTATCCGGTTCAGAGGGGAGATTGAATACAAAAGTACAGCTTCTCTCAAAAAGTGACAACTTTATATTGCTTTCATGGACACAAAGTCACCGCTAATAAGTGACAATACTTATTTTTTAGTTGGTTTTCCAACCATGGGTACACCCTTACAACGAGATGAAGAAAGTCTATTTTTGAACCACCCGAGGGGAAGATCTAAATATCGTCGGTAGTTATTTAAAATTGATCCCAAAGAGATCAAACCCGTAAGCGCTTCAAGAAAGATCATGTAGGCTAGAAACTGTACTTGCTCCAACCAAGGAAGGCTAAATCATCCGGCTAATAAATAAACATAGACGCGACAGCTGTGTAATTCTCACACTAACGACGTTCTCAATTAAAATTAAATTAAATTCGTGCAAAGAAACTGGCTAACGAAGGACATGAAGTGTTCAAGCCGGTCAGGTTTGATGTCACTACTCTAGAAATATTGCTTCTGAGTTCTTTCAGTTCAGGAAATCCACATTTGGCTTCATTACACCAGGCGTGGCTCCGGCCAAGTCGACATCTCATGTCATACATACAAACATATATTATTTTACATGCAATGTAATCGATATTTGTATACTACCCCAAAGCTGTAATGACTGCCAAAAAGGTTTGCGGCAAGAGTTCATGAATTCTGAATCAGTTATGAGGGTGTACACAATTTACGATTATGTTTCTGATTCAGAAATACGAACATCGACAGTCTTCTACAACAAATGAGTTTGACGTAAATCCTCATCAATCGATATATAACACGATCCATTTCTCATTGGATGAAGCGTCAAGATAAACCCGGTTGATTGTCTTAGTGGACGACAGAGACAGCATAAGTATAGTCTTCTCCAACACAAAGTTCCAGATAAACAAGAGTTAACGAAGAGCATTATAATTTCTGTTGGCTGAAAAAAGTTCAATCATCAAGCAAAGGAAGCTTTAAAGATGGAGAACACAACTCATCTGGACAAAAAGGCATCCAACAACACATCATTCCGTTCCATGAATGAAGTTTTCATCTTCATGTCTCTTTATGTCTTGCTCTCTTTGATGACCATCACTGGAAACACTTTTGTTATTGTCGCCTTCAAGAAGATTCGAATTCGAGCTGCCATAAATATGTTCTTTGTCAGCCTGGCTGTGTCAGATTTGATGGTTGGGGCAGTTTCAATTCCACTGTGGATCTACCATCTGTCCTGTCCCTCTTTCAAAAGATGCCGTCTACCAAGTGCCACTGTAGGAGCCTTTTTTCAAGCATTCGACGTGTTTAGCGCGATGGCTTCCACATCAAACCTCATAGCCATAAGTATTGAGCGATACTTTGCTATCTGTTGGCCCGTTAAGCACCGAGTGAGCTCCCACAAGCGATACTACAAAATGCTGTTCACCACTTGGATCTACTCCGTGCTAGTCACAAGCATTTACTCAGTCGATTTCAGCCCAACATGGCAAAAATATCGTGGCTTACTGGTATTTGTGGCAGGCTTCGCTGTCCCTCTCATCGTACTCATTGGCATGTACAGTAGTATCCACTGGGGTGTCAAGAACATGAATGCAAACTGGAAACGAGCAAACGCCGAGACATCGGTCCTTTCTAAAAGGCTTCAACAAGAAAGGCGAACAGTCACGACGATGGTCATCGTGACTGTGTTGTTCTTAGCCTCCTGGCTTCCCTTTTTTGTGGTATCCCTGCTTTGGATTTTTCAACGTTCGAGTCTTCTTGGCGGTGGAGGAGGAAAAGGATTCATGCGGCTTATGGACTTCATAAAGTGGATGCATTACAGCAACAGTGCAGTGAACCCGCTTGTGTACGCCTATCGCAGCGAGGAGATGAGAAGAATTTTGGTAAAATTGCCTGAAAGGGCTCTTGGAATGGAGCTTGAGAGGCGTCGTGTAATTCGACCAGAAAATAGGAACAAGTGGCTTTAAAAAGCTTGGCTGTTTTTCGACCAAAGTTAAGTGAACTTTGTGCCTTGTGTACTTTTTTCCTTAAAAATATAGTCCACAGGTTGGAAATAGATTCATTAATAATCATGCGAACTGGTGCGCACAAACAGCTTGCACGGATATCAGGGGTACATAAGTAAAGAAGACGATGGTGGAAATTTTGGTAACTTATGAAACTTCTCCTCTTTTCAGCGCTTGACTCTCGATCAGTTCTATCTCTTTGCTAGCTAGTAGGGTTTTCTTGTTCTAATTTTTCGCTTTAAAAGCAGCATACACTTTTTATTCCGGCCAGGGTGACAAAATAGATGTTACAACGATTAACCCCAAAAAACCTAAATTCAAATTGTGAGAAGCTATATTGCTGTTGGGTGCGTTTAGAAATCTTAAAATAACGTCGACAATTTTTTTCCCCAATTAGTAAAGTTGCAAAACACCCAACTGGTTACGGCTCGATAGGAATAACTGGAAATAGTACTAGCTTTCTATTTCGTGTAACGGACATAGTTGACGTAAAGAAAAAGCAATAAAGGCAGGGAACAAAGCTTATCCTGGTGTGCTGACGATGATTTAATCAATGGAAAGACAGGTGGTAAATTATCCGGTATCAGAACTTTCTCCCTACTATTGACATCTTGATAATTATAACACAAAGAAAAGATTGGGGATTGTTAAGTTCTGATCTTTGATGGACAGATCAATATGTGACATTTAAAAGGACATTTTTATAATTAAGGCATCATTAACTCCACTATGAGTAACTTCAAATTAAGTCAAGTTTTTTTAATGATCGACTCAGAGAAAAATATTGCCAAGTTTCAGTCTAAAGTGGTTTGTGAGAGTCTCTATTCAGTTCTCTTTTTAAAAGTTTCTTTATAAATGAAGTTGTGTCTGAAAAGCGCGTAATTTATTATTCGGAATCATTCCCCACTTTTATTTCATCTTAAAAGTTCTTTGCGCCCACTCACTTCATCCAGAATCTAGAGGGGTTGGTCTCTATTTCTGGGAAGACTTATGTCCTTCATCGAGTACAAAATTGATTTCTACTCCCTAGAAAAGCTTCCACCGCAAAGCATGTGCAATACCTAGACAGTTTGGACAATTGGAGAATGAAAAGCAACAACTAATTACCAAATAAGGGAATAAACGAGAACTCTATTCTCTTTTCTTGTGCCAAGGAAATGTTTTTCAGTCAAATCTGATCACCAGGGCACACTTTTTTCTGCATTTACCATCATCTGAAAAAGGAAAGCTGCTTAAAAGAGGGGACGATGGTTATATATGGCCAGAATAAAGAGGATTGAACGTTACAGGTTCAGGTAAAACCTTTTCGAAAACTAGCGTTTTCGACGGAATAGTGTTAGGAAAGTTAAGCTATACGCGTTGGAAGTACGGGTCGATTTAGCGCTCCGGAGGGTTGCCAAAAGTTTCAGCAGGGCTTAAAAAAGTAAGGATTGTACATTTGAGAGTTCAAGAGACACAGGGATAACAATAGACACACTTAAGAAATCTTTCCTTTCCTGTTCTCGTATTTAGTTTGATTTTTGTGCTGTTTCTATGATGTACTGATTATAGCTTGCGCCGCATGAACAATTGCGTACTAGCAGGAGTTCATTTGATTGACGTCCGCTCGCTATAAAGGCAAAATCGCCTGAAAACACTTTCGAATCAATCAATTCGTGTTACACCCTCAGAGATGATGCAAAACGATTTGACATTTTCAGTATGAATTTTTCGGAAATGTCTATAAAAAAGTGACACTTGTTTATTTTACCCACAGGTACTGAATCAGGTGACAAATGACCAAAATTTAGTTTGCTTCTACTTTGAAAATCTCCATCTTGTATGAGTTTTCATCTGTTTTATACTAAGTAGCGACTTTTTCCAGAGAAATTATAGAACGTTTTAACATTGTTACGCTACTACAAAGGCCTTGTGTTGATGCAATGCTGTCAAGAGTTTGTTTGACCATATTTCCTATGCGCTCAAACAGCGTCACCTTTTCATTAGAACTTCGCTTTTCTTGTCATTAGAGCTGAGTTCAGCGAACATTTAAAAGAGTGCTTCTATTCACCCATTACAAGGTCAGAATGCTACAGTTGGTGCAAAATGTCACTCGTAAATCGAAAGATGGAAAAAAAATCCTTCAATGAAGTGCACTCGCACACCTATCTTGTTGGTTCAGCCTTTACTGTTAAAAAAAAATATTAAAATTCGTAACAGTTGTAAACATGTCATTCCTAGACAACAATCATCCAAACTGGAGACAATTCACTGATACATTCAGTAGTGACGTTTTTTATTCGCTAACCGTGATTTTGTACTTAAAAGTGTGGGCACTTCTGTGCACTGTGAGGCGAGCAGTTAAGATTTCTTAACTGCATGCTTTTTCTCAAGATTTTATTCAAGCTTATGAATAAATAAAAAGTGCATAATATGCTTTTCGTGTTAAATGGTTTTCAGCAATGTTGAAATAGGAAAGTAAACGCCGCAAGGTTATATGTATTTATGTCCAAAGAAAACATTGAGAATTCTTCTTTTTATTTCAATGAATGAAATTCGAATTATTCTGCCGCTCTTAAGGAAAATATGATTCATTAAGAGATATGCCAGTTATAACTAAAGGGACTAAGACCAAACACAGGTAGCCAAACGCCACTGTCTAGTAGCAAAATTCCCTGTGGATTACATAAATCTTTAAATCAACAAAAAAAAATTTTTTTGGCAAATGATCGTTCATTTTTTCCTGCATGTGCGTCAGTGGGAGTGAAAAGATGGATAGGCCAATCACATTGGCCGTAAAGGTTTTTAATTATAAATGGACTCGCCATGATTTTGAACTCAATTTAAGCCGCAGTTGCGAAGGTTTTCCATGGGTTAGCTATCAGATAACCTGCTAGGACAACAATAGGAATCGGAGTTGTAAGTAATGCCATCTAAGTTCTTCAACCGCCAGATCATAGTTTTGTTGAAGCAGACGTTGCTGAACAACATCAATAACTGTATTGGTGCACCTATATATTTGTTTTTCATCCCAATGGTCTTGTAACAACCAAGGGGTCGTTCGACGATCGACGAAAGGAAGAATCTAGGTAAAGGTAAAATCTAGCCTCGTAGAATTGTTCCACATAGAAATTTAGTAACCCAGAACTGAAGTGTACCACTAAAGATAATTATATACACGAATGCGTGGGTGATGTAACAAATTTGACTTTAAGCGAGAGAACATATAGCAGGAAAATTAGTTTTTCATATAACCTCCGGCTTGATGCGCGATAGAAAATGTAGAATGGCAAGAAAAGTTGCAAACAATTTAAACATTACCTTGTATCTAGGCCAGAACCAACATTTGTAAGTTACGAAACACTCAATGTTTGGGTCACTTTCGCGTTTAAACTCCCCCCCCCCAACTTACATTGCTTCGTGAAATGAGCAAAACAATTGAAATAGGAATGGATCTGGGATTTCTTTTATTTTTATTTTTTACCATTATCTAGGGTCGCGGTCCCCTAAAGACTCTTGAAAATACATAATCATACTTTACAAGAAAATTATCTCGAAAAATCCCATATAAAATACTCAAATATGGTTTTTTCCATGTACGTTTAAGAATAATTCATGAAGACTGTTTTCATGATACAACTGGCTTTCATGTAGTTACAATACCCACTGTGTCGCCACGATTCGTGCGCTTTTTTTGCCCGAGACAAACTCATAAACTAATAAAGGCCTGTACTTCATAGGATTCAGAGGAAATGCTGATAAAAAGCGAAGAAATTTTCAGATGGGCGGTTCTTCAAAGTTAAAAGTTTTAGATCAGTATCTCAGGAAATTAGTTTAGATACCGGCAAGGCCAAATTCAGATTCCTTTATTGATTTGATAAATGAACTATTTCTCTTTCGAAAACTCGAAATTATCGGCTCCCTGAAATTTAGAAACCTATTATGATAAGCGTTTGCTTTTTCATGTGCTCGCCCGTAATTATTATTTCACAATCATGAGCTCCATACAAATTTCCTAACTGGCAGTAGCTACACGATAAAACAAATTCATTTCCTGCTTATTTTCCAATACAAACGGACATGAGGATATGAAAGGAAACTAATACAATAACATCCTCTGACCCTTTTGTGAGTTTTAAAACTTAATTTCTGTCTAGGTCTTTAAATTTAAGAAAAGTATCTACAATCGATTATTTCTTTCTTCGTGTGGTTTTCACTGACACCTCTAAAGGCATGACGTAGCTCTCAACTGTCAATGAATCACAAACATTTGGGGTTTTGGGGAAAATAAGATTTAATGAGCCGATTGGCAAAAGAAAAGAGAAAAAACAATCTTGAGGAAGTCACTGAACCTTTTCATTTTACCTTAGTGTATACAATTTGCTATTCACTATTCATTTTTTGAAATTCTTTTGGAATTGGCTATTTCAATCGAGAAGATCCCTCAAAATTCAATTTTTTTGTGAACAAAATAATTCTTCGCAAAATAGAAACCAGAGATAGCACTTAGGAGGACCGTGGAGGACAAGTGATTTTTTGGCACCTGGAATGTCGATTTAAACAAACTTAGACCACTTATGCGAATCTATAAGTTGCTTGTGACGTCATAATAAGGAACTAGCCATTAACTTCCTCTCGTAAAGTTGCCGCCGATATTCACTTCATAAAAACCGATAAACGCTCAGTTGTCATTGAAATATGCACAAAAAAAAAAAAAAAAATTCCTTGTGACATTCATAAGTTGCAGTTCACTATTTCCCAACCTCACGGCATGGGTAGCTTTTCGCTCCACCAAATGAGAATATCATTTGATGAATCAATTTCACCTTGGAATATATTGGAGAAACGTGAGTAGTTTCTAGTGAGAAGTAAAGAAAAGGATGAGAGAACAAAATGTATGGAAATGCAAAGAACTTTGAGATCCCTAAAGTTTTCAGGTTTGTCATTCGCAATCGGTTTTCTTCATGATGAGCCCTCTTCATTCTTTTTCTTTTTCTGATTCAGTTTTGTAAATCTAGAGTACTATTATTTCATATTTTCCCTTTACGATGGAGGTATCATATCCTTCGTCATAATTGACAAATCATTTGGATGAAACTTTTCTAAGAGGTCAAAAACGTTTGGTGATTACATGTTTATAAAAATACTGCTGATTGTTGACAAAAAGTGAATCCCCTTAAAACTTTGTTTCCTTCCTAATGTATAGCTTGACATTTCTTGACAAATTCGCAACGCTTTATTACAACAGTATTCTGCCATTAAAAAAACCCAAAAAACTGCGCTCTACGGGGCTAAAGGATCACATCATGACATTATAATGAACAAAGATCTAAATTTGTGATTGTAAGTTTACCTCTGTAAGCAATAAATTCTTATCTCTTCGATTATGCCAAAAAAGCCCCTTCATAGAGAAAATCATAAGGGATCTTAAAATTGATTAAAGGTATTAGTGTATTTGTCTAAGATATAAGATAAGAGAAGATAAAAGAAAAAACGTTTCTTTCATTGGTTTACACGAGGATATATTGTCTCTTTCAATGTGATGAGTGCAGCATCTTGAGGTGAATGCTCCATGTCAAATTGTAAGCTTTAAAGTACAGTTTAAATTAATAGAGGCGGATAGAGATATTCGTTAATTAAAAGAGAGGGTAGACACTTTTCCTAGTTTTCCGGTAAAAGCCGACGTCAACGAACCGATGTCTAAGAACTTGAAGACAACGTGGGTTGACCCTCAAGAGAAAGAGTCAAAAGATGCATTTTTTGATTTAATCTCCTGTCGGAGGCCTTAATTGATAATTGCAGTTATAAAGTAAGCAGTTTATGGTTGTGTGATTACACATGATCTTTGAGTCTTCCGACCTTACGCAATTGAAACGCAGTAATAAAGTGGGGTTAATTTCAGTCGGCGTTTAATGGTACTGCTCCATGTGAACCGACAATTATTAAAGAAGAAATTGCCTTTGCTATAAGCAAACCTAATTTAACTTGCGGAAACATCTGAGATATTATATCTCCCTACGCTTTTGCTTAATATGTACCAATTACTTCATGACGTAACTCATTCGCTGATGGATATCCCAGCTGCGGCACAGAAGTTAACGATTGTCAGCTGTTTACGTCAATTTTCGGTTTCATAGTATAAAATTCAAATCATGCTATGCGATAAACTAGCTTACAAGAATGAGTGTGGTTCATGTTCAAACAAGCCGAAGTCCTTCAAATCTAAGGCAATTCTTCCCCATCGCGTGCTATGTTTGTAATATTTCTTTTACCCTATCAACCTTTTTAAAATTGAATTTTATTTACCCAGATTCTACTTTCCATGTCATGGTAAACTGGTAATGGACTAAAGTCCTTAATAACATTATGTTAGGATGACGCAAACAATCAAGTGGTTGTGTCTCGTCTTATGCTTACGCGCATTTTGTTTCCTCGTTTCAGATTTTGGCCATTTCTAAGGGAAGCCAAAACGAAATTTTCCAATGGAGGATTTTGTTTCTGAGAACTCTACCTCTCTCAAAGGAATATCGAATGAAACAAGTGGAACTTCTCAGAAATCTTTTTCCAGACACTCAGAACAAGAGACATTCGCTTTTGTTGTTATATATGTGACTCTAGCGTTGCTTGTGATTCTGGGTAACTCTCTCATCATAGCCGTATTCACTAGAAACAGAAAGCTACGAACAGCAACCAATCTCTTTTTCGTGAGTTTGGCAGTTTCAGATCTTTTTGTTGGAACCTTCTCTATTCCTAGTTGGATATACATTTTGCTGTATGATTTGAACCATTTAGCGCGTAGCACTTTCAACCTGTCTTTCCGCGCAGTGTACATTTTCGTAGACATTTCAAGTGCTCTAGTCTCCATTGCACATCTTACAGCGATAAGCATCGAACGGAACTTCTCCATTTCAAGGCCACTAAAACACCGAGCTATGGCACGTGTGTACTATCACGTTGCTATTGCCGCAACATGGTTGTATGGCCTTGCCATTACGTACATCTTCGTGAGCGATTTCAAGGCCGTACCCTGGCAGAAATACAGAGTTCTACTTATTACCATCGGAGGCTTTGTTCTCCCCCTTTTTGTCATAATCTGCATGTACGCCGACATTTACAAGAGCGTCAAACTGTTTAATATTCGCCGAAGGTCATATTCCACCAATTCGCTTCAAAGAAAAGTTATCCGGGAAAAGGCGACCGCAAAAACTGTGTTAATTGTCACGAGCGTTTTCGTAGTGTCATGGCTCCCATTTTATACACTTTCAATGTTATTTATATTTTGTCCAAAAGTAGTCCCGCAGGGAGTCAGCCTGTTTCACTTGTTAGATTTTGTAAAGTTTCTCCATTACAGTAACAGCGCTATGAATCCTGTTGTATACACTTATCGTATTCGGGAAGTGAGAACCACACTGCTTAAGTTTGTTGCTCCGTGTTTAGCACAAGCTCCTATCCCAAAAGCGCCAGCTATGCCGATAGCACCTCAAAGGCAACTTGTTGCTCATGTCCACGGGACTTCACGACATTCCGTGTCGCGAGCGCGAGTGAGACCAAAACTCAGTGCTGTGAACTCAGTATGATTAAGCTTGACCTCAGAATTTTTATGACGCTTTTTCTCTTTCATATTCGTCCCAAATTGCAATTTAAACAAGGAGTAAATGTTATTGACGCACATAGTGACAGTAACTGGATTTACTGACTTAAGTGTGACTGTTGGTTTATATTTGTATTGTATATCCCATGCTGTCGTGCCGAGCATGATTATCTAATGATCTGGGGCTCTTTCATCAAATACAAAGTTACTTTTCTGATGCACTGAGCTTTGTATTAAAACGAGCTGTGATGTAGGGTGGAGGATCTCTTAGATGAGGAGCCATTCCTTGAAGTGAATTTCTGTTCGTTGATTCGTTATGCCTCACGTGTTTTCAACTCTTTTACTCCCTAGAGTGATCGATTTATAAAGTGATCATTAATTGGAATATTTAAAATATAAGTGCACTGCTATAGAAACAGATAAAAACAGTTAAGACAACAGAAACCAATGTAAATAATCTTGACACAACATCAAATTCGCAGGGGAGGATTAAGTAGCCGAGAAATCTGACTTTTCATCGTATAATCAAGTCGTGCTTACTGTCTTACATTGAATGATCAGTTGATGCTGTATATACTCACTGAGATTTAAGTTTCGAAGATCAATCTTGTAACGAGAGTTTTGTATTGATTATATCACTTAAAATACTTCTATTAATCATAATAATAATAATTATAATATGCATATATATGTATTTCAGAAACTTATTCTATACAGTTGTACTTTTACCTAATATTGGATGTCCTAACTAACGTTAATAAATCACGCTTTTGCCATATTATGTTTAGAATTAAAATGCATTAATTCATACGTTGAGCTACAGATAGGCTTTACGATGGCGATGAAAAACAAGTCCTAGTGGCTGAATGTACATGGTACTTAAATTAATGTCTTCAGGTATATGAGGACATTTTAAATTTATCAACTGAAATAAAAAAAAAAAAGAACCGTCCGTTCGTCTTTTCCATTTGATAATTGGAAAGAAGGATAAGCTGAAGACAAAGACTTCTTCGAAATCCGTCATTACAGCGAACAGCGTTTTCTCCCAGTTTAGTATTATATTTTGTTCTTCGTCAAACGGTGGCACTGCAATTGTTGTGTCCTCAGGCGGTTAGCAGTGCAAACGTCCACGATGTTAGCATGTGTGATCCAAAGACATGCCATTCAACATCAAAATGAACTCTCGTGATATAAGACGGTCTCTTTTTGTTAGTAAGGATTCTGAGTTTCAGAAGATTGCTGGCATGACAAACGGGTTTTTCTTAGAACTAAATGGTTCAAATCAACTACTCTCTCTAAATAATGTAACTTTCTGAGAGACGGGCATCGCAAAAATGCCGCTTTATCTTTTTGTTATGCTGAGTTTTAACCTTGTGAAACTGAATCTACCAGATCATAAAATTGCCAATAGTCACGTACTCAGACTTTCCAAGGCCACGCAGTTGTAAGGCTTCTACATACAGTTGCAGTTACACGGAAGGATCTGGGTACAAGATTATTCTGGAACATTCGGGTGGTCCCCACTTACAAGAAATTAAATAATATAATAATATTACAGTGGGAGCCTGTCATTTATGACCTTCAATGACTTGATCACTGATCTTGTGATGAACCTTTTATTTTTTATTTTTTTTCAAATCAAGCGTGGTCGGTGCTCAGTTCAAAAAGCTTGCACCGAAATTATTTGTATTGTTTTTATAGTTACAGCAGCTGATAGGCAGTCTCCCCAGGTCACCTGCAATATACCACTTCAGTGGGAAACTGGTACCGGTCGCGCGCCAAAAGGCCAGTTGATCCTCGAAAGGAAATTAATCGAGCTACTTTTCCAATGATCAAAATGGACTGGAAAAATGGCGCCTTCAACTGAAATTTATGGAGTAGGTGTTTCAGGAAAAACCACTTACAAAGGTAACTTGGTGCTCGAAAAATATTATCAGGAGAGATTTCTGAAGAATATCTTTATTTCCCTATCAAAGGCACAGCAACATCGAATCAGTTTGTACCACAACGGTGAGATGATAAAGGACATGCTGTGATATTTTTATCGAGTTGTCATCAGTAAATGTATTATAATTTTCTTTTAAGGAGTGCGAAATTCGCGTAATCATCGCACAGTAAAAACTATATTTGCTCTCCGAGCGAACAGACCTGTCTATTTCATGGATACGAGTCATGCTGCTTTCAAGATAATTGAATGGCAAACAAATTCTTGACAAAGGAATATCAAAAGCTGAAATTACCTGTTGCAGAAATTGAAAGTATGTCAGCCAATAGAAATCTGGTCTTTTATGCCGTGTGTGAGACGGAAAGTAAAATGTGTAGTTTTTTCAACTAGATTAAGTACATGCGTAGTGGGCATGAACGCAATAATCGATGTTTCTCCCTGCATGTGTGGGTCGGACCAGCTGTTTATTCTGCGAAGAATACACATTTACCTCGGAGCAATCGACTCACGACTGAGCCTTTTTTCCATTTTGAATGATACTAATGAATGATACTAACAAATTTCAATGATACTTTCAAATTATACAAACCTGGCTACTTAAAGAACCTTGTTATTATTAAAAGACAAGTTCACCAGTTATGGCGTATGACACTCCTGTCAAATAATTTCTTTTATTCGCAGGTTCTCGACATGTTGTCCAAAACTGTGGGGCATGTGAATTAAATCTTTAAAAAACTCATGACGGAGATCTCTGGATGATTTTCTCGGTAACAGCAGCATGTCCTATCCGGGTGGTATCGCGAAGATCTTTAACTGTGCTGGCTTTGTGTCTTTTTGCATACGTGTACTGGCTGCACTGCCGCTATCACGTTCATGTTATCTCATCCAATCAAAAGCAATTAAAAACAGTAAAGAACCACACTCGCAATAACGAAATATACGCCGACTTCATGCAAACATGGTGTCGTCTAAAGCGGCTGCGCACAGACTGGAAGGGAGTCTTACGACCATGCGCAGATAACATGAAGTGGGGAAAGAATATGAATTCCTGGCGTGACCAAAGCAGAACGGACGCTGCTAAAAGCTATCTTACATTGTGGGATATAAGACCTGCCGGGCAGTTCAGTCGATTTGAAATCCAGTCTGTAACGAAAGATAACCTTGACAAGACAATTGGTGGGGACTCTTGGCGGGTTCATGTACGAGGTCCCTCCTCGATGTCTCCAACAGTAATTGATCATAATAATGGGAAGTACGAGGTCATTTTTCTTGTTCTGGAATCTGGGAAGTATGACGTGGAGGTGGTGTTGGAGTATTCGTTGTGCGATGGATATAAAGATCCACCAAGAGATTGGTTTATAAAAGGTAATTCAACCAGTAACACTAAACAGGGTTAAAGGCGAAACTGAATTTCAAAGAAAGTGCTTAGCCATGTAAAATGTGTTCCTTTATAGGAAACGCTCAAGGTAGATACCAATCACCGGATGCCCTTCCTAGTCGTGAAAAGCCATTTCTGTTAAGTCCTTTGTGGGACGGTGCGCCTTTCACTATCCAAATTCCACGTTCCACGGAGCTTCTTTTTAAAAGTAAGTTACTTAGTTCCTTTGATGCTTCTGCACGCTGTAGTCACGTACTCAAGACTTTCCAAGGCCACGCTGTTGTAAGGCTTCTACATACAGTTGCAGTTACACGGTAGGATCTGGCTACAAGATTATTCGCGCTGGCCACATCACCCTCTGGAACAATGGCACCCTCAGCTGGTCGCTTTAGAACAGATGATGATGAGTAATGTTATTGATATGTAACCTTCATTTCCTAAGGAAATATAATTTTTGCATCAATTGTGGGTGGCTGATTATTGTTCTCATGATCAAGTTAGCGAAAATGAAAAAATTGGAAAAATGGTAGGGAGCTTGTTCATTATGTCCTTGTGAACCAAGGGTTTGAAAGTAACATTTCTTTAGTTGTCTTTAATAGTCACCTCAAAAATTATATTCATTTGTTTGCATCTAGAGGTTATTAGCAAGTTTGGCTCTCTGAACACACCATGTGGGATCAAATGCTCTGAAATATGGGACGGCAATGGGAGATGGGTCAATGACACATGGAAACCATATTTGACTGGTAAGTAAAGGAAAAGCTTTTATTTAAAGGTTTATTTCGCTGACAAAGTATTTAATTGTAGACTGCACCGTTTCGATTTCAAGTTTATTTAAGAAAAAAGAATGCTGCAGTTTGTTAATCCAGACACGTAAACTAGTCCGAAATTTAGAAGTTTGAAGTAGAATTATCACATAAATTTAGAAAGATATATCTTCCACAAGTAACTCTTCTCCGATTAATGTATAGTCGACTTTTTTATCACATCGTTGTAATAGGATAATGTTTATAATCATCAATTCTAGAAAAATCTGGCTCATTAGGAAACAGCCCGACACGAAAACTTGGAACACTGTGGATTTACGGAGACTCGATCGGCGATTTTTTCTACAAGTCCATCGTCAAACAGCCTTTGTGTAAAACATTATTTCAACGATGCAATAACACTTACAACTGGGTGTACGAAATTCCCAACAGAAACTTGACCAGAGCTCGATTAGAGATGGATGAAAAAGACTTCAGTATTAGGAGAGTTCTGACAGAGATTTTTCACGTGATCGATCAGCCTTTTATGGACAACGCCAATTCCGTCTTGGTTCTCAATCTAGGTCTGCACTATGTGCACACAATAAACTTCTCATCGTACAAGACTTTGATTGACAAAACAATTAGATTGTTAAATGATAGATTTAAGACGGACGGTAGATCATGGAGGTTTAGAGGAAAACTTATCTGGAAGACGACAACTGCTATTAATAAAGAGAAGTACGGAGACCCAAAAACTAATGCGCGACATTCAACAAGTATCAGATTTTTGACTTATCAGGTGAGTAAGAACACTTCATTTCTGATAAGGTATAATTAAATTAAGGAAAGGTAATTGAAAAAAGGATTAGGAATTTAAAAAAAAAAATTCTGCTTGATTATATGTTGATAACCCATTCAGTAATCATTTGTGTGGACTAATGATGTCTTACTGCCTTCTTTATCAACTCATTCGTAAAAATGCAGAAATGTTTGGGATTCTTGTAGAATAATTGATGTATGTTTGATAAACCAATATATCTGCTAAACGGGAAATATAAAAATTTAATTAAAATACTACCAACCTTCAAAAGTCCAACAAGGTAAAATTTTCAACTTATTTAAGTAGTTAATGAACGGGTTTGAACCTACTTTTAGTAATAAACCAGGGATATTGTTTTTCTAGGGATATCGTATATCTGTGGTCGCATGGAACCGTATCTCTCAGAATATAATTTCAGAAAGACAAATCTTGTCCTAGCAGCACACTACGAACAACTTTTTCTCTTTTTTCTTTTCAGCGTGTTTTATTATTTAACGCCTATGCTATGGACACCATGTGCAGAGCAGGCGTCAATGTACTTGACGTATTTCCCATCAGCGACGCATATCCCGAGGGGACTGGGCTGCCAAGAAAACCCTATGATGCCGTACATTTCAAGCCCCACGTTTTCCAGCCAGTCGTGAACTTCCTTCATAGTTATTTCGGTGGTCACCCTTCACCCTGACTAAGGTTTTAATTCTCGAGGAGTTGACCGCGAACTATTCCGTGTCATATCTTTGTTGAGCAAAGATGACGTTAATCTGGCTAACAACACAGATGAATGAGTTCGAGACGCTGTAATTTGTACAAACCAATTTTTCAGTTTCCATCAGATCAGAGAGGCTTTATATTTTGTGGTATCTCGAGACTCCAGGCCTCTCACGATCCTTACTTCAGCTGCAGTTTCACATTTCAGCCTTGTTCTAAGATCGTTGAAATACAACAAGCCTCTTAAGAGTCCTTTGTGTTACGTCGAGTCGAGAGGCACTTAGCTCACTTTAACTGCCTTCTTCGATCCAAAGGTTGGTCAATGAAATTTGTGAAGCACGAGGTGAAGCTTTTGGAGGCCTTCATTATCGACGGGTGTCTCTCTTGGAGTCAAATTTGGTGATTCGCAGCTCTCAATGGGAGAAACTTAGTAAAGAAAACGAACGCCTGTAACGCTTAAAGTTTAGTTTTGTAATATGAGAATGATGATTTTGTTTGACTTAATTGGAATCAATGTTATATTTTGTCGCAATTTGCAATAAACCTTTAACAGCTATCGGTTTTCCCTCTCTAACTGTTCTCAATTTCCCTATACTCTCGTTTTTATTTTCCCATCTCCAGTTTCCTATCATTACCCTTCCTACATTTCATTCGTCATGGCCTGCTCCCTCATCAAAGTTACTTATTTCACAGTTAACTGAGTCCTTTTCACGTTCCACGTTTCACGTTCTGCGTTTCTCTTCCACACTCCCTGTGCAAGTCTCCTATTCCACTGGTCCTATTCGTCGTTTCATAACCTATGTGGGTTCGCATGTAAGCGCAAAACGGAAATAAACATGGACTGGACCATTGGACTATTGGCTAAGACCCAACGCAAAAATTTTGACAAAAAATAATTAGTCGAAAACCCGCTCAAAATAATTTGTATGATCACTAAAAACTCCATTGATTAGTAGCATTTACTAATACAACCACCTCTCACCCCTCTTTGCGTAATAATAGTTCGTCTTCTACCCCTCCCTCAGTAACAACAGTTTGCCTTCCACCCCTTCCTGAGTACTGATAGACTGCATCCCACCTCTCTCTGAGTACTAATGGTCTACCTCCACCGATAAAATGGTCCCAAAAAAGGTCCAAAATTGGTCCGAAAATGGTCTAAAAAATGGTCCAAAAATTAGCCTCCGTGTAGCCGCTTCCTCTCCTCAAAAGGTGAAACTCAGGCGCCTCCATTTCATCTTTGTGGGGGAGGGTGCGGTTACACGTAGGCTATCCAAAATTAAAAGTAGTCCAAAAAAATAGTTCAATAGTCCAATGGTCCAGTCCATATTTTATCCTACGCCGTGCAAAACAAAATACAGACAAAACAAAAAGATAATAATTCTTATATTGCTGATTTCAATTTGTCCTTTCAAGATAAATAAATGATAAATGTCAACCCGAAAAATTCAAACAAGGCACGCTTTTCAGTTGATCTGTCAGTTGCGGTATACAAAAACGCAAATAATCTGAAATATCTAATGAAGTAAAAGAGAAAATTCTAGCATTTTTTGTGCATGGATAAAATTCTTCGAAACGAAGGCCCTTTTTCCTGAATTTTGTCCCGTAGAAGAGTCCAACCAAGAAGTCTTCGCGATTTCGGCCCGTCGGTTTGTAAGTTATAAGAGTCAGTAAAATTGAGCAAAAAGAAAACGCACATTCAGTGACTCGGCAAAATTCCATACTGAAAGATCGTGCAATTCATGACCCGAGGGAAAATTCACTAGAGTTAATTATGACAATTAACACTTCGATGCTCATTGACTAAAGATAAAACAGATAAAACCACAGGGATTAAGCATTCTATGCACTGATTGTTTACATAAAGCAAGGGATTGGTGGAGGCGGTGTTCATTGAACTGCTAACAGAAGACATACTGTTGACGTGTATACCTCGCAGCTGTCTCGCGTCGGCTTGTCTGATCAGAGAAAAATATGCCACTTGAAACGTTGTCCAAGAGTTATGAAGCCTACGAGAAAGCTTTTCAAGCCTTTTTGGACCACTCTACTGCCAGACAGTCAATTGTGAAGTGTGTACAAGATGGAACGAAGCGAGCGCTCGTGGCGATTTCATCTGTGTGTGACAAGAATAAGCCGTTCAGGATGTTAGGAATTGGTAGCGGAAAGGGTGAAATGGATGTATTGATGATCAACTCCGTAGCTGCGCATTTGAAAGCTAACGAAACTGATGTAAAACCCACTATCCATAGCGTGGTTGTGGAGCCGAGCTCATTTCTTTTAGAGAAGTTTAAAGAATCTGCCTCGTCAATGCCAACTTCGCTGATAGCATTAGCTGAAATATCGTTTGAATGGCGGCAAATGACATTTCAAGAATACCAGCGCCTAATCGCTGATGACAAGAGTAAACCATCCCTAGACTTCATCCACTTTATCCACAGCATTTATTACATGGATGCCGAAGATGCTCTTCGATCGTGCTTCAGAAATTATCTAGGAGAAAAGGGAGCCATCTTATGTCTCGTCCAAACCGAAGCCTCCTTCTTTGCTAAAGTGCAGAAGAAATTTAAAGGAAAGCTCACCTTTGGATCCGAGGATATGACCATCTACACCAAAGAGGACCTCGCGGCGATAGCAGCGAGGAGTACCGGATGGTCCTATGATGAAATAACACAAGAATTTTCTATTGACATAACGAAGTGTTTTGGAGAGCCTTCAGAAGAGAGTGATCTGCTCTTAGACTTTTTGACCCATCAGAAAAACTTTCGAGTCACCGCAGATCAGGGTTTGAAGGACGAAGTTATGGATTTCTTCCGAGAGTCAATGGTGACGGACGAAAGTGGAGGAAAGTTTTTGAAAGCTGAAATGGCTGCTGTAATAATTCATAAGTAACTCCATTGAAAGAGCTTGGACTGAAAGTCACATTAATTCCGCAATCTTATTAGCCTAACAAGACATATAAACCGACACACGACAGTTATATATCTATTTACAGCATTTATTTCAAAACTTTGTTTCTAGTGGTTGTGACCTTTTAGGATATTTTCTTCTTGATATAAGGTAAACGAGGACGATTATGGTGAAACAAAACAAAACTTATCGAGTCACTAAACGTTACCAGCCGTGACTGTTTGTTGTAACGCTACTCACCTGACATCTCATAAATCATACACGGACTTGAGCGAGCAAAGGAAGCCGCTGTCGACTTTTTCCTTAATCTAACTCTACGCAGCAGACAAGCCGCACAATCCATTCAAAGGAAGATCTGGAACTAGAAAAAAACACTTAAATACTTAATTCACTCAGAAATATCGTAGACCGTATTTTATACCATAGGTGTTTCCTCGATTTGTAGTAACTAAATAGAAATTGGTCGAGGATTGCGTCATATCTTGTGCTAAACACCTCGCGTGAGGTGATTAAAGAAGGGGCGCTAAATTTCAAAATAGGTTCATCGCGTTTTGTTAATGTTACCGTGGAAGTTATTGATAAATACGATAGAAGACAATTCACTTCCGAAGAGTGCAAAAGAGGCTATCAGGTTTGGCGTAACAATTTTCAAATATTCTTTAGATATTGAATCAAATATTCATCTTAAATTCTGGTGGAGATTGTCTGCTTATCTCGATACGAGTAATCGAAACAATTGTAAGAGGATGGTTTCAATAACAAAAAACAAATTTACAACAGAAATCGAAAGCACCCGATATAAGTAATCATACTAAAAACAATTATTCTCCTCAGGCCCAGGGAATATTGTGGAATAATCCCCTCGGCCTCGTCTCGCGGATTATGTGGCGATTCACATGTAACGTGATCCCATCGATCCATTTTATTAAAATTAGGTAAAAATATTTATACATTTTTTTTACTGTAGTTCAAACTGTTCGCATCTTGGAACGGATTATATCCGCGGACAAATATCAGTAAACATTTTCCCGCCAAATAGAGGCTATTGTTTACATGTATCTGAATATGTAAATATGTATTCACAGGCAATTTCTTCGAAACCTAGAACAGTGATAAAAGGTAAAATGTGCTTGTCCTCTGTTAAACTTTCCATTCAGATGCCTTTCTTCTCTTTCACCGTGCGTGTGTATTGACTGCCGCTTGGATCTACACTACTCACTCAGTTTTGTTACAAGTGTATATTGCGCCATTATTTGTTTGTTTATGGCGGGTTTTCTTGGTGCCTATTCAGTTTTCAAGATGGCTGCCTCAAAACAAACTCCAAAACTCGCAGAAATAAGATCACTTTTAATTGATTCGAAAATATTAATAGGGGGGGGGATAAGTTTTTATCGCCTCTGGAACCCTCTTTACGTGCTGATTTGAAACTCGCACGAACTCTCTGACGGCTGTACGAAACGATATGCCCTGGGAACGAAAGTGGAAAGGAAGTCTTTCACTTTCGCTTGTCAAAATGGAAGTTAAACCTGGGTCAATTCGGAGAAGTCTCGCTAAGGTAAGTTATAGTGTAATTATGCATGACTGATCATCATTCAGTTCCTTTTTACTCCACAATATCTCTCTCTCTCTCTCACCTCGAAAACTTTCTTTCCTCTCCAATGTCTAAAAACTTCAACAAATCACCGACGGAAACTACATGGGTGCATGCACATCACAGTGTATGTGTGTAGTTTAGAGTTGTGTACATGTAATCGTGCTTCATAACATAATTACAGTTACAGTAACGCGTGAGTAGTCAACCCCATTTCCTGATGAAGACTAGCAGAAAGCAGTCTAAACGCGGCGAACTACATCTTAAGTGACTATATCGTGAGACAAACGATTAAACAGGTTACTATTACTTAGCACCACGATGAGCAATAACATCTTTTATGATATAAATTTATGACTTGCTCTCTTAGTATGAATTTTCCAAGCTCTGTAAAGCTGACGTGTTAGAAGTACTCAAACATTATCCTACCCTACTGCCATCTCAAGATAAGTTTGGTAAGTGATCTCAGTTCTGCAATAATAACTATGCAGTAAAAGAAAATTCTAATCCTGTCTTTTCAAAACTGCAGTCAACAAATTTAATCTTTATCAAATCACTTCTGAAGAAATTGAAATTTTATGAGAGAAAACCTGTGTGCTTTGCAAATTCGTAATGCAATATTTATAACCCATTTTTTTTATTAGAAATATTTAATTGAAAATGGGTCTCAATGTACTGTATAACTTAATTGAGAACATTGAAAGCCACAATTTGGTCGAATATGTCATATTTTCAAATGTAGTATTTCTATAATACTGTACATCTTGGGACAATTCGGCCAATGTTACCTCAATTTCATTTGATCTCAATTACCTGCCTAATTAGTATGATGTAGCACATTCAAGTTTGCATGTTCTCACATAACAATATTGGTTACAAAGTTATGTTTGATTTAATTGTCACATGCTATGACCAAGTTGGGAACTCTACGACTTAAGTTGCACATTAATTTTTGGGTTCTAATGGAAGTCAGGTACTGGTGATATCTTACGTAACCATACCAGATCAGTAGCAGATCCAGACCTTGAGTTAAGGGGGGGGGGGACCTGGTTTTTTGTTGCTTTTCTTCCTTCTGCAACTCTCTTTTTTTACCCAAAATAAGGGGGAGCCCAGGCCCGCCTTGGGCCCTTCCCCTAGATCTGCCATTGTAGATAGACCTCTTACAGCCTGCTGTGAAGAGTATAGCAGAATGTGATGAAGTCTTATGTGTGCAAAGCTATCCTGCCTTGTTAAATGTATAGTAAGAAAAAAAAATATGCTCTTGCATATGCCATACTCCGCTGATAGGCTTACAGCTGTTTGCCATTCTAGATATTTACTGAATTAAATATTTATTCGGATTCGTAGAGCTAGCTCATATTTGATGGAAACAGCAACCTAGTTTTATCATTGCAGGTAATATATATCTAATGGAAAAGCTTTTGAAATTTGCACATGCATACTTTATTAATTCCTTACCTTATTTAACCTGCAGTGTACAATGATGGAAGAGAAGTTCAATTATTTAATCTAGAGGGAACAATTCCAGTTCTAATCAGAGGTGAGATTGGATTTATGTCAACCAGTTTATACACAGTGTGATTTGGTTTTATCAAGTAAGCTGATAATGTAAGTTGGCCATAATGGCCATTGGCCTATTTATGTCAGCTGACTTGCTCTGTCTGAAAAATTATGATATTACCTTAGAGGCAGTCTTCAGACTTCTTGATATAAATTCATTGTTTTTGTCAGGTGTGACATACAACATTCCAGTGCAACTTTGGCTGCAGGAAAGACATCCTTATGTTCCACCATTAGTATTTGTCACACCAACAAGTACAATGGCAATCAAGCCATCTCCACATGTGGATACCAATGGCAAAGTTTACCTTCCCTATCTACATGAATGGAAACACTCTTCTCAAGTATGTTTGCTTACCAATATACATTTTTGTGTGTAAAATGATGGTCTTTTTTCTCACAAATATTTATCCAATATTATTTTTTGCATCATTGAACTTCCTTTGTGTGGAAGATGATTTGAATGTTGGGTTACTCTATAATTTAAAATATATATTTCTATATTTATGTGTAAATTCTATAAAGCTGAAATTCCGCTTAATAGTGAGCACATTAAAAAATGAAAAGGAGAAAGAGAGGAAACAGGGTTTGTTTGGGCCCTGGAAAACCTGCTAAGTTGTGGAACTTTATTTTGACATTTTCAAGGATTGTTAAGTCCTGAAAAAGACTACAGGCCCTGGAAAGTCCTGGGAATCTGCTTAACTCAAGCAATAAAGTTTACAGAATTTTTGCTGTAAGAAATGAATGAAAACCATGGGGAAAATTGATTTTGAAATCTTAAGAATGAAAGGGTTTAGGGTGAAATTTGGAGTACTGAAAAAAAAAATCTGAGTCACAGAAATTTCCTGAAAAAGGTTTTAAAATTTGTTTCTGAAAAAGGGTATGAAACCGGAAGAAAAACAAACATCAGGAAAAACATATTTTGAGTTACAACTTAGATATTAGTCATCCACAGGCAAATAAAAGAAGAAAATTGAAAGACAAGGTGCAGGTCTTTTATAGGGAACCAAACATTAAAGTGAAATTTCAAAATCCCTCTATTTCTATGGAAACTCATCATAGTATAGACAGGAAATCATATGAAGCCATAGGCATGATATTTATCAAAAGTGTCAGGACTGTTAACTACAAATGAGATTTTTAATACTCCTTAAACCTGAGCAGTAAATTTTGCTTTAATCTTGTTAGATTTTAGTCACTTGTTAAAAAGCAGCAGATTTCTACAACTTAAGACTATTATTTTCCTTTCCCAACTTGGAAAAAAGTGGTGGTAGAGTGTTCATCCACAATGTCTCATGATAGAGGTAAAATATCTATGGGCTGGTTTACAATTAAAAGATACTCCGAGGTTTAATGCACTGGCTGATGATTTAATATGTTTTGTTCAATATTAAACTTGTAAGTGTCATATTCCCTTTTACAGGGCAAATCTGATCTTTCAACTCTGCTTGAAACTCTTAGTGGAGTGTTTTCTTTACAGCCACCAGTTTTTTCACTCATGCCAGATACAAGTACGTATGCAATAATGGCTAGCTCAAAGTGATTTTGTACTTATGTAGAGAGTAATTTTACATATCTTTTGATATTCTTTGTCGTCATGCTTTAAGTTATGTTTTTGATGAATGCAATTCTATTAATTGCGTCTGATTTATTCCATATACGTGGCTTAACATTTATCTGTTCCTCTGGAACATGAGCCTACCAGACCACAGGATCTGTTGTGTCCTCCTAATTATCTCATGTTTTTCTGCGGTTATGAACTTTAGAGCTCTCAAAGCAACAGCTCTTTGTCTACCAAAAAGAAAACAACAGTGACAAAACAAAATATAACAAAATCAAAAAAAACTAACTTGGCTCGTGGCCTTTTAGAACGCGCGCATTTCGGCTCCTGGTTAACAATACTTCACATTTTTACCTCCTGCCCAGTGACCCAGTCGCAACAAATTGGAAATTCACGGTCTAACTTGCTGGAGGTGAATTCCTCTATACCAAGAAGAGCACCTACAACAGAAGAAAATATTGTTTTACAAAGGCGGCTTATGACGGCAGAACAACAACTGAGAGTGAAAAGTGAAGAACTAGGCCAGCAGCGGACACATTTCCAAGCACAGCTTCTAGAAAAAGAAGTGGAAATGTCAAGCGTGCAGAGACAGTTGAGGGAGATATCACAGCAGCTTGCAGACGTCCAAGGGCAGTTACAACAAAGAGATCAAGAAGCTAATAATTTGCAGAATCAAGTTACTGCCTTGGAGAGACAGCTGAGGATTAAAGATCAAGAAGTAAATGAACTGGAGATATCTCTTTCAACAACGCAGCAAGTTTTAAATGAAAATCCACGCCAACAGGCACATGAATGGATCATATCACGCGATCAAATTCAACTTACAGATAAGTGCCTTGGGAGGGGAGCCTGGGGAAGTGTTGTCGAAGGAAAGTATCGTGGATGTGTCGTAGCCGTCAAACAAATCCACGAGATGATTCTGTCCCCTCATAATCGGAGATTATTCGAGCGAGAAATGAACATTGCCTCACGATGCCGCCATCCGTGTTTGCTGCAGTTCATTGGAGCAACAAACGACGAAGGAAGTCCTCTCTTTGTCTCAGAGCTCATGGAATCGAGTTTACGAGCATTGTTAGAGCAACAATCTCTTTCCAGTACTGAAGTGTCTGTTATTTCTCTGGATGTAGCTCTAGCATTAAACTACCTTCATTTAAAAGAACCATCTCCCATAATTCACCGTGATATCAGCAGTGCCAATGTGTTGCTATGGCGACAAGCTAACCGATGGCGAGGCAAACTGTCAGATTATGGAACTGCTAACTTTATGCAGCAGACTATGACAGTAGGTCCTGGTGCTATTATTTACAGTGCACCTGAAGCCCACACTAAAAGTCAAACTGTGAAGGTATGTCTGGTATATATCAGTTTTAAAGTCGTCCACGAGCCATTTTATTAGGACTCATGATGAGATTTTGATAAAATGAACATAAACTTTCCTGAGAGGTATCCACTGGTTAAAATTATGGAAAATACTTCGGCATACTAACGAAACTTAGGATTAGCAGTTTCCAAGGCGCTCCGCCAAAGCGATATATTTTTTTACTCTTCTTGTCTATTTATTTTGTTTCAAGGTCGATGTGTATAGTTTCGGAGTTCTCCTTTGTGAGATTTGCATCCGGGAATTGCCAGATCCTGACAGGCGTGACCAGCAGGTCGCCATGGTGACAGACCGCACTCATCGAGGTCTCATCCGTCGATGTATTCATCAAGATCCTGAGGTGCGACCCAGTATGGAGGACATCATTGAAGAACTAGAACAGCTAGTCTAAGAAAGGTTTTTACATGATCTAATGTATGACCACTTATCATTCTTTTGAATTTTGGCCATTTCACGGAACGTGACAGAACTCTCACATTGCCAAAACTGCTTCTCATTATATTGCCACGTTTTATACAGATCGATAAAATTTAATATCCTTGGACAGAAAGAATCTTTTACTTTTTATAATTGCTTTTATTTTTGGTCAAATTTACTGTAACAGTTGTTCAATTTTATAAGCCAACGCTTGATAAAGTAAGAAAGAAGCTTCAGCGAGTCAAGGCTTACTGCCCGAGACTCTTTTTTTCAGCAATGCTGTAATTGTATTTAAATAGGTTTATTAATTGGAATAAGTAGACTTGATATTGAAGTGATATTGGGACCGAAGAACCCCTGTTTAGAGTTACCGCAAAGGTTTTTAAGCACAGTTAAACCTGTGTTAAGCGGTCACCCACGGGGGTGGTTTGGTGACCGCTAAATACAAGTTGACCGCCTCATACAGGTTCCATAGAATAGGGTATTTTGCAAAAGAAAAGGAAAAACAAAACGTCATTTTATGCCTTAATTGACACAGAAGTTCGTTCAATAATTTTACTAACATTGATACAATGGGATAAATATGGATTAAATTTTACGTGAAAGATTATTCCTAGTGTTATTTAGTGTTTCCTTCTTAAGTTACCGTTCAGGACAGGTAGAAGAAAAAGCAAACAGGCCGTTGGTACCAAGGAAAAGGTAACCACTTAATAAAGGTGAAAAACACAGCAGTTATGGGGAACAAATTTCAGGACATTGAGTACCGACCGCTAAATACAGGGAACCGCTTAATATGGTGCCGCTTAATACAACTTCAACTCTATTTGATAACATCCTGCATAGGACACTGTTATGCTATCTAAATATGTTGATAATGTAGTTTAGGTTGTTATAATATTAGAATAAAATTGTGACTGGATGGACCCGGTTGGGAGTCGCAATGAAGTATGTATGTATGTAAAAGCATCCTGCAAGTATAAGACAATGTTGTTTATTATCTACTCTAGCTTTTATTTCTTTGCGGATAATTTTTTTTATGGCAGCAGTTTTTTTTCTTCTTTCTTTTGGGTTTTTTTCCATTTTTTTCTCCATATTTTTAGACTTTCAGTTTAGAAAATTTACGTTTTTTGAAAATTTACGAAAGCTCACTGGCTAGTGCTAGACTTGCGTTCTCACGTCAGGATTGTAGCCAGCAATCGTAACCACTACCGAATGCCTAGAGAACCAAGGTAGAACTAGTTATTTAAGTGAACGATTGTTTAATAAAGTGCTTTGCAACTCAAATATTTATGGACGCAAATTATATAATTTCAACTTTGTAATATCCTCTCAAATCCCGTCACTCGGTGTATGAAACTTGTTTTATGAAATATTTTTTTCATGGAGAGGTGGATTTGAGAAATATGTTTTAAGAAATATCATTCTTGCTGTTTGGAGATATGTTTAACCATCGTTAAACCATACGCATTCGTAAAGGGGAAAAAAGTAGTTTATCATGCGTTACGATCGTCTGGATGAGAGTACATCTAAAAGAGACTTTTGTCAATTGTTGTCAGATAGAGAATTTCTGAGCTAGAAAAGATCAGTTCGTTTGTCTCGCAAATCACATTCATCAAAGGTGATTAGCAAAGTGAACTGTCTTCCGTCCGGTTTGCCTATTACAAAATGGTTGGAGTTTGAAACTTTAAATGCGTGAATGTCTGTGTATTAGTCCGAGCACTATCTCGCATCCCTTGAGCCGTGTTTCTTCTACACCTTTCGGATGGTGCGCCTCTTTGCCACAGCCATGATATGTGTTATGAATCCATTGATAGTCATGGCCTTATCGTTTCCTGGTTTGTACACAGATACTTTACGTATCCGAGGTTTATAGGGCGGGGGTGGGGCGCACTTAACATTAAAGGGCCAATCACACTCGCCCGTGTTGTAGTTATAGTGCAAACCTCTCGGACAGGTCTCCCTCTTCGTCTCGTCCAATGAACACGAGTAGAAACTTGAGCAGTCGTATGGGTCCGCGTAATTTCCGCTAGGTCTCTCTAGGCAGAACTCCTTGTCCACTTTTAAAATACAGAATAGAAAGAAACAGCTGCGTGTTAACGATGATTGCTTGGTTATGAGGTGACTATTTCATTTGAAGATAAAGTTTCAAGAATACGTCCTCTGAATTTTAACACGTCATTGTATGACTGAGTGACACTCTCTAAGGCACCATCTATTTTTTCAGTTAAGGCTGATGTAGTTGCGATTTTCATAATCTCGACTTTATAGTGGTTTTATTGTCAACGGTAATATAACAGTGCATTCAAAACGAATGCAGATATAAAGCGCTCACTCTACCTATTACTTCGTTGGTATTTGCGTCGGATTTTACGGCTGGTCTAACTGGTTTTACTGGTGTCAGTGGCGTGTTTCCATTTCTGTCTGAAAAAGGATAGAAAGCAAAGAAAGAGTTTGAGAAGTGTCCATTTATATTTTTGGTCTTGTATCATATCAAGGATTCTGCGGGCTTATATTTATGAAACTGTCACGGACAGTTTGGAAGCTCTTGGCTACTCGGTTTCCCACCGACGATAAGTCTCGTGTCCTTAGCCCCAGTCCCACAGCAACATAGCTGCAGAAAAGGATGGTTTTCATTCTCACTTTAAGATTTAAAGATTTGGAAGAATTGTTCATTTTTGTGTTTCTAGATTTAATTAGTATGATGGAAGAATAAAAAAAATCGTGTTTCTTCGACTAAACTTTTGATATGCCTACCCGTCGCAAGATTGCTCATGCCCAGGCTTTCACCCGTGTCCATTCCTTGGCGGTGAGTTGGTTTGACTTCCGGTTCAGTAGATTCTGATTGCCCAACTTCAGTGCCTTCTGTCGTCCGGCATGGAAAGCTCTGTGGTGTGTCACATGACTTCAGTAAAGCATTGAACACCATTCCTTTCAAACAGTGTCTCTTTGTAGCTTTGCCATTCAGACATTGGTAAAATGATGTACAGTTGTTGGGGTCTTCGTAGAAGCCATCAAGTTTAGTAACACAGAAGGTTTCGTCCACTGGAAATTGAGGGCAGTCAAAAGTTTTCAATTTCAAAAAAGACAATCGTATGCTTATTCTCATCAAGAATGTTATATCATAGTTTCTTTCGATCAATAAGAGGATGAAGCTTCTATGCTTTTTTGGAATTCATGCACTTTTCTGGCAACCACCATGGCTAAAAAATTCTAGGAACATCTTGCTCGCGGAGCGTGTGTTAATATCAAATAGTAAACCCGAACAACGTGTCTAAAGTAGATACATACCTCTTTTTAATAGATCCGGGGTCGGTTGATGTATGTTCAGTTCCATCTTGGGGGATATCGCTGAACTCGTAAATTTGTCAGCATTTAGAGGGCTGATGAGTGATCTTTGGCGACATGGAAAATTTGTCGGATTGTCACATGACTTTAGCATATCGTTAAATACTTGGCCCCTATTACAACGTCGTCTGTAGGTACTGCCTTTAAAGCACTGATAAAATGCTACACAATCCCTGGTATCTTGGTAGTAACCATCTAGTTTGTCTCTGCAAAATGCCTCATCACCTGTTAAACCCAAGAATGCAAAATGAACGTGAAGAGGAAAAAACTGCTTAAAACTCGATGGCTCTTGGTAAGACTTGATCGCAAGGGATAGCAACTTCTCTTAACTATTGACTATTTTGATAAAATATAGTGATAACTTTATTTCGATTGACTGTAAATAATTTACAAGAAAATAATCTATGTGAACTGCGGATCATAGTAATGAACACTACTTAAGCAGTAGTGAAAATAAGGCCTGAAAAAAATTCAGGCCTGTACGGGATTTGAACCCATGCATGTATGACCTCTGCGATACCGGTGCAGCGGTGAGGTGGTCAGTATGTTGGTTTCTAATAAGCCGTGGAGGGATAAATGAATGACTGTAAATACATAAAAATGGCATATGTGAATTGCGGATAAAGAAATGAATATGAAAGTGATCTTCGCAGTAATGAACACTACTTAAGCAATAGTAAAAATAAGGCCTGAAAAATATTCAGGCCTGTACTACATTTAAACTCATGACCTAGACTGTCAGCTTAATCGATCTTGTGAGTTGTCTACCTGTCTCGTCGTCACTTTTTCCTGAGTTAGGACCTTGACCATAACATGTGATCGTACGTGGGTCACTTCCTGTTAAAAAAGGAGACAAAACATCTAGTGTGACATGACATGACATGCATCCCATAACCGGATATTAAATCAGATGATAGAAAATGAACTGAGGTTGCATGGGCAAAAAGAAGAAAAATGCCAACAAAGATGATTGAAAATAAGTCGCCTTAAACCCTCTGACTTTGTTCGTAGCTGAGGACAAACTTAATGGACACAATATTCCCTTTTCCTCTGAGACAAAATGACATTTTTCATTCAACTTCATCTTCAGGAGTTAATAATAATTCATATTCTCAACTAAATTCTACCGATGTTTTAATCAAATCATAAAAGGTATATTCCTAGTTATAGCTCTTATTGGCTGATTCGTAACTTGTGACCCACCTTTTATGAACCCTGAGAACTGCACAGAAGAAGTAAGATCTACGTTATTCTTCAGCTCTGTGATGGTCGACTCCACTTGCTCTCCGCTAACACTTGTCAAGCGTACTCGCAAGGGAAAATTTATTTTATTAGGTGATCCCACCAGGAAGAAATTATCATCTGTTCTCGGAAGACAAATCCATCTCCCACTCTGAAAAATCTCTAGTCCAACCGTCACTACCCTGGCAGAAAGTAAAAAAGCCTACTGAAGAGAATAGATTTGGTAGGAATATGTATTAGGTATTTACAAGTTTCAACTTGGACCTCAAACGCTCATAAGAATGGTGAACATCACATGGAGAGATCTCTACAAAGTGATTTTGTAAGATATAAGGACAGTCACCAGCAAAAATATGGCTCCACTCATTGCGATCAGTACAACTAATCACGAGACATCTATAAAAGCCGTTACAGATTTGACTTCAGTAACAGTAATTATACGATGGATCGCCAAACTCATTAAAAGTTCCTAATCACAACAAGAACGAAATAATTTAATGAACTCCAGAATGACCAGTCGCAGATTGTAAGCCCTACCAGTGAAAAACATATATGCGCGGTGATCGTCTTTTAATTTTAATTTGGCACGTATATCACAGAGAAAACTTGCCTGGAATTTCGAGTTTGCAGTTTCATGGCCCATGGGTTGCTCTCCACGAATCTGAACTTGATGTTTCCATTTATGCCGGAAACTGTTGGACAATCGATCGCTTTGAACTGAGTCTTCCACTGGTCAGAACCAGGGGTATACAAGTCGAACCCTAAGATAAATTGACGCGGTAGAGTGTAAATTTCGGCTTAGGAATAAGTAGATGTCATTTATTGAATTATTGTTTTCGGGATAAAGTAACTCATTCATGCGAAATTTTAGTCGTTTAAAAGTATTTGAAGCAAGATTTCTCTCTCCTTTTATTTCCCTTTACAGAATACTTCTTTTAACCATAGTTTCTGATCCCTATAAAAATCTCATGACTACGTGGAAATGCCTCAGGAACAACGCAAAGAAACGTGTATCAGGAACCAGAAATAAGGAAGAAGAGAAATTGTTAATGTATGCCACAGCAAATGGCTCTCAAAACTGAAAACGGGTCTGTAGCATTGTCGGTTATTTAAGTACGTGATTGTTCAATAAATTTTTTGAGTGAGATATCGCTATTCTTTCCTGTCGTCTTAATGCAGAAAAGTAATTGACACGCGATTACTTTTACCTTGTTTACAGTTTCCACAACGATCGATCACAAATGCATATATTGGGCCTAAGATTGGTGTCTTTGGTATTCTTCCTTTTTCAGTAAGATCGGCAAGAATTCCTTGACCTGTAATTTCGACGCACATTCCACAGCCAAGTGATTTTTGAAACTCTCCATCACTTGCTGCGACCTTGATCCAACCCTTATGGCTGTAGTCTGATGTTAGGGGGTCTAACGAACACGCTCCACCTCCTTTGTAATAACCATTGTAGGAGCTCTGTTTTGTGATAGATAGAAACAGTTACATCAACAGACGTAAACTACAAAAGACAAAACACACTTTACAGGCATTCATGTGGTATGGATATTTCTTTCTTTTTATTTATTTTTATCCTATTTTAGCACTGTTTTGTGGCCGGATCCTTCGTGCATCAAACTGACCGCCATGCAAGATAAAAGACGCTGAATATCAAACAACACAGGAAATTTACACCAGCCTCCAAACGAAGCAATCTTGTCCAAGCGGAAAACAGGTTATCACAGTTTGAGACAGAAAAAAATGGAATTCATTTAACTTTTAAGACAATTTTTATTTTTCATTTAACACCGAAAAAAATGCCACTTACATTTCCGTCCATTAGTTGACCACTGTAATGACGCCATATTGCCATTAGATTTTGAAAGTCTGTCACAGCCTTTGCGTAAAATAACATAATTCACTTTTTTAAATATAATTCTTCTTGGTTACTGACCCAAAAAATACTATTATAGTCAATTATCTTTGGAGTCAAAATAAATTTTGTGATGATAGACTGTGATAGGCATAGACAGCTCTACCTAAGAAATAAACGACAGACAGAAAGAAGACACTAAAGAGTCTTACGGAGCAAGCAAACTGGATGATAAAACTATGAATTCGATACCACTTCATGGAAACGAGTGTTTCCTAAGAGATTCAAGGTATCTTTTCATGGAAATAAATAATTGTGGTGTCGTACATTTGTAAAAACAAAATCACAAACCTCAGAAAAATCTATACACAGCCAAAGAATCAGTATCACTAAGCTTTTCCGCCTGGTTAGCAAATTCATTGCTCTTAAAATCTCACTCAGAATTCTGCAGTAAGACATAAGAGCAAGTAAGTGGATTGCGTACTTCTTAATGAAATACTTCGACCAACTCCGAAGAAAAACCATTCCGGCAGTTGTGTTACTTCTGAATTCGTGGCGAGACTTGATTCATGTTATCAATTAAAATTGGTAATTGGTGCCGTAAGAGCGTACACTTCAAAACGACATCACCTGCTAGCCAGTCAAATAAGTCATGTGTTAAACTTGAACAAATATTACCGCAGTAAAATGGACTGATACCGTTTTTTCCCTATACTTTTATGTACCTTATACTTTTATATGACCATATTCCGCGCCTTAACAAAGAATGAAAAGTTATTGAATTCGAAATGCCTCTTAAAATTCTTATGTACATGGATAAGATTCGCCAACAAACAAGTGGAAAGCTTGAAATGAATTAGTACTGATATTTTAAGCTGGTGGTTAAAAAAAAGGTCTTGGATGAGTATTTCTCGCCCGCAATATTTATCTTAGTCCTTAAACTATCCGAAATTGAATTGCTTTGCACTCTGATATGGTAATATAAGTTCCAATTTACACGTTTGTAAATATTACTTACCGTTTTCATTGTTGTCACCAACGAAAAGGAACAAAGAACAAACAATAACACACAAAAGACATTACGAAACATTATTCTTGACCTTATTGGCAGGTCAGTTTAACGGGTAATTTCAGAGGTCAGTGGTATTTGTAGAGGCTTTTTCACATCCATATATGGTCATATCACTTTCCATCTCAGTGGACACCATAGTTCATGATCAACTACGAACAATGTCGAATATCTTCAAAGTGCGCGGTTATTTCGAATACCAAGTATTTTGTGTTATTTTAAAGACGCTAAGGTATTACCTTTTGGAACAATGTACAGGAGTTTTCTTTCACTGACTGATTTTCTCTTTCTTGATTGTATTCATCAGTTTATGGTGTCCATAGACATTTGCCTTGCGTTCAAAGAAACCAGTCTTAACAGTATCGCTCGCGCAACGTGTTTTTTCATTCGTTTCTGTTTTGGTCTTGAACTAAATTACAACTAAAAGACATTGTGAGGTGCTATTGATTTATTTCGAAAGACGTATTTTCTTTTGATCTGGGAGACTAGCTGTGGATTCAAACCAGGTTTCAAAGGACAATAATATCAAATAGACCCAATTACAGAAATTAACTATGGGATTTCTTGGAATCATTGAAGAAAGCAAAAGAGTGTACATGGTGGATTTCTGTCCACCGAAAAGGGGCTAGTTCCGTCAACTATCAAACTATCCTCTCAGTTATTAACTCCGTCAGTCAGTCAATCAATCAGTCAGTCAGTTGTTAAGTAGGTCGATAAGTCCCTCAATCACTTCCGTCAATCAGCAAAGAGATGATTTACGTGCGTACCTGATTTTTCTCAACGGCATCGATAGCTATTGATAATTGAATCATATATAAAAAACAGTTCTTTAAAGCCCAATGGAAGTTAAAATCGTTTTAAAATAATCAGTGATTCGAGTTAACCGAATGACATCTTTGGATTTATGCAAATACACTCATAAATAATATCGTTGGAAACTTTCATTTGAATTGGCAACAAATCATGAGTTTATCAGCAGATGCAGGGCAATTTTAGATATTATTCTCAGCGTCATCTAGAACCGTTCCTCCAAATTGAAAAGGATTTATTTCTGGTAGAAACGAAAGAGCATCAGATCAACAAAATGTGCTAACTAGAAGAGTCAGGCTTCTCATTGGTAAGGCTCAAAGACAAACTCTTTTATTCCTTCCAGTTTTGATTACAAGTCGTCAGATGGCTTTCGAAAAACATAATTAAATCAGGAGTATTGCCACGTTTTTTTATTTATTTTTTTTTTTAAATTTAAAATTTTTAATTTTCATTCAATTAGACTGGTCTAGTTTGTGCAAAAGAGTGTCCATTCCATGTTTCATATTTTTAAGCCTAAGAATAAGTCAATGTTACTTGGATTTTTGTTTTTGTGTGCTATCAAAGCCACATTTAAAGATATGTTTGAAAGCTAAGAAAGATTCCGAGGTCTTCTTCAGGTGACGATTCTTTTTATTCTCCTTTTGTTTTCCTTTTGTAGATATCTGATGACTAAGATAAACCCTTTCAAGAATGTCGGCTTGTAATCCAAGTGGATCAAATATCTATACACACTTAAATATCACAACTAAAAGGGGCAATCTGTTTTATTGGCGTTAGTTGTCTTCCATAGTTAAGCTATAAATATACATTTACATTTTGGAAAATAAATGCAGACTTGTCTTGTTGTGTAGGGAAGGGGGCGGGACTGCAAACGGAGATGTTATTCATGAAGTAATTTTTCATTGAATTGAAATTTCAATACGTTTTAAATTGAACATGTATTTTCTTAGGAAGGTCACTTTTCCATGAGACAAATATTGTGAAGAAGGAATCATCAACGAGAACGTCTCAATCATTTTTTGGTGGTTTCTTTCCTTTTCTTTGTCCTCATGGTGTTTCTCTGATCTGGCACATCGCACATCTTTTCTTTAGGGTTAAACAACATGGCCTCAGGACACTGTCTCTCCTCTGACACTCCATTAGAGCAGACGACAAAGCTCTTTTGTTCGAAAGGATTTGTGTAGATTCCGCTTGACTTTCCGATGCAGAAGGACTTCAATCCTAAAAGAAGAAAGTCAAATGTTACTGTGTCATAATCGTAACTCAACAATTTCCCATACCCTATCATCATGCAAGAGGCTTATCGCTTTTGAGGCTATTAGAACTATGTCTTCGATTTCGCTTGTTGCTCAGTGAAATATTCAATAGTCAAATCAAAAGATCTGAGCCTCAAGTCTGCACTGGTTTTTAGGTTTGATTTTTTTTGCACGTTTTCCTTTACAAAGTTTACCTTCATTTCACTCATACGCGTATTTTTCGCATGTTTTGCCTTTTAATTCAGAGATACAGAGAGAATAATATTCATTGTATGATAAAACTGTCCCTACGTGAATCAACTTTTGGTTTGCGCATCCCTCCTTTGTAAGCGTTCATTTCTGATACTCCAGGCAGTCCACCTGTGACAGACACCCTGCCTGCTCTGTTAGGCAAGCCTTTGGATCCTTTATCGTGTTCAGGTTTACCCGACCCAGTGTTTTTGTTGGTTCCCATCCCACTAACACTTTCACCTGAAACCAAGAAATGTTTTCTGTTAGTCTTTTACCCCCTTTTTACATAAGCTACGCTCGGTATAATCTTGTCCAGTCTTATGTATCATGAGACGAGAAGGGATATTGTTGTTTCTTCCATCTGTCGGGGTTCGAGCCTGAGAAGGGGCGCTAAGAAAGTCCGCTACATAATCCTACATACGCAGTTGAGGGGCTGAGATATGAAACAAACAAACATAACAAAAAAAAAAAAACCAGATGATCTCAAGCTCTACGAGACCACTTTTATTTATTGGCAAAACCATGACCAAATGAAAAATGGTATGAGTATTATAATAAGGTAAACGACCTCTGTTTCCAAACAAACCACAATCCAATTCATTGTCTTTTGCGATTTTCTCATGCTGTTCCCTTTCGGATTTCCGATTTTTCTTTGGCAAACTTATTTGTTTTTTCTTTTTTATCATTTTGACGAACCATTACGGTGACAAAACAAATTTAAGATTACTCACCACTGCCTCCGTCCTCTTGAAGTCGAGTTATCAAATACTCACCCTGGACCGAATCACCTTGGTGAGTATTAATGCCGAGGCTATGCTCTTGGGGCTCTGTTGAAGAATCTTCTCCTTCTGTGTGTGGACTTTTCCACCGAGAAGCTTCATATTCCTGCTGTTGATAGCCATGACTGTGATTAATAGAGCCATCCATACTTGTCATATTCTCTGTTTCAGGATCCCCATCACTGAATACCATTCCCTGCGTAGCAATAGCGTCAAGGTATTCCTTGTTTGCTTCTAAAATACTCTGGGCGATATTTCCACCATCTTCCACTGCCTTGGAATCATCTTGAGATATTCTCTCTCGAGCCGTTCCTGTTGCTGTTTTGTTGGTGAAACTGGATAACATAGAAACGACCTCTTTGCCCTTAGAATCTAACTCAAGCGGCCTATCGATCAAGCTTTTTAAGATCTGCACGATGTGACCTTTAGCACCTGACCGTCTGTTCAGAGGATTCAAAATTCTCCCAGGAGTTTTTAAAATTATCTTTAGTTGTGGACGGCTCTGAATTTGAACAAAATCGTGAGGACTTAGCTGCTCTTGCTCAAGAAAGGGACTTTTCATATTAGCATTTTCTAGTTGCTTTGTTACACTGTCCGATTGTAAATTGGCTTGAAACTTGTTGTTCGTAAAAATCTGTTTTTGCTCCCTGAATTTATCAGAGGCCTTTGCGTTGCCAGGTTCTTGAACTGGGCCCCCAGTCACAACTGGGTCTTTTACTTTGTTACCAGTTTCGTACTTCTCACCCACAGAAACTTTTAGATTAGAAGAGTTTTGGATGTTGCTTGCAGCACTCTCGTCCATTGTAGTTGCTTTTTGCTCTGCCCCTCTCATCTCGTCAGGTTTGTTGTTGTCGCTGATCTCCATAGTCTTTGTATTGTCGTCGGTTTTCACTTGCCCTTGCTCTGCGTTTTTATTTGTTTCTAATGATACCGTATCGTTATGGTGTAAAGTGGGCACGTCTCCATTTTGCTGTCTAGAAGAACTTTTTAACTGCTGAATGGGAGTTTTAGAAGCATTTTTCTGCTGGGAAAGGTTTGTTATATCCTGCATATGAGAAGGTGGTATTATAATTTTTGTTAAATTCATCGCGGGCGCACGCGATTCTTTCACTTCTTGTTTCTGATTCATTGACTCTGGCTGACCAGTTTTAAACGTTACTCGAAAATCTTCAAGTTTAGAATTGTTCTGGCTGACAAATAATTTCTGCGGCGATACAATAGGTTCAGGTTTTGATCCATTTACTGGCGACGTTGAGGTATTCGTCCTATCTTCCTGTATCGCGAAGTCATTCTCAGGGCATTCGGACAGAGTGCAGTTAATCACAGGCTGTTTTCCACTGTTGTCCATCTTAATCTTAAGTTTAAAGTGAAGTGGCATCGAACTAATTGAATCATTAGTGCTAAATGAATCTGTCTTGCCCCCAAAATTGGCATTCTCTGAGTTATTTTCGTTGGTATCAGTTGTAAGCTGCCCAGGATTTTTTAACATCTCACCTTTGCCAATGTGAAATTCTGATGAGTCAACTAGAACTTTCCGACCGTTGTCAGCGAAGGAATTGGTGTCTCTAAACTCATCTACTGGTTCTATGGTATGTTCCCCATCCTGTCTGTTCTCAGTGGTAGTCTTCATTTCATGGTGCACACTTGGAAGTTGAGGATGTGAACCATAGATATTTATAGCAAACAACTTGTGAGGGGTTGTACTGAAATGACTTAGATCATTTGGAGATAAATGGTTTTCAGAAATATTTGCCAAACTCTTATTATTTGCTGAATCACGCAAATTTTTCATGTGTCCTTCGTCATTTCGCCAATCCTTTTGATCTATTTTTTGGCTCACGTTGCCTTTAATCACTGGCTGTAATTTTTGTGTTAGCAACACTGAATTATTGTCCTCAATCGTTTGGTTGGTAGTATTTCGCAAGCCCTCTTGGCTCTTGGATTTAACGTCCGTTTCTGGCACCATTACGGGCTTTTTGGCTTTTCCATTTAGTGGAGGTGACTCCACTGACATGATATTTACGACATTATCTTGTAAATGTCCTTGGTATCTTACAGGACTCGCAAGTTTATTTTGTGTTCCTCCAGGGGGCTGCTGTATTGCATGACTTTGGACACCGTTGAATATGTTGATTGAAAACAACTTGTGCGGGTGTGAAACCTTTGAAATCACCTTGTCATCTTGTTTAGTCGGTTTTTCGCTTTCACCGACAGAAAAAACTTTCAAGCTACCATCACCTGGTAAAGAAATCCATCTACTGCCTTCTTTTGAGTCAAATGGCCCCCCAGATTCAGCTTCAGCGCTAACAAATTTTACATCTTCCGGCACATCACAGGAAGATATCACTGGATTAAATTTTAGTCCAGTTGGACAAAATTTCTTTGTTGCCTTTTCACCTTGGCAAACGTAAAAAGCGGTCTCGTCTTTTGGATCTGCGTATATGCCATCCTCTTTGGACACGCAGAACCCTTCATCGCCTATTGAGAATCAAAACAAATAACGGTCTTTGCATGTAGCTTTCATATTCTAATTAACTGGAATAACTTTTCACTGTAGAGAAAAATATAAAAAAACTTTGAATTTCTCACGAGTGATAGTGCAGGTATATTGTTTCATAGATGGGTGTTTGGGTATGCGTTTACAATCAGATCAAGAATCTAGCGCGCGGTCAAAGGCAGATCGAAGCTTAGCTCGGGATGGATGAAGATAACAATATATTTCTTCCATTATCAAGCCACGGAAATAACTCACGTTTAGCCTTCAACTAAAAAAAAAGCCAATGAAAAGTTTCACTCAAAGGAATTTAGAGGCCAGATCTACATTCCAATATTATGAAATTTGTATCATATTATCGATACGTTCTTGTTATGCCGGTCCACACATTATGAGAGCTTGATAAGTTTTAAAAAAGAGGCGTAATAGGGAGACTCTTGTAAAATAGATTTACGAAATATGATGGAAACTTCGTGCACGCGTACCTTCAGGTGTAGAAGGTCTGTCACCTTGACCATAACATTTAATTCCTTCTGGTGATCCACCTATGGGAGTCGTAGGAGATTAATATTTAAGTTCAAGGTTTTTTACACAGCCAAAATGAAACCAGAATTACGCTGATTAAGACAGGAGATTTCTATTAGGAAACATGGACAAAAAAATTGCTTCTCTGATTATCGAATCAGCCCATCAACTGATGAATAAGAATTTCAAACGAATTTGATCAACTAAGTATGGAAGAGTTTACTTCTTGTCTAGTAATCAGGAGAACTCTTAGTGTCTCTCACCTCTCATTGCAGTGTCTGAGAACTGAACATCAGAATTGATAACCTTGTCGTTTTCTAGGGCGTTGATTGTCGCCTCCAGCTGTTCATTCATGACACTTGTTAGGCGCACCTTCAGTGGAAATGAAACAGCACCCATTCCTTCGTTCGTGAAGAAGTTATTTGTCGTTCTTGCGAGGCAAAACCACTTGCCTTTTACACGTTCAAAAGCTTCAATGCCAGCCACAGGAACTCTATACAGCAGTAGACACATGGAAACGTTTGGCAATCGAACAAAAAGATAAACGGGTAGGTCTTTTATGGGTTGGTGTACGTGGGTAGGTCACACTGAGGTTGCTAATGGCGAAACACACTTGTGCCGTTACTTACTTAGCATTTGTGGCTTGCAGTTTGAAATACATGTCATTACTGCCAGTAAAACGAAACTGGATGTATCCTGTTGGTCCCTGGGCCGATGGGCAGTCAGCAGCTTTGAAGCTGATTTCCCAAAGACCACTTCCAGTCTGTGGAGGAAGAACAGCCAGGTCTCCTAGGGTGGAACAAGGATAGAATTGGGTTTGTTTCAGATCTCACTGAGAGCCATGATCTCCCATGAAAAAAGCAAATTGTATCATTCAACGATTATGCGCCATGATCTTGTTCAAAATTTCTAGCAAAAAATACTTTATCAGAACTTCTCAGAGACTATCAGAGCAATTGCAATATTCAACATAATCAGAAACGTCATCAGAATTACAGTAAAAGGCTGTCAGCACCTTGATTCAGTGAATCGTCTTGGTCGACGATTATTCCTCTTAAGCTTCCTTCAACTGGTGGTGAGCCGTCCAGATCTGCTGCAGCAGGTTTTCCACTTCCAACAATGTTAAGACACACTCCGCATCCAAGAGAACCCTGGAAGTCATGCTTTGATGCAGCCACATGAACTATCCCTGGTGTTTTGGTTATAGACGGCGGCAAGTCCATTGAGCAAGCGTTATTTCCAGCGTCAGCATACTTTGCCTGGGTCATTCAGCAAAATGAAATATTACAATTTTAAGAACTTTGTAACGTATTCCTCTCCTTGAGCGGGTAACATAAGTTTGAATTGAAGATCTGCGCATTCATACTATTTTCCTTCGGAAGTCTAATTAACTGACCACATTTTCCCGCCTTCATAACACGTTTCCTAATCTAGACTAGGTGCGTTAACTAAAATGTTACCAAGAAAAAGTAATTTTGTGACAATGCATCGTGCGACGTGATCCCACTCTAAGACTCCTGGGTCTTTTTATGACTCCGGGGACTTTTTATGACCATCTTAATCAGTTGAAGTCCCTTACTTCAACTTACCTTTCCAGTTGAATCACTCACAAATCTGTTGTACATCGCCTTCACGTTTTCAAGTGTTGTGTCTCTTTTGACGAGTGCGCCATTCTGGTGATTTAGAGGAACATCTGTTAAATTATGTATGCCTTTTATCAACAGTAATTCAAAAATGAAAGAATAAGGAAAGGCTGAGAACTATGCGGATATTCTGTTATCAAAAGCAGGTAGATTAAAATTTAAAATGAAGTATAACCTCCTTTAAAGTATCTTCCTGAGACTATCATCATGTGTAAAAAAATTCATATGGTAGTTAATTTCATGGACCATGTAATGAGCAGACAATTCGTGCTGAAAATTTCGAGTCAGCACAAGCCCTGTTATAAGAAATCCGCAAAGTATTCATCAATTCACATTTGTATAATTCGAGTTAAGGCTCTTGTCACTGACCACGGATACAAACGACCTGTAAAGTTTAGCATGGAATTTTCTACGAAGAAGCAATGCATGGCGACGATGGAAAACAGGCAAGGATGAACGGTCTATTTTCTACTCTGACTTAGTGTACAGCTAGTCATAAACAGCCCCGTGATGGTCATCTCTTAACATATGAAATATCGTAGCCTAACATTGCTTCTTTTCCCCCTCATAACCTATGGCTGGATCTGTTCTGTTCTATAGATAATCGAAGGAGTTGACTTCGATTTTTACCATAATTACTTACCTCTTTACCATAACTAAGTACCATCCAGTCGATTGTTAACAATAAAACTAGCCATCTCTTTGAGACGTTAGACTTGTGGGCAGACATTGGGGAACTATTGTTCAGATAAAAAACAAACAGACAAACGCGATTTGTTCCTGATAAGTTCGTGGCCTGATGTAAAATGGATATTTTAGTCAATATAAGTGAAATACTCATTTCTCCTTTGTGAAAAAATACGAGAAGAGATATCTGTATATATCGAAAAGCCAATATTGAAGTGATTCAAATTGTAAGCAGAGGGGTTGCTGATAGTCCACATTCGCTATTGTTAATTCGTGTTTATCTTCTAGGTACAAACAAAATTCTCAACTGTTTCTTGACCTGAAGGAAAGGAAACAATTCTCATAGAGATACTACTGCAGCATTGGTAATTGTGATAAGGTGCGTCGAGTTTCAGTGTTTGTTGGGAGTCAAATGATAAAATTAGAAATTTCGTCTAACAATCATTTTCAGGTTTTTCGCTCGCAAATGTATTTAAATTGAGATTTCTATCATAACAGAATGAAATAATATATTTAGACCATTTTGCCACTGGCTAGTTCTTCCTTAAAACATTATATGATCCAACTTACCTTTCTATATAATTTACATACTCCAAATGAGCTTGCAAGATAATTTTTTTATCATATATTTTTGAAGGAAAAATTCAGTGATACGATTTCAATGCATTTAATAATTTGTTTGACTCCTTCTAAACTAATAAGGTCAAAAGGGCTTCATAGTGTCTTCCCCGTGACAGGTTACTGTCAAAAATGGTTACACGAGTACTTGACTTTTACTCACCAGAGAAGTTTTCACTTGCGCGTCGAAAGTAATCCGGGATTGCATTAGTTTTGCTTTACTTTGCTCTGTGATTGGTCCAGAAAACTCGCGCTACTCTATCAACCAATCAGATGCAAACGTGAACCCAACCACGATTTGGTCGCCCACGTTTTCCCGCGCTTTGGCGCTCAAAGTTCCAAAATTACCCCATTTGACGTCGTTTCCAGTTGGCTACGATAAATAATCAACAACATTATAGGGTAAATTACGTTTATTTGATCATAAAATCATATGCGAATACTCATTGTGGTATTTAACTAGAGAAAGATCACACGTTCTCGCCTTCCTCTACGAAGAATCCTTTAATTTGATGCAATTGACCATGATTAAAATCTCACATGTCGCTCCTTAAAATTCACTTAAGTTATCATATGTTATCTAACGCTCAAATCCATTGTCCAAAAATCCGCTAAAATATTATACGAGATCTCGCTGGTTTTATACAACTTTGGTATTCTTGTATAATATGATAACCTTTAAGCAAACAGCACACATAATTACCGAGTTGCATACACATGAATGTTGTCATTTATTTACATGAAGCACTTATACGAATTAGAATAAAATTTTTGCACATTCACGTACACCAGCTTTGTTGAGCTGCTCACCGTGTTACGCTGGCTAAGTGGCGCATACTTGGCCACAAGATACATACTTGGCCTTGAAGAAAACTGAGTACTTAATTATTATTTCGAAACTATTTACATTACACACTTTTAATGCTGTGGTAGCGGTGCATGAAATCCACAACCTCAATCAGTTCTTGTTGGAAAATTGATGACACTTAAACCCTGCCAAAGCGTCTTTTTGTTTAAACCTTTCACTTCTGCTGTCAGTGACCGAAAAAGGAATATCTCCATGAAATTATAGAATGTATATTTTCGAGCAAAAGGGTGATGAAAAGGAAGAAAAAATAATAACTGGTATGGTGCGATACCAGTTCACAGCGCTAAATTAAATGGAAGGGTATCGAGGAAAGTATCAAGATTTTATTTACCAGGAAAGCTTTGAGGACGATTAATACCCGGAACATAAAAAATACCAAACCAGTGTTGAGTTGTCGACATTGGAGATGACGAGCATCGGTGATCTGTGTTCACTCTTCCATGAGCATACCATCCAAAGTTATGCTCGCTCTTTCCCATCCCTGGCCTTCCATCAAAATTGCATCCATTGGCTGAACTTAAGTAGCTATCGATGTGCCAGGCGTGGTCACTCGGTTGATTGGTGAGAGCGGTGCAGTTCCTACATTCAATGCCTCGGATGACGATGTGTTCATAAATTCTACATTTGTTGTTGAATGTTGCAAATAAATTGTGGTGTTCGAGTTCCGCTTGTGCATAGTCCGTATACTGAAGACCATCTGTGTTGTAATTACAGGTTACTCTGAGATGAGTCGACTGCTCGGCAAGATACTTCATGCGGGCCAAGGATAAGCGGTACAGGCCCCAGTCTATCTCTAGGAGATTGTCACGAACTGGAAAGCTATTTATGAACGGTTGGCTACTAAACTGCAATTGCCGATCGATAGCAAAGGATTGTAAAAGAGTCCATATGAAGGTGGACGATGGGCTGATTTCGCAGTACACGTAAAATGGCTCGATCTCTCCATTACATATGAGGTACCTGCCAGATTGCCATATGCCGTTTTCTTTAGCATCCTTGCAACTTTTATAGCATCTATGTTCACACCGCTGTCCAGTATAACGAGCGGAGCAGCTACACGTAAACCTGGCATCATCAGGATCACAATTCTCCACGCACTCTGCTCCTTGAAAGCAAGGATTAGGCTGGCAACATCTGTTTACACACACATCCTTTCCTTTTACATAAGGTCGGCCTCCCTGTTTTTTAATTAAGTTTAAAGTTACACGTCAGTAGTTTCCCCAGTATATTCTCAAATTTACGCGCCTAAGGTATTTATTTAATGTAATTAACTTTATGGACCCATTTTTACCTGTAACTTCCTAAATGTAGAAAGACTGTTGCGTTCTTCAAATTTTACCTTAACCCTCCTCCCTTTTCTCAGTGTTTGTTTGTTTTTTTGTCTTTTGTCTTTTTAATTAAAAAGTTCATTTAACCTCTCACCTCTACTGAATGCATTCTAACCAGATCGTAGTACTGAGCTCCTGATTTGAATTTTAGCGCCTCTGGTTTCTTTCTTTTCACAGCGTCATTCAACTCGCAATTGTTCTCTTGGAGACTTGAGAGGTAGTTGATGGATAAACATAAACAGTTGTCTCTGCACATCATGTGACATTGTGCAGCTGTCTTAACTGTGTATCTCTCAATCACATGGCCGTCGAGGGCGTGGTCGTCAACAACATTTTTTCCCATCTCAAACCTGAATTTTTGGCAAACTACTTTCTGTTCTTCGGTGAGAACATTAACAAAGCACAGAGCCATTCGGAGGGATGCTACACTTATTATGAACGATGTCCTATTCATGATCTAAGACCTGGGAAATAACAGAGATGAAAAACTATCGACAATGTCATCGTGCAGTCATCGTTAGCTTAGCGTTAATATTACCGATACCGTCTCCGTTTATGTAACCTTAACTGCACTTTTACAGATTTGAAATCGAGACTGCTGCTGACTGCTGACACCTTCTTAAGATAAATAGGTATTCTAGAGACCTTCACTAGACAAGCAAAACATATAGTAGTGGATATGAAGAACCGTGACATATTACGAACTCATAAGAAATTTAGAACCACTCTATATACCGACTAGCGTCGAATGATGTTCAGATGCGACATTCCGACCACAGGTAGGGCAGGCTCTAGGTATAAATATTCCCTCTTAGCTAATATTACATAACTTTACAATATTCGGCAAAGGAAAATTTCCAGTCTTTAAAAGCTTGGAAATTTCAAGTACTAGGATTTAAGTTAGTTGATTTCTTCATTGAATTTTGGATCAATTTATTGCGATCTAGGTGGTGTTAGTGCTGTCTGGTTTTTTAGTTTGCAATTCCCAAAACTAGGATTCTTGGATCGACCCATAAATCACAGGGAAAATGCGAAAAACAGGACTGAAACGATATAAACTGTATCCTCATTTTTCCTGATTTGGAATCTACCACCCTCTTCTTCTTCTGCTGATTCAAAATATATCATATTTTTTGGTTTCCAAAATACTACCATATCTCTCATAAATTTCCTTGCAATTCTGCCATTGCAAAATAACGATATAGCTCTGAAAATCATGTATATCAAATGTTGGCTACTGTTTATGTAATTTGCAAACTTCTCTCAACTAACAAATGTTAAAAATTTTTCAAACAGTAACATACCAGCTTGTTTCTGCAGCCTACAAGTACAGCTCTTCAGAAGTGCGTGCGTCAAGAAGGAGTCGAAGCCTGACTATGAATATGAGTTTTTGTATCTGTATCATATCATTACTTTGCAAAGATCTATTAACAATCGATGATTATTTCTTTTCAGAAGAAAAAGTCAGAAATAAACGCCGCGACAACTTAATGTAAATAATTTATCGTGTAAACTAACTTATCGAGCAACGTCTGTAATTTACGATCATTAAAACGATTGTTATCGACCGGTTGTTGTAAAGCTTTTAGTCGTTGATGAGTTTAATATTCATTTAATTTAGATTTACGTCCTAAAAGGTTTTTTTTTCCTGATCAGTTATTGTCTGGTACTTACTTTGATTTTGGCTATACGGCTCTCAATCGATGTTAATGAGTTGAAATGATTGCGTAATCGCAGGAAAAGTCATCGTAGCGCGGAATAGATCGGAAAACTGCTACCGTGTTTTACCGATCTCCTTCGAAGAAAAATTGGAGAACTTTACATTTCATATTAGTTAAGGGGAAATGTGGAAGTAGGTTTAGCAGAGAGAATTCCGCTGATAACGACATTAGTTATAAAAGTTTTTTGTATTTCTTTAAAACGCTCAAGACCAATATATGATCTACTTGAAAATAGCTCTTAGTGACCTTAAGGAAACTGGCGCATAGATAAATATGGATAGATGTATAGAATTCAGGCTTCGGAGGAAACTCAGATCACGAACTTGGCAAATAGTGAGAGCAGCTGAAATCCGGACGCCCGACCTATTTCCAAAAACCAGACAGATATAAGAGCATTGACATAATCAAATTTAATTTCTTAAATGAATCTGAAAGGAGTTGCGTAACATTGGTAAACTATTGGTTCATACTGTCAGATGACGAGGATGTGCAAATATATCCATTGCATATGAACAACGTATGCAACAAATTACCAGGAATTGAATTGATGCTAACTAAGTTCTTGCATACGGCGTGATGCAGGAAAAGTATACGGACAACTGAAAAAAGAAAAAGAAAAAGAAAGTAGTAATCATTGAGTAATAGCTTCAAAAGCTAAGCCTTACCTTACCTGATGGTCTCTCAATAGTTATTCAAGACTGGATACAGCTACTTCAGCTGTTCAAAATACTCCGACAGCACACCAGCACTACACAAACATTGTGAGCTAATGGCTACTTTCCGAATGACTATTCAATCTAACAACACATGCTCAGAGGAATGATGTTGCTCCTAGAGGCATATACAATGTAGGTTTACCTACATTGGGATGTGTTTTATTATAATTCCACCAGCGGAGGACTTATGGCGATGTAGAGATAATTTTCAAAGCTATCGATCGATTAATGAAGAATTGACGCACACAAGATTAACTAATCAGTTAGTAAATTTATTTTTCTCGACTCTCTTCAAAGTCCTTCGATTCCGCCTCTGACGTTTCGAGAAAAACCTGCCGAAATCAATCCTATCTCAAAATGAGGGGCAGGTTTTTCTCGACTCTCCTCAAAGTTCTTCGATTCCGCCTCTGATGTTTCGAGAAAAACCTGCCGAAATCAATCCCATCTCAAAATTAGGGGCAGGTCTACATTTGTCGTTTTTCTCAGTAAAATTGTAATCTTCTTCCGATTGTTTTAGTCTATGGGTAGTCTGCAAAAGAACCAAAGACAATTCCGAAGCCTAAGTGACACGTCCTAAAGTTATAATCTTACATTCATGATAAGTTACTGAAAGGCAGAAAGGCGAATATGAATGGCTTGCCGAAATTTCCGTGATGAAAATTGGTTATTTAAATTGGGTATTTATTTTGTTCTCACTTTTGGCAAAATACTTTGGCTTTTATGGATAGAATTTCCTTTTGCTCTTATCAAGATATTTTCTGAAGGAAAAGCTTCAAAGATCGATGAGTTTGTAATGACAGAAAAAAAGAATTTTATATATATTAAGGTATCATTGTAGGTGGTGCTCGCGAGAGCCGGTTATAGCAGGATAAAAGAAGAAATATTGTTTATGATTTGAGGTATTATTTTAAATGGATTGACGGCGTTTGGAAACTTTCTTTCACGTGGCCACCTTAAAAGAAGATCTCATCAACCTGCTAATGTTTTTCTTTTCCTTTTGAATTTTTTAAAAAGTGAACTTCGCGGAGACATTAAGCGAGACCTAGCCAGAATTTATGATTCGCTTCGAATTTTTTCTCTTGAGAGATACACGACCATGTAAATTAGACAACATTACGTCCGCATTATCTTTACCATGTCGTTCATCTTAAGATGACGCGTGTCTTACGAATTAATAGTTAAATTATATATTGAATCTAAGGTTTGGACATTACGCTCGTGATGGATATCAGTTGTCATTAAGAAACGGAGATAACAGATAGCACTGAGCTAACAACCAGCTAACTTATGGCGGTGGTCTGAAGAGCTTTAATTTTTTCATTTTTAAGGGGGCAAATAAACGTGTCCTGAATATTAATGATGTTTTTATTTTTTGTTTTGAAACATGCTAATTTACGTCTACGTAAGAGTTTGCATTTTATCCCTTTGCTTTAAAACAAAATTGGAAAGGAACGAACAGGGGCGATTCACAAGGGATTACCGTAATTGATTCGTTACTTCTGGGGGACGAATTTTATCAGGGGTGAATAAAAGGGGTAAGTTTTTAAAGAAACGGTGTTGCTGCGTCGGTGGGAGAGTATAACAGGGTATTTTAGTATTATCAACTGAGTTGATAACGTAAGTTGGCCACCGCAAAGAGTTTCAAAGCTGACGTTTAGCGAGCGTTAGCCCTTCGTCAAAGCGAACGAAGGGTGGTTTTTTTCGTCCAGAGTAACTTCCTCTTGTCTGAGTGTGAGTTTCTATAAATATCTTTAAAAAATTATTCACGATAATTCATTTACGATGATGTGTAGAGTTTCAAAGCTGACGTTTAGCGAGCGTGAGCCCTTCGTCAGAGAGAATGAAGGGTGGTTGTTTTCGTCGAGAGTAACTTCCTCTCTCGTTTGAGTGTGAGTTTCTATAAATATCCTTTAAAAATTATTCACGATAATTCATTTACGGTGATGTGTAGAGTTTCAAAGCTGACGTTTAGCGAGCGTCAGCCCTTCGTCAGAGCGAATGAGGGGTGGCTATTTTCGTCGAGAGTAAATTCCTCTCTCGTCTGAGTGTGAGTTTCTATAAATATTTTTAAAAAATCATTCACGATAATTCATTTACAGTTATGTGTAGTGTTTGAAATATTTTCTGTAGTTTCTAGCTATACCATGAATATCAGTCAAAGTTGTACGTAAAAAAAGAGGAGTGATACGAAACAATTTTTTCTTCCATGTAGATAAAGGTGTATGCGAACAAATAAAGTGTTTTTTCATTTATATATGCATTCTGTTCTAGGAAACAGTTGTCTTAGACATTGTTTTGACGAGCATTCGAAAACCTTAATGAAGTAGTGCGACGCATCGGCGACCTGTTAGAAAACACGAGCGTTTGGTTTTTATTACTTTTGTGAAATTCTGTTCCTAACACCGCCTCTTTCTTCCTCGGTATGTGACATTTAAAAGCAACGCTGTCTTCGACAAAGAAAATTTTAAAAAAATTCCTAGAAGGTTTTTTTTCTATATTTGCATGCGGTGCTTATCCAGAGTTATTGATTAAAGCCCAGGCTTACATGACTGAAAGGTGAAGTCTTTAATGTCTAATCAAACGCATTGAATCTTGCAGCTGCTGGTTCGGTCTTTATATGGTACTCCGTCAGCACACATCTGCAAGTTAAAATTACGGGCAGTTAGCTAACAGCTACTGTCTGAAGAGCTGATTTTTCTTTTCAACCCCGTTGACAAACTTGTCCAGAAGAACACAAAAGAAAAGAATTGCATTGTATTCCTGTGGAGTCTAAATAACAAAGTGATTCAAACGGAATTTTTTACAACCACTGATCGGTAAGTGAGTTGACGATGAACACTGAATTATCTAAACAATGTAAGTATCTTCTCTCTTACAAAATGGAAGCGTTGGCACACAGTCTGTTGTAGTGGTATAAAAAGAGAAACTTGCTTTGTTCCCTCTCTTTGTCTTTAACGGTTTTCAGGTATCTTATCAATGGTCACCTGTTAAAACTATTGAGAGGATGTCAGCATCCATCGAACAAATTTGAAATATTGTGGCAAGTCGCCCAAAATTCGTTTTCTCTCCAACTTTCCTATTTTGTAGCCCAATATGTTCTAATAATTGTCGTGTAGTTTTTTTGCGAAAATATATTTTAGTTTTCGAGAAATGACTTTTTTCGTTCGACCGCTCAAATATGCAAATTTTCACCGTGAATATTACCCGAGTTGCGTGACCTCATGTAACGAATGTACTAGACCTACGGTATTTCTGTTAACATAATCCTTTGTTACATCATCTAAACTTAATCCCCTGTCGTTATTGAAGCTGCTAAAGAAAAAAATAATTTTTTGGCGAATATTTTTGTCCGACATACTTTTCCTATGTCGAAAAGTAGCATCAAATCAAAGACAGTTTTAACAATGACCGATATGACACAATCTACTGAGCTTCAAGCTTTTAAAAGACCAAAGGATGATTATAAAGTTACTTTAAAAATTTCCTTGTGTATTTGTGTTGTTCTATCTTGAGACGAACTCAAAGTCCGGCAAAATTTACTTGATAGCGACTATGAAATGTACATGGTGCGCCTACTTGTCGCCACCGTTAATTGGCATAAATCACTACAATTTGTAAAAAAGTATAACACAACACTCTTACCTTGTTTATTTATGATTTTATTAGCTGTTTCGATGATCACGTTAATTATGCTCTACCACACTCTAGCCAGATTTCAATAACGACAGGGGACTAAGTTTAGATGATAAAACAAAGGATTATGTTCACAGAAATGACGTAGGTCTAGTATATTCGTTACACGAGGTCACACAACTTGGGTAATATTCACGGTGAAAATTTGCATATTTGAGCAGTCGAACGAAAAAAATTATTTCTCGAAAACTAAAATATATTTTTACAAAAAAACTACACCACAATTATTAGAACGTATTGAGCTACAAAATATAAACGTAGGAGGGAAAACAAATTTGGGTGACTTGCCGCTGTTTGTTTGATGCATGCTGACATTAGCTCTTAAATCGTAAGCTTAAAAAATTCTATTTAAGTCTCTTAGAAACCAGACGATTTGGACTGGGAACCCAAGCTGGTATTTTTAAGAACATAATCAGCTTGAGTTCGTAATTAAGTCGAATAAAGAAGGAAGCCGAAAAGAGGTAAAGAAAGCTTGGTTAGATACGAAGCTGCTTACTTCTTGTCAGTAGAACAGTTCTGATGTTCCCGCTTAATTTAGCGGGCGTAAACTAATGAGAAAAGACAACTGTGGGAATAGATATTTACTCTCTTATTGAGGGGGAGGTGAAGCTGCATTGTTTCCTACTCACGAATGGCCTTTTAAAATCGTCGGGGACCTTTTTGCTAATAATTTTTCCGAAGTCAAGAAAAGGCTGTTAAAAGAGTGTGGTAGGAACCTTTTCAACTTCTTCAAAAACAGGCTGGCATTTAGCTACCAAAGACATTTAAATTCAACATTGGCAGGTAATTTTACTTCATCCAATACGCACGACTGAGAGATTCAACACGCTCTAAGTTCAGTATTCTATAATGACTGATAAAATGCAAATTATTTATCGAGTGCTAACTTCGATGCCTGACTCAAAAAGATTTCTTACCAAAACAAAAGAGATGATATACCTCCACTAAATTAAATAAGCAAAAATCGTGATGTCTTGACAATAAAATTTACCTAATATGTCATTACTGAGCTAATGAAACAAATAATATCGACAGCTTTCTAACCAAAGACACAAACAGACACTAGAATATTTTTAGTTCTTTTAATATAGATGAACTCATAATTTAATTTGACTTTGTGAGATACGAGATCTTTGCGTCGTGTCGTGTATCTGAAAAGAAGTAATAATCTACGTAATTTACAGGGCACCGTTTGTAAAATCGTTATTTGGACAGTTTTTTTTTTTTAACTCAATTCATAATGCATATAGTTTTTATTTCCTTAGAAACCAATATCGTCCAAATTTGAACAAAAGCAAACATATGTTGATATAAAAACTAATTTCAGTGCTAATTTCATATAGCCATTTCCATTTTTAAACGCTTGCCAAAAATGGTGATTCGACGCCGCCCGGGTGCGATTATTTACTTGTCAGAGCTGCCTTAAGGCTGAGAAGACCACACTTCATCTCCAACTAAAAAAAAAAGGCCGTTGAAAATAGATGCTGAATTTGATTATTTCAAGTAGTTTCTTTTCAGACGATGGCTAAACTGATTGTCATCGACGTGCTAGTAATGGAGCAGTGCATTTAATAATAGAACATTTCCTCTTGATGAAACTGAGGGCGTAACAGTGCCCCCCGGCTTATTTCAACTTTCCGGAACTCCGTGTTTATCAAAGATCTGTTAATTCTCGATTTCGTGCTGTGATAGCTCAAGGAGTCGAGCATTGTTTAAGAAATAACAAGTTATAAGGTATCACTCGTCTCAGAATTATCATAGCGGAGCTCGCAGAGCGTAGCCCCATAATTATACAAAATAGAAGTAACCCATGAAGCCGGAAAAATTTGGATGTACGACCCTACGACCGTACAACCGTACAAGGTGCTACTTTTAACATGCTTTTAACATGCGTGGTCAACCACGGCTTTGTTCAGTAGTCCAGTACTGCACTGGGCTCCGAGTCGGACGACCCGGGTTCTAGTCCTGGCCGGGCCAAGGCGTTGTGCCCTTGAGACGTGCGGGGGAAAAAAATGCGAGCTCCGCTTTTAAGCTTGGCTAAATCTATATATTAGGTGAAGGTTGTACATCGCGTGAGGAATTGTTTCTTTGGATCATCTTGTTGCCACTCCGTTCGTCCTATATCATTGTTGTCATAATTACCTGATAACAAGAATTTCAGTTCAACTTTCGGAAAAAAGTAGAATTAAATTGCCCTTAAGCAGCTCAATATCCAGCAAAAACAAGAACAAAGATTTTTTGAGAGATGGAAGAAAGCGGTAAAAAAAGAAAGAAAAGAAAAGATACAACAAACGCTATAGATCGACTCAAGATATTCAAATGCGCGCTCAATCTCTTTTATTTGTCTGTTCTTTGTGGTGTTCGTGAAGCGAAGTTCATTGAACTCACCTTAGCAGATTCATTGGTCTAATTTAGAACAGACAACCCTCCACAGGTTCATTAATCTAATTTAGAATACAGCTTGTTACTGTAAAAGCAATGAATATTCATTTTTCCAGTGTTTGTTTTTAAGAACCAAAGTACAAAAGGGTAAATTGCACTTAAAAATTTACTTACCTTTGAGTGCCATGCAAGTAGATACGATGCGATCTATTCTTCTTTCGTAAGGCGAGTGTCCACTTTTTTTTCTCCCCTAATATGAAAATTTGAAATACATCAATTGGATATAACTTAAGATTCCTATGGCGACATAAATGCTGAATATTTTTTAGTATTCATTTAACTATAGTTACTTGTTTTTATTTTTGAAAAAATTGATTATTATTATTATTTTCTTTTCTTGAAGAGCTTTGTAGCTTCGGGTTTGCAGTTGTTCGAACACACCATCAAAGTTTTGAAACGAGGAAATTAGCACACTTAATTATAAACCTGTTTTCCAAATTTTTTGCTGTCTTTATAAATACCCCTAAAATTCTGAGATAGCTTCAACAGTTTCAGTCGCATGTTGTTGGACATCAAATTTACAGAAGACGTTTCTATATGTTATATGAGCTAAATTGAATAGCTTTATTTGTTCTCTTATCAATGTCATCAAAATGTTGAGCCAGAGGGTTAAAGACACTAAGCAAACGTGGTTTTTAGTGGTAAGACGAAACAACTTCACTTTGCGCTGACATAGCCGAACAAACGTGAAGTGATTTACATAGGCGAAAAGGGTTACAAAAGCGTGGTGGGTAACGCGCCGCAAGATTTCTGTTTTAAGAAATTTAGCTCTTATTTTCGTCAGTAAATGCTAGGTTAGGGTGAGCCTGAAAGTAGTTTGTGTCCCATAGTCTTCCGTTTAGCTACACTCTCTGTTAAAGGTAATTTCCATCCTGTTTCAGTAGATGACGATGACGCTCAAAGGAATCGAGACTTTGGCCAAAGAACTCCAAAACCGAGACATGAAGGTCGTGATATGTGAAACGTTTTTCTACCTGCTGATTATTTCGATGGCAATCGCTGGAAACTCCTGTGTTCTTTTGGCGGTGTATAGAAACTCAAGACTGCGGACAGTTCCAAACTACTACATTGTGTCGCTGGCGATCTCTGATATTCTTTTGCCCTTGTTATGCTGTCCGTATTCTGTAGCTGTGGCCATCGTTGGTCACTGGCCATTTAACGACAGTGTTTGCCAAAGTCAGGGATTTTTTGTCATAATTTTGGCTTGCGCCTCTTTGCTGATCTTAACACTGACCGCGATCAATCGATTTTTCCGAATTGTGGTAACGAAACATTACCGACAAATTTTTACAAAATGGAAAACCATAATTATGATAGTACTCGGAGTCGGCTTAGCTTGCTTGGAACCATTACCTTATTTACTCACGGGTCGACATTATGTCTTTCATCCTGGAAAGTTGTTTTGCTTTCAAACAGCTGAAATTTCCCTTCCAAATTTTATTGTGTATTTCTACGTTGGTCTGCCTACTTCTGCTTTAAGTATTTGCTATGCACTCGTCTTCAGGAAAATGCGCATTCACCAAAGAACAGTTCATAATCTACGTTCCTCTTCCTTGGCTGCGGATAACATTTCTCAAGCTGATGTCAGAGTTACAAAGATTCTATTCATCACGGTGATAGGATTTTTGGCCTGTTGGACGCCGATTGCTGTCATAGATTTTGTGGACACGTTCCGAGGTGAAGTTTCTCTTCCGAGACAAGTCTATGTTTTCTATCTAATTCTGGGAAATCTTTCAGGCGCTATTAATCCTCTTATCTACGGTTTCTTGAACAGGAATTTCAGACAAGAATATAGAAAGATTTTTTCGTTAAGGAAAAGAAGCTCAAGACTGCATCATTTGCAAATGGACTTACCATCATTTTCGACTCGACACCCTCAAATTTAGAACTCAATGCCAATATTGTTAGTAAAATTCTTCTTTGGTAATTCAGGTCAATGGACAACAGATATGGTTTTATTTTGGATTTTTTTCGTTTTCCGTAGAAATGGTGGCTAGGAAATCAATATTAAAGTATATGGAAGCACTAAGCTGTACAAATTTACATATATTTTGATTTTACGAGATGTCATTACGGTCCATCCAGGACATCTACATAAACTGAACGAAACAAATTATTTCATCACTTTTGTAGCGCATTTTTCGTTTTTTTAAATTCTTTGGTACTTTAGAAATTTTCGGCGTATTTTCCATTATTTTTTTCTTCCAAATGTTTGTTGTTTCCTTTATTTTGTCGGTTTGCTTTGTCAATAACCACAAAATAAACACGACACGGAAATAATTTATTTCTCCTTTAGCCGTCGAAGGACACAAGTCAAGATGTTTGACAGTCGGTAATAATGAGAGATCAGAAAAGCAAAAGATCCGACAGTTTCCTTTATGTCAGGGGACAGCAAGTAGTAGAAATCTCGAACCGACGACAGATGCAAACGCTGGGTAAGGAGTAAAATACATTAAATTTCCCGCTGCTTTATTTAATCGCAGAGTTTCTCTATTTTCACTCATTTATCCGCTGCGGATACAGTACTTTTTTTTCTGACACCTTTCAGTGCCACTGTCACCACAAAAGACGATTGCTTGACTCAAAGTATCTTGTAGTGACCCAGAGCCTCGACTCACTGGATTACGTGGTCGTATAATGACTCGTAGACATCTCAATACCATGATGCAAGTTGGAGGAAGATATTAACTAAAATGTATAAGATTTAATGCAATCAACTACCGTTTAAACTGTAGACGCATAATGAAAGGGGTCAGGTCTTTTCCGCAAATGTTATACTCTGTCTATAGGGAATATATTGCGTTTGAAAAAAAACCCGTCAAAAAAGTAGTGCGTGGAGTTGCAACAAAACTTTTGTATATAAGACTAAGTTTACTGCTCTTGTTGTTGTTTCATAGTGTCCTTTATTTTTTCTCTCCTGACTTGCTTGAATCGATTTGTTCGTCTAGAAATCTTCGAGGCTGATTTATTGAATGTCCTTGCCGTTTCATGTATTCTTTGTCCACTGGTGCAATTCAAAATTTGAATACAAAGTCGTATTAAGAAAGACGAAATTAAATGAAACAAATTAGATCTAGCACCTTTAATTATCTTAGGAAACTGTGGACCCATAGTAAACATGGCTTAGTTTGTTCAGCTTGAATTATTTCTCCAAAGGCAGCATACTGCGGTAACTCCATTACGTTTTTTCTGGTTTTCAACGGACTCGTTTGAATTCCTTTGGTCATAAGTTATGAAAACCAGTGAGGCTACGTCTTTTCAACTTACTGATGTAAAGCCGGAACAGCGACCGAGACGAACAATTCACAAACCCGAAGTATAATTCACTGAACACTTTATGCAAGGTTGGAACTCCTTGTGGCATGAAGAAGACGATGTCAAACGAGAAATGTTGACCTCAAAGCGTTTAATTATCATACGAACAGCAATCTTGTTGTAATGAAAAAGTTTAAGATTATTCAGCTCAGCTCTTATCCTTCCCCAGAAAATAAATTACGGAATTATTGTCTTTTTTAAAGAGTTTATCCGCCACTTTTCAATTCCGTTTAACACCATATTTCAAGCAAAAAAATTATTTCATCCAAAACATATTAGTTTCATCGCTTTTAATTACGTACCATTTAAACAGAAGAAACATAGTAAATAGGTAAGGTCAAGTTTATTCAGCTTGTGTTATTCACATTTCGCGGGCAACACTTAGTACTGTGTTTGTTACAAAAGTTATACATGAAGCCACAGTCGCGACAGACAAAAACATGACTGAATTACTTGACTGCATGAAGCAAATAGAAAGTGGCAGCTGTCTAAGTCTTTTCTTACTGAAGATTTTTTTTTTTTTTTAAGATCAGATTTAAAAAATTGAAATTCGGAAAGGGGAAAATGAATTACAATTACTCCTCCTTTTTCTTACTTCATTTCCGATGTTGTTATAATTGTTTGCGTTTGACATTTTTTGTTTGCCAAAGTTGTAAAGCTCCTCCACAAATACAATAACCCTTGTCAGTCATTTGCATAAAAATTATATTATTCTTTCTTTACCCAATTTTCGCAATGGAACCTTTTTAATTTCTTGCCACAAAAGGATACAAGACTGGATAAGAGAAAGAAATAGTAGAGCAAAATTATATCGGTGTTAGTCAGCTATCGATAGCACATTTACTGCATAGGGAAAAAAAACCAATTTTGTCTGTTTTCTCGTGCTTCTCATTTTATCTTAAATATGTCTAGCGAATACTGAAAACGAAAATATCATCTTTTTTCATGAAAGACGAAATTCGCACGATTGGCATACGTGGTTGAGAGCAGACACAAGAAACCTATAAAACTCTTGCTGTTTGTCATTCGCTCGGATCAGTTCAAAAGTTTATGCAAAGCTAAAAACTTTTGTGAGACGGAAATCATCACACTCGCAACACTCGTTCGAGAGCTATATGGCGGCACGTTGAAGTAGTCATTGGTAAGACATGGGTCCCAATGGCGCAATGATTTCCAACGATCACAGCTCTGTTCACTTTGTATGAATTCATCGTGGAAACATATGAACGCAGATTTTTTAATATGTAAAATTCAGCCCTGATCCTGCGTGAAAACGATTAGAAGGGATTATCGCATACAAGTTACATGAACCGTCACGCGCCTAAGTAATCATAATCCCATACAGCTTTGCGGGTGTGATTACTTCATTTTCGGACTTTAAAAACACTACCAGCTTGTGTACTGCTCAGAGTCTCGCACAAATTTGACGAGTGGTGATGAAAGGATAAAGCCAAACCTGTTACGTCCGCCGCTCGTTTCGTAATTCCTTTTTCGCGCAGAACTTAAAGTAAATTTCTGATTGAAATCACCGCCAGTGATCACAAAAATGTGGAAACTATCTCCATTCTTCAGTTTTTCAGCTTTTTCTGATCAGAGGCAGTAAAACTGTATTTCAATGTAATGGTAGTGGCGTGCCCGAGAAAAAAATCGTGTAGCAAAAACACCAATGCCATTGAAATGAGATGATCAAAGCCTAGAATCCACCAGCAGTGTCGGCAAATCAACTGTTATAATTGGTGAGCGACCAAGATTTGCCACATTTCACGGGTACCTTGAGGCTGCACGTGCTTTGATCTACCTTTGCAGTTATTAGATATGCTATTAGTTAGCAATAATAGAAGTCATGAACAGAAAAATACTAACAGCTTTTCACTTAAAACGTTTGCATAAAAGCAAATACGTTGTTTTTGTTTAGATTGTGAGAAGCAGGTGGGAGACATGATTAGTCCATTGTGTTTTGATGTTTTGAAATTGGGAAGAGTTAACGGAATCTTTCGACTCTTTCATAAAAAATAAGAATTTTGCGAGAGCTTTTTTACGTCCACTGGCACTATTCATAACTTGGTCTTGCTACTCTGAGGACTCGCTGCTAATGGCCTTTCCGACAGCTGTGCTAATTCTCTTGTGTTTTTCAACACTGGCAAGTAAGAGAACCCAATTTTGGTTATATGCTTCTGATTGTCATTGCGGTAAATGTCGGAACTGATATCTAATATTCTTATAAACGCAGGGGGAACCTGGAAATATGGAGATAGTGATGTTATTCATGGAGGCGAGTAATTTTTTTCTGACCGGAAATAACCGTTACTTTACAATCTTTATCCGTCTGGAAGAGCAGTTTTCAAATTTGAATCCACCACTATTTCTATTAACTTTAATGCGTGATTTTTTTAAGTAGCGAAGGTAATTTCAGGAAAATTTGTGACCTCAAAGAAAAGAATATGTTTATAGAAAAGTACTCGACCGTTATAATTGTGGGAACTTTTTTGTTCACTACCTGATTAGTTATAGGTAAAGAAATAGGGCTCTTTTCGATTGAGTGTCGTGAGACCAAGTTACTTGTCAAAGGGCACTAAAGAGAACTGGAGATAAACACAAGTAAATGTAAATGGTTTGATTGGCTGAGATAATGGTGCGAGTTTTCTGAACCAATCAGAGAGTTAAGTAACCACTGAGTCAAGGTTATGATCCTAAATCACTTTGAGAAATCAGTTGGAAGTTTTTGTGGTTGTCTGACTTTGAATTAGGCATAAGATCACGAATTCAAGTGTTAAAATATCCATCAGGGCGCGTGGAGAACGACATGATGTTGACAAAGCAGACATTATACGCTGTTGCACTAACTTAAAACTGCATTTTGTTTGATGCAGTTTATGGACCCGATGCATGGGGAAATGTTGCAAGTTCATGCCGTCTGGCCGACCAATCACCAATCAATATTGCAACCAAGACGGTAGAGTCTGATTCATCTCTGGGAGAGCTGGACATCACGTGTGACAATGAAGAAGGATTGTTCAATGGAATACTGCTGAATAATGGATATGAGCCAATCCTAACTGCGGATTATAAGAGAGGCACCTGTAACTTAACTGGTGTCCCTGTGATTAATAAGAACTTTCAGCTGCATGATTTAAACATCCACTTTGGATGTGAGGCTGATCGAGGATCTGAGCACACTATTGATGGGAAAAGTTTCCCAGCAGAGGTAAGGCGCTTATAAATACGTCAAAACTTTTTTCACCATTGTGTTGCTCATATTGAATATAGGCAACAGCCTTATTTACAAATCTAAGTCTGCCCTAATTAGCCAATTGAACAGGGGTGGGGTGACTATTCCGATAGAACACTTTTCGATGATTTGCTGAGTCAAAACAAAAACCGATTAGTACTCTTACAAACTACAAGCTAAGCTTTCGAGATTACTTAAAACCAATGCTTTGAAGTTTAGATTCTGACTGCAATTACAAGTCAGCTTTTAATTATTATATTCAAAGTCACGAGTCAAGATTGAAGATCGAACAATATTTGTTTTTTCATCCTTACTTTATAAACTGCATTTGAAGATTTTGGAATCTATTGTTTAGGTTCTGTTTTCAGATTTGTTTCATCAACTGGGTGGCTTCGGTTACCATAAATCCACTCTTATAGTCATGTCTTTATTTTTCTCCAATCTCCACACAGTTGCAATTGATGTTTTACAACACAGAATATGGGTTTTATGACAATGCAGCCTCAAAAAAGGATGGCTTGGCGGCCATTTCAGTATTGTTGAAGGTAAGATATATTCCTGAGACCATCTCTATAACGTTGTGTCACTTCGTCCATGTTGGTTAATTTTGTGTATTGTAAGGCTATGCATAAGTTTTTGGAACTATTGTAAATACTTCTGTCATAAACATGCATATGATCATGGCAGGTTATTGAGGAAGTAGTTTAGGACGTAACACGTAGTCTTACATGACCTAATGGTCTACAAGAAAAAAAAAAATGGACGTCCATATTGGTCTTTGGATAATCTTGCTAAATGGAAATTTTTAAATTCGGCGACCGTCATCAGAAGCTTCAGGTTTTAGCTTAGTTTCATTCCTTTAGCCTCAACATGACTCCTTTCATTGTTTTGTTTTGTTTTGTTGCAGGTAGGGAAGACTGAAAACAATGCACTTGACAGCATTGTTGATCAACTGGATGACGTTGCCGTGGAAGGTTTGCTCATGTTGTATTTACATGCTTTGACTTTCAGCGGGAATATGCAAGCAAGAGTTTATTGTGATGTATATTGAAAGATAAGAGCATGGGTTAGACAACAAAACGTGGCTATTGAGCCACTCGCACCATCGGAATCATCAGGAATATTGATCCGTATTATCTGATGTAAAATTTTGTTTTTGTCATATGAGCTAAACTATATTAGCATCCACCTCGATTTCTTACTACAGGATCTAGCATCCCTGTTTATACACCGGCTGACAATTTGACCTTGGCCAACCTTGTTCCGGACCTTGCTAAAGAGCATGCGCCTTACTACACTTACATGGGCTCGCTAACGACTCCTCCCTGCTACGAAACCGTGAAATGGATTGTCATGAAGAACCCAGTAACCATCACTAAACATCAGGTATTCCACCATTCAGAGAATTATCTTTTTGCTCCTTAACCTACCCCTCTGATACTATATATTTAGCGGTTTTAAAAAAAATGGTCACCAATTCTCCCGCTTGCTTAGTTTCAGAAGCAAAAGACTGGGATTTACACTTAACGAGATTTGAAGAATAAAAAAAGGTTTTTGGAAATCCATGCTGCTCTTTTTTCATAATTGATGAGGAATTTAGAAGCGTTTAAAGAATTTCAAATATCAGCCCCTAGTCAAAAGCGTACATGTAACTCTTGTCTAATGCAAATCGTCGAATGAATGATCTCATTTCCGAAGGTGAATTTTTTTTTAAACTGACCTGATTTTTGTTTAGTTTTATATACTTATATGTCTTTTCCGTTTCAGCTTGAAGCGTTCAAGAAACTCACGTCAGGACAAGGTTCTGAATGTGACAATTTCCGGCCGACTAAACCAGTAAATGGTAGAAAGGTGGAAGCAAATTTCTGATTCAGGTTAGAAACGCCACAACTTTGCTCTTCTACTCGCATTTTTTCTTTCTCTATTTCATTTGTCCATACAGTATGATGCATTTTCCATCACATTTGAATATAAGTTTTATTACGTTTGTGTTTTCTTTGTCAATTTGGTACTGATGACTTATGGTGTTTCATTATCAATATCACGGACGCAGATCTAGCTAGCAAACTTAAAAAGTGCAATCCTTAAAAACGTCCTTACTTACGTATTTTTCGAGAGTTTTAAAACTGCACTCTGTTTATGATTCTATCTTCATTTAATTTTGTTTAAAACAGTTCACACCTACTGATATTTATTGTTAAAGTGTCATCATCATGATCCGGGGTTGTTGAGTTTTCAAATGAGGCCTCTTTGATTTACCAAGGGTAACTACATAGATTAAATGAACCACTTAGCTATGTCTAGTAGACTTAAGTGACCTCAAACGGAAGCCGTAAAACTAAAATAAATGAGAATTACTCTAATTACCTGATGCGAATGTTTGTCGAATGACGCTACATACTAAAAATATTGAAAATAAAATTCGAAATAAAGTGCTACACAGATTGCACCCTTTCTTATCAAAGAGGAGGGGAGGAGTGGAGTAATGGGTTACTCATATCCAAAGACTACCCCATCTTTTCACCAGATTTGATGCGAATCTTGATTTTCTTTGCAGGGAGACTCATTGCATAGGTCAGCATATGCAAGGAAGTGTTGTAGAGAAAAATTCACGACTTTTGTCTTTGTAATGTCTTAGAAGATTCCATGGTCACATCCAAATTAATCGACGATAAATTAAGGGAGCGGCCGGGTAAACTTTTAAAAGTGGTTCTGTCGCAGTGCTTGTTTTATGGAGTTCAAAACTGAAAAATTTAGTCGATCTGCATTTGGTTTCATCTAAATGTCTCGATATGATCAGGTCATACGTTATTATAGGAGAAGAAACTGAGGTTTTTCGTCATCTACAGAACGGAAATATTAAGGTGGATAATTAAGATATATGTTAAGAGATGAAATATTGATGTCAAACATCCGATTAAGATGCACGTTAATTTACATTAAAAGTTTCAAATGAGCGTTATAATTATCATTGTAAATTAAAACATTGTCTAGCTGTCCGTCTGACCGTAATTTGATAGTTTGACGCCAAAACCCTTAAGGGAACTGAAATGAGATGTCAACTCTAGATCTCTATAATTCCGAAAAAACCAGTCGTAAGGAGGTACACTCGTCGATTAAGTTGTTGTTAAAAGAACAAGATCAACAACAACCTTCCAAAGACAGTGACACGAACCACAGACTTCCATTTAAGCATTTCTGGTCTTCTTCTCTCACTAACGTCTTCTTCCTTTGCTATCCATATCAATCATTTGACTTTCACCGTCTTTCATTATAAAATAGTAATGGAGTATCAGAGTATATATTCAACAAAAAGATAAATTTACTCGTACAAATGGACCTTGGAAACCCCCGGCCACCTAATCTTCCCAGTGCCCGTCCAAACTCGTCGAACGAAGCCTATTGGAAGAAAGTTGGTCTCCTAAGAGTGAGTGTTACACCTTCAGATACGGAAGTCTTTTACTCTAGTTATAATATCTTTGGTTGCAAATTAATTTTCACCCAAGAGAAAATTGGACTTAATCCATGTTTGCATCACTGCTCGTTAGTTTTGGGAAATTTTGATTGCGAGTCTCGATCACCCAAGGATTTCCTTTCCAAGAGAAGGACACATCGTACAAGGTTAAACAAAGTAACTTATGAGATCTTGGCCGTTTTCTCCTGGAAACTAAATAGTTGAAACAAAAAGCGCGGGGAAAAAGGAAGTGAATAACATAATTTCTGATTGCCTATCGTTTCATTCCCTTAATTTCAAAATACGGAAAGCCTTATATTTCGTTTCAAGTCAAAGTGCTTCGGTTTTCCTCGTTTAAATTAGGGATAATAACCCAACTCAACTGTACTTTTAGACTGTCGCCTAGCATTACACGGATATAATTTCCATCGCCATATTTGTTTTAATCTGCACAGTTCGTGACATTTTCACGGTGAGTTAATTTCACGAAGCATATGTTTCTTGTTCGTTACTTTTTCCTCTTACTTCTCCAGGGGAGCGGATTTGAGGTAAATGTTTATTTATTTTAAAGGTTACAGCTGTGCTGAGGACGATCTGTTTATTCTAACCGTTCGTGTCAATAATAATGGGAACATCTAGTGAAGAAGATGGTGAATTGCCACTTAGTCTGTCGACCAAAAAGCGTTGTCACACGAAAAGATCGCTTCTATCTTCTGACTCAGAAGAAGGCGAAAGGAAGGAAAGATCACCAAGTAAACGGATAAACAGTGCACACAAGGAAACATGTGAAGAAGGAATGCGTAGTAGCGAATTGAACGCGACCCCCTCCAGCTCGCAGACGCCGCGTAGCTCAGAGCGGCTGCGAAAGAAATCATCATTGACGTTCTCTTTACCAAGCAGAAAAGAAGTACTGAAATCAATGTCACCGAAAGGAAAGAGACTCAGGAGTCAGGAGAAAATAAAGGTGTTGAAGCCTAGAAAATTGGTGAACAATTTCCTCAGAGAGTAAGTTTGATCGAACGTGACACCATCTTGCGAAGTTACAAATAACACTATGACGTACTTCATTTTTTTTTTTGCGAGGGGGTGGGGTGGGTGGGTGTTAGGGGATTTGATGTTTATATATCATTGTGTTTAATGATTGAAAGTCTCAGTACTTCTTGCTTTTATGTATTTGCCATGAAATGTCCCTCTTTCCCCATATGCATCCTGATGTTAAAGTGTAAAGGGTGAAGGAGACACAAGACACCTGAATGCATGCTCCAAAATCATTCATTTTTTAAAGTTAATGCAACAGCTTGTTGATACAGGCATATTTTCATCAGTTCAAGTTGCAGTCCATAAATCCCTTAAAAGTTTGTGTGTTAATAACCACACATATGTAAAACATCTCTAAGCTCCCAATATCTGATTGCTAATTCTTCCCTCCAGCTGATACACATTTCCCTTGTAAATAAGTTAAATTTGGTATTAGATCAAGAAAATAAGTTCTTCTTGATAAGTTTAGGTATTCTCATCACCTGTTTTCTGGATAATGAGAGGATAATATTAGGGAGGTTGCATGTTAATCACTTTTGGGAGTTAAGGGTTAACAGCCCTCAATAAGAAATAACAATAGAATATTCTTTTGTAGGCGTTCTTCTTATGTGAGTCGTGGAGAAGGTGGGTATGACTCAGATGACAGTGGAATGTCCGATTTCATAAATGATGATGATGATGATGGGGAGGATGAGGAGGAATCTACTGCAGAAAGTGACCAAAGCAGTGATAGTGGCAAGAAGGATTCTGGAATCTGTAGAGTAAAAGAAAGCAAAATAGAGAGGAAAAAGAAAAGAATACTTGATAGCTCCGAGGAAGAAAAGGAAACCAAAACAGAGGAGAAAAGGAAAATACTGCTTGATAGCTCAGAGGAAGAAAAAGGCCATAATGATGAGGCTGTTAATAATCCAAATTTTGTTGAGTCAAACAGAGGCATTGCAAATAAAAACAAAACAAAAAACAAAAGAAGAAAGCTTAATAAGTTTAGTGACTCTGATGAAGACAATTCTTCAGGAAACAAGAGAAATGAATCTAAAGAAAGCAATGATAGTAGTGGAGATTCTGAAACTGATGACATCTGTTCAAGTGAATCTCCACATGAGGCTGAAATCTTGAGGCCCCGTTCACAAAGAGTGAAAAGGCTCATACAGAAACAGGAAGTTAAAAGTCATAAAATGTTTGGTGGTTTATTAAAGAAAAGGCAAACAGCTAAACTGGATCCAAAAGAAAGACTTGCAAAGAGACTTTTGACTGAGGATGATGATGATAGTGATTTGCTTAGCAGTGATGATTTGTCTAGTAGTGATGGTTGTACTCCCACATCTAGTGCTCATAATGATCAAGATCCCCTTAAGGTGGCTGCAGCATGTTTTGCACAGCTCAGTAGTGAGATAGATGAGGATGAGGATGGTGATGACAGAGATTTCATTGTCAAGGATGTTGAGACATCTGATGAGGGCATGAACTCTGATGGTGCATCACAATTTCTCAAGCTCTTGGATACATTTGCAGGCAAGCAACATGATAAGGATGACAATGGAACACAAAATCAGGATACAACAGGGATCCGTGTAGGTGGAAATCCCTTTTCAAGTAGACGAAAAAGAAGGAAAAAGAAAACAGTAAAGAAAGAACCAACTTGGAAACGGATTAAGATAGAGGATGACAGTGACAATAGTGCAAATGATGATACAACAGATACCATGTCTAGCAGATATCAACCCCTTCACATTGCCATTCTTGAACATGATGTTCCCTTGGTCAATAAGCTGATCAAGGAAGATTCGGATTGTATTTATGAGATTGCTTTCAGAAAGAGGACTGCTCTACATTTGGCTGCTTTAGAAGGCCAAGTAGAACTTGTGAAACTGTTACTGAAGCATGGGGCTGACCAAACGGCTCTGGATTACTATCACTTGCCTGCATTGGCATATGCTTTGGATGGGCATCCAGAATGTGTTCAGCTGTTGCTTGGACATACTAATATTAAGAACATTAGTAAAAGTATCAAGACAAACAAACAAGAAATGAACCTGTTGCATTTTGCTGTGGGAGAAGGCAGAGATGGATGTAATTGTTATGACAGAGCAAAATGTCTGGAGCTTTTGTTTCATGAAGACAAGAAAACATGCACAAGGCTGTTATCACTGAGTGATGTCAGGAAGTTTGTTCCATTGGTCGCAGCTGTCCATGCTGGACAACATGAGGTGGATAATATTTCTATTTAAGATTTATTTAACTTTTTATCTCTATGTTTGTTCACTAATTTTCTCTGTTTTTTTTCTTTCTGCACAGCAGTCAACTTAATATTCATCCTATCAAAAGTAAATTCTTTAAAAATTGAGAAAAATGGCCTCTGATGTTTAAAAGAAGGTACTAAATGAATTTAAAAAAGACAACAACAGCAACTGCCAATGAAAATAACTTTGAAACAAATAGCATATAGGCAAAAAATTATAAAATTGTTTGTGATGTGTATGTACAGAAACAATTACAGATCAATTTGAAAATTAGTTTTCTCTTAATGAACAGGGGTACTAATAAATTGTGTTAATTGCTATCTTATGTTCTCTGTGTGCATGATAGTGTATGTTTTTTTCATTTTCACAGTGTGTCCAGGTCTTGTTGAGGATGGGTGCAGATATGATTTCCTTCAAGACTGATGATGGAGGCAACATACTGCACTTTGCTGTGGAATGCGCATCACATTTCAAAAGCAAATGGGAACCTACTAAAGACACTTCCTTTTGTCTAAGGGAGCTTTTGAAGGGATCAAGATTGCTTATTGACCAGCCGGATGATAATGGTACAAGTGTATAGTACAAAAATTAGCTATTAAAGACAATTTTACTCTATGCAAGCACTTTCATTTGCTTTACTGGCTTGATAAGGTATTTCAGGCATTGGGCTAACACAAGAAAAATTTTAATCACAAGCAAAAGATTAGTGATCTATGAATTTTGAGTGTTCTCTATGTCACTCAACTGGGTTATAACACTGGTTCTTGTAAATCAAAGAACATGTGGTGTATTCCTCTATATGTTTCTTAATATAATAGAATATGCTTTGTTTTGGACCAATCAGAGTCTAGCCAGTGTCTACAATAATTTGTTTTGCTTCTATTATGTTTATTTTTAGGTTTTACTCCATTGATGTATGCCTGTGAAAGTGGTAATGCGGAGTGTGTCAGGATACTGCTAGACAATGGTGCATTGTGTAGTTTTGTGGTGAGAAAATAGAACTTGATAATACTATCTTAAAGTTTGTTGAAACATTATTCAATTATGATGCTCTTGCTATCTTAATGTAAGTGCCCACATCTCCAATGTATATGCATCTGCAGTTGGAATCCATAAGCAATTAATTCTGCTTCCTTCCTATTAGGACAGTCATGGCACGTCTAGCCTTCATCTTGCAGCCATGTCAGGAGACACAGAGTGTGTTCAACTTCTGCTCAACTCAGGGCATCAGGTTGACTGTGTGGACAAATATGGATGGCCTCCACTGCTTTATGCCAACTTCAAAGCTCATGAGAGCTGTGTGCTAGCGCTGATGAAACCTAAACCAGAGCAAGTGTTTGTACTGGGAGAGCTTCTGAGAAGAGCAAGGAGGGAGTTGGAGAAGAAAAGAACAGTTAAGGTAAATACTGTAGCTGTGCTCAGGCACTGATTAATTATCACTTCAAAATGGTGTATAGTAGGTTATCATTAACAATTTTGAAATTGTTTTCTGTTGGTACAATATAGAGGTGCTGAAGCTGGTGATAATTAACAAATTCTTGTCAACAGGTGGTCAAGAATGTACTGGTGTCATTGGCCAATCACGATGCATACTACACAGTATTTAACGAGTTCATTCGCCAAAATCCTGAGGTGCTTGATGAGAACAATTATGGACTCCTACAGCATATCTGGAGAGCCATCTTGGATTTTGATAACAAGAGGAGGTGGTTTGTAAAGAAGCTGTCACAAATCAGGTCAGCCTGTGAAATTGTACATTAAGATGTGTATGAAGTGTTTTTGGCAGGGGAAAAAAAATTGGGGTTTTCAGGTTTCTCGCAAATCCCAACAAGTTCATAAGGAATGGAATACTTATATGCGAGCTGGAAAATTATAACATGTGATTAAAGAATTCATATTCATTGCAACATCACAGATCAACCTCTGCGAAACGTGAACGTTTGCCTTTGGAGATCGACAGAGCAAATGTTTTAGGCAGTGCCATGAACCAGATGGGGAGAATACTTGGACATGCACTGAGACACAGGGATTTGATTGTCACATTTCAGAATGAACCAGGTGGATTTAGTTATCTTATATATTTTTTCATGGTGTAATGATTTTGAACTGTATGGTCTGTAGTTTCCATTACATGTGCATTTCATGTAAAGGATGTTTTCTCCGAGGCGTTTAAGTAAACTTGTTATTTATTGTACTTTTTGTAAACCCACATGTATTGATTTCTCTTTTAAGGTATCTGCACTGGCCCAAAAAGAGAATTTTTTGCTTGCTTTTGTAAAGATGTCGTTGATCCCAAAAGACACCTTTTCATGATGACAGATGATGCCCAGTTCAGGTACGTGGTACCCATGTAGATGCAATTTAGATGCAGTGGGTCCTCAAGTACCAAAGACTTGAACTAACAGACATGTATCTTTTCAGCCCGGTGCCGAATGCTTACTTTGCTAAATATTTCACCGAAGAAGCACAGCAAGACACTTCACAAACACCAAGCAGTCAACAGGGGCCATCAAATGGGAAAGAGGAATGCCTATCTAGTGAGTGCACAGACGAAGAATTGATGTCAGCCGCGTCACAGGCAGAAGCTCGTTATGCGATGGCAGGAAATGTAGGTCAACCTTTCAAACAACTCAGTGCAGAAGTTGAACGTGGCATTAGTCTGAGGTCTGAAGGACAAACTGCTTTGGAAAACTTTACTGCAAATCAAGGAACTGAGGACAGGATTAATATCAGCGAGAGTGTTGCAGCGTCCAATGAAAGTGGCTGTAACGAAAGAGTCGTAAAAAGGGCTGACATAAGACATTCATCTGAGGTGTGTAATAATACTTCTAACACTTTATCGGTAAAGTTAGACATGTTATTATGATAACACATCAGTAGAATTGTGTATCAAGTAAGGTGGGTGTTGGCCTGGTTCTCAGTCAAAAAAAGTGGCTGCATGTACTTGATGTACACAGTACCGTGTTGTTTGCTAACGGAATGCTTAGACGAGGTTAGGGCCTAGGGACTGACGAGGAACTGCGAACTGGTACTGTACCATACAGAGTTTGCATGCAAATAATTTTATATTTGCAAAAAGTTTTATGATAGTTTTTTTTTTTTTTTTTTGTCTGGTGTTTCCCCGCAGGAGCAGAACAATGGAAAACGAGCAACGAGGAATCTCTCCTTGCGTTCTAGACTCAAACAGCTTCGTTTTATAGGTCGCATGGTCGGGTTTTCCATTTTTGAAAATTTGCTACTGGATCTTCATCTCTCCAAACCATTCGTGAAGCAGGTGACCTTTTGGTCTGTCTTTACATATTACTCTCAGTCATTCAGCTGTTTAGATTCGTACTCACCTTACGAACTATTATAATGTTCATGATACCGATAGTGACAATAGTAATAATAACGGTGGTAACAGAAGCAGTGACATTAATTATGATAATAATTACTAGGATAGTAATACGTGTAAGACGATGAAACTAGTGATGAGTGTAATAATGATGATGATTCAGTGATATGCAGTACAACTACTTTTACTCTCGGTTTGGCTATACTATTGATTTCACAGTATGTTCTTCGTTCACTTTATACGCAGATGTGAATTAGAAGCACTCTCTTTGATTAATTGAGACTTCTTAAAAAACTTTTTGTACTAAACTTTGATTGGAGAAGACCCTTTCGTCAATACGATTTCCCAAATAATCGCTATAGACTTGATCAGTCTCGACTGTCTATCAAGTATTTGAGTGACAAACAATCACTTTCTCACACATTTCAGATCCTTGGAATACCTTTATCTCACCCAGACGACCTTAGTTCATTTGATTACGAGCTCCATAAGAATGCAGTGACTTGGTTACAGGAGAACTGTGTGAACGAACTGGACTTGTCATTTAACGTGGATGCTCTGAATCCGTGGAACTCTAAACCAGTCACAATTGAGCTTAGTGATGACTGTGATAAGAAACTCACAGATGACAATAAGGTACCAGTTGAAACTTAGGATTCAAACGCAGAAGCTTTGTTACCACTTTAGCTTGAAATAAATTCTTTTGTGACCAATGCTTATCCAATTAGGCTCTTCTCCCACGATTCATTACACTCGTCTGTCTCGTAGGAAGAATACAGCAAATCTGTCTCACAATTCAAATTGGAAAAATCGATTAAAGATGAAGTGGGTGAATTCACAGGAGGACTTCATGAGGTAAGTTGTGTTCAAATGATAATGTGTTCATTTGACAGAGATGACATTCATTTACAAGTAACTACACGGGAACACAGGGCAAATAGCAATAAATCGCTTGCCATTTTTTAATGCATTCTACACCAAATCAACTCAGAAGGTACTGAACACGTACTCTCTTTTCAGGTTATTCCACGAGAATTCCTTTCGCTGTTCACAGCTGACGAATTTTCGCTGTTGATTAACGGAGTGGCCAAGCTTGATGTGGGAGACTGGAAGAAGCATACCGAGGTGAACTATCGCACTTGATATTTATAGCTATTCAATTGAATGAAAAAAGAAAGGATGGGAAAAACAAGGTTTTGTTTTGAATCTGAAGGGAAAGTTAGTCGTTACCGATTTTTTTTAATACAAACAAACCAACAAACAAGCGACAACACAACTAAAAAAAAATGTCTTCATAATGTTATAAATGAATGATCCTACATTTCATCCTTTGTCGTCTTTAGTATAAGCAGTGCACGGCAGAAGACGACGTTATAAAATGGTTTTGGAACATTGTGACACCGCTAAAAGAAGAAGAAAAAGCTCTGCTGATGAAATTTTCCACTGGATCACCTTGCGTTCCCCTTGGAGGTTTTGCTGCCCTAACGGTAAACATCTTAACAAGATATTCATTCGACTGTTTTGAATTGGCTTTGTCACGCTTTTTCGTTTTGCCTTGTAATTATTGCGCAAGCGATGCTGTACTTCTGATCCACGCTCTTCGTATGACAGAGACTGAAACTGTGGCTAATTAGTGTGTAATGGTGGGGGACTTGGTAGAAGTGGGTTTAAAATCCAAATATACTGAACTGTTAAAGTTGAACCACCTAACCTCCGAAAAATGAAAGCTGCTTTGCTTGGACGTGTATTAGTTCATCGCTGTTCTTTTATTCTAAACGTTGATAATCCCTGTTGGTCCTTGGAACTTTTAAATATTTTGAAACAAATTTAAGTCAATGAAGGTTGATTTTTTTGGAAAACTTTTACCCACTATTAGATCTTAAATCGCATCCAAAGAGGAGAAAAAAATATTAATTTGTCGTCATATCTAATGTAAATTACTGATTTGTTCACTCTGAACTTCGTAACCTCCCGCAAGTGCTATGCTATTTCTACACTCCAGAACCCTGGCAGGCCAGTTGAATGCCATGTTGATGGAGTGCGATGGCTTTAGTGGACCCAGTCATTGTTTGATCATGCTTCATTGTGTCATGGCTTTATTCAGCTGTCTCTACGTTGTTTTGAAGTGTATCAATTCCATTTTAAAATGAAGTCTTCTTTTATGCACCAGGGTTTGTCAGGTCCTACAAAATTTACGATTTCGAAGATTGCAGGACTCAATAAAGTAAGTTTAACAACATTGCACTGAAGTTTCCGGGCTCAAAATCAATCCTTTTAAGGTATTGGTCACGTTTGCAGGTACCTTCTGGGGCTTTTTTATAAATGATTTCTTGCTGTAAATTATATACGAAATTGAGTTTTAACCATAAAGTCATGTACTAGTGTCGAGTTCTCATCCCGCTCTTTTTCCTTTTGTCCATTTGGTAGATTCCTATGGCATCCACGTGTTTTAACATGCTGAAACTGACCAGCTACAGTTCTGAGAAACACCTCAAGGATAAACTGTTGATTGCGATAAGGCACGGCGCAGAGGGGTTTTCATTTTCGTGAGGCACAGATCCCGCTGTGCTGTACCGCTGTTATCGCAGAAGTGTCAGTAGTTTTTTTTTCTTGCTCGTACAGCTCGAGACGAATGATTAATGTTTTCACGTGCTTCAGATTCGATCTTACAAATCATGATCACCAAAGCATCGCATATGCGACCTTTTATCTTTTTACCTTTTCTGTAGCAATGAATCACTCATCTATTGAGTGAAATATATAATCGAAAGGTATTATCGTAATATAAAATTATAATTAGTATTATAATAAAAAAAACTGGGGAACAATCGAGTACAGAATCTAAAATTTTAAAGAATAATAAATATATTTACATATATATATTTATATATGTGTGTGAGTATGCGCGGCGAGTTTCTTAAAAACAAACTCTTCGAATCGATCTCTATATAATATCTTTAAGGGGGGGGGACTTAATCAAGCCGTTGATAGTGATGATGATGGCTTAAGTACGTTTATTTCGATAATACTACTGCTAATAAAAGACATGATAATAACATTAATCGTGTGGTGTGTTGGTAGACATCACACTGAGAAGTCCGGGATATCCTAGCAACCACCCAAAAAATGTGGATTGTGAATATTCTGTTTCTATTCCAAACGGAGGGCCAATGGGAATATATTTCGAAGACTTTGATGTTGAGGGCGATAGACATTCATGAAGGTGAGACAGTTTTCTCTCACAAGAGTGAAACAACTTTTCTTTTGCATACCAGTCTGAGAGCTTTCTTTGTCTGTACGTACGCAGTTCAGCGGAGACGGCAAATCTTGTCCAAACTAATTGTTTTTAGAAAAACTCGTTCCTTACATTGGTATTCTGGTTAAAACGGTGTGAGGAAATTTCTGAAGTTTTAATTTCAAACCTTAACAACGTTCCGTTCTTGCAACGTCAGCCTCCCGGCCTCGCATATTATTTATTCATTTATTTATTTATTCATCAATTCATCTAGACATCTATCTACTGATTTGTTCATTTTTTTTTTATTTCAAGTTATATCAGTCAGCTTTGAGTTGCAAGGTTCTGCATAACAGCATCTCTCCTTTCTTTTTTTCTTTTTTTTTATTTAATTCACAGGTAAGTAGGCTCTGTGTACCATCAAGTACTTTGTTTACCAGTTAGACATAATTTAATCGCAATAAAATCACCAGGATTTAACTTATTCCTCATACTTTAACAAACACCAGCTACATGCTGGATATGATAAAACAGTTTAAATTATGGAGTTCAAGGTTTTTATTCAGAAAATTTGATATTCAGGGTAGAAGAATCATATCAATATCAGGAAATCTGGTAAAGATAAATTGCCTTCCTAAAGCTTTTAAAACAAAGTCTAAGTTCATGCAAATTACATTTCAATTCCCTTTGGTAATGACGCACTTGGGCAGAAAAGTGTCACTTCGTATCATCATTGATAAGACATCCATCTTCGTTTGCGACCGAAATAGAATGTTCAGTTTAATTCTAACCGATGAATCAGTCTTCATTGATATTCCTTTATTCCAGTGTTTTGAGTTTTTTGTTGTGAAAACAGCATTTATTTTTGACGCAGAGCGACAAGTAGAGAGAAAAAACATTAACAAGAACAGCACCGCAAAGATATCTTTTTGAAATATTTAATGGCGTTTCGGTTCTCATAGTGACTTTTATTGCTCTTCTGTCATCAACCACTCAAGCACGTCGTTGCAACTGTTATGCAAAGTAGCTGTGATGTAACCTTTGTCAGCTAAACAATTCAAAAATTTCAAAAAAAAAAAAAGACAAAAAAAAATAATCCAGCGTGATACGCATGCTTTTTCACTCCTTCGAAAAGTTCCGGTTTGGAAATGACGGCGAGAAAACTCGCTAGTCGGGTCCCTAAACTATTGGACTAACAACGAAAGACAGGTTGCTACACAAGTTGCTTGAATTTGGAAAAACAACATTCATTACAAGCGTAATATTTGAATTTCAATCACTGATACAGCCCTTGGTAAGAACCGCTGATTGCTCCTGGCAGATTAATGACATGCATATGTGTGTTTTAGAGAAAGAGCCGTCGATATTTCGTGGTGAAATTTGCTGCCTACAACGGAGTTTCGTCCTTAAAGCGAAGTGATGTTCTCCTCGCTTAAACTCTTACGATGAGAGCCCTTCTTTTATGTGTTATTTCGTCCATATATTTGAACACTTACAATTCTGTTTACGGGGTCGAGACTACATCAAATCCATCTTCCACATCAAGCGAGCAGTTCACAGGTAGAGTTGAATTTTTTCCATCTGTAATTACGTAGTATGTTACACTTAATGTTTTTTTTCATCCTAAAAAATATGTTTTAAATTTTGCAGTATGAACGAGAATTTTTAGTCATAAACTGGCGCTGTTCTCATGAATATTCTAAAGGAAGTGGTTCAAGTATTCGCCCTTTCTTCAGGCAATAACGGTCACTTTTAGAATTTCTCTCTAATTTTAAGAAATACTCTGAAACTCTCTTTGTATTCTGAAAGGAAAAGATTGCTGTCAACTTTGTTTACAAAGGGCGAGTGTGAGCAATGAATACTCCTGTGACCGGAATATGTGGTGAAAATGCCAGAAGCTAATGTTTACTTGTCGAGCGTTTAAATTTTCCGCAATCTTGAAATTTCGCCTGTGTCTCTGATGTTTTTGCCTCCGGTGGTCATAATTAAACGCCTCCGTATTGCCTCGCAAACGCAAGGAGTTGATCTTCAACGAAACAATGCAAATTTTCAGCTTTTGTTTGAAAAGTTCCGGGATCGTAAAGACAAAAGATTGGTTGACAACAATGAAATAAAGCTGTTGACAAAAAACTACAAAAAGTTGAAGAAACAAGCTTAATGAACCATAGACTTTCACAAGGGAAACCCTTTTACGTTCATTTTGTCTTAAGAACTTAAAATCTGAAATTAAATCAAAATTACAAAAACCCGATGGTTTATATTACTGCACGCAACCCCTCGTCCATTTTTCAAATCAGATAACATGTTAGAAGGAGATTACAATTATTCATTTTAAGGCCGCTTTATCACGACCGACTTGGCTGGCTGTATAATTAAGAATTTGTCGAGAAAAGACAAAAACCCGTGTCAACCAATAACAAGTCTTGGAGGGGCTATATTCTTATCGTAGTCGACATGTCTCTGAACCGGTTCATGCTGAATGTGTCATAACGCAGGCTTCCAATCTTTTGCCTGGTTTCCCTTGTCTTCGCTATGAAAATACCGGCAGGTAAAAATGTTTTCTGATTTTGTTCAATGTCATTCGTAATATCTGTCCTCATACTCAATTTCGAATTTTCCTTCACCTGCCACAGCGTCTCATATGTATATTTTCATCCTTAACTTTTAATTTATTTCGTGTTTGTATCATTCAAATCAATACGGCAAGCTAAAAGTTCGTAAACGTGCGCAAAAACATCATTTTAAACATGTATTTGCAAAGATAATTTAAAACTGTGTACATATGAAATTGGATCAAGAAACTTCCTCTTTCAAAATTCGCTACTAAATTTTCTTTTTGGCTGTAGCTGTACATTTATTATATCTTTTCCTTTTAAATTTTTTTCCCTTAAAGGAAAGCACTTCAACTTTCTACTTTTTTTAAAATTTATTTAAACGCCATTCGGAAGTTTTTTAATACAATTAAATTAACCCAATGTTAGATGTGTCTCCTATTCAGGGAAAGCAAGTTAAATATTCTACGTTCTCCTTTAATTTGCATCGTCAATTTTGTCCGTTTTGCACCTTTTATCTATCACCATCTCCGTTTATCTCTTTCCTTGTTGCATGCGGCAACATCTTAAGCTTAGCAACAATCGGTCAATTTTTCTTTAATGCAGTCTCTTACGAATACAAGTTAGGAAGCAGATATTTCTTTGGTAACCAACCTTTGGTTAAAGACAAAATTAAAAACGGAAATCTTAGTGACTGTCACACGCAATATCTAAAGGTGCGCCCACCCAAATGAATATGATAAATTTTTATGAAAACCGACTTTCGATTCATAAATCCAGAATTATTCTTTTCAAATTCTAGATCTGAAACGCATGTTCGCGATTTAACCAAATTTCAAATTACAAAGTACGTGCATGCTCTGACTAATGTGATAAATTCTATAAAAGCTTCATATCCGAGATAATGTCAAAACACTCTGGGCGTATTTGTATACCAAAACTTGTGTCAGCCGTCATAAAAAGTTTTTTCTTTATTTTTCTTTTTCTGTGAAGCGATCATTATCGCAAGGTGAATAAAACTCGACTGGAAAATGAGGCCCTTCTTAAATATTTAAAAATTTGGCTAATTTTCCTTTATTTGTCGCTTGCTAGGAAGTTGAAAAATCGCAATAAACGGTCTTTCCTGTTTAATTTGCATTTTATGATTGCTTTTCAGTTCCGAAACCAGCGATCATATTTTTGGGATTTCTCGGAGTATGCCTCGTAGTTGTGTTTATCTTGTACAAGATTCTCCACTCTGATATTTGTAAACTCGATCGTAATAAATTGGCCGGTGTAAGTCAAGCTGAATATGCAGAACTTGGAAAATCTGCCGCATTTGAGGAAGAATCCCACGACGAATCAGATAGTGTGGATTACATTGAACAAGAAACTACTGCAAGCGATAGGAGTGATGACCGTCCAATGCATAGACCTGCGCCATACGTCAAGAGCAGGAGCCTGGGTGACCTGTTCTCTGAGAAACCAAGTCAGCCTCCTGCGCCTCAGAGGAAGTTCACTCAATGGGAGAGACCGTCTATAGAAGCTGTCAAAGCTGCAAGCCATTTGAATGTCCTCTCTGCTTACGGAGATACAGGCGGTAGTCAGCGCGTTCGGAAGAAGTCGCGTAAGGAATCACGAGGGGATATCACTTGTGTAGCAAAACTACAAGTTTCTGTCGCATTTGCGCAGACGGCCCAGAGATTAGAAGTGACCATCATCCGAGTGCAAGACTTCCCCGAGGCATTTTCCGCGAATAGCGCTACTTCGGCAATGTCAATCCATCTGACCCTGATGCCGTCGAAGCGATATCGATTTAAAACGAAGACGAAGGCAACTTCTGATGTCACAATTAATGAGACATTTGTCATGCGAGGCGTAAGTGCCAACGAATTAATGGACAGCAGTTTACGCTTCCGAATTTACGCGCAGGGTTCAATGAAGACAGGCAGACTACTGGGAGAAACACAAACCCACGTGACAGACTTCGACTTGGATGATATAGCCTCAACTATGTGGATTATGGTACCACCAGCTGAGGAACAGAAAAAATCGTCTTCTAAACAAAGAAAGTAATACATTGACGTCACATGCATTGGATAAATAGTCGCGCGTAAGTGTTTTAGTTGATTAGTCCTTCACCTGTTATCTTCTAGTCTTCACCAGCTGCAGGTTCTTAGAGCAGAGGCGAGTAACCTCTTAAATTAAGTACAAATCAATGGAGACTTAGGTCTCCCAGAGCTGAGAACAACTTGAGCCTTTTGAGAACAGTAGACGGGGAGGCCAATTATATCTCACAACATGATAGAAATCTGTTTTCACTTTACAAAAGGACACATCCTGAATTCTTAAACATCCTCTTCCGGCAAGAATTAGCCTTAAGTTTGTATCACCCTGCCTGAGGAACCATAAATCGGCCTCTTTATTCTTCAATGACGTCATAAATTAATTGCCCACTGTAGTCGTTCCAAAGGTAAAAAGAAACGGGAAACGTTACACTGGTTGGTAATCGATCAAAAGAAAATTTTCGAGTGTTTTTAAATGAAAAAAAAAGTCAAAATTTTTGTCGTTCCAGTTTAAACGTAAACTCAATCGACAAAGTAGGACTTTAGGCTTCACTGGACCATGACATTTAAAGCGTGCGGTTTGATGACGTATGCCGAGGAAAGTTTCCTTGTTTGAAATATGATAACTTCATGTCTTTTTTCACGATCATTTTTTTATTTCTCTGTTGAAAAAGCCAGAGTCTTCTCAAAAGACCGCCTTTACCTTTGATTTGTGAAAAATACGATAAATTTGGATAATATGTCGTGGTTTTCATCTTGCTCGAGACGAAAAAAAAATTCCGCTTTTTTTGGTTGTCAATGTCGTCACCATTGCTAATTAATGTAAATAATGTAAATGGCAGAGGTTGTACTCTATTGAGCATAAGGAAAGGCTGCCTCGGAGGTAGAGGTGCCTTACCTACAATCGAGAAGGGTTACCCTATCAGCATAATAAGTTATATTTTGTCATGGAAATCTGCGCAGTTGAGGTTAACCCCTTTACACTCTATCATCGGGATCTATATTCTATTCACTGTTCTCTTTACATTTCCATTGGTACTGACAAGGAGAATTTGTTTATCAATCAAAGCTTCTTAAGTTGGTGATCATTTCCTTTATTCTCGTGATCTTAATAAATGATTTAGCAATATTATTGTAAGGAGAAATTAGACTCTGGTCACTCTTACGGTTTTAAGGATTAACTCACCAAATAGGACCAAGCTTAGCGCCCTTGGTTCGCAACGAAAAAGCGTGCGTTCTCCTTTTCACTTCCAAAATTCTAACAAAGCAACGTTCGGAAACTATCACGCAGTCGATAAACACTCATAACCCAAGAAAATGAAAGAAAGAGATATCGTTATGACGGTCATCTCGTTCCCTTAAGCAATGTTTCTGTCTGTGAAACGTGTATGGTGCACCCTTTGTCCCCAAATAGGGGCTTTAAAATTTATTTCAAGCCGAGAAGACCCCGGCTCTGAACATCTCAGTAGTTGTCATTTAAATGTTTATCATAATTACTCTCGATTAATTATTTATCCTTTACACGGCATAATTTTTGAAAGTATATTTTTTGGAAAAAATGCACCTCGAGTTGTATGGTTCTTAAGATTCAGCTCTTTAAGTTAGAGATCATCTTATTTGTTCTGTGTAACTTATAAGAAGCTGTACCTTGCACTTCTGTTTGTATTTTTAGTCTTTAGTGATATCTATCGCCTTTTAAGGGCTTTCCAAACATTTGCATATTAATCAAGTAAATAACTACAACGACCAGGAACTTTAAAAATTAACAGGGAAATACTCAATTTTGTCCGATATCTTAAAGGTGTGCAAGAGTATATTCTAGATTTTACTTCACACTCTGATCTCCGAAAAAAAAAGAATATTATTTTTATATATTTAAGATATAGAACATTTATTATTTTCGGTAGCTGGAATTCCACTAACTTGCAACCACTTTAGAAAAGAATTACATTGACATACCTATTTGACATTTGATTGTAAGTTATGTATCGAAAAAATTGTATAATCCTTTCACTCCCTAGATCTCATCAGAAACTCTCCTTGATGTCTGCTACAAAATTCTTATGTCACTTCGGAGTATTTAGTATTGGATCAATTAAGAATCTCCTAATTGATAGTTTTCTTTTTTGCTTGATATTGCAATGTTTTTGTATTTTTATTGTAAGAAGAATTTTCTTTCTTGGTTGCTCATGGGAGTTAAAGGGTTTACAAATGCTTACGATTTGCAGTTGTTGCTGTATCATGTTACAATAAATGCACAATAGCAGAGGAAAGTGATTATTTCCTCATTGAAAAAAGCTTCTGTTCATGTATTGAAGAATAAAAGAAAGTTTATTGCAGAAAGGGCATTGTTTGATCACTCCTCTTGGTACTCGAAATAGCTTCATTTCATAGAATCTCTCAGTTTGCACGTGTTGCGATTGATCAATTAAATTGTCCTTAAACCAAGTGTGCGATAAAAACAAAACACGATATAAATTTTGTTTAAGCGACATGGTATGGTATTATGTAATAACTCTGCAATGGTAATTCTGATAATTCAACAATGGAACTATAAACTTTGCCATAAAATATAAACGTAGAGCATCGGAGCGCGGAATCCGAAGGTCTGAGGTTCGATTCCTCATGGAATTTTCTTTGTCCCAAGCTCGTGACTAGAGGAAAAACATCTTTCTCTATTTCTTTACCCAGCTCAAATCTTACTGTCTTTCATATTCTATTTACAAACTTTCCTATAAGAAATTTAATTCAAAAAGTCACCTTTAATAACAACACATGTACATGTAAATTAAACTTTACCCAGAGTTCCAGAGAGTTTCAACTCTCGCGTGTCAAACACGGGAATCGGTCCCAGACTGGCGTGCCGAACTTGTGCCTTAATCAGGCGATGGTATACATTTAAGTCTCTCAAAAGCAGCTTTCTCTAACCACTCTCTGTGATAAGGATGAGCGATATTAATCAGTTCATAAGCTCTTTGCCTAAGGTTCTTCCCAAACAGGTAAGCGATTCCATATTCAGTCACGATGTAATGCACATGCGCACGAGTTGTCACAACGCCTCCACCTGTACAAAATGAAAAGAACGAAGTAACTCTGGTAACTGGCTCAATAAATATATAATAAAATAAATAATTAATAATGAAATAACTAAAAGCAATGAAATTTGCCTTCATTCTTTGACAGCCGTGATGAGAAATTTGACTCAACGAGGAGGAAAGTGGAGGAAATATATTGGAATGCTTTTAAAAACACTGACACAACTTCCTTAAGCAATTTTTGTGAAATAATTGCAGCCTTCTGACACACATACCCGAGGCTGCAAAGGACCGTTTATGTTGCCGGGTTTGTTGCAGCGCATAGGGAAAAAATTAAAAGGTGCGTTTTAGCAACGTAAAAGGAAACTCTTCTTAAGTTGCCTCAAGTTTTCCTCAAATCCTTTTGACGTTGTAAGTTCAAGGAGGTTAAGTAAAAACCTGTGCTAATTCAAACTATGCCCAAATAAAATACCCAACGTATCGTCCATAACGCTAAGTTTGCGCTTAATGCCGGAGGTCAATAACTGTGAAAATACGGCTAAGTCTAGTAACCATCCTGCACCCGTTCGACTTACCTTCTTTCAAGAAAGGAACAATCTTTGACTCTCCTTTCTTGGTAACAGAATTTAGGGCCAGGATTGGTTTACCACATCCGTCAAGTGCTAAAGCTGCTCCACGTAAAAAGTCTATTTGGCCTCCGACACCTGAAAAGATGCTAAATATTGTAAGGTTACTCAAAAATGCCGAAGGAATTCGTAAACTAATCAAAACCCACGAACAAAATCAATCCAATCACGCACAAAGAGTGTGCATGGTTTTATTTATTATTACATGTATTTTTTACTAGAATGGAGTGGCGCTTTGTAATATGCAATATGGCGTGTCTTCATGTTACTCAATCACAACCAAACAGCAAACAAACAAACAAAACTACATATTACAGCATAACAACAAGTAGGGTTTGGTCACAGAGATCTCACTCACTCTCCTCACATATTTTATGTAGATTACCTGAATACATTCGTGTTCCAATAGAGTCTGAAACAATTTGTCCAGTGAGATCCACTTCAATACATGAGTTAATAGCTGTCACTTTAGGATTTTGAGCAATTACTGACACCAAATTGACAAATCCAACATCCAACATCACTTTTAAGAGAACAAAAATTAACAGTGAAAACATGATTAAAATGAGGACATAGATAATTTTGCATCAAACATTATGATAATTAATGGTATAACAAAGTAAATATATATTTTTTGCAGTGAATACTCTTTACACGGGGGATAAACTGTATATCAAGTTATAGATATTGCAAAAAGAATATACGGTAACGTTTTCCATAAAATCACTGATCTCATTGAAAGGGTGTATGGAAGTATCTAAACCTTAACAAAAATAGCTTCAGATAGTTTGTTTGATTCTCCTTTCAAAGTGTCTTATATTCCCATACAAGATACAAAAAGAAGTTAATGATGCATCTAAAGGTAAGCCTCAAAGGGCTTGGTCTTATTAGCCAGTACAAGTCTGACAAAAATTCATCTTTCTCTGTTTTGCAAACAACAAGAATTTATTGGCTATGGGAAAATTGTGAGGTAGTTATTTAAGGAAATGTACCCACATCATCAACTGAACTTCCTGAAACTTCAAAATCCACAAGTTATTTATCAACAAATCATCAACTCACCTACAAAAGGGTTATTGTCAATGAATTCAAACACTTTCTTTGTTCCAATCACAAAACTTCCCACACATCGGCCAGGTAACACTTTTTTAAAAGCATTAGTGATGGCTCCCCTTTCAGTTAGAGCTACTACACCATCACTGAACATCTCCGAGTGGATGCCAAGGTCTTTATGATCCATCAATCGACTCAAGCAGGCATCTGGTATGGAACCAATTCCTGTTGGGTTGTCAAATAGAAAACAAAACACTACAAGTTAACCTTTTACACCCTAACAATGGTTTTCATATTCTCCTCACTGCTCTCTTTACATTTCCCATAGTATTGAAAAGGAGAATTTGTTTGACAATCAGGAGCTTCTTAAATTAGTGATCACTTTGTTTACTCTCATGGGCATTACATTTAATTCAAGGGTGATACTGTAGGGAGGAATTAGACACCAGTCAAACTTATGGGCTATAAGCAATTAATGGAAAGATCCAGATGAATTTTCAGGCCCTAAGATTTATGATTAGTTAAATTAACCCTTCAATTGCCAAGATCTGATGGTTAAATCTCCCTTCTAGTAGCTGCTTATTTCCTTGTAAATCGGTTACAAGAATTTGGTGTTGATCAAGATAATATCTGTATCTTCTAATTGATATGTTTGGAGTTTTCTCATTACCTGTTTGCTGGATAAAGTTATGTTTACCACTTCTGGGAGTTAAAGGGTAAATGTATCCTCTGGCTTAACAAGCAGGTCCCATGCAGGTAATTAGTCAGTGAGTTACAAGTGAATAGTTTCTCCACTGACCCATTTGAAGAGTGGCACCATCCTCCACAAGGTTGTTGGCAATTAACTGACCAATTTTGGCTTCCTCTGAAGTCTCTGGATTAATCTTCAGTTCTGGGAGATTAAACTCTGAGACACACAGTACATCAAGATGGGATTGGTGGATGCCTCCTGGGCCGTGAGTGCGAGGACACTGTGGGTTCACAAGCCCTACAATGTGTTAATGAGAATAATTCATGTCAGAGAAGAAAAAAAAACTAAAAAAATTTACCATCACATTGAACAACCTGGATTTATTGTCACCATTATACAAAAATTTTACAGTATTTATCCTTTAGCAAATTAGGAGTCAAATACCAATTACCTAATCAAATACAGAATTCTTGCAGCTTATCCTGCTCTAAGTTTATGTTTTCATTTCCTTATCTATTTCTTATGATGCTCAAATCTTATAAACTATGCAACAATTCCATTAAATACCTTTGAAAATAATATAACAGTAATATTATTATAGAAAAACTAATTGGTTTAGTGGGTATCCCTAAATTCAGATATACTGAACAAAATGAATACAATATTCATTTCCTGATCCTGTCACTTTTTCATTTCCTCTATTCTTGGATTACCTAGACCTTTAACTCTTATACCACCATGAGTGACCAAGACAGAATTTCTCCATGCACAGTCAATACAATATCAAGCAGACAGGTAAGGAGAAAAAGAGAAATATAAATTAGGGGATTGTTATCATGAAATCTGGCATACAGTAAGGAAACTTACTAATGAGATCTTAGGAGTGAAGTGTTTTTCACAAACCCTTCAGCACCTTCAAAACAATTATTATTTGGTATGACTGAAATGTTGCATCAGGTCTCTGTAATGTACCTTGAGACCAACATATTACACAAAACAGAGCAGTTGTTTAATTAGAAGGTTAATATTAAATAACATGAAATTTTATAGTAATTTTTATTTTTTTTCTCAGTTTGTGAACAGGCGGTATTCTACAAATCCTGCAATCTGATTGGTTCCGAGAGCAGGCAGTATTCTCCCCATCCAGCCCGCTCACAACCATCGCATTGCATTTTGCAACCATTTGTTAGGTTTTAGAAAAAAATAAAAGTGTTATTCACAAGCCAAGGTTGGGCCGTATTGGGAAAAACTGTGCCCTCTTTCTTGTGTATGGTATCCAAGACCTCGGGCACAATTTTTCCCAATATGAACCTCCCGTCTGGTGAATAACATATATATTTTATAAAACAAATGACAAGTATAAATGTGTGTATGGCATAAAAATGTAAAATTCATACCAATAATATATTTGGCATTCTGAATGGCAGCTCTTGTACAATCTACACTTGGACCCAGAGTACAAAATCCATGTTTGTCTGGTGGACTTACTTGTATCAGAGCCACGTCTATGGCAATTATCTTGCGCTGGAAAAGCAATGGAATCTCACTAAGGAAGATAGGTGTAAAATCTGCACGTCCTTCATTGACAGCTTTACGACAGTTTGCTCCAATGAACAAGGAGTTGCTTCTGAAAATTCCTGGAATCATTTCAGAAAGGAAAAATGTGATTTATGAGAAAGGATTGTGATTTTTCATCATAGTTTGATGGTATAACCTCTCTTCTAAATTGCTAGTCTGGCAAAGAGGACTTGCCCCTTTGTAAATCACCATATTAAGGATTAAGGTCTCTTGTGATTCCTTAGTTTTGAACAGAGTAGAGCAAAAAATATCATTAGGTGAAATGTTTAAGTTGACATCATCACCTGAAGAAGACTGGAAGTAACCAGTTAAAAGGTCACCTGCATCCACATCAGAAGTGGTTCCATCATGTGGGAAACAAATAGAACTGGAAAATATTTGGTAGAAATACCAGGTATAGAATCCTTGACTAAAAACAGACACATGCTGTAAACAAACTGCTTTGTCTGCCATGTGCATTTGTTCCCATTTTCATGCATGTCCTTGACATTATAGCACAATTAACACTACTATCCAGGGGGGTGTCCCACTGTAGCTTAATGATACCAGAATCCACGAAATTTACTCACCGTCATATTCAGGCTTCACCAATTCACCTGATCCTTCCGTGTGGATATGAATCAGTTCAACATTCTTTAGGCCAACCTCTTTTCCTCTCTTTGCCACTGCATCAAGGAGTGGTAGAGGGGTAGCTGCTCCTCCATGCACAAACACCTTCATTCCTAATAAAAAAAAGACAATTAAACATTGGAAAAACCCTGAATGAGCTCAGTAATACTGTACATCAAGCTTTCTCTTCACTTTGCGGGAATTAAAAGAAAAATAACCTGTTGTCATCCATATCCTTTCATTGCTCCACCAAAGGAAGTTGACAGGCATTCCATTTTTTTAAAGGGAGTGACAGTCCTTCGTCTGTAGCATATTTCGTAGCACCTACTTTGCAGGGGATTTCATACCAAATTGTATAACGTGTCATTAAAACTGATTTCGCACGAAATCACTGCTCAGTAAACATTACCTTCAGTCTGTACCTGCTGATGTCGAAGCGACTTTAATTGGCTTCGGTAATGATTTTTTCCTTTTACTTCTCAAAAATTTCAGTAACATTTCTCGAAATAATTCAACTTGAACAGCGTCGTTTTCGACTGAATTGAACAACAATTTTACACAAAGAAGCTGAAAACGAAAGCCCATCTTGTGGAAAGAATAAAATTCAAGCTCACCTGACTCGATCACTTCCACAGCTTCTTTTGGAGATTTCCATGCGGGCGTTTTCCCTGGCAAAGGATGAAATGGCTCCGCAGAGTATGTGTAGAAGTTACGACGACCTATGTTGTAACGAAAATAAGACAGCATGAGCTATGAGATGTACCCGTAGATTGAATTTCCCCGCCAAACATATCGCCACTGATAGTTCGTTTACCATATCCTTCGTGGCTTTTGCTGCTCACAAACGAACTAATGGCCCTTGATTGCAGAAATATCGAAAAGGGAGACGAATTTGATGGCCGAAATAGCTTTGGAAGCTGTGACGATAAGGACGCCATGCTTTCCTTCAAATAAATCTCTAAAACATGATTTAACAAAAATTTACTTTCGTGACAAACTACACGTTTCGATGGAAGAGGCGGCGACAAGCTCGTTTTGATGGAATAGGCGACACGCGCACGAAATTAAGTTAAGTTTGTGCACGTGCCTAGTCTCTCGAGCATTCTTTGCCTTTAAACTGATATGTTATGGTAAAGAGGGTTCGGAACGAATTGAGAGTTGACACCTTGCAGGAAGCAATTTATTTCTTTCTTTCCGGGAGATATTTTTTCTATTTACATATAGTAAATACGATAGGCCGCTGAACGAAAGCACTACATGTCGAGGAAACTTTTGAAAGCGTCCAAAAAATAACTCACAAATATGCAACTTCCAACTCAAAAAAAAAAAACACCCACAAAATGATTGAGTTTTTTAGCAAAATCCGCGTATTCTCAGCCCACAGATTGCAGAGCTTTAGATGGTAAAACACTGATGCTAGTTAGCCATGATATTGACGGCTAGCGGCTACAAAAAAAAAGAAATAAACTCAGAAGACCGAAAATTCCCGATAGCGAATTTTATCATATTTGACGATCAGCATCCTGAGCTTTTTTACGCTTAGGGTTTTACCTCACATAACTCGTTATGACTTTGGACTTCATATCAGGTGAGCATTACGGTGTTTTAGCTGGCTACGCTAAAACTTGTCACGCAGGTTGCGTGACACATTTTTAGTCAGCAAATGTTAACAAAGTTAATTTCACTCTCCGAATCCGGCTGAACCAGGCAGTTGCATCACTGAAATTTTTATGACATAATTCATCTTCCGTCTGGTCTCTATCAGGGAAAATGATGCGAAGTTACGACTCGACAAGTATTTAGTAATACGTACATGTAACTTGTAGATGGGCAAATCTGCTTACGTGTTCTTGTAGTCATTTTCATGGCCGAAGCTTGACTACACAACTTTTCGCTTTATGAAGGAAAGAGATCATGGTATGTTCATATGTTCTTAGCTTATCGATAACATTTATTTTCTTATAAAAAAGATCAATTCATTATAAGCTATTTCGGGAAAAAACTAAAACCACCTCTCAAGTCATGGCTGCTCAAGTTACATCGGGCTCTGGCCTGGTTTTTGCGAAAGGTGGACAGTGGTACACATTTATCTCGTCACGAAGTGACGAGGTAAATTGCATCACTTCGCACCTCCACTTCGTTGAGTCATCGTCAACTGGAATACATTTACCATACAAAAACCAAAAAATTTGATGTATTTTGACAACAAACTGAAAAAATAGTCTTAGCGCGTGTTTCTTTTTTCTTAAAAACAAGAAAAGTATGAGTTTTGACTTTTTGAGTTGAAAAGCTAACTGGACTATTCACCTCAGTGTCGATGGCTAGCTTTCATCACTTCCGAACAAACTAATCAGGGCGCGCGAAAAGCACCATTGACCTGTGTGGCATAGATTAACAAACGATGTTTCATGATATTCGACTTTGTTTTCCTATTGGTAATTTTAGTAATAAAGTAGAAACAATGCTATTTTAATTGAATATTTGACAGCAATTTAAGTCTCACTTTGTTAGTTGACTGGCATAGTGCAATCAGATTTTGATAAACAAAACATGTCAGAAGAAATTAATCAATTACTTACGGCCATTACTAAAAGGATTTTAGGAACTGACTTTGAAACAAAGTGCAAAGCATTCGTTTATTGTGTCTTTCCTTTATTACACATTTTTAGTGCTTTTAGATGAGATTCCTTCTTAATCTTAAATAAGTGGTGATTCTGCAACTGTGGGAAGTTTATTGCATTTAAGAAACCGTCTTTGCACCAAAATATGGTGTGTCGCTAGATTTAAGAAGTATTCTATCAATATATTGAACTGTCTGCTGCTTATTTGACGATGTCTTTTACGGGTGTTAAAAAGGTTTCTCCGGCTTGGGACAATCAACCATCTTATTCGTCCCTGAGCTTTGCGATCATGTTAGAGTACACCTGATACCATTCATTCTTTCATTTACGATTCCCTTTATTTCTCTTTTGTACTTTTGTTTTGTATTTTCCTTGTCATTTTTTAAGTTTATCATCCTTTACCGGAAATGTTCACAGCCATTCATTACGTACATTTTGATTATGTGTGTTGTCTTCAGAAGAGGGTGCTGTTCAACCTTGTTTGTCAGCAAGCTCGTATAGATTCTTAGAAATCGAGTAAAGTAAGGACGATCTGCTCTGTCGCACTTTGAAGTAATCGTTGCACTTTTAATGTGTGGTGAGTTCAAAAAAAACTTCAAACTTATGGTGCTTGGAGTATCAAGAGATCGCAAGAGGATTCTTTGTACAGGTGAGAGCCCTGGGAATGTAAAATTTGCTCTTCATAGAGTCAGGCGAAGATTTCAGAGGGTCACTCGAAGTTTGAGCATTATAACCCTTAAACAGTCGCTTCTCGTAGATGGCCAGGGATCGCCATTTATGACTTAATCACAGTTATAAGGGGCAAGTTTCTGTTGCGTTCTCAGTTTGACAAAATAATTTGAATTGATTCTACCGACTGATTTGACATCAGTAAATAAGTCACTGAAAAGAGATTGTAAAGCTGACGTTTCGAGCGTTAGCCCTTCGTCAGAACGAAATTTTCTACAAGTTAGGTATAGTCTACGTGTTGGGAATACGTGATTGTTGCCTACAAAATCTGATAAGTCTCGAGATCACGATGTAATACTGGTTTTTCCTTTCCGAAACCACATTTTTTAGAGCTTTTTCCTTTTTTTTTTTTTTTTTTTTTTTTTGTATTCCCTTCTCTGGGTTTAACAAAACACGTACTCATCACAATAAAACGTTTACTTAGTGTAATAAACCAATAATTCTATTGGTTGAACGTGATCTTCCATTTCCGATCCAGGTCACCTTGCGCTGAGCGATTGACGTTAAATTCAACAGTCGGCGATTACAATCAAATAATTAAAAAAACATGAACAGTGAGAATAGATAAACGATACTAATTCTATAACATAAGTGTAAGTGACGTCTTTTCCGCTGGGTGATAAAAAGCTCTTAAGGTTTTTTTTTTTCTTTTTTCATAAAAGCACAGCGGTCAGTATTAGATCCAAATCTGCAGACCGACTTTATCCATATTCTTCGTGAGGCAAAATATCTAGAATTGGCCATGTCATAAAAAAAGAACTTTCTTACATAGTTGATTTACGAGCCTTTTTTGCGAGAGCATATTAACGGCTATTAGATAAAAAAAAAAAAAAAAAAAGAGAGAATATATAATATAAGATATACTTTATATACGAGAAAAGTGTTAAGACAATTCAAGAGCTTTCATCATTAATGGCTCCTGATGAAGTCCATTTGTATCTAGTTAATCTACATATTTCATTATGCATATTTCAAGCAAAAATTTACAGGAAATGACATTAAGAAAAGCCCAGAACTCACAAGATGTGAACGGCGGTAATGCTTAATCGTTGAAAAACTAGTATATTTTTCTTTGTTAATTTTTTTTGTTTTATTTTTTGGAGATCAATGTGTGAGCTGCTATTGGTTCCGATATAGTGTAGGGTTACATGACATATGGAAGCTGTAGGTTGTCATGGCAACTTGAAACATAGTTGAGCCGCGTTCATCACAGTTCCAGCGCTAATGATTTTTCAGGTCTAAATGGTTTCCAGTCCCGACGGGTTTCTAGCCTTGGTGGGTTTCTCGCCCCGACGGGAATTTTGAGTTCCCGTAAATGTGAAACGACGATACGTTATAGATTTATTGCCTAACAGAGTCACTTTTAATCCTCACAAACTTTCTACGTGATCTTTTGTTTTGTATCTGAAATATCCAACAGTCCAATACACATCTCATTAGCCGCCGTGTATATTGGACGGGGACCAGTATGGACACTGACTAAGACATCTACATGCTTGAATAGCCTTAGATTTGATTTTAAGATGAAAAAAAATTTAAGATAAGAAATAGTCGTGGTACATGACTTTTAAAATTTATTGTCCCTCTTATGCCGGTAAAATGCATAGCAGCGAAGGCAATTTTATACCAAATGTCTTGTACGATCTACAAAGGCTGAGCGTCGTATTAGACGGAATATCCCTCCTCAGGTACGATAAAATAATAACTAAGCCTTAACCGCATGATTGCTATTGAAATATGAAGATAATGACGCAGCTATTTCTCGCATGATTCAGGTTTAAAGGATCTGAAGACATTTTTAATACCTACAATAGAATTATAACACTTGTCCTTCGTAATTTAACGACCGATATCATAGAAATTATGGGTTATGATTCTGTGAAGACGCTTTTAATACTTGTCAAATTTGGGAAAAATTGTCATTATTGAGCAAGTAATATTTACTAAGCAAATTTTTTGTAACATTAATGCAAGAATCAGCTGTATAATGCCGCATTAACATTGCGAGATGAACAGAACAAACCCACACACAGCTTAGCATAATTGAGGATGTGAAGTTAACGGCGTTTTCTTACGTCTGATTGAGAAGCAAGGTAAACGACCAGTGAATAGCACAAAGTCAAGGCTGAATGATAAGTTTTTATCAGTCGGTATTTGTAGAAAATATTTGAAGCCTTTTAGTCTTTTTTTTCGTTCCGCACAGTTGTGTCGGGGAGAAGGTTTATTTACACATTCAAATGTACAGTGTAGCCAGCTCATTTAAGAACCACATCACGTTTTCCAGCAGACTTCCAAACAATGCTGTCAAGCTTTGTAAATTACCCTTAAAAGCCCTTAAAAAAACCACAAACTGCTTTTGAAAGCTTTTTTCCGTCAGGTTAAACAGCTTGGAATCTTTCAGTCTCCGCAATAAAACTTTTATGATCTTCGACATCATCCGTAGGATGGTGACAACTGGCGGAAGAACGGAATCTTGACTTGTTTACCGAGGAAAAATTGTTATTTGTTGCACTTGTTGTTTTTCTTTAATGATGTTGTTTTGTTAATTCTGTGTTAGAGTATCAGGCAATTTGTATCACGTTATTCCTGTTTGAATTTTAACTACAATTATGAAACAAGAAATGAGAGAAGCGGACACATATTTCGTGAATTATTCCGCTTTCACGTAAGAAAAAATGAACACCATAATGGGAAAAACTGCATAACTTAATGGTAGTTATTATATGAAACTTATAAAGATAGCCAGCAAAACATTTGACGCTACAAATATAAAACCATTATGAAACTAGATGCAATGATAAGAGCCATCGATAAAATCCAAGATAAAGGCACAAGACATCAATTTATATTAGTCTGAAAACATTAAAACTGGAGACTACTTCCTTGAGCAAACATTTTTAGGTTGTTGGGTACACCAAATAATCCCAATTTAACTCGCATGGAAAAGTTACACCTTATTTTTCCTTTTTGAACGAAGAAAATTTCCCTTATCATAATTTTTAATTTATTTTCGGACATGATGGCAAGCAAAATGCAAATTACAAATCTCGAGAAGTGTTCCGGTAATTTTCCTTTTTCATCTTTAGATGCTGATGATTTTCGCAGCTGTCTTAGGATGCTGTCATTTATGACACTTCGTTAATTATATTTAGGTGAGTAGCTACGGCTTGCAATTGCCTAACCTTTTAATGGTGCATAGGGCACTAGTGTAAAATTAACTTCGACTATCATTCCGTTTAAGTGATGTAATGTCCTATTGAGCTCATTATAGTATGACATAGTTTTCAACGCAACTTGAAACCTCAGTACAAGGACGAGGCCTTTCGTCACAGAATCAGATAAAAAGAGGCATAAGAGTTCTTTATGCAATCTTTATACAAGGAGTTTACTTTGTCCTTGATTGCCTGTTATTGGACCAGGTGCATTAAGTTTATCACGTAATGAAAGGATTAAAAAGTAAAAGGGGACCCTTTCGGGATAAAATTAGGATTTGCGTAAATTTGCAGTGCTAAAAGTATTTTTTAAAAACAAAAATAATCGCAACCCTGTTCATTTTACTGAAAGGAATATTTGTCATGGAAAACATTAAAGTTTTCATCCGAGCACATGATGTTTACATTAAAATGACGGTTTACGTCAGTGGACATGGAAATAACTAGCTAGGGGCCGAGACAACATTTGCTGTGTTGTCAATTTCATCAAAGTTTATCCGACACACGTCGTTCCCCTGCGGAGTGTGAGTTAATAAGATTATTGGTTTCACTTATTAGTCACCATTGTCTCCAAACGATGAGTTTAATTCCAATCCGGTACGATTCCTTGAGGAAATAATAACTGATATTCACTTCTTGTATCGTCATAATTCTTGCATCAGCTGTATCCACAGAGCACTGGTAACGTTGTATTTAAAGCAGGTTCATGCAGGTAATTTGTTTTGTGAGTTTTTTTTTTCTTTTCTTTTCTTTTTTGATGCACATAACTGGAAATACGTAAACACGTAAAAAATAGCGGTATAAACCGACGTCTCGGAATCTTCCTGACGCCATTGTCAAGGATAATGAAATTTGCGAGTATTGATAATTGCAATAATTTACTCGATATAGGATGCGAGATGAAATTACAGAAATACTTTAACACGGATTGAGTCGGATTGCACGTTCAGAGTTGGTTTTAGTTCTCTAAATGGGTTACCAAAAACCCATAGAGAACGGTGAGCTATGCGACCCATATTATCGCAACGCACACATACAACTTTCTAAATGGTTCGATAAAAAACTGAAGCCCTTAAACCTTAGTCACAGCGAAGGATACCGGCTGTGAACTTACGAATGAAATGTACCCTTAGATGAAACTTTAGAAATCCTCGCCGACAGAGCTTTCAAGGACAATTGGTTCGATACAACGTACAACTTGAACGGATCTAGTCGATCTCTTGAGTATAGGCACCAAAGGCCAACTTTTTCAATTCAATGGAGCTCTAAACAAACAGAATGATGGCGTTGCTATGGGGTCCCCGCTCAGGCCTTTACTAGCTAATGTCTTCATGTCCTTTATCAAAGAAACCCTTAAGCGCCATGGAGAGCTCCCATCATTCTACCGCAGATATGTTGATGACACGCTCACTGTAATGCCTGACGCAACAACAGCGACTGATTTCCTACACACTCTTAATAACGTGCACACGTCGATCAAATTCACCATGAAGGTAGAAAAGAATGGCACTGATACTTCCTTTCCTTGGCACTCAACTACTTAACCGTGCTCCCCGAATGGAAACCAAGGTTTACTGATTTAAAACAAACTAACACAGGTCTAGTACTACAATATCAAAGCCATGTAGACAATTGTTACAAACGGAGTTAATTGGCCGCCACGCTTGATCGCGCACACCGATTATCTTCCTCTTGGACGTATTTCTCTGACGTGTGTGATCGCCTAGAGAAAGTTTTCTCAACACTTAAATACCCACAACGTCTGATAAATTCCACCATCAACAATTTTGTTCATTCACGAGTAGCTGGCCAACACCCCTTACAGGGGGCAAAAGAACCAGGGGCCATTGTTCGAGTGTTCATACCATTCAAGGACCAAAATTCAGCAAATTATGTCAAGAAACAACTCAAGAACCTCAACCTTAAAGTACAGACAACTGTCCAACCCGTGTTCGTTAGCCGTAAAATCAACTAAGACCTAAAGGTACAAGAGAAAAAGCCACAGATCGTAAACCAACAATGCATTGTTTTTCGTTTTTAATGTGATCTGTGCGATGCAGGCTGTGTGGGCTATATGCGCGGACACTTACACGTACGCGTAGACGGACATAAACAACGGTCATCTTCTATTCCTTAGCGAAGTCCTACTGAGGCGAGGTCCTACTGAGGCGCTTCGATGTTCTAAAGAAATGCAAAAATAGATTCGATTGCTTGGTGCACGAGATGTTATTCATCAGAGAACTAAAACCAACTCTGAACATGCAATCCGACTCAATCCGTGTTAAAGTATTTCTGTAATTTAACCTCGCATTTCTTTATCATTGATTGCTGATTATATATTTCAAATAGTGCCAATTGTATTTCTTGCGAAATTGAATTAAATATAAAAATGCATAATATAAAAATGCATAATTATATAGGTGTTCATCGAGTAATGTAATTATTAATGAATATATTTAGGAAAGAACTAAAGAACCATAATAGAGACTGTTTCGTTGATTGACGCGTGATTAATAGAGAATGGGCGCGTGTAGATGTGTGTAACCTAAAAAGGTTACGTGGGCGGCTGAGTAGACAAATGCACATAGAATGTGAAGCGATCTTTAATAATTGTAGAACATAGCGCTGAGACGTATTTGTGTTTGATCGAAGTAGCGATTGAGTTTGTGTGCTTCGAACTAAAAGAAAATACAACAGAGACTAAACTAAGAAAAATGAGTTGCGAAATGTAACATTAACCTAACTAAAAATGAAGCGATTGCACAGAAAACTGAATACGAGAACTACACCAATAATATAGACAAAAGGTAAACATCGTAAATGTAAAATAGATAAGACTTACTTTGGTCTAACTCCTAATGATAGCAAATAACTAACAGCGAAAGCATCGAAGAGCAAACTAATAGCGATGATTTAGTAACGATGATCGAAAATCGAACCTTATAATGGCAATTGATTGGAGACAACAAACTTATTATGTAATAATCATTAACTAACGAAAACTGATTGATAAAAATAAACCAGAACAAACCGATAATAAATTAAAGAGTGTACGAACTAAGCGTTTCGAAATTAACAAAATGGAATTTCTCCTCGAGTGTTTCACTCGATAGCTCACGAGTGAGCGCAGCGCACGAGTAAGATGTCGAGTTGAACACGAGAAGACAAATTTCATATCCACGCGCGCCCATGTATTATTCTCTATTTATCTGATAAAGAATTGGAAACAATATGTTCTCTATTGTATTTTACCCCGGAAACAGGATCGGCTAATGCACGATTCACGCTCTGAAAATCGAATAAGCGCCGTTGTACTGATGCACTTCGAATAGACGTGATACCATTGCAGCTTCTCTTCCTACAATAACCAGGAGTGTGAATGGGTACCGGAAATTGTCTGAGACAACTCATGAATCATTGGGATGGTTGGTCGGAAGGGAGGAATTAGCTACGATAGACTGACGTCACAATACTTCCTGTCAGAATATATTTGCTCCGGTTGCTTCATACTTTTGCAGTTGTTCTCGTACATGACATATTTCATCATAAGTTTTATGGCCGGTTCGTTTATCATGCATATGGCTGAAGAATTAATTCAATACTTCGCAGTTAACAGCGGAAAAGTATAGTTATGATGAAACGTTATGTCGTCGAGGATCTCTTTTGAAAAACCTTGGTTGGCTATCAATGGTTTTTTTTTCTTTAATTTCTTTTTCATTTCTTTTTCTCTTCTAAATTTAGACCCCAAGCCTGCGCGGAATCACACTTAGAGAACAAATAGAGTGACATTCACGACTCAAAAAGTTTATAGAAAAAAGTAGAAACTGTTATCAATTTTATTTTCTATTCATAACTTCTAGAAAAGTACTACTCCTGAGAGTCACCTCTAACCCTAATATGTAACTAAAAATAAGCACTTTTATCAATCAAAATTTTTGCGCGTACAAAAGTTTTGAATGGATCAGTGTGAGTTTCCTAGCGAGAGGAAAACGTATCAGTTCATTGCTGAGAGCAATTATCACTCGTTCCGCTCTAAATATTCCGTTACATCGGCCTCAGCTGCATTTCTTCTTCTTTTTCTGTTATTACAGTCTCTGAAAATTACAAAAATTTGGTCACTTTTGGCTTCATCTAAAATCGACTTACATCGTTTGTGGCCAAATGTGCATATTAATTCCTCTTATTCACGTCATTGACCTCCGCCAATCAATATTCCTGTTTTGTTTGCCTCATAGCTAATCGTTTATAAAACAAATGCGTAAACAATATCTATTAATTTTCCGTTTGCTTCTAAGGTTGATTAATGTGCAGAGGGTCTCGGCAATATTAGACTTCACTGTCTCTCAACTTCTCAACTTCTTTTTGTAGGATGGCGTTAGAAGTTCGCTTTCTTCACGATGGTCGCCTCGTCAGATTCTTCTTCCTCACTTGCGTGGCTATGTGTTGTTTGAGTGTCCAAGGATTTTCCATTTCTTATGACAAAATTGTAAAAAAAGCGCGTTGTACCGCAAATTGTTACACTCAGGTGAGTTCAAGTTAAACTCTAATAATTCTTATCCATTCTTTGCGTTAAATGAGTCGATAGTAAAAAACGAGACAAATTTGCCACGATATTGGGGTCTATTGTTCGTTTCATGAAAAAAGCTGAAGATCGAGTGCCACTGATTTCAGTTATTTGCGCATTTTGTAGTAATCAGAAGTTATTCCTTGAAGAAATTCGCCCGCCACCGGATGTTAGTTCAGGTTCGGATGGCAAAATCAAAACTACGATCAATATTCTCGACTAATGACTGCTCTTAGTGTGAAATGTTTCAAATCTTATTGCTAGGGGGAAATCAGCATCATATGCTCTCTAAATTAAAATATCATGCCGGGATGCGACGATATTCGTTTGCTAAACATCCTGGCAAGAGGGCCGGCATCCAACGCGGAAATTAATAAAACCAATAAATGATGTCATACCTGCTAACTGATCGAGATCGACCAGCTGTTTTTATGTAACACCTGTATTAAAAAGATCTCATGAAAAATGTAAGAGATCCTAAATTTATCAACTCTAAAATGCTTGGAACAAATCATTTTGATCATTGGAATTTTATCATGTGCGTGTTGAGTCATAAAGTGTTTGTGGATCGGTGACGCATGTCCAAGAAGACACAAAGAAAAGAGCGGTTTCCGTTTTCAGGTCAAAAAGACGCACTTTAAATAACATCCCACAAAAACATTGCTTTGTTTGGCGAATTAAAAACTCACTTGTATTGAATTTTTTTTCTGTTCCTACTGATAATTGCCTCTCTTAAGTGGTTTTCGAGGTGTCCACGCAAAATGCTAGTCTATTATAAATGCACACTAATTGATTACTTTGAAATTAAACGTCTAGATCTTTCTTCAAATATTCCTCGTAATTTAGATTGTTTTTCAAAAAAAAATTGAAAATATAGTTTTGATTGAAAAAGTAAACTTCATCTCTAACTTTAACAGTGAAGAAAGGACTCTCGACTTTGAGAACAGTACATATAAAAATATATAAAATTCGCTCAAAGAGCTGGTTATCGCTTCACAGTCAAGTAGTCTTTTCAGACACGCACTCAAGATCATAACTTAATTCTAAGTGAACAATCTTTTGCGCTTTACATGATATAAGTTTCTCATTTGCATTCTCATTTCTCGACTAGAGCGTGTTAATAACATACAAAGCACACTTCCATAAGTTTTGGATCCACTTTTTTACTCCTGTACCAACATTTTGAATACCTAGAACTGCAATTGTATAATTACTGACATAATCGTTTAACTTTGATCTCTCTATTCTCTGGCGCCTTTTAATTTCCATTGATTTTCGACCGTACTAAGGTAAAGAAGAAAGTGAAATCGCCTGCGAGAATCCTTCTTCTTCTTCTAAAATAAGTACAGATTTTTAGTTCGTGATTAACCCTTAGGTTGTAGAATAGACTCGAAATTTTTCGCACTATCCTAAGGCTAAGTTTGTGATAATAATTAGTTTTTCAATTTCTCGTTCCTAAACAACAAGCTTACACAAACAAAAATACTGACCTAACGCTAAGTTCAAGTAAAATGATTAGCGCTGGTCCTTCTAACGTTCATATGGCCACTTTTGAAAGTGAATCGTCTGAACAAAAGCTCCAGTAAATAATTTTTAAAAAAATAAGGTTACAGAGAGTCGATGGCTTTTCTTTTGCACATGATCAATTTTGCAGAAAATTTTCCTCAGTTAAAATAAACTTTCGGTGACCCAAAGACCTTCATGAACAATTTGAAAGTTTTTGTTCGAACGATCAGTAAGGTCAGTCATATTAATGCCTCATTTCACACTTTACATAGTCACAGTCTTTTTCATAAAAAGAAATAAAAACAATCCATAGATCTATAGGCTAGGGCTAAAGTCATTTGGGAAAAATCAACAGCTCCGTTGTACTCAAATGTAAAATGTAAATGCGAACTTTTGATACAGACAAATTTCAATCAATTTGTTGATATATCAAGCAACCGCGTTTTCTTTAAAAATTTGCCGCCTGCGCCAGAGAGAATTCTGAGAGCAAGCTGTTGCAGTAATGTATCTGTCTTGACAGAAAGAACAAACCGAAGGTTGATGTGAAGCTCGATTATCATCCGTTTCGCAAAGCTGTATGAAGTCTTTATTCCAATAGAATCCTTAGCTTATTTCCCGAAATTTCCACAGCAAAATCAATGTATTTATCATGACGTCATTTCTTTGTACGTTGCTAAGGGGCAAAAAATAAAAGGAAAAAACTTTCGGCTCATAAAAAAGATCAAAAGAATTTAAAATGGCGAAGAGAGGAAGAAAATGAAATCAAGGAAACTTAGTGGAAAAGGCCAAAAACATGTCAGAAAAGCTTTTAAAAAAAAATCCATCTTCGAGTAGTTGTAATGTGACGAATGAATTACGAATGGTGCTTTCAATCCTTTGGGTGGTAGAGTTGAGTCGGTACTGGCAGCGGTAATTCCGTTGCAATTTTCAAGTAAATATATATGGTTATTTACCGATGCACCGAAGGAACTTTCGGTTATTTTCAGCGCGAATGTAAAGGATCCTCAATAAGATTATACCCTGAGAAAGTTTACAGTTTCAAATTATTGATCCTCAGAACAAATACTTATTAATTGATATTTCTTTGTATGCTCAAATTGCAGTATGCAGTTCATAACGATTCAGGGAAAATTTGTGAAAGTACATCTTGTACCAAGGTAAGTCCCTTTGACACATTTTTTTCATGTCATGCTTGGTCACGATGACGTCATGATGAAGATAGAATGAAAATGATAAAAATGACGATGATTATGACAATAATTCTGTTTGATATTCAGTATTTTTGTCACCTTTACCTCTTTTAAGTGTTTAGGACCATGTGGGAATGTAATTTTGGGCCACTCTGAATCACAATGTCTACAAAATTGTGTAAGTACGAAGCCTCTAGACCTATTATTTGAAAGAAAGCATATCAAACTCTTAGGAATAACTAACGATGGAATATTTTACCATTCAAAGACATCAGTGTTGGTTTCGCCATATACACACAGTAAAAAACTGAATTTGCTTCCCCAGTGGAGGTCATAGCTTATTCATGTGTACTGTATCTATTGCATCATAATAAATCAACGATAGCTAGCTTACATGATCCAATACTATTTTTGAGCACTTATTGAATATAAGCAATGCTTTTCATATAAGTTTTAAGTAGTAATTTGTCATCAGTTTGGTAGGAGACCGCTTACTTTTGTTTTACTTCCTCTTCAAATTGCAACTTTACAAGATAGAGCTAGCTTGCTGTCACCTTCCAAAAATATTTTGCGGGAATATTCCTCTTCATTCAAAAACCTAAAAAGAAAATCAGCAGTAGTTAACAGTTAAAAGGATCGTTACCTGTAACCAAAATTTTATTACTATTTTTGCAGGGAAATTCAAGCAGCTGTGTGGCAAGTTGTGAATTTTTGGAGCAGTTGAACAACTTTGCCTCAATACAAGAAGGTGACGGCTCCAAGATTCCGACACCGAGCATACCAAGAGTGATAAATACGGACCTCACCTCTTTATCGCTGCAGTGGGATCCTGTGCAAATTGCCAGTGGTACTCCTGTGTACTTGATTACAGTGAACACAACGGGCGATTATTCTTCAACGTATACCAATGTGCGTATTTACCATCCTGAACCCTAGTAACCACAGGGTCGGTACTGTTGCGTTAAGCAGATTCCACAGTTTCCCTCGCTCAAATATCAAATTCATTGAGAAACACGGGAACCAGACGAGATAAAAATTATTCGATTAAACTCCAGTTACTCTTAAATTCTGAACGGTCAAGTCACGCTCCCTCTGTTTTGTATTTGAACTAGCAATTTTTAGAGAAGTTGTTACAAACGTTTTTTACAAGTCGTAAAATTGCTGAACTTCTGTCTCCTTGAAGGAAGTGAGTCGCGCATAAAAAGGAAGAGGTTGTTCCACGTCGCACTACATTTTGGTATTTTCCATTCCATGATCGCTGCAAAATTTTCCCTCAGAAACTACCGCCGAGAAAGCTACGAAGAGCTATTTCCCATTAATCGCTAAACCTCAGTTTCCATTTATTCACTCATCAATCCATTCATTCGCCATTCATCAATTGATTCATTCATTCATTCATACTTTTATTCATTCATTCATTCGTTCTTCCGTGCGTTTATTTTTCCATTCATCAATTTATTGACTCAACTACATCGTTCAGTTAGTGTGAGTCAGTTTTTTACTTACCTTTCCAACTTTTTCAGGCTCAACATGGTTTTATTTTGATTAAGCAGGATTTAAGTCATATTAAACTCAGAATGATTACATAAACATATTGGGTCTCATTTTCTCTAATTTTGGCAGGTGTTCACAAGCCCTCGCGCTCTTCTTCGTACCGCTGTTGAGTTGTGCAGTTCGCTCCGCAAGCGCAATTCCCGCCAAACATTTAAGGGGATGTTCTTCGCATTCAAGGTTGCAGTCGTTACAGAGAATTCATCAGTCAGTAACGGAGAACAGACGAGTGCCATATGTAAGTTGCTTTGATACATATGTCAAATCTTTCGGATCTTCATGATTCTCCTCTTGTAATAACCTTTCATCCTCTGGAACATATCTTGAGGAAAATAAATACTGATAGCTAAGCAGCCATTGGGAATCTATGGAACTCCACATACGTGCTGTACACAGCTATTGTAGAAAAGTAAAGGAAACTTTGCTTAGGCAACGATAAAAACAAGTATCCATTCGGGATGAGCGGGTATGCTTCTCCATTTGTAGAGCACCTTTCCTCCCTGTAGTTGTAAACGATGGGGAATATTAATAGCTTATCGCCTTTTTTTTTTTTTTTTTTTTTCAGCCCTACCACAGCCTGCTCCAGTCAGTGACTTGGCATTAATAAGTATTGTCTATGACGGTAACGGCTATAAAAGCAACAGATTAAAGCTGACGGCCAATTGGACTCAGTCAAAACGTATGTACATGTACTGAATGTAATTACTTGTTTGACAGACAGGCAGATAAATAAGTTTTTCGAAAACGATACAAACATACCTCGTATTAACCGCTGTAGAGGCTTAATACTGGTTGATCCCTCTTGTGATCTACTTTCCAACCTTTTGAGGCAAAATTCGCTCTAACTCGAATTGGCTATATGGGGGGAAGGGGGGAATGGCTATATGGGGGATGAGAGGGAGGAAGATAGGACCTAGTTGTGGACGTGGCTGACTACAGAACGTCCAAGTACTGCTTGCACTACTTTTCTGTTGCAATCATATAAGTTTTAACTAGTTACTAACTTACTTTTGTTCTTCAACGAAACAAAAGAACAAGAACTAATTTCCGACCACTTCATGGAGTGGAAATATGAATGCTTTTTAGACAATGGCGGTATTTGGAGAGTGAAAAGGACGGGGGTAGGTGAAGAACCAGTGTAGCTAACAATACATGCGCACTTTTCCATAAATAACTATAAGAACCTCTCTTCTAGAGGCTGAAAATTGACCCAGAAGTTAAGAAAATGCTGACTAACGCCCAACCAGAGATTATGCACTGAGCACGAACTTTTTTTATCAATTTGTATTGAGCTAAAACCAGCTGATAAAAGCTGAATACTGTAGTAAGCTAACTTTTCTCGATACAGATATAGCACGTATGCTTAAAGGTAAACTTACTAGAAACTGAGCGAACTCTCGGGGATAAATTACGTTCAAAAGACAAAGTCTCAAACTCTGTACTATACGAAACTGAAGAATTTTCATCTCTTAGTCCCAATGTGTGTTATTTGATTTCATCATCACTCAAAACTTTTTTATTTGTTTTAGTCGACTGACCCTGTTGGAATCATGACACTTAATGAAAAATTAAAGAAATGCAGAAATACTTTAAAGGTAGGAAATGTTTATATGCTGTTATGTTTCGTGTACAGGTCTATGCGCAGTTCTATATCACACGTATTAAGCTAACACAGAAAACCAAGTATTTTGCAAATATTTAAGAGGGTAATAGTTCGCTCTATATTTTTTGACTGCAGGTCTACGCAATGTCACACTGCATACAGAGCAATGCAACAAGTATAACTTTTGAGTACCCTGGTAAGAATTCACAATGTTAGATAATCGATCTCTCATACTGTAGCTAATTCACCTCACCTCACCTCACAGCTTAAGTTGTTTCTGAGGCTGGCAAGCATTCAAACTGAGATTAGGAGTAATCAAGCAGCTTGAAAGTACGCTCTTTATGCTTTCATCAGCCATTGCACAGTGTATGGGTTCCGTTAGAGAACATCCTGAGCAGTTCCATGGCAATTAATAAACCATTGCATATATTTACAGGGTAATTTAGTACTATAAACTGAGTTGATAACGTAAATTGGCCACCGTAAAGCGTTTCAAAGCTGACGTTTCGAGCTTTAGCCCTTCGTCAGAGCGAATGAGCATATATTAACAGTCTGTCAGACACCTTCAGGTGCCTTAATTATGTAGAACATAAGATTCATATTCCAATCACCAAGCCCAAGTGACTTTAAATGCACCAAGCAATAGGAGAACAGCCAGAATTTCCAAAACATGGGATAGTTGGGGGAGCACATCAGCTACTGCCATGGAACTCCCGAATTTTTGCCGTCCCTTGGGTCACAAGTAGATTGAGTAAGTTGTTGATTTTCACCTCAACATTTCATACACGTCGCAAATTTGCCACTTTCGACTCTCATTTATCCAATTCCTTCATCAAATGCGCTAAAATGATGGAAGAACGCATCTGCAAAATAACAGACATAACACTATTGATTTTCATGTCTTTACTTGACAGGATGTGCGAATATCACCGGTTATCCCGTGGACCTATGCTATAAATGTAAGAAATACTTTTTGCTGGTTAGGTTTTGAACCATCACTGAATGCTTATCAAGAAGGCATCTCTGATGCCTTTGCTATTTGGTCGAACGCCACTGCTTACATGACTTGTCGTGCAATCGTTTTCATTCATTTTTCACGTCGCGTTACAACGTGAATTTTACTGCCGTGATGCCTTTACTTTACAGTCGATCCTCCAGGATCACCAGACAAGGATAGGCAGGTCCGAAACCTCAGCATTAGTGCGATTGCTATTGGAGAGGGCTATAGATTCACTGTGAATTTGACATGGATTCCTCCTCTGTATCCCTACAAGACAATAGAGATCTATTACATCCTTGGCTATGGTGCCACCACTGTAAGTACATTAAGGATAGTAATTGTTAGAGCTGTGTCAATCAAAGGGGCAGAAGAACCCCGCTAGCTCTTGAACTGTCACAGGAAACGGAAGAAAGTTCGATATTCCGTGAGCTTGAACTTACTCATCACCAATCATCTTCAAAGGGAGGGGGAGGGGGGGGGGAGGGGTAACCGTAGCGACAGGATACTCGGAGAAAAAAAATTGGCTTTTTACCCGCTTCTCTTCTACAAAGCTAAAAGTTTATAGTTAAAACCCCAAAATTAATATATGATTTCTCCACCTTTTTTTAAGAAAACGTCATACTCAATCAAGTCATTAGCACCCGCTGAAACTTTTGAAGTAACGGTGAGGATTTATCTCTTGGCGAATGTTTCTGATATGTTAAATGCAAGTTAAGAGAGAGAATTTCTTTTGTAGCCTAGCCTGTTCCCGCAGCATAACATGAACAAGAGAAGAGAGATAGTATTTTCAAATTTGCAAAGTTTTCAGTTTATTGCGAGGGGAGAAACACAGCAGATGACTGACTGACGAAGCTTCTGAATTAAATCTAGTACGGAGAGGATTAGTTGCTGCATTTTTTTCATGGGAATGCCTTTTTTCGAATAAAAAACAATCTGCAAAATCCGTAAAGCAATGTAATATTGTCTTGACAATGATAACAAAAAGTTGTGTGGTTGCTTCCCTTCAGGTTTTGCCTTTTTTCCAGAATTCTGCACCTGTAGGTGTTGATAACACTATTTCAATATCTACTCCTGGTAAGAAAATTAGAACATTAAATTGTCACCTGGCAACCGAAACTAAGTAAATAGTTTGAATTTAGATGTTGATTAGAAAGTGGAAGTACATGAAAAGGATCTCAATAGGGGAAACCGTTAGCTTTAGAACGGCCATATAAAATTAGACGTTAAGCTTGAAAATTAAAAAATTTTAACCGTTAGCACTAAAAAAATAAATAAATAACCGTAGAATTTCTTCCTATTAACATAAAGTCATTTTCGGTCATTTCCGGTCATTTTTGGTCATTTTGGTTTGACTGTTATCGTAAAATAACCAGCATTTTAACTGTTAGTCATAAGAGCCATCACCCCATTGAGACCCTACAATAATCAGTGGGTAGTTCATGTTGGTGAGAAGAAAATCAAATCTTGTGAAACTTCACTAACTCTAAATATTGTTGTTTTTCTTTTTACAGCTGTTAATCCTGATGAGTTGGTGGTGCGAAACTTAGAGCTCAACGATTTCATCTTTTCACCACAAACGGGGACCTTTGACTTAAATGCGACTTGGCACCAGCCCTCTTTAAACTACAGCCGTGTGCTATGGTACTCCATCAGCTACCAAGTGAATGAAGGAAGTAAACGCTCTCTCAACACCGTAAGTATTGCAAAAGATTCGTCATTACAGAAAGTCTCTGACGTCACAGCAGCCACATTTTTCGGTACGAAACTAATCAAATAGTGGCCATGTTGAAATGCAATTTTTTTTTCAATCCACTAAATTTGTACAGTTAGAGTTTTTTGCTGGAAAGACCACATACAAGAATGAAAATTAATCACAATTGCCCAAACGATGGCTATTAATAAGTGCACATAGATAGTGGACAATGTAGATAGATCTCGGGTTGTTTTGATTTATGATCATTTACGGTTAAATGAATGTACGTCTCAACGACTGCCTATTTGCAAATTGACTCCCTCCACTATATCCTTTCCATTTCCTTACTACGATCGATGAATCGGCTTGACAAGACAAATCTAAGCCATAATAGTAAATTAATTTCCTATCTTGGAAAGCACGTTTTCTAATACCCGGAACACCAGTAGTCTTCACCAAACGTTTGATATCCACCTTTCACCTATACGTGAAAGCTACCAACACTCAGTTAATAGATGTCTTCTCCACTTGCTCATTTAATTATTGCTATTCATCTTTACAGAACAAAACATATTCTATCATTCATGGAATCTTACATGGAGAGCCTGTTTCATTCGATGTAAGTGCGTTTTACCGTTTCACTTCGACGCTATACTTTTACAGTGGGCAAGCCACGTCAATTGTATTAATGGCACTTCCTGTGGTCGAGTTTATCAAAAAGCAGTTTTGTGTGAGTGATCCTTGTATCAATGGTCGCTATGTGACATCTCGACTAGTGACCTCTGCCTCAGTTTCTCTCTCTCTGTCTCCGTCTTTTAAATCTGCCGTTTGTGTGACGAGCCGAAACGACGGTTACAAATCAAGCTACTTGCTCCACTCCATCGCTCTGACTAAGGGCTAACATTCGAAACTTCAGATTTGAAACTCTTTACAGTGGCCAATAATAATACTAAATTACCCTGTTATACTCTCCCACCGACGCAGCATCACCGTTTTATTCGAAACTTACCCCCTTTACTTACTGCACTGTCGTATCTTTTTCTACAGATCACACCCGTCTTTAACCATTCCGATATTATTGGAAGGGAAAAGGAAATGGTCAACAGTGCTCCTCGTAAGCGACTCAACTCACTTTTCTGACCTGAGAGCATTGGCTTTGAAAGTTAATGTTGACCAATCATTGTATTTTGCGCTTTAGATGACGCTTGTAAAATAACATTTCTTAAGGGATTTGAGGCAAAGTATAAGATTCCAAGATTTATGTAAGAGACACAAATGTAGAAATATGATCATTGTTAAATTACAACCCTATTTTCTACTTTCTACTTCTGATCTAACGCTGTCTAAAACTTGGACGATCTTAATCCACTTAGTCAGCGGAAGGTTGTCGCTTCTTTCATTATCCTTTTCATTTTTTATTTATGTATTTATTTGGATAGGTTTATTTTGTTTCATTTTCAGCTAATCATGGATTAATTTTTGTTCATAAATCTTTTTAAAAGGCCCCAATTCGTCCCATATTGTGGTGCAGAACTTGGACTTTGAAAGTTTCGTCTTTATACCTTTGACTGGACAATTCCGTTTAAATGTCTCCTGGAAAAACCCTTTCTTCAATTACAGCCAAATTTTATCTTACTCTGTCTCATTTAAAATAGACGGCGGGGACGAAAATGTAACGCAAACGGTAGGTAACTTTCTATGTAAATCACTGGCAGAAATGATTAGTTTTGTTCTTCTGCCAAACTTGTACAGAAAGTATTTTAAACTTAAAGAAGCTACTTCAACTTAAGTTGTTTTCTAGTAGTAGCTCCTTAGAAATAAAAAAATATTAGAGTAATGTAAGTTATTGATCTGTGAGATTCGGTCGATAACCTGTTACTACGTTGCTACACACATATTATTGCTGTATATATATTGCTCAACTTATTCCCTGTACTCTCAAACTTACACTTGTACATTTCACGTTTTCTTTAGAACAGGACCTATTTAATCATATATGGCATCACACACGGAGAGCAAGTAACAGTTAGTGTAAGTATTGCATTTTAAGAGGTAAACAGAAGTGTCACCTTTCATCACCGTTTCATTAATCGCCATGATCTGACTTACAATTGGATTTCACTTTTCCTTGATAATGCATTGCTACCAGCTGTTTGACGCAATTTCTTTCATGCATCGAAGCAAAAATTTACACACTCACTCACAAAATATACTATTCCACAGGTCATACTTACTTTTCGAAAATAAGGTTTCCGTTTTTTTGTTTATTTTTTTTTTTTACAGGTTACCCCACACTTTGCCAACAGTAGGATTCAAGGAATAAGTTCATCTGACACCTTTAACGCACCTGGTTAGTAAATCAACCCGATGATCATTTTATGGGAACCCGGCTAAAAAAGAATTCACCTGTAGCTATTTCCACCTCGCTTTGCATCCCCTTCCACTTTCAAACCATTGCGACAAGCTTCCTAATAGTTCGCTGCTTTCCCTACATACTTCTGTAAGGAGGCAGGCAGGCTATGAGAGTAAAATTTCTCTCTCGGGAACTCACCTACAATGAACCCCTAGTCAGGGTTGTGGGTACGGGCTCCAACATTTCCAGCCGACTGTTCAGCGCGCGAGACATGAGACCACTGTTTCTTTAACCAAATTATGATGATAATGGTGATCATGATACATGCCTTGTTTGTATCCCTTCAGTGCCTCCTGATGGCGAACTCATGGTACAGAATCTCAGCATTGCAGGAAAGTTTGTCGAACATGAACAGAGTAACACATTTGCCGTGAACTTCTCGTGGGAACCACCATCTTTCAAGTACAAGCAAGTCGCTTATTACAACGTGTCATGCCATTTCTCAGGTTATCCACGTGACGAGTTTCAAAGTTATACCAAAACCAACTTGGTAAGTATTAAAAGCCTAACAAAATTTAAAACTATGGGGTGTTTGAAAACACAGTTATCAAAGATGCATTTTGGACCTATTGTCCATCAATTTTGAGCGGGTTTTATCATGTGAAAAGTACGTTCCACCCCGAAACAGTCTCTCTGGCAATTTGAAAGGCAATAGGTTACTCTTTGATCCACTTACTGTTTTCATTATGTCATCATCATGTGTTTATGTAGTACAAATCTATTCATGAATTTATTCATTTATGTCTTACAGCAAAGAACATTATTCAGAATAGCAGGAATACTACCACAGCAACGTGTCAACATCGAGGTAACTAATTTTGCCCAGTGATTGAATCCAAAAGAAAAAACAGTTAAAAGACGGAGGACGCTGAATGAATAAAGATCTGAAAAGCAGTCTAGTGAGATTTATTATCACCTAGATATAAAATAAAAATTAATTCAAGCATAGTTTTACTCCTCATCTGTCATTTTTTCGTTGGATCATTAAACTGTAGGATTGTCTGACTTCGCCATTTTTTTCCTTTTGTAGGTAACGCCTTTTTACAGCAACAAGTACATTAGAGGAAAACGTAAGGAAGCAGAAGGTACCGCACCAGGTGAGTCGCTACATAAGGTTTTAATGAGTGTAGGCAGGCTTAGAATTATAAATCTCAATTGAACTTAGTTTACAAAAAAGCAACAACGCCAATGACTTTAGAAAACAAAGCTATAAATCAAAAATGTATTTTTGTCATTAGTCACAGAAACGAGGGGGCAGATATTAATTACAAATGAGTAATTCCAACCCCTCATGAAAAAAGTAAAATGAGGCAATAACTTATCGACAGCGTTACACAAAAAATCACCACAAACGTGTCCATAATTAAAAAACCATTGCAAATATGTCTCCTATACATGAAGCCATGCTTCGTTTGAATACATCCAGGACCTAGAGCGGAACTGGTGAAAGTTGTTGGACTGCGACATAGTGGACTGGTGTCTAGCGCAAACGAATCATTTCGCACGACAGTGTCATGGCAGAAACCGCTGTTCAACCACAGCACAGTTCAACATTACAGATACAAGATAAGCAACATCTCGTCGAAAACTGTTGGAAAGAAAACGAGAAGGGCTATTGACTTCGACACATACCTTACCACGGTCAGTGAAGTTCTTGAAACTGTTCATTCATCATTATTCATCTCTCTATTCATTATATGATGGTTTATGGATTTACAGATTCATTCATCGACTTGCGTAGGCATGGATATATTTTTCAAAATGTGCTTGCGATCTGTTGTTTAGCCTTAAACTAATACATAATCGTAAAATGTATTTAAAAATACCAGTACTAAATTGCAATTTAATTTGTCATTACAGAGATCTAATAACGTCACAATCGACGGAATCCAGATGGATGAAGAATTTGAGTTTAGGGTAATTTTCGAACCTTTATTTTTGGGGATTAATCTCGAAAGACTGGGTAAAATAAATAAAACTAAAATCTAGATATAAGAATAGTTCATAAGAAGTGTTTTAAGTTTGCAATCGATCATATTTGATTTTTTAACATCAACAGAAATGATGCCTAAGTTTGATTTCTAGACCGGTATCACTCATTTCAATTTCGACCAAGAAAACAGTTGATCAAGAGCTCTGCTTGAGTCCAATCCATTCATCTTCTTTATTTATTCATTTAAATAATAACTCCTACACTGTTCGTCGTTTTCCTCGTTTGTTGTTAACAGGTTATTCCAGTTTTTGAAGTGAACAATATCATGGGGCAAGAAGACAGGATATCGATCGTCAGAACTTCTTTATCTGGTAAGAGAACAATACCAAAGTTCCTTTCGAGCCGAACCTCTTACGTCGTTCGATCACGGAATCGTGGCGGTAAACATGTGATAAAAATAGATGTTTCTTGATGATTTACACAGTATGGCTACACCCCTCAAATGCAGATCATGTATTACGATTGCAAGAATTAATAGGCTGGCTTGTTACTGTGTACTGTTTGAACAACGAAATGTAAGGACAGTTGGTGATTAAACGACGTCTATGGTCAGTTCCTTGAACTTAACAGATCCGTTCGCATTATTCTCTGACGAGATTATCGTGTTATAATTAGCTATGGGCAAGTCGTTTTCCTGTATTACACTAATATCACTTATTCATTCCTTGGCAGACCCTCAGGTCTCGCACCCAATGTCTTCAGGTGAAATAATTGCACTAGTCATCGGTTCGTTGCTGTTAACTTTGGTTGCACTTTGTTTAATCACCTGGTATCACAGAGAGAGACAGAGGCGTCTTAAGGCTGACGGACTCATTCCAGGGTAAAAGGCATTCTACTGCGTAAAATAGAGTCCATTCAATCAAAGTAAATTACCTTCTTCTTTAATAAAGAGAAAAAATCTTTCGTCTATCAGAAGGAAACACTCAAGTACTAGTTTTAAATAGTAGACGAAACATTTTACATTTTGGATCATCTCTTATACGCACTGACAAAGCTGCTCTGATTAAATGGAATTTTTTAAGTAAGACACCCTTGTGAAAGTTTGCAGAGAGATCCCTTAAACAAAAGTGGGAAATATTGCAAAAAAATTTGTTTTGAAAACACTTTTGAACACCTTTCACCTTTTTATCGATGTCATTGGTACCACCCTCTAATGTCACTAAGATGGGTCACGTGGCCCAAGTAAACTCTCAGTTTTCTCATTTGTCTTCGTGTTATTCATCGTGATATTTCTGCTTTTCATCCCACAGTAAAAACGGTTCGATAATAGACCAGTGGGAGGTTGATCCGGACCGTGTGACCCTGGAGGAGGAGATTGATGAGGGAGCCTTTGGAAAAGTGTTCAAAGGAACTCTTAAAGGACCATCTACACTATCATTTAATTCCACTTTGAAAGCCTCGCAGACCATAAAAGGAAATAATGTGTGCACAGTCGCAGTGAAAATGCTCCACGGTAAGTATTATTTCTCCGTTGTACAATAAATAGACTGTACTCAAGAAAAGCAGGTGATGATGTAGTCTGAAGGTTCTGATGAGACTGATATGATGCCAGGGTTACTGCATTGCAATGAAAAGGAAAGAAGATGTAATGATGAGACGCACCTCTTGAATAAATATTTTTTCACAAGTATGATCTGCAAGCTATGCATATTTTTCTTTCAGACATGGGAGACAGCGACCAAAGAAGAGATTTTCTGGAGGAAATTAAACTCATGAAGGATGTGGGATCACACAGGAATATCGTGAACATACTGGGATGCTGCACTATACAGGAACCTATGTTTTTACTTCTTGAATATGTCCCGTACGGAAGCCTCCTTAAATATCTCAGAAAACACCGTGGAAAGGTAACTGATTGCAAGTTACATAGATGAATGTATGTAATAACCGCTTTCGTTTACAACGCTGTTAAGTCACCTTGCCATGTAGAATTGTATTTTATCCCTGTTATTTTTTACTACGATGGTGATTAGTAAACATTTGATTATTATTATTATTATTATTATTATTATTGTTATCATTATTATTATCATTAATATTATAATTAACTCCCCTAGTCTATTGAGGATCTGTAGCTTTATAGCACAAGGCAACAGAGGGTAATGGTCACGACTTTAACGTCGCCTGCTTGAAATTTCCTTTCATTTTTTACCTAAAGAGGTCTATAAAACCCTTTCAACCTTTTCATGTCTCCCCTCAGATGAAAGAGAATCTTGCAGAGACCCCCCGCGGACCGTATCACTCGACCTACTGTGAGACATACTGCACAAAGGAAGGGATATCCATTAAGGTATAAATAAGGCTTCGCCAATCTTACTCTATGTTACGTAACAACGAATGCCTTTCATTTAACAAATGTACTCCTGTTTTTCTCGTTACCATATTACCACCAATGGCGTAGCTCCAATTTCTGCGGATAAACACGCACACAGAACCTACAATTTCTCCATTCGCTCTGACGCACGGCAAACGCTCGAAACGTTAGCTTTGAAACTCTTTACGGTGGCCAATTTACGTGATGAACTCAGTTAATAATACCAAATTAGCTTGTTATACTCTTCCACCGCCGCAGCAACACAGTTTCTTTGGAAACTTACCAATTTATACTGTAACATTGGTTGACTGCATGTTTATTGATGTTTTCTGCTTACTTGAGAGAACGTCTCTCTTTATCAGGCAACTAAGAGTGACCGCATCTACGTCAACGCTCCAGGACAGCAACAAGAAGAAACTGGAAACATCCAACTCGTGAGTTTCAGTTACCTAAATCCAGGAAGCAACAATGGAGAAGAAAACGAAAGAAAGAATAAAGACGAAAGTGACAAAGAGCTAAATAAAGAAGAAGAAGAAGAAGAAGAAGAAGAAGAAAGCATAACTCCAGGAGATTTGATGGCGTTTGCTTGGCAAATAAGCCGAGGAATGGTATGTATATGTATGATTTCAAAAGAAGCAAGCTTGCACTAGTTAGCTTGATGTCACAGACCAAGAAACTTGACTCCCGATTAATCATGGATAATCTCTCTGTTCTGTATTAGAATTCGAGCCTCTTAGCTTGATTTTCTCTTGTACTGATCTAAAATCGCAAGAGATTTATCCTTTTGCTTATAAATGCTCTTTTTCTCAGGAATACCTTGCTAAGAAGGGATTTATCCACCGCGACTTGGCAGCCCGTAACGTTCTTGTCGGAGAGAATAAAAGTGCCAAGGTGGCCGATTTTGGTATGACAAGACAAGCATATGAAGAGAGAGTCTATCAGGGGAAAACAAATCGAAAATTGCCTTTGAAATGGATGTCAATCGAAGCTATTTTTCTTCAAACATTTACAACTCAAAGCGATGTGTAAGTGCATTCTATTTTCATGGCACATCTGCCGCGTGCAATACTTGGGTTTTATAACTTATAGTACACTTTTTGATTTCAGATGGTCTTTTGGAGTTTTACTTTGGGAATTGGTAACACTTGGTAAGTTAAAATCACGACTTGTTTCCCAATATGAAAAAGTTACTTCCTATGAAGCCAAAGTAACAGGACTCTTGAAATGTTATGATATTCTTGGTGTCCATTGTTTCTCACACGTCATGATACTGTACCCCTGTCTTTAGACCCTGCCCATCAAGTTTTGTAAGATTGAAATGGTACCTTTCAGGTCAGCGAAAAGCCTGTTGGTGGCAGGTTAGAAAAAACAGAGTAATTATGAACTCCTCTCGCAAAACTAACGAAATTTTGTAAATGAAAACAGGTGGAACACCATACCCGACTATTGACAACAAAGAACTTCTCCGCATGTTGAAGGATGGATACAGAATGGAACAACCCGAAACCTGTGACAATGAATTGTAAGCCGAATCATCAAGTATTTAGAAAATTTTTTATGACATAGCTTATCATGTATTGAAACAAAGCATTAGCATTAAGGCAATAGCATGTATGAAACTGACTACCCGACTCTTGGGGTAACAGGTTTTTCTGCAATCACAAACTTGACACGTTATCCTTAATTGAGATTATTTATCTATTGGTTCATTATTTACAGTTATGAGATGATGATGGATTGCTGGAAGGAAAACCCCGACCAACGTCCTGGCTTCACTCAATTGCGAGAGAAACTTGAGTTTATGATGCAAAAGGACAACCCTTATTTGGATTTAAGTGCCGTGGATGAAACAAGAGAATACTACAACGTTCCTTCATTTAACAGCATCATGGATGAGTCTCCAGATGAGGATTATGGTTCTGATAGCATCGTCCAAGAGAGGCGTAAGTCCTCCACGGATTCTGTGGAGCTGAATGATCAGCAAAATATGGAACAATCAAACGGAGACGTCAGGGAGACCTCGGAGCAAAAAGGAAATGAAAAAAACATAACACAAGATGAAGATCAAGACCATTTTTCCAAGAACAAGAGTCCTAATGGCGTTAAAGCTGATACTGACGTCAATTTTGATGAGCTCCAAATGATTTTATGCAGGCCATCAAAAAGGGGAGTTGCCTTCTAGCGCTGTAAATATTACCAGCTGCTATCGAAAAATCTAGAAAACTTTACCGATGCCATCCTTGAAAGACTAGGGCTAATATTGTCAGGAATGAGGAAGGTGAGAAGACGATTTTGATCCGATCTCTCGGCTTTCGGCGAATTCGTCGACACGAAAGTTCGCTTGAAGAATATTGTGCGCAATTGTCGAGACAAAAGTAGCATTTTAGCCGATATTTCATTTTTCTTCCGCTTGTCCTCCATTCTCCAGAGATAACGAAATGTAAATTTAACGGCCCAGAAACGAGAGACAGCTTGATAAAATGAACGGCATTAATCATTTATCTTTTAGAGAAGATTCTAAAATTTTATGATTCTTTTTAGTAAAGGCTACATTTAGCAGGAGTTCTTTTTACAGCAATAGCACCAGGCAAACAGCATTGAATCAGTTGCATAACGTAAACTGTTGAGTTTTTGAGTGGTCTCGATGACACAAATTTGCAAAGGATAGTGAACGAGTATTTCTTTACTTTTAGTGAGTCAGAAATTAGTTTTGATAGAAATTAAGAAGATTTTATTCAATGAAACTTGTTGAAATTGATAATAGCAATCACTTTATTCGCAAAGAGGTCCAGATCTACAGGTAAAAGTTGTATTTGCATAGAGTATCTATTCCTTTTTTTTTCCTTTTAATTTTGAATTCTTACTGAACAGTCAAGTTCATTAATTTTCTTCAACAATCAAATAAAACGCAAAATCAAATGTCTTGGTTATCATAACAACGATTAGAGGTCAGTGAAAACGACTTTAACGATTCGCCAAAGGGTAGAAAAAAATTAATCTTTTTTCGGTTTTGGCAAAGTGAACATGGATGTTCCAAGGTAATTTGGCTCCGATTCCTTCCAGCTAATGAACCATTCCTTGAAACTCTTGTTGGCCCATTCGACCTCGAGCCACAGACCAAGATTCTTGCTCTTGTTAAAGCACCTGCGAAGCTTTGATTTGCACTTGTCCTTTTTGCCTCGAAGGAGATGGTAGTACGCATGTAAGTGAAGTCTTCGACCATCAAACACTGGGTGATGGTTAAGAGCATTCTTGAATTTCTTCAGGCACTAGAAATAAGATGATCGTTAGATGTGAAACGAAAAATATGAGACGGTATACCAGGAGTACGAGAGGATTTTGAAAGATCAGTCTTGCCAACATCAACTCCAGCCCTCCTTAACACAGCATAAAGTGTGTTTGAAAAACACACTTGCTTCTTTTAGTTCGTTGTTCATTTTGGAGATTTCCGCATATTCATCTCCAGTATCTTATATATCAAACAAACAATAATCAGTTTATATCCTCGAGACACTTGATATAACAAGCTGAAGCTCTTATTAAAATGGCTTGATGAATCAATGTTTTCCTACTGTTTCCTAAATTCAGCGGCTGGTTATTGAGATACCTCGATCGTTCCTGACTACTACAAATGAACAACTCTTGTACCCTGCATCACCTAGTGCTACACTTATAACAAATTCTGGTCTCTAACAAGGACAACTAATGTCATCATAACTAAAACGTCGTCAAACAAGGAATCAATTTCAAAGCTTAGGAGTTTTATGAATGTATGCCTTATGGTATTCGAAAGATTTGGAAGAGATCCTGGGTGAAGTGGGTTCATTGCTGAATTAGCGAGACTTTTTGTGCCAGCACAAAATACAAATAAAAAATTTATACTCGTTAACCTAAATACCCACATATATATGCTAAGTCTTCTATTCATTTTTCATAAGGCGGGAAAAGAAAAGCGGATAGAGAAGCGTAGCGCGCGCAGCAGCACAAATAACCAACTGTTCAAGTACTCTGTTCGCACGTTATTTGTACTCTACTTTGTTCAGTTGAATAATAGGATTGGATAAACAGCTATCGTAGAAGAAGGAGCGGATCAGCTAAAAGGGATCAAAGCTACTAACCTTTTGCACTTCATCCTCATTTTGTCGGTTTTTACCATCCTCCTGAAGTTTCAGCAACCAAAACTCCACAACCTTAGCATATCCGTGCACTGACATAAATACCTCGAGCTTGGATGGCACTACAGCTAAAACAGATTATGCTTTGTTCAACGATCTTGAATTCTTGTTTTGACCAAGGTTGAAAAGGTAACAACGAGATGGTTCGTTCTCAAATACCTATATTTACACGTACATATTTCGCCTGTTCACAGACTCTCTTTCACCTGTTGAATTATCAGGTAAAATGCGGGCATTGTTTACGTTAGGGAAAGATGAGATTCTATGACAAAATGGAAAAGTCGACCACAATCTTCCGACTGTTGGAGAGATTTTAGATAATAGCCCGTTTCTTTATCTTAGATAAATGCAATGATACATACCAGAAGTAGATGACATTAAAAAATCAGCATTCTTCCAGTCGCGCCGTCGAGCATACCTGCCATAACAGCACGGTAATATAATCGCCTTAAAATCGTATTCAATAAAAAGCCAAAAAGTCGGGCAAAGATTGATTTTATTAGTCCCTCAAAGCTACCGGGACTCAGAGTGCATTTCAGTCGAAAGCATTTGCTTATAAATATCCTTGATTCTGCCATTGTTGCCATTATCAATCCATTCAACATGATGTTGTTTGAACAACATCTGATCATTGTAACAATACATACCAAAGAGCAAGAGAAACGTTCAGGTAAAACTTCGGCGCTACATCAGAAGAAAAGGCTGGGTCAGTGGACATTTTTGCCGTAAATTGAACGATTTCGTCAAAATCTTCCAGTCGCCAACCTAAAATTTGGATATATAACAAAAACTGTTGACCTTCTTAACTTTTAGGAAGCGAATCTTCGATACAAGCCTATCACTCGTATCAATTCATATCAAACAACTATATAGCATTGATAAATTAACCTGCGTGTGTAAGAGTAGGCGGGCTACACTACCGGCTTATTAAAAGTGTGCAACCAGGCGAATTCTTCGACTAAGATAGATATGACTGATGTGACGTCAAACTCAGCGCATACAAACGAACTTAGTTCCGCCTTCGTTTTTGAAAATTACCTCTTTATCACCTTATAACGAATGAAAACTCGAGCCCAATTTTTATAACTGAACAACTTTATTGTTGTTGGTGTTGCTGTTTTATTTGTTTGTTTGTTTGTTTTTGCCTCACCTGCCTCTAGGATCAAATCAAAGCAGCAGCACATATATAGCGCTCGACCATGTGAGTCACAGGAGTCCAATGCTGCCGCATTAAGCTCCTTTAGAACATCAATGCAGTCAGGAATCCTGAGTAACGAACGGTAAAAAAAAAAAAAGGAATCAAACTTACCAAACAGCGCATGAAGATGCTCGAGTAAAATTCATTGAATGAAGATATTTCTTGGCCAACAGCACTTCCCGGTGAGAGAACATTAGTCTATTCATTTCGGTGATCTCTCCCCACCTTGATTATACTTTTCGGTTTGCTTATTGTGAAATAATTCTCAATTATGATCTAACTCAAGAACAACGGTTTTTGTCTCTTGGCTATGTCAATCAAATGCATCGAATATCGCCTTACGTAGAGCGTTGACTCTTAAAAATACTAGAGTTGTGATTCAAAAGTTAATCAGCCAATCATTTGTCAGAAAACGGAATCTGGTTTATAGATAACCGGGGTATGTGTAACAAGAGGTTGTAATATTGAGGTCTCGTTAGAGACTACCTCGCATGACTTTTAGAGCTCATCCCAGATTCTTTCACTTAGAAAAATACAATTTTGCTACTCTCCGGCTGCAGATGGGATACTTATCTAAATTAGCTAGGTTATCTGCAATTCGAAAACTTTCCTTGACTGTTTGCTGATACATGTTTGTATTCTTTGATATAACGATGCACCCTACATGAGAGTAAAGCTCATGAACCCAGGCTAGGGTTTCAAACCAAGCCCTTTCGATTCTCAGCTCTCTGCGCTTTGCATGCGAGACACCGCGCGCTCCTCTAGTTCCATGATTTTATCAGAAAAAATGAAACCTTGATTCTCTTACTAATTTATCAAGTTACATGTACTTTAGAATTTCTCACTTTGCTGTGAAAAGGAGACTCTGAGCAAGCAGAGGAATGCAGGTTGTCATCATATGCTGATCATGAACTTGTTTTGCAAGGTCAAAAGCGTGTTTTCCTGCAGCATAATAAATGCGTCACATCAGAATTAGATCATGCAAAGGCTTTCAATTTTGCTTTAAAACAAATACCTTTGTAATGCGAATGATGTGTGAGTGATGGCTCGTTCGTATAAGTTGAAAGCAGTTACTGAATATAGTTCAACCAAAACCTGGAAACAATTATCGCCTAATGGAAAATTTGAATTTCCAGCTTCAGCCCGTTTTAGGACAGGAAAAGCCATCGTTCCTGCAACTATGATGAAACGATAATGCTTCGGATTATTAGAGGAATATTGATTTACGACCGTAAATAGCCACACGATCGAAGAAATGATAACGGCACCCAGCAAATACAAATCTTTGAGCAGCCGGTAATTGTCTCTAATTCCAAGCTAACTTAAACCTTAATTTATATTTTGATAAAAAATTTTTATGCTTCACTATTTCACGGAAATTTGTTTCAGCAGAAAAGGTTCCTTTATCAAACGTTTATTCCCTATCATTAACATGCTATTCTCCGCACTGTTTTCTATTCGTTTTCTGGGGTGCTAACAAGGAGAATTTGATTGATAATCAGAAGCTTCTTGAGGTGGTGATCATTCCTTTATTTCGCGACTTTAAAGTGTTATTCAGGGGTGATATTGTGACGAGAGATAAGATGCTAATCACCATAGGGAGTTAAAAAGGGTCAATAGTAGAATTCACACTTGAACATGCCAAGGCGAAAACTAAAGTATCCTGTACTTAGATCTCTCATGAGTAGTGAATATTTTAAGACAGATGGTTACCTTATAATCACAACAAACCTGAGTTTATAGCTATCGACACTCCCCCAATAGCCAGTCTGAAAGCGAGGCTAATACAGTACAGATGAGCCACTGTCATCATATCTTCTGGATCTGAATACAAAGACGGATCTTCGCATCTATAATAACAGAAAACAACAAATAAGGCAGCCTTGTTTATCTGATGTTATTTCCTTGTACACATGTAAGACTAAAGCGGTCTATCTTATTTTTCGCAGTAAAGTACTTTTTCACCCATGACTGGAAATGAACAAATCTATCCAGGGTAGAGCGAATATACATATTAAAAAGCTTGTTAGCCGGGGTATTGACCAGCAAAAAGAGCATTAAAAAATTAGTTGAATAACTTTGGGGTGCGGCTCCTGATGTGAAATAAAGAGAATACATATGCAATAAATTCAGCAATTACATATCATACAGCTTCCAATAAAGGCATTGTACCTGTTCTTTCCAATTTTCTCATAGGTTTTTCCCCAGCCTTTCCAGCCAACGAGATGAGAACACTCAACAACTCCTGCATATGCGTTGATAAGCTGTAGAAAGATATTCAGGAGATCCATCATAACGAATGATTGTTTGTTGGGTACGCTGATGATTCGTGATTCATCTACATGTGGTAGTGTAGAAGTAAAGCCCTTTTTGATGAGGGTTCCTCGACAGCAGAATGTCGATAATTTCTTGATCTGTTTTATAAATTGATCCTGTCTTTAGGATATTTCAACATTTTCGGGTTTGGTACGTTTTAGCAGATATAACTAGTCCTTCCCTCTGGGGGACGGGAAATGGATCAAAAATTCTTTCTGAATACGGCCATCTAGAATTGAATCGAAAAAAAATACCAAGAAAGGAAATGTAGAACAAATGGGTACATTCTATCCTATTCCTATCCCCCTTAAACACTCGAAACGTTTCCGATATCCCCCGAACAAACCTCGTGAAGGTTCTCTTCAGCCTCTTCAGCGGCGTTCAATTCTTGAAGAGCAGCCATCAGTGACCACTTCTTCAGGTGAAGGGAGTGATACACGTGACTCAGGTGGCTCAGGCATCGAGACTGTTCAATCAATCGAGCTGATTTGTCACTGTGAAAAAAAAAAAAAAAATGAATATAGATAAGGCAGCTTCGTCTACCAAATTTATACTACATTTTCAACTTTATTTTCTCAGTCATGAGAACTTATTGATTCCATCCAGCAAATTGTAAGAATCTAACGCGCGCACAAACTCACAGACACTAACCCCGCTCCTCCGATGTAGTAGCCGGGCAAAAACACGTGCAAATAATGACGTAATGCTTCCTTCAAAAGCCTCACATAACATCCAAAATCCGTCTTGGGCTGTTTCTTTCCCAGAATGAGCAGCGCCGCTGACAAATGCCTCAGAGCCTCATGAGGTCGATTCATATGAATCAATGCCTGTGAAAAGAACCATATTTAAAACACTGTGAACTGACATCTAATTACGTACCCATCTTGGTCTTGGTAGTGGTAGTTTGAAGAAGTTCAGAACATTACATGGCCACTTAGGGATACGAATTTTATCTTCTCGTGCTGAAAGTATCTCTCACGAGTGAGCGAAGCGAAGATAAAATTCGTATCCTCAAGCAGCCATGTAATATCCTCTATATATTTTATTTCATCGCTTTATTTGTAAAACGTGTGGGAAAATGAAAGGCCCCAAACGCACTCGGTCCTAAACGCCACACGCCCCTATTTTCTTTTCTTCACCTTTGAGAAAATCAAATTACTTGATTTCTCCAAGATGGCGTGTTTCCACCAGAGGCAACCACAATCCTACCATACATAGTATCTCCTACGTATACATTTAATGTTATAGATTTTGTGGTGGTCTGACTTGGCTTCTTGGAGTTGAGTAAAAGGGTACCTCAGTTAATCTGAGAATAGCTGTGTCGGTGAAGTTAACTCTTACCTGACCAATAAGACTTTCCACACGAGCAGTTTCTTCTTCAGCTGCCAGAGGCTCCTCGTCATCCTTTGTCTCTTCAATCAAGGTTTGCACTTCATACAGATAAGATAACGCTTGCATGTTAGAAGAAGTGGCCAATGCTGCCGCCCCAGACTCGGTCAGGTAACGCATTGTTTTTAGCTTGTTTCCAGCCGCTCTCCAGTGATCAACAAGTTGAGGGAAGACCGAGGCAAGCACCTCGGCACATTGACAGTTGCTAAGGTCAATTACAGTCTGTTGTGACTCTGCTGAATCTTCGAAGTCGATATCAACATATTCTTCTTCTCCTTCTTCCTCTTCTATTTGTGGAGTCGAAAATCGCCTTGTTTCAGGCCCTGTACAGAAAAATTAAAATAACTAGTGATTAAAATCTTATCTACGGCAAAATTATTGTAACAAACTACCTCCCCGTACAGAGTGCTAAATCGTATCATTACCTCCTATCATAGTGGAGTTTTTCTTTGAAGAGAATCGTCTCAATTTTTTCTTCCTTGTGACACCTTCATCTTGCTCTCCATCTTCTTTACCAGGGCTTACAAATTTTTTAGCACAGGGAAGTCTTTGCAACCAACTGGTCCTGTGATCATCAACTGCCCGATTAACGACAGCATCGTTGAAAAACCCTGCAGTATTGGCAAATTTACTACCAATACCTTCCGTTTCTCCAGCTTTTTGGTTCACCACTGGAGATTCTTTAAGGTTTTTCGTCTTGAGAGCAAAATAACACAATTGGTTACATTTTTCTCCGAATATTAACGATACTCAATATTTATTAGTAGGATGTCAACGATATCAAAAAGAGTACTTTAAATGTATATTGCGCATTGAAAGTGAACACAAAGTATTTTGAGAGTCTACGCGTACGAATTTCCATAATTATTGATGTACATTCACCCTTTACACCCTAACATCACTATACATGTTCTCAAAACTGTTTTCGAAATATTTCTTAAGATGCTGACAAGGAGAATTCGCCTAACAATCCAGAGCTTCTGAAGTTGTTGATCATTTCAATTATTCTCATGACCCTTATGTTTAAGTCAGGGGAGATATTGTAAGGTGAAATTAGATGCTTGTCACTCTTACGGGTTAGAGGGTTAAGATACAGCAGACGAACTTACCTTCAAAGCATGTTTTGCTTCAGAGATGTCAGACGATCTTTCGCGGGTACGCGAAGAAAACGCTCCTTGACTCTGCACCTTCTCCCTCATCTCTGCTGTCCTCCTACGCTTCGCCATCTTAGAAGAAACTCTTGCTTGTGATCTTCCTGACGAAGCTAAAGGAATTATTATTGATGCTATAAAAATTTCACTGGTAAATTTAATGTTCCGGGTATAAACTTATCTCAGGCTGTTTTTTACAAGAAAAAAAGAAAACGATTAATTGCACCTGTCAGGCGACGTCATTCCCCCCCCCCTCCCCCTTAAAAAACTAATACATTTAGTAAATGGGTATTTTTCACCTGGCTTTACGAGAATTTGTTAATTAATTATTTAATTAACTAGATTATTTATTAAATAGAGAATAATACATGGGCGCGCGTAGATATGGAATTTCTCTTCGAGTGTTTAACTTTATAGCTCACGAGTGAGTGCAGCGAACGAGTGAGATGTCGAGTTGAACACGAGAAGAGAAATTCCATATCTACAAGCAACCATGTATTATTTTGTTTATCATATAACCACAATAGCCCTTAACGGGAATAAAAGCGGACTTCACTCATAAATGAAAATAAATGAATCGACAATCCTCGAATGATAATCGTAGAGTGCGTTAGCGCTGACTCTTAATACAGAAAAATGCGTGGAATCATGATTAAAAAAACAACAATGGTCGTAATTTTCGATTTACAAAATTCTCATTTATTGAATTTGTCCTTACCGACAGAAGAAGTCTTTCGGGTAAACGGCCATAATCGGCCAGTGGCAAATCTTCCAGTTGTCGATTTTCATTCTCAGCCGAGAGAAATGCTAACACCAAAGCCACTGAATACGCAATTTTCGGTTTTTATTTTAGTGTATTGGTTTTCTTCCCCTTTTAGGAAAGTTTGAACCTCATTGTCTGTCAGCGGATACGGAGTTTTTAATGTTTTAGCCGCTATGATTCGAGAAAGCTCCGACAAACAATTTGTATTGGGAATCGTGGGGGCTTTGGCGTTCATTCATCAACCTGACCGAGTGGCGACAAAGGCGAGTGACGTGTAAGCAGCTGATTGGCTATATCAACACACGTGAAAAAATACGATATTTTGCACGTTACGGCTTCTCTCAGGGCCGGAAATTCTTGTATAACACCGCAGTTTATGTGATAATAATTTTTCTCGTACCACTGCTCGTCAATGTTCAATATAATAATAACAAGGGAGAATGAAAAGAAAGAAAGATAAACATAGTAACAATGTGTCACTTACCGTCTGTCATGCGCTTTCCCTGACCCCCTTGCTCTTCCAAAGTATCGGCTTTTTTGGCCACAAATCCTCCTCCGCCACAAGATTTACATTTGTGAGCCTGTGATTCGAGGAACATGGCAGCTCTTTCGTGAAGCTCTTTCTTTTGATCTTCAAGCCAAAGAGAGTACGTTGTCTCTTGCACGTAGGTGTTCACAAATTTCATATACAGGCAATGCTTCTTAGGACCACTTGGGGTCATGAGTCGTGACAAGTTGATCACTTTGGTCATCTCGTCTGCATAACAGCCACAATAGACTGATGCATGGATAGAGCTCGCAACATTGTGGTGATGGTGATGATGGTGATGATGACCATGATGTTGCGCATGCACGGGATCGTTGAAATCGTAGAATCCGTGATGGTTATGGGCATTTTGGTGTTGTAAAGCTAAGCTTGCACACTCTAAAATAAACTCTTGAGCAAGGTTGTACAAAACCAAATCGATGCAGCTTCGAGAAGATCTTGGTAAAATTGCTTGCAGAACGTTTCTATAAAAGTCACAGCCCAAGACGCTGGCACACTTTAAAGTGGCTTGCTCTTGAGGCAACATTCTATCCACTCGAGCAAGCACCATGTCTTTGACGGATTCTGGAACAACTATCTTCGAAATATCAACGCCTGGACTGAGAATGCAAACCTTTTTTGTGTCTAATGGCATTGAATTTTCGGAGGCGCTGACAAAATTAGCTCGCTCCAAATTATATTGAATTTTCTCCTGAATAGAGTAATCTTCAGGGAAATGACGAGACGTTCTGTTTGATTCCAGATCTGATTCAGCTATTTTTGTCTTGATTTCAAACGGATTATTTGCAAAATTGTATTGGAGACTCTTAGCAGCGCTTGTCGACCGTCTTCGATCCCTTAAAAACGACAACGAGGTGTCCACGGTATCTTGAAAGCCAGAGCTTAAAGTGTTTGATGCAAATCCTTTGCCTGGAGTGAGACTTCTTCGTCTAGGTTCTGGACTGTTTGCTCCTAACCATCCTCCATCAGTTGCCTGTCCATATAGCGGGGTACTGGGACGAGGTAAATAACTCGATGCATTGTTGTGTTTTTGTGAAATAGTGGTCGTGGTAGAGCCACCGAAGGAGAGTAAGTCCAAGCTAGACTCTTTGTTGAGAAAAGCTTGGCTCTCGTTGACAACCTGTATAACATTACTCGTCAGCATGTCTTTAATAAGCTGTTCACACCAAGAAGCAATGCCGTGACTCTTCTCACGTAAGATTCCGTCCAGCTCATTAGGAATGTACATGACGTCCATGAACTGACAGGCTAAGTCACTCATGTAAGAGGCTTCCAAGCCACCTAGACAAAGAAAATCAAACAAAATTGAGATAACCTCTCAGGAAGGTTCATTTGTATGTGTTATAAAGTTACAAGATGCTGATTTCATATTTGACACATGCTAAGAAAATCATGGGTTATAGAAAAAAGAGTTCTTTTCTATCCCGTTCAAAAAATCTTGCCTAGAAGAAACTTGAGAAAAGAAGAAATATCATCAAATAATTCTATTTGTTATATCTGATTGTTCAATCCACGGTACCACCGCGTGAACCTTAACATGAATGTAATGGTATCGGTTGAAACAGTAACTACACGAACTATTATTTGATATCAACTTTGAAAGTAGGTTAAACATAAGTAGTGATTTTACCAAATGAGTGAGATCATGAGATCACGAGATCATCTACGGACTGTTACGACGAGGGCCTTGTGCCGCAGTTTGGATGTCTCAAATACTTGTGAATCCTTATTATCATTAGTTAAATCATCTCTATTAGTTTATTGCCACCTTTTCTTGAAGTAGAGTTATTTTCGTAAGGTTTTCTCCGGTCCAAGGGACAATTTCTGTGTTACAAAAGTTAATCATCTACCTTTCGTATGAACCGCATGAGCTTGGTCTTAGCCCATGGAACCGGTAAATATATCACTTATTTAAATCTTCAATAGTCAATATCCTGACATTGAAAAAATGAATTATAAACTTACCGAGTTTGACTTTCTTAGTGGTTTCATGTCCAATGAGTCTGATGGCCGCCTCACACGGTGGGTTGGATGATGAGAAAGGCCTGAGTGACAGCACCAATATAGCGTGTGAATCCGCTGATAAATCTTCAATAAAGTCCCAAGATTCCTGATCTATAAACTGAGCGTTGTCCACGGTAAACAGACACGGCTGACTCACTGCAAACTAGAAGAAATAGTAAAAGGGTCAAAATTGGTGGAAGCTGTACGTCCAAGTGTGACAAGTGTACCTGAAAAAGACACATCCCCATTGATATGCCACAGCGACCTGCACATAGAAGAAATAAGGGGTAAAATCCTTATTTTTGCATTTCCTGCAGGTGAGTAAAACACCTTAAAGCATTTGAAATAGATTTTAAAGTACATCATAGATGTAGGAAAAAACATTATTTTAAGTTCAACGCGAATTCACTCATCAAGTAACACTTGTGTTACTGCATCACAATTTTCGACTACATACCTGATGGACAATTTCAAATAGAAGGGTGTGAAATTGTGTAGTTACTTTATCTGAGTCCATGCGAGCGAAGTCAGCATTCGGTGGTATCTGAAGTAAATATGATAGGATATCCGAGAAAAGTTGCATTTTGAGGCCCCTAAGGTAAGGAGAAGGGATTTCAAGAAAAGGTTCAAGACATTTTACTTACGTGTGTGCCAAGTAGGTCATTCAACAGAAACATCTTTTCTCGCAGCTTTTGATCAGTAATGTGCTCCATGAGAGTATTTTCCTTTTCTGAAGCCGTGCGGCAGGCTTCCAGTTCCAATAGGTTCTCAATAAGAGTCTTAACAACGTGATAAGGTGTGTGGGCATGCGCCATGTCAGCCTCAACGTAATCCACCCTAATAATCGATAAAATCAGAACATTTTCATAATTTCATTTGGAGAGTCTCAGGGAGACATGGTAGCCTAGGGTTAGAACACTGGTTGATGGACTGACTTCCCTTGTAACGAGGGAAGACATGGTAGTCTAGGGTTAGGACACCGATTGATGTACTGACTTCACTTGTAAAGTAGCGATACTCTTACGCAAAAATCGAAATAGACTTCTCAGGGGATCTGCCACACGATTTATTACACTTCTTTTTCAGATGATGTCCCTTAGAGGGCTCAAAGGTTCTTACTTAAAGTCTTCCTCCTCTGCAATGTCCATAAATGCCTCTAGCAATCTTGTTTTTCCAACTCCTCCTTCACCTTCGATCACCACAACTCTCCTGCTGCCACTTACACGGGTATCGTCACATTTAATGGCATGAAGAAGCGTTTTCATCTCCTCTATCTCTATGCCTCGTCCTGTATTTTGAAATCATACATCACATCTGTTAGATACAGAGTGACCACAACCAATAGAAAATGACCGAGAAACCCAGAAGCCATCTTTAGTGTCATTTAGAGGCGCGGCAGTCCGGCTTTTCATTGGCAAATTTAGAACGTGTCAAAGATAATGTTTACCGAGGATTGGGTAATCATATTCCTCTTCTTCTTCTTCTCGGCTGTAAAAGCAAACGAAGTGAAATGAGTTTTCATCATCCCATCGATAAAACTGATCCTATCGTCAAGCTTGATAGGAGAGGTCTTTTTACACGCAGCATTTTTAACTCACTCGTGATGACTATTGTATTCTCGGACTGTTCCAGGATCAGCCACACCTTTCAATTTTATGAAAGGCAAGACCACGAAATCCTCTTTCTTCAACTTAGACTTCCCTGATCTGTAAGTGTCGTCATCACACGACAGGGTTCCTGGATAGTTCACCATTAGCCTGGCAGCCATGTTGACTTTACGGCCAATGACTATTGAAACAATGATGTACAGCTTGAATTTAATTTCATCATTACCAAAATCTTCTTAATCTTTCAAGGTAAAAGGAAAACGCACCAAAAAAAAGACATAGATCTGATTTCATCCAAATGGACGGGTTTCTTTAATCATTTCTTCCGAAGGAAAAACCCTGCATATTTCTCGCAATTAAACCGTAGGTTGAGTCTGTTTTTTGCTGCATAACATCAAAAGTAAACTCGTACTCCCCAATTTAAAACTTAAGCTTCCAAATAGGGGACTGCTAACCCTTCCCTGATGTGATGTTAAGGGTTCTGGAGTGCGATAGACTGGATAAGGAGTTCTTAAGGTGAACCTGACATCTGAGAACAAACTATCTTAAAGCAATGCCTCTGTTCACCCAGAAAAACCGAGAAACGGTTCAGCTGCTGTATCGGGCACTTGATCAGTTAATGTTGACGTTAAGTATAGTACTCATGTCGTAACGCGAAAATAAACAAAAACTCCTCCTCAGTTCTGTAAACCCAGGCACTTATGAGACTTTCTCTGTCAATTGCAAGCGAACAATTTTATAGAAGCGAAAAAAACCATATGATTCAAGTGTAGCAAACCTGTATACTCGTGTCTGTCTCTGTGACCAACCACACCACAGAACGCACGTCCTGTAGTTACACCGATGGACTCGTTACTGAAAGACAATGTCAGCCAACAGGTTGATGAAACTCAGAATTTTCTGTTTGTCCCACGCTCGTGTCCAGGCGAATTATTTATCTCTGTTTTATTGCCGAGCGCTAAATTTACTGTCTTTCCTAGTCTATTTACACGCATGCAGGATCCGTGTGTATGCAGTATCCCTGTCAAATGTTAAACTAGTAATGGCCTAGAACACTGTGGAGTCTCTGTAGCTCAATGGTACAGCATCGGGGATCTTAGGTACGTTTACTTAAGAGAACTCAGATCTTTTTGTACTACGCTCGTCGAAAGACGAAAACATTATTCAACGCTGCACTATCTAACACCATTTATATCATTTAAAATAGCGATAATCTCGTAATGTTTCTTTGTGGATTGACCACTTCAACCTGATTACTTACGTGATATCCATAATCTGGTGAAGACTGTCCATTATTCTGTGGCCAGCTTTGAGGGCCCTCGTTGGGTCATCCTCGTGCTTATCACCGGGCAGACCAAATATCACGATAAATGTACAGCCCTGCAAAATATAATAGCATTCTCACTGCATCAGAATTATGATCGGTATTGTCGGTCACCTTCCGAGTGCCTCCCGTCCTTCCCTTAAGTTTCCTGCCATCCATCAGCTTATTGGTATCTAAGAAACTGTATTTTCACTTACGTCTGTTGTCAAGAAATTACAATCTCTAACTGTTTTCAAATATAGAGAACACATAAAAGATCAGTTCCAGAAGAAGCAATAGACTCTGGGTAAAAGAAGAATGTAAATCACTTCTTGTGCGAGCTATATTAATTAAACATCAAACACTTTAAACTTAATCTTTCGATATGCGGAGCATGCGAAATTGCACGAACAAACCAAACAATCGACAATCTGTTTTGAGTTGGAACTGCTGTCGAAAACAGCCATTGGGTTCATTCAGGTGCACCTCGACCCCATATCGATTTCATATCTTAAGACAAATGATTAATTACACGTCTATACAATCACAACGAAAAACTAACGAGGCTGCTAAAGCACTCCATACCTTGTCGAAAGAGAAGACTTTGTTTAGATTGCCTGCAACACAAAAAAGTCAAAGGAAGGAGCTAAGGCAACGAACACGTTTAACAAACTTCTCTAACTTTTAATCTCCTCAGCAAGTGAGAATGTTTTTAAAAATAATTTATGTTTGAGGAATATTGATATTGTCATGATTATATATTCACCTCTAAGTCTCCTTGCGCATTCATGAATAACCTCAAACGCCCTCTGAAGGGCCCACGAATGATAATTTCCTTTTATGGGCAGGTCCATATTTATGAACAGAACTGAGACCTGCCGCATTTCGGATAACCATTCTAAATCCTGTCCATGATCAATCTGTAGTGAAATGAATAGGTGAGATAGAGCGCTCTCTTTCGTTTCTTAGAGCCAACGTATTCATTCAGTAAAAACATATTTGTGTCACGGGAGAACTTGCATGACACTTAGAAGTCTACTTTTCGTGTTTTATGCAGGATTCTCACATGAAATAAGAGAGATATTGATCTTTAACAAATAACATACAGTTTCAGAGGCCGTACGTCTCACATTTCTTGGGGTAATTTATTTTTTCTCAAATGCTCCACAGTCATACCCTCCGCGAAATTACATTATAAATCTTTTACCAAGAAGAATATACATGAAGTAAGTATTACCCTTGATAGCACAGTTTTGGGGACATAGGCTCGGAGATCTTCAATATCCTGATCATTAAGCTTGCTGTAAATGTAAGTTCGATGATCTGAAAACAAATATCAGCGTAATTAATGCAACGCTTGGCCAACCAAATCATGATCTGGTCTCTTAGTTACTTTTCAGGTCATGTTATGCGATCGCATTGAGACCTTCATGATACACACGAAAGTTAAGATGGAAAAGCAAAAATTATCCTCAAAACAAAACGTTTGTAGCGTAATTTTTTTCATCCAAAAGCTTGTTTAAATGGCAAGCAACAAACGCAATCAAATTGACAGGATTTTATTATGCTAAGAAACTGGAGCCTCTTATGAATGAAATTACATATACGATAACGTACTGACCCTAAAGTATTGACTGCTACTCCTGCTCCCCCCCCACCTCCTTACACCCCCTTAAATAGCTGCCATTGAAGGAGTTTCCAGTCAATCAGACGGGACGAGTGCAGGTTATCTTTGGTTAATTTGGAGTTCTAAGCGTAGGTCGCTGTAAAAAGCCATTATAAGATGGGTTCTCGAACTTAGTTGATTAAAAGCTGTTCGATTTCACATGTACACAGCTTTTATAGTTATACATTCTCTAACAGAAGGAAGTTTACTACTCTGGGCCGGACTTACCAGGATCATGACAGCTATCGCTTTTCAAAAGATTTCCAGTGGTTTTACAGATCTGTTCTTTCTGTTCGGACTGTCCCTTTTTCCGGTATATTCTGGGAAGCTTCATTTGTGGATAGTATCGTGATAGCAATGTGCCAACATGTGGTGCAAATATTCTTTTAGCCACAGATGGCGTTGAAGTGAGCACAGCTCCTGTGGACAGCACGCCAGACATCAATGCTAGTTGAACACCGGTTGGGTGTACTGTGGACACTGTTGCGGATTCTTCTTCTACTCTCGCTCCCGCTACCTACAATAAATATTTAAACACGAAAAGATTTCCAAAGATTTCTGAAAGACTTCATCTACGAAAATAACATTTATTATTTCTAAAGCTTTCCATTGCGCGCACAACTCACCCTGTAGTGCATTCCGTTGTCTATCATTTCAAACAAAAACAAAGACTGATCACAATTCGAAAAAGCCAAACGTGACAATATTATCGACCCAGGCTCTGCCCACTTCTCCGCTGCATTTACATCCGAAACCGCTGACCCGGAGAGATCGAAGTGCTTGCTTTCCGTAACTCCGACGTGCGTGATTTGCATTTTGCCAACAGACAGGGCGATTTTAACCCGAAGAAGGACGCCAACATCTGTCATGTAGTTGTCGCATTCTTCTTGAATGGCTATACTGCAAATAATAGCTTTGTTGATTAACAGAGTCAGATCGTCTGAGTTTCCTCCGACCTCTGCTTTCCACAAGGCAAGCAGTGCGTCCCCTGTAGATAACAACAAACATAATATCCTACAGGTCATTTCGAAATCATCTTCAAACCTGGACATACCAATATCCAGGATTATTTCGGCATTGCGAAATTCACAGTCTTACCACCCAACAACCTCCATCAACATCTGGATTGTCTGGATTGTAAAAAGGGAAATTTGCAGTTTTAGGCGTCCTCTTTTTGAGTTGCGCTCTTTTTTACCAACGCAAAAGGCATATTCCATGATAATTATAGTATCAAACTTCTTTTACACATTCTTCATTGTTTTATGTCATGTACATTTAAAGTTCAAATGTGCATTGGTAACGTCAGTCGATATGGGGACGTGTGCTGACTAATATAGATTCTGATGAGTTATAGGGGGTTGTAAACTTAAGGCAAGTGTTTATACACTGCATTCCTGTTGATGGACCGGTAGAGATGTGACATCGTAGTGATGGATTTGCTCGTCTTTGTTGGTATCGGAGAGATGATAAAATTTAATACAAAGCTTGCCTTCGCGTGATTGTTTGCATGTTTGTTTGTTTATTCCATATGTACCAAAGGTGCCGCCTGTAAGTGTTGTCTTGAAGATTATAACATTAGGCCCAAACTATCAATCCCCTGATGGCAATTACTTCCAAGTTTCCTTTTGAGAGAAGTTGACCAAACTTACCAGCAAATTTCAAGACGTCGCCGCCATGTTTAAGAATATCTGTGGATGGTGAAGATCGACTTAAGTACCATTAATAATACAATGGAGGGAGGTGTTTCTTGTGAAATGTGGTCCAAACTGTTCATTGCCTATGCAGTAACTAACCTTCGATTATTTTCCCCAGATAAGTATTGAGTGTGAAGGTGAGTTTGTCTGTGCCACAGGACTCAGCCTCAGATGCCTTCAGACTGTATGTTTCGCAGAGTGAGGTAAATCCTATAAATAAAGAAGAAAGTGGCGAATTTTTTTAAGTCTGATAGGTCCTTTTTAAACACCAAATGCTTCATGACTCGAATCAAATTTCCAGTAAATTGAGTACATGAAAAGCTCGGCGTTAAGTTCTGTTATAACTAGGTGCTGTTTGGGAAGGAGTGAAGACCGGACTCAAGAGAGCGGGAAAGTTAGATTAGTTTCCTTATAAAAAGTTGACAAACTTCTATTTCGATTTCATTGGGAACCACTCTTGTGTTCCCCCCGCCGGATTGAATAGGAATTTTGACTTCAGAACCGCTTTGGAAAGGTTTTTATTTGGACACTGGAGTTATCACGTTCAGAAATAAGGCTTTAATTATTACAAAGAAATACTCCTGCAACCGCTGAAAATTTGAGCAGTATTTTTTCAGCACTCCTGATCAAGATACGAAAACATTGAATTAAGGGGATTCTGAAGAGCTTTAAAGAATTTTTATGCTTGAGTTGATATTTTTTGAGTGTAATAAACAAAAGCCATCTGTCAAAGCTCTTCTGTCTTTTTTAACAAACATACGAATCAATCCAAAGTATATGTATTTTTCTAGAAGCGTAATTATTGATTTCATTTTCCACTTATTAATGTAAGTCGTGCACTGAGAATCAAGTCAAAATCAATTTCACTCACCTGATATATCAGCAAACATACACACGCCCACCATGTGTTTTACACGTGGCATTGCCTTCTTATGATCACAGTTGATCACTATATCCGGGACATGCGTAAGGAGCTGACGTAATGCACTGGAGTCGCCAGATTCCTGTCTATTACCCCATTGACCTGAAAATATTTTTTGGTTCATGCAATTTCGAAACTTTGTGCACCAGAGACTTAATAAAAAAGTACGTATAAACTCAGCGTAGATAATGAATATTGTGTGGATTTTACTTTGACGGATTGCACCTGATCCGCAAACTCCTCTCAGCGAAACAAAATCCCGCAAATTAATCTCGTGAAAAAATTAACTCAAAATGCTTTTTGAAAAAACTTCAGGGGAGCAGATTTAGTTTTTTTGTCTAATAAACATCGAAAAAAAGAGACATTCTTTAACAAGTGCAGGAAGCCGACATGATATACATGTAAACGATAAAAGTTGCGCGCGCGGTGCTTGTAAACGTTGAAAAACCTACCGATTTGTGGCTGTGACTTTCTTTATTTTGTTTTTAACTTATTAAACGATCAACGGGGACAATGTTATATCCAAACAGAGAGCAAAGCAACAAGCTTGGTCTTTACAAGCATCAAATTAACCAAGATATCGGGTGTTTTCAAAATTTTCCCTCGAAAACGTCGCAGACAAAATTTGAATATGCAAAGTCATTCGTTATCCTTAAACGCAACGCAAATGGCAAAAAGAAAAATTCATCTCACTCTCGGCTTGGAATCTAACCTGATTTCTTGTCCAGAGTCACTGCTTGTAACTCCTCGCCGCTCATTTTTTAGTGTATATTGATTTCATTTTTCCTTCCTAAACCAGCATATGATCTACATGACAGTTATGTTGAGCTACTTTGACTCTCGCTTGCGTCATAATAGAGGGATTTAGCAAGAGGACGGGAACGTCATTTCAGAACGGGAAAGCGCGCGGATAATCTGGACACGACTCTATTTCGACTTCCGGTGTTAGCGTTGCCGCTCTCCCCATCAAGTTCAGGCCGTCATTTCGCTGGTTTTCTCGTCGTGATCAAAACGCCTAGGATTTGCGTTAATTGTGCACTTATGCTCGCTCGAAATGTCAGTTCTTAAACTCTTTACGGCCGTGGCAAATTTACATTTTCAACTCAATTGATAACGCTAAACTACCTTGTAACCGAATTTAGTTCTCAAGAATTTTCGTTACTGAATACAAACATAAAAACGATCATGCAAGTTATTTCATTTTTTCTAAAGAGTTCCATTATATCGTGATCGCCACTGAATGGAATAAAATCTTTCATACGTGTAAAAAAAACTAGGCGTCCCTTGAAATTGTCTATTGTTAAAAATAGTTATTAAATCTTTAAAAATCTAGTATATTCAAATTTCTTATACCTCACAGCTTCGAAAGTATAAAAAACGACTCAATTAAAGAAATTTACAGAACAGAGGCGCAGCTAAAAAATTACGCATCGGCGAACTCCTCTAATTCGACACACTGAAACAGCTGAAAAGTAGGATTCTGTAAGAGAAAAGCTGTAGTCAGTTTGACCACAGATGACAAAGTCAAAGTTGACGCTCGACTTATCGCCGATGCGATTCACATGCAGTAATTAGGGACCCTCCTTTAGTCTCTTTAGTCTCTACTCTTTAGTCTTTAGCAAGAACATTTGACTTAATTGTTTGTAGAGCAAATTGTATCAAGCCCAACTGTCCTTGTAACTGTCCTTGTGCGTCTCTCAAATGCCTCTCCATCTCGTGCAGTTTTCTATTGGAGTTTTCTTCTAGTTCTTCTTTCTCCTGTAACTGTCCTTGTGCATCCTTGAGATCATTCTCCATATCACGCATCAATATTTTCCAATTAAGTAATTCTACTTCTTTCTCTTGTAACTGTCCTTGTGCGTCTCTCAAATGCCTTTCCATCTCGTGCTGTTGTCTATTGGAGTTTTCTTCTAGTTCTTCTTTCTCCGTAACTGTCCTTGTGCGTCCTTGAGATCATTCTCCATATCACGCATCAACATTTTGCAGTTAAGTAATTCTTATTCTTTCTCTTGTAACTGTCCTTGTGCGTCTCTCAAATGCCTCTCTATCTCGTGCAATTGTCTTTTGGAGTTTTCTTCTAGTTCTTCCTTCTCTTGTAACTGTGCTTGCGTGTCTTTTAATTGGTTTTCTATCTCAAGCAGTTGAATTTTCTGGTTATATAACTGTTATTTTTTTCTTGTAACTCTCCTGGTGCGTCTTTCATATGCCTCTCTACCTCGTGCAGTTGTCTTTTGGACTTTATTTCTTGTCCTACGCTCTCGTGTAATTGCGCGTGCTCTCCTATCTCGCACAATTTTCTTTGTGAGCTTTCCTCTCGTTTTTCTTTTTCCCTCGGCAGGTTAACATCTTCCAATTCTTTCTTTTGCAGCTGTGCTTGGGAATGAATCCCGCACTGGTTCATTTCCGTCAGTTTTTTATGTCTTTCTCGCATTTGATCCTCCCTTGTTAACGGTTTCTGCGAATTTACGGTTTCTTTCTTTCCCTCTCGCTAGTGATTGTTTGTACCTGTCGAAGTACAGTTCATCCATTTCTATCTCTTCTGAGTCAGCAGGGCCATTTTTGTGGTCACGAGAGAGTTTTTGTTCATCTTGTAAAAAACCTGAATGTGAGCAAGGAGATACTATTTTAGTGTTGCTACTGATGCAACCACCTAACGACTCCAATACAAAAGACTGGAAAGACACGATGTCCATACCATCGCAGAAAAAGCCAACCAACAAGTTTTTACGAAAACGCCAAACTTTCCCGCGCGAGATTTCCGCTTTAATCCCGCACGGGAAAGTTGGGCGAAATTTCGTAACTTTTTGAAAATGTCGGCAAGGGAGTCGCAAAAAACAGCAGAAGACAGTCAAAACAAAGAAAGAAAAAAGTACTCCCTTTGGGGTTATTTAACTACAAACACCGTTGGCTTTCTTTTTCGGTTGTCGATGTTAAACAAGTCACTCTTGATTCTTTTCGTCATATAAAAAATCTTTAATTGACCAAACTTGTTCAGTTAAGGTTGCTAGATATTAGCGTCGTCCTTTTTTCGCGTTTTTGTCCATAAAATGCAAAACAAGAACTCGGCCAGTATCCATCTCTCACATTTGGTCAATAATACATTTGTATTTTGTGTGGCCGTGGTTTCCATCTGATTCTCTTGAGGCTAAGATTGACACTGTCCATCTGTCATATGATATTTTCGACTTCATAAAAAAGACAATATTAAATGGCCAGGCGGAGATTTCTCTCCGACCGTAGAAACACATTTCACGAATGAACGACGCGAACGGATAGAATATTTTTTTAAAACGCGAGAAGAGAAATTTCATATCTCCAAGTGGCCATGTTACATTCTACTTCTTATATAAACACCAATGTATTACTAAATTATTTAATTTTAATACTTTTTTAAAAAGTAGAACAATGTGTCACTAAAGTAGAATTTGTCCCAGCTTAATAATGGAAAAAGTGCACGGCCTGTAAAGCGTGAACGAAATACAAATTCCGTTTCTGTTCTAGTGCAATAAAGGGCTTCAATCCTAAAATAATGGCCTCAAAATTTTTTTATTTTGGAAAACGCGAGGTATAAGTTAACCATAGCAACAGTGATCTTTTTACATGGGAAGATATCACGTGTTCCGGCGAAAGCTCACTTGGTATTTCATTCGTTTTTTTATAATAATTTATCATTCATAGCGACAGAGAGGGTGGAAATAACTTATCTGTAATATTTTGTAAAAATATTTGGCCTTTCAGTCATGTTGGATTTTAACAATGAAAAATAAGCATGTGAACATGTAAAAACGCCTGAACCAATCGAGAGCTGGAACAATCGAAAGCCTTCCCTCTCTGGTGGTTGCTCTTTGACTAGGTCATCTACGTAGCCAATGGTTGATTGCCTAACTTTCGGTCAACTATCAGCTCACGATGAGGTTCAACATGTCTTTTTATAACCAACTGCGGGCGCCATAGCAGATGAACTACAAAATTTCATCATGACAAACTCACCCCTAAATGAAAATGAACTCACCTGATTTCTCTTTCTGAGACTTCTCCTCAAAATTAAATTCTTCTATTTCGGTTGCTATAGGAACAACAACTGCTCTACTCACAACAGTTTCGCTACCAGTTTTTATATCCTTGGTGGGAACAAAAGATAATTTGATGATAAGAATCACTATAAGTATTAATAATGATATTGATAGTACCAATAATAACTGTAACAGTTTCTTTTATTCATCGTGCTGATAATACATATCAGATGCTAATAATGCACATGCATCCAAGTTTAAAAGTCAATAATTTAAATAACATTTGAAATTCCATCATCTGTATAGCTAAATTGCACCAAACAAAGACGCCTGGAGGCATAAACGTAAGACACACCGGTAGTTATCTAGTGATGACTCCTCAAAGTGCAGGAATAAAATCGAACGATAAAGACCGAAAAAAAGTCAACAGCACGGATATTATTATTATTATCCTAATCATCATCATTATTACCATTATTCCAATTTGCAGTTAATTTACCTTAATGTACTGAGCTTCTTTGAATAGAAAAGTTATACATGCAAATTCAAATTTTGTCATGTTTACTGTACAAAATGAATTTTTTGGATTAAGTTTTTAGAGTTGATAGATCTTCCCATGGACAAAAGTACTCTTTGATATAAGGAGAAGGATAAAAAGTAGAATTTAATTAAATGTTATCATCATTTTGTGGACAAAACAATTCTCAGAACTTAAAACTTTCTTACATCTCTGGTAACGACGTTCATAGCACCCACTGCTCTTCTCTCTGACAGGATCCTTCGAGCCACGTCACTCTCGCAGCACTCCAGTGGTGTTTGACCCTTGCTGTTTACGAGCTTTGTATCTGCACCGATATCGAGCAATATCTCCATAATTTCTTTCATAGTCTCTATCTGTTCACCCCCTGGCATAAAAGTCACAGCCAAATGAAGAGGAGTTTCTCCTTCAAAGTTTACGGCATTCACATTGCACCCTGCATGTAAAAGTAGCTTCGCGGTTTTAATGCAGGGAGACTTGTACACGATTCCCACAGTTTTTGTATCAAATGCTGCGGCTAGATGCAGTAATGTATTTCCATCGCGGTTACGAATGTCTAAACGCAGAATTCTTTGAACATAGTCGATTATTTCATCTTCATTATCCTCTAAAACTTCAAATTTGGCGCAAATCATCAGAAGATTTAGAAAACAGTAAAGCATTTTTTCTTTTTCCTCATCTTCTTGCCCCTCTTGCAATTTCCCAGCCTCTAGTTTTTCTGTCAGTTTTTCGAATGCTGCCACAATGTGTTTTCCATTTGAGCAACGAAGTTCCGTTACTATAAATAGCCATGATAACATTTGAAGATCGTGCGTAATAGGTTCACCACAGTTCATGGCTATTTCCATCGCTCGTTTACATAGACCAATACAAGGTTTGTAATGCTCAGAGTCAGCCAGAACAATCCCATAAGATCTGATATCGTCCAGAAGTGCTGCAGATTCAATTCCAAGGACTCTCTCCTTGATCATGAGTCCCTCCATGCGGATAGCATGATTATCATCTTTTAACAGGGAAAGTTCCTCAAGAGTTTGACTCTCTGTTCTATTTTCATAATCTTCCACAGGTTTTATGTTCTTTTTAAGCAATGGACATGACGGGTCCTGATATCTCTCTTCCATTGCACGCCTCATACAACTGAATGCTTCTTTGACGTCATAAGAATCAGGATCATTTGCAATAGAGGAACCAAGAAGTTCGAGAGCGTTAATTTTTTGTTCCTTGGTACATTCGGGTCGATTGATGTAATACTCGACCATTTCATATTTGCTTTCATTACTGGCTGCTAGTAGTGGGGTCAAACGTTTCTTATTTTGCCTCTCTTCTACTCCAAGAGAAAGAAGCCTACCGACAACTTCGGTGCGACCTTTCTCTGCAGCATAGTGAAGACACGTGTCTCCAGCCTTGTCTTGCAAATGGTGATTTGCGCCATGTTCGATTAGATAGGAAGCAACATCCATGTGACCATTGTAACATGTTATCATCAAAGGAGTACTCTCAAATTCATCTCTTGCATTTACATCAGCTCCGTTCTTGGCTAAACAACTCACAATATCAAGACGTCCATCGTACGCAGCAGCCCGCAAAGGAGTCGAATTCGTTGCATTTCTGCCATTAACGTCTGCATTGTGATCGATTAACAGTTTCACAACATCTAGATGACCAGTAGCAGCAGCGGCCCACAAAGGAGAGCAACCTTCGAAAACTTCGTCAGTGTTGGCTTTCACAGTTCCTCGTGCTTCGATATCTGCTTTGAAACTCAAAAGAATCTTTACAGAGTCTAGGTTTCCATTACGAGAAGCAATTATGAGAGGAGTTGCATTCTCGTCGCCATCTTTGGTCTTGGAATCGAGCGCAGTTTTCCTTTCTTCAGTGTTGAGCCGCTTTAAAAGATTAGTTAGATCAGAAGAACCATCACGAGCAGCTTCATAAACGTTTTGTATCGTGGATTGCTTATTACCCATTTTTCGTTACGCCTAAGCGGGACTTTCCGTCCCATCCGAGGTTTCCATGAAAGAAATTGTATTAGTGATGGGAAAAAACAAACACCAGAACTTCTTGACCTCGCGACCTCTCCTAGACAAGCATTTGTAAACTCAACCGTCACGCTAACGTATTTACTGATCAGAAAGACTGAAGCCGATGCTTTATTCCATTACTTTTGAAAAAGGTGTAGTTGTTACCTCACCCGAGTAAAGGACCTGAACACGGATTATTTTCGTAATCGTTTATGTATATTAAGAAAAACAGTGATGGTACGCTGTTTATCTCAATATGCATGATCACTAATGAATTTCGCAACCGTATTATGCTAAATCTCCACAAGTTGTCAATCACTCATCCTTTCTGGGAAAACAGGAAGTCTGAAGCGTCTCTTCTGTTTCGAGGAGGGGACGAAGAGAAATTCAAAGATAAATTAAAAGGCGTCCTACTAAGTTTTATTTCTATCTTTGCTGCACTGCAAACAGTCTATGCAGTGTGTACTTAAAATATATCACTCTCGACTGAGGAATATAACTGTACTATCAAGCTACTACTTTCTTTGCTATTTTTAGACAATTTATCTATGTCGGATTCATATGTACATAATAGCGTAACATATGATCTTAATCTTTATCTGTAAATCACACAAAGGTCTTAGGTCTTTTTATAACTTCTAACGACGTTCGAAACGGAAAGAATCAATCCCAGTCAAAGCACAGAAACATCAGCTATATAATCTCAATTAAGTCTGATGGCTAATCAGCAGGATGTTACTTATCATTCCTCATCTATCATTATCATTGTGCGATTAGACATTTTCCTTCACCAGACTACAATTCATACCCAGTGTGCGATCTACAGGCTGCATTTTCTACCTAGTCTAAAGTTTATACGTAGTATACACTTTACAAAAAAAACTGCTAGTCGATCATATCAAAGTCTCATTGCTGAGGCACTTTGTTGCAGACCTATATTGAAAAAAAAGTGATTGTTCCAGTTCACCGATGATGTCTTCCATGCTGGGTCTCGCTTCAGGAGCTCGTTTCAGACATCTCCGGATGAGAGCTCGTAGTATTCGATTTTTCACCATGGCAACTTGCTCGTCACGCCTGTCAGGATCCGGTAGTTTCCGGGTGCAAATCTCACAGAGGAGAACTCCGAAACTGTACACATCAAGCTATGTTCGACAACAAAATTATAGTTAAGGAAAAAAATTTACAGTAGACCTAAGTTCATTATCAATGAGTGCAAAAAGGTTCAAGTTTGATATGAGTGTTCTTCCTAGTTTAATATTTTTTATGTCTAATCTAGTTCGCCACGCAGGAATCGTGCCTCTTTGGTGACCCATAGAGAGGGCATAGTCTAGCTCTACAGTGGGGCATTCTAAAGGGAAGAGATATAGGTTCGACTCCTCTCAAGAAGTTGAAGTTCATCTTTTCTTATTAACCTTGCTTCCGGCATGTTTTACCACGAGTTCACTTCGGACTATAGACTATACCTAAAGCACACGAGCGGTTACCCAGGAAAAGGGTTTAATCGCATTTAAAGATCAGACAATTTTTATCCCGCCAAGTCGACAAATTGATTTAACGTCCTATAATAAAAATACTTCACCAGACTGTTTATTGTAAACACAAATAAACAATTCAGAAATATAACCCAAATATACAAATGTACACATACCTTGGCAGTTTGATTCTCTGTAAGTGCCTCAGGAGCACTGTATATCCTAGAACCAGGACAAGCCGTCATAATGTCTCGCTTGAAATTAGCCGTGCCATAATCCGACACTTTGCCTCGCCATTGGTCAGCTTCTCGCCACAGCAACACATTGGCACTGCTGATGTCGCGGTGAATGATGGGGGATGGTTTCTTCAGGTGAAGATAGTTTAATGCTCGAGCCACGTCTAAAGAGATGACAGACACTTCAGTGGGAGAAAGAGATCGCAGCTCTAGCAGTGCTCGCAAACTTGTTTCCATGAGCTCTGTGACAAACAAAGGACTTCGTTCATCGTTTGTTGCTCCAATAAACTGAAGCAAACAAGGGTGGCGACATCTGGAGGCAATATTCATTTCTCTCTCGAACGACTCCCGATAATATGAGGAAGATTTCAAAAGACTGTCATAGATTTGTTTCACGGCAACAGTGCACCCGCAGTATCTGCCTTTAACTACAATTCCCCAACCACCCGTACCAAGGCACTCCTCTGTCAGTTGAATCTCATCACGCGGAATGACCCAGTCAGGTGATTGTTGGCGTGAAAGTCTATTTAACGCCTGTCGAGTTGCTGAGAGAGACTCTTCTAGTTCGTCTACCTGCTGTTCTTTTTCCTCCAGCCGGCTCTCTAAGGAAGAAACCTCCTCATCCTTCCCTTGTAGCTGTTCTTCCGCATTTTTCAACTGCTGTGTCTTCTCCTTCAGTTCTCCATCTCTCTCTTGTAGTTGCCCTTGAGTATTTGTCAACTGTTGTGTCATCCGCCTCAGTTGTCCATCTCTTTCTTGCACTTGCCTCTGGAGATCAGTCAACTGAATCCTCATTTCCCTCAATTGTCCATCTCTCCGGACGTTTGTCAACTGCTGTGTCTTCTCCCTCAGTTCCCCATCTTTCTCTCGTAGTTGCCCTTGAGTATTTGTTAACTGCTGTGTCCTCTCCATCAGTTGTCCATCTCTCTCTTGTAGTTGACTCCGGACGTCTATCAACTGCTGTGTCTTCTCTCTCAGTTGTTTATCTTTCTCTTGTAGTTGCCCTTGAACATTAGTCAACTGCTGTGTCTTCTCTCTCAGTTGTTTATCTTTCTCCTTTAGTTTCCCTTGAGTATTTGTCACCTGCTGTGTCTTCTCACTAAGTTGTTCATCTTTCTCTCTTAGTTGGCGATCTTTTTCTGATAGTTGTTCATCTCTCTCTTGTAGTTGCCTACGAACATTTTTCAACTTCTGTGTCATCTCCCTCAGTTCTCCATCCCTGTTTCTTGGTTGAAAGTGTTCCAACTGCTGTGTCAACTCCCTAAATAGTCCTTAGATAATGAAAATAGAACAAGGCAATTTTCAGCTTGTCTCACAGAGCGCGAACCGAAAACCCAAAACATATTCCTCTCTCTCTCTGGGTAAGTTTTATGTCAAAAGACATTCAAACTTAGGATCTAAATCATTTTGGACTCCATTTTAAATTACTTGGCACCCACCGCTGTCTGTGTAAAAAATATTTGTAATATATTCAATTCCCCTCTGTTAACTAATATTGTTACCTAAAAGCTCATAACGGAACTCCCTGGTCTTTCCTACAATTATTTTTCTTTACAAATTTGTTCCTCAACAATATCCTCTTACCTGATCTCCTTTTCGTTTCCCTTTTAACATTCTCATTTAGGTCTTTTTCGGTTCCAAGAACAAATCTTTCTCCTCTTCCTTCACCGACTCCACTTCCAGTTACTTCATTCTTAGAAAAAAATGGCAAACACATAGCAACTTAGGAAAAAAAAAAACATTTTGGTACATGTACACCGAGTTTCCCTGCCAAACGAAATCAAAAAAAAATCTGGGCCTTGCTGTATTTTTATCAGGAACTTAAATGTTACGTTTTTACATGATTTGCCTTTGTTATGATTAACAGACTTAAAAAGACCTATGCCATGCTCAAGTTGAAATGGGAACCTAAATGCGTTTTAGATAGCCTCTTTTAATTTAATTTTTTATTCGTAAAGTTTTGGTTTGCTTATTCTCCAGTGGACCTTTGAAAACCAATGAGGTCTCTTCTTCAAATGTGTACTAGTATAATATATATGTATTCTTATAGTTATTTTTATATACTAGCTAACTGAATCTACTTATACCATTTCAACTATTGTTATATCAGGAGTATTTAGCTGGTTGACCCGTTACAAAACATGCTGCGTGCGAGTTCATGCCATCGCTGTCATTGATGTTTGGACGTCATAAGTTTAGCCTGCACACGAATTGTTATGATTTATTTTAAACGAACTCCCCACGTGATGATTCCATAGTGGCAAATTGCTCTGGTAATTCAAGCTTCAAGCAATTCAAGATAACATCAAATGTTCAACAAAAAGACTGAAGAGCTTTTTAAGATTATTATGATAGTTGCCAGTAAAAATATGCGCTGTAGAGGGATGTCATCGGTTTTTGCGCTGTCTGATAATTTCATTCCGTATGACCGCGTTTCCCTGCGTCTTCAAAGCAAATTCATTTTGGCTACTTGTATCATAAGTAAACAAGTGTTCATACATCAAATGCGAACGAAATCAACCGACACTAAAGCCAGACCGTAAATATAAATAAACCTTTACTGAAAAGCGAGTCACATTACAAAATTAAGGAAAGGCCTAAATTTTTAGAATTATAATTAGGGATCAGTGTGCTCTTACTGTTTTGCAATTCATTCCGAATCATCGACAGTCAGAAATCACTTCAATTCTTCTCGTTTTGCTGTTTGAACTTTCATTTAAATTGCTTTGTTTTTGTTATATAAACATTAATCGGACAGGTGATCATAAGTCTGGTAACTTGATCAACAAATCCACCTAACGGCTTGCTATTGCTTGAAAGCCACCATCAGATTGAGTTATATTTATTTCGCACATTTATTATTTTTTTTCTCATACTAGTCTCAAATATGGAACACTTCAAGAGAGGCCATAAAGTTCTGTTTTTGCCCTTTCCTTTCGGAGGTGGGGGGAAATGGGGGCATATAAATATATAAACATTTTAACTTTCCGTGATAGTTCATATATTTTCGGCGGTGAAACTCAATTTTTAATGCACCAAAATGATGCTTCCTTTGATTATCACAGCATCATAATGAATATTTTCATTCATAAAAGGATGAGTTTGGAAACCATTAAAGTAAAAGAAAGGCAACCAGGCGTTATGAAACATCATCAACACAAGATCCTATGGAGAAATAAACTAAAAGTTCTCCCATTTCATCAGGATGCTTACTGTGATAATTTAGGGAAAATATATAAAGCCTTAAAATCAGACCTTTCTTGCCTTTCTGGCCTCGATGTTCATGGCACCCAGTCCTCCTTTTGCAGACAGGATGCCACGGGCTTCGTCAGTCTCGCAGCAGTCCATAACTGTTTGACCATTCTTGTTAACAAGCTTTGTATCTGCGCCGAGATCCAACAACAACTCTAGCATTTCTTTCAAAATTTCTTCTTGTTCAGGTCCTGGTACAAAAGTAACAGCTAAATGAAGTGGAGTGTTTCCTTGGGTGTTAAGAGAATTCACATCACACCCTGCATGTAAAAGTAGCTTCATGGTCTCAACACAGGGAAGCTTGCATACACGTGGCAAAAAAGCGTCTTTACGAACAGGAGTCTTATGCCATACAGTCGAGTGCAAAGGTGTATTTCCATCACGGGTGCGAGGCTCTAAACGCAGAAATCTTTGAAGAAGATCAATCATGTTTCCACTTTTCATTTCCAAGGAAACTCGAACTTTGGTGTACATCACCAAGAGATATAGAGCATTAAAAAGCAATGTCTCTTGCGCCTCATTTTTTTGCTCTTCTTCCAATTCTCCAGGCTTCAACTTTTCGGACAGTTTCCTTTTTCCATCGATCAGTTTTTCAAAAATGTCCTCGATAGTTTGTGGACTCAAACTGTGGCCATTCTGCACCATTTCTGCAATTAGATCAGTGAGGTTTTCAAGATCTTTTGTTTTTGGAACATTGCAATTCATAGCTATTTCCATTGCTCGCGTCCACAAACCAACAGTTCGTACTTCTTAGAATCAGCCAGGACAGCTCCTCGGTAACGTATCGGTATCCGTAATATTGTATTGTCAGTTCCCAGGATTCTCTCTCTAATCATGAGTCCCTCCATCTGGATAGCATGATCATCATCTTTTAGGAGAGAAAGTTCCTCGAGAGTTTGACTTTCTGTTCTAATCTCATAAGCCTCCACTGGTTCCATTTTCTTTTTAAGCAAAGGACATGACGGGTTCCCATACCTCTCCTCCATTCCTCGCTTCATGAAACGAAACGCTCTTTTGATGTCGTAGGCATGAGGATCATTAGCAATGGTGGCTCCAAGAAGCTCAAGAGCATCAATTCTTTGTTCCTTTGAACATTCTGGTCGGTTGATGAACCACTCCACCATTTCAATTTTGCAATCATTACTGGCTTCAAGAAGTGGTGTTAAACGGTTTAGATTTTGTGTTTGTTTTGCTCCTAAAGCAAGCAAGTCACCAACCACCTGAACGTGACCCCCTTTCAAAGCATTATGAAGACACGAGCGTCCATGGATGTCTTGTAGATTTACGTTTGCGCCGTGTTTGACAAGATAGGAAGCAACATTCAGGTGGCCTTTGTAACATGTTAACATCAGAGGAGTACTACCGAAATTAGTGCGTGCATTTACATCGGCCCCGTTCTCAACCAAACAGCGCACAATATCAAGGTGTCCATGAAGTGCAGCAGCTCTCAACGGAGTCGAATTACTGGATGTTCTGCCGTCGACTTCGGCGTTTTGTTTTATCAAGAGTCTCACAACATCAAAATGACCTTTAGCAGCAGCGACCCACAAAGCTGTACAATCCTCTATAACTTTTCCGTCAAACTTAATCGTTCCACGGGCCTCGACGTTTGCTTCATAGCGTAAAAGAACCTTCACAATATCCAGTTTTCCATCACGAGCAGCGATGATGAGAATAGTAGCATGGTCGTCGCCATCTTTGATTTTTGTTTTCAGAGCGGCTTTTCTTAATTCGGTGTTCACCTCCTTAAGCAAATCAAGCAGATCAGAACCGTTGTCAAGAGCAGCTTGATAAGCTGCAGTTACTTCATCACATATGGATGCTTTGTTACCCATTTCAAATAACACAATCACATAACCTCTACATTCTGCTATGCTCGACCTGAACTGCGTGAGCAAAACAACAAACACGAAATTTTAAGATCAGAACTTTGCATAAGCAGGCTCATTGATTGCATAAGCAGGCTCATTGATTTCAGCTGATACGGTAGAGAAACAGTTCATTTTACCGATGTTTTGTTCAGTGTATATGTTGTAGAAAAGAAGTGCGATTTGCTTCATCTCAAAAAAAGGTTTCCTGATGCAAATCTTGTTCATAAACCTTTTTATTTTCTGTCTGAAGAAACAATCAGTTGCGTTACATTGTCATTCGTGATGTGCAGGAATTCCACCTGGATCATAATCTCTCCGCTAGAAACCAAACACTCTTCCTTTCCGAGAAAGCGTGGAGTGTCACACGTATTTCTTTTGAAGACTCAGTAAGAAACAGTTCTTTCCAGCGTATAGATCATGATCTATTTATTATCCTTTTGACGGTTATTTGCGCCAACAGTCAGTTTATTTACTCGTGTGTAAAACTATATTTTATTAGCCTGTGTACAGCCGCTCCCTCCCCGCATAAAAATCGAGACGTCTCTCTCCTCGATTTTTTTTGAGTGGAGGGAGCGACTGTACACAAGCTTTATTTTATTCACTCGTTGGGGTCGTTCGTAACATGTGTTGTAAACACTACGCTTCCCAGTTGAGTGCGATATCACGCAGGTTTCCATACAAAGTTTCGACGTCAAAACTTTGACGTTTCCGATGGCATCGGATGGCATCCAATGTATCCAATGGAAACAAAGCGCGCGAAGACTCGACTCGGCACTTAGGCGGCGCGTCTTGGCTCGCTTGTGCTTTCCGTTATTGTCGATTTTATTGCGTGTTTTTTCGTATAGCTCCAATATCAGACATGGAGTTTCAAGTTAAAGTTGAGTACGTGAAAGGCAAGCGAAAAATCTTCATGGTTTCGAGTCGTCTGGTTAGTGCTGCTGAGTACCGTTTTAAAGATTTAGTTGAGGACATAACAAGTCGCTGCACGAAACTGAATTATTTGAATGAAACGACCATTAGACCGCGTTATTTAGACGACGACGTTGCCATTGGACGTCAAAACTTTGTGTCGCGACTTGCGTGGTGTCGTGTTCAACTAGGCAGCCCTGGCGTGGGGAGGGTCGGGTGTAATCTGAGCTCGGTTAGTTATTCATTAATTTTAATACGGTCGATCAAAGGCTAATGATCGACGTCGACGACATGGTGAGCAATTGTCGGAAATCGAGCAGGCTTTTGAGGTGGTTGAGGAGGGCAATTGCACTGATTTTTGGCTTGGCTGTTATGCGTTTACCGAACTTTAACATGCCCGAAGCTGGGAGGTGAGAAAAATTTGGAAGTGGTAGAAATTTGGCGAAGTTCTGGAGGCTTTCGGCCCAGACGGTCGTGGAAGTTGCACGCCCTGTGTTTTTCCTTTGCCTTTGCCTTTGCCTTTGCCCCGCAAAATCACTCGAGACAACACAGAAAAACGAACTTTAGTGAGTGAACTTTATCTATCTGACTGTCATTAAGCGGATTTTGGGGATGAAATGTTCCGGTTTGCGGAATTTTTGAAACATTTCTCGGGGTCACTTGCGTCTTGCAGAGATCGACCGTTGTCAAACGAAGAGTTCAACTAGCGTATCAAATAATTGACGTCACGCGGCCTCAAACCCACAGTGTTGTCTGCCTGTGCCTCTATTAAGCGGCCATGGCCACCTTTTAGTCATCCCGATGCGGTTTTTCTATTGCCTTCACCTCTATATAGCGACAACCTAAAATGTTATTCCCTTACTTTGGCTTTGTTTTGGAGAAGGTGATGACAATAATTATTAAGAGTGTGAAATAGGAAGTGACGATTATTGAAGAAATTCAAACACGTTTGACTTGATTCTATGTTCACAAAGCAGGCACCCAAATATAAAAAGTATTCAAAGTACGCCAACCCCTGTTAAGCGGCCACCTTCCATTTTTCCGAGGGTGGCTGCTTAATAGGGGTTTGACTGTATATATGAGCTTAATTATTAAACAGTGGAGAACGTAATTGACTACATGATTAGGATCCAGGCTGGCTGATATGCATAATGTATATCAGGATCCATATGATGTATTAGGCTGGGAGGGCTGGACAAACATTCAGTTCATTGTCAGTTCTGGCAAGTTTTTGATGGTTAAATGTTGTAAGAAAATATAAGTTCAAATCTTACGTTTACTTATCTATCAAAATTGGTTCTAAAAAATGGTAGTCATTAATTATGAAATAGATGGTGTGGAATTTATTGAAATTTTAATGGCATCATGCTCAGGGTAACAGACAGCTAGCACAGAACATTTAATGATGTGGCAATGGCTGCATTTTACATAAACATGGTCAAGCAGACTTCCAGCAGATACAAACATAGGACTTTGTACTACTTGAATGTAGTGTAGAGAATCCATTAAAATTTTAAGTGGTTTAATTTCATTGTGATTCAAAAAGTTAATGTTGAAGTCACCAAGAACCAGGTCAATATCACAACAGATCAGTGTATTTCTAATATACCATTAATGTACTGTAAGATGTTAGAACTGTGCCTTCTGTAAAATAAAATAACAGATTTGCTTACGTCAGTAATATGATAAACAAGGGGAATTTTAATTGTATTCATGGCTGGAAAATATTCATAGTATAGCACATAGTGCTATAATTCTAGAAAATCTGTGTGAAACATGATCTTGCCTTAACAGTGTAAATGATTGTAAATTTTCTGTTATTTGATTGTCATTGGAATTGGGTAGAGGTTGTTTCTCTGTAAAAGATGTCATGTCACTATTACAAATTGAAGAATCAAAATTTATGTCAATACTGTGTTTATTAAGAGATCTGATATTAAGAAGGCTGATAACTAACAGTGTTGGATCACTTTGGTTCATTTGTTGATCACAGATGATGATTGCTACTACATTTCTTAATCTTTCATATTCTTCTTGTACTTTAGGATTTGCTTTAACATGCTTGTGTTCAATTTTTCCAAGTGCATAAATACCTTGTAATGTTTTATTATAACTTATTGCAACACATATTTGACCGTAGTTAAAGCTTCTTTGTTTGTTAAGATGAATTAGCTGATAAATACTCTATCCAATGTCAGTCCTTGTACTTTGTGGACGGTGCAAGCCCATGCTACTATAATTGGAAACTGTATTCTTTGTATCTCAGGTGATTATGGCTTATTAGGTATCCCTTTTATCTTTGCCAAGATGGGTTCAATAGGTACTACTTTGTGTTCTTTAACATATTGGTTATTGCTACTATTTATCATGTTTTGTCCTGCTTTGTTATCATCAAACTTAATGAATATTATTGATGGCCTTTGGGCATTTGGAGTGACATATATCTTGACTATTAGCTGTACCAATCTGAATATTGATCAGTCTATCTGAGATGTCAATATTAGCTGTAGGCATCACTTTTGCTGTTTCTTTTAAATGAAGTTCATAATCAAGTCCACCAATTTCAGATCTTCCTCTTGCCAATACTCTGTCAATATCTTGTTTGTTGACATTATTAGGATATTGATCTGTGACTTTCAGGGTAAACATAGGTTTAGGAATCTGTGCTAATTTTGTATTGTTGTGTTAGTCTACTGGGATGTTTTCAGCCCATGTATAGAGCATCTGATGGGTAATTGCTGTCTAATGAACTTATTGATCCTGACTGAATGCAGCAGATTTCTTCACGAGTCTGTGCTCCAGTTCTAAATCTATTCAAAAGTTCAGTAAATGGTTGGTCATTTTTTTGTCTCATTATTTCTGTAAGCTCAATCATTTCAAATGCATGCCAAGGGTGACAAAAATTAAAAGAATTATTTGCATAATTATCAAAAACTAATTTTCTTTGAATTGGTGCAGGTAGCTGATATAAATCACCTAGAGCGATAATACTTGTACCAGCAAAAAGCTGTGATTAGTTATTATCAAATGTCTCTTTTAATTGTTGATAAATATGAAGGAGAGTAGTGTTACAAACCATTGAGATCTTATCTATTATTATTAGCTTCAGCTCAGACAGCAATAATCTCATTTGTGTTCTTTTCTGGTCAGACATTGCAGGTAGGACATCACCTGTATTTTTAGGTATTGCTAATGCTGTGTTGATGGTTGTGCTATGAATGTTTATTGCTGCTACTCCATTGGTGCTGTTAGTAAGACTGTTGGTTTCTCAGGATTCATTGGAGTATATTTATACATTTTTGCAACAGTGTGGTATATTGGTTTAATCAAATGGCTTTTTCCAGCACCACCACCTCCAGTTATAAACAGATAAATTGGTTCCACATTTTGTGAATTCAGGCTATTGAGGTTTTTCATTTTATTTCTAGTCCATGAAAGCACCCTGTCATAGGCTTTGCATTGCATGTTATTTAATGATCCAACTGATTGACATAATTGGTCATGAGATATTTCTGTTGGCTGATTTAATAGTGTTATTGCTGATGGACCACAATTTTCAGTGGTTTGAAAATTTGCAGCAAGCTGTGAGGGTACTTGTTCATTGAATACCTCATCTGCTGATGATTCATCTTGGAATTCTTGTTGTAGTTCAGCATTTTCTTGATCATTTATAGGGTCATATGAATGTATGGCAGTGCCATGGTTGTTTCTTAGCCATTCTAGTGCTTCTGTTACAGCTTCTGAGTCAGGTTCAAAGATTGCTCTGTTATGTTCAACAATGTCTTGTGCTCCTAGTACATTGAATTTTGACACATGTATGATCACTTCCAAGGAGGTTAGATTCATCCCTCCATGGCTAATATAGCATAAGTAGATGATGGAAAAACAGTTCAGGTTGTTTTCTTTTATTTGGTCTATGATATATGATAACAGCTTTGACTTTTCTACATTTCATAGTTTCATTATTATTCATCAATGATATCTTTTAGGCAAATATGATGAATCACTAGAATTGCTATTACTATGTTGTATTTCAATTATGTCATCTGTAAGCACTTCTGGTTGTGCATCAATAGTTTCAATGTTTTCTTTTCTATAGTCCATGGTGTGATAAGTTGCAAATTGTGCAAGACAAATATTATCTGCAGCAGGAACTGAGGCTGGTCTATTACTTCTTCATTATAGATTGCTCCATTTTAGATTACTTGGCACCTAGCCTGCTATCCTTGTAAAATATATATGTAATATATTCAGTTCTCCTCCGTTACCTAATATTGTTACCTACAAGCTCATAACGGAACTCGTCAGTCTTCCTAACAATTATTTTTCTTTACAAATTTGTTCCTCAACAAGATCCTCTTACCTGATGTCTCTTTAGTATCCCTTTTAACATTCTCATTTACGTCTTTTTCGGTTTCAGGAACAAATCTTTCCCCTCTTCCTTCATCGACTCCACTTCCAGTTACTTCATCCTTAGAAAAAATGGAAAACACAAAGCGACTTAGGGGATAAAAGCATTTTGGTACATGTACATTGGGTTTCCCCGCCAAACGAAAATAAAAACATCTGTACCTTGCTGTGTTTTTTTCAGGAACATAAATATATCGTTTTTACATGATTTGCTTTAGTTAAGTTTAAAAGAATTAAAAGACCTATGCCGTGCTTAAGTTGAAATAGGAACTTAAGTACGCTTTTAATGGATACTTGTAAAATAACGTTTTACTAATTTATCTAAGGCCACTTTCATAATGAATAATTTCATAGATTTTTGGTTTGCCTATTCTCCAGTGGACCCCCTGAAAACCACTGAGGTCTCTACTCAAAATATGTATGAATTCTTGTTGTTATTTTAAGGACTAGCTAACGGACTCTATTCATACAATTTAAATATATTGCTATATCAGGAGTATTCAGCTCTTTGACCTGTTACAGAACATGCTACGTGCGAGTTCAAACCATTGATTTCTCGGATGTTTGGACGTCATAAGGACCCATAAGTTTATCCTGCACACGAATTATGATTCATTTTAAACTAACTCCTATTGTGATGATTCCATAGTAGCAAGTTGCCCTAGAAATTTAAGCTTCAAGCAGTTTATAATCTTTATAACATCATATTATATTTTTGTTATACATTCGGCAAGTGTACAACAAATAGGACTGACCACTCAAGAGAGAGAGAGAACCAGGTGAAAAAAAGGAAAGGTTCTGCCTTCAGATAACAACAGCCCAAATAGGACTGACTACCAAGAGGGACAGAGCCGTATGAATAAAAAAAGAAAAGGTTTTTCCTTCAGATAACAACAGCCCAAATAGGATTGACTAACCAAGAGAGACAGAACCAGGTGAAAAAAGGAAAGGTTCTACCTTCAGATAACAACAGCCCAAATAGGACTGACTACCGAGGATAGATAGAACCATGTGAAAAAAAGAAAGGTCTTGCCTTCAGATAACAACAGCCCAAATAGGATTGAATACCCAAGAGAGAGAACCCCAGCCTCCATGCTGACTCCGAGTCAAAGGTCGGATCAGAGTGAAGTATTAGTTAGCTGGCACAATTTAATTTTGGTATTGTCGTGACAGAACAGATAATCGCTCTTTGTGTCACAAACCAATAATTCTGTAAATCACAGACAAAAGATGCCGGATATAACAACTTTTAAGTGATTCTCACTTCACGCAGTATGACCAGGCTATCCTCAAATGCCATGACAGTTTACGGCTTAGCTAGGCCACTCTTGTCGCTGAATCATTCTGCAATTGTGAAAATTGCCATTCATGCTATGATTGCGTTGTATACAAATATATAAACATTTTAACTCAGTACTGATTGTTAACCCACTCATCATCACGGCATCAACTTGTTCCAAACTCTTAATCTCCTTAACTCTCCATGTTAAGTAAACAATGAAAAGCACTCAACAGTCGTGTCGCCTCTTGTTATTCATAGAAAGATGAGAGAGGTAACCAGGTGTAACGAAACATAATCAACACAAGATCCTATGGAAATAGGAATCAAGTATTCTCCCATTTCAATGGGACGCTTACCGTGACAATGTAAGGAAAATATACAAAACGTTAAAAATCGAACCTTTCTTACCTTTCCGGCCTCGATGTTCATGGCACCCAGTCTTCCTTTCGCAGACAGGATGCATCGGGCATCGTCAGTCTCGCAGCAGTCCATAACTGTTTGACCATTCTTGTCAACAAGCTTTGTATCTGCGCCCAGATCTAACAACAACTCCAGCATTTCTTTCAAAATTTCTACTTGTTCAGGTTCTGGTACAAAAGTAACGGCTAAATGAAGAGGAGTGTTTCCTTGGGCATTAACGGAATTCACATCACACCCTGCATGTAAAATTAGCTTCATGGTCATAACACAGGGAAGTTCGCAAACACCTCGCCAATTAGCTACAGTGTCTCTAGGAACAGGAGTCTTATGCCATGCAGCCAAGTGCAAAAGTGTATTTCCATCACGGGTGCGAGGTTCTAAACACAGAAATCTTTGAAGAAGGTCAATCATGTTGCCATTTTTCATTTCCGAGGAGACTTGAACTTTGGTGTACATCACCAAGAGATATAGAGCATTAAAAAGCAATGTCTCTTGCGCCTCATTTTTTTGCTCTTCTTCCAATTCTCCACTCTTCAACTTTTCGGACAGTTTCCTTTTTCCATCGATAAGTTTTTCAAAAATGTTCTCGATAGTTTGTGAACTCAGACTGTGACCTTTCTGTATCATGTGTGCAAATAGATCTGTGAGGTCTTCAAGTTCCTTTGTTTTTGGAACATTGCAATTCATAGCTATCTCCATCGCTCGTGTCCACAAACCAACACAGAGTTCGTACTTCTTACAATCAGCAAGGACAGCTCCTCGGTAACGTATCGGGTACCGTAGTATTGTATTGTCAGTTCCCAAGATTCTCTCTCTAATCATAAGTCCCTCCATCTGGATAGCATGATTATCACCTTCTAAGAGAGAAAGTTCCTCAAGAGTTTGACTCTCTGTCCTATTTTGATAAGCCTCCACTGGTTCCATTTTCTTTTTAAGCAAAGGACATGACGGGTCCTCATACCTCTCCTCCATTCCTCGCTTCATGAAACTAAACGCTTTTTCAATGTCATAAGCTTTAGAATCATTAGCAATGGTGGCTCCAAGAAGCTCAAGAGCATCAATTCTTTGTTCCTTTGAACATTCGGGTCGTTTGATGAAACACTCCACCATTTCAATTTTACAATCATTACTGGCGTCAAGAAGTGGTGTTAAACGGTCGGGTGTTTGTGTTTGTTTCGCTCCTAAAGCGAGCAACCTACAAACTAACAGAACATGACCCTGTTTCGAAGCATAATGAAGACACGAGTATCCATCGTTGTCTTGTAGATTAATGCTTGCGCCGTGTTCGACAAGATAGGAAGCAACATCCAGGTGGCCATTGTGACATGCTAGCATCAGAGGAGTACCATTGAAATTATTGCGTGCATTTACATCGGCCCCGTTCTCAACCAAATAGCGCACAATATCAAGGTGTCCATCGAAGACAGCAGCTCTCAAAGGAGTCGAATCGTTCGATGTTCTGCGGTCGACTTCGGCGTTTTGTTCGATTAAGAGTCTCACAACATCAAAATGACCTTTGGCAGCAGCGACCCACAAAGCTGTACAATCCTCTATAACTTGTCCATAGATCTTAATCGTTCCACGGCCCTCGATGTTTGCTTCATAACGTAAAAGAAATTTCACAACATCCAGTTTTCCATCACGAGCGGCGACGATGAGAGGAGTGGCAAGGTCGTCGCCATCTTTGATTTTTGTTTCCAGAGCGGCTTTTCTTGATTCGGCGTTGAAATACTTTACCAAATCAAGCGGCGGCAGATAAGAACCCTCGTCGCGATCAGCTTGATAAGCTGTAGTTACCACATCACGAACGGATGCTTTGTTACCCATCTCAAATAACACAAATTCAAAACCTCTAAATTCTGCTACGCTCGACTTGAACTGTGTGAGCAAAAAAAACAAAGACATTGGTAATTTAAGGGTCAAAACCTTGCATAAGCAGGCTCATTGATTTCAGGTGTCACAGTAGACAAACAGTTCATTTTACCGATGTTTCGTTCAGTTTATGTCTTGTAGAAAAAGAAGTACGAGTTGCTTCATTTAAAAAAAGGTTTCCTGATGCAAATCATGTTCATAATCCTTTTATTTTCTGTTTGAAAAACACTCAGAAGCGCTACATTGTCATTCAGGATGTGCAGGAATTACACCTTGTGATCATAATCTCTCCACTGGAAAGCAAACATTCTTTCTTTCCGAGAAAGAGTGGAACGTGACACGCATTTCTTTAGTTAGGGAGTGGAAGGAGAGGCCCTAACTTATCTGGAGACAATTGCATGGAAAGACGTTATGCGAAATATGAATAAGATATAATTTCGTCCGTACACGGTCGAGGGCTTTAAATCCACGACATGGCTCTCGCTTTTTATCCTGAAGACTTCGAAATAATTCTTTCCAGTCTTTAGATTATGATCCATTTATGATCTAAGACCGACAGGGGTCATCTACACGTGATCACACCATTAACACACGTAATTAACCGATCACAACGATCACAAGCCTACAAAATCATCTTAAGATGGTAGAAATGGACAGAACTGTGGGCTTTAGAGCAGCGGCCCATAAAGCTTTGCAATCCTCGATAAATCCAGTACTATACCGTCGTGGCCAACTCTGAAAGTCCCTTGGGCTTCGATGTCTGTTTTATAACTTAGAAGAATCTTTATAGAATCCAGGTGTCCATTACAAGCGGCGTTGATCTGAGGAGCAGTAATCTCGCTGCAAAAATTTTTTTTGGGATCACTTTCTGAAGGAGCTTAGAAACCAGGCTCAACTCAGTAGCCAAGCCTACTGAATTTGTGCCCAGGCCTTTGCTTGCTTGCGTGACCCTTTTTGCCACTAGCTTATGTCGTCACATTGGAGTATACAAGAAACATCGGCGTGTAGTAAACACAAACTCAAATTTTCACAGCAGTAAAGTGAAAAACGTTTTGAGACCGAAGGTAAGTAAGTCTTTTAGTGTTTTTCAACCTAAATTTAGTGTTTTGCTTTGTAATTTTTACAACGTATAGTGAATTGTCAAATTAATAACTCGAAAAACCTTCAGCCAAAGTTAAACTCTTTATTGATAACCTTATACTTTCTTGATTTGATATCCCAATTAGCGATAACACCAGAAATTATTTGCTTTTGTGATATAAAATATATAACTTGTTAAAGTACGTTGTCACAAAATAATGCACCAAGCAGTAATTAATCTGAATACGCAAAACTTATTTAATGTTTAAATTGTTCCCTGGACAGCCTGGACATCCTGGATATCTGAGGCAACTGATAATGCATTTTGGGAGTGGTGGGGATGTTTGCTTCATAGTGCCTATGGCTGTACCTTTCCTTGAATCTGCCCTGTTGTTTGTGATAGTTTTTTCCATACATTGTATGTTATTTTTTTCAGAAAATCTAAGTCTGCTAGAAGAAAAATTTTTTACAGAAGAATCATTTTCCCATAACGTGTACAACTGTTGCTTAAATTTGCAGTATTACTGATATTTTTATGATAACAGAATTGTCACAAAAATTATTTGACATTAAGGTGGTGTTGAAAACTGCATTGAGGTCTACTGAATATAGTTAAAGTACTGAATTTCACTCTATGACTTACAACTACAGAATATGGGGCTTTTTTATGATCATGTACCCCCCCAAAAAAAGCTCTCTTGGCTCATTTGCATCAAGCCACCATATATAATGCAATCAATGTCTTGTTTTTTATATCTTGAGTCAGTGTGGAGTTAGAATCGATATTTGAATGTTAATTACAATCATATAAATCCAACTGAATGTATTTCTTTCATTACCTTTCCACTGACTGCCAAACCAGCAAGCCTCGAGGCATTAAACATTGAGGACTTTTTAAAAGGCCCTGTATTGTATACATGTAGCTGCTTTGGGGAAGGGGAGTGGTAAAGTTTGAAACAATTTGTACAATTGTAGTAGCTTTGACATTCCTAATTTCTTGCACTGGAAGAAAATAGTCTGCTTTGTGCATTGTAGTTTATAGTGTTAAGCACTGTAGCAGTTATCAAAAAAAAAACAGTTGTATTTGTGTGTCCTTTTGGTGTTAGGTTTAATGCTATTAAAATTTGTTACCTGCTACAGTAATAAGATGATTCCAGCTCCACTGGGTTAGAATAGTCCTTAAGGAAGCTCTGTACAGTACAACCCTTAAGAATGAATAGACAAACACCACTAATGGAACAGAATAAATGTGTGAATAATACTGATTAATAAAGTGTGTGATTGGGTATCAGAAATACTACGGTAGCTTGTCTTTGTGATGAGTATTTGACTTTTCTTGTAGTTATTGGCTAAACTAAAAATGTAAATGTTGGGTGCAAATAGAACTGTTGTCATTGTTGTCAATGTCAATGTTTATGCTCCCACATGCAAAAGAAAAATATCAGGGTGGAAGTGATTATTATAGAGATCATTTTGACCACAAAATTTACTTTTTGTAAGAAAGAATGTGTAGTAAAGGTGTAGTTCTAGAAAGAATTGAAAGATCAACACACTCCCTCCCCAAGTAGGATCATTGAAAATTCCAGGGGAGAGGGGGTCCAAAAGTGCCAAAATTTTTTAAGGAAATGCTTGACATGAAATGAATTTTTCAAAGGGGAGGGGGGGGTTGAACTCTGCCCCCCCCCCCTATCAGAAAAAAAAAACCAAAAACAAAAATATCCATGTGGCAGGGACACCATTCCTGGATTTAATTTTGCTGTCTACAGGTTTGTGATTGTAATTGATTTAATCCACAGAAAATTGGCATAGGTGACTGTGACCTTGTAACTATAATTGCCCCATACCTTTGTAATATGTAGAGGGAGAATTGTTTCCATTGTAGTGTTTGAAGTAATATTATCACATGATGAGCACATTACTTCACTCCTTAACTCAAAGAAAAAGGATTGTAGGAAGGAGAGATTACAGCTGGCAGGTATTAACTGCTGAGTCTGGTACTGGCTTGCAGTGTTTCCAAGTACTCTACAATATTCCTGAAAAAATTCTGCTGCACACTGTTGTTGGCCCTTCTGAATTTGGCTGCTAATTTGTGGCAGATAGGATACCAATGTTGCTGGGTGAACTGTTCCAGGTGCAGTCTTATATGCATTCACAAAGTTTAGGGTGCTACACAGCAAACACATCTGACCTAGAGTATTTAGTGGAACATACCAGAGAAGCCTTTTTGTTAATGCAAGACCTCAGTGGTGCACAGTTGTATAAAAATAGTTTTCTCTTGTGAGGCATGGTCAATTTGGGAGTTACCAAGATTATCAAGTCAATATGGTCCAGAAACTACTCATTTGTTCAGAGGGTGGGGCTGGGGGAGGGGGATGGGGAGGGGTCGAAAGTGTTAGGTTTGCGTACCGTTTTCACTCTTTGCGCTCCTAGTACTCGTACACGCACATTTTAGATGAACGCGCAACACAACAGTGTCAAAAAATAATCGAGCAAAGAACTACGACTTGCAAAGCTTCCAGGAATAATATAAATTTACCGCCATAAACAGTGAAAAGGCCTTAAACATTTTACTCGTAGCTCCGTACAAGGTACAACTTCCTGTGACGTTCTAACAAGATTATCAAGTCGTCAAATACGTATTTTAATATGACTGATACCAGTTGTTTCATAAAGTCGAAATAAGCTTAATGTCGAGAATAACTAAGCGGATTACCACACTAATGACGAATTTTGTGGTTCATTAAAAAAGTACTTGGTTCAATTACACAGTTCACCGATGGGTTGATGTTGTTTGCCTGCTGGGATTTTATGTCTTCCACTCCAATATCAATGTTATTTTGACGTGCTAAAATAATATTGAATACATTTTCGAGACCTGTTTTAGATGAGGTGCACTTCTTGTGATTGTGCTGCAATCCAGTGAGCCCTTCGGAAAAACATGTCACTCAGAGCAGAGCTTGCAAGACACTATTCAGAAAGCAAGTATTTCCAAGGTTTGAAATTCCCTTTGGATCCATTTGACCGTGAGCAATGTTTAGAATTAACGAAGAAAGTGTATTTTAACCAAAGGCAGAAGATTCGTATATGTACGGAGCGGAGCGAGATAAGGTAATATTATTTCCCGCGAAAATTACACAAAAAAAGGTAATAGATAACTTCCCATTTGTTTTTTCTGGAAAATTATAACAACAAAAAAAAAGGTAATAGATAACTTCTCATTTGTTTTTTTCCCGCGCAAGTAACAAAAATGTTTCCTTCCCTGTCCCCCTCCAACTACACTTCAACCAGTCGGGGGCGGTGAGTGAAAAATTGTTCACGTCATCAAAAGGCTTGGTTCCCTAATTGAGCCTGGTATCTAAGCTCCTTCAGAAAGTGATCCCAAAAAAAATTTTTGCAATCTCGCTGCCTTCTAGGGTCTTCGTTACGAGAATGGTTTTCCTTTTGTCGGTGTTCAGCCGCTTTTATATCTTCCAGATAGGAAGAACTTTCTCGAGCAGCTTGACGAACTTTCCGAGTTGTGGCATCTTTATTATCGGCTATTTTACAGAACACATGCGTAACCTATAATTTATAATGAGCTTTGCTTGACAGAAAACAACAAAATCTTTAAAGTCAAACCTAATATAAGGTGACTCATGATTTTTTTCCTCACAGTACGAATAAATTAGTCATTTTACTGATGTTGAATTTGGTAAATTGATACAAGATGCGTCAGTTCAGTTCCGGTTTTCCAATGTGAATCATGCCCATAACTCTTGTATTTATTTATCTTTATTTGTTTTGTTTTGTTTTTGTGGTTGTTGTTCTTTCAATGAACATTCTGGCATCACGCTTTATTTCCTGATCGCTCGTCCTCGATCCGGAATTGTGACACATACTTTTTGTCACGGGGGAGGGGAGGACAGGAGACTCGCACGGGAGGTTAAAGAGATGAGAATGAAAATGAGGAGAATGGAGTTATGTTAAATTTGAATTCGCCTTATTTTCGACTAAGTTGAAAATGTTTGAAGGATTTTATGATAAAATTCGTCACGCTTTATCTTCCTGTGCAGCCAGCTGAAATTTATTAGCTTCCCAGCAATTTGACCATTTAATAGTGTCGCGTACCCGATGCAGCGGACGCGGGGTGTTGTGCACTGGAGTTCGGGGAGTGTCAACCACAGTGTAGGAATCGACAACACAAGTTGATTCAACAATGTTTAATGCTATCGTCTGACTGTCGAATACATGCGGTGAAAACTGGAAAAAGGGAAATTGTATTGTACAAGATCAAAAAATGGGCTGAGACTAATAACAAAACAAGCGAAGTCGAAAAGAAGAGGAAACTAAATACAATAAGCTGAACTTACGTCTGATCCTGTCTTTACAAACTGTGAACAATAGTACACTAGGAAAATTGGGGCGTAAACTCGACAAAGAAACAAAACAGAACTTTTCCCTACTTTAAATCAAACCAAAACGATTACGTAATCAAAGTCTTCTTCGAATGTTCATTACAAGTATGTTTATGTTGTAAGGTTAAGTGGACTTATATAAACTTAGAAATTTCTGACAATTACAGCTGATTTGATGAAATAAACTGAAATGAACATTTCACATTTTCACAGCTGAAAAGGCAGGGTGGCCGCCCCGTTTGATCGATCGATTTGATGAGATCAGGTTTCTTCATGAACCTCTCTGCTCCAGATAAACACCATAAAGTGAAGGCGATTGTCAGACGGATTTGAAAGCCATTTTTATACATCTCCGGTTGTAAAAGAAACAAAGAGCAAATTAAAGCAAACACGGGGAGAAAAGATGGACGGAAGTCCTCGAATACTGATTCATAATTACTGTTGTCACAAGGAACGATAACAACGTAAATTTTTTTCAAAATACGGAAATCCAAAATCTAGGATATGGATGCCGGCATGTGGACTCCAGCGTGTGGAACCTAGTGTAAGAAACAACTAAGACAATTCAAGAATAACAAACTTTCATCTTATTGTCTAAGTGATAAAAACAGAAAAAAAATCTCAGTAACAGAGGCTGATACGGAGTGTAGAATGGCTTTAAAGAGTGTTCTATTTTTCGGCAGGCCATACCAGTCCTACAAGTACAAATATAATTTCCTACTTGAGAGGACAAAACTTCGTCTGGTCAATCGCCCTTAACCGAAAAGGAAAACCATTCAACTGAACAAAAATGTGAGGTATTGACGTTCTGTTCAATTGGTATTGAGTTTTAAATCGTGCCTCAACCTCCAGGGTGCCCCAGTCCACGGGACGGTTATTGAACTGTGTCAGATCCCCTGAAAGCCGCTGACCACCAGTAGCCATTTTGATTTAATCGATTTAATCGATTGCTCATTAGGCTTTTCTCAGAGAGCATGGCTCGCAGGTGATGACACTGAACATATGCCGGTATGTTGGTCTGATCGTACCTCTCCAATAAATGACATCTCGTTCCAGAATACATTGTAGTTATTACTTTATATCAATGAACTTTGCTTGTGAATACCTCTATCTAACTTAGTTCGGGGTCTGCATTATAAGTTACTGACCAAATTTTATTCTGCTTATATTTGAGGCCCAAACGCAAATCAGGTCATAAATTTAGCGGAAAAAACCTAGGTTCTGTAACTTACAGTACGGACCAGGAAACGAGGGGGAACTTTTTAATTTAAACAAGCTTTTGAATTTAGCAGGTTTTGCAGTGAAATGCAACCTGGTAAATTGACGAATCATCGCCCATGTACTAACTGAAAGATCTAATGATGAATTCTCGCTTCTCCGATGTTAGTAAAAGTATTACTTTAAAGAATTGTCTATCTAGGAACACTTTTTATCAGTTAACTGGAATGATTCAGAATGTAAAAGAACTGGTAGATGATATTTTTTAACCATGAGCTATTACAGCTGGGTATTATTCAACAAAATGTAATAATGGGAAATCATTTGGTTACTGGTAACTCTCAGTGTATTGTTGTTTTTGTTTTTTTCTGATAGGCTCCAGTGATTCGCACATTTGGTTTCTTGAAGAAGGCAGCTGCAGAGGTCAATAAGGAGTTTGGTTTGGATGCAAATGTTGCTGATAACATCATGAAAGCAGCAGATGAGGTTTGAAACATTGGATTAACCCTTCAATCCCTAAGAGGGACTAACATCTAATTTCTCCTTACAATATCACACTTGAATTACACATCAAGGTAATGAGAATAAAGGAAATGATCATAAAGTAAAGAAGCCCTCGATTATTAAACAAATTCTCCCTGTTAGCACCTTAGGAAATGTATAGAGAATATTATGGAGAATATGCATATTGATGTTGGGGTGCAAATGATTAATATGGTCATAGAATTTAAATACCATTGAAAAGGTGAAAACTTCATCCAGAGCTCACTGGGTTTGGGTCTTAGATGGATAATAGAGTCACATTCTTGTACAAGACATGTAGCTCTCAGTGCCTCTTTTCATCCAGGAATTTAACCCTTTAACTCCCATAAGTGACCAAGACAGAATTTCTCCTTATGATATCAATACATTGTCAAGCAGACAAGTGATGTGAATAAAGAAAATTATCAGTTAGAGGATTATAAGTTGATCCAATACCAAAATTTTCAAACCTTACATCAGAAGAACTGTATGGCAGATAGTAAGGATAATCACTACTGAGATCTTCAGAGTTAAAGGGTTAAAACCAGTATCTGTCACCTGTCAGGGAACTTGCTGAATTGCTGAGAAATAACCTGCAGGAAACTACAATCCCATTTACGGGAAGAAAAAATGCCTCTGGTTGCATTACTTGTGGATGATATCACAGACAAATTGAGATATGCTCAAGAAGTGTGACTATCTTATGTTACTCACTTCAACAAAGCTGCAAATTTGTAGAGTTATAATTGATAAAATATTAAAGGTATTTAATGCAGCCTCTTTGATTCCGGGTGATATCTGGGAAGCTGAAGGACCATTTTCCCTTAGTTGTATGGCAGACAGGTTCTGGGACACAGTCCAACATGAATGTTAATGAAGTGATCAGTAATCATGCCATTGAGCTGATGGGTGGAGAGATGGGATCAAAAAAACCTGTTCATCCTAATGACCATGTCAACAAAAGCCAGGTCAGAGGCTTATTTTAGTTTGGTTAATATTAGGGTGGGGAAAAGGAGACAATCCTCATATAGAATGATGTGAAAGTGCAAAGTTTTCACAAATCATAAGGGGCTACATATCTTTCTCAATGACGTGATTCATCTAGTGGCTTACCCTTCAGAATGTTCCCCTGCTTTCAATGAACTTTGCAAAGGGCGGGGGGGCGGGAGGAGAGAGAGAGAGGAGAGAAAGGCAGGGATCCTGGTGGCCTTATGATTGTTGACTGTGTTATGTCTCCATATTTTTTTCATCATCACTGTAACCAATAAAAATAGCTCCTTTATGTTTTAATAACAATATTTTTCTCTCTGATTACAGAGCTCTAATGACACATTTCCAACAGTAATGCATATAGCAGCAGCAATGGAGGTGCATGAACGTCTCGTCTGTTACCAGGACTAAGAAAGCTTCATGGTGCACTTCAGGCTAAAAGCACAGATTTCAAGGATCTTGTTAAGATTGGTAGAACACATACGCAGGTGAATTGTCTGATCTTGTGTCTTAACAGACTGCAATAGTGCCACATGCTAATTACCTTTTACAGCTCAGTGGAAATCCTCAGAAGTTTGATGCTTTCTCTTTCTTTATTGTTTCCCTCTGTTAACCCTTTCACTCTCAAGATCTGATTATTAATTCTCTCCTCTAGCTGCTACACATTTCTTGGTAAATTATTTACAAGAATTTGGTTTAAGATCAAAGCAATGAATTCTACCTGATAAGTTTTAGGATCCTCATAACTTGTTTTCTGAAAATTATTATTATATATTGGAGGGAGAAGCTACATGTTAATCACTTTTGAAATTTGAAGGGTTAAAGGCATGAATATTATCAACTTCTCATGAAAAGAATCCCAATGAAATTTCTCCCACAGCCCTGGTCAGTATACAGTAGGTTGCATAGCATATGAACATTGGTTGGTTATTGTTTTTTTTGTGAGGTTGATAAACAAAACAACTGTGTTCTTCACCTGAATAAAACTAGGTAAATTAAAAAATCTGGTGATTAGCAGTGGAGGATTTGGTTAATCATCACCTTTTACATGTTTTCGTTTTACAGGATGCCACACCCATAACTTTAGGCCAAGAGTTCAGCGGTTATGTTAAAAAGATAGAGTATGGTATTGCAAGGGTGGAGGGCACCCTTATAAGAGTGTATGAGCTGGCTATTGGTGGAACAGCTGGGGTACTGGACTGAACACAAGAATAGGATTTGCTTGAAAGATGTCAGCTAAGATTGCAGAGTACACTAAGCTACTAATCACAAGGTGTGAAATGGACTGTTAATTTGGAATAAACATATTACTCTATGTACTGCTCTATGATGTATTCAAAATGTTAAGGATTGTTCTAAACACCACAACAGACAGAGGCTTGTTTTGGGACCAGACAGTTTATTAAATGTATATCCTATGTAAATAACACACTAGACTATTACATAACAAAGATACTGGATGGATACACTAAACCAATGGTCCAGTAATCAAGAATAAATTACAAACACCAATGAGATTAAGGTACAGTCAAAACTGTTGATGGTGTAGGTGGATGGGAAACTAAAACTTTCTTAATGCTAGAAATAGACTTGTTGCTTGCTTGCTTGCAAGATTACTAATAACACGCACACATGTACCTAAGTGGTAATATTACAGTAATTTGGCAATTAAATTGCATTAGCGTTGTGAATAGCCATTGGCTCTACCTAAGTCTTATGACTTATATGCTGAACAAATTGCTCAATCTTAAGAAAAGGATAAAATACTTATAATGGAGCTCACAGAGCATAGCCCCATAATTATACAAAATAGTAGTAACTCATCAAGCCGAAAAAAATTTGGACCATATGACCGTACAAGGTGCTACTTTTAACATGCATGGTCAACTGTACTGCGGGCATGTCAACGCCACAGCTTTGTTCAGTAGTCCAGTGGTCACTGCACCTGGCCGGGGCAAGACATTGAGATGTGCGGGGAAAAAAATGCGAGCTCCGCTTTTAGGCTTGGCTAAATCTATATATTATGTACCCAGTTTAGACCTCTTAGTTATCAATGTCTAGATTCTTAGTAATAGAGATTAATATTCACAATTTGTAAGTTATGAAAAGCAGTTATTATTTGGCATGTTGCTTCTTGTAGTTATGAATTTTTTATTTATTTTATTGCTTTGTACCTTATTTTTGGTAAATGATGTACCTTTCAGCAAAACAAATTTTATTACTTGGTCGTCATCATTTTTTGGGTAAAAAGTTCTCTCTTTACTTTAATCTTGGTCACTAAACATGACTACCAAAATGTGCAATAATCACACTTTTTATCTTCTGTTTCCTTTAGTGCACCAAACAAATTTGATGCCCTTGCAGCTTATGATGCTCATGGCAGAGCTTCATGGAGCACTAACTGTGATGGCTTGTAATTTGATGAAGATTGCAAATGATGTCAGGTTTTTAGGCTCAGGTCCTCACTATGGATTGGGTGAGCTGACACTTCCTGAAAGTGAACCAGGGAGCAGTATCATGCCAGGTAACAAACAACACAATTCATCGCACTAAAGTACTGAACTGTTTTATTCATACAGAATCACAGTTTTCTCTGAATCCTGAGCATGTATGATTAAAAACAGGTTAGCAGTGGTCACTCTCTATTGGCTACAGAAAAACCCTTAACATTACTCTAACCCTATTTCTTGTACAGTGTGCATGTATCAGTTTTTTCCCTAATGCTCTTGACCCCCAAGAAGCCAACTGAAAATGTTTTGCTTATCTTAGGTGATGCACAGAGCACTTTCCTCTGATGTCTTGTTAACCCACAACCAAAGTTATCACAACAGAAAATCAGAAGAAAGGAAAATATCCTGAAGAACCAATGAAAACTCAAAGTGAAAACAAGCAAACTTCTTAAACATAAGAAAGTGGGTGTGGCCAACTTGTAATTGATTCAAGTTTGGCATCTAATTGGTTGAGTGGCACAAGTTATCTAGATCAATTACTGAGGGAAGTAATCTAAAACCAATACAATCCTGGCTTGAATTCAACACTCCTCGAAAATTGAGTATTGAATGTAATAAGAACTTGTTTACAAGTTTCCTGTTTTGTATAACTAGGCAAGGTAACCCAACGTAGTGTGAAGCCATCACTATGGTCACAGCTCAAGTCATGGGCAATCAAATGACTATGTCAGTTGGTGGAAGTAATGGTCATTTTGAATTGAACATCTTTAAGCCAATGATAATCAGAAATGTTCGGCAGTCAACACAGCTGATCGGAGATGCCTGTGTAGCCTTTACAGATAACTGTGTTGTGGGAATTCAAGCTAATGTGGATAGAATCAACCAGTTGCATGACAAGTCACTCATGTTAGTGGCAGCATTGAACCTTCGTATTGGTTATGACAATGCCACTAAGACTGCAAAGAAAGTTCACAAAGAAGGCACAACTTTGAAGGAAGCTACTATAAGCCTCATGTTTTCAACTCATTCTTTCCAACTTTTACTAGGTTTTAAGACAATTTAACAATTTGAGCAAGTTATCAAGTTTACAACTGAGCTAATTTCAAAGCATTTGCCATGAAACTTCTTTTGCAATCCAGATGCAGTATTGGTAGTCCATTTAATTTAAATACAATACATATAGATGTACATGTACATGTTGTTCTTGAAATTAAATGCCCACTATTCCAGTGCAGTGAAATTACGCAAAGGGGTGATTTTCAAAATTTAAGTACCTGGCTGAAAGTTGCACAAAAGGAACACCTCCCGGAAACATAATGTGTTTAATTAGGCCAAGCTGTGTTGTGGATTTGGGATGTATATTTAATTGTTATTCAGCAATTTGTGAAAATACAGCAGCAGTGACTTGGTAATAAGGCAATAAATTAAATTTTCTGTTTCATCAACCAAGTTTTTCATCTGTTTACAAAGATGTTACAAATGGAAAATGCATTTACTTTTCTAGTTCTGTTCTCACTCGTACTTCAGAGCATTTTTATCATTTAACCTTGTTTTAAAGCAGAGTTTCAGGGTTACCACAAAGTATCCTAAACAGGGTGTCATTATGGAGTGGAGGCCTTTACCAGGGTATACATTCATGGTGGTAGGTCCATGTGTGGTAATGTTTAATCTATCCCTCCCCCTATCACTGGGATCTTATCCAAACTGACTTTCTACTTGCTTAGAATACCACCATACATATATAACCACAGAGTGCTATGGAATGTACTTTGTGCAGAAGGATGGTTTTTTCTTTATACTGAGTTGGCTCCAAAAGATAACAGTACCATATCTGTACTCTATAGGGAGCAAAGGTACAAGCATACATTTTGCATTTCAGGATTGCAACACAGGATAATGTGTGCACAAGACCCTCCTGAAAGTGACATTCACATTTTATTGATTTATGTTTCTTCCTCAGCTCACAGGAAAGTTAGTTATTGCCTTCTATTTTTCTTGCCCACAAAGAAATTATCTCCCTGCGCTGTTACTGGTCATTACTGGCATCATCTGAAAGCCCATTGTAAAGTACTCTTATACTCGAGGTGCAGTTTGAATAACATACAATGTTGTGTCCATTTTCCAAATCACTCTCTCATCACATACTCTCCACTGCAGCAACACACACTTGATTAACTCTCTGAATCTGAAACAAAGTAAAATAATTTTCACTTGGCAGGTGCACGGTATGCACTGTGTTGCAACTACAAGTAGTGCAGACATTTTCATAATATTAAATGATGCATCAAATGACCAAACCTAATGGATTATTTACATAAGGTCCAAACCATACCAAGGTTTTACGCAATCAGTGGGTCTCGGGCCTTCTCTGCAAGAGGGTTGATTTTATTAAATAGGTGTCCCTCCTTCAGCTTTCAGCCCTCTTGATGTTGTTCATAACAATAAATGTCCAGATAAAAGGTTCAGCTAAACTGAGGATTGTTTAGGAAACAGTTTTCTTGACCAACAGCTAAGCTTTGTTTATAAATAAATAATCAGTCCAATGAGATGTAAAACATACAGAATAGGGTACTAAAGACATTTACAAAGAAAATACTTCTGCAACAGTATTTTGATCCATTTACTCTGCCTGCCTTTCCCCCACCCCATATCTCCTTAAATGTACGGTGGCCCATAGAGGACATGCCACATTTTTTTTGTCGCGCGATAAATGATAACTTATCTTGCAATACTTCTGCGACACAGCTCTGTGAATCAGTACAGTAAAACTTGATTTTGGAAGAAAAAACTTTCCATCTGTTGCAGCCACTGTTGTCTCGTTCAGGAAAACAACGTGTGTGACAGCCGATCACGAGCGACCTAACAAGTCCTATTTAACGCACGAATTTTTATTTTATTATCGCGAGATTAAAAAGATTTATCGCGCGATAAAAAAAAAACAAAGCAATTGTGCCACCGTTGGGCCACTGTATCTATGGGCCACCGTAGTACCTAGCTAAAGAACTCACAATATCAAGACGTCTATCGTACGCAGCAGCCCACATAGGAGTAAAATTCGTTGCATTTCTGCCATCAGCGTCTGCGTTGTGATCGATTAACAGTTTGACAACATCTAGATGACCAGTAGCAGCAGCGGCCCACAAAGGAGAGCAACCTTCAACGGCTTCGTCGGTGTTGGCTTTCACAGTTCTCGTGCTTCGATATCTGTTTTGAAACTTAAACGAATCTTTACAGCGTCTAGGTTTCCATTTCGAGAAGCAATTATGAGAGGAGTTGCATTCTCGTTGCCATCTTTGGTCTTGGAACCGAGGGCAGTTTTTCTTTCTTCACTGTCGAGCCGCTTTTAAAGATTAGTCAGATCAGAAGATCCATCACGAGCAGCTTCATAAATCTTTTGTATGGTGGATTGCTTATTACCCATTTTTCGCTACACCTAAGCGGGACTTTCCGTCTCCTCCAAGGTTTCCATGAAAGAAATTGTATTAGTGATGGAAAAAACAAACGCCAGAACTTTTTTAACCTCGCGACCTAGTCTCCAAGACAAGCATTTGTAAACTCAACCGTCACGCTAACGTATTTACTGATCAGATGGGCTGAAGCCGATATGTCATTCCATTCCTTTTGAAAAAGAGGTAGTTATTGCCTCATCGAGTAAAGGACCTGAATAAGAATTATTTTCGTAATCGTTTATGTATATTAAAAAAACAATGATGTTACACTGTTTTTCTTAATTTACATGATCACTAATAAATTTCGCAACCGTATTATGCTAAATTTCCACAAGTTGTCAATCACTTATCCTGTTTGGGAAAACAGGAAGTCTGAAGCGTATCTTCTGTTTCGAGGAGGGGAGGAAAAGAAATTCAAATATAATTTTTAAAAGGCATCCTACTTCATTTCATTTCTATCTTGATCGCACTGCAAACAGTCTTTGCAGTGTGCACTTAAAAATGTTTCACTTTCGACTGAGGAATATAACTGTACTATCAAGTTATTGCTGTCTTTGCTATTTATAGACAATTTATCTATGCCGGATTCATATGTACATAATAGCGTAACATATGATCTAAACACTGAGGTTACCTGTAAATCACACAATAGTCTCAGGTCTCTTTATAACTTCTAACGACGTTCGAAAAGGAAAGAATCAATCCCAATCAAAACACAGAAACACCAGCTAAATAATCTCAATTAAGTCTACTGGCTAATCAGCAGGATGTTAATTATCATCCCTGATATATCATATCATTGTGCGATTGCCCTTTTTTACTTCATCAGGCTACAATTCATACCTAGTGTGTAGTCTACAACTGCATTTTCTACCTAGTCTAGAGTTTATACAGAGAATGCACTTTACAAAAAAGCTGCTAATCGATCATATCAAAGTCTCATTGCTGAGGCACTTTGTTGCAAACCTGTATTATTAAATTTAAAAGCCGTGTAAACGCTAATGGAAGGAATATATTTTTTTAATAGCACTTCAAATGCTTTTTAAACAACTTTCAAATGCCAAATTTTACTTGGATTTTAAATTTCACACACAACAAAAGTTAAAACCGTATGAAGACTGTGACTAAATTTTACCATTGGGAGCCGCTGAATACTCGAAAAAATATTCTAGTCATAAAATACCTCTTCCTTTTTTTTACCTGAATCACCTTCGGGAAAGAACTAACGGTGACTCAACCTAAAAAACTGACGGAAGATGGTCGTAGCGATCAGACACGTATGCATACTAAAAAGCCCGCACACTTCCTAAAAACTAAACACTGAACCAACTGAAAAATTAGATTAGGTATTATTTTGGAAAAAGCCTTTTAAATAAGCCATTATAGGTTTGCGTGCTACTTTCTTTTTCGATCGCAAGTGTGAATGAAAGAGCAGATCTTGTCAAAACTAATCTAACATTGATTGTTCTAGTTCACCGATGATGTCTTCCATGCTGGGTCTCGCTCCAGGAGCGCGTTTCAGACATCTCCGGATGAGAGCTCGCAGTGTTCGATTTTTCACCATGGCAACTTGCTCGTCGCGTCTGTCAGGATCTGGTAGTTTCCGGGTGCAAATCTCACAGAGGAGAACTCCGAAACTGTACACATCAACCTATGCTCGAAAACAAAATTACAGTTTTAAAAAAAAATTTATAGTACACCTTAGTTCATTATCAATGGTTGCAAAAAGGTTTAAGTTTGATATAAGTGTTCTTGCTACTTTGAGACTATTTATGTCTAATCTAGTTCGCCACGTAGGAATGGTGCCTCGTTGCTGACCCATAGAGAAATCTAGTCTAGCTCTACAGTGGGGCATTCTAAAAGCAGAAGATTTAGGCTCGACTCTTCTCAAGAAGTCGAAGTTCACTTTTTCTCATTAACCTTGTTTCTGGCATGTCTTACCACGAGTTCCCTTAAGACTATAGACTATACCTAAAGCACACGAGCGGTTACCCAGGAAAAGGGTTTAATCGCATTCAAAGAACAGACAATTTTTATCCCGCCCAGTCGACAAACTGATTTAACTTCTTATAATTAAAATACTTCACCAGACTGTTTACTGTAAACACAAATAAACAATTCAGAAATATAACTCAAATATACAAATGTACACATACCTTGGCAGTTTGATTCTCAGTAAGTGCCTCAGGAGCACTGTATATCCTAGAACCAGGACAAGCCGTCATAATGTCTCGCTTGAAATTAGCCGTGCCATAATCCGACACTTTGCCTCGCCATTGGTCAGCTTCTCGCCACAGTAACACATTGGCACTGCTGATGTCGCGGTGAATGATGGGGGATGGCTTCTTCAGGTGAAGATAGTTTAATGCTTGAGCCACGTCTAAAGAGATGACAGACACTTCAGTAGGAGAAAGAGATCGCTGCTCTGACAGTGCTCGTAAAATTGTTTCCATGAGCTCTGTGACAAACAAAGGAGTTCCTTCATCGTTTGTTGCTCCAATAAACTGAAGCAAACAAGGATGGCGACATCTAGAGGCAATATTCATTTCTCTCTCGAACAACTCCCGATAATATGAGGAAGATTTCAAAAGATCGTCATAGATTTGTTTCACGGCAACAGTGCACCCACAATATTTGCCTTTAACTACAATTCCCCAGCCACCCCTACCAAGGCACTTCTCTGTCAGTTGAATCTGATAACGTGGAATGACCCAGTCAGGTAATTGTTGGCGCGAAAGTTTATTTAACGCCTGTGAAGTTGCTGAAAGAGAATCTTCCAGTTCGTCTACCTGCTGTTCTTTTTCCTCCAGCCGGCTCTCTAAGGAAGAAACCTCGTCATCCTTCTCTTGTAGTTGTTCTTCCGCATTTTTTAAGTGTTGTGTCTTCTCCTTCAGTTCTTCATCTTTCTCTTGTAATTGCCCTTGAGTATTTGCTAACTGCTGCGTCTTCTCCTTCAGTTCTCCATCTTTCTCTTGTAATTGCCCTTGGGTATTTGCCAACTGCTGTGTCTTCTCCCTCAGTTGTTTATCTTTCTCCTGTAGTTGCCCTTCAGTATCTGTCAACTGCTGTGTCTTCTCCGTCAGTTCTTCATCTCTCTCTCTTAGTTGGCGATCTTTTTCTGTTAGTTGTCCATCCCTCTCTTGTAGCTGCCTCCTGATATCTGTCAACTGATTTCCCATCTCCCTCAGTTGTTCATCTCTTTCTCTTAGTTGGCGATCTTTTTCTGTTAGTTGTCCATCCCTCTCTTGTAGCTGCCTCCTGATATCTGTCAACTGATTTCCCATCTCCCTCAGTTGTTCATCTCTCTCTCTTAATTGGCGATCTTTTTCTGTTAGTTGTCCATCTCTCTCTTGTAGCTGCCTCCTGATATCTGTCAACTGATTTCCCATCTCCCTCAGTTGTTCATCTCTCTCTCTTAGTTGGCGATCTTTTTCTGTTAGTTGTCCATCTCTCTCTTGTAGTTGCCCCCGGACATTTTTCAAATGCTGTGTCATCTCTCTCAGTTCTTAATCTCTGTTTCTTGGTCGAACGTTTTCCCGCTGCTGTGTCAACTCCCTAAACAGTCCTTAGATAATGAAAATAGAACAAGCTTGTCTCACAGAGCGTGAACCGAAAACCTGAAACATGTTTCTCTCTCTCTCTCTCTCTCTCTCTCTCTCTCTCTCTCTCTCTCTCTCTCTCTCTCTCTCTCTCTCTCTCTCTCTCTCTCTCTCTCTCTCTCTCTCTCTCTCTCTCTCTCTCTTCTCTCTCTCTTTCCCACTCTCTTACCACTTTCTCTTTTTTAAGGCGTCTATAAATTATTTAACTGGTTTCCCTCGTGTCTGCCTCTCTGAGAAATCTGAGCCTAAACATAGTAGAAAACAAAACAAAACCGACCAACAGCAAGAAACAGCAATTAAGATAAAGCAACCGTAATAAAAAAGATGAAAAAGAATGGAATAACTTTTCCGTCCTGTTTCTAAAAGAGGATGTCTTACTAACACAAATTCACTACACTTACAGGTGCTTCTTGTTCTTTTCGTTCGACGAGATCGTTGCTAGTAAACGCAGCAGCTTTCTTTAGCACAATTCTTGACCTTTCACGGCGGCAACAGAGCAGTTTGCGAAACTCCCTGCGGAACTCACCATTTGTAAAGGCGTAAATAATGGGATTGATCGCAGCACTCAGATAAAAGAAAAACATGGCAAGCATTGCTGTAATTCTTGAGCTGGTTTCAGGGGAAAAGCGAAACCAGAGGGCAAGTGCCTACATTGGTACCCAGAAACACAAAAATCCCGCTGCCACAAGGAGTAACATTCGAGTAAGCTTTATTTCTTTCACTGTGTTGCTTACTGCATTATTGTCAATACAGTCCCGTAACGATGACACTACATTCTGTTGATGCTCATGGGTTTTCAGAAATATCTTATAATAAGTGAAAATGCCGACACAACGGTAAAACAAAAAGTAATCCAACAGTGATGGAATAAGGAACGATTTGACTTTCACTAGTTGGGTAATTAAAGGAGCAAACTGCGTAGCTTTGAATAAAATCGACTTTAGCCCAATTTGTGACTCGGACAATCAACAGGTAAAGTGCAAGGGAAAGCCACAAGAAACTCAGCCATATCTTAGATCTGCGGGGCGAAAAAATCCTCTTGTAATGGCTTGTCTTTACAATTTTCACGTAGCGGTTAATTGCTGTCAAACCAAGTGTTGCTGGGGTCACGTTTGAGGTAAACATACCAACAAAGCCTTGAAATTGGCGTCGCCAAAGACCCATCTTCCGATGATTAGAGTGGCAGAAGCTAACGTCATGTCTACTGTTCCACACAGCAGATCGCTGACTGCTAAAGCAATGATATACAGGTTGGTGGTTGATCGCAGGTTTGAGTTTCTGTATGCTGCTATACAAACCAGACTGTTTCCAATGATGCTCACGATGCACAATGCAATACAAACACTTTCCTCAGTTATGACAACAGGTAAGCTTCGACTTGGTAGCTCTGAGTTTAACATAGCACCTTCTGAAAATAAAAGAAGTTAAAGAGCAAATAATTGAATAAATGAACAGAGATGAAAATTAATTAAGTGAAAATAGTGGATGTCCCTCTTTCCCAGCAAACTACATCATTCACGCCTTTAATTCGCTCTCAGGGTTTACGAACTTTTGAAATATTCTTTATTTATATGTTCGTTTACTTATTGGCTTAATTTCAACCGCGTGACTTGTTCCTGCACAATTATGATAAGCTATCTCGTGTCTATCTCAAAGACTATAAGTCTATAAGTACTTCGAAATATTCTTTTGATCATTTATCTAGTTATTCATTTATATGTTCGTTTCATTGTTGGCTTTTTTAATTTCAGTTGCAAGACCTGTGACCTGCCCTAGAAATCATGTGATTACCTATACTAACATATAATTGCTTTGAATACTACCCTCATATTTCAACTCTACCGGCTAAGGAAGAACACACTGTATATAAAACATCGTACTGGTAACTCGTAAAATGCCTACGCATTTCTATCAGCTAAATAATCGTTCCTGATAGAGTGTTTGTATCGCTAAAGAAGCTCATGCTATCTTTTTTTTTTAATTTTGTAGGTAAAATGCAGGTGTGTAATTTAGCATGCGTTTCCAAATCTTCCGTAAAACCAAACCGCAAGTCATTTCTCACGGGGAAAATAAAGTTATTTGATATTTCCGTTCGAGTTTTAACCTTGAACAGTTGTATTGTCTCCCGTTGCAATAAACGGTTATTTTTTTTAATCTGCCACAGATATAAGCTATCCATATACTCAGTACATGCAACGAGCATTTGGTTCATGTTGGCACAAGTAACTGCTTACAATTTATTCAAATTAGAAACAGCATTAATGACAAGCTAACGTTTGCAGATAAACGCAAGCCGTCAAACCTATTTTCTCTATTTCTTTGTTCTTGTTTTGCTATTTTGTGATTACAATCATAATCATCGTTTTCTTCATCATTGTTATTATTATTATTATTATTATTATTATTATTATTATTATTATCATCATCATTACTGTCCTTAACACCAGTCTGCCGAAAAGTTCCACTGGTTTACTGGTTTGTTTCCATATTTACTTGTCATGAAGCTTGGATCAAACATATCAGCTGAAGGCGCCAATTCATATTACTTTTGTATTTTTTCCGTATCCTCATAATTTTCCTATTACAGAGGACGTTAATTTGCATATGTAATTTAAGTTTTGACGACCATTTATTGGGCATCCTTCAAACTTTTGTCGCCTAAATAAAGTATTTTAGTAATTGAATGTTTCGCTTGAATTGAAATCGATCGAAAACTTAGGCTGTCCATGCAAGCTTTCTGACTAAATTTTGAAAATTTTCCTTTCTCTCAACAAATCTTTAACCATGCATATGGGTTCCAAAAGGTGTATTTTGATAACGTCTGAATAAAATTGACCTAAGAAAAATAAAATGTTGGATTATACACAAAACGGTCATCATTTACTGCCTTCAGTTGGGGCCTCATTAAGGGAAGTGTCAAGATATGTCATTCTATTTCTGAAACTCTTTTGCGTTTTCAGTCTACCCTGAATTCAGTTTTAATAGATAGAAACACGGTAAATGAAGGCTTTATTAATCAGTTTAAAGTTAAAAGTAATCTTTTTATTGAATAGTCTTCGTATCCTCCCTTACTTAGAACTGTTTTCATAGAGGGTCTATGTAACTTCCAGCGTTCAGACACAGAATGGAGCGAGGTGTTCCTATAGCCAGTCAAACGTCAGCTTTTCCCCGCCGTCGCAGCACCACAGTTTCTTTAGAAACTTAGGCTCCTTTATAGTTTGCTTTATACTTATCTTTTCCAATACGTACAAAATCGACGCCTTTTTTTATTCTTTTCTTACATAAAAAAGTGAGAGCTGCAGGTGAGGGGGAAAGCTGTTTGCAATAGGTCTTAAAGACACAACTACTAAAGGATTATTGTTTTTGATTAAGGCCTGAATACATTCGTTCATCCAACATTTTTTATTTCAACATTTCCCAGACCGTTGTGTTATCAGGCTTTATAAATAAACGAGATTGGTCAAAAACCTATTGTCATTGCATCGGTAACCTAGAGAAATTTGACACATAATATGTTTTGTTTTAATTTTATATTATAAAAGCAATAAACCACACTTTCTCTCGGTTTACCGGCATAATACCCCACTCGGAACGTTGGGAAAACACTCGAAAAGTTGTTAATCAGAAGTAAGGGTGTGGTGCGATGATTAATGACTTTCCACGAAGATGGCGACAGCAATTGTTAAATAATTGTACATGTAGAGTTTCACTGCTCTACCTGAGAAAGATCGAAGATTACGTCACTCCCTGTTTCCCACACCAAAAATTTTTGAAGAAAAATAATTATCTTACTTCGGTGATTGATAAAGTCACGAATGTGCTGCTGAATTTATCTGTGGCGCCGTTAGCTTTAAACTTTGTCTCACGATAAGAATCAGAGAGCTTGACCAAATTTCTCAAAATTGCTAATAAAGAACTCTAAAGCTCTCATTTTATTTGCTTCAAGGAACAGCTGGCTGCGAGTCAGTTGCGTATTTCAAATTTTCTCATGTGAGGAGTTTGTGACAATTATATGTATTGTCCGCGATCCAAGCGAAAGTTTTTGCCAGTTTAAGCATTCACTAATAATTCTAATTAGCGAAAGCTTTACTTTACGCTGAGATTCAATGAAAACAAGTCAGGTCACAGAAGAATATGGGACGGTATTTATAATAGCTCAGCGGCGGTCAAACTTCCTTGCAAGGTTGGAGCTATTGTCTTTTAACTCTACCAGTCTTTACCTGTCACAGTGCAGAGAGTGTGGCTTTTTTTAGAGTTAAAAATTGGGTTTAAAAGCGAAAAATGGATTATTAGAGATATTATCTGTAACTAACCTTAATTCCACAGGATAATTTCCTCAAAACGGTTTTGAAGTGGCTAATTAATACTTGGTCTTCAAAGTTGACGATTACCTCATCCAAACTGAGGTTCTTCTTGGTGCAAAAGGCCTTTTTCCTTTTAAATACCACAATTTCTGTTCATTTTCTATAAACTTTCAGGGTAAGAAAGGCCTTTTTATGCCTATGCCCATTTTTAAAGGAACAGCGGAAGGGCCAAGAGCGTTTGATGTATTTTTAACTTCCTCATAGTGACGTCTGCAAGACACACAATTGCTGACCGAAAGCCTAGAATAATGCAATAAAGACTTTAACATCTGTATGTTTGTCTATGATTTCAAGAAAAAAAAATTTTTTATTCTGCCGAAGTGCATATAAGTTTGCTGTTTTCGAAATACTTCGTCTTTTCACTGAAAGATAACCCCAGAAAATTAGTCTATACTTGCGTAAGATTGATTGCGAATTTTCATCAGCATTTTTATTAGTTACATATCTGTCCTATTGTCATATGTAAGTTGTAGCAGGTGGTAAGTTGAAAGGCGAGGTATTAGGAAAGAATGAATGGTCTATTATTCGGCA